GGGCGGTCCTTCAATCCCATTTGCATTCCCATTCCCCATCCCATCACCCCACCCCGCCAGCACATCGCGAGCTGACGACTGATGGAAAAATACGCAACGTCTGGTCATCGTCCGATTTTACTGGGTTATCCTCTCCCCTATAGCCCTCCCTGGCACAACAAAGCGCAAAAGCACAGCTCAAACCAGTCCGCCGGAAATGTCAGTTCATGGACTCCCTTGCACTGAACAGACATGGTCTCGAATGTGCTCGGAACTCTACCTTGTGGATGTCGAGCCATCTACTTGCGCCAAACGTCAAACTGCAAAAACATGGATACCGAAATTCGCAAGTGACGATGACGATCGTGAGCGCATAACGCTCAAACAGCCTCGGGTAGCTTAGCCTGTCGCTGGTCGACCCGAGGCGGCCCTGACAAAAAAAAAGCGAATAAGAAAAAGAAAAAGACGATGAAGTAGCCAGATCTCACCTATACCAATCAGGAGTAGCGTCGATGGAGGAATCTCGCTTGTCGGGAAATCATCGCCCACGACCTGGAACCACCCCTGCCACTGCCACTACGGCAGTGCAAGGATCAACCCTTCAGCGCTGCTTTTGCGTCTTTCCCCAAGCAGCACTTTATGCGAACTCGCTTTCGTAAACGGGGTTCATCGATTACATATTTTCTCGGTCATCAGCCAAGTCGAACTCGCCGCGTACCTGACGACACACGCCGTTAGTTTAGTACTAAGTCCACGAGGTCGTGACCCCACCCAGGCCCGATGCAGTCCCTACTACCTGTATTTCGGTGACGGCACTATGTGTCTTGCGTTTGAACCATCCGGCTGAGGTTCGGGGTTTGGAGGCGGCATCACGAACCAGAAACATGTAAGTACCGAAACTTCTTAGTTGCCCAGATGCCATGCATTGTAACTGCGGTTCACGAGGCAAGCCGGCCTGACAACACACCGTCAACGACCGGGTTGGGCTGGGCCGGACTGGGCTGGATGAATGTGTTGACGAACACACGACAAAATAAAATCCAATTTCCAATATTCCTCCTTATGCGCCGCTGCTGCGCTCAACCGGCGCAGAGTGCCAGTCTCGATTCTGCCTGCCAGGAAGGATTTTGTTGGGGGCGCGCTGACGGTTGCTGATAGCTTCATCTGTCGACACGAAATGCAGGTGCAGGCCCTCCCGTCTGCCTGCATCGCTTGACATGAAAGCATTCACGCCGCGGCTAAACTGTCCGGCGAGCCTGTTTGGCCTGCCGTGACAGTGCCTCAATATAGTAATTGCGCATTCCACCGAATGCTGTACAATCACATTTGGGGTGCCCTGTCGTCGTCGTAGTCATCGTCGGACAGAGAGGTCTTTGGACAGGGAACTGGTTGAGAGTGGGCTCGTTCCTGTGTCTGGACAGGATCGAGAAGCCTCGCACCCAATATTAAGACACGTATGGACTTGATCTCATCGTTGACTCGCTACTCCCTCGCCATGGCGACTCCTATTCGTCGGTTCGGCATCGTTATTTCACATCCTTCCAAGCACTGTGTTACAAGGAAGGACTTTCGATGTATTCCTTCAAGGGGAACTGGGTGGCTCAGCTTCCTCTTGGAATGCATGCGTGCGCGCACACACAGTCTTTCTTCAATATCTGGCCTTTGGGTTCACGGCACATGTTCAGTGATCCTTTCAGTAGTAGGTCGATGCAGATCTCAGGTCTATCAGCCACCTCTTTCCGAGACCAGCATGGTGTAACCATATGCACAAGTGGAACTGGCCACTGACATACGAAGATCTTGGGAGCTGTCAGGCTACAAAGGGGCCAAACCAGGTGAGAAATGTCGTTGGCACAAACGTGCCGATCTGAGCATGCAACACCATCACTTTGTGTTCGACTTGGAGTGGGATGTCTCTACCGCGACGAACTTGCATTATTGGTGGCTGGATGTATCACTACAGGCTTGCCACAAGTGAGGCACGCTTGGTGGCTACCCCAGCTTGGCTGTAAAGATCCCAATCTTCAACAGTCTGCCGCACCCCTACCTCTTCTACGTTACAGATGAGATCGCGTTTCGGGGTACGGTGCACAAGACGTCACCAACTAAGTTCCTGGGTGAATGCAAATGGTAACCCGGAACAATAGCATGTTCAACCCAATGATGAGATCTCATATGGCCCGAGTGGTACACCAAAATCATCCAGTGGCAGCAGCTGCATGTAAGCTGATATCGTTCATGTTGGAAATCTAGGGTTTACTACCCACAGAGCTAGCTACTACCAAAGTTCGAAGCTTTTACCAGAAAGGGTTCGTCTTAGCCTCCTCGCATGATGATCACTGATGTCACTTATGCCGGGTGTTGCAGCGAGCTGCGAAACATAGAATACGCTGTTCGTCGTTTAGTTGAGACACTATCTCCGGCCGGTAATGTCCAGCTTCCAGTCATGTACTTTTGCGATTCTAGCAGCGCATTTACAGTGGTATCAAATGTTGCAAACCCATGCCCACTGAGCTACCTGATCCCAAGCCAGCTACCCTTCCCTCTGGATCTCAAACTGTCCCAGCGCTTCCATGTCATCTTTTTGCCACAGAGTCAGCAGCTACAGACAGACGCGTGACAAGGTCAGTCTCCCGTCCCGTCGGCTAATAAGGCCTTTGAAACTCTCAATAACAGAAGAAGATCGGCCCTTCACCAAAGACTGTCGAGAAGACCTCAAAAGCAAGATTTCTTCCCCAATCTTGTTGTCTGGTATCTGAATCCCCGGCCCCCTTCACCGACCGGGTACCGCGTTTCCTCGGTACTCGCCCAGTCACCATGTACGTAGCTATTTGTCGTTGTTGCTTTGCGCGCTTCACGGGAGGCGATTCCGTCCCTGGTCCATGTGCGAAGGCGACAATGCCGGAAGGAGGGATGCCCATGGGGTTTGCGGAGAAGCTGCACATATGATCCCTTATAGTAACTGTGACACAAAAACGAATTAATCAAGTAGAAGGATCTCCGTACTCCTCGCATAATCAAGCCCTGGACATTGGCCATCATCGCCTTCGACTCGCCGTCGTCCAGGTGGACAGTCGGTTTAACAGCTTGCTCACTTAGATGAATCAATATCACTAGCTTCACCCTCTACCCCCAAGGGTGTGCTAGGAACCTCAAATCCATCCGTACAGACCGTCTCGAAAACGGATTAGCGATGAAGCTATTCGTCACATTTAGATCCGAAACGGTCGAGTATCTTCTATAGCATCTTTCGTCAGTACGTCAGACCCACCTGGCTATAAGTCTCGAATGCGTACAAGAAATACCGTGAATTATAGCTTGGAGGCGCCGTTATGACTATGAGGCATAAATCGATTGATGACATACCCAATGGTGGGAATCCGAGTTTGCTGTCTGCGGCGAAGCGTGTTTGAGCCTAGTCGTCTCTGCGTTTCGTCGGTTGTCGTTAATCCGGTACGTTATTTTGTTTGCCTCGTCATCGAGACACGGTGGAGTTCCCCGCGGCAGAAAATACCTGGGGCTCTTTCGTTAATCTGTTTGCTCTACTTCTTTTCTTTCTTTCTTTTTGGTATATCGATGACCCTAGTGTATACTCCTGGGGGATGTAAGTCAAGGATGCCCAATCGGCCCTATACTTCGATTTCCACTGTGGGGACGCCTTGTAAAGGCCAGGCCAAGAGCCTCGAGCAAGTTTGATTGTATTTTGGTGTCTACGTCTTTCCCCGGCGAGCGACTCTCGATACTAACGCTCTCCTTGTTTAATGGTAGGGTACGGCGTCTGAAACTCAGTTACTGGAAAGGACATGCCTAGCATCTCGACTCTCAATCTATGACAAGTCGTCAATTTGATTTCTCCAAGGGGGAGGAAAGAGGGAGGAATTTCCGGGTCCGGCCATAGGAACGAAGGGTCATGGTAAGGGAGACTCCAGTGCTACCTGGGCGGTGACTATTATGGCAGCGGGTTACCATCGAGAAAAAGGTTAAAGAAGTCCATGTAGCTAAAGCCTTACCCAAGAAGGCAGTGGGATCATCGAAGGCTTCACGGTTCCACTACCTATGGGCGTTCTTAAAACCCATGTTCAAGCCGTAATCTCAAGCCTTGACGTGGTCATTTGTCCAGAGCAAGCGTAGTTATTTACTGAATACCCTGATAATTACCATAGTCAAGTAAGTAGTACCAGTGAATCCTAAAGTGGCTATGACGTTAGCAATCCTCTGTTCAAGTAAACTTGAAGTAACTCCAAGGCCATATCCGACACAATTAAACATTGGCTTGTCAAAGGAGTTGTAGCAAAATTAATTGCTACCAACTATTCTCACATGTTCCAGAAATGGACACACATTTTCTCCTTGGAATCCAGCTACGAACATATGACTCGTAGTTTCTATAGTCCATGCCCATTGTCCTGCGGGGTCGAAGAGTCAAACGATAAAGCATTACTAGCCCATGGGTGTGGCATAAGGACACTCGAGGTAACTCTGAACTGTTCAATTGAGCGGCCACCGTGACAAGGCTTTTCTTGAAGAGTTCTAGAGACTTAAAGCAGTAAATACATCTGAGCCTGGCTTATTTGTTTTCTAAATCTGAAGGCCGGCCATGAACCGTGATCAAACCTTGGTGAAGCAGAGCTTTCGGACCTCTTATCTATTATCTACTTGATTCCAAGATTGTTCACATTGCGTTGATCCCAACGGCTTAGCCAATATAGTCTCCTTTGATCAAATCGCTGGTTAGGCAGTCAAAGTTCCCTGAAGTAGCACCCTTGATGGTCCCTGTTTCATCCATAAAAGCAACATACTGTGGCGTTGTACTTGTAGTAGAATACTATCGAAAACCCGTTCTATAGTAACCAGTATACATGGCTTGTCTTTGTGCTTCTGCCTGGGTCTGTCCTACAAGCCACAGGATCAAGCCTGTCGAACCCCTTTCCCAAGGGATTTTCAGCATTCGAACTTGCCGCCAACAATATCCCAAGCACACTCACCCAGACTAAATTACACCACGACACAAAAGCAGCGGTCTACTCAAGACCGCCCCTCCGACTCGACGTCCCCCGCCTGCTAACACCCACCCTTCCCATCTCAATATTATCCCCACTAGCCCCAACATCCCCTTGAATCCTTGCCTTCCCTCTATGCTCACCCAACTCCGCCAGCTCCTCCTCACTCTTCCTCCCCAGCAGCAACCCATGCAGCATAACCCCCTTCGCATCCTCTCCATTAGCAGTCGTTCCCGCAAAGCCCTCCACCTCACCCTCACCACGGGCCTGACCATCATACCCGTGCCCCTGCGCGCCCCCATAACTCCCCCCCACACTCTCCATGGTAAACGGACTCGCAGTCGGCGCATCCAATACGTTCAACTCCTGTGGCGTGAACCACCTCGGCAATAACAGCGCCCTGACCGGAATAAGCGCCAGGATAAACACCGGAAACCCCACCGCAGCCACGGTCTGGGTGATAGCAAATGTAGCCCCAAACCCCAGAATCTCAAGCGCGACAAAGCCCCACACAGCACCACGCCTGCGTATCGCATTCAGGGGGTGCCCACCGGGTGTAAGTGCCCTATCCCGACACAAGTACAAGACCTTGGCTGTGATGCCATTCCCCTCGAGCGCCTGGTACCCCATAATGAAGAAGAGACCTGCGAGGACGGCCTGGGGAATAAGATGCAAGACGACGAGTAGGGGGCCCGTCATGGTGCCTAGGGTTAGAAGCCCCTGGGCTAGGTTAGAGAGGCGCTGCTCGACGACGTGGGTGCGCTTCCACGTGTAATGGCCCTTTGCCTCGCCGTTTTCTTCCGTGTCGGCTTCGACTTTCGTGACGCAGAGGGACTCGGTGTGGAAGGGGGCTTGAGGGATCAGGCCGTTGGGGAAGGGGAGGCCTAGGAGGCCGGCTACGCCAGTTGTGAGGCCCAGGAGGAATAGGTCCCAGTGGAACCCGGCGGGTTTGCGTAGGGGGAACTCGGTACCTTGGGCGATGAGGGACGAGACTGTTGGTTGTCAGTGTCCGATTGAAACCTGACCATGATGATCAAATAACTTACCATTATGATCGAAATAAAACAGCACCGTAAGCAGTATGGCAAACGGAATAGCCACAAACACCTCACCAACACTGATTTCCCAAAAGTGGACGAACCAGCCCCTATCCGCAGTGGGGAAGAAAGCCGCACTTGTGGGCAGCTTTTCCAGCTCTATGACTTTCATCCTCCCGAGATGCACAAATCCAGTGAAGAAGATGACGGTCAGCGGCGTGCCGTAATCCTTCAAGAAGACTCGGACTGGGTGCCGGAATAGCGGGCTGCTGCCGAGCTCACCGCAAGCGTAGGCGATCATGAAGACCAGCAGCGCCACCATGACGGAGAGGTAGAAGGGCGAGTCGTTGCCGAAACGCTCGAGCACCTGGACCCCCTTTTGCAGGTAGATGAAGGCGACGTAAAAGCCGAAGATGTCGCAGGGGAAGCGTGTCACGTATTTTAGCCAGTTGCAGGCGTTGGTAATGGCTAGGATCCAGTGGAATACGAGGGACCATAGACCGATCCAGCACATGAATGCTAGGTAATTGGTCCCTGTTGGAAGCATGATGTCGTAAACGGTGCTGTGTGCGTGTGAGTGGGTGATATGAATCGAGGACGTGGATTTAGGTAACACTTACTAGTTGAAGACAGTGATGGGACCTGTAACTCCCACTATGACCAACGGCTGACACGCAAGAATCGCAAAGACAACGGCACCCAGGACAGATGCCAGTAACACTTCATTCACTCCATACTGCATGCCCGTCTTGGTGAACATGTCCAGCGAGAAAGCCAACGCCGGCATGATGCTACACAAGGCCGTTAGTAAACCAGGTCAGCTGCAATGCCTTAGCCAAGACCAGGCTTTCCGAGAAAACAAAAGGAGCAAAACACAGGGGAGAGAGACACATACTTGGCAAAATACATGTACACCGTCGCCGGCACAACCCGATAATCCCAAGCATCGCGCCAATCACTCCAGTAATACGGTGCTCTCCGGCGGATGTCATTGACCATACCCCGAAACAAGTGAACCTTCCACCACTTGGGCGCCGCGTCTTTGGCCACACCAATCCCCGGTGTCGTACGGCCGGACCTAGTGAAGTTGCCGGCCCAACCCCGAAACTGCTTGACCACCGACGGTTTCTGCGACGAAGCAGCACCAGCGGACTCGGCCCCACTGCCCGAGTGTAGAGCCGTGGGCAGGGTGAGAGAGTCGGCCGTCGCCGTTTGGGCCGCCATTGTGGGAAAAAAAATAAAGGAAAAAAATTCTTCCCGATCTATGCTTCAGAAGTGCTTTTGATGCAACTGGTTGTAAGGTGCCTCGGGAAGAGCCGAGTAGTTCGTAGGGCTCGAATGACGACGGAAACTAGCGGGAAAAGCAAGTAGAGAAACGATACGAAGTAGACATTGTAGGTCGACGTTATCTTTGCTCCACCGGACCAAATCCCCAACAAACTCCGTCGAGTCAGGACGAAGCACCGACGCAACGTCTACAGCGAGTGTTAAGGTATGCACATTGGTTCCGGGGAAAGGTGGGAATCAATCGATTGGATGTGTGAATATTGAGGCCGGCTATATTAGGCTCGCCACAAATGTGGGGTGGAATGCCGACTGGCATGAGAAACTAAGGCTGATCGGAGCATTCGAGACGCTATTCGCGGCATCGGTAATGCCACCTGAAGCAGTTTAGGTATCTCTGATGACGGAAGTGTGGTCTTAGCTGAACTCCAACAGGCACATATGAATCCGACAGGTAGGTTAGCGTTGGGTTCAAATCACCAGCTTGGTAGAGTAGAGACGACCATCACGAATCATGTGGGCGTAGTAGATGACCGACGAGGCTCAAGCACGCAAGTCCATTCCCAGATTTGTACATACAGTAGTACACATAATCTCAAGATGCTCGAATCTGTTTCTTCAGCGTTCAATCCATCCGTCCACGCCCTTGCGTAGAATGTCTACTTCTCTAGTATCTGTACAGAACCCCAACTACACGGATTGATGTCATTTTGAAAAACAGAGGAGTAATAGATTACACAGCAAGTTTGAGTTGAGAGCTTTGGTCGCTGTGTTAGGGCGTAAGTACGCATTCGCCCCGACCGGTCCCTTGATCAGCTCAATGCACGAAGCCTTGCGCCGCCCCAATCCATATATGTACACGCTGCAACACAACTTATTTGACTGACCCAGAAACAAAACCCTTCATCACCTCAACGAGTCACCCTTGACCTCGCGGAAAATCGCAGGCTGTGGAGGAATCGGAGGTTGGTCAAGGCCGCCGGATGGCGACGCCGGCGGAGGAGGGTCGCTCGACTCACCGGGCGCGGCGTTTTCACCGCTAAAGTACTTGGAGAACGACTCCTTGTCGTCGAACGGTCTAGGGCCGAGTATGCGGACCAAGTCGTCTCGAGTCAAGACCTCTTTGGTCAATAGTTCTTCCGCTACGAGGCCCACTTCCTTCTTCTTCTCTATGAGGAGGTCTTTGCACTGCTTGTACGCTTGGTCGATAATCCGTCGCACTTCTGCGTCAATCATCTGCCCGGTCGCCTCGGCAAACGGCTTGACGATCTGGTTGTCGTCTTTTTGGAAGTGCAGAGGGCCCATCTTTTCTGACATGCCCCATTCCGTTACCATGGCTGTCGCCATTCGAGTTACCTTCTTGAAATCGTCACTAGCGCCGGTGGTGACGGTGGGAAAGTGAAGTTCTTCGGAAATGCGACCACCCAGAGTCATGGCCATACGATCCAGGAGTTGTCTGTATGTCATAAGATAGACATCACCCGGTGCATACTGCGCATATCCAAGAGCGCCCTGCCCACGGGGAATGATGGAAACCTTCAGAAGAGGATCGGCCCATTGGAAAAACCAGCCGCAGATGGCATGGCCGGCTTCGTGGTAGGCTACCGTCTTCTTCTCCTCCGGGCTAAGCACAAGCGACTTGCGCTCCAGGCCACCAATGACACGCTCGATGGCTTGCTCGAAGTGGATCAACTCAATGGTAGCAGCATTTGCGCGGGCGGCTACGAGATATGAGTAACGTGAAGTGCAATATGTGTAGTTAGGAAAACTTACCGACTAATGCAGCTTCATTGACGCAATTGGCAATGTCAGCGCCTGCGAAGCCAGGTGTCAAAGCTGCCAATCTGCCACTCAAGTACTCCATATCCTCGTTCGTCACAACGCGCTTCAAGTATACCTTGAAGATATCCTGTCTGCCCGACATGGTAGGCCGATCGATATTGATGTGCCTATCGAAACGGCCTGGACGCATCAAGGCCTGGTCTAATGTATCTGGTCTATTGGTGCCCGCAAGGACAATGACTTGCTCGCTGGTGTTGAAGCCGTCCATCTCCGTAAGGATCTGGTTGAGCGTCGCTTCGCGTTCGTCGTTGCCGCTAAATCTGCCGGCGCCGTCACGCTTTTTGCCGATAGCATCGATTTCATCGATGAAAATAATACAGGGAGCGCTCTTTCGCGCCGTGGCGAAGAGGTCTCGAACTCGGGAAGCACCTACACCAACGAACATCTCCACGAACTCGGAACCGCTTACGCTGAAGAAAGGAACCCCGGATTCACCGGCAGTTGCCTTAGCCAGAAGTGTCTTGCCCGTTCCCGGGGGTCCGGAAAGAATAGCACCGCGTGGAATCTTTGCGCCCAGTCTCTGAAACCGTTCGGGCTTCTGCAGGAAGCTCACAAACTCCATGATCTCGACCTTGGCCTCATCCATGCCTGCCACATCAGAAAACTTGGTTTTGACGGCCGACTCGTGGCTGAAGCGCTTCGCCTTGCTCTTGCCAAAGCCAAACATGCCACTGCCGCCACCACCCCCAGGTCCACGTTTCGACATCCAGAATAGCAGACCGACGAGGAGCAGGGTGGGTCCGAAACCGATGAGCAAGCTCATGAAAGAACTCTCGCCTTGATAGCTGACGGGTATTCTCTCTGACGGTGGGATGCCCAGTTCCTGCTGGGCTTCGTCTAGGCGCTTTTCAAAGGCCTCAACGGAGCCAATAGAAAAATAGTAGTGGAACCCGGCTTTGGCGGCAACGTTGTCAGGGTACATGGACTGGGTGGCTTCGCGGTTCAAGTCTACTCTCACGCGGCGGCCGATGACAACCAACTTGTCGACTAAGCCCTTGTCTAGGAAGTTGGTGCGCAATTCCTGCCAAGTAATCTCTCGCGAGCCTTCGTCAAATATCGACGTGTAAATCCAGTAAGCTATGGCCGATCCAACGACGGTTGTTATCCAGTCGCTTTCCTTGCCCCCGCCTGGTGGAGGTGGTGGCGGGGGTGTTTTTTGGGACTCTGACTTTTTGGTCTGAGCATCCTCCTTGCTCGTGTCCTCGGATGCTTTCTGCTCATTAGGTCCTTTCTTGCCGTCGTGATCTTGACCTTCCTGAGGAGAGTTCCCGTTGAACCACTTGCTATTGAAATTGGAGGCATCTTCATTAGCGTCTCTGCTGGCCAGCTTGTTGATAGCCTTCAAGGCTTTGCCGGCATCGGATAAGGTAAAAGAACCGGTCTGCTTCTTCGCGATGATTTCTTGCAGTTCCTTGGGCACTCCATTCTTCCTCATTCTTTCTATGGCGCGAAGATCTGTTTCCTTGCCTCCAAGAATGTTGGGAAGGCTTGGCCCCTCCTCGATCATGGTCTTCAGAATGTTGAATTCGCTTTCGCTTAAGTAAACCCATCCTTCGGGCAGAGGCGGCTTGTCCTCCTTCCCAGATTCGGGGGGCTTGGGTGCTTCGCCATCGGTCGGTCCCGGCGAGGAAGAACTCTTTATCTCCGGAGGCGATTTCTTGTCGGCGCCATTTTCGTTACCGAGCTCCTTCTTGTCAGAGTAATATCGACCTCGTTGGCGTTGCGCAGCCCAGACGGAGGGCGGGATAGACGACTGGCGTGATATGCGTAAGCTAGAGCGGGTTGAAGCGCGTATGGACAAAGCGGAGGTGCGTGCAAGGCTCGTCGTCGACCGCCGCAATAAGAAGCTTGACATGTCGGGCAGTGTCGCCGGCGCCTCACTCCGGATCGGGCGGGGCTGGAGGTTGGAGGTCGGAAAAGGCGAGCGTTGTCCGACTTTGTATTATCTCATTGGAGGCAACTCTTCTTGTCTGGCGAGGGTTAGAGATGGTTTGGTGTCGGGTAGGCGACTTGTGCCGGAGTTTTAAAGCTCCAATGTCAATTCAGAGTTCTTTTGCTAGAGTAGATGTGGTGATGAGTCGATCATCCAACTGAACCCAGCTAGTCCATAACAGGGATAGCCTGTAGTTAGGTCGGAGTTCGGGTACTTGACACGTGATCTGCCCACTACCTACTTGCTGAAAGTCGAAATCATCATGATCTGTTTCGTCGCTTACAAATGGACAGCGGCGAAGAAAGAAATAGAGAGAAGATGTAAGCAGGGATATGATACCGCTAGTCAGCATCTGTCCTAGATAACGGCTTAAGCCCACCTTACTTCCGGGCTTCAAGACATTCCGGCGATCTATTTAGAGAGGTCACTGATCCAGCACTGCTGTCCGTGGTGAGCTATTCTCACATGAAACTAAACGGCCAAGTATCGTAATTGTTGCTAGGCACTTAGTTTTTAACATTTCACTTTCATAGTCAATGTCGGCTCGCTGGGAATTAAGCTCAGTCAGTCGAGCGATTCGAGCAACAATTCGGCATGCGGGTCATAAATCTGGTTCATCTCAGGAAGAATGGACAATCGACCGGTATGTGAGAAGTTGACACTTTATCGGAATGGGTGAGTGGAAGTCGGGGCTTCGCCAGAGGTAGAATGCTACGCCGTAAACCCGGAATCATCTTGGTGGTCTCGGTCGTCCTGGCTGCCCTAGGCGTGAAGAAAACCCGCTTGACCTTGTCACGCAATCTTTCTTTGTCTTTGTCTACAGCGGGGTCCGGATGGTTGATGAGGAAATCCTCGAGGTCTTGAAGTTCAACGCCCAATTGCGCCGGTGGATAAAGCACGGGCTCGTTGCAGACAGATCTGGCGCTGCTGTATAAGCCCCGTCTCATCGAGCGGCTGTTTAGGGTCCGCCGGCTTCTGACTGCCTGCTTCTGAGTGGGTGGTTGGTTGTTCCAATTTGACATTGTGATGCCGCAAGGACTGCTGGTATGAAATCATTCCCTTGATCGGAAGATCCACAACATCGGCGCAGATATATGCTTCCCCCCCCCACGATTTTGACGAGTTGCAAAAGGCGATCAACTTGGCGGCGAGAGTCTTGAGGATGACGGTACTGTTCTGCCTTGTAATATTCCTTTGATAGGCTTGAAAATGGCATATCCATGGTGCACTGAAAGACGACGTCGCTTTCAGCAAATATTTGTTATTCCCTATCCAGAACCATCCCGTTCTCAGTCATGGCGACAACGACCTGACCTTCGGAATCATCTAAGGCGGGATCGGAGGCAGAATGAAGCGGAAAGATTCCGCTATACTGCCTTTCTCAAAGAGCAGTTGAAAATGACGAAGGGAATTGTGGACAGTTCAAAGTTATCTACGTCAATCAAGTTGTACGTTGCCCCAATTCTACCTCAAAATCCTGAATTGAATGATATTGATTTCTTTGAAGGCGCTCTGCCCCGTCAACTACTTCTCGAAACTTTGGGTTCGATCCAGGGGATCTTATTCCCGCTCAACGACTCAAAGCCAAGAAGACTCCTAGAGTCTTCAGTCAACACTGGTTCATCCAACCCCCGTGTTCCTTACCGATCGGTTGTCGTAGCTGCACGAGGAATTATGGAATCCACGCCCACGAGGGTGGCTGGAAAGGCAGATGGAACGAAAAAGTGGAGCGAGGTATATGATGATAGCGACTCTGATCGGTGTCATCTTCGCAGTCATACTGGGTATATGTTCTCTGTTCTCTAGCAGTGAGTTCATATCAGGCATGGATTGCGTACCAGGCTTGGCAACATCCAGTTTCACCCCCGAATACTTGAAGGCATCTGGGAATAGACTTGGCATACTGTAATGAGTAGAAAGATCGGAAATGCCCAAGACTTGAAAATGCGTAGAAATGCGTAGAAATGCTGGAAGGGATGTCAAGAAAGTCTTGAAGACCTTGAAGAATGTGACGATGAATATCTACCACGAAGCTACTATGATTAAAGTGGTCAACAGATTGATGCCAAACCCGTTATTTATATTCCCACGTCACTTATCTCAATAAGATCAAGCGCAATACAGCACCAATTGTATACATTAATGAACACCGGGCCCTGCGTGAAGCTAATCTTAGTAGGAAAGACAATTAAGATCCGTATTATTGAAGGCAGCATTATCATCATCAAAATTTATAGAAACCTAGCCCCTCAGACTCCTACGCTGTGTATGAACGCATCATGTTCAACCGAGGTCTCTATCATCCTGTAATCTATGTTAAGGTACTACGGATTCCAACGGCAGAGGCACCAATGGTCAGAACTGGTCTGATATAATTGCATATCTAAGAGCGCAGAGATGCCCATTTAGCCGCTTATCTACGTAGAGCATATACAACCCCATGTCTTAATTAGTCAGGGAAATATCAATGCCAAGTCGCGGATCTAGAAGAAAACCATCTCAGTCAAGGGACGCATAATTTACATGAACAGGAATATCATCTCAAAGCCGCTGTTTGAGTAATACCCTAGTATAATCTTCGGGTAGTAAAGAGATGAGAGGTACCATACCATGTGTAGGTCCTAAATCTCACTCACCGCATCACAACAGCCCAACCCGGGCAAATATTCACAGACCACCACACGAATTGCACACAATCGCTAGAGGTACTTATTGTCAAGTTAAATCTGGAAGACTTTCCCATTCCCCATATATTACATGCATCAGATTGACTGAATACAGTATATAGTTTGAACAGTACTCGTACATTAACTCGACACATCTAGCACCACGACCACAGTAACGCTTTACTATATAAACATGACACCCGCCACCACCAAATCCGTAACAAAGGAAAAGTAACAACAGAGAACCTCCCGCCAATTCGTTGTACCCCCCATTTTTCAATGGTTCTACGGGCGTCCTAAAGGACTGAAGTAAATGATGGATCGACCAAGTTGATAGATTCAAAACTTTGCAAACAACGCCTCTTTTTCGCCAATGGCCGTTTCAAAGAAAATGTGTTATGGGTAAGGTAGATAGAAGATCCCGGACCCCAACTCAATATATTTTGCTCCTCATGAATCATTCTCGTACACCATGATGCTTTCTCCGTCCATCCTCTGTTTCTGTGCCTCTCGTCGACGTTCCCTCCCAATTATGCTGGTTGATGAAGATTTCAGCCCTGTCTTGCCAGCAAATGTGCGCGAAGACGCAAGGAACTTTACCATGCCAAAGAAAAAAAACAATCATTGACCGTTAGGGTTAATATTACCATTCTCGAAGCTCGGGTAGGCACCACCACTAATTTCGGCCCAGTCCCAGTCGAGCGTCATGGGGAGTTGCCACAAGTCTTGAGGCAGCAATGGTTGGTAGCCCGTCACGCTCGGGTTCGCCATTGGAGGTGACCGTAGAGGCTGGCCGAAACCGGTCAAATCGGCAAAGTTGGTAAAGTCTGGGGTGTCATGAGTAACAGGGTAATCTTGTGGCCACCCCCCTTGCCCATCCCGCGGCGCTTGACCATTGGATGAGGAAGCCGTATTCATTGGGCTGTAACCGTTTCCATTCGCTTGGTTTGATCGCATGCTGGGAGAGGATTGCGACTGAGGATTGAAGTGAGGAGTAGGTGTGGTAACCGAAGAGCCCGGGCGAGATGAGTTCGTGTTCTGCGATGGCGCGGGTCTGGGAGGGTCGTGAGTCTTTCTCTTGCGTTTTGACCCGTCTTTCTCTGTCTTCTCAATAATCATCTTGGCTATCCGCTCAAATTCTGCGCAGACGCCAAGCGTTCTGTGGACGCCGCCGGTCTCTACCTCTTCACCTAGTGTAGACAAAAAGGTCACGACGAGGCTCATAAGTTTGGTATCTGACCTCGCCCTGGGATCCGTCGGATTTTGGAGGATGTTGCCAAATAGGGTGACCAGGGCAGATACCGGGAAGTATAGAGCAAGCCTGACCAAGTTAGCATGTAATTATAATATGATGTCTTCATTAAGTGATCCACTTACCAAACCACTTGACAATCCCCTTGTGGGATATACTTCAGCAATGAAATAGTGGCCCTGGCCGCTGAGGCGCATAAGGCCGCCGAGGAGAAAATTCTGGGGTTCAGGGGTTTGGCGTTCAAACCTTGAATAGCGAAGTTCGACAAACGACTCGTCCAGTAACCCCGGTGAACGGACATCCGGTGAATGGTAGTTAAACAGTTATAGTATGAGAAGTGCAACATGACAATATGCAGAATCAGCGGCGTATGCGAAGCTTTAATCTCATGCTCAGGGCGGAAGTCGATGGGAACGCTGTCCTTCCAGTCTTCAAGTTCCTTGTCCAGTTCGCCAATAGTCTGGAGCAGTTCGCCCTCAGAGAGCTTCGTGGCCTTGACCGAATACAGTCGTTTGTACACTCGGCTCTCAATGATAGTCATCTCACACATTGCTCGGAACAAATTCATCTTCCCCTTTCCATCGGCCAAAGGAATGTTGCCAATGTTGTCAGCCGGATCGGCATCCGGCAGCTCGACGTTCATATCATCATCGTCCTGTGCGGGTGGTCGGCCAGAGCGAAGGCAGAGATCTTTGTCCAGCATATAAGCAATCCAGAAGACTCGTTTTCTCTGCTCAATCTCGATGGGGTTCAAGTTGAACCCGCTACCTCGCTTGTGCAGACCGATATTGTGGGACAACCTGATGGCGGCAGAAATGAGCAGGATCGAGGGCTGCGGGTTCGGCGTCCCCTGCATGAAGAGAGCCATGCCGAGTAAAGCTTGCACGCTGAGCAGATCAGTGCTACGCATTGTTAGTTCTGAAAACACTCCCATGGCATTTTTCATATATGCCCAAGCTTTGTCGTCCTCTTCTTGGGGCACGAGTTTGCTCATCACCCGCAGACGATGAGCAGTTGCCAGCGCCACATTCAAACTGGCCCACCATCCCGAGCCTTGGTATGGCTCGTTTGAGTACTGCCTTTCCACGAGATGCATGAAAGTAGGCTGGTGAAACAACGGAAACATGCAGTTGAAGTTCTCAAAATAATCCGTGAGCAAAGACAACGCCTCCGTTTTAGACGGTAGTTGAATGTATATAGGCCGGCTGAAGAGATCAGCGAAGATCTCGGGCTTCCAGCGCGTCCACTTGTGATCATCAATGGAAACCTCGGATATCATATCCTGAAACGAGGTATCTCCCGTTTTCTCGTTAACCCATTGGATGCCTTTGGGTGAAAAGATGGAAAACCCCGAGGATGATCCTGATGCAAGTCAGATTTCGCTTAACAAACACATACCGGAGGATCTGCCGGTAATACGCACCAATGTACCTCGTCTCACCAGATTGGTTGGTGACCAGCGAGCACATCATTTCTGACAGAGCCTCGACTTCGCCTTCCTCGTCCTTTTTGGTCTCTGCCGGTGTCGACACGGAGTTTCTCTTCCTTTCCTCATCCCTTGCTGGTTCGGGTGATGCGAATGTGCTGCGTGGAGTTGATGCAGCGCCGTTTTGCCCGGATGTTGCTTGCGACGGCGAAGTGGGATTTGATACAGCCTGCGAAGCTTGTCTAGATTGCTGAGCCTTCTCCGCCAGACGCCTCTCCAATGTGCCGAGGTCAGTTGCGCCATCATCTTCTCCCAGTAGACCTTTGTGCGGTGTTTGTCAGCAAAATAGACCAACCTCGCAAGGCGACTGGGACCAGCAGAGGGGGAGCGAGCATGCGCCACGCCATACATAGAATACATACCAGACAGTCTCAGCAGACTTTCCATGCGCCCAAGCCGATTCTCGAGACCTTCAATGTATTTTGCGCTGTACACGGAAACCGGTTAATGCGCCTATTCCAATAGCTCGTTTTGGAAATTGATTCTCATGTCATACCCTTTGGGTGGATTCCTTTTCTTCTCAACCTGGGTGAAGACACAGTCCGTTTTGTAGTTGATGCAGTGGGTGCACGCCGGCAGCTTTCCGTCGCACTTGATTTTTTTCTTTCTACACATATCGCAAGCCTTTTACATGTCTTGTCAGCCTCTTTGGTTATGCCTTCCCCATCTATTGAAGATGCGTGTTGATTGCAGCACTCACCCTTGCTATTCTCCTCCTCTTGGCCTCGCTGTCGTCGCCGAGGAGTGCACTCGGGTCAAAACCCATCTGCAGGTCTGGTGGTAGGACAGACATGCCATCGTGCATGTAGGCGCCGAATATCTGCGGCGGCGGATTCGTTAATTGCGGAGGAGGCATCCCGGGGAGCTGGAAGCCCCCGGGATCAACTCGAAGGTGGTCCATCGTCGCTGACTCGTTCGCTGCGCTGGTGGTGGTGGTGGTTGTCGTCGTTGTCGTTTTTGCCGTCGTCAACGGGTGGTGATTGTGGTTTCCGGTTCAGCTCAAGGGGGGACGGGAGACGTTGGTGGCGGGGTGATGCAATGGCAATAGCGCCCGAGTCAATGAAATGCAGTAGTGTAAATTTGAAATCATTCACTATGAGAGAAAATTTGGGCTGTCCTTAATTATTATTGCAACACTTAAAACAAGCAGCAACATGCGATTCGCTCGGTAACGGGGGAGGGGAGGGGGGCTGAGCAAGCCTGCCTTAACGCCGGACTTGGAGACGTGGGCAGATGTGGGAAGCGTGGGACCCTGTTCAACGATGTAGACTGTATTCTTCCCAGGTGCGGCTGGTTGGCGCAGAGGTGTTGTATCACATAGCTTGGGGAGGCTATGGGTATGGCCAGCATGAGGAGCAAGAGTCATGCAACACGAAGTCCTTCAACACTTGCAACTTTGAAAATTGAAGAAGACAAGGTCAAAGGGCACCGCCGCTTCCCGTTTACCATTGTTGGTAAGCACCGATGCTCCGCTCGCCGCTCGGGACGTTCAACAACTGCTTGCCCCGAAAGGTCTGTGTGCTTATTTGAGAAATGTCTTCGAGTATTTAGATAACATGCACTCAGTGGCCATTGAGAGTAGGAAGGGGACAAACGAATACCTAGAGTTGCACTCTTCCTATTGCATAGGGCAAGCTGGTTAAGGTATGCCAGTAATGATGCCGTTTTTTCAGGCCTGAAATAAGGAATTCATCCTGTTACTCTGGTTTCAGGCTGTGAGCCGTGTACGAAGTATTTTGTTCTGATCGTGGCATTGCTTGGTTTTCCTTGGGTTTCCCCGAGTTCTCAGTCTCATCACTTCTTCGGGTACAGTTAGGATGCGACCTTTGCGCCGCGAGCTCAACCCCTGGGTGGAGACGTCCACGAGAGCCTCCGGACGGGGATAGACAAGGGTCTCGAGACTAATATCTGGACCACTCGTTCCCCTCACATCACATCATATCACATCCAACAACTGTGCTCGTCCCCAAGGTCGAGCCGTCATCATGTTCTAGGATACTGGTGACTAGAGTAATAATTCTGTGGATGACGCCAGTAGGGAGGGGTCACACCCAAGGTGACCAAGTGACGAAATCGACCGTCACACCATGGCGGCAGACGGCGTAACTTATAAAATCCTACTTCCTTGCCTGCATATTAGGCTTCTTCTATCGAAGTCTTAGTGCTCTGCATGAATATCTCCGAACAGGCCCCGTACGACATAGTCGCGGCCGCACGGAGCTAGGAACAACTCCGAATTATCATACTATCCGGCGGGCGAGTCTTTAAATTAGTGCGTCGTGGTACTAGCGTAGCATCTTACAGGTATTGACAACGCCTACAATCAAGGGACCAGCGGCGGGGCCAGCGGCGGAACTACCTTTTCATTCATCAAATGATTTAAAAGGCCAAGTCAAACCACCCGGACCCCATACTGCCCTGAGATTAATTGTAGCCACTGGCTTCTAGTGTATGACGATGTTTCCATATCGCCATTGAAAGTTTAGTTGTCTGCATGCCGTCTCATCAAGGTTTATGTGGTCCAACTGCTATTCTGCCAGATCGCCACCGATTCATTTGGGTAGGACGGGATATTTTTGAAGATAAAACTGATCCTGAAAAAGGGAAAATTAAGGTCATCTTCACGTCAAGTATTCCTTACTAGCGAGTCACGACCGGCCGGGCGTGTGATACGATGACAAGTCGTGCCTTGTTATGTTCATACAACACCAACTGACGACGATAAACGTCCGATGAGCGAGAACCATGAATGTTCGGACGAAAGAGAGGATACTGATCGTCAACTATGACCGTCAACTAAGACCGCCAACGTTTATCTTGCTTCAGGTTCCTTGCGGGTTGCCAGAATATTTGTCATAACGCGGGCCAAAGCGACGGCCCCATGATGTTTCACGTCCGTCTCGAACCCACATCTCATTGCTTATCGACTGCATAGAGGAATGATCCAACCAATAGACTTGCACAAATTGCTGGAGCTTCACCTGGGGTTCCAATCGGAGTGAACGGTAACGTACAACTCCACCTTTCTGGCCACCCACCTTTCTGGCCACATATTGCAATCCAATTGAAGGTATTCGAAACAGTGTATTCAACGTACTATTATAGCTATTCAGGTACAACCAGCTCTAATAGAAAGCTGTGCTCTAGGGCTTCCTGAGGTATAGATCTGATAGATTCTGACGCCTTAGCTAGGTCCAGTATTACCTGATTCCGACGTTGTACCTGGTCTCGTTACCGTTCTACTTCAAGGGCTCGATCCATCGCTTCCTTAATCTGTACAATGTTACCAAATCGTTCATTAGGCCCTAATCGTACCTTCTTACGTGGTTTGGGGCGTAACGAAGTTATCTCGGCTTCTAATGCGTATACACGTTGGGTCAAAGTAGCGACCTCGACGCTCTGTACATCTAGCCGACGAGTCAGCTTCCGAAACAATAGCCGTTGCGACGATCGCAATGGCGTAATCGCTGCCAGACTCTCCCTAGCTACTAAGATAGTCACTGGCGTCGCTATTATTGTCGGATCAAGCCAATTACCAGCTGTTGGTGGTGTAGTTGGTCGTTCTGATAGGGGGGCTATCGTCGGCTGAGGTCGCGATGGATCCAATGGGTATATTCCAGTTGCAGAGAAGCCTGATTATATATTACTGATCGTGAACGACTTCGTATACGCCTCGATGTATAGCGAGAGTAACGTCGACTTTTTAAATGGAATAGAACAGTACTCGATCGAGAGAGAGGTCGCTAACGAGCGATAGTACCGCTTTAATGGAGCAAATACGGCGACGTCGACAGGTTGGAGCCCGTGAGAACAGTGTGCTAGCAAAAATAGTAACGAGATCTTGTTACAATAGGCTAACCACATAAACTCGACGTTGTCGTGAGCGATATGACCATCTAATATCAAGAGCCGCTGCTCGTCGGGATCAACTGGTTGTGTGCGAGGTATAAAGATATCACGAAGCCATCGAACGGCGATATCTGTACTGATCCAACCGTTAGACGAATAAGTATATTGCCAATCAGGTATATCGTCGCAATCGTTAAACCATTGGGCTTGGAGGCTCTTGCCAGTATATATTACTGCTGGGGTCAACGAGTTACCCATCGCCTATATAGCATGTAATATAGTGACCCATTCGCGGCTTTCGTCACTCCGAACGAATGTTGTATGTTTCTCTGACGATCCGTACACTATACCCTCGATCCCTTCGCCAATTGTGATACCTGTTTCGTCCATATTCCAGACGTTATGTGGAAAGTAGTCGTGAGCTGACATCAAGGCTTCGTACGTCTCGAAGAAATCGTCAATATTCTGCGTCGATAGGCCATCAAATCGCTGACGGTCGAGGCGTCGAGATTGGATACTTCCGACCTCTGGATGGCGTTGAATAAAGCGATGAACCCAATGGCGACCGAGGCCCTCTGATCGACGATCCTGAGGTAACAGAATCAACGCCATATTAACGATGAATAGCGCCGACGGGCTACGACTCTCGCGATCCATTTCGAGGATCCATCCAATCAGCGCGTCTTCCTGATCCCTAGATAGCTTCATCGACGCGATTGATGCGTCAGAATGGCTGAGGCCATCGCCGAGTCGTAATTGGAGGGTAGAGCGTGGAACGCCCCATCGGAGGGAAGCCTGGCGCTGGGATATCCCTTGATTGATATCGTTGAGAGCGCCTTGAATCGAATTTTCTGAATATCAAGGCATTGTATAATAATAGCCAATACCGACGATAATCTGTTGTGCCGAAGGGTGTTGTAGTTGGCAGATTAGGTGGCCGGAAAGGTGGGGTTGTACGTTATTTGGTATCTTTAAATCACTGGGTACTGGTCACATACTACTGAGAGGCTTTCCCGCCCACAGGCATTCAATAATGCATCCAACAAGTCGGTCCTTCCAAGACTGCGGGATATGTACTTCGCAAGCCAGTGGTTCACAGATGGCGAACCCGAAATAAAGGCGGATGATCCGACAGTTAATTATGCTTTCATTAGAAGCAATTCGGGCAATCAAGAGCCCCTCGCCCCGTTGATTCTCGAAGTCCGACTGTTACCATCAGGCGCCGAGGGTGCGAATCCTATGTACAAGAATCTTTCACCTATTTCAGATGACAATGAGGCCGAGCCAGCCTCGTCTCAGCCTTCTCTTCTTCCCCTTTTCTCATGACGCTTCCCTCCTTATTCAAACATTAAACGCCAATCCGATGCTGGGGCATATTGACATCTCATACAAGGTGCCAAGCGGTATCATGAAAATGTAAAAATAGAAAAACAGATATATAAATGAGATCCAAGTCGCTCATCATATCTCTTCAGTAAATCTCGAACCAGAGCCGTGAGATCGACTGGATCCGTCCATAGAAGGGCGGGAGCGGCCAAGAGGGTCCCGCTGAGGAGGCGATAACGTTGGGCTGAAACGTGCCTGCTCTGTGACGGGCGTCTTGGCCGGTCCCGGGTGAAAGATGGGAACGCCGCTTTCCGGTCGCATCGGAGAGCCCACAGCTAGTCTTGGCATTTCGGGACCGCCAAAGAAGCCTTGGGAATCCCTATAAAATGACTGCTCACTCGAAATGCTGTCGTGTGGGGGTGGCGACGGTTCCGAGTAGCCATCACCACCGTGTTGCAGAACGGACGGGAGTTTCCTTCCAGCAACCTTCTGGAAGCCCTTCTCATTCCCTTCGATTGAAGATGCCGTGGTTCGGCCCGAGAATCGTTTGTAGCCGGCCGTTAAAGTGGCCAGAGCTGCGGGAACAGCAAATGGGACTGACCGTCGTTCGACCATGGTACCGCTCATACCACGAGACCTTGCCGTAGATGGCCTTCCCGCTGCCGCTGCTGCTGCCGCTGCCGCCCCCCCTGTACCACTGAGGAAGCCACCACGCGCGCTATTCTCGCCACTGCTGAGTCTCAACGCGTTCTGACGCTTCTTCCACCTCAAAGCCATGAGAGCAAGGACAAGAATAAAGGCGACACCAGCCACCGCACCCAAAACGCTTCCGGCAATGGTGGCCGTCGAGGTATCACTAGATGAAGACCCTGAGCCGCTGCCGGCAGTGGAAGTGCTGGAGGGGGAGACCGTTCCCGTCGCGCCGTCAGTTGCACCACCTGCAAACCCGCCATCGTTACCTCCTGTAGAAGTTGCTGTCCCAGAGAAAAATGTAGTCGGCAATGACGATGATGCTGTGATAGTTGAAGATAAAGACCCAGACGGCTCAAGGGTTGTTGTAAATGTGGAGTTGAATATAACTGTACCAGACGAATTAGGAAGTACAGATGTTGTCAGGTTCGCAGTTGAAGATGTCGTAGATGAAATAACTGTGCCGTTGCTAAGGAGTGACGAAGGTGTAACTGTAACCATTTAGCTTGATATTGCGGCATCAAAAGGCCTGATACTAACGAACCTTGTGTTGAATTGCTGATACCACTACCCACTGAAGGGAAAACGGATGGATCAGGTGAAGAAGGCGCAGGAGTAACTATAGCAGAAGTGGCCACACTGGGAGTTGAAGACGACATAGAGAGCGGTACAGACTCTACTGGCGATGATGCTGTCGTTGGGAGTAGTGCGGAATACAGGCTGGTGACATCGTCGCTGGTTCCTGCAGTAGTGCCCAGCTCGTTCAAAATTGAGACATCGACTACTGCGGTATCAGCGAGGGCCGTGGTTGTTGGTTGCGAAAGTGTGTGGACATCGACAGTGGCACCGGAAGAATCGATAACCTGTACGATGGAAATGGTCTGAATCACCTGGACCACGGAAGAATCATACTCGTCATGCCGCCTGTTGTGGAATTTGTTGTGAGAACGAATGTGATTGTGGTGATTGTGGTGATTGTGGTGGTGACTGTCTTCACTGCTGCGACCGTGTGAATAATTGGGAGAGTGGACGTCCTGGGTCTGAAGGAGTGAAGACCCCAAGACTGATTGGGTCATCGCGCGTGGCGGTGAAAGATGGATACGAGAGTGCTGTAATGAGTGTACTGGATCGCTGCCAACGCGGCGTGGAAACTAAAACTCCCTGGAGGAGTGAATGAATAAATGAATGAATGACGCTAGGTGGTTTTTGTCGATCGTTCGGATAATTCCATTATCATTAAAAGGGTACTAGACTCCTCTCTCTCGCTCGCGTGTTGTGCTGCGCTGGGCTTGTTCTGTTGTATCGTCGTTGTCGGGTCGGTCTTGTCTTTCTCTCACTCTCTCTCTCATCGGGCCTTCATTGTAGGGGCGCGGAGAACCGGGAAATCCACCTCACAAATCATCCACGGTCGTCGAGAAGAGAGAATGGGGAAATCAAAAGCTCTTGCGAGCTGCAGAGCGCGCGACCGGGTTGATAATATGTGGACGAGCGATCCCGAATTTAATTAAAATGAGCACCCTCTGACTGTGGAACAGCCCGCCATCCACCACAACGAGGGTTGCCAACTTACGCAGCGCAACGAGGAAACAATCTCGCTTCCTCTCACGCTTTGGCCAATGATGCTTAACCTCACAGGGGCTCCCAGTCCAATCCTTGGACCCAACCAACCCTGACCAACCGCCCTTGGCCGCCAACCAAGGGTGCATCTGAGCAAACGACCTTGTTTGGCCCGGTTTGGCGTTACAGCGCCGGATATTTGAGATGGCAGCAAGGGCACGGTCACTCTGCCATCCTATTCCTTTTCAATGGCGATCCTTGGGGGAAAAAAAAGGAAAAAAACAAGTCATGCCATTCATTCCTGCAAGACCTACTTATACTAGCATCGTCGTTGATGGAAGCGGAAGAAAAGCCAAGATTCAGACGATAAGGTCATAACAACTTGGTGGAGGAGATGTAATAGGTACTCGTACGGACAGGATAGTCGCATGGTGGCTGTGGGCTGACGGTTCGCTCCTCCGTGGTCTGGTTCAGCCTGGGTCAAGTGGCATCGCGGCTGTTTGCTGGCTGTTGCGATTTGGAAGTTCGTATTCTTCATCTACGGCCTGCGTCTCAAGTTTGACTACTGCAGCAGACACGGACTTGTAGAAGGAAAAATTGGAAAATTCGTTTGCTGCCAACATGCGATGTCCAAGATGGAATGCCATCAACCCATGCTCAACCCATGCCTGCATTGCTTACGTTTCCCACTTTGGCTGGCATCTGGCACCGCAACATGGTCATCTCGGCATGGGTGCTCGTGAAGACGACAACTTATAAGGCCAAGCTCGGCGCAAGTGGGCCACGATCGCTGCTCCTCATTTACGGCTGGCATGTCTCCCGTTGGATATCGCCCGAATTGGCATTGCGAATATCACCGAATCTTTTCAGATGTGCGTCATGATCAGCGACGAAATGAGATGCATTTGATGAACTCAGATCAGCTCTGAGTGGCCATTGCCTCAAGATGTGACCTCACCCCTCATTCCAAGAGTTGACCTTTTAGAATTGTAGTTGTTGCCAAAAACATCGGCAATAATCGACCTTATTTGGGGTCGCGAGGCGCTTAGTCGCTGGCCGACCAATTTACTCCCCATGTTAATCTATTTACGATCCTACTACCGGATGTCTTCCGACGCTCGTCTACGGCCCGCGCTAACAATTAATGTGCAGAATATCCTATAAATACTCTCATTACCCTCTGTTAGTCGCCAGCTTGGGGTTCTTTGGAATTTACAGCATATTATCGCTGCGGTGCCGCTTAGCCTTGAGAAGACTACTCGCAGCCCCGTTGTAACTAGTCTGGATTGACCTGAGCTCTGCACTTATTAAATCGGTCGAGGTTCAATTCATGCATGAAATGGTACCCAGTTTCAAGTAGCATGGGTACCGCAGAAATTAGTTGGTAATAAGAGTGGCTACAACTTGCAACACAGAGAGAGTTGGCACAGTGGAAAAGTTTTTGACACGAGCCTTCATCGTTTGACAAGTTTCATTTTATTGTATTAGTCAAATACCAAGCTTCGACAAGATATCAATCCTCCAACCCCAACGCATCTCAAGGTATGTTGTAGGGTTTGCTCACACGCCAGTTATAATGTAAGGCGGCTGTGGTTTTGCTTCCAGCCTATGAGGCTATCGGTAATGATGCTATGGTTCCCATTAGGCAAGTTCCCATTAGGCAAGTTCCCATTAGGCAAGTTCCCACCATTCCAGCTTGACTGGTACTTCGGAAAGAGTCCTAATCAGCACTGGAGACTTCAAGTCAAACAAGACAAGTCCCGAGTGAAAACCAGCGATGTATCTTGCAGGGTATCTCCATAGTCAAGCCGCCGAATGTAGCAGGCTCGAGTACACGCAAGGTCTCTCAGGTTCCTAGAATCTCGAAAACGAGTAACGCCAAACTCCTCCCAATGCTTTTGACAACTCACGCGGTCTCCCTTAGGCGAACGAGACGCGCTTCTTCTTCGCTTTCAATGCATTGGACCCCGTTGCGACCTCGTCCTTAACACCGTCAACCTCTACTCCGGGCAATCGACTGCGGCTGCGCTTTTTCCGTAGGGAGTCCTTCGTGTCGTCGAACTTTGCCTTCCTCTCCTGGTCCTTTGCTTCAGCCTCGACCCGCCTCGCTTCTCGAATCTCCTCCATCTGGCGTGCTTTAATCATCTTGGACTCAATTTCACCCTCCTTGTCGGCTTGTACGATGGCAAGAATTGTGTTCATACTCTCCTACGGATAGGTTCAGCGTCAGTTCCAACATCAAGGAAGATGCGCGCAGATTTGGAGCAATGCTTACTCGGTCGTCCACAAACACCTTGCCCTTCTTCTTCCCCTTTGGTTTCTCTACACCAACGGGTGTGACCATATTCAGTTGCGGAATGCCCAATTCTTTCTCTGAGTAGACCTTCTTCTTTTTCTTCTTCAGCACGCCAGCTGGCCGGGTCCCCTTCGCCGTTGGCGGAGGGCCCTTTCGCTTCTTTTGGACGATTCCATCCTGAGGTCCCGCTTTTGACAGCTTGCTACCTTTGATACCAGACTTGTTTGCCGCATGCTTGTTCTTCACCGTGCTAGTCCTTGAGGGCGCCATTTTGTTTTGTCGTAGTTCGAATGATTGGCGTCGAGATTAGAAAATGAACCAATTGCTCTGTTATGAAATTTTTGGGTTCTCTTTTCTTATCGATACGGGACCTTGAGCAGCAGTTGCAGACACAGGTGGGGTTATCCCCTGCAGCTTTTCATTAGCGCCCCCTCCTCCAAAGCCTCCAATCGGCGGTAACTTGATATTTCTTTCTAAACATCACAATCTTCAAATTCGAAGCTGAATAATTTACCGAGTCCCCAAATTTTCAAACAGCAGCGAGCTCGATTGCCCCAATTGTCACTTTCACAATCGATCATGGGTTCCGACACAGTTAGCCCGCGCTGGGCAGCCTTCGCCCGCGACACCAATGAAACTAAGATCCAACTGGCCATAAACCTCGACGGCGGCAAGTTCCCCCCGGAGACAGATCCTCGCTTGATTTCCCATGTTGAAGCACACGCAAGCCAGGCGAGCAAATCGCAATCCATAAGCGTCAATACGGGGATCGGATTCCTTGACCATATGCTGCACGCACTTGCAAAACACGCAGGCTGGAGTCTGGCATTAGCATGCAAAGGCGACCTTCACAGTATACCCCCACCACACCTCAGCAAGCAAGCAACAACGTCACGGCTAACGAACACTCGCAGTCGATGACCATCACACCGCCGAGGATTGCTGTATAGCCCTCGGCTATGCCTTCGCGCAAGCCCTGGGCTCTGCAACGGGTCTCGCCCGCTTCGGATCCGCATACGCCCCGCTCGACGAGGCCCTTAGCCGCGCCGTGGTCGACCTCTCGAACAGGCCTTATAGCGTGATTGAGCTTGGGCTTAAGCGAGAAAAGGTTGGCGATCTTAGCTGTGAGATGATCCCTCACTGCATGCAATCGTTTGCGCAGGCGTCGCGCGTCACAATGCATGTCGACTGCATTCGTGGGTTTAATGACCATCATCGTGCCGAGAGCGCGTTCAAGGCGCTCGCTATAGCCATTCGCTTAGCTACGAGCAGAGTAGAAGGTAAAGAGGGTGAAGTCCCCAGTACGAAGGGCACGTTGAGTGTATAGATCAGGAGGCTTCGTTAAAGTGGCTAGTCTAAAATGGCCAGTTGCGTGAGGTCGAGATACGCATCAAGTCTGCGTATGAGCCCTGCGTCGGAACCTGACATGACATCGCATGAAGAGCTCGAACCCAGGAAATCGTAAGGGCTAGGTTCTCTCGTTTTGTACATGGCAGCAACCTGGCAGTAACATGAACGGAAATCGGTCATCTTTTTGACAGGCAGCCAGGAAGACTCAAACTACTGAACAATCGTCTCGACATCGTTGCACGGGTTCTACAGAACCAAAATAAGAGCTCAGATATTGCACGATGTGCTCCGGATCAAACCTAGGGTTGTTCCCTTTAGCGACATGCTTAGACTAAATTTATAAAGTTGAGTAGGGTCATATATCCTGTCGATTGATACATAGGCTTGAGATTTGGGGAAAGCAGATATTCCTGTAGTGAAGAGCAACGTACCCGGTTATTACTGAAGCTTCAACTAAGTGAACTTGGCAGGAAGTCCAAAATTCTCACTGCAGGTACAAGGTTCAACAATTTGGACAACTCTAAAGCAGTGGCGAGTGTTGATTGAGTTCTAATAGTACCCGGTTGTAGCGTCTAGGAAACGTATATCAATCTTCGCGCATCACATGTTATCCCCTGAGTAGTAAGAATGATACACGCGAAACAAATATCCCGACACTATCTTGTGTGACGCTAACTCCATTCCATCCAAGAACGTGGTTATTCTATACAAATCTGGAAATAACGGTTGAACATGACCAAAATATGCAAGACGTGCCTTAGTAGGGTGGTTATTACCACATTGACAACCTCACAAAACCTAAACCGCATGCAGAAATACAAACATTGGCCCAATCTCTCTAACACGGCTGCAGACTAGTCAAGTGAGCCCATTAACCACCACGAACACACCGCAGATGATCGTTCTTACGTAACACCAACGGGCACGGCTTGCAGTTTATCCATACGTTACATTCGCTATGCGAGTGACACGAGTCTCTAGTTGCTATATCGACGGTGACTAAAATCAGCGCCGGTATGTGATGTAGTCAGGAATGCACCTGTTGTAGTTATTATGTAGGTTGATTACAATTATTTATAAACACGTTGCCATATAATATTTGTGTGTGTTGTTTGATGCGTGATTCTCGATTTGTGTAAAATCCATTTACATCTTGCGCCATGCGAGTGGTATCTTCCTTCTTTTTGCCCCCTAATTAAGTCCTTGATCATATGTCGTACAGCGGCGGCTGAGTGGAGTAGACCTAGTAGCGTCCGCCGGCAGCTGTGTATGTGTTGCCAGTGAGAGCAGTCTCGGGATATGCCGTTGAGCCATTATGCTGGAAACCAGTATCTCCGTACTTGTTGTACGTGGTGGGCTCAGGACCCACAGCCGTCGTCTCGGTGCCGTAGCTGGGGCGGACTTGGTCGGGGGTGGTGTGCAACGGCAGGGCGTTAGGGTTCTCGGTGGCTGTTGTACCACGACGCTTAAATAGGCCTAGAAACTTGCCTTTGCGGCCGCCATAGCCAGACGTGTAGTTGTTGGCAGGACTGGGGCCGAATCTTGCTTCCTTGCGGCGGTGGCGGACTAGTACGATTTCTACGAGGATGGAGAAGAAGAAGAAAAAACTGGTACCACATTAGTCCCGAAATAAGAATTCGGCGCGAGGACAGCTCACATTGCGATGAGAGAAACGGCAAAGCAGGCGGTCTCTAGCTGGCAAGCTTGTCTATAGCTCGGCAGCTGTGTGAAGCCATCTGATCCCGTGGGCGCTTCATTCGCATCACCGGTTCCAAAAGGAGTAGTGACAGTGCCCTTGCAAGAGCCAGCACCTCCCTTGTTGGCAATGGCGACGTAGATGAAAGCACCGGCGAAGGCGATGTCGAGGACTATGGCCACAAACGAAGTAAATGGATGGCCGGCCAAACAGCACAGCAGGAGGAGACCGGTAAGGGTGTATACGACCGCCACGCCAGAGATACCTTCAACTGCACGGATCCACGTTGGGATGCTGAGTTCATGGTTGTGCAGCGTGGCCAGAAAGTAGCTGAAGAGGGCGAGGACCACAGCCGCGCAGCAGAACTGTACGCCACGGATAAACCATTGGAGGAGCTTCAGAGCGATGCCGGACTTGGAACCCATTCTGGCCATTCAATTGTTATGGGTCGAAAGCGTATGATTTGATGGGTTCGATGAAGAGACGAGGTTCTTGGATGAGCAAGAACGATGAGATGTTGATGATGTTGATGTTGTTGATGCGTAGCAGCGTTTTTGGGGGAACCGAAAAGAGTGCTGATCGAATGATCGGGAGATCCAGGTCTGAGCTTTAGCAAAGCATACATCGATGATTTGACGTCGACTTCCGGATTTAGCTCGCTTTCTGGGTCTGGCCCTGGGAAAGTCGCATACCAATTCGTGCCTATGACGAATGTCGGTTGCCCGGCACAAGTAGATCGCCCCTCCACAGCCCCAGTTGCCCCTCTAGGGGTCCTTGCTTCGACCTCTGATGACCTCAGTGCCAGGGATTAAGGCTACTATAGTGGGCCTCTTCATGTGGCAGCCACAGTTGTGCAGCTGAATACACTACCTCTCTCGGCCATGCAAATTGTTAGCGTATTACACTACAATCCCTGTAATACCTAGTCTTCCACTCAATGCTGGGAAGGAGAATGACACCTTTGAGTGCAACGGTGCTTGAGCACTCAGATTTGTCACACAATTTGGAGTCTCTTAATATGGGGTATCTTATCCGCTAACCATCTGCATGCCTGGACGGGTGTAGCGGTGTTACCGCGTCAGAGCTCAATTATTGATCGATCGAACAAGCAGGCCAAGCTGTCGATCGCATCGTTCGTGGGAATGGCACCGTTTGACTTCAACCTCGGATTAGCCGGGATGAAATTGTGCGGTCTAGCTCCGTACCTGGCGGGAGTTCATGATCCAAGATCTACGCAAGGCATTCCTGTACATGAAATCCTCTTCCTAATGCTAGCTCAGACAGCTTTCATCCCCCTGTCTGGTAGTGTCTAACAAAATAACTCAGCTGTATGCGGTCGTCTGAAGCTGATTGATCTGTTAATCTGTTAATATGTAGTACAGACTGCTGCCCTCTGATATATCAGCTCTTCAAGACGCTCAGACAAGACAACCACCACCTTTAGTGGCTCAGCGGTACACCCCTCCTTGAACCCCTAATTCAAGACAGTGGCTAACAGTCCAGTCTTCCGTGCATCGATCCATCATCTCATTGATCATATCTCATAACTCATGTCGAATTCACTGAATTCACTCATGCCGCCTCCGGTCATCATGGAAAGGGTGGTCGCATCACAACTCATTGTCAGGTCACACTCATTCCACTCCGCACCGCGCATCCCAAGACGATAAATTTCTAACTGAACCGATGACAGTATGTCGCCAAGATCAGAACTCGTCGTAAAGCTGGGGTCTTTGATGAGAAAAGGTGTCGTTTCGGCTACGTAATCCGGAAAACCCCATAGAAAGGTTACTCTTCCGATTTGGTCGGAAGGGCCAGTGGAGTTGGTTGTGAATGCCCGGGCTGTGAGCTTTGAGGGTGGCGATGAATTACCTTAGCATGCCCCAGAGATGAAGAAAAAAACAGGTAGATGACTTGAAGATGGTCGTTCATTCTTAGCGAGAATGCGTTTCGGCGACTCATTTCTTTGACTTCCCCTTCGCCTTGGCCGCTTTCTCCTTGTCGACAAAGTCCTTGATAATACCATGTAAATCTTGGTTTCGTCTTGCGAGGAGCAAGACATCATCGGTGGTTATTGTCGACCGTCCAGCGTGGCGACTGAAGCTCTCGAGGTCCATTGCGACGCTCTCTAGAGGTGGTTAGTGCTTGAGTACAACTCAAGTCCTCATCATGGCACAATATCCATACCTATATGTGTCCACACCATTTCCATCAATGCGCCAATGAACTGGGGAGTAACATTTCTGTTTCTTCTCAGAGACTCTTCGTCAACCATCTTGCCGACTGCGAACCAAAGTGCAGCCCTGAGACGCTGTGATGAATTTTAGGACTTTGTTGCTGGTTTGTTCATTTTTGCTTGACTGACCTCGCGCACATCCTCATCAGGTTCGTCTGCCATGGCTGATGGCGAACCATATGTTGCGTAAGAAGGCACTTGAGGTTGAGTTGGCAACTTACAAGCGCGCATCAATCCGAGCGCGTCTGGTCGTGTTGACTGAAAGTGGGGCACTCGGCAGTAGTCTAGGACCCCTGTGCGTCTTTTTGCGCGAGCCTATCTTGGCTAGGACAACGTTCACGATTAACGCGCAGCAGGAGCTATCGAAAAGTTCTGAATTCTCTCTTGTCACTGCGCAAAAGTTCGACTTCTGAGCAATCTGAGTGACATTCGCTTTCTTCGGCCTAACAAACAGCGCATTGCTAAACACGAGAACAGTACTTCATACTTCAACAACCCTTGGTCCTCCGCACCTGTCCGACGACACCTTTTTACTCGTCCGTCCTGTAGCAATAGCGCGTTTGAACATAACTTCGTCGCAATGGCTGAATTAATGGACTTGTTGTCCCATCTGGGGGACTCGCTTCAGCAACTTTTCGGCCTTTTGACTATGGCTGGCTCGCGATTTACCAATAATCTCGGCGAGTCTTTCTCATCGGTGTCGCTAAAACAGTGGATTCGTCTTGTGACTGTGGTCGGCGCCTGTGAGCAACCCCGAGTCGTTATGCTGGTCGCGGCCTGCCTCGAGAGCAAAATCCCGGCTGAGAGAGCTTAGGCTATGTCGTACGCTTTGGATTCTAACTTGGACGCCTGCAGATTTGCTCATCCGCCCTTACGTTCTGAAGCATGCCACAACGCGGCAACAGGCGCAACTCGAGAAGGAACACGAAGCAGACGAGGCAGCGCGAGCCGAGATTCAACCAAATCATCTGCGTGGCCAGATCGACATACCCGAAGATAGCGACGACGAAGAGGTTGCAGAAGGGGCAGCGACGGCCACGAATTGGGGTGGAAAGGCGCGGAAACGGCAACGTCAGTTCGTGAAGAAGCTGCTTGACGCCGAGGAACAGAGATTGGCAGATCTTCAAGAAGACGAGGAGGACAAGGACATTGAGCAGTACTTGGTTGGTTGAGGGTAACACTGGGTCAATTAAAGAGACTGGATACCCTTTGATACGGCTCTTTGCGATAAAAAAAAACAGGTGTAACTCACAGAATCACCATATGTACGAAATACTCAAGATATGCACTGACTCGAGTACATGTCACAACTTGTCTGGATTGATACCTTTGTTACCGGGACTTCGAAGCAAGGTATTCAAGAACGCAGTCTAGAACTTCAGCAAACGAGCAAATAACAGCTTGACATCCCTTGCATACGGTATGCATGATGCGCTGGTCTGCCCATTTGTCTATTGGAAGATGGGCAATCTTCTCCCAACACACCCGAAATAAAACCTGAGCCCAAGCCGAGGACAAAATGAGCGGCGTTTCCCGCGGATGTAGCACAGGTCACGGTGAATTCCACTGTGATGAAGGGATAGAAACACCTTGATCAGATCATTTAGCCTGGTATGTCGGTCATTGCACAGCTTCTTCATACGAAGCAACCATATTGAAAACCATGTTGGAATTGCCATGCATCAACACTTGCCCCGTTGCCGTGACGCCCGAACATGGGACCACGAAAAATGACTCTGATCCCAGTAAATCCCAGCTGCCAGGGATGGATGGACATGGACACCGACCCTCGTTCGGATAAGGCCCCTTTTCCATGTGAAGACGACAGATGTGTATTTCAAAGCCACACAAAACCTTCATCCTGATTGGGAAACAAGTCATCGTACGTGTTTGCTGTGCATCCAACTTACCGTCTACCCTGTAGCGGACCGTTCCGATGCCCGCTAGCCCCGGACTTCCAGCCCCCAAGCGCCCGCACGACTTCCTGCCATTGGACACTGACTCACTCCTCCTCGGCTCAGATGATGACAACTTGGTGTCCGCCCGAGGCTCGGAGGACGGCGGCGCCGACCACCATCACCAGCTCAACGAAGGGCGCAGCAGAGGCCCCGGCTCTGGCCCTAGCCTCACCCGGCTGAACGGCCTAGCCCTCGTCATTAGCCTCCAGATCGGAAGCGGCATCTTCTCAGTCCCCACGCAGATAAGCCAGCACGTCATGACTCCAGGCTTCGGCCTGTTGGTCTGGATCATAGGCGGACTGCTCGTCTGGACAGGAGCAAGTTCCTTCATCGAGCTGGGACTGCGTATTCCCTCTAACGGCGGCATCCAGGAGTACCTGCGTATCTGCTACGGAAACTTCATGGGGTTCTTATTCACGTGGACTTGGGTGGCTATCGCGAAGCCTGCTGCTAACGCGGTGATTTCTACAATTTTTGCCCAGTACCTAATGCAGGCTGTCTGGCCTTCTGAGCCTGCGGCGCCGTGGCTGTTGAAGTGCGTTGCGGTGGGTTGCATTGTTACGCTGACGTTGGTCAACTGCATGGGGGCTACGGCGGGCGCTAAGGTTGCTAATGTGTTCTTGTTGCTCAAGCTGAGTGCGCTGGGAGCTATCGTACTTCTGGGCTTGATCGTGTACACGGCTGGCTACGGAGAAGGTGTTCCTGCTTCGGACAGTGGATGGTTCGGAGCACAGCCTGAGCAGCCAGAGTGGGACGCGTGGCAATGGATGGGCAATTTTGGCACGGCGCTGTTTGGAGCGCTGTTTTGCTATGGCGGGTGGGAGACTGTGGGTATGCTGTCACCAAAGTCCAAAGTCATGGGTTCCCTCTTGTGCTTTGTTACAGAGCGGGTGATTACGGAATGGTTGCTGACCGTCTTCTTCACGGGCTAGGCTTCGTACTTGGGGATATGAAAGATCCTGAAAAGGATCTCGGGCCTGTGAGTGAACACCTTAGAGAGACGGAACTGCCCCTTTTAGTTATTGGCAGTGTCTTGGAACTTTGCAGTATAGCTCGCAAGGGTCAGAAGACTAACACTAAACTCTATAGGTGATAAATGGTTCTATGGCCATCGTCATCTTTGGTTTCTTTTTGATGAATGCCGCTTTCTATATTTGCTTGCCCTTGGAAGTCATGAGGGAAAGTACAACCGTAGCTGTGGTGAGTTGTTTCGGTCATGGACACATGATCTGCAAAGAATGAGGACAGCTGACTGAGATATATAGGATTTCGGGAGACGAACTATTGGCCGTGAGTGACGTTGCGTTTGACTCCTGGTGGAATCTCGAGACGCACTTTCTAACCTACCAATTTGCTCGACAGAATGGGGCGGACTGGTTTTCTCCATCGTGGTATCTTTAAGCGCAATGGGGTCTCTCAATTCCAACGTGTTTGCTACCGCAAAGCTGTTAGTCGCGGCTTCTCACAGGAACTACTTTCCCGCCATTCTCGCAAACTTACATTGCAGTACCGCCCACGAGGAGGCCGCGTACTTGGACCAGAACCTGCCGTGGTTGTTTCGAGTTCCCGTTGCAGCGCTGGCGCAGATGACTCAGACATTACGCTGGCAGCGGTCAGTGCCAATGTGAGTTCCGCGTGGGAAAAAAAGACTTATGTCCTCGGCCTATGTCCCTCGATCTACAAAGTAACGCCAGATCTCGTCTGACTCACGCGACACCTTCAGCTTCGCCCTGCTTCTTAACGGCCTCATGGCCTCCGTCTATGTCATGGTAGGCTCGTTCAACGGGCTGGTTACATTCATAGGTGGCACATCCCCTGAACGCCTTCTGGTTGCCTTCTACACCGCGCGCTAATGAAATGAACAATTTAGGGATGGCGGAGTATTTCTTCTTCCTCATGTCCGTCCTAGGCATACTCGTCCTACGCCGAGCCGACAAGCATCAGCCGAACGGAACGAGGTTCCGGCACAACACGTGGATAGGAAATCCGATCATCTTTGCCGCTGTCAGTGGGGTCTTGATTCTCAGGGGAGTCATTGCCCAGCCCCTTCAGGGTCTGGGTATTTTGGCCGTTGGCCTGGCTGGATTGGCCGTCTTCGCCTCGAGGTTTGGGTTACGCGGCTTTGAGAGGTCATCCCCGATCTGACGGGTCTTATTTCTCATGCCTCGCACTCGCCGTGGGGCGGTGGCGCTGCTGCGAGTTATCTTCCGACGACATCCTCGGATGCCTAGTGTTTCCCCAGCGGATAGCTCATGTCAGGACGCAACAAAATCATGCCATCATCATCTTATTGTATATTGGGGATCTATCTTTTCAGCCTTGGGGAGCTTCCGAAGGCCGCAAAGGCATCTCAACGAATATGGAAGTCGCGATATTCTTCACATATGCACGGCGTTGCGCTGACGATCTTCTAGCATTCGGTCATCTCATTTGCAGCCGCTGCGGGAACGCATCCGCGGCCGCTGCTATGCGTTCGTTAGGCTTGTACAACTTTGGGTACCAAAAAAACTGCGGCGGCCACGAGGAAGCACGCTACAGGCCGCTATACTTAGGATGGGTCGTACCTGTGACACCCGGCTTCTGTAGGCGAAAGGATTTGACGCGCCTCTCCCCCGCGTACCCAAGAAACCAGGAATATGGGTGTTCAAGAAAAGCATGGCGCAGTCAATGTAGTTAGATTACACGCAATACAATAAGTTCCGCCGCAAGGGAGGCTTCTGGGTGCCTTGCGTTTCTGTAAGCCGCGGTTTAGTTCTCGCCAGGCATTGACATGACTTCAAGCCGCAGATGGCAACACCTGCAAGTAGCTGTTACCGGTAATTGTAGTCGATCCAGTGAAGACGTTGTGCAGATATACTATGACAGACATTTCATTCGATGACACAGGTTCGATACGTGGTTTCGCATGCGGCGCTACAACGGTCGCCCCTACCCCCAGCTAGCACAAGCCTGGGGAACGGCGCAACGCTCATCAAATGCGAGCCACCGCCCTTTTCGGTATTTTGTTCTATTTGGCTGGCCGGGCTGATCACGTCTCAAGTAGGCGGACTTGTCAAGGCAACTTGGCAAACGCCTCATCGACTAGCAGTCGGTCTCATGTTGTAGCAGTAGAAAGCTGTAGCTACCCGTAACCGACCGTCCTATCCAGATTAACTCCAGCCACCATCTCTGAAGACATCTGGAATATTCTGGCATGTTCATGAGACCACAGCGGCGGCTGATGCCCCTGTCCTTGGGACGCCCGGATGTGGCCGCTCAAGGCGTACAGAAGGAGGCATCGGCAGGAAGAGAGCGTTGTTGATTGCAACGCAGGTTGGGTTGTTTTGCGTTGTTCCAATTTCTCTATAATAACAAACTCGGTTGAAGTCGAGACAGATTAACAGACAATTGACCATGAATTGCCAGACTACCCATGTCCTCGATTTGCGCGACTCCACTCGCACTTGTCTAAATACGCCGCCGAACTAAGCGTACTATGAAGTGAAATTCGGCTATGCCCATATTAATCCTTGCTTATTGCACCGGATTTCACGCTATCCCATATTATTCCACTTGGTGAACCGTTGATCCTGGGCCGCCGCCTGCATGGTTGCCCCTCAGACACACGACCTTTTTTCGCCTTTCTCATCATCAGGCGTGGTTAGCGCCGACTGGCCTGCAGCTCGACGTACACGCAAGTGCATTTTGGTGTGGCCCATCTCTGGGCGCCGGTCTGCCAGCCAGTCCGACCAGTCAACAAGAGTTTTGAGAGGTTGCTGGTTTTGTGACCGAAGGTGAGCTTTTAGTTGTCACATATTAAGCTCATAGCCTCGGGGCTGAATCCTCCTCAGCTGGGCAACTTCTCTCAAAGGCCTCCCAGGTCAATCCCACCATCCTCCAAAGCCAAAAGGTCTCCGGCCTCCAGTGGACCCCAACGACAAAGGTTGCCCAGAACAATCAAACCACGTCGATCACTCTCATTGACTTGTACAGTCACCCTGCAACTTCGTCGTGTACTATCCCTCATCGGCACGACACTATCTATTACCACTACGAAAGTGGTGAAGCGGAAGCCGAGGAGATTCGGCTACGGGAGCAAGGCTGTGCCGCACTGGGCCTTGGAAACTGCACCGCCCGCAGATCGTCTATGCCCAGATACGATGTCCTAAGAAGCCGTTGTTTTTGAACAATAGCCGCGAATATGGTTGAAACGTCCAGCATCGACACTCTATTGCAAAATGGGTACTGGAGGGCCAAGAGTCCCGATTCCAGGTTGTAAGTTGCTTATTTCGCTCACCATCTTCCCCCACTCCAAGAGCCAGTGGGGTAATCAGCCTGTTCGTTTGCTGAGACATGCGTGCAATATAGCTTCAACTCCCCGATAGCCACATCATCCTATTCGTACAACGACAGGATCATTCCCAGGACCTCGTCCAAACCTTTTCACTATGGAACCAGGCCCCGAATTCACCTCCCGCCGCCAATGGTGGAGGACGAAGTCGAGTCTCTGGCGAAGGAGCATGGGTCGGTCGTCTCGGTTTTATCTGAAGAACAGCCACAGAACCGCGGGGATATCGATCAGAATCCCGTGATTCTAGAGGTCCACGAGCATAACCCCGAACGCCGCTTTGTTCTTGTGCACAATTCGTCCGACTCCTCGGATGAATCAGCGGATACGGGGAGGAAGGTTGATAAGCAGAGCACCAAGAAGACCTCAACCGACAGGGAACCCAGTCTTGAACGGAGGTCGTCGTATGAGGCCAACACGTGCCGCAAATATGTAATACTAACACCCGAGGAGGAGGAGGAGAAGCGCAAGCGTGACCTCAATGCTCGGGAGAAGCGACCAGGTCGAGAGCGGGAGAGACGACGGAGCAGGCTGGAAGAACTACCCACCATTATCACGAATCTTGGTCCCGACGACCGACAGAACGATAGACCACGAGATATCCAGCGGGCTGAATCTGCCACCGGCACTAGGCAGTCCAAAGACGACTACTTCTCGCCTCGCCGCGGCACCAGAAACCTAGGCGACGAGTCGCTGCTATCCCCAGACGTCATCAAACACTCGACTAAAGGGCGCGACCGGGCGTATTGGGATTACAATGGCGCGTCCATGCCGGTTTCCCCGGGTCGAACCCGGGCAAGTCGAGAAGAACCACAGTACGATCATAGGAGTCTGCCAAATCAGCGGAGAGCAGCTGAAAGGGAACAACAACAGCCTTCTACGAGTCCAGTAATGACCAAGAGGCATTCTGCTTATGAAGTACCAGTACCCAGGAACACGCGACGAACTTCGAACGAAGGTTATGAAAACGGACGCCCGTACGTCGATATGCCTTCGTCCAGGCGGGATGGCAAGCCCTCATCCCCGCCCTATCCTCGCTTAGAGCGAGAATCAATGCGGCCACGCTCGTCGAGTTTCCGAAGCAAACGGGATTCACCGCCCTATGATGACAATCGATACTCGAGTGGAGAAGAACCACAGCAACGAGGTGATATTCGTCGACGACGCAAGTCTGTTATTCATGATAAACACAATGGCTACCTGGCAACACCGACAGAATCTAGGCCAGACGGAGGACGAAGATCCAAGACGTCATCTCCCCTCGAATCGCCCAGAGTGTCACAAAGTGGCTTATGGGAAAGAGACTTTGCACCAAGTCCACGCAGCGCTACATTTCCACCCAACAAAGAGTCTATGCGATACCCAAACTCTGACGAGGAGACCCACGAGCGGCATTTGTCTCGTGCATCTACTGCCAGGTCGGCCATTAACACTCCGGCTTCCATGTCGTTTCCTGTCATTACTGCGGCGGCGGCGGCGGCTTCTGTAGCTGCTGCCGCCGCTTCTACTGTCGCGACAGACGGTAATAACACTGTTGATTGTCGTCGGTCAAATGTACCACCACCTCCCAAGGGGCGTCCAACCGCTATTTCGCGGTCCGACTCACGGTCGCCGACGTCAACACACTCGTCAACGCCTCCAATCGTGGAGTGGCAACCGTCGCGGTTCGATCTTGTCGAGGCTGCGAGTCGCTTCGAGCAGCCCATAACATCTTACAGAAGGTATTCCGAAGACGCCAACAAGGGGGAACTGCCGGATCTTCCAGACTGTCCGAGAACCAGAGAAGAAGCCGGCCATGTCGACTGGCTTACTCTGCCTCGCTGCAATAACTTCAACATATGCCCATCCTGTTACCAGTCTGCGTTCCAAAACACCAAGTTCAAACATCACTTCGTGCCGGCACCATTCCGACCGCGCGAGCGACCGCTCAAGTGCGATTTCGGCACATCGCAGTGGTATCACATAGCATGGTTGTTGACACATAAATACAACCAACCCGACCTACGTTTGCTTCTGGGAATTGCCAATGTGAGTGCGGCGAACCAGCCTTGTACGGGTCCACGGGAAGCATACCGCATATGGTACACAATTCGGGACCCCGTGTCGCAGCGACCCGTTCGAAACTTCAATATCTGTCACCATTGCGCCAAAACCATTGAGGTATTACTCCCAAACTTGTCAGGAGTCTTTGTGCCTCTAGACTCCCCGGCGGAATCCACAAGGGGCATTTGCGATATGCATCAAGAGGGACACGGTGGAGGAGCACGGAAAAGATTTGTCCGTTATTTTGATGACATGGAGACTATATCAGATAATGCTCTGTCCACCAATTCGGCGCCTGATATCACCGCCCTAGCTGAGAAGATACGTGGCCGATCCGCGATTCGTGAATGCTGGAACGCCCGTCCGGTGCGCGATGGTCGTTGGTACATGATGAGGTCTCTGCCCGACGTCACTGTCTGCGAGGAATGCTTTTTCGAGGTGGTGTACCCGCTGCTGCAACGTTGCGATTCTGGCGTGCCCGGCAATTTTTATCACGAACCTCAACACCTGCCAATAGCAGCTTGTCAATTGTACTCGCAAAGGATGCGCGACGTGTTTTATAGAGCTTCAAGGCGGAACGATTTACGATACTTTGAGAGTAGGATTCAAGAGCGGAGGGCCAAGGAGCATGAAGTCTCCATGCGGCTTTCCGGACTCGATAGAGAGGTCTTAGGCGCAGAGTGGGTGGATGAGGAGATCGAACGAATCCAAAAGGAGTGGCGCAAGTGGGAATAGTTAGGCAGACAGTCATCTAACACGACATTATGACATGTAGACAGAAGACGATCAGACGGTGATACGAATAACGAGATAATGGCTACGATGGTGTTCACGGGGAGGCTAGCAGAGAAAATATATTATTATTAAATACGCCGTAGGCTCGAAGCCCCCGGTACCTCTGCTAGTACTCCCGTATGTCAAACCGTGCCCTAATGGCTGGACTAAATACATACGCTGCGTCGTCGGTTCGCCCTATTGGCGACTGCGTTGCGTCCACTACCATACTACGTTGGTTCTCAACCTACCAACAAAGTCCCCCCTGAGAAGATCGATGCTATCTGGGCCTTGAAGCGAAAATAAAAACTACTTAGGATCAACATGATTGTCAATGTTATGCCGCACTATCGATTTCCACTCAACTGCTGCGGCCAGTTCGCTGGACAGCTTTCCGTGCAAGGAATCCCCGACGACGCCTGATTCTGAATATTGGAGCACAGCCACTTGGTCGTCCCACCACTCATCGGCTTGATATTCACATTCTCCATAGTCAGATTCTTACACGGGTTACTCGCACTACAATGTATCCCGCCCGCAACATTATACCTACTAGTCCCCGTAATATTGACCCAGCGCACATCCTCAATGGGCAACCGGCTCGTGTCGCATCCCTGGCCGGTATAAATACAGGGCGTGATGTACACGGGCTGGTTGACGTTGTCCAACTGAAAATTGGCAAAGGTGATGTTACGAACGCGGCCCGTGCCGGAATAGGTCTTGATCCAGGCCGCGTTGCTGCTATGTGTGCAGGAGATGTTGTTGAAAGAGACGTTTTCGACGTAGTCGGGTTGTGAGGCTTGCGAGCCCAGGGAGCCGATGCAGGCGCACCCAGATTCGTGGCATGAGACATTGGAGACGGAGATGTTGGTACTGTTGCCTTTCATGGAGATGCAGTCCTGGGGGTGGGGGTTAGTATTTAGAGGATATGGGAATAGGAAGGAAGACCAGAATGAAAATATAGTCGGGGGTGTCCTCCAGGGTATCTCTGCTCAGTATCTCCGGGGATGCAGGAATGGACTTTCGACTCACATCACCACAAGTAACCGTCCAGTTCGCAATCACAACATCCTTCGAATTCCACGTATCCACCCCGTCCGTGTTCACCGTGCTCCACTGCGAATTGCTCGTCGAGTTCATATCCAGATTCGTCATGGTCACATTCTCGCTATGCGCCACAAACGTATGCCAGAACTGACTCTGCCGCCACGTAATCCCGTCCACGAGCACATTCCGCGCATTCCACAGCGTCAAACTGATCGGCCGCCCGTTCTGGTTCCCCTGGTTCCGGTTCTGGTCGTACCAAAGCTGTCCATTGCCGTCGAACAAGGCTTTGCCAAACCCCCGCAGTCGAATGTCGGTCCCGCCCAGCAGCCACGCTGTTGAGCGCCCCGCGTAGGTCACTGAGATGCTGCTGCGCAGCCAGTATTGGATGTCCGAGGACCATTTGAGCGTCCCGTGGATTTCGATGTCGACGTTGGAGAACTCGGTTGTACGCATGATTTGGCCGATGTGGAAGAGACCTTCGGCGAGGATGATTTTGCCGTTCTTGCCACATTGGGTGAAGGCTTGGAGGATCTGGGGTGTATCGTCTGGGTCCGTGGTACCGGTTGAGGGGAGGGGGGTTACCGTGCAGGTGCTACCGGTTACGTTGAGGGCGGCATAAGCTGCTGGGGCGCTGAAAAGGAGGGGGATGAGGAGTGAGGCAAGCATGTTGTGGACTTGCTAGGAACTGCCTAGGTGGAGGTTCAACGAGAGTCTTGTTATACAAATCGACTGGTATACCTTTCTTGGTGATGAATTGGTCTTCCGCCGACTATAAATATCTGGTCCTATTCAGACCATGTCACCGATCCGGTCTCGAATGCACCGGTTTGGACATCTCGAGGATGGGGTGCTCTCATTGGAGCGCAAGATAAATATTTACTGTATATGGAAGTCGGAGCCCATTCCCCAGATGCGGAGGAGTAAGGGACCACTCGGCTAATTTGAGGTGAGCCAACGTTGATTGAATATAAATGAAAACCTGGGGTAGTCGGGGTCAGAACAAAAGCCGGTAGGTGCAGTGGCGAGCCTATTTAGATGAGTGTCTCTGTGAGGCGTTCCTCGAACTATTCTGGACGCCAAGTTTTGGCTTCACTTCACAGTGCTTTCAGGAATGTGCGTATAAGACGTCACTACACTTTATCATACAGCCTTTACATCAGTAATGACGATACTTCCGGGACGTAATTGTGGCGATGATCAGAAGCTCAATGGGCGTTCTCTACTGTCAAGACTGTGATACATAGTAAGCTCCCAGGATTGTTGGGTATAAATCACCCACCGTGCTATTGGATGCGGCGGGGAGATATTATGTATATCAGTCTAAGATCTCAGCAAGATCATTCGCTTAGGACGATTCAGAGTAATTATCCATCAGCTCATCACTCCAGTTAGAGTATTCTAGTTCGAAGGGATCACAAGAGTTGTGTAAGTGGGCTTTACAAGTCGGATGGGAGCCGCACCAAGAGGGGTCGTATTTAGGAATGAGTTTGGGACATGTATGCTATGGGTGATAATGATAATGGTTTTCTACATCACTCTGGATGCTGGGCTCCTTTCTCTTTCATTGCACGATAGGAAGCGCGTTACTGGAATCTATGAGATACCAAGGATCACGGAGATGGTCACGCTTACGTATGTCCTCATCCTTTTGCTGATGAGGTTAGGGGTTGTTAGGCGGCATGATACTAGGTTCATGAAACAGCTGAACATGTAGCTGTAGATATCATGAATACGTAGATTACTGTCGACACATGATGGGTTTCAGGAATTTCCGCGAGTCAGTGGGATGGAGGCGTATATATCGCACTTTGCGACTCACGGACTTCGAAAAGGAAACGGATGCCGTCTTGTCCTTGTATGGGTCGAATGGATTCAGACATAAGCGGCCATGTAAAATAATCATCAAGGGGGCGGAGTGGTCATTCGGTCGAAGCGGGTTCCCGCCAAATGTTTTTCTCGGACATCATGCTGCCAATTCATTTGTTGTCTTGATAAGCTAAGGGGGTTGGGGAGCTGTGCGGAGATAGCACTCCTCAACATGGGGTACGGGGATTATGGGCGTGGGGGATAGCTGTACTACCCGATCAGTGTTTCGGATATCGATAACAGGACTACTGGACTTCAACCCCCCGGGCAGCGCCCTCATACACACACTCGCTCTGTGTCACCGTTTTCCGTCTTACGGTTTTGGATAATGGCACTAGATAGACACAGCTGCGAACTTCGAATGTACTAACTATATGAACCATTTAATCCATCTGGTAACTGCCCATGTTTTCCTGCTACACCGCAACTTAGTGCTTGTGTAACTTTGGTTTCAATCCGGCCACGAAGTAATAATGTGTGTTTGCCGTGTGCTTATTTCGTAGAGGGGCTCAGTCGGAATTCGGTCACAGTCTATCGACATCTATGCACAGCTGACCCGAGTGCTTGTACACGCGAGACTTAGGACAAACTTGCCAGTGCGCATTGTTTGGCTCGGGGATGCTGATGGTTAGCTGGTTGCCCCGAGAAGTCATGCAGTCTGTTCCAGTGAACTTCCGCGTATGCCTAACGCATGGCAACCGCCAAGAGATCCTTCACCAGTTGTCAGATTAAGCCGAGTATTGTTACTGGATCCAGCCCAGACTAGGGTTTCTCAACAAAGTCAAGGTTGGAAGAAGAACCCTGACGGTATGTGGCTTCTGGAATTGGTGACTTAGAGTTGAGTGTCCGTCCCAACTACATTATCTTCAATGCAACACCAGATTGAAGGAGCCATAACGATAAGTAGGAAGGCGTATTACACTCGTAGCCCGGTTATCCCATAGCCTCAGGTATACACTTAATGCAGTCAGCAACTTGGCAATGTATGTTTATCATTTCGGGCCACATTTTTAACACAGAAACCGAGCTGCTTGCATCCCTTCTAGAACTATCCGCCAAGGAAACGTACAATAGCCGTGGAAATAGGAAATATGCACACTCCACACCTACGGGTCAGTAAACGACCAGATATTGTCCGAAGCATGCGTCCCGCTCCTCGTCCTCTTGCATTCAGCGCCTTGTGGGCTGCCATTGAGACAGAGCTTCTCCCTGTTTTCTGAGGCTGTCTATGTACATGCTCTCGTTGACCAACTTTGATTCGTCGACAGGCCGCATTGAAAGTGCTTTTGGGTTTTTGGTCGTAGAGCCAGAACCCTCAGACCCAAGAACGCCACTTGCACCGTGTGCCCTATGCTGGTGTTATGGTCATCCAAACCCACCGCCAAGCAACTCATCGCTGCCAGAGTGTCTGATATGTAGATGATGGACAATCGGATGAGAAGGATCGCCTGGAGCACTTGCCATGATCGACCTTCGGGGTTCGAGAGAAAGACGATAAGCATAAACACGTCCGTTGCAACGTCTCGGCATTTCTCCATGGTGGGATGGTTTCCAGCATTCTAGGCGGTTCAGATCTAAGACGACCAAGTTGCATGATCATAGTCTTGAAACAATTTGCACGCCATCATAACCTGGGCGAAAAGGGCCAATACTAGCATCGTGAGAAATATTGATTGCCCAGATGTCTAGATGGGACATGATAACACACTCTATGATAACTCGAGCGAGAAGTCAATGACCTTCCCGACTTATGAACCGAGGGCGCTCTGAAGAAAACCACCTTCAGCTCGTTGCTATGGCTGGATTGCCATGATACTGAAGAGCCAGGTGAAGCTCGGTCACCGTTTGAAGACGGTGGAGTATCTCCTGCATTCGGGATTCCTGGTGTCAAACCCGGAATGGAACATTTTCAACAGGGATGATGCTGCACTTGTCTGCGAGCGGCAGACCTGGAACCAAGGCCAGCTAATTGACGCGGCCGCGGCCTTGAAACAGAAATCGGAAGAAGTCGGGCGAAACGGCATCTGGTAATCAATCGGGGGGGACCGGAGCTGGGTCGCGTTCTTTGCCCGCATCATCCGAATTCCTGGTGGAAACTTTTGTGGGAAAGCCATGTGGAAGGTGGGCAGCTGCAAGGTAGGGATATTTTGAGTAACACCCTATTTCGGATGAGCCGAACTTACGAAGGTAGCAGATGGACTGACGTTTGTTGATATTATTTTGCTCCGCTTGACTTAACTGTCTGGAAGCCTTTCTTCTCACTGCCGCTGGTGTCGCAAAGGGCCATTTCCCGACGTGCTTGCTGGGGTCGGGACGAGCTCTCTGACCGGAGCTTCCTTACGCAGGCACGGATTGGGAACATCGGGTGCTTCCTACTGGACCAAACTCACGGACTTTTAATGCACTGACAGGGGCCCTTCCGATCCCACGCAGTTTGCCTGCTCGCTAGTCCAAGATCCTTGCTCCTACGAGATTTAACCTCCCCTATCGCAAAAAAAAAGCTTGGAAAAAGTTTAGTTTCGCAAGTCAGGAAGCCGACCACGAGCAGAACACGGAATGTGTTAAAAGGGGTTGTGGCAACTAATTGGCGAGCCGTACTATCGTGTCCTGTACGGCGGTGAGGTACCTATACAAGGCACCTTCGTAGCGTTAGATTTCGATGTCTGCTTGCCGTTTACCGGCAACACGAGCACACAAGCAACTGTCAACGCAACAGACCGAACGCGTGGAGCATCTATCTGCTTCGGCGGTGGAACGATCCAGTTATAACTGCGTGCGCATCTGCTCATCATTCTAGAACATCGGGTGATCCCGTGCTTAATAGACCACTCGGCGCGACTTCATTGCTTTCTATCCTCTGGTCAATGGCGGGAGAGCTGGATGGGTCCCGATGGGAGGGTCAAATGCAGCAGCGAAGCTGCGTCCCCGGACCTCACTACGGAATCCCCACTGGCAGACATTCGCCGTCGCAACCTAGCCACAGCCGACACGGGCATACGAAGTACACAATTAGAGTCGGTGAATCCTGGAATGACAAGCTTTCCTCTTGAGAGTTGTCTTCGTGTAGCCAGCAGCGTACATGCAGCTGCAGGCTGTTGAGACCCAACCGACGGGAACTCATTATTGCAACAGCGTGTAAGCTTTTTGCACCTTGCAGATTCGTACCGCGTAGAGTGAGTGCATAGCATTCTTGCAGCTGTCGGCAACTTTGGCAACCTTGAAACCCCCCCATTGCCCACCCCCATGTTCGGGCTCAAGAAAAACCAAAGTAGTACTGATTATCGAAGAGGAAAACCCGGAGGCCCAAACGAGGAAACAACGTGCAAAATGACCCTGCTCAAATTACAACTTGATCCTCCTTTGCGTGCCTTTGCGTGCTATTCCCCCGATTGATCCACCAAGCCCTCTTCTTTTCGGAAGCCCGACATCAAGTCAGGTACCCCGTACATGGCCCGACACCGGTACCTGTACTTTGTTCATAAGGTCGTCCCAACTCACTCCAGCGCCCTGGCGGGTTCTGGTGGTCCCGTAAGTTGCCGTGTAAGCGTTCTGTTCAGACAAATTTTCACATCTCAACCTGGCCGTTGAAACGCACCCGAAACTGCGGCGCGCCCCAGTCACCTCGGATGGCAAGTCTCAGTACATGGGCATCGCCTGCCAGGGTGTCGCCCCGAGGCAAAATGCTGTTATTAAGACGGTTGCATCGCACCGGAGTAGCTGCGAGTTGTCGTCCCATTACCACCACTTTCAACCGCAGCGCGAGTTCGGATCATCCCATTCACTACCGGCAACTGGAACCTTGTTCGGTCAGCCCTGCTAGTCTTGCCCAAGCTTCCCATTTATTTTCTATCCCCCATCGGCCGACCGCCCCCAGCCCAATGGCTTTCAATACATACAGCACTGCTAGTTCAGACATATCAACCCCTCGTTCTGCCTCTCCTTCGACATCTTTTTCTGTCCGGTCATCTTCAACCAAGCGCACCTCCATCTCCTCCCGCCGCATATCTGCCTTCAACCCCATGTCGTCTGTAGACATCGCCGCTATCGAACAACAGATGAAAATGGCCTCCCTCGACGGCCTCCGCGGTTACGCCCAAAATCACTACGGGGAGGTGCAACAGTATCGCAAGACCGAATACGTGCCTAAGTCGTCCGCTTGTGGTTACCAAGTCCTGCGCGAGCCTCTGTGGAACAAGGGTATGTGACTTGACAAAAGTCTTCCTTACACTTGCTATTGCTTTTCCACCCAATGCCATTGGGCTGACTTGAGTTACCAAACAGGTCTATCCTTCACAGCAGAAGAACGCGTCTCCAAGAACTTGACTGGTCTGATCCCCCACACCATGGAGACCGTCGACACGCAAGTCCGCCGGTGCATGAAGATGATCAACTCGAGGCAGACTGGCATCGACAAATACCTGTACCTCTCGGCCCTCAAAGACCAGAACATGGACCTATTCTACCGGGTCCTCATCGATAACGTTCGTGAGCTTATGCCTTTGGTGTATACCCCGACTATTGGCGACGTCTGCCTGCAATACTCGACTTTGTACACTCGCCCCGAGGCACTCTACATCTCCATTAAGCAACGAAAATCCATAAGAACGATCCTCCAGAACTGGCCGTATCCCAATCCCGAGATTTGCGTTGTGACGGATGGATCTCGAATTCTTGGCCTGGGCGATCTTGGCGTCAACGGCGTGGGCATTTCCGTAAGTCAAGTTTTCTATTCGAGTAACTGAAAATGTCCTAGTTTCTAACTTACACGACCCCAGATCGGCAAATTGGCCCTATACACGGGAGCTGCAGGCATCCACCCTCAAAATACCCTTCCCATTGTCCTGGATGTCGGTACCAACAACGAGGACAACCTGAAAGATGAATTCTATCTCGGTCTCCGAGCCAAACGTCCCTCTGCTGCGGTTGCCCAGGAGTTCATGGACGAGTTCATGGAGGCGGTCACCGAGGTCTACCCCAACATGGTAGTTCAATTCGAAGACTTCGACACCGAAAAGGCGTTCGCGTACCTCACTCGTTACCGAAACCAGTACAAGTGTTTCAATGACGACATTCAGGGTACGGGAGCCGTCGTCTTGGCTGGGTGAGTACACGATGCTTCCTTCGTTGACTCGGCTGGACACGAATTAACCTCATGCAGATACATTGGTGCTGTCAACTTGTCCGGAGTGCCTCTGGAGGAGCAGCGTCTCGTCTTTATGGGAGCTGGATCCGCCGGTGTCGGTGTCGCCAAGCAGATGGTCGAGTACTACACTCGCCGCGGCCTGACGGAACAAGCTGCGAAAGACAAATTCTACCTGGTGGATACCAAGGGCCTCGTGACTAAGGATCGCGGTGACAAGCTCGCTGAGCACAAGAAGTACTTCGCACGCACAGACAACAGTGGCCACCAATTCCGAACCCTCGAGGAGGTCATCGAGTATGTCCGGCCTTCGGCGCTCGTTGGTCTTACGGCGACTTTCGGCGTCTTTACTGAGTCGGTTGTGCGGGCTCTCAAGGCCTCAGTGGATTCGGGAGGTATGGGTCGGCGACCCATCCTCTTCCCCTGAGCAACCCCCTTACTAAGGCAGAGTGCACGTTCGAACAAGCTATCACCTGGACTGAGGGCACCGCCATCTTCGCATCTGGTTCTCCGTTCGCCCCTGTTAACGTGAAGACGAGCGATGGCACCATGACATACCACCCCAACCAGGGCAACAACGTCTACGTGTTCCCCGGTATTGGACTGGGAGCCATTCTGGCCAAGGCGACCAGGGTCACCGATGAGATGATCTACATTGCGGCTGCCGCTCTGTCTGAGTCGCTCAACGCTGACGAGATCCACAAGGGGCTGATTTATCCCCGCATCGAGAGAGTCCGCGACGCCAGCGTCGTCGTCGCCCGCGAGGTGATGAAAGCTGCGCGCAGGGAAGGTGTCAGCGCTCTGCCCGAATCGCAATGGATCGAGTGGGAAGAATGGGGTGACGTCGCGCTGACGAACTTCATCAAGTCTCACGTCTATGACCCTTTCAAGTAAAGAGAACTACTGACTTAGTCACACGACTGGGAAGGCACATGATGGAGCATTGGTCGGCGTTTGGGTGCTATGTGGTACAGAAGAGTTGCTTTCACCTGTAGGGTCGACAGGTTTTGCTTCGTAGTCAACTAAAGTGGTTGGCTTCGGTTGGTTTTACGAGATATCCCATTAGCTTGTCGCTGGGTCTAGATCAAGAGTCTCTGGACGAATTAATAGAACGGTCGCGTTGTTTACTACTTTTGTTGTTGACTGACATTGATGCATCGTACACATGGTTAAGTGATTTGCCAAGAATCGTTCTCGATGGGACTCGTAATTCCCTAGTTATTCATAGAGTGCGTTGGTCTTGTATGACTTGCACGTCACCACATCCAGTCGCACATGTACATCAGCTAGTATATTATATTCCCGGGCGGCATTTACCGCACTCCACTCCTTCCCGCATCTTTCAATATCCATCTATCAAACGAACGTATGACCGGGCCCTCTTATTGCGGCCCGACTTCACAGGGGTCAGTTATCTCATTCAGTGGCGAGAGCTAATACTATATGTCGGGCCGAAAATGTGCAACATAGTCCCGAATTGAAATGATTCCACACTAGTACTGCTTATAGTCATTCGGTAGTCAGACAGTCAGCCATCCAACTTATAACGCGGTAGCAGGTTCACGGTTTTGGCTTTGCGGGTTGGGTGCGTACAACTGTAGGCCGTGAGGGGAACCCCTGGCTATTCCTATTCTTCTGTTAACCGGGTGATGTTTCTATGACTTACTTCCATTAGAATTGTCTGACTGAACTGCTGGTGGACAGATATCACTCGGTTCTGCTCGGTATCAGTGCTTTGCGGTTTGCTGTCTTACTATAACGATGCACACACCCTTCTCATATGGTCCCCTCCAAATACCCTACGAGGACAGAAAAGGCTATAGACCAATATATAAGCTGAACTTGGCACTGAAGGTGTTCGTAGATTTCGGCGTTTTTGTTGTTGTTGTTGTTGTTGCATTACCCCCCTGACGAATCATGCTTGGGCGGACAAGATATGAATAAGCAACCAGTCGCTCATCTCAACAAAGGAACGCATTTGGCTGCGTCCTATGTGTGGGAAGCTGTGGCCTCAGGTATGGAAAGATACGAGGCAGGCAGGCACGGATTGCAGTATTCAGGGTCTGCTTGGGCCAACTTGGGATTGGTCCCTCCCACCTTCAGCATGTATCCATTCTTGTTGCGATGAACTCGGGAAGTGCTAAGACCGTTCCATTACCCTATTTATTGACGATATATTTGTCATCAAAGCATGGCTAGACCCTTTACACGGACTCTTGCCAACTCACTTAAGCACCCTGCCTGTCCTTGGCCGCACCGCCCAGGGAACCCATGGGATCTCTCGTAGGTCCCTCATGTGTGCCGTTAGTCTCCCGCCTACGGCGTAATACCTCCACTCCTCGAGCGACAGCATGCATATCCAGGGGCGACTTATCGATTCTGCTGCATTTGCGGAGATCGATAGGTTTGGATTGGGTGCTAGGTGGATTGGATTGTACAGGGACGTCCTGTCGGCCAGCATCACATTGCTCCCGAGTGTCTAGCAATTCAAAGGGTCTAGGCATAATACCGCAGCTGAAAGCCACGAATATCGCCAAAGGCAGTTCTGGTTTGTATGTGAATTATACTCATTTTCGGTTGAGTATAAACATCCCACCCTCCACCAGGGCGACTAAGCAACATAATAGGAAACTGGGGTATTCGTAGTTGAACAATGCTAATGCAGGGCAAGACAGTTGCCTCGACATCTAAACAGCAGTGGCGAAAAAAGAAAAAACAAAAAAAGTAATGCAGGAACCTATTCATGACCATGCCCCTTTGAAGTCCTCCTCCTGTATAGACTCCGAGCTTTGTTTTGTGCCTGAACCAAAATTCCCCCATGCAGTGGACTGACCGACTGCCATGCTTCTTAGCCCAAGTTCTTCCTGAACACCCTCTTGGTCCCACCGACCTTGCCCAGTTCGCCAAGTTTCCCTTCCGCCTTGAGGTGCTCAAACGTGGCTCGCCCGCCGCTAGCAGAACGGACCTTGCTCTGGACATCCTCGACCCAGGCCTTGCCTTCCTCGCTCAGTTTCTCCTCGTAGTTGGGGCGCGGCCCCGACATACCCAAGACGCTGCTCTCGTCCTCGTATCCCGCGCGCGAAGGGGTCCGAGATCTCGAACTTGACGAATGTGCCGAGTTCGCCGAGTTCGCCGAAGAAGGCGTGACGGCCCTCTGCGTGTTCATGGCCAGCGGTGTCTTGGGCCTCATCCTTGTCGCACCCTCTTCGCCCAGACTCTTTCTAGTCTTCCGGACGTGCAGGGGTGACTTTGGGGAGTCAAGAGCAGACACCGGGCGGCTTGGCGGACTTGATCCAGCTCTGCTGGACGCGGCTGCTGGCACATCTCTAACCTCTATCTTGCCTTCGCCCTGGGATCTTCGGCCGTGATGAACGGCGTACTCCTTGAGATACTCGCCGAGATCGGCCCATCCACCGCCTACTCGGACCATGACTCGTTCGCCGTTCTCTCCCACGCAGCGAATCAGTAGCTTCAGAGGCGCCTCGCCAGCCGACCGTGAGAGGTAGTAGTGTCTGGCTTCTTGACTGTTTTTTGATCGCGGTCGCGGTGTCTTGGCCGGTGCCATCAACCAGGAAGGCGTCCCTGCTCGAGACGACATGGTAGACACAGCGGAGCCACTGCGGCGGAAAGGCTCTGGAGTTTTTTGCCTCGACCGCGTGGGGAGCACAAGATCGGGGGGGTTGAGGTTGATTGCGGAAGGTCTCGTGGTCAGCCGGATCTTAGCCGGAAGCCCACTGAGTACGTGGTGAATCTGTTTGTGCAGCTGGTCGGTGTCGCCCATAACACTCGTTCGCCCCGATGTGCTGAACCGACTTTCGAATTCAAATGTCGTGTCAGCATCAAAGACATCAGCATGCTCCAGCGGGGTTCTAGGGGGGGTGTCGTCGGGTTCGGGCATAGGGGCTATTTCAGGAAGTTCTTTAAAAGTCACTGAAGCGGAACGAGGTTTATAGCGCAGGGGTGGCGAGCTAGACGGGCTGATTGCATCGCTTGACAACGGCCTGTCTGGGTCTGGCAAGCGGGGCAACTCAAGTTCGGGTGACTCTTCGCCAGCACGACCTTCGTCCGAGTCGTTACATGCAAGCAAAGAAGCAAGTGATCCCTGGCTTTCTCTTCGTGTCTGAAATCGGGGTGGAGGCAGTTCCAGCTCCTCTTCTTCCTCTTCCGATTCCTCCACTACCGATTCTAGAAAAGAATATTCCGCTTCGAGGTCGGGAATGCCCTTGGACAGGTCCAGGCCTGGTCGAATCATGGCGGAAGGTTGGAGGCGACCAATACTTTTGTCCGTCTCTGACATTACTGGGCCGGTTTGGTTGATGCCGTCGAGTGCACCATCGTCAGCTCCATCATGACTTCGCGCGCCGTGCGCCCGAGACGAGTTGCCTGCAGTTTTCCCTTCCTGGCCTGTGGTTTCCTTGCTGGCTAGCGATATTGTTGGCCGTTGCTCATGAACGCCATCGTAATCGAGGCTACGGTTCTTGGTAGTCGCATCCGAGTCGACATCGCGTTGATGAGCTCCATTTTCGCCCAGGTCTGGCACCTGTGAGCCCGATCGTGAACTTTCTTTGCTTGGCACAGTAGCCGTGACTTTTAGGTCGTTCTCGAGATCCGTCGACGGGCCACGTTTGCTCAGAGTGCGTCCACGACTCATCTCCCCTGCAATAGATGAATGATCAAAGAGGGTCGGCGGCGAAGGACCCGTGCTTCCGGAAACATCGAATTCCTCCTGAGTTGGGCTTGCGACCTGGATATGGATCTCGGGTTGAGGTGCCCTAGGTCCCACTGACGCCGAAAGTGAAGCTGCAGCTTGCATATTTGACCACTCGCCCTCTCGGACCTGGCGGTCGGCCGTAACAACCCATTCAGCATAGCTTCTCTCCACAGCCTCAAGGCGGTCCAGCCACTCGTCTGGCAAGATGTCTGCCATTCCTTCCAAGGCATCCAGCATGTAGTCAGCGTCGCGTCCTGGGTTTGCTACTAATTGCTGTAATGCCGCTTTTATACTTTCGAATTCCTTTCTCGTAAGGGCAGAAACACCATCCCCCGAGCCTCTGGTATCCGCAGGGGCATCTTTTCCGGCCTTGAGCTGCATTTGAATCGCATTCCAGCCTGATTTGAGAGCAACCTCGGCTTCTGTCACCCTTGACAGCAACGTCGGAACCTTACGAAGAACGGCCAACCGGACACTCCAGATATTGAGTAATCTTGAAAGTCTCGATAGATTTGGCAGGGCTTGCACTGTGATGGCGGTAATAACTGCCGTCAAGTCTTCCATCTTGACAAAGGACGTCGATGCCACCGAGTGTCCGCTGTCCGAAAATGGAGTGCCTGGCCGGGATAGAGGCAAAATGTGGTTCTGCAGCACCTGCGTCTTGATATCCTCCAAATCCAAGTCATCCATCTCTTTCTGTATTTGGTCGATTCTCTTGTCGTACTGGTCAACGTCCTCCGCTGGCAGACTGCCTAGGTATTCCGTCTCAGGTTCGGCGCCGGGCCCCTCATCTTGACTCGGGTTATCTTCCCTTGGCGTGTCGGAAGGTCCGGACAGCTTCCTGCGCGGAGTTGGCGGCATCTCGAAGCCAGCCGATCCGCCACCGGCAGGCCACGGCCAGCCGGAAAGTTCGTCAACCCAATCATGTATTGACTTTGAAGCGACAGCTGTCTTCATGGCGAAGGACTGCTCGAAAGCTGAGGCGTTGCTGAGACAAGCTTTTAGAGGTCCAGAGGGAACTCTGAGAGCTTCCACCGCTGATGGCGGCGAAAGGCGCGAGAGGAGCTCATCGCTGACCCGGTGTCGAGATGGGGATTGTGAGGTGGATTGATGTGGCCGGCGCATAGTTGTTCGTGATCTAGACGGGCTCGTCCCACGGGTCGCGATGGGTATGGGGTCCGCCATGCTTTTTGCTGGGCTTTAGTAAAGCGTGTTTGCTCGCGGATTGTCGTTACACATCGATATGAGACATGGCCCGCGGCCCTCTGGACGGATTGTTGATGGCGACAATCTAGTTGTGGATTTCCATCCTCGGCGATGGAAGGTAAGTGCTATACGGTTTGACGTTTGCCAACTTCATCTCCCCGAACGAGGTGGTCTCCTTCCCTCCTTCCCGCGGCGCCGTCCCTGGCGATCAGGAAGTCGTGACACGTAAGCAGCAAACACCAACGCGACCGTCTAGTTCTGAGTATGTCTCGTAAATATAAAGAAAGTCTTGAATGTGATGCGCCAGCTGGGAGGTCTCTAGAAATGTCGAAGGGGCAATATACGGAAGGAGTGCCGTCTTTGTTCGTTGTGCGACAGACGCAATTCGGTGTGAAGAGAGCGGTGGGGATATGCGCCAATGGCACAAAAAAGAGAGTAGTAGTATTGGGTAATGATAGTGGGATGCAAACTTGCAAGTAAAAACGAGTGGACGAGCAGCCAAGCTGAAAGAGGGACTGTTGTTTCAACCGAAGACCATGGATGCCGGAATACACGTCAGTCGGCGGGTGGTGCCTCTCCGAGCAGTGCTGTCCCTTCGTGGTTGGTTCCCTGGTGGGTGATGGATCAGCGATGGACCTGCATTGGACATGTAGCGTGGACGAGATTATGGATCTCAGCGCTGGCAGACAACAAGCCCGATCCCTTCTCAAACCCGTTGCTCACGACTGTCAAACTGCCTCGAAAAGTGTAGGATGTATGAGAATGCGAAATACGTACAGCCGCAGGGAACACAGGATGGGATAATACAGCTTGGGCAAGCTTCTGAACGTAAATTCGGGTCGGGATGGCCTGTGTCCCTTATTTCATGCGCCACCCCAGATCTGACCAGAGTAACACTGCCAGCGAATCAGGTAGTCAAAAACAGGGATGACAGGGGCCGTTCCGCCGCTTAACTGACCCATTCGGCATCGTCGCATCAATATAAACCGCGTCTACAGCAACGCGTGGAGCAGTCATCTTAAATCGAAATCAGTCGAGGTTCGGCTCTCGAGAACCGTGATGATGACTCGCCGTAAATGCTGTGCTGTCCTGATTTATGATCTGCATTGCCATGGGAACACAATGCTCAACTCAACACCCTTCATTACTACTGCACTATCTGTCTACGATCAATAACGATGCACTAATGGAGTCCCAATAGCGAGTGGCTAGTGGCAAAAGCTCCGAGCAAGGCTGCTTGTGCCGATCCCATGTGGACGGTCTAACGTCATTTGCCGCGGGAAGCTGTCAAGATGCAGCGCACGACCAGCCGCTCGAGCTTGAGCTTGGATCTGACGAATCTGGCTTTGGGGGTCATCCATCACCGCTTCTGGACACATTCACTCAGCGGATTGAGAGAACTAACCGCATAGACCCTATGCGTGCCGAGACACCCACGAAATTATGGAACTGCCGTCCTTGCCGCTGCGTCGTCCGTCCGAGAGTCTCTCGTACCAGCCGGAAGCATGTTCAGCGTGTACGCGCTGTGTGTGACGGAGTCGCCTGACCGTGGACTGGCAGTGGCCCGCGCCGAGAACGAACCATGCACACATTTAACTCGTTCATTCCGCATATTCTTGATCATGGTCATGGTTTGGCATATTCACATTTATTTCGACTCGTTCGCCTACATGATTATATCTATACTGGCCACCTGTCTAGCCTCGCCCTCTTCAATCTCATCGGGGTATATGTAGTTGAGCGCTTGGCCGTGGTCTCATTATTCTTCCAAAACTTTTAACGTATCCTCAACACCTGAGCCGCCTGTTCGCAGGTCTTCCATCTCTTCCAACACCAGATTATGGTTGTATACCCAAGGACCGTTCAAAGCATGGCAATCGCACTGGATCATGACTGCACGGGTTGTGCCATAGTCCCGTCGCCTAATATACCCAAGAATGTCGGCTCTGTCACGTCCGTGTTCTTCGCGCCGCCAGCTTCGCCTGGAGGAAAATGCAGCCACTGGTCAAAATCAATATTGGTACCAGTTAGCGCGTTCCAGTCAAATTCGTCTTGATCGTCACCATTGAAGTCCATGTCCAGATCGATGGCTCCAGGTGCTGTATCGCTTGAACCGCTCGCACTTGGCGTCACGCCATCCTTGTCGGTTTGAGGCGGCGAGTTGCCCGCCACCAAATCAGTCGGCGGCACATACACATGGCTACCGGTGACCAACTCGGCCTCGGGCTGAGTCATGTAAGGCGCATTCTCCGGCGGCGGTGTGGAGTTGACCATCACAGAAGCTGGGAAGAGGGACATTGCCTTATCTGCCCCAGATGCTCCAGCTGTCGCACTCTGAGCAGCATGCAGGTCAATGGCGGCTTTCCGAAGTGCCGCGTCGAGGAATGCGACAGCATAATCAGCTGCAGCGTAAATGTCGCGCAGTTTCTCCATCACCTTCATGCACTGCCGGAACCCCCGGACGGCGTTATCCCGGGCTTGCGGAACCGGGTTTTTCATCTCAAGCAGATGAATGATCATGGCCGGTAAAATCACAGTCACCCCGGTGGTTGGAAGGTATCTGTGGAGATGGAGATGGTGTAGTTCTGATACCATACGGGTGATGTTCATGGCGGCGTCTCGCACTTTCATGCGTGACAGCTCCTGGGCCTGTCTCGACGCTGTCGGGGCCTGCACGGGGGAGGAATGTAAGAACTGGGGGCGGTGGAGAGCCGAGATGGTGGTGTAATAGACCATGTGTAGCAAATTCCTCTGAACAGCTATAGTTTTAGCACCGTCTTTGTTGTCGAGCGGCGTAAGTGCTCGGTACTGACAACACGGTGGCAGAGATTCAATCCAGGCCCCGAGCGACAAATCACACGCCGTGACGTTTTCGACGTTGTCAAGTTGCTTTTTGGGGTGGAGCATCATGGTGCTGTTGGTCGCATTCGGTCTCGATCTATCGCGGACGAGGACCGAGTATTGCGCTGTCAACATCCTTGAAACTGGTTAGTCTGACTCTTCGCAGGTTGGCGGAAACACCCGCTGTACTTACTGACTGATGCACATGCAGAGTTTGGCTTTTGCTATGCACATCAAGGCAAGTTCTTGCTGCATCAAAACGTCACGGACCAGTGTGCAGTCATGATTGATCACCTGCACGTCATCTGCTAGAGGCCCAATCTCAAAGTCGCTCTCTTCTAACATGGGCACATCGAAATCCTCGTCCTGAATCCTCATGGGTCGACGCATACCCAGCGCAATCAAGCGATCCCGCATGAAGCAAGACCACCATATTCTCTTCCAGAGCTTCTGTTTGCGAAGAGACATATTGGTATTGGCAGGGTTTCGATGAAGGCCAATGGTGTGAGCTAGTGAGATGGCAACGCCCATCCAGTGCCAGGTGTCTTTCTGGTCGTCTGGCGTTTCATACCAATATGTCATGAGCAACAAGCTTTGAACGAGTATGAGTCGGTCGCTCTCATAATCGAAATCGTACAGTAACTAGGACCGTTAGCTGACGGACTCAACACGTGGCTATGAGGATGCATTCATACTCTCGCCTTCTGAAAGAAAACCTTGCGGGCAGCTTTTCTGTTGGCGTAGCCCGCTTCCTTCAAATACTTGACATCGATGTAAGCCGTCCCCGCAAACATGACGGCATGATACAAGAATAAGCTGATTTGGCCGTATAGTCCGTCCACCGAGTTGATGGCACTGAGAAAATCGTGTAACTCTATTAAGGGCATGTAAGGATGGACAAACTCCACATAGGCGCGTAAGAGCGCATTCTGTAGCGGGAGACTGGGAAGTGTGAGAGCTCCCTTCACGTGTAAGTAGTTCACATCCTCAGCAGCAATCTTGCCTGGCAGTGGACGGATGAATGCCGGCAGCTGCGATGCTGCATCAGGCTCCTCGAGGGAATTTAGGAACTGAGCCGTTTTGGCATCATCGACGGCGGTCTGACTTGAACGCGGATTCGGCCATATACTGGGGTACCTGGACGCGTTGTTCCCAGTATGCATTTGGGCGGCCAGCAGCAATGGGTCCGGTTGCAGCCCTGATCGTTGTTGATCTGTCGCACACGCGAGTCGCGTGGTCAGAAACGTTATTTTATTCGACAGATCAGAGGGTTGGTGAGGTTCTGGCATGTGAAAACTGGCGGGACCAATGACAGGCGAGGATCGCCAACTTACAGATGAGATGCGGAACGTGACCCTCCAAGCCGCCATCCAACTTCAAGAAGCCCGGCTGACTCGCACATTGCTGACCCGCAGGCGCACTCGTCACATCCATGCTCGTCGATGCCAGAGACACTACGCTGGGACGGCGAACTTCGCCAGCCGGGCTGATGCTGACCGGATTGGTTGGTATCTTAGCCTTGAGTGCTTCGGCGTTTTGCGACGCATGATCGAAAATATTCTTCCTGCAATTGACCAGGGTGTCAGTCTTGCGCCCAGGAGATTGGAGCGTTTGGAGCGGTTGGGGCGAGATATGCTTCTCGAGACAAGTGGCGCAACTAAGAAAAAAGGATTATAGAGAAAGGCACGAAACGAAACGGGCAGGCCAGCACTTACTTTCGACGGCGGCTCTCCTGGACGATGCATTCCACATTGTCCCATCGGCAATTGCCACACGGTGCACCTTCAACGACGTCGCACCTCACTTTGCGAGCGCGGCACGAGACGCAAGCCTTTGAGACGACGTTAGCCGCGAGTCTGGAAATTGGGTATCATGAATCTTGCCTTGGCGGCTCGTCTCTTGGTAATCTTCGGTGCGCCGTTGGGATCCGACTGGGAAGCTGATCGCTTTTTCGTCGGTGAGGTGGTGCTCGTTCCGTCGGGCTTCATATCCGTAGTAACGTCTGGTGTGGCCGTTGTCGAGTTCCCGGTGTGCGGCTGCTCGGGCGAGCTGCGAGCTACATTTGCGGTTTCAGGGGTCATCATGTAAGTCTCTCATTTATAGGCTCGTTGCGAAAGTGTCCAACCGTCCAAACAAAGGCAAATAAATCGCGGGCTACCCAAAGAACAGTGGAAGATATGCGAGTTATCCTGTCGAGCTGCAGCGGGAATAAAGTTGCCAGGCGGTTCGAGAACCTATTAGTCGAGCGTGTTTTTGACGCTACTTGCAAGCTGCGTCAGGTCGACGATGTCAGCGGCGATGGTTCGGCAGAGGAGAAACCTTCTCTCTTCGTTTTCGGGGTATTGTCTCACGAGCTTCGATTTCAGCGTCGCAGGATGTACAGATTGGAAGTTTGAGTCTTGACAACATCGAAATGTCAAAAAAGAGTCCGGGGTGTGGAAAAGGATGAAAGTGGCCGGGGCGCGGGGCGGACAGGCGGGGGTCCAAGGAATAATATATTTCATGTAGATTTCCCACGCGATCAGATACACGTCTTGAAAGGGAGCTAGGTACCTGGCATGGCGCCCTCAGAGATGTGTCTAGCGTTTAGTAGTCGCATTATAATACCCCACAACTTGTTCAAGCAGTTAGATGCTGAAATGCTTGTCATTGCGCTTAGACAAGGGCTTTCCTGGTGAGACTTTGTGGGAGCTTCTCACATGCTCACTTGAAGCCCGTAAGAGCCCGCCTCGTGACAGTCAAAAACGTAGATTGTGAACCAACAATCCGCTTGCGGGCTGGTGGGTGGTTCATCTTCTTCAATGTTCTTTTCCGGACGTTTGCCGGTACCCCGGTTCATGATACGCGAGACGCGAGCCAACTTGGTGGACAGCTCCACCTCCAGGACTTGATGAAGTACAGAGTATGTCATGTCCACACTCGTCGAACCCCTCCGCAATGGGTATTGTGGAGCGGCCAATCACCTCGTTCTACTCGTTAGCTAACACGCCGCTGCTTTTGCTCACCTTGCGGGCGGCGCTGGGCGACTCCTCGTGAACATGGCCTAGCCATCACTAGACCATTTCAGACGACGAGTCAGGAAAAAGGCGGCAGTAGCGTCCACAGAGTTTGTGACCGTCGACCTCTAGTCAAGATACAACACCGCCATTATCACAATATGACATTGTGCGCCCAGCCCAAGTCCCAAGCAAAGAATGCTAGGCATTCCAACGATAAGCCAGATAATCGCCTTGTACTTCGTAACGACGGTGTATTGAGAAGTTCTTTGCTGCAGACTTGCATGCCGATGCAGCTCCGGACAGCCTTGAAGGTGAAGGAGCAGAAGTGAGGAGTCTTCCTCATTGGCATGCTATTGTCTTTTTGGGCAATTCTCCGCCCCACCGAAGGCGCTGCCCCAGATACTTTGAGATGAGACCGGTCATCAAACGAAAAAGTTACAAACCACGAGGCAGCATGCGCGAATGGTTGTTGCTAGACCCTTGTCGTCGACGGCGAATTTCGGGACGCACCAGTTAAATCTTTTGGATGCCTGGATGGTTTACGGGTCCTATCGTGAGTTGTAGTGGACCTCAATCCTATGAGCTGTCGAATATTGGAAATGGTGCCAGCAATGCCTGTTGATTAAGGGCACTTTGGGCGGGCAAAACCGGTTGCACAGATGCAACGCCATCATTCGGACACAAGGGTGGATGGTAACGGAGACAACTGACGAGGTAATGGACTACTTACAAGTTAAGTTACGAGATGTGAGTGGGTCGATTGGGGCATTGTTCGGAGGAGCGGAATTGCCCAGGTTGGGTTCTTACTACGAGTATGTAATGCAAGGCTGCGAGGGTGGAATCCGAGATGGTCCAGACTGCTCACTGGCTATTTCTGCTGCGGTATTAAAAAAAGAAGGAACAAATCTGCCGTCAAATACTGCAGAAGGCGGCTACTTCGTACTTATTTATGAAATGAACCATCATGACAGAATATCTGGCCCTTCACCCTTGTTTGCCGGCCATATTAAAATATCATGGATTTTGCACGGCAAGAACGGCAAGAACGGCCCCACTGGCACCTCGCTACTTCCTTCTTCTCCAGTTTTGTTGTAGTCCGCTTGGACCCCCGTCCCCCAACCCCTCATTGTGACGGCTGGGTAGATCGTTGGAATCAACCGAAATCCTGGGGCTCCCACACTTTTGAGTGTCAGTATTTCTTGGCCGATTGTCCTCCATACAACGAGTACCTCCAGACCCTCCCGGCCGCGTATCACGCATCAACATCGTATGAGTAGGATTTCATTTAATCTGATTTCAACTGCCTGCAAAGGATCGATAGCATCAGATTCACCACTCCCTAGAGGCCGATGTATATTCTCTACATTACATGTTATGTTGTTAAGTACCTGCTAACTAGAAATTTTCAATCACCGCTGAGGAAGCTCCGATCAGGACTCGGTGTCTATCCGGCCGGCCTCCGAGCGCGTCGGAGGGGTTGCTGGTGTTCCATTCGGTCGAACCCCGTCCAGCTTGCCGGTTCCCAGCGACAGCATGAGTTAATCATGCGCGTTGGCCGCAGTCATGCTTGTCAATGACGAGTACGCATCATCATTTCTAGCATGATAGGATAGATGTCACAATATGACCAAGACAATGTTGCCAACCAGTATGTAACTGGATTTACCAGGATGGCGCGTACATACTTCCGAACAATCCCGGTTGATAGTATATTCATGAAACTAGTCTGCAAAAAGGAAGTACTTATCCACGAATATGTATCTCGGGAACCCGATGTCCTCAAGACGAATCAGCCTTCTGTACTAGTAGCCCTTACTGTGTGTATAGGCCAGTCGGACTGGCAAAACTAGTGAAGTGATCGACAGACTTCCTTCGTTCTGCCAATAGGATATTTCATGCTCTACCGACTTTCCCTACTCAGTATATCCTATATATTGACGGTTTGCAGATTTTTGTTGACGCAAATTGTAGGTAACCATTTCCACGCCAGGGCAACCAACTAACCTCTTGCGCTTAACTCTTATGTACGCGAGTAAGGCTCCGGATTGAGGTAGATTCATGCTTGTTGTACCCTCGACTTGGACTGTATGCCTGCATATCTCAATGTCTTGTTCCTGAAATATATCAGTAATTCAGGTGGGCTATTGTTATTAGTCATACGAAAAAAAAAACTTGTCGCAGCTCTAGAATACCTTAATGCTTGAGGGCAACTTCGAGCACGTACAAATCACGACTCAGAAGTCTCCAGGAGAATTCACCATTTAAGAGTAGCGCCGATTTGAGAACGCCAGAGATAAGCCAAACCCGTCTGAGATACCAACATACTTACAAAGGATTCACAGATCACTTGACAGACTCCAGACGGTCGAAGAAGCGGTTGTAGCGACTGCTTTTGTATGGTCAGCCAGCCAGCCCGGGGAGCCAGCAAGTATTTCCTTCATATACTGTGTCCACCCACTTAGTGCAAACCGTTCACAACAACGCTAGTTCTTCCAGGAAAATGATAGTCCTGTATAAATATTGGGAATAAAAGTCTCACATAGACGAGCTAACGAGCGAAACCCACATCCGGCTACTCACCCACTACGATGCTCGGTCGGCCGCTTGTTGTGCCGCCTGTTCCGCTTCCTGCTCCTCCTTATGAATCTCCTTCCACTCCTCCTCCGTCACGTGCAGCCACTGGGACAACACCGTGGTGAGAGCCCAGACCTCACCAGACATGAGCAGCCGCAACAGTTCGAGGCCGAATACGTTGACGAAGCTGCGGCACGATATGGTGTGCAGGAAGCGCGGCGGGAACATATGACCCGTCGGCAGTCCTCTCCGGAGAGAAAATGCTTTCGCAACCATTCGGAGGGCCAACGCTTCGCCAGGGGCACAAATAACGCGCGTGACGAATGTCGTAAGTATGTCGGCAGCAAATAGGGATGGCAGACTCGTGAGTGGATTCACCACGTATATCGGCTCTTCCTTGGGCGAGGGGCGGCCATCACCACCGTAGCTGGGGCGCAGTTCTGCCGACCATACCCCGGCCCGTTGTTCTTCTGTCGAATCACTTGTATCCACGTCGAAGCTGATGAGCGTATTACCCAGAATCTCGGCATCCTCTTCATCGGTGCCGTAGTCCGGGTCGCCGCCGCGGTTCGAGAATGTGCTCTGTCGTCGGATGGCCCCGATAGGTATTCCAGGCTCGGCGCCATTGGGTTGGCCTTCGAGTGCATTCAGCGTCGGTATGTGCATATCCTGACTTGAATGTGGTGTATGCCGTATCTCGCGGTCAGCTGGTCCCAGAGTTGGGGATTCGGCAATCGTTTGCGATGTTTGAGCGGCTGCGGCTTGTGCTCGTTCCCATATTTGTGCCAAGTGCTTGTTTCTCGATGGCTGCGGAAGGCGCTTGTGGATGTGAGGTTTGATTAAGTAGGTCGTGTACTCATACGCACGGCCACCGAAGTAGAACACGGCATAGGGGAATGCGTTGGCGACCAACCTGGCGAGCCAGCCACCGATGGATGAGGCGTTGAGAGATTCGATGGCAGGTGGGGCAGGAAAAGGAGAGGAGCTGGAAAAGGGGATAAAGAACATGATATCTGGGATCCAGCGAGAAGCCGGTATCAAGTCTACTTGTTGCATAGTCAAGAAGAGATGCAAATGGAGTCGTATCCAACCCATACCATATTCCAACCTAGGTCGATTTAGATGATTGATCCCTCCCGCAGCGGTTCTCAAATTTGAACATACCATCGTTTCTTCGTCCTGCCAAAAACTAGCGAACTCGTGCCCAAACCTTCCATGACGACGTAAGATGACAGACCGGCCAGGAGAAGTTTTCCATAGGAATGCCGGGTGCGCTCATAAGGTATCAATTTGGAGTATTGCACGTGAGAGTAGGACTTGTATAGCTGCAGGCTGGTCAGTAATATGATCTTGTAAAGCTGGCAGGGGGCATACAAGAATGCGTTGTCGCACGCCGTGCACTCCCCATGTTCCAAATGTTACCAGCGTGTGTCCAACATGCAGTAACCATCTTCCTGTCTCGCTCTCATACGCCTGATGTTCTTTGGCAAGAGCAAGCTCTGACTCATTGATGCCCCCGTTCTCAGGCTCGGCTACACCAATAACTTGCATTACTTCGTTGTGCGCTCGAATGAGGCTTTTGATGATTGTCTTGGTCTCATGGTTGACAATGCGACCCTTTTCATCGTACTGCGGCTCAGGCTCACGAGGGTTTGCTTCTCCTTCGCCTTCCACAACATCGTCATAAGGCGATCTGCCCTAGAAATTTTGTCAGAATAAAGTGTTAATTGTATTCTGACTGGAATTTCCTTTACCAGAGCCTGGGAGGTCAACGGTCCAAGCCTTCCCATCGTGGCTTATTTGGGTTTGCGACTCGAAGCTGATAGGATGGGACGGTGACAACACAGGGGAGTCGCAAAGGATTAATCAATACGACCGACTTCCATATTTCTGAAGAAGTGATCGGCTGTCGCTATGGGGTATCGAAAGAAAAAGGCCACCTCATTAATAAAGGCTATCGTTGTATGTGTATCATGAATCAATCTGGATTCGAGATTACCATGCGACATGAATGATGGGCTACTGAGATGAGGCCTGGTGAACGGACCCCTGACTTGACCCGAAGCAATGACCAGCAACGAGGCGGTCGATCCTGCAGCTGAACCCCCGATACAGTGTTATCGTTATCAAAGGGAAAAAATCTGAGAATATCCCACCTCGAGCTGCCCTCGACCATCTGAAAGTCGATTCACGCCGCGTTCTTGTCATTATTTCAAAGATGGCGAACAAGGCGCCTTTCAAGACGACTTTCGAGGTGACCGAGGTCATCCGACCGATATTTACGGGGGGTGCGGTTGCCTTAGACAATGGCGCCCAAATTCTTGCAACGACCCTCGGCGAAGATGTCGTCCTCACCAACCCGGCGACAGGAAAACACATTGCTCAAATCGAAGGCGATGGGGAGGGGATTTCCACCTTGACATGTGAGTAATGCCGCCAATCTACCCTACAGCAATCGCTCTGACCAACATGTAGTGACACCGTCTGGCTCCCACCTTGTTGTGTGCTCTCGGTCCTTGTCCATGCGAATATACGCTTTGAAATCGCCCCAATCGAAAGATACCATCACGCCGCAACTTCTTCGAACCGTAAAACCCCATGGGACTCCCGTGATAGTCCTCGCGGTTGACCGAACTGGCACCCTCCTGGCGACTGGTGGTACAGATGGCTCGATCAAGGTGTGGGATATTGTCGGTGGATATGTCACGCATACCTTCCGCGGACCAAGTGTGCTGGTGTCTGCCTTGCATTTTTTTGAAGTCGCAGCGGGCTCTGTGAAGGGACACGATGTAGACGCCAAGAAAGACGACAAGAAGAAGAGGAGAAAGTCCAAGACCGCCGACGACGAGCCCGAAGAAGACCTCACTGCTACGGCGCGTTTCCGTCTGGCATCTGGCAGCCAAGATGGAAAGGTCCGCGTTTGGGACTTACACAAGCGCAGCGTCGTAGCGAATCTGGAATCCCACGTTTCCGATGTCCGCGGCTTGGACTACTCGCCCGACCAGAACACTTTGGTGACAACCGGCAGAGACAAGACGATTACCTGGTGGGATTCGAAGTCTTGGAAAGTTCGGAAAGTTGTTCCTTGCTTTGAGGAGGTCGAGGCTGTGGGGTTCACTGGGGACGGTCGCTTGACGTACACTGCGGGCTCAGCTGGTTGGGTGTCTGTTTGGGATACTGAGACTGGCAAGAGGCTCACCAAGCAGCAAGAACCAAAGAGCAACGAAGAATCCATTATTGGGGCCGTGTCAAGACCAGAACTACCATTCATTATCTGTGTTCAACTGGACCATACCCTGGCTCTCTACCATCATCCGATACAAAAGAGCTCCTCAGAGGCACCCATTGCATTCCGTCGGATATCAGGAACGCACGACCAAATTATCGACTTACGCTACCTATTGCCTGACTCCTCGATGTTGGCACTGGCAACAAACTCGGAAGATATTCGATTGATTTCAGTGACCAAACCATCGGATGGGGCAAGTGGGTTGGTGTCGAGTAATTACTTTGGTCAAGATATTGCTCTTCTGAAAGGGCACGACCAAATCATTATTTCACTTGACGTGGACTGGTCAGGTCACTGGGTAGCTACTGGAGCGACGGATAATACTGCCCGTCTCTGGCGAATAGATCCTGCGAACAATTCCTACACGTGTTATACGACGTTTTCAGGCCATGCCGAGTCCATAGGCGCGGTTGCGCTACCTAGAGCGCGGCCTGTGGAAGGTTCCAAAGCATTCACCGACCCACTGAGCCACCCTCCCCCCTTCCTCATCACCGGTTCCAAGGATCAGACCATCAAAAGGTGGGAGATCCCAAGGATGTCTCAAGATAGCAACAAGTCTCTTCGATCGGCATTCACCCGCAAGGCCCACGACAAAGACATCAACGCCATTGATGTCAATTATTCATCCCAGATGTTTGCTTCAGCTTCGCAAGATCGGACTGTCAAGATCTGGTCAGTTGAAGAAGGAGAGGTACAGGGCATTCTCCGTGGACATCGCCGCGGAGTATGGTCAGTCAGTTTTGCCCCCTCAAACACGCCAGTTATCCAGGGTGAGCAGGGTCCTGTTGCAGGAAAGGGTGTAGTCATCACTGGAAGTGGCGATAAAACCATCAAGCTGTGGAGCTTATCAGACTACTCTTGCCTGCGCACATTTGAAGGCCACACAGACAATGTTTTGAAGGTTGCCTGGCTCAAAATACCTGCTAGTGAGGATCGCAACAAGAAGCCTGTTCTTTTCTCCAGTGCTGGCGGTGATGGGCTAGTCAAGGTGTGGGACGTCAACCGTGATGAACCTGAGTGCACCCTTGACAACCACGAGGATCGAGTGTGGGCACTAACTGTGCACCCTGAGACAAACATGATTGTATCTGGCAGCGGCGATTCAACCGTCACTTTCTGGAAGGATACATCGTCAGAGACTCAAGCTGCTTCGAACGAAGCTCAGGAGATGTTGATACAACAAGAGCAAGAATTAGAAAACCACGTGCGCACTGGATCCTACCGAGAAGCGATCACGCTGGCATTGCAGCTCAACCATCCCGGCAGGCTTCTTTCACTTTTCACGAAAGTCGTGTCTTCGAATACCCCCGACGAGGGTAGCTTGTCGGGGTTGAAGGCCGTGGACCAGGTTTTAGCCAATCTTTCAGATGAGCAGCTGTTCCTACTATTGCTGAGGTTACGGGACTGGAACACGAACGCCAGGACGGCACCCATGGCACAGCGCATATTATGGGCTCTGGTTCGGAGCTATCCGGCATCACGAATCTCGAACCTTTCGGTGAAAGGGGCCCGAGGCCAAAAGAGTCTGAAAGAGGTGTTGAATGGGCTGAAAGTCTACACGGAGAGGCATTACAAGCGCATGGAAGAGCTGGTCGACGAGAGTTATCTGGTGGAATATACCCTGCAGGAGATGGAGAGCTTGGCCCCGCCATTAGCTGAGATCAGTCTCGATAGCATTGATGGGGACATTGTTATGGCTTCATAAAGGCGACTACATGTAGATACTAGCACCGCAAAAATATACATCAAGAAACAACTGCAGTAAAATATGACAACGGGAACGTGTGTAAGCTTAGTATTCCTATCCCAGTCTCGGCTGGCGTCAATAGCCACTAGCCAAATGTAGCTAGCTCGTTGACATCTCAATTTCTACAAAGCGATGACAACGACGACTGAGGATCTCCAAGACAAGTGATACTGCACTCGGCGAACTCGAAATCCAAAGAGACAATTCTCAAACCCGAGAGTATATGGCCGCATAAGTCATGAGATGATTCACGAAATTCCCGTGCATCTCCCGTCCCGATGAGGTACGCCGATATTCTCGTCGATTTGGCCGCTGTCGTCAGAGCCTCTAGATCCGTTGCATCCAAGCATCTAGAGCTTCGGGCCCAGCAATTAGATCGTTATGGGAAAACCTCCAGTATACTGCGTTCTGTAAGGGAGCTGCAAAACAGCTACCCTCAACAAAGATCGGAAGCCGCGGGGAACAGGACATCGCCAACAGAATCGGGGTCAGATGCGACTGTTCAAGCTGAAGCCAAGTCTTCACGACCGGGGCCAGATATTGTTGGCATGACATCATCCCCTGGGATATCGCATACGGACCTGAAACGGAACCTTGGATCTTCCGTTTTCGAACAACAGGACAAATACAAGAACCTCGTGCGCCCCGTTCCTGAAAATGGGGCAATCAACACCCAACCGCCCTTATCAAGCCCGCTGAGACAAGCTCTCTCCTCGCACCCAAAAGGCGGAATTCAAAAGCAGCAACTTGATGAGACGGCAAAAGATTCTTTGTTGAACCCATGTTCCGAACACACCAGGGCAGTAAGAGATGCGACTGAGACCGAACCTCAGGAGGACGATCTTCCACCCGAGGTGGACATCAACGTCTTTCACACAAGCCGCGGATCCCACCTTTTGGACGGCAAGGATGATTTCATTGGCAAGAAACGACCGGTTTCGCCTCCGCCAAAGCCCAGTTGGTTTAAAGAATTCGGTCACGGAAGGGCCGAGTCGAAGTCAGATGATTCGGTGATCAGTTCAATTAGCCCTGAAGAACCGACTGCAAAGGGCGTTGCCCTGACTTCGGTGACCAGTGCGGTGACAGAAGCGAAGGAGACGGTTTTGACAGAGGTCAATCCGCCAGCGATTCAAACAGGCGAAAAGGATACTACTAAGAGTGCTGAGCTGCTCCAAGACGTCTGTTCGGAAGCCGTGTCGCCTACAACTGCGCCATCCGAAGAACCTGCTAAACCAGCCTATATTCTCCGTGAGTCTAAAGTGCCGGCCACTCGACTCAGTAGGATATGGAACTACGGAGGTCTGGCCGCCGGTATGCTCGGCGGAGCTATTACTGAAGGCTTCAGCAGGGGCTTTGGCGGAGGTAGTCAAGGCTCCGTGCTGCTCAGTCCTGGCAACATGGAGCGACTCGTAGCCAAGTTGTCTCGAATGAGAGGTGCTGCTCTCAAGATGGGGCAGATGATGAGCTTCCAGGACGCAAAAATGCTCCCTCCGCCCATCCAAGAAGTGTTGCAGCGAGTCCAAGATCGGGCCGACTACATGCCTGCTTGGCAAAGAGACCGAGTCTTGACGGCAAGCCTTGGGCCTGAATGGCGTGAGCTATACGACGAGTTTGAGGAGACGCCTATAGCGGCTGCTTCTATCGGGCAAGTTCACCGAGCCACGCTGAAGTCAACTGGAGAGAAGGTAGCCGTCAAGATCCAGTTCCCGGGGGTTGCCGACTCCATCAACTCCGACCTCGACAACCTATCCATGCTCCTCACCGCCTCCAAAATGCTACCCAAGGGCCTGTACCTCAACAAGTCCATCGACAACGCCCGCACCGAACTCGGCTGGGAATGCGACTACGAGCGCGAAGCGCAATGCGGCCAACGCTACCGCGAACTCCTCGCCAGCGAACCCGACGTTTTCGTCGTCCCCAAGATATACCCCGAGGCCTCGGGCAAACAGGTCCTCACCATGGAATTCATGGAAGGCGTGGGCGTGACGCGGGTCAAGTCCTTCACGCAGGACCAACGCGACTGGATTGGCACACAAATCCTGCGCCTCTGCCTCCGCGAGATCACAGAATTCAAGTTCATGCAGACGGATCCTAACTGGACCAACTTTCTGTACAATACGTCCACGCAGAAGCTCGAGCTGCTCGACTTCGGCGCCTCGCGCGAGTTCCCTGACCGGTTTGTTGCCCAGTATGTCAGTTTGCTCGCCGCGGCCGCAAGGTCCGATCGCCTGGCTGTGAAGGAGCTGTCTGAGAGTCTGGGCTATCTGACGGGCCATGAGAGCAGGACCATGCTCGACGCGCATACGGCCAGTGTGTTGACGCTGGCGGAGCCGTTCTTGCAGAGTGCGCCGGAGATTTATGATTTCAGTGACCAGACGATTACTGAGAGGGTCAAGGGGCTCATTCCCGTCATGATCCGGGAGAGGTTGGCGCCACCGCCCGAGGAGACGTATAGTCTGCATCGCAAGCTCAGCGGGGCGTTTTTGCTGTGCGCCAAGTTGGGGAGTAAGGTGCGGTGCAGGGAGATGTTTGAGGAGGCGCTGAAGAAGACGGAGTTGAATGTCAAAGTATAGAGTGTACAACAGGGGCAAGTGTATAGTAATCGTGCTCATATTGGCTTCAGTATTACATTGCGCAACGGGGAGGGCCTTCAACAAACGATGCCCATGGTGGTGTCATGTAAACTACTCCTCTACTAGACAACTACCATCACCACGACCGTTGGCTTCGTGCTGTGTCACATCAAATCACCTCTCCCGTCTCACCCAAGGCAAGTCCTTCTTCTCCTTAGAAACAATCTTCTTCCTCTTCCTCTCAATCGCCTTATCTACATCTCTCTTCTTAAGCCCCTCGAACCGCTTAACAAGCACCTGCTTCTTCTGTTCCGCCTTCTTGAGGTAGAATGGCTTCTTCCCCTGCTTTACCGCCTCCTTCTCCTGCTTCCGATGCTCCTCGAGCACCGCCCGCGCCTCGTCCTTCCGCTGCTGCGCAAGCTTCTTGCTCTGCATCGAGATCAGCGCCCTTTGCAGTTCCTCCTTCGCCCGCGGGTCCTTCGTTTTCTTGATGGTCGCCCGCAGCGTCGCTATTTCCGCGTCTCGGTACTCGGACAGGAAAGAGTAGTTTTTCCGCACGGCGTCTTCGCTGGGAGGGCCATGGGCTCCTAGGGGGCCGAAACGCGGGTCTCGCGCTGTGGGCTTGTGGACGGGCACTACTTCGCGCTTGCGCGTCACGGCGCGTTTGGAGGTTTGCTCGGCAGGGGCATGTTTGGAGCTGCGGCCTTGTACAGGCTTGAAGGTACGCTTGGGATCATAGCCGTACGTGGTTGTGGCTTCTGCTTCGTCTGCGTCTGCGCCGGACTCGGAGCCAGAGCCAGAGCCAGAGTCGGAGGGGGCGGTTTTGCGGCGGCCTTTTCGCGGCGGGAGGGAGGCTTGGACTTTGGCTAGTTCACCAAAGGATATTTGTGAAGGGTCTAGAGTTGGCTCTGCATCTTCCTTGTATTCGTCCTCGTCTGAGGACGCGTCGGACTGCGACTCGTCTTCGTTATCGCTGGCGTCTTCGTCCTCGTCTTCGCTTCCTTCGGAGGATTCGATGATTTCTTCAGGTTCGGGCTCTTCCTTGCGTGCGCGCACACGGCGTTGGAGGCCCGAGAAGGGTAGTTTGCGCTTTGAGGACTTGGAAGGCCCCATTATTGGATTTTGAGTATGATCAAGGATTAGCACGGTTGAGTATCGACTCGGAATTTGAGGAAGAGTGGCGGTGGTCCAGGAGATAAACTATATTTTTCTTATCGACCTAATCGATAAGCAAGGCGCCATGGAGAAGCAGCAAGAGCTGATCAAAGCCGCACACGTCTTCAGATCTCGCCTACGCAATGACTGGAAGCGTCATGCTGCACGGATGATCGCAAGCAGAGGCGGGTCTCCATAGATATTGGTGACATTTCGCGACTGCCGAGACTCATCGGCACAGATAGCAGTCTTAGAGTTGCCCATGCAGTGTACTATTACTGGCCGTCGCGCCCTTGTCAGGTCTTTCGGTGTCCAGATTTGGCGCCAAAAGACCCTCTTTCGACCAAGCTCGACTGCCGCCGCAGTTGGGACCACCAGAATCGGCCCAGAACATGACGGTCTGACGACGAAACCTATCCAGATCATGCCTTCTCAAGAGCACAACAGGCGTTACAAAATGCGCGCGAGGAATGCGAGTCTCAATGGCGCAGCGGCGCCGTTTGAGACGCGGCCCATAACTGATTACCCAACACCGCCTGCGTATAACGTCTCACAACCAGTTACCTACTTCGATGGATCATCATCCCAGAACGACGCTCGCAGAGTCCCAACACCCCCTAGTACTGGAAACACACCCGAGTACATTCCCTTCGAGCCCGAAGAATCCACTGGCCGCCCATCATCCGTTGGTGCTCTGAGCGGCTCGAATGTTCCCAACCCAATTCCACACGACCCTTCCTCGTCCGTCACGGCTCTACCACGAGGCATTCAACTTAAGCAGGGTTCCCAAAACACCAAGGCAAAACCCAACAAATGGAAGAGGGACATAAGGACAGCTCCGTCGCCGGCCTCAGGCGGCGTTCCCAACCCGACCTCCGAATATATACAGCAAGCCTCCCTGTCGCCCACGCAGCTACCAGAGGCGCGCAGGATCTTGGTCGTCATTGATTTGAACGGCACACTACTGTATCGCCCCAACCTGAAAACCCCATCCAAATTTACCGAAAGACCCCACGCGCGCACATTCCTGGACTATTGCATACGGACATTCAAGGTCGCGATTTGGTCGTCCGCTCGTCCGCCCAATGTCCATAAGATGTTGCTGCAATTGCTCACGCCCGAACAGCGAGAGCAGGTGGTGGCCGTATGGGCGCGAGATACCCTCGGCTTGACTCCAGCCGATTACAGTGCGCGCGTGCAGGTCTACAAGCGCCTGGAGAAGCTCTGGCAGGATCCAGCCATCAGTGCAAGCCACCCCGAGGCTGCTTTAGGAAGGAAATGGGATCAGACGAATACAGTTCTCGTGGACGACTCAGTTGAGAAAGCACGAAGTCAGCCATTCAACCTCATTGGACTTCCGGAGTTTAAGGGTAACGAGGCTGAGTACGGTCATGTGTTGCCTCAGGTTCACGACTTCTTGAACGAATGCACTAAGCAGAGGGATGTAAGCTGTTACATACGGTCGAATCCGTTTGTGCTCCGGGAAGGATTTTCGCTGGAGCCGCCGCCGATATGAAGAGGAGTGATCAACTTTGGTCAAACAGAATTTGATGGAGATGAATTGAAGACCGTCGTGTATGACCAGTTTGTGCTGCCGTGGATTGGCTCACTCCACTCGCAAAAGGAGGATCACGCAATCGGCATCGGCTGCCACGAGATCACAAATCTGCGGTATCGTTTTTTCTGTTAAACCAGAGTTTTAATCACCAAATCCACCGCCGAACCGGATGCCTAGGAAGTGACTAAAAAAGAAATCGAATACGTCACTTCTGCGCCTTGCATAGCAACATATTCACTAAAGAGCAGAACTGTAGATGACAGCAATTCGATTTCGCAAGAGTCGGGGAATGAAGAAAAATATCACTACAGAGAGTGGAGGTGGCGGTACTGGCCTGGCTCAAAACACAGTCCTGCATAGATATCATTCGGTTACTAGGGAAGTTTTGAAGCTGTTGTTGCAGGATTATCGCAGGAGAAAGTACATTGTTGGATCCATATAGACATGAAATAGCAGGAATAGCATTATAGATATAGAAGTATAGCATTAAGACTGCATTGTTCATAAGTTAACCACCAAATCCGTTTTTTGATTTCGCTGCGAGAAGCTACATGTAAGTCACGAATCCTTCAATCGACGAAGGGTGTGATGGCTTCCCGTTTGCGATATTTCATGCGATTTGGGATACTTTGCTGGACGCTCATCAACATGAATTTATATTTCATCACCCTTCGTAAGTTGACCCCGCCAGCATCTTCGCATATTGAACAGTCACATGCACCAACTCAGAAGTCCTTTAAGGGGGGTTCGATTTCTGTCAGCAAATTTTGTCCCTCAAATTGTAATGACTTGTTAGCATTGCATCATTCAGTGTCCATCTAACTACCACAGCTATTATGACCCAACACTTTCTACCCTCATTCTCCACCAGTCCTATTCCTACTCATTATACACTAGAAGAAGATGCCCCCCATAAGAGCCATCTTCTTCGATTTCATGGGCACCTGCCTCGACTGGCACACCACCGTCGTCTCCTCCCTCCCCTCTTCCATCCCAGCGGAAACGCGCTCCAAGCTCGCCCTCGTCTGGCGCGAAGCCTTCTTCGCCGAGAACCACGCCCGGCAGGCCCTGAGTCTGCCGTCAGAGGACATCGACCTCACGCATAGGCGCACGCTGTTGCGTCTTTTGGACGCGGAGCCGTGGGCGACGGCATGCAAGCCACTTTTTGGCAAGGAGAAGGAGGAAACTGTGGCAAGAGCGGTGGAATCCTGGCATCAAATGCAAGCTTGGCCGGATGTGTCACCGGGTATGGCTACATTGAAGAAGGTGGTTTCTAGTCCAGGAACAGGAACAGAAACCCCAATCGAGCTTTTCGTGCTCGCCAATGGCACAACACGCCTCCAGCTTGACCTCGTCCGGTCGTCGGGCCTAGGACGGAATGGGATATTCTCGATGCTCTTCTCGAGTGAGCTCTTGGGGGTGTACAAGCCAGCGCCCGAGGCGTACGTGAAGGCGCTGGGATTGGTGGGCGTCCAGGCGGAGGAGAGCGTCATGGTCGCGGCGCATGCGTACGACCTAAGGGCGGCGAGGAAGGTGGGGATGAGGACTGTGTATGTGAGACGGTGGACAGACGATACGGATGAGTATATGCAGGTGGTCAGGGGTGAGAATAAGGCTTTTCTTGAGGGTATGGGGAGGTTGAGGGGGGTTGTAGAGGGGTTCACGAGAGAGTAGGGGTAGGGTGGGTAGTTGGAGGGATTGGTCGCCGGAAGGGAGAGTTAGGGTGATCTAGATGCTTAAGCGGGCGGTTGTCTGATGGGTATACGTAACTGGAATCACCGTATAACTCCCGAAGGAAGTATACAGCTTCAAAATTGGCATTATGAAGAGTGTGTACTGATGCCACAGGTCTATAGCTCCAGATGACAGCTGTAGCCTTCATGATAGCTCGTCCCTTTGGGTTGTATACCGCCGTCACGGCTGCGTCTTACTGGTCGACACACTCAGCTATCGAAGAATAGCAATATTTTATAGGAAAACGAAGGCACCATAAACGTTATCAGAGTCATTGAATTACTACGATCATTCATCAGTATTGGTATTCTTCAACAGCGGGTCAGTAGGCGATAGAGTTGAATCTTGATGACTGTCAGTGCCATGAAAACGTAGCAGACCGTGACCGGATGCTTACAGTCTCGATGCAGTATTCAGCACTTCGAGGGAAACATTACCTGTGTTCGTTTCAATGCAGCAACTGACGTATGCTGTGTTGGGTTTATAGACACACGATAGATCTTGTCGAAATAGATCCTTTAATCTCTCTGCACTAATGTGTTCCCTTGGGGAAAGTAACAACGAGCAGCGTATACGAAACTACGCCACCACGCCACCAGCTAATCATCAACGAGTTCTAAGAAAGCCATGCTTACACAGGCCTGTCCACGCCCGCCCTGATCACATGACACACCCTTCTCCATGCTCAAAGTGAGGTACATACAGACTCGTCGTAGAGCCACTCGTCAAGGAATGTTGCAGTCCCGAAAGGGAAGTACGCTTCGTACCACGCTGGCCAGTCACGGGCACGCCCTAGGTATCATTCCGGGAAAGGCGATCATTCATATCCTTCAGGCGTCCACGGAATGCCTGCATATGGGTATGGGTCAACATGATTCTATTTTTTCGACGACGACGACTGAAAGCCTGTGTCTGTAGAAGCAACTCAGACGTGGATTATTGCTACGAAGTTCTTCGAAATTCGCCGCAGGCCGCGTGACTACCCGAGTATCTAGGAATATAATACTTATCAAATCGTTCACCGGTACCGAGAATAATTCTTAAGACAACTCGTTATCATCATCATGAAGTATGTAATTGGACAACCGTATTCCAGCACGGGGAATAAATTCAAGTCGTACAACATGACTCGGGAAAAAATGTGAAGGATCTGACAACTCGAAGCCCGCACAGATCTCCAAAAGACCTTCCTCACCTGGAGACAAGTATGAATGAAAAGATTCGGCACATAGCCCGTGGGCCTTCTGAGCCTTCTGGGCCTGTCGACCGGTCCCGCCGCACCTCATTTCGCCTTTCGCCATTGGGCTGGTGATGCCGCTCACAGGTGAGAAGAGATGGTAGTTTCACGAAGAGCAAGCCATGAAGCGGTAATACGACGTATCATGAGCATCTGTCTGATGCACATTCTTGGTGCCGGAGAAGTATGTTTTAGGAGTCAAGCCTAGGACATGAACCCAGCCCATAACTGGGCTATACAGCCATGGAAAGGCAGCAACGTGTTTTTACGGTATGCCACTGATTCTGAATTAGATTATTGCTCGAAGTCCTAAGGAGCGCGGTTAAAGTGAAACCCCATTGTTGTGTCTGGCTTTCACCGGCCCACCCGCTAGTCAGGTCATCGAGTGACGGGGATGCCTTGGAAAGAATGAGACACTGCGGGAGTAACCTAGTGCAGATGCTCGAATCCGCAAATGAATCGATGAGATCTCGAGGGTGTTCGCATGCAATATCTGCAAGATCGACATGGGAACTCGGCGCAAGGTGACGGAGCCAGGTTGACCTTGAGAACAGGGGCTGCAGCCGCTATGACCCGGACATGTGAACACCCGTGGGTGGCGGTCTGCGGCTGGGATATGCGGTGCAGGCAAGTGCATTAGAGGTATGAATGGTCGAGTAATCTTTCCTACCCAGATCTGTGAAAAGCAAACGGCCCCTGTCAGAAATCAGAAGATATGACGACCTTGCCGGCATCCGGCGAAATGGTGCGCGGAGTAACCAGACCGGGGCGACGCTTGCAACTCATCCCCTTTTGGGTGATTGTAGGTCTGGCGCAGTTCAGCGATAGGAGCCGAGAAATATTGACCGCTCGTCAACTGTATCAGGCCCGGGAGGTTGCCCGATGAGGCTGTTGGTCGATTGAGTCAATGTGTCTCGGCGGCTAGTATGTCCAAAGTACAAAGTGACCCGCTATTTCCAATAATGCAGCCGGGGAGGCGGGCACCACCAGCGGCACGCATGGGCACGCAAAGGAGCTACGTAGATAATCACAGTGAGATGCCCATCAAACCCGACTCGTGGAATTGCGGCCGAACAGAGCAGACCGGGCCCGTCATTGCCGATAATCGGGGCTTGAGAGAAAGCTGGTTGATGTGAGACGAGACGGGTTGTACGGGATTGCCCCCCAGTCCGGGAATATTCAATGTTTCAGCTCGCGATTGCAGTTATGCGAGATCGAAGACCCTGAAGACATCGATGGCGTGAACCGGGTGGTTTGTCTTCAGCAGCAGCACCATCTGTCCTTTTACACAGACGAAGCAGGAGGCACACACACACCCACGTCGGCGATCCACCTATTTGTGGCATCTGCAGCCATGTCGACTTGATCACCATCACCCCCAAGCGCCCCATGTCCAGCGTCGCTTCTAGCGGGTTAGCGGGCCATCAAGAGAGCAGTGGGGTTGCCATAAAATGTGACATGTCGTACGGAGCCAGCACATTTCATTCGAACAAATGGAAAGAAGGCTGACCAATCTCGCCACCCATCACCCACGACCCTTGAAATACATCCTCTCAGCTCCATCTACCCTTCCTCCCAAAAGCACACGTCTCTTTCATTTCCCTCCCCCCCTACCTAGCATGCCAGCCTCTTGCCTACCTGGGCAAGCCTTGGGTAGCACTGCGCGGAAACGGGGCGATGGGTTTTCGATCTCAACCATGGCGCTGGGTCCGATCAATGATACCCAACACGACACCCCTCTATATTGCGCATACATTGTGCAGCGCAGCAAGCCCGCTCGCCTGCCCTGCGCTTGCTGCTGGTCTTGAGCCAATCAATACCTGGTGTCGACCGCAAAGGGAAATGTTTAGAGTTAACGACTGTGAAATGTTTTCTGTGGCGTTCTCTAACTATTCCCCTGATAAATGGTGAAAAAGCATATCTCTAGGCAGGTATATGGAAACCGTGGTGGTGCTACACCAGGAGATGGTGCGAACCCATTCGTAGAGGCTGCGGCTGACAGTCGAGCAGTTCAAGATGTCTGGCCTGCTCTTGAACGGTGCTTATTCTTCATATTTGAATAGTGTTAAGTGAGGTAAATAATTGCTGGAGTGCAGGAGGTGTGCCTTCCCTGGCCGGAGTGCGGGGTGTCCGGTTGTATGACGGGAATAATTAGATTAACAATTTCGCTTCATTTAAGTTGTCGGATACTACTCATGACTGTTTGAGTCACTGTTGCTGACTTTTTACGAGCCGTGTCTATTGAACGTGGTGATCCCAAGTCAAAGTCGTGCAGTGCAGTCTCCGCTGTTTAGGTTCATCGATGATGAGGCTGTTGGCATTTAGATAACCTTGGAAATGTTGGACGCCAGTGCAAGTCATTTCTGTACTGCAGTCTGGGAGCTAGGCCTCGGCCGATGGGGTTACATGTGCATAATCAGTTAGCTGCAGAGACTTGATCGACATCAGACAATGCGCGGAAGTCCAGGGGCTCTATGATGAGGCGTTTGAAGGTTTACAACTTTAGGGTTTTGCTGCCCAACCAGTTGTCACAGGCTGACCAGATTCTGCAGAAAACGTCCAGGTACTCAAATATTGATAGTCTAGATGCGCCTCGGATGCACCTAGGGTCCAGAGAGGGAGCTACCCCGGTAAGAAATAGGCAGTTTGTGCTGTCGATCCTCTTCATTCGCCAATTGGGCACAAATAGTGCCCAATAAGCGCCACCCTTCGTAGCAGCACTGAGAATCATTGCCGCACTTGCACTATGAATTTGATGATTATTACCTGCTGCTGTGTGAAAGTGTGCTACAAGTTGAGATTATCTGTGGTGAAAAAGCAACATATGATTCATTATATGCGCAAAGTGGCAAAGTGTACATGTACAACCCTGGCTGTCCAGGTGTGAACTCCTCTAGCCCATGAGGCTTTCCTATGTACCATGAAATTCGTCAATCAATTCGACACCGTGACACCGTTGAGTAAAGATAACAGCTCGTGAGAGCACTTCGTCTCCTGCCGTCTATGTTCTCTTCGGCCATTGACTCGCGTCGGGCGTCCAGGGTATCCGTCCAAACATCATACAGCCGTACGCCCCTTGTCCTAGGTTGCTTTTCCTTGTCCTGCCTGACAATCCTGTGCTGGCGTCAGACCAGCCCTGCTCGTTCCTTCATTCTCAGGTACCAACTTCCTCCATGTTCGTCGTGACATTCAGCCCCAAATATGAACCCAAATGCATATTGATGCCTCATACCCACCCATGCAACGTAACTCCCAAGCGGAATGCCACACGACAATGCCGCCTGATCCCTCAGAATCCCTCACATCCCTGACCGTGTGCCAGCTGAATCAACCCAGGCTGCCATGTCCTGCCCTCCATCCATCGAAGAAAGCATACGAACCCTCGTCTGGTTCAAATGAAGATCATTCAGTCCAGCACCCAACAACCGGAGTGTGGAGATGTGCCACACCCGTAAAATATTGATTTTTGGCGCTAGGTTACCGCATGAAACTCACATCTCTGGGCCAAAAGGCAGTAGATGGTGCCCAGCGCTATCTGGTGGCATGCTGGCTCGACCCGGCCGGATTCGCAAGAGCCGAACCACTAGCACTCGCACCGTGAACGTTTTCGTAGAGATCCAGACATTCTTCGATAACTGCAACAGAGGTCAGTAGACTGCAACAGGAACGACTTGCACACGCCAGGGCCGGGGTCACTCACTCGCCACAATGGGCTCTTCCCAGACCCCGTACTCGTAGTCGACAAGACCATGACGCTCAATGCCGTCACAGAGCCGAATGATCTCTTTACCCATCTTCTTCAGGCCCTCTTCGGTTATCAATGTTTGTCCTCTCTGGAGCGGAAGTCCCGACTCCATCATGTCCTTCTGCTTCTGAAATAAGGCAAGCCACGCGTGGTTGAAATCGTGCCATAGTTTGATGCGGTCGCTGTGAAGGTTGGGATTGTCACCAGCGAGACCTGTAGGCTCCAGCTTTAGTACACCGCCGTGTGGTGATGAGACAAGAGAGATAGACGGCTTACCCAGTTCTGCAACTTTGGAAAGCAGCCAGTCGGATACGTTCAGCAGGGACTCGCTCGCTGCAAGCAACACGCCGTTGCGAACGTTCTGGAAAATCTCCTTGAGGGCAGACTGATACTGCTCGTAGGCCTCGCCCATCTCTGCCGAGGCCGAGTACTCCTGCTCCTCCATGACCTGGTCTGGGGCGGACTGTGCCATTCCGCTCATTGACGCCATCCCTGCACTGGGGTAGTTCTGGAGCATGGCTCGCTGGTCTGTCTGGTTTTGTTGATATACTGCCGGAGTGGTCGAGGACGCCGCCTGGGGTTGCAGACCTGAGCCAGCGGCCGTGTTGGTTGGCTCGTTCGGGAAATAAGGGGCGGCCACATCTGTGGGCATCATCTGCAGCGCTGCAGGCTGCCGTGATGGGAACTGTTGACTCGTATCGTAAACGGCGTTCTGGGCGCCTGCTTGCGGAACGTTGTACATCATGGGCGGGTTGTAGGCACCAAAGTTCTGCGTTTGTCGTGTATCCTGTCCATATTCGGACTGGTATGGCATTGTGTTCTGCGGCATGGCGGTAGAGAATGCCGTGGCCGGCTCCTGATAGTAGCCACTGTAGGCAGCCGTCGTACCCATGCCTCGTGCCGCCGATGGGGATGTGTTGAGTGGCGCAGGGCGGTACCTGTCAGACGCGCCCGCGCCCGCGCCTGCACCCGCTCCGTATGACCTCCTCTGCTGTTGTTGCTGTTGTTGCTGTTGCTGCGCATTGTTGGCATCGTGAACCGGGTACCTGGTGTTGGCTGGCGGTTCATTCTGCCTCCTCCGTCGCGCGTTGTCGTCCATGCCACGGTGGTGAAGCGTGTCGCCAGGTGCCTGGAGGGGCGAGTCCAGCCGATGCGCCTTCGGCAGCGGAACTGGCGTGGGATAGAGGAGTGCCAGCTTGTTTTCCGCCAGTCGGTCACGCGACCGGCCTTGCGCGATCAGTCTCTGCCACCCCAAAAAGGTGCAGCAGGTTGCGCCCAGGGAACCGGGTACGCTGGCGATAGATATGGTTGTGTCGTGCCAAACACGTCGCAGGAAAGAGCGCGGGGCTACGGCCGGGTGAAATGGCTCGTTGGGATCTCCTGGACAAGCTGAGAAGGGTAGGGAAGGGCGGACTTGGTAGCGAAGCCGTCGATCGGGATGGGACGAAGGTGTCCGGAAGAATTTTTGAGGGTGGGTGGTATTATAAGATGCAGGCACTGGACTATAGCTGGTGTTTGTCCAGAAAGAAGTCCTTTTTAACGGTAGGGAAGACGGCACAAAGACCGTCTTGCTTGACCAAGGAATGGCGGACTATGTAAGTAGACGGTGAAAGTTTGGTCTGAGTCGTCCTCGATGCAAACACCAACGGCTAATAAGCTCAAAATCATGCCTTGGACGCCCAAGTAGGGGTGACGATGCCTCCTCGCTGGGCTCAAATTTTGGGCCTCGTGCTTTTGGTCTCTAGCCCTCTCTAGCCCGGACTCGTAAACAAAAAGGACTCGAGTGGGTAGAGGTAGTATCTGGCCTGTTAACGATTGTCACCACGTGTACTGGGAGGATCCCGGGTTTCTCTGCATTGGTGCCGATACACAACAAGCAGTGACCTTGCGAGGCGTCTCGGAAGACAAGCCGCACTAGGGTCTTATGAACAAGCAGATGCCTCCGAATGCCCGTTACACAGCTCCGATTCGTCTGCCGGCTGCTGGAAATTCCAACTGAATTTTACCTGACCCGTCTATCTCTCAGGCCACGTATGAGGTCCCGTCAGTGAGTTGAGGGCTGATGAATGAAAACTCGACCGAATTCTTGGTTTGAATAGAATATAATTGGATGATATCAATAAGGGGATTCAATAAGAGGAAAGGACGCGTGGTTTGCAATCCAAAATCGAACCGAGATGCGTGAGGATTGGAAACCTAAAGGCGACAAAGGGGATCAGGCATGCGCTACTCAAGGTGCGTGTATATAAAATGGAGAATGGGTTGGGGTCGGAAGTTTTGAAGTTCATCGGGGATTTTCCTTCCACGTACAAAAGCACTTGAGCCAGATCAGATGTATGGGGTCAGAAGAAGCTATGTATGTAATCGGTAGTGCAGGCAACGGAAGACAAGGTACCTCGATCACGTAAGTGTGTTTGGCGCATATCGGCGAGTCATATGCCGGGTTGAGCCATTGAGGAAAGGTAGTGGATCGGCCTGGGAGACACAGGAGGACTATATTTCCAATATATCGGAACATGGCGGTTTGTTGGTCTTTCGCACGTACCTTGAAGCAGATGTGTGTAGTACATGGGACTGTGTTGGAATGACAATCTTCCCTAGCATGAATAAATGACTGACTGCCTTGCGCCAAAAAAGAAACCCAGTGTAGACAAACTGGGCAAATAGGTCGACGGGGTGAGCGAGATGGGTGTGGGATCTGCTTCGCATTGCGCACAGGCCGTTGTGGATGGGGTCCTGGCCGTGTCCCTGAGGCACGCCCGGGTGGTGCCCTTAGGCGACTATCACCTACTTTAGGTGTGGTGCATGACAAGGGTTGGCAGGATGTCTTCTTTTGGCAGGCGGGAGGCTGTGGGAGATCTTCGATAGGGCCTTCGACTCAAGTCGAGGATTGGAGGAAAAGGAAAAGAAAACTGTCAATATCTCTGGGATCGGCGGTTTGGGTTTCCAATAAGGATTCTTCAATATCAAAAGTAGGCTGTTGCTATACGACGCACCTGCCAAAACCCGGGAGGTGGTTGCGACAGGAGTTGCTGAAATCCAGCGATTCCCAGTACCATTTTGCTGCGATACGGTCGAGCTTTCCCAGGTTGTAATGGACGACGAAGGAAGTCACCAAAGACGGCAGGAACAGGTGATAGTGTATAGAGGCTCAACAGCAAGTTTTTCTATTTGAGTCTGTCCTCCGGTTGGCCGTCTTTCGCTTAACTTTAGCAGCTCTCTCTCTTTTCCCTTCTCTCCTGTATACCATTATTATGCGCCGCAGCTCGAAGTCGCACCACTGGCCTCCAGAACGACATTGGTTCGAATGTTCGGTACTCAAGCGCTCGAAACGGGAGTCGTTATCGTCTTCAACGGAGCGCCAAAGCTTAAAACACAACGGTCGTGCTGGCTTTTTAGTCCCAACCTAGCAGAGGAGAGCTACGAGCATTGCCACGCACCTTGATACCAACCAAGTCTGGGTAGACCGGTGCGCTTCTCCGCGCGGACGCTGTGCTATCCGTCCTGTCTGTGAGTCTGACATGTCTTTTTAGGGTTGACTCTATGTTAGTCGCCTTGTGGCAAATTCGCCGGCATTCTGCAAACCAATTCCTTTCCCGAAAGAAACACTTTGTCGCAGACTCAATAACAAGCTTGCGCAGGGATGTCCTCCAACTAGCAATGGCGAAGAAGTTTCGAATCTGGCTTATTAAAGGATTTCGCATTCTGTGCGCCCTATAGGGTGAACATAGACGAATCCGGCTGGAAAGCTATCTTGCGTCGTGCTGACGAGGATCTCCAGGTTTTGACTTCATGATCCTCATCGAGCGATCCACACATTGATTTGGCCATTTGAAGACCGGTGGCAGCCCAGCATGATCGCCAGAAGTCCTGACTCGAGCTTGGCTAGAATATTCAGATACATGCATGAAGACTCGGATGTCGCACCTAAATGGACCAAAATGACCGACAAGGGCTTGTGCTCCTTACTTCAGCAGCCAGTAGTGCGCCATTTCAGGACGGAAGGTCTCAGAGTCAAAGTAACCCTCGTCATCCCCGTCATCCCCGTTGCAGAACTTGCTCGGGTCCAGTCATATCAGTTTCTGCGTCGACGCAAGCTTTTCGCAGTGAACTCAGCAAAACATCATTTACCACGGTTTCTTCCTGGCCTATCACCACCGCCTGATGACTGGCCTCAATGTTGAAATGTAATGACTGGTGCCCAACTAATCCGCTTGGCGGCCTTACTTTTTACCTCCCCCAAGTGCGATCTGAGCGTCGGCGAAATTTTTCATGCCCCAAGCCTACCGGCGTGCACGCGACAGTTGAGGTACATCTGGCCACAGTCAGTAGCGACAGAAGCACAAGTACTCGGTGTGAAAGGGACTGCTAAAGGATGGTGCAAATGTTGGTTGTTAAAAATAAGATCCTTGAACCATGTCGTTAAAACAGACCTCAGAGCTGTCAGGGGTAACCACGAGATGTCGTCAATATCGTGCAAGGGTGCGTCTGAACCTTGTCCCGGCGCCAACCGGGGCACTGGATCGATTCTCATCCACTCGAACTTGACTGGATTTTCATTGCCGGCCTTCGTTCAGGTTACATGCACGAAATCAATACCAGCCATCACATCTTCAAGACATTAATCCGGCATCACAGTCACAACACGGCCTGTGTTAATCCGTGAACTATTGATGTTGCCTGCAGGCTTGGCCAATCTCTCCTTTAGATATGGTACACCGTCATGGGCAAGCGAATAGTTGTTGCGAAGAAGATTTCGAGGCCGCAGAACTGTTAGACCCTTAGAGCCGCGGACTCTACCAAGGTTCTTCGCTGTGTGGTTCGGCACCTCAACGAACTTGCCCAGGCCTTATCCCCGCATAGGAACATCGCGGATGCCGGGCAACGCAGCTCTCCTTCGTCGCGGAGTGAAAGTCACCCCATAGTATTGTGGATTCGCAAACGATTTGGGCAGAGTTGATCACAATACCGACTTGCAATTACAAATTTACTTGCATCAAATCATCGTAAACAGACCAGACCGCGTTCTAGCAGAGGTACATAATGCCCTTGCAAACGACACCGTCACCTGTAAGCTCATGATTGTTACCCAGAATGTTTGTGCGTCGCTACTTCTAGCCAGAAGCAGGAAATTCGGAATCAGTGTTGGATTGACCAATAATGAGTTGGCCAAATTGTTATGAACTTGAGAAAAAATACAGTCGGACGAGTCGCACACCAACCAACATTCGAGAATCCAGTAACTTCTTGAGTGCCGTGGTCGCAAACTTATCAGCTTGTGACAGGCAAACTGCAGGTCGCTGTAACCTCCCTGCCAAGCTGGACATTCCACCGTCAAGGTTTTCGTTGCCGTAGTTGAAGAAGATTTCCTCACCGTGAAAGGCTAGCGGAATGAAAATATCCTGATTGACGCTGGCATCGGAAATGCTGTACTGCTGGACTGGCTAATGGGTGGACAACAATCCAGCAAATTTCCCCTACAAGTGGGATCTTGCCTTGTTGGAGTTGAAAGAGTAAGGATGTGATGACTATCAATTGCAGAATTCCAAGGCTGCAGGTGTCGCATTGCACGGCAATTCCCCATCCCAACAAGCAAGCTGCTCAAAGATACCAGTTCACCAATTATCTAGAGTAATCATTGGCTGAGGACACGTGCTAGATCTCAGCCTTGTCAAGGCTGCGCAATGTCGATCACTTCGATTAGACTGCGCAATGTCTCCACATTTGTAAGCAAGCTCATAATCTTCATCAGGCAACGGCATATATCTTCTATCATTTGATCGGGTTGGAAGGAGGTGAGTATTTCCACCGCAGGGCCATTTCGAGTGGCCTGTTAGCCTATCGGATTCGTAGCCTAGAACATGACTGCGGTCTGTTCGGTTTAAGGGAATTCCGAGTCCTTCGAATCGCGGACCACACGCTTGGATGCGCTGCCGTGTTTTGGACTGATCTCTTGATGACGAACATCTTCCTATTTTCGAAATCTCGCCCCGAATTTGGCTCCTCGCCGGACTTGGGTGCCATTTCATCGTGCTTCATGCCCCATTCTGAATAGGAGGACGCTAGCGTCACCGAGAACCAGTCAAATCCAACCTCCATTCATTATCACCAACGGATGTCCTATCCTCAACTGTTACGGCAGACACGAGAACCTGACGCAAATGGTTGGCCATGCTTGCCGAGACCTCAGACAGCATGCGAAGCGTTCTTCACCATTACACCGACATGCACGAAGCGACTAGATAGGTATGCTTCTAGAAAGGGTGTGTAGCCATCGCCAATCTAAACTGGAGCGTCCGCCGCACTGATTTGTGCCAAAGTCTGTGCGTTTTCGCTGTCATCGCCTTTGACAGCAATTGAAGATGAAACAAGAAGTAAGGGCTGCCAACTCCCTTGCCGCTACTGAGCACAGCAACCACTTTCGAGCACATAGTAAATTGGTATCGAAAAGCCTTGCGGCAGCCTCGTCTTGGACCACTATATCTAGTTCCCACAAACCAAGCTCTGATAGGCACCTCCAATGCCATGGAATTGAGGAATCTCATCCATGATCCTACATCACAGCGGCAAGCGCAACGGAATACCTAGAAGGGCTGTTGTTACCTTGGCACAATGCTGCCACACGTGTGTACAAATCAGTTCTTCATCCCAGCCTCAACGAAGAATGCGTGGTTGTGGTTCTTCAAATATATGGCCACTCCATACACGATTTCCTTTGACGTATAAATTACGTTGCCAACGCTGTGGGTTGTTATTAATTACCGCAGTGTCGTGTTGGTTTCCGCGCTGCTGCTCAAGCATGGACTACTCGTATACTATTGCTGTCAGTTATGATTACACAATGGCGCACTGCCACCGTAGGACGGGCATGCCGACCTGCTTGGGGTTCATGGGAACCCTTCCATCTTGGCTAGTTTGTCCGCTAACACCCGCCACTTGTACCTTCCATTCCGAGCTCATCTTCTTGATACAAAGAGTTACTTAGCCTACACAACATAGTACACATGCCTCGTCTTCGATGATAACCCACTGAACCCCTGCCCAAACCCGAGGAATCGCAAGCCGAGACCAGACCAACAAGGCTGAATGTAAATAAGTGAAGGTTGGCCATCACGTAGAACAAACCTCCTTCCCGGAATATGTTTGCAGCCGGAAATTCCTCGCCTATCTCTTGACCCATGTGGGCATCTTCCGGGCCTTGACGTGACCGTGCTTCTTTCTCTCCACCCGTCTAGGATCGCGCGTGATGCAGCCAGCTGTTGTGACAAATTAGAATATTTCCGGAATTAAAAATTGTGGCATGTTGGAAGGTCAACCAATCCGCAGAATTTCCCACTTACCTCTTCTCAGCGGATTCTTCAGCGCGGGCTCGTGAGTGCAGAGAGCCTTTGCGACAGCAAGTGCCATAGCCTCAGCTTGGCCGGTGGTGCCGCCGCCCTCGACCAGTCCCCACACATTGTACTTATCTAAACGATCGGTTGATTTCAGGGCCCAAACAGCACTCTCGCGGTCGTGGATGCGGCCAAACGCCTCGCTTAGCGGTTTGCCGTTGACAAGGACCTCGCCGTTTCCCTCGACAACCCAGGCTCGTGCCACAGAAGACTTCCTCCTTCCGACGCCGTGCGATCGGCCAAATCGGTCGACGGGGACGATCTTAGGGCGGTTCTTGTGGTAGTTGATGTCGCGCATGAAGGGCGCGAGGCCCTCCTTGACTTCATCGGGCTTCAGGTCCGGGTGAATTTGGTTTAGGCGCTTGGCCAGCGTCATGCACGTCGCGTAGTCCCTTCCTTTGACGTGCTCTCCGGCGGCCAGACGGTACTGCTCCTTTGTCTTCCAAGCTGTGAGTGCCACCTTGTCCTTAGGTAGAATAGGGAGGCGTCCGTATTTCCGGGCGAGATCTTGGATCACTACGAAGCTGTCATTGAAAATGGGCTGCCGAGAGAAGTAGGAGGGCGAGTGCGGTACGGCACGAGCGTAGGCGATTTGGATGGCGCCATTACCGCCGCTGCTGCTGTGTTCATTTTTTCCTGGAGTATCTCGGCTCGCTGGTACGATTGCGATGTCTTTATCTGCGTGGATATCGTCACCTAGAATGGCGGGTCTTGGTGTGGTGGTTGATAGATACCTGGAGGTGCTGGGGGAACTCGTCCTCGTCCTGTAAGCGAGGGCGGTGGTCGCAGAAGGCCACTGGGGCCCAGAAGCCGGTCGAAACTCCCTAAGACATCGAAAACTGTGCCTTAGAGCTGACATTGTGTTCTATTGTATCCTCGTCATGACCATGGAGCGGAGCGGATCGTATCACACGCTGCTGTTGATGCTTGGATGCGCTCTTTCAAATTATTTTTCGGGTCGGGCCAAGTATTCTCCGGCCCCCGCCATGAATGCAAAGTTGTTCTATTGCCCCGCCTTGCAAATTTCCCATGGTAGGAAAATTAGAGAAAAAATAACCCAACATCCCACCTTATTTCTCCCTCAACCCATTGATCTGGATTCAATCGCACCACGATTACCAGCAATCATGGCGCCCTTTGGAAAGATCTTCACCAAGGAGAAGAACCCTCGCACGACGGCTATTCTCGCTGTCGCCAAGGCGAATGGCCTCGAGATCGAGCGCGTCGAGGTCGACACCACCAAGCCGACCGAGGAGTTCTTGAAGTACAACCCCCTCTCGCGGGTTCCTACCTTCGTTGGCTCTGATGGCTACGTGCTCACTGAGTGCATGGCCATCGCCATCTACAGTAAGATATTTCCCCTTGCTTGCGCCTCGTGTGAGGACGAACTTGCTGCTGCTCCTCTCCCAATCATACTATGATGACCTAGACTCTATTCTAACAGTTATCCCTATCTGAAAACACATTTGTTGATATCGTTTCTAACTTCTGATCTTGAATTTCCATTCCGCTACTTTCCCAGACCTAGTCGCACCGCATCTTGTTAACCAGCGCTTTGTAGTCACCTCCCAAAACGAGAAGACTACTCTACTCGGAAAGACCAAGCAAGAGTAAGTGACCCCACAACTCCCAGTACTGCGCACTGCGATGAGTCACAGGTGCTAATACCTTGTAGCTATGCTTCTATCCTGAAGTGGATGTCCTTCTTCAACACTGAGGTGCTGCCTAGGCTTGGTGCCTGGTACCGCCCTTTGCTCGGATGGGACCCGTACAACAAGAAGAATGTCGATGAGGCCCAGAAGGGCGCTGTCAAGGCCGTTTCCATCGTTGAGGAGCACCTTCTGCACAACACCTTCCTTGTCGGCGAGCGAATCACCCTTGCCGACCTGTTCGCCGTGAGCATCATCTCGCGAGGTTTCCAGTTCTTCTACGACAAGGCATGGCGTTCTGCCAACCCCAACGTCTCGCGATGGTACGAGACTGTGTACCACCAGGCCATCTACCAGGACGTCGCTGCGCCCTTCGAGCTTCTGGACACACCCGCCCTGGCCAACGTGGCTCCCAAGAAGCCCGAGCAGCCCAAGAAGGAGCCTAAGAAGCCCGCTGCCAAGAAAGAGGCCAAGCCTGTCGACGATGAGGAGGAGGATGAGCCGCCGAAGGAGACCAAAGCCAAGCATCCCTTGGATCTTCTGCCCCGTGCCACTTTCCCCCTTGATGAGTGGAAGCGACAGTACTCCAACAACAGTGTCGATGACTCCATGAAGTGGTTCTGGGAGAACGTCAATTTCGAGGAGTACTCGATCTGGAAGATTGAGTACAAGTACAACTCGGAATTGAAGTTGACTTTCCAGTCGGCCAACCTTGTTAGTGGCTTCTTCACTCGTCTAGAGGCTTCGCGCAAGTATGTCTTCGGCGCTGCGTCCGTATACGGTGTCAGCGGGGATTCTGTCATTCAGGGCGCCGTCATCCTTCGCGGACAAGACGCCATACCCGCGCTTGACGTTGCTCCCGACTTGGACAGCTTCGACGTCGAGAAGCTCGACCCCACCAAGCCGGAGGACAAGGCGTTCGTCGAGTCCATGTGGAAGTGGGACAAGCCCATTGTTAAAGAAGGCAAGGAGTACGCCCATGACCGGGGGTTCGTCTACAAATAGACATGTGCTGGTTAATGAGATGATACGGCAGGTGACGATCACGTACTGATGATGTTATGGTTAAACAAATGGCGGATGACATGGGAACCCCGGTACTTGGACGATATATGGTGTAGAGCAATAGAACTCGGCACCAATCGTCACAATTCACGTTGATGACTAGCCATGTGTGTTTTATTTGCTTTGTGAAGTCTTGTGACCAAGAGTAACTGATGCACGTGATGGGTAGTATAACCCAGTGTGACATCTCTTGTGGGTCAATGGGTATGGCTGTCTGCGTATCTCGAGGCTGAGTTGAGAAGACAAGGTAGCATCTACAGGTCAGGATGCTTGGAGTAGATGCTCACTTTGAGGCTGCATTCGGCTATGCAATGCAGTGGACTGACTTAGTCAGACAGCGCGATATCCTGTGTGGATCAAGGCCTTTAATGCGAGTTAATCTCAATGTACATATCCTCATCTTCGTGCTGAAAGCTTACTTTGACTTCCTACAAAATTTATTGGACTAGATCCCACTCACTTCTGGAGCCGCTGGCTCGGCCTGTTTGCATCATCTGGTTCTTGCCCCTTCCAGTTGGACATCTTACCTGTTGATGAGCTGAGAGCACCCGGGCGGCCTGGAAACCTTTGAGATCTACTTGATAAGAAAGGAAGCCTAGCTGAGTACCGAGAGAAATACACATAATGAAGCAAGCACCAGTAGGATTCAACTTAGGCCATACACAAGTGGATTTAGCATACATGCCGACAGTACGACAGACCGGTTGCTTCCAAAGTTTCTGCCTTGGGGAATCGGGGAGTCGAGTGAATAACTCCTTCTCGCCCCTAGAAACACGGGATTGGTTCGAGAGCCCACTCATGCTTCGTAGCAACCATAACCCACTTCGACCAAGAATTTGCAGGTTTTATTGAGTAGATATTGTTGAGCTGGAACGGGAATTTACTACTTCGACTCCCTCGTCTTTGAGAACCCACGGCGTTCGGTGGGAAGGCTGGTATCTTCTCTCCAGGGCACCAGGAGAGTGAGTTGTAGATAGCCGCGGACTGTAGAGAGGGGGGCAGAAGGTGGGAGATGAAGTCACGCCGTGAGGCTCGAATCCTTGGTCATCTGGAAGTATTCGAGACCGTTCAACCCTTAGCGGGAGCGCCATCAATTCAGAATACTGGAACAGAAAGTATGTATACCTACGATGTAAATGTAACAAAACGCCATGGGCGAGTAGACGTATGTTGATACGATCACAACAGTGGCCGAGACGTGAGTCTCTGTACGCGGGGGTCCCCTCGTTCGAGGCTTGGCCATTTCAGTGTTTCCTCCTGGGCTATCGTCAACGCTGGTTACGAACTCTATGCTACCACTGAATTTGATGGGAATACCAAGGAAGGGAAACAATGTCCCCCACGAGGGGATGGCCAGTACACGAGCCATTCATTGCTTCCTGATGTGCGACTTATACGACATGTACTAACAATTTCAGTTTCTCAGCTACTTACTCCTGTTGAGCCCAACATGTTATGCATAGTGTGTTCGAGACGGCCAACTTATGTGTCTTTGCTGTGATTGAGAAAGCTCCGGTTGTTTTCACATTCATCAAAACTTGTACTTTCATGCCGATTTCATAACATTTTGTCTCATATCGAAAGCCGCAATCTGTCAATGAGATTTCATATCACATATCGAAGGATTTCTCTGGTCCACGAGGGAGATCGCTCGGCCTGGTAAAACTAACTATGGGATGCACGCTGATTGGCTTACGACGATGGCGGCATCTCTCGACGCAGTACAAAAACAGCTCTGTTGCTTGGAATTAGCAAGCTATTGTTGCCAATGCAGGTCAAAATGATGAAGTACAGCGTAGTATCAAACTCCATCCTATGTTCAACTCTAGATGCCTTTCCCTATCCTTGGCGCAGTTCCATACATGTCCTTGCGCGTATGTTAGCATATGGTCCGAAACACGTCACCAGTGTCATGTCTTGGGGAAGGAGATATCGCTCAATTTGATTTTCCACCCTGATTTCATACTTCGATTGGCTTTGAGCTATTCATTCATTGATCACTTGGCCTACTGACTAACACGATGGCAACAGGCATTGGCTGTGAGACCATTACTCCATGTCACCTCTGAATTGTCCATTGAAAAGGACTCATACTTAACGCTATAATTCTACATTTAGAGCACTTGGGAGTGATTAGTACTATCCATTTCCGACCTTACTTCTAGGTTTTTAGGCGGCCCAGAGCAAGGAGACTATGCAGAACTATCACCACTCTGCAATGTCTCCATTGAACTGCTAGACCAAGATTTGCCTGTTATCTTCGTCGTGAAAAACCAACCTTGATGGAACGATGGTACACTGTTGCTCATGCGCAACAGGGTCGCCAGCCGCTTTAAATCTTGCGGAAGTCTTCGCCACATCAGCACAACGAACAAAAGCATACGCAAGTCTAGGCGATGCTTACCTTGTAGAACGGGGTAGATCATTTCAAAGGCCTGGTAGATCTCCTCGCGGACTTTGGCTCCAGTCAACACAATCTTTCCTGTGCTGAGTTAGTATTTGAAGTCATTCCACCCCTGCAGAGTGAAAAGACTGGGCAAACAAACCGCTGACGAAGATCAAGAGGACGATCTTTGGTTTGATCTTTGAATACAGTCAGCATTTGTGTTTTCCAGGAAATAAAGATATTTCTGGAATACCATTCTGTAGATCAAGCCGGGGAAGAGTTCTGTTCCACATTGTCAGCATCGAACCGGCCTTGGACACCTCAGTTATCTGGTTCAAACTGAACATACCAGGTTCGTAAGAACTGAAATTGTGATGACGCGACGCCAAGCCTTCCAGGCGAATGGGAAACTTGATATCGCAACTGCCCACAATGTCTGCGCAGCTACAATTAGCATTGATTGTAGATTGCGGGTGAGAACATGGCTGTATGTACTCTGGATCTTGAAGTCGGTGAACTTGGCATTAAAGCCAAGCTTTTGGATGATACGCGCGTACTTGCGAGACGCAAGTTTCGAGTCATCCTCAGATTTTGCTCCAGTCACGACCATTTTGCCCCTGCGGTATGTAAGAAGTAATTCCAACAGCAAGAGGTATAACGACTCACGATGCGAAGATCAGGGCTGTGGTCTTCGGATCTCGAATGCGCATGATGACCGCCGCAAATCGCTTGGGGTTGTATTCAGCGTTGCGAGCATGCAGTGCGATCGTCTTCAAATCCAGGCCTGTGCAAGTTTAGTCTCTTAGCAATTTCCTGCTTTCCTGGTGGCCTAAGGAGGCACCGAGGAGCCAGGCGGGAATACGTACGGCAATCCAGATTCACTGTAGCGACGATGTTCCTTGATGAAGGGAACATATGAATATTGTCTCCCAGTTTGACAAAACGGCAAGAACGGAGTACTTACTGTAACGTAGGCGTCAAACCACTCCCGCCTGTTGCAGCCGCAGCCGCAGCCGCTGAAGCCGCAGAAGGAGTCTGAGGAACTACCGCATTGCCGTTGACACTTCGTCCATCCTCGGAGCCTGATACCATGTTGACAGTGCCACCCGGGAAGGAAAGCGACGAAGGATCGGTGAAAGCCTTGGCCTGGGCAGCAGTAGCCGGGTGAGAGTTAAGAGAATCCATCGAGGTAGTTTGCGGGATGAGCGACTCCGTCGAGGAGGGCGGTGGTGCGAAGTTGGCCATGATGGGCTGGGCGGTTCGAGACGGGAACGTTCGGTGAATCAGGCCTGCTCAATGTTTGCGCGCGTCTCGAGTCGGATTGATGGGACTTTAGATCGGATTTCGTGATGGCAGTTAGTCGGGAGAGGTGATGCACCACGTCTCGATGTCGCGGCACTAACTAGTCGTATTAGGGTATGCCAGGTCTCGCAGAGAGGCAATGTTTCGAAGTCGATATTGATGTCTTCTCGCACCGGTAGACGAGCCTTCAACGCAAAGCTGTTGCGGTTTCGGGAGCAGGGACAGAGTAGGAACCAGAACAAACCGCAGCACTCGGCGCTTCAAGCGAATGAACAACCAGGGAGCGCGCTTGGTCAGGACTAGGGAGGGAAAAAATAATACGTAAAAAGTCTCACTTCACAATGGTTGCTGGCATCCAAAGGCGTGAAGAGAGTGTGGGGTGCGAAGAGAAGACGTGGACCAGGCGCGGGGCTGAGACGACATAGAGTGACGATGTTTGACCATGGTGGAAGAGGCGGGCCTCTTTATATGAATTGACCAGCAGAGCCTCACCTGCGATTGCGCACGGGCCACTTTTGAACCCCCTACGGTGTCGATTGTTTAAAGTGGAACCCCGGTAAATAGATACTTAAGTACCGTGAATAGTGTCATTCTTGGGGAGCACCAATGGCCATTTCCTCCTTGGTCAGACAGGTGTCCACCCAACACCAAACTAAGTTTAACCAACGGGCAGCTCTATCTCCTTCTGAATGCAGTGTTTTCATGGCTTATCAAATGTGAACGGACATCATGTTCCGTGAAATCCAAGTCATCTTGGTCTGCAGTCTATTGAGCCAAACAATATAAAATGGCCCATATTGTTACTGAGAACAGGAGCAATATCGTGCGATCAATCAACTGTAAGAGCTCACTCATAATACCGGTATACCCTCTTGATAGTGATGACATGTATGAACAGACACCACAATCCGCGCTGTACATACTCGAGTATCATGCCAGGATTGAACACCCCGCCAAAGTAGGGACTTCTCCTCGTTCAACCCGCTATGGCAGGGCCCTTCATGCACTTGCGTCACTGTGAAGGCCTGGAATCTCATGTAATCATTGCTGTTATAGCAGTCTCTCTCCGTTTGTGTGCGTCCAGGTTCTAAAACTGATCTGTTGAAGTATATTAGGTCACCAGGCCGGAATGTATATAGCAGGTGAGGGATGCTTCCAACTTACCCAAAGTCATGCTCATACTAATATCCGTATTCTCGACCATCTTAGTGAACTCCTGAAAGCTGATCTTGCCATCATTATCAAGGTCCGCCTCCATAATGGTCTTGTCGACGATCTGCTGCAGCTGCTGATCCTTAAGGTTGCTGCCTACCATCATCTTCAAGACAATAAAAAGCTCGCCGTTGCTAATGTACCCGTCGCGGTCGATGTCGTAGACCCGGAAGGCGAAGCGCAATTTCTCCTCTTTATTGCCCTTGCTGCTAAAGGCCGACAAGCCCGAGACGAACTCTTGGAAATCGACGTCGCCGCCGCCGTCCTCGTCGAAGATTGCGATCATGCGTGTCGCGAGGGGGTTGGACGAGATCTGCGGTAGGCTGAGGAATTCGTCGCGCTCGATGGTGCCCGAATTGTCCTGACGAGTTGCACCGTGTCAGTATTTCCCCAATCCTTCCCTCATGAGATGCGGGTGCATCAAGCGCAAATGTCCGTTGGTACCTTGTCAAGTTTCATGAACCTCTTTCGTAGCCTGTCCACCTCATCCCGATCGACTGTTATCGTCTATTAGCTAATCATACCGGCTCGTTGGCTTCTTCGTTTCGTACAGTTCGACCCTTGAACTATGTTGTCCAACACTACACTCGGTGTGTTGCCCATCTTGGCTGTGCTGCCCCTAGAGGGAGCCGATTGACGTTGGTGAACTGGGGTTCCGCCGTGATGCAGGTTATTTGAGCCTAGGTCCGTCAAGATAGCTACCGCAAGACCAAGTATATTCTGGGGTTAAAGAAAGGAGCAAAGTGCAGACGTTGGACTGACTCGGGTTGTAATTACTGGAAAGATCGAAGTTCGCAAGGCTGAGGAAAGTGTCGCTGAATGGGGTACTAAAGAATGCGGGGCCTGGCTTCAGGGATTATCGAAGCTCAAAGATCGGATTCGGGTATAAGATTTTCCCGATTATGACTTAGTATGAGCTCGAATGTTATCAAGTACCTAAGTACTCTTTGTACCTCACTCGGATACAGGCCAACAGAAAATAACATCGCAATAATTTTAAGTCACAGATACTTGACGGAAAGACCTATAGAAGCAACACTGGTTGAACATAATTCAATACATATAACGATTGCGGTTGTGTCATTCACTCGAGTATGAACTACGAAGTGGCAACTTCAAGCCCGGGTGGTGGCTGCCCCTTTGTTTTTGGGTACGACGGTACCGACCCCACTTCCTCGCGGTAACAACCAATGACCAAACGGTCTCGGCATTCTGGTGAAAAATCTTCGCGCCAAATCCGACGACATACGACTGTCCTCATGAGCCTGGCGAAAAAGATCATCTCAATAAACAGCACAAATCACTCTTTTCCATCCATTTGAACTGGGATATCATTATTTGATGACCTGAGAAGTACGGCCCCGAATTTTGTCGGGCTCATTTGGCCAAGTTTCGCACCTTCGTCTTCCGGCGGAGGCGCGACCGGCGGAGTCACCATGTCGACTCGCAAACCCGTCAGGATCCGCAAGCTCAACACAAAGACGGCCCTACAGGTCCTACGGGAAGACCAAATAGACCGCAACGAATATGATTCACTTACAACAGATGCTCAAATTGCTACAGGCGTTGAATCAAATGAAGAACAGGTGAGTTTGGCTTTTCCAATATATCCCCACTTTTCTGCAGCTGCAAACAGCTGGCCTGCATAACGCCCCGAAGCATAGCAAACGTGCATACTAATCTCGCCGCAGGAAATTCATTTGCAGGCGGTGCTCAAGGGAGCAGGAGCAAGTACCGACAATGAGATTCCTGTGCCTCCGCCTCAGGAGAGCGATGTCAGCTATGACGAGTTATACTCAACTCCGTACATAGAGCCTCGCAATTACATCAGGTTCTCAGATACCGTGGAGGAGACTTTGGGTAGTCTTTATGACATGACAACTGAGGATGAAGAGTATCTCAAAACCTACAATGCCAAGAGGGCGTCCAAACTGTCCGACGATGACTTTGAACGCATCATGGAGCTATTCGAGATGACTGCGTCAGAGCAAACTCCTTACGCTGCAGTGGACAACACGATAGTTCCGTACGAGGTTATGGTCCAGCACATGGCGCATTCTCCTGTTGTCAAGTTACAGACTCATACCAAACAAGTTTATGAGTACTGGAAAACTCGACGGCAGGACAATGCGAACAAGCCGCTGCATCCATCTCTCAAGTTCGAAACCCATCAGGAGCATGATGACTTGGACCCCTATGTCTGTTTCCGAAGGCGTGAAGTCCGCCAGACAAGGAAGACCAGAGCACGCGACGTGCAAATCGCCGACAAGCTGAAGAAGCTGCGGAGAGAACTAGAAGACGGTCGTCAGCTCGTCCTTCTATCACACCAACGTGAAGTGCTGAAGAAGGAATTGTTAAACACAGAGAGATTTCTCTTCGAGCATCGTGCCAAACTCAAAGAAAGGAAGGTTCGACTTGGTATCAAGGCTGATGACGAGGACTTATTGTATAACACCAAGCCTCAAAAGCGCAAAATCAGCGAAGTCCAACATCCAGTCCGAGGCGCGCCCCATCAACGCCTTTCTTTGCCGGTTCCTCGAGAAAGCCGCGCTGTGGAACAGGACCTTGTCCAACTATCGGATAAGCAGAAGGAACAGTATGCGGAGTTCTTCCGGGATATTGAATCCAAGGCACAACACCATCGGCACTGGAACAATGGTCATATCGATCTGACCGAACGACCTCTGTCTCCCGTCAAGGAAGAGCAACACCAGAACTTCAGACCAGCGAAAGCTGTGTTTCTGCCGACGCCTCCAGCATCCGCATCCGAATCCATGGAGCTGGATGATGAACCCGTCAGTACTGTGATGGCGCCTAAGCGCGCTCCCTCGCCTTTCGTCTTCAATGGGGCCGATGAGTCGGAATCCACGCCCACTTACCGGCGCCGTGTGGGCAGGAATGGGCGGCTGTGGATCGATCGTCGCCATTGTCGACTGGCTAGTCCCCCCAGTGACACTGAGACGCCTCCTCAAAGTGACCAGTGCAAGTATGATCAAGACGATAGCGAAGACGAACAAGCCGTCTACCACATCGACCAGTACAGCACCTCAGCAATGAGATTCCGAACCACAATCCCTGCACCGGGTCACCGATACCCTCGCGGGCATGTTGCAGATGCTAATGCACCTGCTCATCCCGTCGCAGTTAGCCGGCCAGCTCTTCCACCCGTACCTGCACCAGCACCCCCGCAACCTTCGAACCATGCCCAACCGCAGCCACAACCTCAACCAACCTAAGAAGAATCGTGAATGAGTTCCCACACAGCGGTCTGGCACGAAACACTCCATGGATACCTTTCCTCAGCACCCATCAGAGCTAGTATTGATACCCAAATTCCCCCCACCGGACGCGGCTAAACGTGTCGTTGATGAGAGCCGACGTAGATGTATATAAGAGTGGCTACGTCGCGGCACATAAGGGCTATGCGAAATGACAGGCGGGCGAGGCGTTGGGTTGTTGCTTTTTTTGTTGTTGTAAGATGTACCCTGGAGCTAATGCATAGCCGGTGGAGTTGGTGGAAATAGTCGAATTCACTTTGAAGACAATGAAATATCGATAAGTTCGTCTGTTCCGTGTTTGCTGCTCCGTTGCTATCATGACGTCGGACTCTTGAATATTTCACGCGTAGATACCAGGCCAGGTTCCCGCCGCCAGAGAGGAACCCGAATAGTCGACCTCGTCCGGCCGTCCTAACTTGTCCCTGGAGAAATATAGTACATCTGGTCGACACCACCAAGCGGAGTTGCAAGCTTTGACAATGGTGATGATGGTTCGAGAACGCAGGGTTGGTTTTCGCTGTGCCTCGCAGTAAGAAAAGGCTCCAATTATTGTAGCGTTGGCATGCTTGTGGTCTTTGGGCGGTACAAAGAAGTTCTCGACTTGGTAATCGTGAGTTTTGTTGCGATAGGTAGCTGAAGCCGAAAATTTCGACCTGACGACCGCGGCCAGGACTACCTTTCTTGATGCCCGTGTCTTGTTGATCCCATGAGAACGGGGGTGAAGGATTTTGTCGGACTAGGTTCGGCACCTTGATTCCCAGGGCTCGAAGAGTCAAAACAGTCTCATCGTAATCAACAACAGGAGAAAGAAGATGCGACGCATGATCTTTTGAGTATGCGATAGGGAGATGATAATTCAGGTGCACACCCATGTATCTTTGAAATGGAAAGCCCATGGTGGATCCGTGTGAAGTCCCGCTCCGCGCTCTCGTGGCGTAGGCAGATCCTGAGTGCGCCCCATCTCTTCCCAGACAGAAGCTGGTTTTGGCAAGGGAAAAAGCGTGAAGTTAAGAGCTTCATTGCGAATATTTATGTGGGTAGACTTGTATGTCGATGGCACCCAAGCACATGGTGGACATGGGTAGAGATCCAAGAGCGCCTTTTTCCGCGATGATCTGAATCAGCGTCGACGGAGGAGCCGCCTTGCCCAACCTCGAGAGGAGTTGCGCATCTTGCGGGATAATGTTGAGGGAGCGATAGGGAGTGTTAGAGTAGAGCGTCTCAATAAGAGGAACGACCGATTCGATTGTGAGCAGCAAGAAGGCGGGCGGCTGAAATCTGCAACGGGATGTAGTCAGCGAAAAGCTGAGCTCGGAGCTGAGGTGGAAGATCAACTCGGCAAATCTGCCGCAGGGAACTTTTAAGGTCCTGCCGCAGCCTCTTGTTCTTGCTTATGGGAGGAGTGGGAAAAGGGTGGCATTCGCTGAGAAGGACAATTGACAGGCCTGAAAAAGAGAAAAACTGCGAAGAAGTCGGCGTGGTTGGGAAGAAAATGGGAATTGTGTAGCGGGCAGATGGATATTCTCATTGTTAGTCGAGAGTTTCCTGCCAGTGTGGACCCACACTCTTTCGCTCTCTGGCTCTCGGAACGGTGAAGTGGGGATTAGACAGGCCTCGGACCAAGTCCAACATGGGAGTACCTGCATTGTATACCGCAAGTCGTTTAGCCGTAGAGTCTGCATCTCTTTGCTGGTCCATTGGCTGTCGAACGACCTTGGAGGTACCGCCGCCCTGCCCATCCACGAATCCTCTCCATTTCCGACTCTCTCCAACGGCGGCGCATCGCATCTTGGCGACAAGTAGTTGATCGCATTTTGACCACCCCGCCATGACCGCATTTTCGAAAGCCTGGCCGTCGTGCGCCTGCCAGAACAATAACTCAACTACTTGCAAATAATTTGAAATACTGAAGACACATAATTTCAGGAAGATGGGTAACTGATACCATACGTCTGAATGAAAATAGACGCATTACGCAGCGGTGCTGGGTCGATTTCGTCAAACAAGTATAGACGAACAGGGCGCAACTTCTATCTTCAAGCGGACAATACGTTTTAAAACCGGCCCCTCTCTTCACGAGCCAGAAACCTCGTATCCTGCAACATACCAATTTGGGACTGAAGAGCACAAAATCAAGCGGGGCCAGTGAGATCCTAGTCTTGGAGCTCCAACCTGGGCAAGCCAGCGCATAACCCCTCTCCTACTCTCTCACGTTCCGATCACGACAACACCACGATGCCGAAACCCCTCCTAGCGCTCGGCTGTGAAGGTAGCGCCAACAAGCTGGGCCTCGGGGTAGTCTCACACGACCCAACGACGAACAAAACCACGATCCTCTCCAACGTGCGGCACACCTTCAACTCGCCGCCAGGCACCGGCTTCCTCCCAAAAGACACAGCCAAACACCACCGCACCTTCTTCACCCGCATCGCGCACGAGGCTCTCTCCACCGCCGGCATCTCCCCCTCCGACCTCTCCTGCATCTGCTACACGAGGGGGCCCGGCATGGGCGCGCCCCTAAGCTCCGTGGCCATCGCCGCGCGTACTCTCTCCCTGCTCTGGGACAAGCCCCTCGTGGGTGTGAACCACTGCGTAGGCCACATCGAAATGGGGCGCGTCATCACGGGCGCCGATAACCCGGTCGTGCTGTACGTGTCGGGCGGCAATACGCAAGTCATCGCCTACGCGGAGCAGCGGTACCGCATCTTTGGCGAGACGTTAGATATTGCGGTCGGGAACTGTATCGATCGGTTCGCGCGCACGCTCGGAATTCCCAACGACCCGTTCCCTGGGTACAACGTCGAGCAGTTGGCTAAGAAGGGTGGGAGTGTGTTGTTGGATCTACCGTACGCGGTTAAGGGCATGGATTGCAGTTTCAGCGGGATTCTGGCCGCTGCCGATCTACTGGCGGCGCAGATGCGGGAGCAAGATAGGATCTTATCGGCCGAGGGAGGGAAGCTGAAGGAGGGCGAGGTGCGCATCACGCCCGAGGATCTGTGTTTTACACTGCAGGAGACGGTGTACGCCATGCTGGTCGAGATCACAGAGCGCGCCATGGCACATGTTGGCAGCAAGCAGGTGTTGGTCGTCGGCGGCGTGGGATGCAATGAGCGGCTGCAGGAGATGATGGGGTCCATGGCCAAGGATAGGGGTGGGAGCGTGTATTCTACCGATGAGAGGTTTTGCATCGACAACGGCATCATGATCGCCTTGGCGGGGCTGTTGGCGTACGAGACGGGGTTTAGGACGCCGTTGGAGGATAGCACATGTACGCAGCGGTTCAGGACGGATGAGGTTCATATCAAATGGAGAGATGATTAGTCTGTATAATCCGATTGTGAACTTATTAGTGAGAAAATGGGAGGGGGCCAATCTCATGAATGGCCTGAAGGCGGTCCATCGCAATTAATTAGTGATTTACGTGGTGGCTCATGAGATATACAGTACACATTCCACCGTAACTCAAGTAGGTAGCATGAGAGCTGACCCCTGACAACTCAAACGCTAACCCAGGTTATTTCATCGAGTTGAAAAAGTCGGTCTATAGGTTCAAATGACTAAACAAGGCCCAGCACAAGCATAGCATGAAGCGTCAGACAGCTTTAAATGCCCTCAGAATGGCATGGTCGCTCCTTAATCTTGGGCAGACATACAGGTCAATATGCCCTGATTAATACTCCATCATCCATGTGATCCTAGCCTGCCCTCGACTGATTCCAGTCCCTTTTACCAAAAAAGTGCCAGTTGTCCGGCCTTGGGTCAACTACCGAGAAGTATCCTCACGCAACTATGGATGCCAGGGTCTGATGGCGATCAGGCACGATGGTGTTGATTTCGATTGTGTTCATCCCGATTCTTCAGTCGTTATTCTTCATTAATTATGGAGCAGGACCTGCTGAATCTACTTCAAGAATCATGTTTGTCCGTTCTGATTTCTTCCTTCGTCGCAGACAGGGCAGAAGTCAGAGTCACTCCGTACTCTTGGGCGTCTGCGCCTTCTTCCGTGATCATTTGGCAAGGATGCGACTAACTATCTTCCGATGTCGGCTTGTATATGATGGTGGTTACGTACTATTCAAGGTCAGTACTTGGCAAAGCGCATTGAGTTTGGAACAGCAGATCTTACCTTGCCCCTGTACCTCGTTGTTGCTGAGACGGCAAGAACATTATTCTTGATACTACTCGTAGCAAGGTGGTTCAGAACGGTATGGTTAGGCATATTCAAGACGCTATTGTCGTCCTTGATGAGAGTGGTGTTGTTCATGATAGGCTTGCCCAAGAAACTAGGTAAACTTGGAGGGGTAGGAAGTTTGTCTAATGCAGTCACGGCTAGCTGGTAGGACTTCGCATCCTCCGGTTGATCGAAGTCAGCCAGGTACTTGGGGACGTGGCCTGTGAAGGTCTCGGCCGGGTCAATAATCTTTTTCTGCGGAGGTTTCGGTTGGTCGTCAAGTGGTGTCTGTGAATTCCGCCGCGATGGTAGAGCCTCAGCATCCTTGGCAGACTTTGGCGGCGTGGCACCAAGGGTGATGTTGCCGGTTGTCGCGTCCGGCCCGCTCACTTCGATATAGTTCACCAAATTGTTGCCAAAATCAACGGTAGTGGGCAGATCCCGCGAGGTCTCCATCGCGCCATCGACCAGGAATTTGATGTGGTGGGTCCCAGGATATACTGGAATGGTTGCTTCCAACACACCCTCTCGTCCTTTGCTATGATTCAATTTAGTCAGCTTGAAACATGTACAATGAAAGAAGCATGGCGTGTATGGCAACACGTTGCACCCCCGCTTATCCACTTTGAAAAGCAATAGACTGCATGTCAGACTTCTGAATCCATGTTCCTGATGAATTAGTATAGACACGGGTGATGAGTACTCACGCAGGAGTGAGTCGTTGCTTGCGAGCCCACCCGAACGGCGTTCCTGTGACATAGACCTTCTGGCCGCCCTGTAGCCATTCCACTCTTGTTAGCACAGTGGGTCTCGTCTTGTCAACTCGGAGCTCTTCGGAGTCCTCCTCGTCTGTCGCATTGCTCAGACCGGACGACCTCCGGGGCAGGTTGCCCTGGTCGTCTTTGGTGTCCAAGCCCTCCACATCGTCGATGGGCTCGCCAATATCCGCAGGCGCAATTATCGGCGACCCAGGCGTGTGTACCTCCTCCTCTATGGGCAAAGGCAGCCGTGGCGGCCGCGACAGATGATACGACATATCCTGGATGCTGCTGGATGCGGGACCAGGTGTCAGACTGGGATCGTCGTACTGCGACGAGCGCGCTGATGAGGTCTCAGTAGGAGCGATGGGAACAGCTACGGGCTTAGACGGCTCATCTTTGGGCTCGATGGGCCTTGGCTTGGTTGCGGGAGGTTTTTGTGTTGCGGAGTGTTGGGAACTTGACGAGGGCGACGAGGAGCTGTTGAGTATGGAGAGTGGTCTCGAGTGCGACTTCCCGGGGCCAATCGTGGAGCCCTGTGCCTGGACCACGCTTGCCTCGGGGGAGGAGGCTGTGGATCTGTGATGGTGAAGTTGCGCCGTTATCAGGTTCTTTGACTCCTTTTTGCTGGCCCGTGGGGAGTCATTCGCATGGTGACCACCAGAAGGAGGCGTGGGGGTCACCGGCTTTGAATTTTCGAGACCCATTGCAGGTGAGCGAATCAAGATGGTGGCACAAGGCTCAGCGTTGTAGTCATGAGACCAGAGTCTTCGTATGCTTCAATGCGCGGGGAAGTCGGGACCCCGGGTCAGGGTCGGGGCCAAGCAGGGAAGGAACGACGACAGCGCGGGTTCCTTTGGTGAGCGACGTCAGCTTTAGGCAGGAGACGGAAGGCGGGATGTCAGCGTGGTGGTCACCAGACCAGAAACTGCGGTAACGGTGTTGGTCGCAAGCTACTGTTATGCCAGAAAGTCGAAATCAACTTGGAAAGATCGATTGGCGTTGAGGGGCATCATCTGCGATAGATGATAGCTCAGGTCACAAGATAGGACGTGCACTAAAACTAGTAAGTACAACACATTGACGAAGGCAGCTCCAGCAATCCAGTTTTGAGGTGGTTCGGCCCAGGTTGCCGCTAATAGAGTCCTACAGAGCTGCTGATCGTCCAGTGAGTATCCCCCGCTTCAGCTGGCCGACGGCTGGCGTGTGCAACCTTATTTCCACTCCCGCTTGCAGCTCTTGACACAGCCCTGGAGCACCCTGTTCCCCCAGGTCCATCCACATTGGATCTGGGGTTCAGTAACCCTTGCTCCAGCATTTGTTGCATGAACTTGCATCTCATCTCAGACCATCTCGCGCCAAGACACATGAACAAGCCATACAATATGAAGTAAAATTACAACTTGGCCGAACTCGAACTACTTTAGCCTGCTTCGCGTCAACGAGCTGAGAAGAAGTACACAGGCTACTCACTCAACTGCTCTGTCTCGCTTTCTCTCCAGCTTAGAAGTGCTTAATCCTATTTCAACATACCAACAATAACCACCGAAGAGCAGCACTGATGTCACTGGAACTCGCAACGGCTGTGTAGGACGCAGTTGTTGCTATGGACCGGCTGGCCCCCATCGAAAGCGGCGCCGCATACATCGCAGACTGGACCTGGGCTTCCCTCAAATTTATCGTCTACCTGCTGTACTTGGCCACCATCCCAATCCATTATCCTATTTATTATACGTTCGCCTTCGTCGTTTTCCTGTTTTCCCCGATATGGTACATGGCCCAACTATTCCTGGGAGCAGGGCTTTTTGTCGCCAATCTGATCGCTAGACTCAAGGTATGCACTATCTGTATTCGTTGAGCATGTGATAGGAAGACTGACTCTTTATTTAAGTACCTCTATATTTACGTGAGAATGACCGGTCCCTCAGTATCCTGCTTCTGCAGACATGTTCTTGAGAGCGCCACTGACAGCCCCCATCCACCAGTTCGCCTGTGCGGCCGTTATCGGCATCTGCGCCGGGGCCATGCTCCACGGCAGCACGTCTATGCTATTTATTCTGCTGGGCGTGCACCCTTCACAGAAACCCGCAACGCAACCACCTCCCCCAGCGCCGCCGCAGGAGGAACCCTCGACCGAGCAGGAGTCGGGAGCCTACAGTGGAGCTGACAGTTCCGGCCTAATATCGAGCGAGTCGCCCTCGTTTCGTAGGAAAGGCAAGGATGCTTATCGCCACGATATGACTGAACGCGAACGCGACGCTCTGTATGAAAACAAGTGGCGACAATCGGGCAGCAGCAGGGCGCCACCCATACCACCCATCAAGCCACGAAGGAAGTTTAGGGGTCTCCTAGCGCAGACGATTCATGAGGAAAGTAGTGAGAGTGAGTCGCTGTAGCTGGATTGATAAGATGACGGCTTGCACGACACTGACTAGACTCAAATCAAATTAAAATGCTAGATTTTATCTCGCTATGGGCAAGTGGCATATTGCCCGGACTCGGTAGAATTCATTCTCGACCTCATCCCGAGGGTCAAAGGGTAATGCCACAACGCCATGCAATCCTATCGAACGCCTTCCTCAATTCCGTCATGTACCTTGCTATATGCATGTTCAACTTCTGGGGAGCGTGATGCTTGGCGATAAATTCTGGCAATGATGCCCGCCATCTTAAGCAACATGATTGTTGAACTTGTGTTCATGTGGCGTGTATTGCGGAGTTGGAGAAATGACAGCATAGACAACCGTATGCGCCAAAACCTAAGGGTTGTAAGCTCCTTGTTGTATTTGTGTAGAAGAGCTTCTGTAGCATTGACTGACCATGGTCAAGTGACAGAAGGGTTTGGTGGCATTGGCGCAACGGCTCTCCATGGCGGTAATTGCGTGGCTCTTCTCCAAGGCGGTAATTTCGATGCTCCTGTTTCCGTTAATCTTCCAGGTTCCGCTGTTTCTAGTGGTACTATTGTTGCTGTCGCCTGATTTCCACGGGGGTGTGATCCATGCTGGTAATCAAGTCCGGGAACCGATTGAGAAGGGGTCCTTCCCATTGCCCCAACTTGGTTCTCACGTCCACGGTCTCGAGATGGAGCTGATTCACGATGCTATCTGCGATAATTGTCTCGATCTCGTTCATGGTCTCGAATTGGCGACCTGCTTCGACTTCGCGTCCCGCTCGCACGACTACGGTCGTCGTAGTCTCTCACACGATCAACACGGTCGTAGTCATGGCGCCGATCATCCCGGTCGTCACGTCTACGTGGAAGTCGGTCGTCTCTCGGTGGTCTCTCATCCCTTCCGCCTCGATAACTCGGAATATAGGTATCAATATCCGGTCTGGCACCCACGCTAACACGATCTCCGCGGTCGCCACGATCTCCTCCACGGTTTCGGGGTGGGCGATCTCTGTACTCGTGATAATCAATGGCGTTGTCGAACCCGTTCTCAGGCGGGGGTGGTCGGGGCGGTAGCCTGTGATCGTGAGGTCGATCTCTGGCGACCCATGCAGGTCTTCGGTTGTCATCACCATTGCGGTGGCCGCCATGCTGATTTAGGTGCCTTCCACCATTTCGCGGTCCGTATCCTTCGCCACTGTTAAACCCTTGCTCGAAAGCGCCAACACCAACAGGGACGCCCTTTGGTGCAGGTGGCAGCGCAGCCTTGCGATCATGAAACTTCCTGCGGTCAAGCTCGTGGCTGGCTTCGAATGTCGGGATATCTCCAGGCTTTGCTGGGTACGGGGCTGTATTGAAATAAGGATGCTCGAGTGCGTCGATTGCGTTGATGCGAGCCCGCCAATCTAGCTTCAGAAGCTCCTTCAACAACAATATAGCCACTGGACCGTGTTCTCGGAAGCGTTGCTGAAGATTTCCAGGTCTTGATCGAGGAGTGAGTGATTCGCCGCCAGGGAGCTTTTTCCACCCTGGCATTGTCTGTTCAGTTGGTGATCCGACTAGGTCGAAGATGAGCTCAAGTTGGTGCGTATCACTATCGCCAGACAGGATTGGCTTTCCAATCAGCATCTCCCCAAAGACACAGCTGTAGGACAGGTCAGTAATAGATATGGTAATTTTGGAGAAGACTGGAATGTACATACCCGACACCCCACATGTCTATTGCACTAGTATACTTGCGCAATTGTAGCAGCAGCTCTGGGGGCCGATACCACCTTGTGACGACCAGAGCTGTGTAGTCTCGCTTACCTTCGCCACCCCCTCCACCAGCTCTGGGTATAGGTCCATCGTAGGTCCTCGCCAGACCGAAATCACCAATCTGCAGAATGCCCTTGTTGTTGATGAGCAAGTTGGCAGCCTTCATATCCCGATGCAAGATCTTGGTATCGTGCAGGTACCGTAGGCCTTCGAGCAATTGATAGAGATAGCACTTGATGATGGGCACAGTGAGCTGAATAGAGGGATTGTCAAGTAATCCAGACAAATCGTGGTCCATGTATGGGGTCACCATGTACATAATGGGCCGCTTTCTCTTGTCAGCTGTAGAGGTAATAATTATTAGCTGACACTGTTCCCATGCAGCAATCGAGGTTCACTCACTGCTCTTGGAATGATGTTCCACCGCCATGTCCTCTAAGCGTAGTACGTTCCGGTGATCCAGCATCTTGAGTAGCTTGATCTCGCGAAGCGCCGTGATGGGAAACTGGGCATGTGGTCAGCGAACATAAGATGGGACTAGAATGCCTGTCACAAACTCCGTCTTTCTCATTGTACATAATGATCTTCTTGAGCGCGACAAGATTTCCAACTTTCTTGGACTTCGCTTTGTGAACCTCGCTGTGAGGTGATGTCTCAGCCTTGCACTCAAGCTTATTGGAGTTGCAAACGCAGATGGACCCACTAACCCAAAGGTACCCTCGCCGAGCTTGCCCAACAGCTCGTAGTCTGATATCCTAGAGCATCCCATGTAGCTGTCTCGCGGTCGTTGATGTTGGATCGCGAAGGAGCGCGGTGAAGCGGCGCCATTCCCGCTGCTGTACGCTGCGGCCATGTCGATGTTGTGAAGGTCGTGAAGGTCGTGAATGTCGTGACGCGTTTGCGACCGGAATGGATCGGGCTGGTCGCTACTACGCAGTATCGGATCAGACAACTCAAGAATCAACTTGGGAAGCTGGCATTTCGGAATGAAAGGCCAACATCAGTGTTGAAGGAAAAGATGTTGGTTACGTGCCGAAAGTAATGTTGGTTTGGGGAAACCGATCCAGTTGTGATAGACGGGTGAACAACGAGCAACAAATCCGGTTGTCCCAAAATTTGCCCTCCAAAACGCTGGCAGGTGAAGATGGAATCCACCGGAGGTGTGGACCTTAATCTGCCGGCCTGAAGCGCCAGGCTACCCTGCAGTTGTACAGAATGGTCCCTGCACGAAACAACCGAAGCAGCGAGCAGCTTCAGGTCCATTTCCAATCAATCAACCTCATTCATCGTCATTCAATTGGTGAGCCATTACTCCGAACACCAACCCCCGATTTTACCTGCGATACCCACGCAAGTACGGCCTCTCAATCCCTCAAGCATAGCACTGGAACGGCCCACTAAGCCGTTACCAGAATCGAACACAATGGCTGGTGGTCCAGGTGGTCCGATCAGGCCTCACGTCCCGGGCATCTACCGATTCACGGCAACCGCTCTGGGTGCTAGCATGTGGTTCTTTGTACGGCTACCTCGATTCCGCTCAAACGATAAAATGAAAGCTAACCAATATCGTAGCTGATGTACCGCGCGAAGAAGGACGGTACTGTTCCCGATTGAAGTCCACACTTGCGGCTTTGACTGACACGATTCGCAGGCCCAGTATTGCTTGGCTGGAAGCACCCTTGGGACCACTAGTGGAGGAACGGGGACGAAGGAAGCGACTGAATGGTGCGAAGACATGCCAGCCAGACTGCCGGTGTGATACACACAGCATCATACATCGGACTAAGCCAACCAAATTCAACGCATCAATTATCCCACTGGCGGCAGTATGGTTAGCAAGTCTGACACTTGTGTCCCTGAATCCGGCACAAAGTTGGGAAGGGCGGACGCAAGTGGGTATGGTAGAATCGGTTTGGGATTACAGTCCAGGCCTTCGGTGCTTCTGTCTATACATCTATGTCATGTCACATATTACGGCATTTTTGTTATGGTGTCGGCTTCTCGAAGAGATAGTGGGAAACCCCCCAAGTATCCCCGCCTTCATATGCAAACAGTTCCGAGCATGCCATGTAAAAGACTTGCCACCTGTTGTACCAAGTACCCGCGTCCGCTTCGCCATACGTCTCGACCAAATGCGGCCAGATCTGCTTCTTGTTGGCCAGCATGCTGGATAGCCAGTGCTATGTGCAAATGTTAACGGGTGTTTCAGGTCAGGGCGTATGGAAAGCAGCTGCCGCAAACATACCTCGCAAGTCTTCGAATAGTGGTTGCCGTTGACCCACCACTGCTTCTCGATCTTGAGGTCTCTCTGAAAGTACAAGAGCAAATCAGCCGAGGGCATCGTGCCACCCGTGAAGAAATGTGTCGTCATCCAACCCTCCTCATAGTCGTAGGGAGTGGTCTTGTGGGCGAAGATATGAACGAACAGCTTGCCGCCCGGCTTCAGAGCCCTGGCCACCTTGGCCATCAGCAGCTCATAGTTTTTCATATGTTCAAACAACTTGTGGGTATTGATTAGTGCTCAAGATTTTCGATGTGAACGAGAGTAACTCATTACCTCAATGGAGACAACTCTGTCAAAATTTTCCTTCTCGAACTCGTAGTCGACCACATTCCCAGTAATAACTGTCAGATTGGTCAGGCCCTTCTCCTTGGCCTTGCCGTCAATGTACTCCTTCTGCGTCTTCGAATTGGAGAAGGCAGTGATCTTCGATTTGGGAAGGACCTCGGCGAAGAACAATGCTCCGGAACCCCAACCACACCTATACATAACATCACGTTAGCTTTCCGCTCAAGTCTGCCACATCTCAGCCCCGATCCGGCGAGAGAACCCACCCAAGATCCAGCACACTCATCCCATCCTCCAACCCGGCCTTTTCAACATAAGTCCTCAACATAGCCACCTCAGCCTGGGCCAGCGTCTCTCCGCCCTTGGGATACAAGCAAGAGCTATACTTCATACGGGGGCCCAGACAAGCGACCAAAACCCCGGTGCCAACCTCGTAGTGCTGCTTGTTAGCCGTCGCGGTCTCGATGGCAATGGGCCGTGTGCGCAGTGCCTCGATGAAGCTCATCTTGCGGTCCATGGCCGCCGCCAGGCTGGCTGACTGGATCTCCTGCAGCCGCTGGGCCAGCTGTCGCCGGATCCCGATGCGGATCACGGCGTGGGGGAGCAGGCCCGAGTCGAGGACGTAGTCTCGTGTTGCGTGTTAGTGAAGCGTGGGGATTTGTGGAACCATAGGGGCGAGTTGATTGCTTACCCATGCTCATAGTTGGAATGGGGTTATGTGGTATATAGACTATGTGCTTTGAGTAAACGATTTGTTTTGGTTGTCCGTTGAATTGAAGTCGAAGATGGTAAAACTACCATCCCCTGATTGTTGTGACGATTTCCTCACAGTCCAGGGAGCAGTGGCTATCATGCAGGTTTGGTTTCAAAAGTGGGATCGAGAGTCTAAGCGTCATTACCCGCAAGCCTCATGTCAATTTCGCAGAAGTGGCGATGACATGCATAACTATGTCAATAGGCATTCAAGTCACATTTCATTGGTTATTACTTTCATAGATTTCGGGTTCTTATCTCTATAACCATTGTTGTTGACTCTCACTCTCAGGTCTCTAAGTAGCCAGTAGCATCCACCTCCGATCTACCACATAGACTCCTATCTTTACATTCATGGCTACAAACTACCATGCACCTTGTCCCTATGATTTTCCTTTTCCTTTCGGGTCACGCCGTCTTTCCCAAACCTGCAGGTACGATTCTCCCAAGTCCAACAATTCCTTTGGCGTCTTTTCCACAAACAAGTCCTGGACAGTAACCCACTCATCCCGTCCCTTGTCTCTCAGTTGCACCTTCCAAGTCTTCCTCTCCTCGCCTGAGTCAGCCACGTCCTCTTTTGCTCTCACTGCTTCATGTATCACGTTGGCTACCAAGTCGTACCATATCGGCTCTCCCGGCGGGTGGTCTGCTGGACTTGGCTCGGTGTAGGGCGCCACGTCTAGGTTCCGTGCCTCGAATGTGACGATGGTAGGATTGCGCTCCGATACAAATTTGTTGACCGAGAAGCGCTTAATGTGGAAGATGAGATAAGGGGGCAGTGGGTGTACGAGCCGGTAGCGTTTGCGCTGCTTCAAATGCTCCTGGGCCTTCATGCCGTCGTATTTAGACAGGATAGTTGTGAGGGGTACTTGAGGAATGATGTTTTTCTCCAGCTCATCCTGGAATAGGGGCGCTGCCGGCAAGTCGAGGGTCAAGAGAAGGAAGCGGTTGATATCAGCCTTGACTTCTGCTACCTCTTCGAATCTTAGGCGATCACCAGCATCGGCTTTTGCTGTGATCTCCTGGGACTCCACCTTCAGCTTGCCTTGAAAGATTCGCTGTACTATGCTGCTCCCTGGTTTCGTTTTGCTTCCGCCCAATCCCATGTGAATGTTGTTCAAAAACCAAGATAGAAACTCCACAGGATCTGACTGGGCTGTGAGAGTAAATCGCTTGTTGGACCGCAGAGAGATTTCCTGCAGCAGTTCGTGAGGCGACACATGGTTTTTGAATGCGCGCGGGTTCCAAATCTTCCGGAACAGGATCGCACATCGCTTGACCAGTTCTGGTCGTGCTGAGAGGTCTTCGAGGAGGAAGAAGTTGCGCAGCGGTGATACATGCGACAGCGCCTGAACCACAACATTGAGGTAATCGTTCTCTTTGATGTTGTTCATCCCCACATATCCTGGAGTGTATTCCTTTCCATCGAGGGTCCAGGCGCTCCGTGGCTTGTGATCCAGCTCTATCACCTCCTGTTTTGTATACCGCGGGTCCGAGACGTATTTGATGTCGTCAAGTGACTTGCTCTTGACTTCGTAGCCCTCTGGCAGAACGTAGACCTTCTGCATCTCCATGTTGATGAAGACATGATGTTCCTCGTCAAGCGCGTGGAAATATGCGTGGGACTTCGGTCCTCGTCCTTGGAAGTAGCACCCGCAGACTAGGCAGGCATAGACATTGATGTTGGAGAGGCTAATGGAGCAGAGCTTCTCGAAATCGAAGTCGAGCACGTTGCGGTTTATGGTATCGAGATATAAGTCGTCGTAGCCCTCGGTCGGTGCGGCTTGTCGTATCGGAATTCTTAACGGTTCTTCATCTTCGAAATCGTCGTCGCCTTCAGCCCCGTCGCGTTCTTCTAGTGAAGTGCCATTCTCCTTTGGCTGGCCTAATGCGAGCTCAGTGGGCCCATCATCGTATCGCGATTTCTTCGAGGCTGGCGAGTCGATTCCAAATGGCTCATCCAAGGCTTCAGATGCTAGTCTTTTAGACATTATACTTGTTGTCTGAGGAAATCGCAATCTGTCTGTCACGACTCTCGCAAGGCAGAAGTTCGCCAATGCTCAGAAGCTCCTACATCCGTCAATTGCTTGGCAGTGCGCCACTTTACGCTACCGAGTACGTACTTCGTACAGCTTTCCAAGCTCCACATTCTTAAGTAATGTACTCGAGTACTTACCTATTTTAAATCAACGACGATGGAAGATCTAGTTATATTCTTTGCCAATTGTTCGTTAAGGCCGCATATGTCTTTCTTCTCATTACTTGCGGTAGCAACGAGATACAAATGTTAAAAATAAAAAAAGGAAGGAAGCGCCCATTGGAGCGTAAGCTCAGTGAGCATTTTCATGTTGCGACGAAGAGTGCTCGACAAGCAATCTTCTGGTGGGAGTGTACCACCGCACGGCAAAATGCTGCATCAATATGACAGACATGGAGCCATTGGTGCCCGCCCGCGAGAATACGGCTCAGTTGATGGCCGCAATATGTCTCATGCACACACAGCCAGATTGAAAATAAACATAGGAAGTGCTCGTTTAATTGCGACCATACAAGACACGAACCCGAGTGATGAAGGGGGAACCTTTTTAGGAGAACCTTTGGGAGTTAGGCAAGCCGAGGGATTTGGATCCCTGAATAGACATGGCAACCCATAATAGAAGTTTCCTTAGCTTCGCATTTGCCAAGAGAAGTAAATGTATCTTGTCTTGATTTGGACGACTAATCTCGTCAAACCACAGAGTCACAAATGTAACCATGGAGGAGAAAGGCCAAACAAATCCGCGCAGTGAACTGCGATAGGAAATGGGCGAAAGTGCTACAAAGTCAGCAGGACCCCCTTACTGCGCTCGTCGGTCTCCTGCGCCTGCCTTGTCTGGTTTGCACAATCTGTTCTCGCCAGATTTTCTCTCTTCTTTCTCGTCGCGCAGGAAATGTGTAGGAAAGGAGCAGACAATACGAAAAGGAAGAGAAGAAGCATGATACTGCCGTCTGCGATATTGTGGTCCAAGTTGACTAAGCGGGTCGGAGTCGCTATCGTGCTCATCTCCACAACCTTTATTCTGTGGGTTAGCCTATTGCGATTCCGTGCACCTGTACACGAGCTTGCCAAACCGTTGCCGCCACCACCAGAGCCTCGATATGAGCTGTTTGGCATTGGCGGCTTCAAGGCAGGAGTCGAAGTGACAACGCTCGACATCCGCGCCAACGAGGTTGACGAGGCATCACTGCCGCTCAACCAACAACTGTCCATCGCTCTGCCGAGCTTCTCGTATTTTCACCTCGACAATCCCAAGTACAACCAGTCGAACCCCATTGAGCACCATGTGCTCAACACCGCTGTGAGGGAAACGGTCCAAGTCAATGTCGCGAAGCAGGGCTCCCAGCCCGATGCGTCGCATCTGACCATTGGCGTCGCGACGAGCCTATCACGCCTGCCCGAGGCCTTGCTAAATTTCAAGCACTGGGCTGCCCATACGAACGTCCACTTCGTCATCATCGTTGAGCTGCCGGATCGCGAGAAACACCCCAAGGAGCCCAGCATCGCTGAGGCCAAAGACATGTACGCTAAGGCCGGTATACCCAACCTCACGTTGGTCGAGTCTGCCAAGGACTTTCTCGAACGCTACGTCGAATTGATCGGTGTGCTGCACGACCACGTTGAACCGAACAAGACGAAGTGGGTATCCTTCATCGACGACGACACCTTCTTCTTCCGCATGGAGACACTGCTAGCTCGACTGGAGAAATACGACCCCGACCGGTCCTTTTACGTGGGCCAGACATCAGAGAACAAGTGGAACGTCGATGATGGTGGCATCTTCGCCATCGGCGGCGCTGGCGTTTTCATGACGGTACCACTGCTACGCCAGCTAGCGGCTCATCGGGAGGAATGCGAAAGCTACTTGCCCGGAGGGGCTGGCGACGTTCGACTTGCCCACTGCATCTTCACTTACACCACGACGAAAGTATCGCTGGAGTATGGGCTGTACCAGCTGGACCTCCACATCGATGTTACAGGCTTCTACGAGGCCGTGCGTCCCCAGCCAATAAGCGTGCACCACTGGAAGACGTGGCACCACCACGACATGCCCACCGTCTCCGCTGTTAGCAGCGTGTGCGGCCAGGCGTGCGTGCTGCAACACTTCAAATTCCGCGACGGCTGGCAGATGACCAACGGGTTCTCCATCATCAAGTACAGCTACAACGAGACGGAGCTGGCCAGCCAGATCGAAGCTGCCATGGAGCACACGTGGAAATTGACCATCTGGGACATCCCGACTAGTTGGCTGTACTCTCTGGCGCCGCTGAAGCCAAAGGACGAGGGCAAAATACAATACATGATGGAGAAAGTCGACTACGACCAAGACCAGGTGATACTGTACTACGTACGGAGGAGAAATGGCGCTGGCGAAGGCCTCATTCGAGTCGCATGGTCGGAGTCATGACATCAAACTCGAACCACGCGATCGGTGTGACGAGAGTTATGTTTGGGGACGACGTCTCATCAAAGGGGCGCAACGACTTGAGATCTATGAGGTGATTTGAAGGAGTTGGTTGTATCAAGCGTCCCGGACACAATATGTTTACTGTCTGCCTATCTCCTTTTTTTGTCGTTTGGCCTCTCTCCCATCTGGCTCTGGTGACGTGCCCCTTTCCCTGCGCTCCCGTAGTATCTCGGGAATGATGCCAGCCCTGTTCAAACCCTCGTACAAGGCCCAAGCCGCCAACGTTTTCGCGTCCCTGGCGCACTCCCTCCATAGATCCTCGTTGTCGCACACACGCAGTGTAATCATTTCGCCCTGCCACTTCTGGCCCGTCAACTTCCCGCGCAGGTCCTCAACTTCCTGGCGGTCAATCTCCTTTTCCCATAGGAAGATGTGTATGAACTCGTCGGACCCTCCCGGACTAGGATACATCCCTTGTTGGTGATTGGTTTCCTTACCGCTGGCCTCACTAAGGGCCAACTTGGTCATGTCGATGAGCTCCGACACAGGAATATTGAATCCCGTCTCCTCGAGGATCTCGTCAGCCGCCTTGCCTTTGAAGTTGGGCCCGTCGTCGATCATGCCCGCTGGAATCTCGAGGAACGATAGGCTTCCCGCGGGGATGCGTGGCTGCTCCGTCATGACGACTAATCTCTCATCTCGCGAGTCCTTGGGCCGCAGGATCATCAGCATGGCCACACTGCCGCCGCGCAGGAAGGCGACGCCTGGCAGTTCCTTAGGCTCAGCCTCGTCGTTCTTGATGATGGCCTTCAACTTAATGAAGCCGATTTTCCGGCCGAACCAGTCGACGGACTGGATCTCGATTGATTGCAGGGTGAAGGGGTGCTTATGGAAGGCATGGTTTTCGTCTTTCCATTGGAGTTTGAGGTTCTCTTGCAGCGTCGTCTTCCATGTTTTGAAGGCGGGGAAGTCACGCAGGTCTTGTGCAGAGATATTTCAGGTCAAAGTGACCGGGATCGACTTAGCAAATCCTTCGAGGTTGAAGGTCCCGACATGAGGTGCTGTCATCGCAAAGAATATATGGGTCGGATCGCAAGGAGGACAGTGACTCCTAAATGATACTCTTTAGAGGCAGACGAGAGAAAAAGAATGCCAGACAGCCGAGGTGCACAAGCGCCGTCGACTTACATTCAAGGCTGAAACCCACAATCTTGCATGAGAACGCCGTTAATTCCAGGCGGCTCCATGCGGGCTGCCAGCACATCGAGGATGCCCACCATGACTGTTGTGTGCCATTGGCAGTCCGACTCCTGGTACATTGAAGTAAGCAAATATGTGGACTCAATTAGCGGCGCAGCTTGTGCAGCTTCGTGATTGGTTTAGGAGTATGCTGACTTGTAGCATGTACATGATTGAGACTCAGCGAAATTCAGGCGCAAAACTGGAGTCTTTGAGATCCCCTCTCCATCCTAGCAACTGAATGAAACCTGGCATTGTCATATCAATTTTCACGATGCTGTGTAATGTGTGCTGGCGCGTCTTACGAGGGCAGGACGGTCGACAATGGCGAGGAACCTATGATTTGCATTTCCAGCACCACAAGAGCCTCATGGCCCTCGAAAAATCCGTGGTCACGGGCTGCAGTATTTGCGGACTACTCAAACAAGAGCTCTCTAGTCGCGTGGGCTCAGACAAATTGGCTGGGGATGCGCCCCTCAACATCACTGCGTCTCTGTATGGCCTACACGATGCACCTAGTGAGGGCATGTACAGGCTTTCAAGCTCCAAAGTGGTGAGGTCAGAGGGAAAAAATATTTGTGTTAGAAGAATCTGGTGAGGATGCCGATCAGTGCAAAAGAAGTGCGGGAGTCCAACTGTCTTGACCATGAGTAGGTGTTAAGGCTCCTCGTTTCATAACACCAATATCCGATAACACAGGCTCTGATGAATGCTTCGCTCTGGCGAGCCAATGGATGCAAGAATGCCAATGCGTGGATAAGAGCAAGCCGCCAGCATGATATCCCAGACGCTTGCTTGATCTGTCCAAGATCAAAGCACAGGGCTACCTAGCCAAAAGACTGGAGTCGAGACGCCGCGGTGGTGTCCATGAGGTGGATGCTACTGAGATCAAGGTTGTTGACACTGAAACCTGGAGTAAATACCCACCGCCTGCCGAGAGCATGCACTATGCTACCCTCAGTCATCGCTGGGGCTCGGCACAGCCTGTCATGCTAACCCAGGAGACATCGCCGAGTTCGAAAACGGCTTGAAGTTGGGGCAGCTACCCAAGTCGTTCAGGGAGGCAACTGCGTTTGCAGCCCGCATTCCCAATGTGGGATACATCTGGATTGATTCCATGTGTATCATACAGGACAACATCAACGACTGGCAATCGCAATCGGCAGTCATGCACCGCGTTTACAATGAGTCGTTTCTTAACATCTCTGCAACCGCAGCCTAGAACAGCGATGGAGGCCTGTTCTTCAAGCGTGAGCCTGCCGCACTATGGGAAGACAAGGTCACAGCCAATATCCAAGGCCTTCCTGGTTCTAAAAGCCGCGTCAAAATGTCGGCAACGGGGCCTGAAGAGGTGTATGACAAGGTGTCCGAGAACAAGGAGTTGTGTAATTTCATGTCCTCGTTTACCGGCTTATTCTGGAGAAAACCAGCACCCGGGCCCATCCAATCCCAAGTACGGGCCCCGCCGCGCCTGATCAAGAACACCTCGAGCCTATCCGAACCGGTTATCAACTATGGGAGTATACGCAGATGTACGCTGATCGACGTGGCGTTCTGGGATACGCTTGTCCATCAGGCCTCGGTTAACAAGAGGGGATGGGTGCTGCAGGAGAGGCTCATGGCACCAAGGATCCTACACTTTTGTAAAGATCAGATTGCCTCGGAGTGCCGCGAGTTTGACGCCGCAGAGACTCGTCCCAGGGGAATATCCAACTTTCAACTCCACTTCGACAATATCGTCTCGGAGAACAGGCTGAAGGGCCTGGACCCCGAGGTGGATGGTAAACGACTCCGACTGCAACGGCTACAGGCAGCCAAGGAACCCGATAAGCACCTGGTCCCAGGCATATACACGTTCGAGCTCTGGGCGCGCATTGTGGAGGTATACTCCAACACGGCCATAATAAACTCGAACGACAAGCTGATCGCGCTGGCTGGTGTTGCCAAATGGATGTCGGGCTTCATGAAATCGGACTATGTCGCCGGTTTGTGGAGGGAACACCTGGCCAGCCAGCTACTCTGGCGTGTCGTGTCCGTCTTCCAATCCCACAACCGCAGCTTTTCCAACCCATCCCAGCGACCGTCCTTGTACCGTGCCCCGACTTTCTCCTGGGCATCCGTGGACGCCGATAACGGGAGCGGTATCATCTACGGAGAGGTGACGGATCAGGATCTATTTATTGAGATTGCGGGCGTACATGTGACGACCACGAATCCTGAAAACCCGTTTGGGTTGATCAAGGACGCACATTTGAAAATCTGGGGCAAATTGAGGAAGATTGATTTATTTGAGAAAATAAATGAAAAAGGAGAATTAAATGGTCGGTACGGCTGGAGGCTGCACGGGATGGGCGAGGATGTCGACAAGGAGGAGCATACGAACGTGTATCTGGATTGCCCGGAGCAAGACGGTGGTCTTGCTGTCGAGGGTCACGACCGGGATGACCGCAGCCGCCGCGGCGGAATCTTTGACTCGAACGACATCTGGTGCATACCAGCTGCGGAAGGGGAAAGAGCCGCGACTAGAGAATCGAGGTACTTGATCTGTCTCCTGCTGCAGGAGGTCAAGGGTCGTCGGCTGGGGCCCGGGACGTTCCGTCGTATCGGACTGAGCAAGTTGTCACCATGGGGGGAATAAGGAGGGGAGGCTGCATATCACAGATTCTTTTAATAGTGATATTACGCGGCCAATGCAGGCTTGGGATTCCGAGACCAAACGGCATTTGATATATATCATATAGGAGGTTGAGGCGATAAGGTATGATGCTTATAAAACGAAGTCATGACGGATTGGATTTTGCATGGCTTTAATATGGGATTAGGACATATATACACCATATCCTGCAATTTGGGCCTTGGAGACTTGAACGCATACTACACTGACATGACCTCGGCCATGGTATAGTTGAGGAATCGCCCAACTAGGTATTCACTTGATTGAGTAACTCCATAGTTGCATTTTCTATGCCAAGCTGCAATTGATTTACTGGGAATACCTACATCAGGAGGCTGCATTACAACCGACATTTGATACGTCTGATCCATATATTAAACGAGAGTAGCTGGAGATTTCTGTCATGTATACTTGAGCTTGTCCTTTCTACTTAGCGTAACAATGGTTGTATATGCTGTATCTATCATATGAGCCCTTTATTCCTCAACCCGGTACGTGTTTTCTATATAAACCCGGGTTTTAATCCTGGAGATATTGCTTGGTGACGTACAGTGCACTAACGAAAGGTGTCACATATTTTGTGTGCTATTAGGGTGACTCCTATGGAGAAAAGATGGAAATAAATCAAGATGCTAATAACTGTAACAAAACTAGTCAGACCTATGCATTTTAAGTACGTTTGAAGCGTCCACGAGCTGCTATTAGGAGCTATGAGCGGTGTTTGGAAGGACAATATTAGGGGATATCCGTGGGATAGAGGCGTGGGGTTGATTTCTATCAGTCGACAGGCTTTTATAGTCACCTCAAGCAGGGTCGATCAAGTGTCAATAGGAGATTTCTAATGTGAAATTTCCACCCTATAAGTAAAAAGAGAGCTGTTAAGTTTTATACTTTGACGTTTCTTTCTAGATCTCGATATGAAAGTAACAAGATCTAGTCTAGAACGTGCTGTTCGTTCTATGATACGAAAAGGTAGGGGGACCCACTGGTTAGGTGAATCCCATTCAATTAGATACTATAACGTTGCGCACTGCTGCATTATAGCATCCTCCCCCCTAGGTGCACGCATCAAGTGCCGGGGTCTGGTCAATTGAAACCATTGTCCTCAATGGGCTTATCGCTCACAGGTCTTATTGCCAGAGTAGGTCCGTAATCCTCCCCAAGTGGTTTGGTGCTTCCGCCGGGAATTGAACCCGGTACTACCCCTATAGTGGTCTGTTCGTCAGGGCGCGACAGCCATTCGCCGGATGCGGTGCGGACTTGGTGGCCATGAGTCCTAAACCCTACCAAATCGACCATGCTACCGTTTGACCAAACAACGGAAGAGATGCTACCATTTGATGCGAGTGCATATGGGGTGTGAATTGTTGTATTGGGAAACGATGGCCAGGTCAGCTATTCTGGCCTGGCAGAGCTCTTTTATAGCTCTTATCTATCTTATCTCTAGCTATAGGGCAACCCCCCATGGGGTCACGTATCATTCTACGTATAAGGTATCTACACCAGGTTCCGACTCTACAGGGAACACCATAATGAGCCACGCCTATGAGAGGCTATTTCTATGATATCTTCCTAGTTTAGTAGCTAGACTATTTAGACGTTTGTCTCACCATGTATAACTAAAAACTACTATAGAGTACCTAAAGCCCTACTAAAAGCGTAGAGGGTAGAGAGACAATAGAGGTTATAGCTGTAGGTTTAATTTGAACTAGACTATAGCGTACTTACTTCTCTACTATAAGCTCTATAATAGAGAAAGAGATACGCTTAAAGAAGATCTAAAGGGATTACCACTAACCTGTGAAGGTCAACCCTCGCAGACTCACTACAACCAGGTGACTTACAGCTGGAACACATGCCATGGCAGTGCCAGATGGGAAGCCAATCATAACCCCTGTAGGAGCCCCGCCAAGCGTGGACGACTTAGTCGCGCTCCCTCAAACCTAAGTTCTGATCTTCTTTCCTTCGCTCCTTAGAGTAGAATCTTCGTCGATAGCACCTAATCGAGGTCTCTACCAATGCGATGCAACCCAGGTCGTGACATAACCTAGATAGAAAAGCTATTCTCAACAACCTAGATATTACAGGAATTAAAATAACGAAGTGGCATCTACAATGATAGTTACCTGTGATATAATCAACTAAGGACTTAAAAAGAACAAGGACAATTAAAACTTTGAAACATTGATGCGAATGCATATGGGGTGTGAATAGTTGTATTGGGGAAGCTTGGTTAGGTAGCTATCTGGCTGGCCTTAAAATGATATGTAAGCAAGAAGCTATCCGTACAAGATGACTTCCTCGAGTTTAGTTATTGAGGATTATATTTCATAGATTGAAGGAGTATTAGGTCACTGTCTTCATAAAGCCGTAGGCTTACAGAGGACAGTAAAATAAAAAGGAATTAAAAAAAAATCCACGAGGTCTGGTCCACTTACTAGGCTTGGCACACCTGCCTTGATAATGGGGAATGGGGGTCCCTGGTCAGTGCAACTCTGCAGGTGGCTGCTTAAAATAAGTGGAGTCAAGGATTTCAATTGTTCGTTGCGGACGGCGACAGTTGCTGCCTCCATCTGGTACAATTTGAGCAACCTACAATCATACCTGGAGGTCACCCATTCCAATCATGGCGTCTCAAGATACTCCGTCAACAGCCCTCGTTCGCAAAAGAACCGAGCTAGATCTTATGCCTCCACCGCCGCCCCCGAAACGCATCAAACGACCAAAGAAGACGCTAGACGAAGATACATATACTGACGCCTTGTCCCACATCATCGCACGCGACTTCTTCCCTGGCTTGCTGGAAAGCGAGACCCAACAAGAATATCTGGACGCACTAGAATCAAAAGACGCGGAATGGATATCCAGTGCTCGTCGACGCTTACATCAGGTTATGACACCGGGACGACAAGGAGTCAAGAGAGGCACATCATTGCCACAAGGCGCCCAAACACCCCGAGAATACGTCGGCGACACTCCGGTCTCGACTTCAGCTGAGTCAACACTTTCCATCGCGAAAGAACGCCATGTGGTCGATACCAATATGAGCCTAGGCTCGTTCCAATCAAAATACACGAGCGAGGACAACGAAAGCTTTTACAAGCTGCTGGATAAGCAAAATGCTAAGAGGGTGGAGAAATACGCATGGCTCTGGTCAGGCAACAAGCTACCGTCCAACATGATGCTAAAGCAGAAAGAAATAGAAGCCAAGTTGGCGGAAACACGCAGCCTGACGGATGACGGCTTTAAGAAGGACAGGTTAGCCATCAAGGATCGCGATGACCGGATTGCTCAGCCGGAGACTTGGAAGTCGATACCAAACAACGCCCTGATGTTTGGTCCAGGCGGCGTAGAAGATTTGATGGAGACAGTAGCGCAGAAATCCGAGGCGGAATGCCGAGCGGCACCAAAGGCAGTCAACTACACGAACACAAGACTACCGCAGCCGACAATCAACGATGAGGAGTCGGCGCCGTCATCACCATCGCTTACAGCAATACGAGATGCCATTGCAGGAAGACGGTCAGCCAGTGATGCAGGTTCAACTATACTCGGCAGCGAAACGCCTCGGGTCAACGGCTATGCGTTTGTGGATGATGAAGAACCGCAATATGAGGTACCACCTGCTCCTATCATTGACTTGGGCCCAGGAGACGCGACACCAAATCCGTTCACCATCAAGGAGAAAAGCCAGAGAGAAGCGCTTCACCACCGCATGGTAGACAAGATCTCCCAGTCCAGGAGGACGTCAGCGCAGGTTGGAATGACGGGGAAAGTTGACAAGACACCAGTGCCGAAGTTCCCAAGCAGCCCACGGGTGACTGGAGGATTGACACCAGCGGCGCAGCGACTTTGGAGCAAGATCGGAGGCAGTGAAGGCCAAACACCTCGCACCCCGTTTAGTCAGGAGACACCTAAGACGAAGGTCTCAAAGCTGAGACAGGTGATGAAATAGCATAACATGATTACGATGATACGAACATAACCAATCTATGGACAGATTTCTCCCCCCCCCTAGCGCCCACTTCACACAACAAACCTTCAGATTGTAGTGGACTATTCCTCGCCGATTCACACTCAAGTAACGTGGGCATTGCTATAAGAGTTTCCTTATGGCGTATACTCGAGTAACAGGTGCACTAGCCACGGGCCTCACGCACTGCGACGATTCTATAGAGGATAGATGGCGTCAACTTCAACGCCAGGCCTGAATCCAACTCTACCCACGCTATGTGGATTACCTCTCTAGCCTCCGCTTCTTGGGGTTGTTTTTCTTCAACCCGGCAACCTTAGACTCAATTTCATGAATCTTCTCGAGAGCTTGCTAGACGTGCTCTATAGGGTTCAAACCCAGACTGGGACGGCTATTCGATTGTCCAAATACCGTGCTCCTCTAGCTGCCCCTTGGTTAAGATAGACTTATATATTTGAGCGTTATCTTACATAAAGAGGTTCCTAGGCTTATTGTCACACTTTCTTGGGCACTGCAAAATCGATACCGTTATTATCGCGCACTGCAATTAGGTATTATTTGCTATAGATATCTTCCGCAACACTTAGAGAACAGAAGCGGCCTTTTCCTAGTGTGCCAAGGCACGACTTTAAAGGTTACTCTTCGGCGAGGAGTGTTCTGGTTCCCCTTACATAAGACTTCCTCAACTATATCGGCCTTATTATTGCGCAGCTAGATTGTAGACTAGACAATAAAAGAAACCTGGGGTTTATTATAGAGCTCGAGCCATTATAGGTAATGTAATAGAGGCTATATTCAAGCCTAGCGGTCCTAACCGGAGTACTATACTTTTAAGATACTCGTATCCCTAGACTAACTTTCCTACTCTTCTCTTTCTCTCTTCATCATAGAAATTACCTACGCCACGTAAATGCGGCTACACATAAGGAACCTACCCTTATACCCCCTGTTGTATTCCCTAATATTTTCAGTACACCTCTATTCTCAAGATATCTTAGTAATGATGCTATGACCTTTTTCTTAATTTTAATAAGTAAAATACGCCTAATTAGAATTCCAATTTCTTCACTAGGCTTGTACGAGCTCTTCTTTAGACAGCGGGTTCCCTTTAAAAACGTTGATTTCTGGCTATCCTAGTGCGATATCAGCTTTATTTGCTTCTTACGCTTATCTTATGCCACTCTGGAAGGTTATGCAAGGCTGAGTGTCAGGTAGGTGACTACGACGAACAGACGACCGTCGCTTCATTCCAACAAGTCATGTATTGAAGAACCTTCTATCTGCAGCTCTAACTCGTGCGACAAACCCCTGGCTACACTACCCCGCGATGGCTCTAGCCCTATGACAGGTGTACTAATAGACCCATTATGAAACTAGCTGAGATATCCGCCCTAACCTTCTACCATACAATTGTAAGAAAGTTAAAGCTAATACTACCCGTATATATCAACAGATGGATCCACTTGCTCTTCAATATTTGCACGTATTCTCGTATGTCTTGCCTGTAAAGGGGGGTGTACTATTAGCCAACAAAAACTCACGCGAACTCGCATTAATAAACTTACCCGCGCAATTACCAAACATATAGGACCGACACCATCCCAATCATCCCCTCCTAACTAACAATTCGGCATCCTCAATATCGAAGAAAGAGTCCACAACTAATCGCCATAAGGGGGTCCCATATAATCATTATGATGCTCTGGTAGAGTTGCTAATGGGCAGTGCGCTGGTCGGGGGTGCGCGGGAGGTGGCAACAATTGTCGTAAAAGTGGAAGCGATTGCAGTCGACAGGGCGGGATCGGTCGGGTCCTCCACGGTGCTCTATGTAAACGGCGCGTTTAGCTGGTAGACCATCGAAGACCGTCCTGGTCGCGACGGGTACGCCGTCTCGCTTGGCGAACTCGTCAAACTTGGCGTTATCTCGGGATGACAATAGGGCGGCTTTGGCAAGGCCGTAGTCTTGATAGACGCGCTTGGAGAGTTGAAATACGGTGCCATTGGCATAGGCGCACTCGCTGACCAGAACCATGCCAGATAGAGAGGGGGTGGATCTGCGCCGCTGCGCCATTTCATCGACGCCATAGATGAACCCGGCCTCGCCTAACTCGACGTAATAGTGTGTCCTCGTCGCCCAGGCCGCATCGTCATCACCGGAGTCGGTGAAAAAGCGGATAGTGAAGATGCCCGCCGCAACCGCGGTTGAAAGGACCAGGCACTACGAGCGGCTGGTCGGTTTCCGGGCCCGGGTATCTTGGCGCAGTTATAGCTCATGGTAGGTATGCCCGGAGTGTTGGTTGAGACGGCCGTTCATTGTGCTGGTTTGGGCGGAGCAGAGGCCGGCCTAGGCAGCGAGATAGGAAGCGATGGATAGCTTCATCTTGCCATCTAACTAGTTTCTTTTCTTATAACGAATACGGAAGTAGAGGCTAAGGGGTATATGGAGAATTGTTATCTAGCGGACGAAGTCTTTTCTTCTCACAACTATATTGCTAAGATGGGACGAATCATTCTATGCTATAAGCCATCTGGGCTACGGCTAATATACTCGGCTTCACCGTCCTGTTCTGCGTACATGAGTATGTCTGGAAAATGGTCTCCCTGCTTCAAAGGAGGGGATTGTAACCCGGGGGTTTCCTTCGATGGGGAATTTCCTTCTACATCGAGATTACAAAAGGACAGGCGTAAGGTTCTGTGCACTTCGCCGCAGCCATTGCAGTATTAATGTCAGGATCCTGTGGGAGCTGCCGCTCTCGACCCGGCTTACCGAGTTCACGACCAGTTATCATTATGAAGCTATGGAACCCTGCTTGCGGGGCTACAGTATGGTGTAAAGACAGCGAGGTTTAATCAAATTGGAAACCATTCAATCTTCATGATTAGATGTACCTTTCATTATAGTGCTGCAAACATGGGGACTTTCACTCTTGACTGACTGGACAGTATCCACGCCCTGCACTGGGGCAATTATAATCTTATATGTTGGAATGGACACACTATATCGGGACCGGTAAGGTTCAGCTATCAGGGCTGTTGGAACCAAGCAGCATATCAGAGAAAGGCTCTTGGCGCTTATGGAAGTCATGTCAACCGAAGTATTTTGGTACGCTACCTATGCAATACTCACTATAATGCGGAGCCCACTGGATGCAGCGGTTCGGCACCCTGTCAGGGGCTGGTGGTACCTTACAGATTACATCAAGGTGTATTAAACTCACATGTGTTGCAGTCACCCAAAAAGAAGCCGCTGTGGTAGGACGACGTCATATGAGCAGGTGGGGTGGTGGCCACCTAAATATTGAAGAGGCTCAGCAGATGCTCGCTGGCTTTGGCATGCTCAACCTCACTTGCATGATCCGTTGTGGAGAGATTCCAGTCAATTCAGTCCAGCCTGCACAAAAAGTACCTGAGGCAGGCAGAAAATCAGAAGATTGAGCACTAAGGCCCCTACCACCTTGGCCACACTCCCCGACAGCCTCGCCAAGAGTGCAGACCTGGCGGCGCTGGTCAAGGCCGTCGACCTGAGCACAGCGGGCATTTCTGTACTCCTCCTGCGTAGTGCACTGGAAGCCGCGAGGCCTCGGCTTAGCTTGTCTGCTGCGTTCAAAAGGCGCTTGCAAGGGGCCCTCGATGGCGTGGGTGATGATCTGAGAAATGCGGGCGCTGAGGCCGTGCTACATCTGCTTCTCTTCCGAATCTCGAGTGCGGCGGTTGCGCGCGCTACGGTTGTGCCACTGGGACGGTGAGAGCACGACCCGCATGCCCAGGTCCAGCAGCGGCTGCTTAGCTCCGGTAAGACGCTGCCCGGATTCAAAAACGCTGCGCATTGCCCGGGGGGCGGGGAGGGGGGCGCCTCCAGGGTGTTCACATTCCCACTAGACTTTGGAACCATGCGAGGCGCTCAGCGATACGTGCGAGGGCTACTAAGTTCTAGCATGCCCTACCCTATTACTGTACTACTAGATGGAGAATACAGTTTTTATAACACTGTGTATAAATACCGCAAAATTACATACAATAGGTACATATAGGGAATAAATATATGTAGTACGTATACTGCCCTATGGTCTTATTTGAGAAGCCAGTGTAGGAAGGACTCTGGTGGCCTCAGATGCCCAGTGCATTTGGAGCAGGCACACGCATGTATTTAGTGGTGTCCCCTCAGGCCGATTTAATACTTTGTGCAACCGAAACAGCGATGTAGCCAGAATGTCAGCAGATCAGAGTCCCACAGTATATACTATGTATCTCCAAGACTATTTGTTCGCTAATATATAGCAGAAAGAAGACATAAAACAATAAAATATAGGAAAATAAACAGAGAAAATAAGAAGTAAATATAAGTATATTGTAAGCTTAAAGATAATGTAAAGGGTGCTAAAGATTTGAAAAGGGTATTCCAAACATCTAGACATACTCTTGGTATTCCGAATGTCGCCAGCGAAGTTTTGCCCACATAGTGTTCATACATGTACTTTTAGTAAAGAGTAGTACGACTGTGTTCTTCGCCCGATCACACACTTGTTACTGAAAAGGGTCATTAAGTCTACATATTGAAGCCCCAGCCTAGCAATTCACCAGGCAAGCGCTGACTGTATACTTGCCTTAATTACACGCTTTGTTCACTGCGAAGGATTGTATAAAGACCAAGTGCTGAAGTAATGGTTACACATGTGTAACAAGTGTAGTATAAAACTACCCATGATGACAAATTGTAATATGTACAGGTTGAATATTGAACTGTTTTCCTACAATATCTCCCTAGACGCCTTACCCTCATACCCAATGATTTCGTTAACTGTTGATTCCATGCGCGGCTGCACCAGAAAGCCGAGACCAGCTTAAGCGTTGAAAGCGCGAGCCCGGATGGATCGCTTGACCTTGCTGGCTTTCATGTCCAAGGTGGCCGACTGACCGGGCGTGCAAACAGTGCCGGCAGCCATGGGCATGACGACAGACCACTGACCCGAGGCACACTGCTGGAACGAGGAGTTTAGGCAGTTGTACTCACCCTCCACGGTACAAGCACCCGTCTGAGCAACTGCGCTCGAACCCGATCCTGTCCCCGAGCCAGCACTGGCGGATGCAGTTGCGGTAGGTGAAGTGGCAGGTGAAGTGGCAGGAGAAGAGGCAACGGCCGTAGTGGGGGCGGCAGTGGCGGAGCCGGCAACCCCGGTGACGGTGATGAAGACACCACCAGGGACCGAGGCGGTCGAGGCGGGGGCACTGGCGACAGCGCTCGATGTACCAGCATCAGAACCACTGCCGGAGCCAGAGTCAGACCCGCCCGAGCTACCGCTTCCGTAACCAACGCCACCGTCGCAGTCAAGTTCGACGAGGGGGTACGTGCCCTCATTGTTCTCGACCGAAGTACCAGGGTCGGGGAAGAGGGGATTCTCCTTCTCCGTGGTGGCGCACTGGTTGATGCTGGGCAAGTTGGCAACGAACATGTTAGGAAGTTTCTCGTACGCAGACTGGTCACCACCCGACCCGGTGATCTCAATAGGCGCACAGTTCATGTAGAACTCGCGGTTACTATAAATAACGTTAGTCAACATTTGGTACTTCGAGGGAATGAAGCAACGAGCTGGGGAGTCAGGGAATGGGTGGGGGGGTCATGTCTCTAGAGTAAATACTCATAACCCAACTTCATTATGAATCCTTTACTGCCGAGACAGACAACAAAAAGACGGCAAGGGGGGAAATACCAGAATTTACAAAAGAAAATAATACTGACCCTATGACATTCAACCACGTCCAGGCCAAAGTAGCCTTTCCAGCGGGCAAGTCAGACGGAATCGTGAACTCGTACTCGTTGGGGTTCTGGAAATTCGGGTCCTCAGCGAAGTTGCCATCCTGACCGCGAGCCGGGCAACCCCCCTGAATACTATGGATCACCTTCCAGTCGCTCTGCTTGGTCGGGGCCGTATCGTACGAGATGGACACCTGGCAGGAGCCACCGCCGTGCACAGCCGAGCCGATGAAGCTCAGGCTCTGATTCGACCCGAGTGCCATCTGGGTCGCAGTACCCGAGTAAGTGGCACCCGTCGTCGCCTTGCACGGGAAGTTGCTATCGTCCAGTGGGCTGTTGTCGACAGCCGGCGAGGTGAACGGGGCCGGGTTCGCCATGATGACATGCCCCTTGGCGAGAGCGATGAAGGCCGCAGATGCGAGAATCTTGGCGAAACTCATCTTGATTGATATTGGTATTTGAAGTCGAACCAGTCGATGATTTCAAATATGAAGGGGTGTTTAGAAGTAATCGTTTAGAGTGCTTCTGGTTGATTTGGTTGATGTCTAAAGAAGCGAGTGTTAGCCGAGTTACAGGGGCTTGACTTTGTATTCCACAGATTCCGACTCTTTGCTGGAGGCAAGCTCAAGGACCCTCACGTGGGCAAATGTCACTTCTAGTCAACTCCTTTCGTGGGAACTGACAGTGCGTTGGGAATTTCGAACCAACAAGATATCGTCGGCCCCGGGCAAAGGTCGTTCAAAGGGTCAGCGTCAACTCACCAAGGTGGCGTGCTCTGAACTTCCAAAATCGCACGAGTGAGAAAGGTTAGGTCACAAAGAATGAGCGAGATGGATCGGAGATCTGGTCGTGTAGTCCGAGTAGACTCAAAGGAAGGTAGTGCTCCAGGCGAGTGGGGAAACAAAGAACAAACTCGGAAAAAGGACCTAAGCCTTGAAGGAGTGAAGGACTGGTCTTGCAAAGATGTCGTCGTGAGAACTGCTGCTGAAGAGAGACGAGGGAACCGAAAGATGTTTGGTGAAACAAGAACGACCGTCTTATATATTTGAATGTTCAAAAGAATGGAAAGCAGCAGAGCTAATCATGCAAAATGATGGAATGTAGGAGTCACGAAGGAGTGTGCTGCAGGAACAAGTTGTGATTTGGGAGTGATTGGATATAAGTGCAACAGGGTAGAACACGGCTCCCTCCCATGGTACCCACCCAATCGAAGTCCCGCTGAGCGTGGAACACCACGACTCCACCAGAAAAGGCAAGAAAAGACATAGGGGTTCGGCGATGCTCAGCCAGTAGTCCTCAGCCATCCTGATCGTTGGCTATGGTTTCGAAGCACTGTGGGGCCGTGGAGGGTTGCAGGGGCAAGCCGTTGAAGAGCAGGGGTGGCAAAACGAAGGTCGATGGCAGGTTTTGATAGGCTTACTGAAGCTTGTAGGGCTTGTCTCGGCTTGGCACATATGGTGAGTAAGGAAAAAGAACGAGAGGCCGAGAATCGTTTGCAGCTTTCGCTGGGCGCAAAAACCGCATGCGCAGAAATCCCCTGACTAGGCCTGACTAGGCTAAAAACAGTTCATGCAAGTGATGAGGGAGGGGTTGTCGAATTTGAGCCTCACAGGCAACTGAAGGAACAATTGCATTCCAACAATACCATCAAACGCGAACAAAAATCAATCTAATTCTCACGAGAAAACAGACGAATGTAACGGCAACCTCAGCCGAAAGCCTAGATTCCCATAGTGCCACTTCCTCCTGTTCTCTCCCCTTTTCCTCTTCACTTTGACTTCTAGTTGGAACTAATATCGTCCTGCACGGCAGGATTGGATGCGTGGCCGGTTTGCAGTCAGGCACTTGCCCAATACGGTTATGATTGGGAACCAATGAGTACAGTTCAAGCCTGACCTCGGTAACAAATCCTTGTGTCCTGGGCTGCGGCCCTGGTGGCCACTCGAATTCTGTAAATCAGACGACCTGCGGCGCAGGCTCGCGGGAAATACACCCATGGATGGCAAAATAGACACCAAGGTCCCTCCCAACCCCTCCCGTACATATGCATACTTTGCTAAGGGTCACGTAACGCCTTTTGCCCCTACGGGACGCAAAGCCCGCACGACGTGGAATTCTCGCAGGGAAATGCCCACCAAAGTCTGGGCCGGGTGCGGGAAGGTCAGGGGCGTTGAGCAAGGATACCTTTGCCGACCACTCGCAAGGCGCGGACTCCAGGATACACAATTCAGCGCATGGATCTTGGTTTTTTTTTCTTCCAGTGGTGAGTGCCAGTCCTCCAAAAGCGGAATCCAAAAATGTGTCGATGAGTTCCTGCAGGGGGTGGGCTGATCCCCTCGTGCAGGTAACCCCTGACAAGGTCTGGATGGCAGGGGCCTTTTTGCCAGCTGATAACTGGGGGCGTGTGGGGTTGAAAGCTATTCCAGCCCAATGGAGCCCTCCATCCAACGGTGAAACGACATCGGTTTCAGCACTCCGCTGGTATTCAGCCTTTTCGGCCTATCAACTGCTTTTTGTTAACTTTTACTTCAAGAACGACCAAACAACGCATGGTGATATGTGTTCTATCACCGCCTGAACCAGCATTCCAGCGAGGTTCATCCAGTCTACTGGATGTTACCAACCTTGCAAACTTTTGTCATGTGCCAGATGCCCGTTACGCTCGCGCGTGCGCCGCAAACGAAATATTTTGTACTGGCGCCTTATGCTATTCAGTACCTTATGCGCTGTCAACTGACAAACCGCCACCACTTGTTTGATGTAGCGCGTAACAAACGCTGATGAAGGATAACAAAGCGCAGGCGATCACCATTTGTTAATGCCAAGCACACCGCTTCTTGATCAAACGGACACTGGCAGCTGTCAACGAGATCATGCACCGCGAATTAGACGAGGGATCGGATAACATGACCAACCCCCCGGCTAATTAGGCGACCAGATGGTGGGGCACTAAACCGAAGTAGGAAGGTATGGGGTCCACTCTGATGGTCGCCAAATGACGCAAATTTTCACGAGTTCTGGTCTGACGTAACCCACACAACGCGACATCAAGATGGCCGGCCTTTTCGATTGGAAGAAACAGGTGAGCGCGATCGATTACCCATCGATTACAGTCTATAACCATCCAAATCTAATTATTACGATTCAATACTCTTTTCCCCGTCCATTTTGGCTAATATTTCACTGATATTTGCCCAGCCGGCGTATCAGGCATACTCCTCTCACTCTGTTCGCCCCGATGGGCTGCCTCCATATGAGGTGGACGAGGTGATTCTTCCTGATTAACTTGATTGCGAGTCGAGTGCTAATCGATTAAGAATGGATTCTACAAGGTGGCTCCCGGCGAGCTCTATTGCCGTGCCTACGATGAGGAAAACGCTATCTGCCCAAATGACGTGAGTAATCGCAAACAGCGACTCAATTGCCTTTCGAGTGCTAATCGATTAATAGAGAAAGCAGTGGCAGCCGTCGAACCTCCGCCACCACCTGAAGACAACTCATAAGTACACCTTATTGGACCTCCCGCCGGGTAAGGCCAACGTTGTCGATGCGAAGAAGATCGACCGTAAGTTATTTCGTAATCTACTACTATATTACTACTAATCGATTAACTAGGCTTCTACCAGACTATGAACCAGCGTATTACTGAGGCTGCCGGTACTACTGAGATCACTAATACTGAGTCTGGGTAAGTTAACTCTACTACTTACTCTAACTACTATTTGATTTACAGTGAATTAGCCCAGTAGCAACCCCTAGCAAAACCAAGCCGACTCTAAGCGAGTCCTCGCGTCGTGGTAGTAACGCGTCCGCGAAGGATGAGAAGCTGCCGATCCCTCGCAAAAAGGCAGGTTACCGACCGCTGAATCATAGATCGAGTACTAATCGACTAGGATGGAATAATTCACGGTGTCTATATGCGCAAGTCAGTTGGCTTCTCCGGACGAGCCTGTGACGGGTGTATCGGCCTGAAGAGAAAGGCTGCAGGTTGGTGCCGCTATTTTATTAATACGATACAATCAAGTACTAATCAATTAATACTAGAGTGCCCCCCAGCCAAGCCCGATGGCGTCTGCGTGGTTTGGCCGAAGTTCAAGACTCCGGCAGTAATCGATCTGGAGGAGGAAGATCAGGACGAGGCTTAATAGGGGCTACGTTGCTTTACATCGCCGGGCGTTGACAGAATTCATAATTAGCATAAGGCATAGTCGATTGTTAATCGATTAGTGATAGCATTACTAGTAAAGCTTATCCGTTTAGTCGTCTCCGCCTTTCTTCAAGTTCTAGCTCCTTTTCATCGTTTTGAAGCTTCAGAGCGCGCGCTTCTTCTTCTCGTCTAAGTATATCAACAGCTTGGAATCGAGCTTCCAGACTGTCCTGTGCGTGACCAGAAGTGTTTTGCGTTCGATGTGGATTGAGACTACAATTGGTTAGCAATCGATTACGTATCGAATCAAACTCGAGTACCTTTTATGCCTCTTGAACTTCGATCTACTAGGTAAAGATCCCGATCGAGCCGATCCAGATGAACTATACTGTGATAATTCGCGGGCTTCAGAGACAGCTGAACTAGGGATACCTAGTTGATTACTACTCGAGGCATAATCAAATGTTGGACTTGGGCTAGGGATGGGAAAATCGCTGAAGCTCTCGGTCTCGCGACGTCGCTTTTGGATAGTAGTAACTACTTGATTATTAATCGATCTGTATTTAGATAGTAGGAGTGCACATACTTTCTCGCATAGTAGACCTTGCATATCGATCTTGGATCGACGCTGGTCGATAAGCGTACGGAATGTTGAACTTCTTATAAATTGCTGCTGATTCGAAGTCCTTTTCGTCTAGTTGACGATTGCTAGAAATCGATTAGCTATCAAGTAGTAATTGAGTTAGGGTTATTACTTACTTCTCTACGCAATCTGCTACATATTGATAGCGGCCCCCATAATGATAGCTTCGTTGATGCTGGACTTCAGCCGGATTTGTTGAAGGCGCCATTTTATCCCAATCGCTAGAAGAAATCCAAGAAAAATGCTGATTAACTCCACACTTAATAGCTGGTCGAACTTTGTGTAAAGCCCATGCCCGTAACTTAGGATTTGTGGAATTAGCTGTACTCAAGTAGTACTCCATTAGTATTCGATTCTTAATCAATGATGCCTGCAGGAGCTTACTAGATAAGAGCCGACAAAGCTCATTATAATCCTCTTCAGATTGCATATGAAGAAGCTCCATCATTCGAGAGAAGTCGGAATCAGGTCCACGGTTCTATAATCGATTAGCAATCGAGTCATACTGCACTTGTACTCCATTAGAATAAGCATACCGCTACACCAGTAATCTTTTCAACCCCTCGTTGGAAGTGCACCTTGCAATAGCGAATTGTACTCTTCACATAATAAAGCCAACTTCCCTGTTGGAATTTATCATAAAGATACATTCCGAGACCTATTTGATTAGCGGTCGACTATCAATCGACTGTATATAGAAGCCTTACGTACCAATAATTAATTTATAGTCCTGGTCAGTTGTAAACCCAATAAATGGATTTTCAGCGGATCCTAGCGTTTGATCGAATGCCCAAGAAACCTCGTAGTTAAACTTCTCCCTCATAATTCGAAAAACCTGATGAAACATAAAATGATACATCTTAATCGAATCAGAGTTTGTTATAACTCGAACTAGAGCAACATCTAGATACTTGATTAGTACACGATTAGTACTCGAGTAAAAATCGATTAACTTACTCCTACAGATTCCCTCATCATAGACAGCCCAAATAACCTCTCGATCTTCGCGGTCAATTAAATGCTTATAGTTCATATCTATAGTACAAGTTCGTAATGACTTGAATAGATGAAACTGTTCGTTATTAAAACAAATAACCATAAAGTTAGTCGAGTTTTGAAACACCTCTTGGATGTACTGAACTTAATTAGTAATCGATTCCAACTCGAAAGATACTGGAGTACTTACTTGGCCTGGTTTGCCATTTTCGCGTTCGAAGGCCCGTTGGACTGCCATTAAGCCCGAGCCTGCTGCAAAGTGAATCATCCTATGCTTTCGAATAATATAACCAATTAATTCCGAATTGATTAAAGCTGGATGAAGGTCTACAAGTGATGTAGCCCCTTTACTTCGAATCCAAGTTTGTACAATTGGGTTTTTGAGAAAGAGTGCTACTAGTGTTAGTAATCGACCGGTAATCGATTAGTACTCGACATACTACATCTTAGCCTTGGATCTGCTATTCTCTGAATTAAGTCCCAAGTCTCAGTATAAAGCTTTGAGCCTAATTTTGATGGTGGAGGAATTGGATGTCGATGAGTTCCGTGGCAAACGCATAATACGTATGGATGTAGGTCTAAATCCAGAGGTATATAAAAGTCGTATTCGCATTGGCAAGATAACTCGATGATCTTCCCTTTTCCTTGCGGATGTACGATAGCTAGATGTACTCGATTAGTACTCAAGTATTAATCTATTGCTAATTACTTACGGCATAGTTTTGCAAGTTTTTTATTTTGAGCTATATGATAGCAAGGCCCCGGTTGAATTTGGTCGACTAGAGTGTTATTCAGAACTGCTTGGAATAATATAATTGCTGGATTATATTCTCGTGGAATCGGCTTCCAATGATGCCGCACATGCGAGGGCGTTTCTGAGTGAGGGCGTGAATGGATACAACGTAATGTATGGCGAGGAACCCCGGAAATAGTCTATCAAGTGTTAATCGATTAGTACTCGCTTAGAACTATGTACGTACCTTTCCATCCTGAATAATCTCAAGCTTGCAAGTATTTTCATAAGGCTTACAAAGCTTGCCATCCTCAAAAAGCTTAATCTCGGCATAAAGAAAGCTATTAATTATTATTCAAGTACTAATTGAGTAGGAATCGATAAGGCTTACCAGAGCGCTTGATAATGGACTTGGTCGTTAATTGCCCGTTCAGCTTCTTGTTTAGCTGTTGCTACTAAATCCCATTCATTTTCCGAAACCTCTGTGTAAGACCGATTTCGCAAAGCTGGAGATAGGTATTCACATGCTTTTACTCCTGTACATTTATAAGTAACGCGGTTACAGATCGCATTATCTAAAAATGCACAGGTAGTTTGACGCCAAGAAGTCTTATGGCCATGGCAGAATTGGATCTATAATCGATTAGTGCTCGAGCAGTGTACGTTAGTAGCAGAGCACCTAGATTAGATACCTCGTTGATATGGCTTCTCGCTTGTTCTTTCGTTTGCCCTCGAGCCGAAATAACGTAACAGACCCCAGTTTCGCTAGTCATAGGATATTCAGGCATTTGGGGTACCCAAATAAAGGTTTCAGCAGTTAATAACGTCTCCTTATTGTTATTACGCTCCGATGAAATCAACGTTAGTTGACTAATCTCCCCCTCTGCAGCGGCTAGGTCGGATCCATTCTATGTATACTCGATTAGCGATCAATTACCGATCAATTCGCAATCAAGTGATAAACACTTACAGATACCTCGTCGCTTTCCAAGTCCTGCAAAGGTTCGAGAATACTTTCAAAGACTGCTACAGCATCGTCGATAGTTGCCTGTTCGTGAGATCTTACGTCATACACATGGTGATCCCAGGGTTGGTCGATGTTAGCAGCGACAGCACGTAGGGCAGTTGTTGAATCCATTGGTAATCGAGTAGCGATCGAATTACGATTGAGTAGTAGTGCAGGGATGTCTCTTCAGTCAATTGAAAAAAGTCGTTGAAGGAAAGAGAAGAGTTTTCGGACTTGCGTGGAAGCATTAGAATTACATGACCAGCGCTAGTATATTTAGTGCGACCCATCAGTGCTTGGTGGATCCACAACACCATCTCGATTTGGCTACATGGTCGGGTGATCAACCAGGGTGTAGGTCATGTTATATAACAACACCGAATAGACCGGCCTTAGGCCACCTATCGCTAGCGAGTCAAGGCTCAATCTCTGTCAGTTGGCTCCAAGCAAGCAGATATCCGCTTGGTGGCGCGAGCCCCGCCACTTACCTACCGATGACAATGGCTGGCAAACCACCTGAGAAGACTGGGCATGCGCGATTGCGATGACAGGATGCGAAACCGTAGGCATGAATGAAGAGGACCTCGGGAGCGCAAGTGCGTGGCGCAGAGCTGGCGCAGAGCACAATCTTTGGCACGGGCATGGCCTGTTCGGGGAGTTGGGGTCCGGATGATCTACGATGCCCTTGTCCAGACAGGGTTTTAGATTGATGCTGAAGTGCCGAGAGAGATGTCTGCCAGGGGCTGCTTCAGTTGGCGGCGACTCGAAGCGGTCCTGATGACGTGCACGCGATGGCTTGTCTATACGACAATCTTTTCGAGGCGGCCGTCCTTCCGTATATGGATACGAATATGAGCACTGAGCGTACCTATCCTTGATCAGCTTCTATTCAGCTCTCGCCCCATTCAAGGTTATCCACTATCCAGCCCGCATGGACTATGGGATGGCTGCCTCTCGATATCCTCGTATTCCCGGGAACTCAATAACCGAGGCGAAAAAGAATCACGAAATTGAAGAGCTTGCACCGACAACCTTTGGTCGGTTTCCATTGTCATGCACTAGTGTCATTCTGCCTTACACAACTCGTGATGGTGGCAACGCATAACCTCTATGGGGCGTGTGTGCGTAGTTTTCGTCATCTTTATCCATGTCGAGCTGTACACGGGACATCCTGACCAGCCACCCCTATCACTATGACTTCTGCTAAAGAACTACGACGACGCTCATCTTGGCCCAGTGCCTTGTAGTGCTTTGCTGTCAAGGAGCGTCAACAGCATTCCTCGTCGTGCAGTTCGTCCAGCAGTATACAAGTGACCTTGAGTCAATGGGATATTACAAGCACAACATGTAACCGCATTGACCAACTTTTGGTCTGCACCCCCATTTTGCAGGAAAATTATGTGACCACAACAAGAACGCAATTATTTTACAACTCCACACCAAATGGCTGATCTAGTGGAATACCATCGCGACAAGTTCGAGTAACTAATCGAGCGATCTAAAGAGTTCATCCGTCAGGGCTATTCCCCAGCCGCGGCAGCCCTCCGGTACGGTATAGAAGAGATCGCATTGTCCTACCATATTCGTAACGGCAATTCGTAACGCGACGTAGCCGCCGTGTATTAGGTAACAAGAGCAGACATCGAAGATAAAGTTATCGTGAACTAGATTCTACACAAAGAACTCTACGGATAGGCTCCAGTAAGCGTTGTGTAGCCGAATTTACGTCAAGAATCTCCTTACCCGGGGATAATAATATAGTGGGAAGTCATCCCTGTACATCCCAGTCGGCTGGTGTAGTTGGTCACTTCGCTGGTAGATAAGTCCCGATTTGAGCCTCGCCCACTTGGGTTGGTGACGAGTCGCGGGTTCGAATCCCGCAGCTGACACACAAGGGGGTTTAGTCAACCCTTACGGCGCGCTGCCCACCTTGTTGACTTCGCCTACCTAGCGATAATAGGGAGATTGGTGCAGTTTAGGATTACGAGCATCCTAGCCAGTCGACCGTCAAGCACTACGTCGGCGGAATATAACTCGACAGCCGGTCCAGAATTCGAATCGTTAATCCGACCCCTTATCGGACCTCGCCTATCCGATAACGCTCGTCGGCGAACCCGTCCCCTCACGATAGAAGGCGCGCAGCACGCCCCCTCGCCGCGATTCTTGCGAGCGTCTAGACCACGTTACGGTCTATCCACTTGAGCGTATGGTTGAGATGTATACGCTCGACGAGAACCCCAATTAGCAGATACTACGACTTGTCGCGACAAAAAAATAGTCGAGCATCTTCTGCACATCAGCAGCATCCCACCCCTGAGGACGAATTTAAGTGCCACATTACCACGCTTATCGGTAGTTCAGGCAGGGGTTGTAGCACAGACTTAGGGAGGGACAGGAGGTTTAGTAGTCGTTTGGCTACAAGTTTACCTGTATAACCGCCCGACGCGGCTTAAGGGCCCGCTATATCATCTATAGCCCCTTAAGGGAGTACTTGTAGAGGTACCGAGGGTTAACACCTACGGCGTATTTAATATTATTTAATATAGTGGGCTAACACTAGGTCACTTCGTTAGTCGCTATCCGTTGATACGTAATTAATTAGACGCGTAGTAGATGCTAGCCGAGTTGGAGCATTCAACTTGGAAAAGACCCGAACGAACGTCTAATAAAGCCGGACGCTTCGTCGTAGTACTCCTAGTTGTAGTATTATTTATATACCCAACGTGGTGTACCTATCTACTGTTACGAACCATTAAACCTGGACCAACAAAGAAGGCCTGTTGGCAGGCCAGAGTGGACACGCTCGCTAGGATCACGGGACCCCGCATCGGAAGAACGACGGAACGAAGATCACGTGACTAAGTACCTCGGTACCTGGATATATTGGATCGAGATAGATCCAGTTCGAGCCAGGCTCGAGAGGATCACTTGGATCACGTCGCTCCTGGTGATCCCAAGTAGGGGATCACTCTGCCAAGCGTGATCATTATCACGTGACCTTTTCTTTTAGTCGGGGGCCTAGTTGTTCCTTTCCGTCCTTATGGGGCTTTGTTCCTGCGGGGTTCCGTCATGGCCTATTGTAGGGCCTGTCGGGTTGGTTTTGGCCAGGTTAGAACCAACGGTTCGTAACACTAGTGTCAGTCCCATCGAACCCTGCAAAATGGGGGGCCATACAAATGGTGTTCAATGCAGTTACATGGTACCAGCATCGCAATTCTATTTCGTACGCTGATTCCTATGGGAAGCCAGTGCAATCTATTCGTACATATTGCTCCCTGTAGGATCTGCAAAATGCTAATGAAGTCTTCGCTTTACTACTGAAGTAATCTCCCTAGATCTGGCAACTTTGGCAAATTGAAGGGTTTGTCCACGAATCCGTCAACCTCATCCCAAGTCATGGCATACAAGGACCGTCTGTGTAACGTTGCAGATTGCTTTGGGGGCCCCTCATACATGAGGCTCCAAATCTGCTGATTGCGTCCGGAATTCAGCGCCGAATCTCATGGTTCTGTTTTAATCTTCAGTAATTAATCACTCATTGTCAAGGCTCCAGCAAACTCACAGACGGCTGCTTCCTTCTCGCCCTCATCGACCTGTTTAGTGCTGAAGTGTTCGGCATCCTCAAAACCGTAATCCTCTCGGGTCCAGCGCTTCATCTTCTGCGTGCGGAACTCCTCAAAATCCCACTCGCGGTCCTCCAGCTCGTTGGGACACACGAAAACATAGACACTGCAGTCGACTTCGTCGCCTTCCACATTGCCCTCTTCCTTATCGTCGCCGACTTTCTCTAGCAGTCGCACCTTGACTGTCACGCGCTCGTACTCTGAGCCTTCAAACGCATCAAGATGGAACATGTTGGCATCCGTCAGGCCATTCACATACATGCCGCGAACTTGATGGTTGTCCTCCTTGACGATGCCAGGGTAGTCGGCGTCCTTAACGCGACGTCGGCAGTAGCCGTGTAGGATTGCGGGCTTGAATTCGTGCAGACTTTTGAGAGTCTTCACATCTGTGGTTGAGGATCTGTAGCAGACTGTGAAGAATACCTCAGGGGCCATCTGTCGAACTGTAAGCTATGCATTCACATTTCATCAGTTAGCCATAGTGTCATATACCAGAGTGCCTGCCACCAACGTTAGTTATAACTCGAGAAATCAGAACAGTACATCGGACTAAACTAACCATAGAAGAATGCGGTGTGTCGGTTGGAGTCACCAGTCTCCGACGGCGATTGAGATGACATGGTAGGCGTTGGTTGTTTGCGCGCTTGATCTATGTCAAGAATGACCCCAAAGGCAGCGATAGTGTGTCGGAATTATGTCGTTTTCCTAAAAAATGCCTGAATGATAAGAATGAATAGGGCAGTCTGTCTTGTACTAAAATGTTCATCTGTGGGGCAAGGGGCTGAATATAATAATCTGGAACTCTGGAACCTTTCTCCGTTATATGGAGAAGCTTCTTTTCCCAATGCCTATGTAAATAGACGCACCTGATGCAGAGGCCCTTTGTTAGGATGCACTTGCCTACCTACGAGGCAGGAACAAGGCAATTATTCTAATGAACTGAAGAGCAAAGGGGGTTTCAGCCCAGCAGCAATGTATTATTTCTTAAGAAGTGTTTATCAAAAGACATTAGTCTCAGTGGGGTTTAAGTATTTCTTTATCAAAGTAATTTGACAATGTTGGCCGGAGCCGACCAATACCGGCCAACATCTTGAGATGTTACACGTGTAGACGGCTTTCGGCCAAAGTGGGTTCCCGATGCCGTGGACCGTGGCTGCCAGCTGGAGAAGCTCTTGACGCTCTTGACGCTAAGCCAAGAATGGCCTTAGCTTTATTGTATTTGGCGTCGCGATCCCCCTCTAGTTTTTGAGCTTCGAAGTTCAGCGCCCCGGCCAGCCTTGTTCGACTTCAAATTGTTCTCTAGAGAGCTTCTGCTCAGGCGCTTCTGATACCCCCAAATTTTCGTTTCTCAATGCTGCGAGGCCTAACTTTTCACTTCTATCTCAGCCTCTGTTCGGATTTTTGAGTGATTGTATGGTCAATTCCCACTCAGGAAACCAGTCTACTCGGACTTGTATTATCTGCCTGCCTCTCCGACTCGTACGCCTCGTCGAGGCTCTTCCACCACTTCGCGAGAGTTCACCAGTCACCCAAATTTTCGGCATAACCACTTACTTCAAGGACTTATGTCGACTTGCAACTCGAACTGTCGCACCGTAGTCTTATGAGCGAAAAGTGCGTGTTCACTGCGCGCACGCAGTAGCCGTCGCCATGGCGAATCAAGCGTTCGAAGATATAGTCAAGAGATTGGCTACATCTGAATTCGGTAAGGCGGCGTTATCTCACGAACCGGACGAGGCGACACTCTGCCGTATCGCGTTTCAATGTCAAACCATCATATACTGATCAATGATGTGTAGAACCAAAGAGCAAGCTTGATGCTGCAACTACGTTGCGCGACACGCTTGACCATCATACCAATGGCCCCGGCTATGCGCAATTCCTCGGGCGGGTGATGCCGCTGTTCATACATATCCTCAAAGGACCCTGTCTCTTCCAAAGCACATCTCCGGAACAGGTAATACCCGCGAACATTTTGTATTGGTGTCTTGTGAGCATGCGCTTACACGATCCTCTAGAAACTCCGCAACTGCGTACTAGAGATCCTCCACCGACTCCCTACGCATCAAACATCACCCGAGCCCTTCGAGCCATACGCAGAAGACGTTGTCGAGCTTCTCATGCAACTTGTGAAGAACGACAATGAAGAGAACGCGACTCTCTGTGTCAAGATCATCTCCGATATCATGCGGCACCAACCCAAAGTCCTGCAAGGCAAAGTTCAACCCTTCTTGAGCTTGATTCAAGAGTTGTTCGAGCAGATGGACAGAGTGGTTAGGGAACAGCTGGATAGCAGTGCTGTCCTATCAGGCACCTCAGGCGCACCTTCCACGCCTGGTAGCACACAGACAAACTTTCAGTCGCCACGGCCTGGCTCGCCGGTTGCCTCTGTGACAGACCTCGGCCAAGATTTATCACAGCAGAGTCGACCATTGTTGAAGGGAATGCAGTCATTCAAGGTTCTTTCCGAGTGCCCAATAATAGTGGTGTCAGTCTTCCAAACCTACCGAAACATCATCCCGCATAATGTGAAGCTATTTGTACCCCTTATTAAGTCGGTACTATGCCTTCAGGCCAAGGCGCAGGAACAAGCACACAATGAGGCCAGAGTAAGGGGAACTACGTTTGCTGGCGTGAGCGCCAGTATCAAGAATCGAGCGGCCTTCGGAGAATTCATTACAGCTCAGGTCAAGACGATGAGCTTTTTGGCTTACCTCCTTCGCCAATACTCGAGCCAGTTGACCGATTTCTTGCCAACATTGCCAGAAATTGTCGTCCGACTTCTGAAGGACTGCCCAAGAGAGAAGTCGGCAGCCCGCAAGGAACTCCTCGTGGCAATTCGACACATCATCAACTTCAACTTCCGCAAGATTTTCTTGCCCAAGATTGACGAATTGCTGGAGGAGAAGACCTTAATAGGCGATGGACTGACGGTATATGACACAATGAGACCCCTAGCATACAGTATGCTGGCTGATCTGATCCATCACGTTCGAGATTCTCTGTCTCCGGAGCAGATTCGCAAGACAGTGGAGGTTTATACGAAGAACTTGCTTGACAATTTCCCCGGCACCAGTTTTCAGACCATGAGCGCAAAACTGCTTCTTAATATGGCAGAGTGCATTGCTAAGATGCAGAACAAAGTGGATGCCCGGCACTATCTCGTCATGATTCTGAATGCAATCGGGGACAAGTTTGCGGCCATGAACAGACAATACCCGAATGCAGTAAAGCTGTCCAAGCTATATGCGCAGCAGGCGGCCGATCAGGTGCCAGACACATACCTGGCGGATAAAGAGCATCGTCCTGAATGGGACGAGACTGATATATTCACTGCCATGCCCATTAGGATGTCGAACTCGCGAGATCGGGGTGCTGATCCCGTCGTGGACAACAAGTTTCTGTTCAAGAACCTCATGAATGGCCTGAAGAATACTTTCTACCAGCTGAAAGTGTGCAATGTTGCAATGCCTATCGATCCTCAAAATGCACCACAATACTGGCAAGATGTCTCTTATGGCTTCTCCGCCGAGGAAGTCAAGGTGGTAGTCAAGCTGTTCCGAGAGGGAGCTTACGTCTTCCGCTACTACGAGATCGAAAAGCCAGCGGCTGAATCACAATTCGCTTCCCCTGTGGAATACATGGCCAACTTCTACATGGTATCGAGCAGCAAGGAAGAGAAAGATCTTCTGGAGACGTTTGCAACGGTATTCCATTGCATCGACCCAGCTACCTTTCATGAAGTATTCCAACAGGAAATTCCACGACTTTATGAGATGATCTTTGAGCACACAGCTTTATTGCATATTCCCCAATTCTTTCTTGCAAGTGAAGCGACATCTCCGAGCTTCTGCGGGATGTTATTGAAGTTCTTGATGGAACGCATCGACCAGGTGGGATCGGCTGATGTCAAGAAATCGTCCATTCTCCTGCGTCTTTTCAAGCTTGCCTTCATGGCCGTCACTCTTTTCGCAAATCAGAATGAGCAAGTCTTGTTGCCCCATGTCGTCGATATTGTTACAAAGTCAATAGAGCTGTCGACCAAGGCCGAAGAGCCTATGAACTATTTTTTGCTGCTCCGATCATTATTCAGAAGCATCGGCGGAGGAAAATTCGAACACCTCTACAAGCAGATTCTTCCTTTACTCGAAATGTTGCTCGACGTTCTCAACAATCTCCTCATGGCGGCCCGCAAACCAGCAGAGCGAGATCTGTACGTAGAATTGTGTCTCACAGTTCCAGCTCGTTTGAGTAACCTGCTTCCTCATCTGAGTTTCTTAATGAGACCTCTGGTTGTAGCACTACGAGCCGGAACTGATCTTGTTGGTCAAGGGCTGCGGACACTGGAGCTCTGCGTCGACAACCTCACCGCCGATTACCTCGATCCCATCATGGCACCTGTGATCGAAGAACTCATGAACGCCCTTTTTGAGCACCTAAAGCCTCATCCTTACAGCCATTTCCACGCACACACAACCATGCGCATTCTGGGGAAACTCGGGGGCAGAAACAGAAAGTTCATGACAGAAGCCCTGCCAGTCAACTTTCAGAAGTACGCCGATGATCCGGCCAGTTTCAACGTGCGATTGATAGGATCCAAGAGGGACAGAGCCTTTCGTGCCGATATGGGCATCGATTTTGCGATTCGCAAGTTGATGGAGACGCCGAAGCCCCCCAAGAGCGCATCTGCCAAGCAGTCTGACGCATTCTACAAGAGGCAATCCTTCCAATTGATCAAAAATCAGTTGAAACTTCGGATTGGGGATGATCCCAAGGATTCTTTGCCTGAGGATCTGCCACGGCTCGTTCGACTCCATGCTCAAGACTTCCTCTCTCGTAAATGTGATGTAGATCTTTCGACTTTTGACGTATCGGACCGAGGGAAATCTGTTGTCAAGAAAGACGAGCAAGATGAGATCGTGAAACGACTTATGAAGGCCATCATGTTCGCCGAGTCATTGCCCGAATTCCGAGATGAAGCCGACTTGTTACTCATGAACTTGTGTCGCCACTTCGCCATCATTGAGGTCGGCCGCGGGCTTGTTGAATTTAAGCGAGCTAGTAGTGCGTTCGACGTGAAGGCCGGCGAGGGTCTTTTGTTCATCGACACACGCATTTTATGTGACGCCATCGCTGAGTCGCTTGCGTCAGACTTGTCCGAAGTTCGTGATGCCGCATTTCGTGCTGTGCGTGCTGTATACGACTCAACGGCGACGGTTTTCGGCTCCGAGAGCCATGTCGGAAGACTCTCCTTTTTCGGCCATCTCAGCAATACTTTTTGCCATGGCTGCCATGAGGAAGAGTGGTTCACCAAAACCGGTGGCACACTTGGTATTAAGTTTCTCTTGACGGAAATTAATCTTGGCGATGCCTGGGTTGCTGCAAAGCAGATGGACTTCATTCGCGCTTTGCTGTATGTCGTGAAGGATATGCCGCAAGATCTTCCCGAAAAGACCAGAAACTCAGCGCAAGAAACTTTGGAGTTGCTTCTGAAACGAATCACCAAGAATGTCAAGAAAGAAGACGCGATTCCATCCGCAGCTCAAGCTGGACAATTGCAGCCTAAGACCACATCTCGCCTGGCACAGATCTGCACTTTATTCAACGATGAGCTATCCCACATGAACAAACACGTGCGAGGAACTGCTAGACGGTCACTGGAGATCATTGCGCAGGCGACGAATGCGGAGATATGGGAAATTTTGGAACCACATAAGGAACGTCTGTTGTCACCGATCTATGCAAAACCCTTGCGGGCGTTGCCATTTTCCACCCAGATTGGCTACATCGATGCCGTGGGCTACTACATGGGTTTGAAAAATGATTTCGTGTCCTTCGATGACCATCTCAACCGGCTGCTCATGGAATCGCTGGCTTTGGCTGATGCGACAGATGAATCTTTAGCTGGCAAGCCTGCGGAATTTCGGACACATGAATCTATCGTTAATCTTCGGGTTGCTTGTATCAAAATATTGAGTAAGGCCATGGGCTTCGATGCCTTCTCACAGGGCCAAAACAACCCTACGAGGACCAAGATCGTTTCCGTCTTCTTCAAATGTCTCTATTCGGAATCAAAACCGACAATAGAGGCTGCCAACGAGAGCCTTAAAGCCGTGCTGACGCACACAAGTAAGCTGCCCAAAGACCTTCTCCAACAAGGGCTGAGGCCAGTTCTGGCCAATCTTCAGGATCCTAAGAGGTTGACAACACACGGCCTCGAGAACCTGGCACGTCTTCTGCGCCTTTTGACTACATACTTCAAGGTTGAGATTGGAGCACGACTGCTGGACCACATCAAGGTGCTTGCAGACACGAACCTGTTGACCCAGATTTCATTCACGTTCTTCGAACAGCACACTCAGATGAAGGTTATCGCCGCTGTGTTCAATATTTTCCACCTTCTGCCTCCGGCAGCCGAGCAGTTCAAAGAGAGACTCATCGATACAGTGTTGGAGCTGGAAGAGAAGTTGAGGAGAACGCAGTACAGTCCTTTCCGACCTCCCTTGTATAAGTACCTCAACCGGTATCCCCAAGAAATTTGGGGTTTCCTGTTAGCCAAGCTGGAGGACATCAAATATGGTCGCTTCCTAGCTCAGGTGTTATTGGACCCTGACAGCCAGGCGCTCAGAGACCACGCTGCCGCCAATGTTGAGATGCTGATTAAGACCTGCAACGACGTTGTTAGTGCAAACAAGGATACGAGGTTCTTGGCCGTTGTGAACACGGTCAACATTCTAGACTCCCTTGGCAAGTTCCCTAGCACGCAGGGCTGGATGGAACGAAAGGAGACCATCAACTGGTTGAAGCAAGTTGGCAGAGACTTGGAGCGCCATCTTCGGACCAACCAATTGCCTCAAAACCTAAGACTGCCTGCCGATCAAGCAGCTGAGCAACTGATGGCAATGTTCACAAAAGCGCTCTCAGCCAATTCCAAAGACTTGGATTCGCTTTTCGGCCTTGTCGAATTGGTCACCTCAGATGCCTTTCGAGCAACACCATCACTGTTCTTGTATATCTATCAAAACGTCATCTGCAACGACTCAATCGACTATTGGAAATCTGTCATCCTGAGGTGCCTGGATATCTATGCTGGCAGGCAGGCAACTCAGAAGACAAAGTGCTTCTTACTTCGCAACATCGTCAACCCCATCGTGGCCATGGATGTAATGAGGAACTGGAATCACGACCAATTCAAGGCCAAACGATTAATGGATCGTTCTGTGATTGAGTCTATCAATGCGAAGATCTGGAAAGTCAACCTTGGGGATCCTCAGGAGGATTTGGCCCAGCCGGGCATTGACCACACGCGTATGGAAGTTCTTCAATTGTCGGCCATGCTGGTCAAATATCATCATGCCATCCTCCAGGACGCGAGAAAAGACATCATCAAATTTGGATGGACGTATATCCGACTGGATGATGTAATCAACAAGCATGCTGCATACGTCGTCATTGGGTATTTCATCGCACACTATGAGACACCCGCGAAAATCGTCACCCAGGTGTACTACTCACTCCTGAGGACAAATCAGAATGAGGGTCGTGCTTTGGTCACCCAGGCCTTGGAGTTGATGGCCCCTGTTTTACCCAAGCGGTGCAATGCCTTGCCGAGTGATCGCAACGCCGTCTGGGCAATGGCACCGCGCCGTATACTGGCCGAGGAGGGTCAAAACGTGCAGCAGATGACGAGCATCTTCCACTTCCTCGTTCGGCATCCAAACTTGTTCTACGAGTCTCGCGACAAGTTTGCATTGCTCATCATTACTTCCCTTCGAAAGGTCTCTGCACCGCAGACTTCTTCGAACGAGAACAAGAAACTGGCATTGAACATGATGTGGCTGATCTGGGAATGGGAGCAAAGGCGCGTTGAAGGGAAACGTGGGAGCCTCTCTCGGTCTTTATCTGAATCGCCCAACTCCAAGAAGCGGCGGCTTGACAGCGACCACCCAATGTCTTCCCCACCAGCGGCCAGGCAGGTTGCTCCGGTCAAAGAATTTCAGATTCCCGATGGATATCGCATTAAAATGGTCAAGTACCTCGTGGAGTTCATCGCGCAGCTGAGCGAGCGATACCAACTCCCCTCCGTGAAGCCACGAGATGCAGCAAATCATGTTGGACCGGTGCTGCCTTTGTCTACGGAGTTGTGCAAGAAGGCAATGTCCCTCCTATACAACCTCCTTCAACCACAATACTGGGGAGATCTCGACGTCGATTTGTTTCCCAATGTAACGGAAGTGGTACTTGCCAGCGAAAAGACGACGAAGATATTGAACGCCGACCCAACAGACAAGGAGAACTACGACGAAAAGTTCATCACAAACATCATCAACACACTGCAGGTTGTCCGAATCATCCTCAACTTCAAGAAAGACGAATGGATCGTCAAAAACATGCCATCCATTCAGAAGATCCTTGAGAAGTGTCTGAAATCGGAAAATCCCGAGCTACAAGATTGTCTGCACTTCGCGGATAAGAAGTATGATGATGGGCGGGTGATGAAGGCTACTATTCAGCGTGTTCTTGATGCCGTGCCCGAGGATGTGCCCATGGAGGACGCCGACGCTGAGGGAGAACCAGAGGCCCCAACATCGGAGTTTATCGCCTTTCTTTCCAACATTGCGACGGAAACTCTCAACGCAGCCAACTACGTGTCTGGTGTTACAATCCTCTGGTCTTTGGGCCAACGCAAGCCGACAGTCATTGACCAGCATATCATATCATTGATGAAAGCCCTGCAACAGAAGCTTGCTAGAGAGCATGTGCAACATTATACGAGTGTTACGGCCCACCAGATGAACATGGCTCAGCTGAGAGCTGCAGACCCAAATTCTCAGGGAGAGTTATCTGCATATGATCTCGAGATTCAGACGAACTTAATGATCAAAGCTATCGAGGTAACGGCTATGCGAATGGAAATTCTCGGCGACAACCGGCGCCCGTTTCTTAGTGTATTGGCCACACTTGTTGAAAAATCACTCCATATTCCTCTGTGCCAGAAGATCCTTGAGATGGTTGAGGATTGGGTTTTCCGATCTGAAGGAACTTGGCCAACTCTCAAGGAGAAAACTGCAGTTTTGCACAAGATGCTATCCTTCGAACACCGTAATGATCCCACAATGTTGACCAAGTTCCTAGAGCTGGTCATCCGCATCTATGAAGATCCCAAAATCACTCGAACAGAGCTGACAGTCCGCATGGAGCATGCATTCTTGATAGGGACCAGAGCCCAGGATGTCGACATGCGAAACAGATTCATGGCCATCTTCGACAAGAGTCTTTCGAAGGCCGCAACGGCGCGGTTGGCGTACGTGATTACTTCGCAAAATTGGGACACTCTAGCAGACTCCTTCTGGCTTGCTCAGGCCTCTCAACTCCTTCTTGGTGCTGTTGAAGCCCACAACCCAGTCCAACTTCATAAAGACGACTTCCGCACGATGCCTACGTCTATGCTATTTAAGACGTATGCCAACGATGTCAGAGAACCGACAATCATGATTGATGACAAGTACGAAACGTTCATGGCCAATCACCGGCACTTCGTCGATGAACTTGGGGATGTCAAAGTCCGTGACATCGTTGAACCTATCACTCAGCTTCAACATATTGACACCAATTTGGCCCATGAGCTGTGGGTGGCCCTCTTTCCGATGTACTGGTCTGCCACAATGAAGGATGAGAAGGCAGATCTCGAGAAGGGCATGGTTATGCTGTTGACGAAAGACTTCCATTCCCGTCAAATCGATAAGAGACCAAATGTGGTTCAGTCCCTCCTCGCCGGTGCGGCTAAGTCTTGGCCGGAGTGCAAAATACCACCCCATGTGTTGAAGTTCGAAGCGAAGACATATGACGCATGGTACACAGCCTTGGTTCAGCTGGAGAATGCGGCGATCAGGCCAGATGTTGAATCACCAAACGTTCGCGAGAGCAACCTCGATGCCTTGGTTGAATTGTACGCCAATCTCAAGGAGGATGACTTGTTCTACGGCACGTGGCGTCGGCGTTGTCAGTTTGTCGAGACAAATGCGGCCCTTTCATATGAACAAAACGGCATGTGGGACAAGGCGCAGAAGATGTACGAGGCAGCTCAGATCAAGGCGCGCACTGGTGTCATTCCATTCTCTCAAGGAGAGTACATGCTCTGGGAGGATCACTGGGTTCTTTGTGCCGAAAAGCTTCAGCAATGGGAGATCCTGCAGGACTTCGCCAAGCATGAAAACCTGCAAGACCTATTACTGGAGTGCGCATGGCGTAACATTGAGATGTGGCAGACCCAGGAACATCGCGACAGCTTGGATCATCTCATAAAGGGTGTCATGGATGCCCCCACTGCTCGGCGAGCCTTCTTTCAGGGTTTCATGTATCTGCTCAAGCTTCACAACAACAAGACGCCAGAGTCCCAACCTGAGTTCAACCGGGTCTGCGACGAAGCCATTCAGCTGTCAATTCGCAAGTGGCATCAATTGCCGAAGCGCTTGACCGCCGCCCATATTCCCATGCTTCACAACTTCCAGCAGCTCGTGGAACTACATGATGCCAGTGTCATATGCCAGAGCTTGGCCAATACTAATTCGAGCAACCTCGATGTCAAGTCCGGTGAGCTCAAATTGCTGCTAGGTTCGTGGCGTGACCGGCTCCCCAACGTCTGGGACGATATCACCGACTGGCAAGACCTTGTCACGTGGCGACAACATATATTTGGTCTAATCAACAGCACATACCTGCAGTTATTGCCTCAGCAAGGTCAAAATGCGAACGGTGCATCCTTTGCTTATCGGGGGTACCATGAGACAGCGTGGATCATTAATCGTTTTGCCCATGTCGCCCGCAAGCACAACCTTCCTGATGTTTGCATCGCCCAACTCAGCCGGATATATACTCTACCCAACATCGAGATCCAAGAAGCTTTTCTGAAGCTGAGGGAGCAAGCCAAATGCCACTATGAGAACCCGGAGGAGCTGACGAGCGGATTGGATGTGATTAACAATACCAACTTGAACTACTTTAACAATCAGCAAAAGGCCGAGTTTTATACTCTCAAGGGAATGTTTTTGGAGAAGTTGAAGCAAAAGGATGAAGCAGATGCTGCTTACGGTACTGCGTTGTACTACGACATTGGAAAGGCGAAGGCCTGGGCTGAGTGGGGCTACTTCAACGATCGCAAGTTCAAGGAAGATCCGACAGACACCAACTCGGCGAAGCAGGCATTGACGTCTTATCTCCAAGCTATCGGCAGTTATAAGAACGGCAGGGCTCGCAAGCTGATTGCACGCATCCTGTGGCTTCTGAGTCTGGATGATGCGAACGGCACCATCGCGTCCGGCTTTGACGACTATAAGGGTGAGACTCCTGTGTGGTACTGGATAACCTTCATTCCGCAGCTTCTCACTGGTTTGGGACACAAGGAGGGACCAAAATGTCATGCTATTCTGCACAAAATTGCGAAGTCATATCCTCAGTCGCTGTATTTCCAGCTGCGAACTAACCGCGAAGACATGCTGGCCATCAAGAAAAACCAAGAAGCAAAGGAGAGGGCTCGCCAACACAAGGAGAGGGCGCAATCCGCTGCTACCAACGGAAAGCCAACCAGCTCGCCATTGCAAGCAAAACAGGACAACCCACAAGCCAAGTCCGAGTCATCATCCCGTCCCCAGACGGCGAATGGCGAAGGCGCCGCGCAGCCCAAGGCAGAACCGTCTGACGATAAGGCGGCATCTACTACTCTGGCTGCGGTAGGCGAACAGAAACCTGCTGACGCAGGCGCTGCCTCAGCCGCTGGCCAGAAGAAACCGCCATGGGAACTCACTGAAGAGATCATGTCTGTTCTGAAAACAGCATTCCCGTTATTAGCCTTGTCGATGGAGACGATGGTGGACCAGATCCAGAAGCACTTCAAGTGCCCGCCTGACGAGGATGCGTATCGCTTGATTGTAGCACTACTCAATGACGGTCTTGCGTATGTGAGTAGAATGCCGCCATCTTACGCAAAGGACGTGAAACTGCCCACCGCAACCGAAACGAACATCACCCGTTTCGCAGAAACCATCCTGCCTGCCCATATCAAGAAATCATTTGAAGCAGACTTTGTCCGTGTTAAGCCCACAATGTACGAATACATCCACAAGCTCCGCAAGTGGCGCGACAAGTTCGAGGAGAAGCTCGATCGCCGAAGCCCCAGAGACACACTCGAACGATACTCGCGACATCTCAGCGAGTTCAGATACCAGAAGTTTGACGACGTGGAGATTCCGGGACAGTACCTGCAGCACAAGGACAAAAACCAGGACTTCATTCGAATCGAGCGCTTCTTGCCCAATGTTGACCTTGTCAGAACTATTGGTGTTTCGCATAGGCGAATCAAGATTCGTGGACATGACGGCAGTATCCACGCCTTCGCTATACAACACCCGGCGGCAAGGCACTGTCGCAGGGAGGAGCGGATCCTGCAACTGTTTCGGCACCTGAACCAGACCCTTGCTAAGAAGAAGGAAAGTCGGCGCCGAGACTTGCAGTTCACTCTTCCACTCATGGTTCCCCTCGCTCCGCATATAAGGATCGTGCAGGAGGATACCTCTTACATCACTTTGCAAGGCATTTATGAAGATCATTGTCGGCGAAACGGCATGCAGAAGGATGAGCCCGTGCTCTTTACTATGGATAAGCTCAGGGGCTTGCTGGTTGAGCCTAAGGGTCTCGTAAGTGCCAAGGACGAAAAAAGCATGGTTGCAAGTACTGACACTTCGGGCCAGAACCAAGCTGAGCAGAAACTGAACGCTAGGCTCGAAGTGTTCTCTGCCATCCAAGACAAATGGGTCCCTCACACGGTGGCATTGGAGTACTTCCAGGCCACATATCCCGAGTTCTCGGAATTCTGGTTGTTCCGGCGCCGCTTCTCCTACCAGTTATCAGCGTTGACCTTCATGACATACATTTTATACATGACTAATCGTTATCCCCACAAGATCAACATTGCACGCGGCTCCGGCAAGATCTGGGGCTCTGAATTGATGGCTTACATGGCCACACAAAAACCCTTCTTCCACAACCCTGAGCCGGTTCCTTTCCGTCTTACGCCCAACCTCCAGACTTTGATGGGTCCACTGGCGACCGAGGGCATCTTCAGTTGCGCGCTCATGGCCATCGCCCGCTGTCTCACCGAGCCCGAATTTGAGCTGGAGCACGCTCTCACGCTTTTCGTACGTGACGAGATGATATTCTGGTTTACAAGCAGTCATAGGCAGATTCACCTCAACGAGAACCAACTCCGTGATACGGTGCAGACAAATTGCGACATGATTGTCAAGCGGGCCGTGAGCCTGGCGGCTAGCCCCGTTGGTAATCTCCCTGCGAACCAGACAGTCATTGACCTCATTGCCAAGGCGGTGAACCCAATGAGTCTGGCCCAATGCGATGCACTGTGGATGCCGTACTTGTAACATTTCATTCCCATACAGCATGTATTTACGTCCAGATTGAGAGAGTTCGCGACGGATGGATGGTATGGCGTTCTTTCGGTAACTTCACGATAATGAGATGTATTCGATCAAGTGGTTGTATGGCTATGGTTATTCTCAGTTGGGCGGAAGACAGGCTGGTGGCAGGCATTATTGCATGGAAAAGCTGCATGCATATGTATTTTAATGATCGCCCAGTTGAGCTGCGGTGTGTTCAATCTCAAACTTGACTTTTGAGCGTCCATATCGAAGCAACTGCTAAACCGTGAATAGCTTGCAGATTCTGTATCATGCTATCACTGTAATGAAACTGGTTGCGAATTTACGTATGCTCCATCAGCAGGTTTCAAGTGCTTCACAAGTTCAGTAGTCGTCGTCAGTGTCCGGTTGGCCTAATGAAATCTATTCATATTTGTTTTCTTGTGATGTACGGCTGAGTTGAGCGAGTTTTCACCGGCATGACATGACTTGCTTCTTCAGGCGTCTTCATTGAAGAGCGTGATTCAGTCCAGTTTGGTTGTGACAATAGGGCTACCTATGTGAATGCTCATACCATCCGCTTCGACGCACCTCAATAGGGTGGTTGACAAGTAGTTAGCATTGGGGAAAGGGGAATGGGGGCCAGCGGAATGTAATCTGATATACATACGGAATTGCTTTAGTGCAACCGTCTATATTGAATACAGTGATAAAATATCTGACGTGTGTATTCTGGTCGGTACAGCAATGTCTTTACCAAATCATGTGGCTTGGATACACTGTCTGGAGGTTGAAGAAGACCAAAAACAAGTAATACTCAAAGAATTCGATTCACAATAAAAATCCCAGAGCATATTCTGAGCTGACCTGAACAAGCCTATGGTTCCATTTTCGTTCCGCGCAATGCAGCTATATGTATGAGACATAAAAGTTGCATCACCTAGGTTCACAGTGCCTGATGTGGCAAAGCAGCAAATAAAGAAAGTGGGCAAACCGATGAGGACCGGAACAATGAAAAGTTTGGACTGTATGCGATATGATGAGGGAAATGCGTAAGCTGTTGTGGTTGCAAGTAGCTCAGCTTTCCCGAGATCTTGAGACTATGGCTGTAGTTTTGAATAGATGGGATGGAGACGGTGATCACCTTGTATGCTCTCAAACTGGAACACACGGAGCCATGCCGGCCGGCAATCAAAGGTGTGAACCATCTGGAGTTGTAGACATGTCCCGATGCCGGCCTGCGGCTGTTGGAGATTTGAGGCGGGAATTGGATAAGTGCTGGCAGTTAGAAGAATCAGAGCACTTGAATATAGGGCGCGGCTCATTGCTTCGTACAGACTCATGGATTAGACATAGTAGATCTTCGAGTCTCCCGAGAGACCAACACGCGCCATAATCGACGACTGTGTTGACTGTCCTTGGCAATCTCCAATCATGATTTTTGAAGCTTGAGATGCATTTGATAGTAAAGATATCGCGAAACAATTCGACAAATCCCCGAACAAAATTGGACGTAGGGTCGATCGGCAACTACATGTTGCTCACATAGACGTACGAAGAATGACGCAGCGCTAGATTAGTTTATTGTGTCATTTCGTAATACTAGATCCTGGAGATGGTGGAACTGAGACGCGGCCGTCAATATTTGAAGGCGGAAGGGGCCGATTGCAACTCGTGGTGACGCCCTGGCCCAAACTGTCCGAGTTGAAGTCCCTTTTGTTAGTGTAGACCCACATTTTAGCGCTAGTGCCCGACTGATGATCCTACCGACAATAACAACTAGAACCTGTTTCGTCTAAGCCCCCTGCTGTGCATGCAACTGACCCTTGGCTTGGCTTCGTCAATCTGACCGGTGGCCTTACATGCATCCAAGGTTTAAGTCACTGCCTAAAGGTATTGGCACCGTCCATAAAGACAAATTACGTTTTCGATTGAATGGTTTCATTGTTCCTCGCAAGGCCTTCTTAGGCTGTGCCAATTACAGATCATCTTCAACCAGGTTTATTGCATGCTTAAAGAAGCAGACCAGCTTACGTACTGGCCGCTTGCGCTTGCCGTATCGAACCTTCCACACGAGACTCCCAAACTTGGATTCTTGCGCCTGAACAAGACTTGCAGTTGTCGACCCGAACGAAGTCGTGGGGCATCACCCCGATGTGGGAATGCCGCCTTCAACGCCCTACCGACCGACCGAACCGCCAGATTCCCCCGTCCATGATTCCGACTCAGATGCCGATCTAGATCTCCAGGAGCTAGATCCAACCACGTCCTCCCACGCCCAGAGCTCTAAACTTCTGGGATCTAAATCTAGCGAGGAGCAGAGAGGACCGCGGATCGCGCTACGGAATCTCCGCATGGGTGGCCTGAGGCGGACTGGTAAACGAACACGGGGTTATGGAGAACTCGGTCACAACAGGGATGGGGATGAGGACGCCATGGGTCTGCTAGATGATGGAGATGACCAACCGCAGCGGTACTCGGACGGAAGTGGTACCGCAGATGATGATGCTCCCCTCCTCAAAGAACACGGGTCACGTCCCAGACGATCCTTTGCTGGCGACCGGATACAGAATCTAGCCAACCTAGGCGCCTCTCTTCGACTACCTAGTTTCATGTCAAGCACTAGCGCAAGCCGGCAAGAGGACGAAGACGATGCTGCCGAACAAGAGGAAAACGATCCTTCGGCGTCGAGGGCCGTTGCCGTTGGCTCGACCCAGTTGACCCGCTTTCCACCCAACATTGTCTCGAATGCCAAGTACACCGCCTTCAGTTTCCTCCCGGTGACGCTGTATAACGAGTTCTCCTTCTTCTTCAACATGTACTTCTTGCTGGTCGCCCTGTCACAGGCCATACCAGCTTTGAGGATAGGCTATCTCAGCACCTACATTGCTCCTCTGGCATTCGTCCTCATGATTACCATGGGCAAGGAGGCGTACGACGATATTGAACGAAGACGGAGGGACAACGAGGCCAACGCCGAGGCCTATGCCTGTCTCTACTTTGATGAACCGGACCAACCCAGTCACCAGGTCTCACGACCCCGGCGAAAGCTCAAGTCTTCCCATCGCAAAACCCAGCGCCGATCCTTGAACCCGCGGGACAGATTGTCAGATATCCAAGAGGAGGAAGAACAAGCACAAGGTCAAGGGCTGGGTCAGCCATCGTCTTACGTTCAAGAAATCAGCAAAAAGTCCCGTGACCTTCGAGTGGGAGATGTGCTGAAGCTTGGAAAGGGCCAGCGCGTACCTGCCGACGTTGTCATACTTAAGTGTCTAGCCCCAGAAGGTTCAACAAATCAGACCCAGGGTCTCGAAAGTATAGAAGAAGAGTCGTTATTGGCCGATGCGCCGAGCGACTCCAAGTCGGCCAAGGGAAAAGAAGCGGAACCAACCAAGGCAGCCAGTGAGGGCGGCTCCAGTGGTGAGGCCTTCATCAGAACTGATCAGCTTGACGGCGAGACGGACTGGAAACTTCGCTTGGCATCTGCTTTGACGCAAAACTTGCCACTCGAAGAGTTCGTGCGCCTGCGAGTCACTGGAGGCAAACCTGACAAGAAGGTGAATGAATTCATTGGCACCGTGGAGCTCATGCCCTCCAAGCAGCACGCGTTAAGCCATAACGGTGCGGGTGAAGGTGACGAAGGAGACAGGAACCAGTCTGCCCCATTGTCCATCGACAACACAGCCTGGGCCAACACCGTTATCGCGTCACAGGCCATCACATTGGCTGTCATCGTTTACACGGGGCCACAGACCCGGTCTGCCCTATCCACAGCGCCGTCACGATCCAAAACCGGGTTGTTAGAGTACGAGATCAACTCACTTACGAAAATCCTATGCGCTTTGACTCTAGCTCTGTCCATTATTCTGGTCGCCCTTGAGGGCTTCAGCAATACGGAGGGGAACATATGGTACGTAAAGATCATGCGATTCCTCGTTTTGTTCTCGACAATCGTCCCGATCAGTCTCCGTGTCAATTTGGACATGGGCAAGAGTGTATATTCCTGGTTCATTCAACGCGACCCGGGCATTCCTGGAGCTGTGGTCCGCACCAGTACCATCCCCGAGGACTTGGGCAGAATTGAGTACCTACTCAGCGACAAAACGGGAACATTGACGCAGAACGAGATGGAGATGAAGAAGATACACGTTGGAACAGTCTCTTACGCCAATGATGCCATGGATGAAGTGACAGCTTACGTCAAGCATGGCTTTGCTCATCCACCGAGTGACAGCTCACTGGTAACGCCGTCATCAACATACAATACGACCTCGGGGGTTACTGCGACGCGTACCCGCCGAGAAATCGGGTCCCGAGTCCGCGACGTGGTTCTCGCTTTAGCCTTATGTCACAACGTGACGCCAACTGCGGAAGAGGTAGACGGCCAGACAGTAACAGCGTACCAAGCCTCCTCGCCTGATGAAATAGCTATCGTTCGTTGGACAGAGTCTGTTGGCCTTCGGCTGGTCAACCGAGACCGAAGGAGCATGGCTCTGGAGTCTACGGAGACTGGCAAAGTCGTAGTCCAAGTCAGAATTCTCGAGGTTTTCCCGTTTACTTCCGAAGGCAAACGCATGGGCATTATTGTCCAGTTCTATGAACATGCACAAACAACCCCACCGACCTTCGACGCTGGGGAAATATGGTTCTACCAGAAAGGCGCCGACACGGTGATGAGTACCATTGTCGCCGCCAACGATTGGCTCGACGAGGAGACTGCAAACATGGCGCGTGAAGGACTAAGAACCCTCGTAGTTGGTCGAAAGAAGCTATCTCTTGAGCAATACCGCGAGTTTTCTACCAGTCATCAAGAAGCCTCAATGGCGATCAATGGGCGGGATGCCGGTCTACAACAGGTGGTGGCGCATTACCTCGAACGCGACCTGGAACTCTTGGGAGTGACGGGCGTTGAAGACAAGCTGCAGAGAGATGTGAAACCATCTCTGGAGCTCTTGCGTAATGCCGGCATCAAAATCTGGATGTTGACTGGTGACAAGGTTGAGACGGCAAGATGTGTCGCTGTCAGTTCGAAACTTGTGGCTCGAGGTCAATACATTTACACCGTCGCTAAGCTTAAGAGGAAGGACAATGCCCAAGACCACCTTGATTTCATGAGGAGCAAGACAGATTCCTGCTTACTCATTGACGGAGAGAGTCTGGCACTGTTCTTGACGCACTTCAGAACCGAGTTCATCTCTGTCGCCGTCCTCCTTCCTACAGTTGTGGCATGTCGCTGCTCCCCTACGCAGAAAGCCGAAGTCGCGAAACTCATCAGAGAATACACCAAGAAGCGGGTGTGCTGCATTGGTGACGGTGGCAACGACGTTTCCATGATCCAAGCAGCTGATGTGGGCGTGGGTATTGTAGGAAAGGAGGGTCGACAAGCCAGTCTCGCAGCGGATTTCTCTATAGAGCAATTTTGCCACCTCACGAAGCTGCTGGTGTGGCATGGTCGTAACAGTTACAAGAGAAGCGCCAAACTCGCCCAATTCGTCATCCACCGTGGCCTAATCGTGGCCGTTTGTCAGACAATGTACAGTATTGCCATTAAGTTCGAACCCGAAGGACTCTACTTGGTAAGTCGATACACTTGTATCCTGGGAGGTTCTCTACTAACGAGCAGCAGGACTGGCTTCTTGTCGGATATGCCACCGTTTACACGGCAGCACCTGTCCTGTCCCTGGTCCTTGACAAGGACGTTGATGAGAATTTGGCAAATCTGTATCCCGAGCTCTACAAGGAACTCACATCCGGCCGTTCACTCTCTTACCGAACCTTCTTCGTCTGGGTCTTCGTTTCCATCTACCAAGGTGGAATGATTCAAGGTCTGTCGCAGATCTTGACTGAAGTCGACGGGCCCAGAATGGTAGCGGTCAGCTACACTGTTCTTGTGCTCAACGAGCTTCTCATGGTAGCAATCGAAATCACAACTTGGCATCCGGTCATGATCATAAGCATTGTGGGCACATTCCTCATGTACATTGGCTCCATACCTTTCCTCGGAGGGTACTTTGACCTTGATTTCATGCTGACCTGGTAAGTCAATGCTCTATTTGTCTCTTGGTCGGGTGAACTATATAACTAATGGTACTCAAGGGGATTCGCCTGGCGTGTTCTTGCCATCGGAGCAATCTCGCTGATACCACCGTATGCGGGCAAATTGATTAGGAGGACAATGAAACCGCCGTCGTACAGAAAGGTTCAGGGGATCTGATGTATGTTCGCCTCCGACTTACCACAAAACTTTAAATGCATGGGTTGGGAGCCACGGGAGCATTGGGTCGGCGTAAACGGGTTGACGTTGTAAATACTTAGATCGTCAGTTTTTTCTCCCTTTCGGCATCGCATTCTGGCGATCCAGGGCCCAGTGCTTTTGGAATACCCTAGACGGCTTGTCCAACTCTGATGGATCAATGTTCTCTGTTCGCAAATTTTTAGCGCTTGTCCTGCCTGAAAAATCACGATAGTAAAGACGCGGTTATATGAGTTGCAATGACCGATGTGTACAACTTCGTACTTCAAAATGCGCTTTGGCTGCTTATATACTAGCCACATGCCGACTCGGTGCTCTGATATAGTTCAGAATAATTTTAGTGGCACTAGGACGAATGACAGAACGCCAAATGGCGAGTCAGGCTTGGTAGCGCTCACGCTCAAGCTAGCCTAGATGGCTGTATCACGATACCGCCCTACCGCCCTACCGCCCTACCGACCCTCTGCATGCCCAGGTGTTGTGTAGGGCAGTGAGCCAGTGATGGTGGGTGTGGAGAGGCGTTCAAGGGGTTTGATTGAATTGCGGGAAAGCGAAATGACGTACTCCCCCGCAACGCTGCTCACGGCCTATGGCCTCGGCTGTTCCGCCTGTCGCCATTGGTCAGAGCTTCCCCCTTGGGCTCCTCTCCAAAAAAGCCGCGATCGTGTCTGTTCCGCATCCATTCTCCACCGTGCCATATTCATTCGCGGGGCACCGCAAAATACTCTCAGTGTACTTAGTACCGACTCTAATGCTGATCAATTCCCAAGTGGGGATGAATAGCCTGATCAGATGCAAATGCAGATGACAGTGGGCAGGACTGGTGTGGCCGACTTAAGCCTCGCCCGCTGTCTGGTGACTTGAAGCTCTCATGATGTGGACGATCTCGGGAGGGGGGATGAACCACGATAGCCGTTGCGATCACCGATTTTGGCAGGACTTCCTCGTTATCTGGGGGAGCAGGCGACAGGTTGGAGCGGAATTCTTCAAGAACTGCTCCACTATCGTGACTAGACAAGCTGGCCGAGGCTACTCCAAAAATGCTGGACCAGACAGCGAGCGGTATGAACGCCAGACCTCAACAAAGGGACCTTCTCATCTTGTCGGTCAAAATCTCTGGTAAACCACCTTTGGTAGTAGGGTATAAGAAGTAGAAGATTGGTGCAAGGTATAGCGGACCGTCTGCCTGTGCAGCAGGGACCAGAGGATCTTTCATGCTGGGCTTGGCCGTAGCGAACGAGGGTTGCGTGGGATGCTGCATCGAATGATTGTTAGCAGATCAGCTCCTCACATTCGCGCTACTACAGTACATTCTTAGCAAGCACCCGGGTTGTGTCCACCAAAACTCTCCAACAGAGATGAAGGACCGAAGTACCTGGGAAGTAGCGACATAGCAAGGATCAGCTAGCGCGAGAACCCCATGCCATTGTCCATTGTCCAACCATCACCAGGGACGATGAATTCTAGGCCATCCATCAAGTCTTCTCCACCTCGAACATTTCCCAGCTTTACTAAGGTTTCCCAAGCTCCTCCTTCATTGACCCTGGGGATCTTTGGAAAGCGACTCAATCCACACATCTTCGGAACGCGCTTCTGTATCCTTCGGTTACATATTTCGTTTTCGTTTGAGCTCGCCTTTCGCTTTCCTCCAACTTTGAAACTTGGGAGCTCTCGTCCGGATTTTGTGGCATTTCGGGTAAGCTCCTCTCAAGCCATTGTTTTAAATGCTCTGGAAATGCTCTGGCGCCCAGTTCATCATGAAATGGGCAAAGCTTCTAAGACGCGCAAACTCTAAAAAGTCCATCCTTTGCTTGGTACGAAGTATTACATCACACTAACGCTGGCCGACTACAGCTTTCGTCCTCCTTACCCATCAATTCCCTGCACAAACCTATTGCGAAAGGACGAAACCCTCGCATCGTCAGGATGAGCGACAACGGCGATCGACCAATCCGTGAGGTGAAGAATCATGTCCTCTTTGAGATTGCGACCGAGGTTGCCCACCGAGGTGCGTTCTTAATCTTTGCGAAGCTCCCTAAAGCTTCATAAGCTTCGTCGTACCGTGAAATGCCAGCGTTGAACGACTAACAACCACGTAGTTGGCGGCATCTACTCCGTCCTCAAATCCAAGGCTCCTGTCACGACGGCCGAGTATGGCGACCGCTACACGCTGATTGGTCCGCTAAACCACCAGTCGGTATGTAACGAGAGTCTTTTGCGCTGTGGCGTGAGTGTCGCTTGCTGATGTTCTACCGTAGGCTGCTGTCGAGGTTGAAGAGTTAGAGCCCAACACGCCCGAACTCGCCGCCACTATCGAGTCTATGAGGAACCGGGGCATTGGAATTCTCTATGGTCGCTGGCTTATTGAGGGCGCTCCACGAGTCCTGCTGATCGATACCAAGACGGCTTACAAGTACCTGGACGAGTGGAAGGCTGATCTGTGGAACGTCGCCAGCATCCCCTCCCCTCCCGGAGATGACGAGACCAATGAAGCAATTGTCTTTGGATACCTGGTCGCATGGTTCCTTGGGGAGGTGAGTAGTGAAGCGCCTACCAGGCGAGCTGCGCTGACATGGATTTGAACAGTATGTCTGCCACGAGAAGACCAAGGCGGTCATCGCCCATTTCCACGAATGGCTGGCCGGTGTAGCGCTTCCTCTAACCAAGAAGCGTCGCATGGACGTCACGACTATTTTCACAACCCATGCCACCCTTCTCGGCCGGTACTTATGCGCCGGATCTGTGGACTTCTACAACAATCTGCAATGGTTCGATGTCGATGCCGAAGCTGGCAAGCGTGGCATTTATCACAGATACTGCATAGAACGCGCTGCGGCGCATTCTTGTGATGTCTTCACCACTGTCTCCCACATCACGGCCTTTGAAAGTGAGCACTTGCTGAAGCGCAAGCCGGATGGAGTGTTGCCAAACGGTCTCAACGTCACCAAGTTCTCGGCCATGCACGAGTTTCAGAACTTGCACCAACAGTCCAAGGAGAAGATCCACGACTTTGTTCGGGGTCATTTCTACGGACATTACGACTTCCAACCTGAAGACACCATCTATCTCTTCACCGCTGGTCGTTACGAGTACCGGAACAAGGGCGTGGATATGTTCATCGAGTCTCTCGCCCGACTGAACCACCGGTTGAAGACGGCCGGCAGCAAGACTACTGTAGTCGCCTTTATCATCATGCCAGCACAGACAACTTCCCTTACGGTCGAGGCCCTGAAGGGTCAAGCCGTCATCAAGTCTCTCCGCGATACCGTCGATATTATCGAGCGTGGCATTGGGCGCCGTATCTTCGAGCGTTCACTGAAGTGGCATGATGGCGATCCTCTGCCAGATGAGAAGGAGCTCATCACAAGCGCAGACCGCGTACTTCTTCGTCGTCGCCTCTTTGCCATGAAGCGACATGGGCTTCCCCCGATTGTCACTCACAACATGATGAACGACCACGAAGACCCGGTTCTGAACCAGATCCGCCGCGTGCAGCTCTTCAACCACCCGACGGACCGTGTCAAGATCATCTTCCACCCCGAGTTCTTGAATTCCGCCAACCCCGTTTTGCCTCTGGACTATGACGACTTCGTGCGTGGCACGCATCTGGGCGTCTTCGCGTCCTACTACGAGCCGTGGGGTTACACTCCGGCCGAGTGTACCGTCATGGGCGTTCCCAGCATCACCACGAACCTCTCCGGATTCGGCTGCTATATGGAGGAGCTGATCGAGAACTCCAGTGACTACGGTATCTATATTGTCGACCGCCGTTCCAAGGGTGTGGATGACTCGGTCAACCAGCTCACCTCGCACATGTTCGACTTCTGCCAGAAGAGCCGTCGTCAGCGCATCAACCAGCGAAACCGGACTGAGCGGCTTAGTGATCTCCTGGACTGGAAGAGGATGGGTATGGAATACGTGAAGGCGCGACAATTAGCTTTGCGACGTGCCTACCCGGGATCATTCAGCGGTGATGACGAGGAGGAAGATTTCATTCCTGGCGTCGAGCAGAAGATCTCACGACCGTTCTCTGTTCCCGGATCTCCGCGGGATCGAAGTGGCATGATGACCCCTGGAGATTTTGCCAGTCTGCAGGAAGGTAGAGAGGGTCTAAGCACCGAGGATTATGTCGCCTGGAAGCTTCCGTAAGTTTGATGGCAACCCGAAGCTGTATAACAAATATTGACACATTCGCAGAGAGGAGGAAGATCCCGACGAGTACCCGTTTCCCCTGACTCTTCGGACTAAGAAATCAGCAATTTCGGGATCGGCCAGCCCGCTTGACGGCATCCAGTTGAACGGCAACTAGTACGCCCGAATCAGCCACGCGGTTGACGACAAAGGAAATGAATCAAAATGTCTATCAGATATGATGGATGACTGGGAATTGGTTTAGGCTTGATTCTGTTAAACATCAGTCTCTCCTTTAGCATTGATATCCTAGACGGGGTGCAACAAAGTGATGATTCTTGCCGGCTCCAGTCCTATCCATGCTGACTAGTAGTATGTGACGAGTTGCCGTGAACCCCCCGTCGATAGGACGGACGGCGGCAGAGGGAAGCGCAAGTGAAGACGGACGAATGAAGACGGCTACAAAGAAACCGGATTGGGCCGTTGGTACCGTACGTGCAATGTACAAAAGGTGGTTGCCTGGGTTCAAGTTGCATAGCAATCGCATTCGCCGGCAGTTGGTAGTGTCAATACTTCTCTTTTCTACTGTATAACATGGGTAACATTACAGGAGCATCAATTTGATTAAGGAGATCGGGCTTACAAAAACAAAAGCAATGTCTGTTATTTGGTGCGGGAATGTTTTCTAAATCTGGGTCTACAAGACTTTATTCTGTGGTGATGACCAAGTATCAAATCCCGGTGTCTCTACCAGCTGAGGACATCGGTATGTTAGCTGGTAAGATGTTAAGTCAGATTGACGTGTAATACAAGGTATTTTACTTCGTGGTCACATGTTAATGGTAATATGTCGAGATGATTTGCCTCTGGCTACTTAATGAAGGCCGACATCGTACAAATCCGGTGCTGGTCCAAGTGGAAGATCGCCCTTGTCCTCTAGGCTCGAGTGCTAACTTGGCGATCTCCCTGCCCCGCGTCTGGTGGGCGGCAAGAATGTGTCTGTGCTGAAACAGACTCCACTATCTCCAGTTGGTCGCCTCGACTAGCGCATTCGAAGAGTAAATCGCAAGAGATTGGACTATTGTTGGTTGGTTCCAGTTCAGGGGTTTACGATCTGTCGGGTTCCTGCCCCCAATGAGACGAGTCCTCCCTTGTGATCAAGTTATGGGCCGGTGGACAAGGAACCAACGTCTCTCTTGGTGCGCAAATCGCTTATCCTCTCGCATCTGTCAGAATCGACCGTCCTGAAAAGAAGGAAAGAGCGAAACACCAGACCGACGCCCCCGGATCGTCCATCGAAACGGAACGAAACGAAACGACTGTTGCCAAGGTCGAGAAAAGCGACTGCATGCGTCTGTATGTTTGACGAGCCGCAAAAAGAAGTTAAGGCTGACGTCTTAGAGGCGACGGGCGCGCGTACGCGATTGAATGGAATCATTTTCTCCCGTCCCTTCATCCCTGCCCCCAGTCGCCCAACGCTTCGTTCGATTGCGACCTCTCAATTGTTTTTTTGCGACATCTTGGCTTTTGACTGGTGGTGACAGCAATCGTGCGTGCAAGCTGCAGGAGAGTCCTCCACAACTGCATAAGTTTGATTGCTTGGACGTGTACGACGGCGACACGACCACACCCTTGCTACTGCATCGAGGACCGGTAGCAATCACCAACGGGACCAACGGGTAGCTCCTTGCGTCACTGTGTTGCAGCACTGAATCACACTCACCTCCCACCTTTAAATACCAGGCCGAGCACACCGTTTCCCGGGGCTTGGGGTCTTCTCCCTCTTTCCGACTATGAAGTTCACCGTCATGAAGCTGTTCCGCCGCAGCAAGAACAAGAAGACTGAGGCCCAGCCTCCGTTCAACTACGACCGCGATGCCCGATATGCCTCTGTCGCACCGCCAAACGGGAAATCGTCGCGCATGGGTGCCGCCCACAATGCCGTTCGAGGGGACTATAATGGCTGGGGGGGTTATGGAAAGGGTGGGTTTGCGCCGTGGCTAGAGCTGCCGACGCCCTTACTACAGCGCGTATTCGCCTTTGTCTGCCCGCATTCCCAGGACGAGAGCTACGAAACTTGTGAGCAGAGCGCCATTGAAGACTCGTGCATGCTCTGCGACCTACGGGATCTAGCGCATGCCGGCATGGTGTGTGGTAGATGGCGGAAGACCGCCGTCAAGATAATGTAAGTACCCGCTCTGTCCGAGTCGTGCCGTATGTTTTACTTGGGATCCCCTTTTTTCTGCCGAATGGGATCATCGAGAACCCGCGCTAACCGAGGCACTGCGATGCTACGCAGGTACCACAGCATACGCATCGACGCCGTTCACTACTGCGAGCGCGAAATTTACCTGTCGGAGAAGCGAAAACGCCGCAGTCGCTTCGACCGCAACGGAATTCCCGAAGACACAGCGAGCGCACGTCTGCATCTGCTATGTCGCACCTTGCGCGATGACCCGACTCGGCTTGGCGCCCTCGTCAAATACCTCAAGACACCGTACATGCTGCGTGAGTCCAACACATCCGAACTCGCGCGCACCATTGCTGTGCTTCCCAACTTGCGATATGTCGATCTACCCGAGGGACTGTTCATGGACGACTCTGGCTACGGTACTCTCAGGCTTGAGGTTGAGGCTCGGTGTCACAATCTTAGGAAGATGACGTACATGGGCGGCAGCGAGCGAAGTCTTGAGGCCCTGACCATGGGCACCGTATGGCCAAATCTCGAGGTGCTGGAGCTGAGCAAGATCAACATAGACCCTACCATCTTGCGACACGTTCTCGCTGTACTTCAACATCTCAGAGCCCTCAAGGTCACCGAGAGCAAGGTCATTGACGATGACATATTCAAAAACAACGACATGCTTCCCGCCTTTCCTGCCCTCGAGGAATTGATTCTCAAGGGAACGCCGCGTGTCACAGCGGGTGGATTGGCAGCCTACCTTTCGCGACCAGACACGCGGCAGAGCTTGAAAGTGCTCTCCCTGATCGAGACGGGAGTGCAACCTCAAGCTCTCCAAACCGTCATGGCCGGTGCGTCCAAGCTGGAGGCTTTGTCGATCGTTGAGCAAGTTAACTCGGCGTTCAATTCACACTCATCCCCCATTCAGCCTCTGGCAAACCCGTCGCTGAAGACGCTTCGCTACGAGATTACAGCCAGTGACACTGCGAATCCCTACACCGGCATGACGCAAGGGTACTATACTTACCTAGCCCAGTCTCTATTTGGAGGTGGCTTTCCAAGTCTGACTGCCCTCTACGTGCGCGACCAAAATTTTCCCGACTTGCTCCTGGGCCTGCCACCACCTATGCCAGGCTACGGGGGTAACATGAACAGGCCGAGCAGCAGCAGTAGCATGGGCATGTTTTCCATGGGTAGCAACGGAGGTCTGGGCCCAAACAGCACCGGTGGTGGTGCGAACCCGTGGTTCAGCAGCAATAACCCGTTCGCGACCCCACGTCACTACGGTGCCTCGGGCAACGGGCTCGGGCCTAGCATGCTGGCGCTGAATCAGACGCTCGAGGTGTTCACCAAGGGGGAGGATGACTTAGATTGGGGCATCGTCAAGATGGATCCCTACGACAGTCCCGGCTATGCCGGCGGACGTGGTGTTGGTGGCTCGGGCAGACATGCACGCAGTGGTAGTACCACTAGCATAACCCGGCCGCTGAGCAGCTACGGACTCGCGGATACGGGGGCGGGGTGGAGAGAAGGTCCTGGCGGTGCTAGGAAGAGTGTCATGGTTGGAAATGGTGCTGGAGGGTTCCTGGCCGTGCCAAATGAAGGGGCGGGCGGTCCACGGAGGGGGAGTACGGGGCAGACTGATGAGTGGCCGCGGCCGAGGAGCAGTGGGGGTCCTAAGGCGGAAAGGGATTTGTGGCGGTAGTACAACTTACGTCTCTTGACGGCGGTCGATTCAGGCATTTTGTTATATAGTACCTCTGATGCCGGTGCCAATTTCGACGCCGAGGCCGACGAGGGGATCAGGGAGATGGGAGATGGGACACGAGACACGAATGTGGAATGTGAGAGTAGGCATTTGAAAGTTTCATGTGGTTAGGGGATATTTTTACGTTAGGAATCATACAAGCGAAATAAGTTTGACAGCGTACAACACTCTCACGATGAATCGAGGACCGATGGATATTGGCTTGAAAGGCTATCCCATGGTTCACTATGGCCATGTTACCCTACAACTGAAACGTCTCTGGTCTGTGACAGCATATTGTTGATTTTATGCAGATTGTAGGGGTAAAGAGATGACCTTGACGTGAAGTTCTTTTCCAATGACCCGAGACATCGGATCGAGATGCCTACTGGTTTAGCCTAAACTGTATAATGCTGAAAAAGGAAGCGCATGCTATCGCAACGCCGAGTCCCCGAAGCCCTCGACGGTGGCGCGGAAAACACCCGCTCATTCCGGTCAGCCTGCGCCTCCCGCAGTCAAGTGAGAGGATGTACTCGAGTCTGGGGATTACAAGGGTTGTGGAAAGGGGTTAGCTAGGTGGACAGTCGAGGGCAGATGTGCCGGTGCCCAAGTCCAGAGCGCTGTCGTGGACGAAGTAGATATTGGCGCCAGAGGCTTTATTTCTGCTAGGGCTAGATGTATCCATGTCGGCGGTTGAGATGGGAAGCTGGCGCAAGATGTCGAGAGAGCGATACAGCACGGCCGGGGACGACGAGTTTGGTACAATTAACCGAGCGGTTGCATGAACGGGCGGTAAGAACCAATTTCTTGATAAACTTGCGAAGCCTGGGCTAATAGTTTTCGATGTAACATCAGTAGATATGCTTTAGTGATTATTGGGTTTGCTGGGTTTGGACTGGGTGCTGTTGGAAGTAATGATATATATATGATCACATTCAGGGGCTGCGTCGGCGCAGACAACCGTACGAATGACACGCTAATTCCATCAACTGTGATTTATCACCAAGATACACAGAGGCTCCAGTTAGCGAATGAACATCTTCAAGTGGTCTAAGGCTGTACTGTTATTGGCGAAGACGGTGATGCTTCATCATCATCATCACATACTAGAATGTTATCATCCAAAAGTTATTTTCGGCTTCGGCTCAGTCTGAACTTCCAGAGTTGGAGATGATGTTCAAGGAAGGGGGCACTCGAGTATAAGTTGACATCAAGGTCATGGATTGCCAAATTGCCCAGATGCTATATTGCATATGGTCTAGCCCCATGAGACCCGAGCGTATAGCTCTCATGATGACATGATACCTAGAATATACCAATATGGGATCACAAGCTTGAGGCTAGTCACCGTTAAAGCCAGCATGGGAGACAAGTCAAGTATAGAATTCAGTAGTGACAACTATCATGCATACACAACTTACAGCAGTAACACGTCTAGTCATTCACGGCTGTCAAGCATGTTTTTGCCGAGCGTGATCATGAAATTCGTCCGTCCAACTTCTCGCGTCAGTAGATTCCATCGATCATAGAGTATACTGAAGAATCTAGGTTAGGTGTGTCTACGTGTATTGTGACCTAGACTGATCATTTGGCGCAAGGTATGAACCAAACACGAGAAGTATCCGCAAATAGGTACCTGAAGCGGAATATCTGGTCATTAAACTCGTGCACAACAGCTACGTTTGAATGTTGTACAGGCATTTGCCAAAGATGAACCCTATCATGCTGGCCCAGGTAGCCAGTCCATGGACGACCAATGTAATGCTTCAGGGTTGACTAGTCGAGTCACACCAGAGCCTTAGCTGCAGGAAAACTGTGCCGCTAAGGTACTACAAGGGAGTGGGACACAGTGGAGAAACTTGCCTCTTCCTCGAGATAAACACAATCCAGGGCTCGCAGAGACCAGCGCACAAGACGAGAGCTTCAAGCACAGCCATCAGATGCCGCCGGCCCAACGGTTCAGAGGGATTCGGTAACGGGAGCGGGTGCGGGAGCGGCCGAGTTTCTACTACCGCCAGGGAATTGCGAGGTGGGATCGGTCCTGAAGCGCCGAAGACGCACTTGTTGACTTCACGCTTGGAGGTTGCCATCCATTCTGAGCAAGAGCAGTTGAAGAGGGCAAATATACTGGCATGCATTCTGATCATGGACGCAGCTTTCATACGTTTGATGAAAAATATCCAAAGTAGTCAGGGATGTAGCACAAAGATAGATTCTCCTGAATCAGAAGCATCTGCATCAATATCGAAACGGACTTGGGGAGGTCTAAACTCATTTCTTTTGCCGCGGTGTGTGCCACGTTGCGTCAGGCATCCACTGAGCCCGACCGGCTCCTCCATCTATCTCCCCTCACTGTCATGACCCGGCACTCCTTCTCGACCATCTCCACCATATCGGTTGGCTGCATATACCGGTGCAGGTCCCAAAGATCCTCCATCTCGACCCTGATCTACAATGCATCGAAATGATTGACAGCTTCGCATCCCCCACGTGCGACACGCCGCCACAGTATCAGCCCGTCGTCCGCACGGTACTGGAGACGTGAGTCCATCTTGTAATTCGACGATGCTCATTACCTGCTCATTTGACATAGGATATTATGGATTGCCATCATAGCGGCGTACATCCCGCAGTACCTGCGCATTCGCCGGAGTGGGACGACGGGCATCTCACCCTACTACGTGCTGAACCATAGTCTCTTCTCCACCACCACGCTCGCCCTCCGCTGCAGTCACAGCATCTTCTACCCGGCGTTCAACTGCCTCGTCAGCGGCGAGCTCCAGGGGTGGAAGGGCTACTCGGCATTCTTGGGCTTCTTAGCAGTCATCGTGCAATGGCTCTGCGCCGTCATGCTGTACGCCGCTCACTACCCACTCCCCCCTTTGTATTCTTGTCTCGAGTTGCCCCCATCGGGTTGGTGATCATGTGGCTGATCCTTGCGCTATCTAGCGTCGTGGTATTTATCTGCCACCGCACAACGGAGCCATCATCCGACCTGATTGAGGCCAGGTGGCTCCCAGACCGCGGGCTACACCCGCACAAGCTGACTTCTAGAAAGATGGTCATCGTCCTATCCTCCTACGTCGGCGCAACTCTGCCCTTGTCCCTAGCCCTCCTTTGCTTCAGCGCGCACCCCTATTTCCAGCAGGAACAGCCCAGACGGGCCTTCTACGTCGTCTTCTGGTCCGTCTGGGTTGCCCTCCTCTGCGCCGCCGACGCCTTCCTCGTCGTCTTCCAGTTCATCAAGCAGATGAAGACGGTTGGGCGTCTGCGGACGGGCGGCTCCCTCAGCATCGTCTCTGTCGGGATGCAGACCGTCGTGTTGCTGCTTCTGTCCATTGCGCAGTTCTACCGCTCGCGGAAGAGTATTATCTTGCGCAAGGAGCCGCACATGGGTTTTGGCCGCTTCGTGCGGGTGTTTGTGTTCGTGTACGGCTGCTTTAGCGTCGATATTATGTACATAGTGGCCGGGCTGGGGTATCTGGTTTTGTTCCAGTTGTGTCTGCTGTTTGGATGGAACGATATGTTCGGGGATCGGTTTGGGAGGATTCAGCTTATATGATATGAAGCAGAGGACATTTGCCGACGTTGTTCGTTATGCCGTAACGGTGAGCACCAGTGGTGACATCCTTTGGGTGTTTGCGTAGTCCAGTCGCTGTCGTGTATAGCTCGCCAACTGCCGCGTTACACCTATCGTCATCCTTATCGCCTTGCTCGACCAAAGCTGTCATTGTGGTCATCCAAAGCGTCCCCTCTTGCATCTCCGCGACGGTTATATAAGATTAGAGGAGGTCCTACCTGACCCCGGAGCCCCAAGCCCGCTCTGGATCGCACCCCAATCACCACCAGGATCCTCGTCTTTCTTGTCCACCCTCCTCCTTCATACCTCCACACTCCCTACCTATGCGCGCTATCATCAACATACCTGCCGCCCTCCTCCTCCTCTCCGGCACCGCGGCAGACTTCTGGATGTACACATACATAAGCTACTCCGGCGGCGACCCTTGGTGGGAAGGAGTCATGATCCTGGGCGCCGCGCCCCCCGTCTGCGATGAGATTTTGTATTCGAACCGCCTGAAGCATCTGAAAGACGTGAGCGGCGACAAGCGAGGCGTCCGCTTCGCCGGGAGTGCCTTGGACCCGGACATCGTCGAGTTTAACAGCGAACGCTTGGGTCACTACAGTAAGTTCTTTTAGTTCTTCTCCAACCTTCTCCCACCCGCTTTTCTATTTCTCGTGAGTTCGCGCCATATTCTGTGCTTGCCCGTAAATCATGCCTTACTGTCTGTCCACGGTGTTTATTTCAAGTAGACGGCTGATGTGATGTCTCTTTCCGTGTCTTCAGCGATCTATAAAGATAGGAACTACGACATGGTCGATGTCGACAATCAGCTGAAGGGCAAATGCGTTCTCAATATCACCAGCACCTACAACTGCGTGTTCGAAAAGGAGACGGATACTGGACATTCCATCTTTTGGTGCGTGTCGGAAGTCCATGTGTGAGCTGGCAGTTGACGGGCACAGTCTGGCGCTTGCTGTTCGATGCAGTTGCAGGGCACTCAACGGGAATGCTGCAAAAGGGGAGCGAGGCGGGAGGAAAGAAGTGTATGTGTTGGGGCTTGCGGGGGTACCATGTAAGATCCTTTGTCGGTTGAAGTGTGAAACAGGTTGGTCTTCTTTTCTTTTCTGGTTGTGCCGGGCCAAGCACTGACTGGTAGTTGTCACGACGTCGATTTAACTATTTTATGTAGTATGAAAGTATGTGTACACTGTATGTGTTGATAGATCAATGCACTTCTGGTACATAGCCACACTCTTCATGATTGCAGGCATGAGTATCGTGGGGTTTTCATCTCTACTAGATACATTCATATTGCCAAGAGAAAGCAAAATATGAAACGAGGATGGAGATAAAGGGTTTTATGGAGCAAGTGGCTTGAAACCTCGGGAATAGACATTGCAGAGTAAGCTGTCTATTCCAAACGCTGGTCTTGCTCTTCATCGAGGCTGTAAAATCATATCAGCCGCATTAAGCAAGAGCAAGATCGAAGGGCGTTGAGAGATTTCCCGTGCCATTTAAGGCAGATATAAGCAACGTAAGACGACGTGACATGTATATCAAGAGGGTCTTAAGAGAAAACACATATGTTCAGCGATGTCCGGTCATGGCCAGTGGCGTACAAGATGATCCATCTTCGACCGTCAGATATTGATAAGGACGCGGATATGGAAAGCCTGCCTCCATGCCGGGACCCCCATGACCTGGTAAAACCGTGGCAAGATGCTGTTTTCATGACGGGGTTATGGGCTAGGCTCGGGTTTGAAAACCGTCAGTACTGCCCATCTATTAGGCTACTGTCTCCCCGTAAGTAAGCTCCCGCCGGAGGAAAGCGGTTGCAAAGAGATGTTCAACTCAACGCCACTCAAGTTCCTTGGGAGAGAAGTCACGGAGTGCTAGCAGAAAGCCAAAACTATAATGGGTATCAAAACCCACCTGAACGTTTAAACTTGAGCCCATCAAATTCCGAATTGGATAGTACTGGGTAGTCAAGTTCGTCGCGACCACCCGTTCGCGTTTCCTTGTCCAAAGCCACTAACACCATGAGTGTAGCGGGTCGAGTTATGGCCATCGATAGTCCGTGAAACCAGACAATGGATGCAGGAATTTATTCTCAGATAGAGTATGTCTCATTTGTCATCAAAGGCAGCTCACGTGTAGGGTATGGGAGACCAATGCCATGGTCTTTCCAATCCCAGGAAGAGCCAGTCCAGAACTCACTTGCAGCTCGACCGGAATCCAACGCGACAAGGGTATCTATTTACACGTTCGGGCGACGAAGCTCTGCCAGCGCCTCTCTGGGAGCAGGAACATAGCCACCGGCAAAGGCCTGAAATTCTCGCTCATTCATCAATTCGCGGAGGAATCTGATCGGCTTCTTCTTCTTTTTGTCTTTTCCCGTCCAGTAACTCTGAAAATCAGCTAACGTCAGTAAAGTCTTGAACCAGTACAATGCGCCGGATTAAAGCAGCAATTGATGCCTCCTCTTTACCTGCCCATCTCGTCGAGTGCAATGTCTCCTTCATCTCTGCCAACGATGGATTCGGCAACCTTCCACACTTGTAGAACGTTGTCCTCAGCGGCGCTGGAAACGAGCCAGGGATCATTCAGATTCCAGCTGAACTCAGTCAGATGGTTGGTGTGACCCCCGTGCATGAACAGCCTAGAAAGTGATTAGCCTCGGCAATATATGAGTTCCCGACGGGTGAAAACCTACAGCTCAGGGGGACCGTCTTCTTGGTCCTCGGGTTGTTGCTCATCTCCGACTCTGCTCAAGTCCCAGTAAATCATTCTGCGGTCATAACTAGCGCTGCCGAGAATGCCAGCCTCGTGGGGATGCCAGGCGATAGAAGTGACAGCATCTTGATGGCCCTCCAAGGTGTGCACCTTCTCCTTGACGTTCCGTAAATCCCAAATGCCAATGGTCTTGTCGGCAGATGCGGTTGCCACGATGACCTCGGTTGAGGGATTGAATGCCAGAGCGTTGATGGCGTCGCTGTGTCCGTGCTTGGCTACCAGTGACGCCTGGGAGAATACGTCCTGTCGCACGTCAAGGATTTGCAGGGTCAAGTCGTCAGATACACTTCCGATAAAGTTCTTGGAAATCGGATGATATTGGACATCGTTGACGATGTTCGTGTGGTGGGTGTATCGGCGATATGGATTCAGAACAGTCCTCCCGCCCTCAAGAGACTTGAGGTCCCTGTTTTGCTGATTAGTAGGGCGCATACACGCAAACGGCAATGAGTTCCGCTTACCAGAGACAAACAGTCTTGTCCTCACTTCCAGATGCCAGCGATCCTTCCACATGAGGATTCCAGCTCAGCCCAAAGCCTTCGCGGTCGTGGCCCACAAGCTCAATCTGAGGCTCCACCTTCCCATTGGGGTTCACACTATGTTTGGTGCGATCAAAAATCAAGATTCGTCCGTCTACCGCAAGAGTGGCGATGAGGTCTGGGTTTTGCGGGCAATAGCGCGCCTTGTTCACCTCGCTAGGATGGTCGATTCTCTGGACGACATTGAACTTCATGGCCGAGGTTTCGGTCTTGCCATGGCCCCCAATCTCTCCCCGCTCCTCGTCGTAATCGCGGGGGTTGGCTCGGACCTTAGTGGGGATCTCAACTTCGGCAATTTGAACATAGTTGGGCTTCTCATCAGAGGTGTGTGTGCCAATGAGGACTCGGTGAATGCGACAGTTCTTGCCCTCGGGCTCCTTCACGTCGGGAAACCACTGCACAGTCAAGGTGGGCCAGGGCAGAGCAGTGCTGTAAGAGCAGACCATAAGCATGAGTTGCAATGCTAATTGACCGACCAGATGTGCCTACCTCAGTATCATGTCATAGAGGAAGGGGGAGTTCTTCTTCCATGTCTTGTACTCTGGCAGCGGGTCAGCAAAAGCCTTCAAGTGACCTTCGAGGCAGATGGCCATACCTTCATTGATGAGTCTCTGCTCCTCGTCGGCGTCCTCTACTTGAAGTTCCACTGAGTGCAGTGCGTTAGCATGTTTCAAGGGGGCACGGTGGGTGTATAGAACTGACTCTCCATGTCGTCAGCAGCTTGGGCAGGAGCCATGCTGAGGGACAGCCTGGAATCGATGAAGGATGAAGGGAAGGTGCAGATGAGGAAGTCGTGAAAGAGGATTCAATGAAGAAGCGAACTGGGTGGGTAAGAAGTACTTAGATTGAACTTCTTGACGCAAAGCAGCGCTGGTGTGCTTCCAACGGATCAAAGGTGATGGGTTCTTGAGGAAGTGAGCAAGCTTGTCCCGCCGGCGTGTTTGAAGCTCCAAAAAGCAGAACGCGGTCGCGTTAAGTGCTTGGAAGTCTGTGCACCGCTACAGGGAAGCAGCTTAGGTCAAGCTTGAGCTTGAAGGTTCCTGGGCTTGGTGGGGTCACTGTCAGCCCCGACAAGCAGCAGCAGAATTGCTTAAGTAATTTTAACGTTCAAAAGCAGGCAGCCACCTCAAAACCAAGTAACATCGATTCACTACCCAAAGGAGTGCTTTTCTAGCATCATAGTTGTAGACAAACATGAGACGCAGTTCAAGTTGAGTTAAGCCCTGGGAATGATCGGCTGATTCTGCATAGCCAAGCCACCAATGCACGGGCCCTTCAGTGGCTTCAATGATGACGGGCTATCAGGCTGTGGGGAAGCCTCAATTGATCCGGCGCAATAACGAATGTGAGAGGTGGTCAGGATTTGTCTTAAGCCGCATCACCATGAGTCTTCATCGCAGTTCTTAATACTAGTCCTACCATCACGACAACAACCTCACATATTACACATCGCCATATACTGGGACCTTGGCCACAAATGTATTTTCTGGGGCCTGACCCGCATGATTTCTACTGTGTCACTTTCAATTCCATATAGCTTTTGCTCGTTTAGGCTTTTTGTCTGATTCCATAGGTATTTACGTGTTTGCAATAGCACTGTCCAAGTCCTTTCGGTCGACTCCTCGTCCGCTGGCCTTTGTCTTGTCGTTTCATTGGCACACGATATTTGCTATTAGACCAAACACGAGACATCTCTTTGGGATATTTGCGACTGCTACACGGAGAGAAACGGCTCTTCCACTGGAACCAGCGCAAGAATCGCAAACCCAGAGCTTTGGCAATCTGCTTGCCATCAATTCGCCTGATCGCAACAACGACAGCACTCTCTTTGCGAATATAGTCTGGCTGAGCGCTTCTTTCAATATGGGGTCAGTCCCGTTTCCAGTGTCAAATGGTTGGCGCCGGCAAGGTAGCTAACCATCCACAGTGTTCCCAAGTTCTTCAGATGGCTCTCGGAGCGTTATCCGGCCATCTCGCAGCTCATCGCTGAGAATCGAATCCCCGAGTTCGATAATCTATACGTGCGATCACCCGCCACCTTCGCATCGCCTGTGCGCCTCCCTGCTGACCTTGAACCTGCTAGTTGGACATGAACGGCATCATACACAATTGCACACACAAGGACTCGTCAGATGCGACGTTTCGCATGACTGAAGAAGAGATGTTCATTCGTATCTTCAACTATATTGAACATCTGTTTGGCAAGATCAAGCCCAAGAAGTTATTCTTCATGGCCATCGACGGAGTCGCACCTCGCGCCAAGATGAATCAGCAGAGAGCTCGTCGTTTCCGAACTGCTCTCGATGTCGAGAAGGCCCGCGAAAAGGCCATTCGCGAGGGTCAAGAAATGCCCAAGGAGGAAGCATTTGATAGTAATTGCATCACTCCCGGCACCGAGTTCATGGCCAAATTGACCCAGCAGCTCAAGTACTTCGTCAACAAGAAGATCTCCGAAGATGCTGACTGGCAAGGCTGCGAGGTGGTGCTGTCAGGCCACGAGGTTCCCGGCGAAGGAGAACACAAGATCATGGAATACATCAGAAATGCCAAGGCGCAGCCTGACTACGACCCCAACGTCCGTCATTGCTTGTACGGCCTTGATGCTGATCTCATCATGCTGGGGCTTCTTAGCCACGATCCCCACTTCTGCCTGCTCCGAGAGGAAGTTGCCTTCGGCCGCGCATCGAAGACGAAGTCAACGGAGCTGGAGCATCAAAATTTCTATCTGATGCATCTTTGCATTGTTCGGGAGTATCTGGAGTTGGAATTTCAAGATCTAAAGAAGGACGGCGCCCTGAAGGTTCCTTTTGACATGGAAAAGGTCATAGATGATTTCATTCTCATGGCGTTTTTTGTCGGCAATGACTTCCTTCCTAATCTTCCCTACTTACACATCAATGAGGGCGCCTTGGCGACCATGTTCCGGATCTACAAGGACATCTTGCCGCAGTGCGACGGCTACATCAACGAAGGAGGAGTTATCAATTTTCAGAGGCTCGGCTTGCTGCTTGAGCAGTTGTCCAAGGAGGAATATCGCCACTTCGAGCACGAGTTTTCAGATGCTAAGTGGCTCAGGGGCAAAAGGCTCGCTGAAACCAACGGCGTTCAAAATGCGAAGACCAAGGGGAAGATGACGATGACTTCATCGCAGAAGGAGCTTTGGAAGAAGATACGGAAGTATGTGCAAAAGCGACCTTCAGACAACCTAGATTTGGGTACAGAGCTTATCGCAGCCGATCGCAAGTTCGTCCAGGATATCGCTGAAAATCTCCACATCGACTGGCGCACAATTGAGGATGACGATGGACATCGTCATCTCACTATCGCCTTCCCCGAAAGGCCCAGGGCCGACGGGGACGAAGAGGACGAGGAAGAAGAAGAGGGTCACTTGGCCCTTCTTCGTGTCATGAAGCGCTATGACAATGCCCAAGTCGTGGACCAATCTGCTGAAGAGGCCCAGGCTTTGATGCAAGTTCAGTACGAGGAGAAGTTCCTCGAGTGGAAGGAGACCTACTACGCCTCGAAATTTGAATGGAAGCCTGAGGAGAAAGAGATCGGGCTGAGGGACCTCTGCGAGAACTACGTCCAAGGTCTACAGTGGGTGCTGTTCTACTACTACCGGGGTGTAGCATCTTGGCCGTGGTTTTACGGGTACCACTACTCGCCCATGACTTCTGGTAAGACTGAGGCCAAGCCGATTGTACCGACTGTATTCGCTAACCCTCTCCCCAGATGTTGCTAAAGGCTTCAATGCGGATCTCAAATTCAAGCTTGGCCAGCCCTTCAGACCATTCGAGCAACTTATGGGTGTTTTGCCCGACCGAAGCAAAAAGATCGTGCCCAACGTCTACCATGAGCTTATGACGGACCCAAAGTCCCCCATCATTGACTTCTATCCCCGAGACTTCGAGTTGGATATGAACGGTAAGAAGATGGAATGGGAAGCTGTCGTCAAAATTCCGTTCATTGACGAGAAGCGGCTGCTCTCTGCCATGGGACCCAAGAACGAGCTGCTTTCGCCGGATCAGAAGGCGCGAAACGACTTTGGCGTCTCACTGAAGTTCACTTACGATCCGAACACGGACTTTACGTACCCGTCGTCCATGGTGGGTGTGTTCCCCGACCTCCAGCACTGCAAGTGTGTTGAGAATATCTACGATCTTCCCACCGCAGACGGACTGGAGCTTTACAGGGGATTGATCGACGGAGTGAAGCTTAATATCGAGGCCTTGGCCGGTTTCCCCAGCTTGGCCACCTTACCATACAATGGAGCTCTCGGTTTCCACGGCGTCAATGTGTTCCAGCAGGACAGCCGCAATGAAAGCATGGTTGTCACACTGTCGGATGTCGAAATGCGCTGTAGAATCGCGACGGCCAAGGTCAAGCTTGGCCAGACGTGCCACGTTGGCTATCCCTTCTTGCAAGAAGGCAAGGTTGTTGGAGTTTCTGACGAGCTCTTCGATTACTCGCTCTCTGCCGACGGCTCTGAGGTACTTCCTCGCGAGCATGTCGGCAAAGAAATCGACACGTGGAGACGAAAGGCAGACCGTATCGAAGAGTTCTACAGCAAGCGCCTTGGTATCATCATTGGCACCGTCGAGTCCATGGTCCATGTCGACATGCTAAAGGGTCTGATCAAGACAGACGAGGGTGCGTTGGTCAAGGAGTATGGATACATCCCTGGCGTGGAAACCGACTATGCCTCTCAAGTGGTTGTTGATGAAGTCGTCAGCGAAGATGCACGCTTCATTGAGAGGGTGGCTTTGCCGATCGAGGAAGAATTCCCGATCGGATCGCGGGCCTTCTTCGTCGGTGATTACAACTACGGTCGTCCCTTAGAGATTACTGGTCACAAGGGCAACCAAGCTGAAATCCGAATTTCTACTTTGCCGCAGAAGGAGCTGGATTTCGCCAAGTCCATCATCCAACAAGCCGAAAGGCAGAACCGGTACATACCCTCGTATGCCGTCTCCAAGAATCTTGGTCTTCACCCGCTGGTCCTCAGCAAGATTACCTCGTCGTTCCATGTTCACACAATTGGGGGCAGCATGAAGGTCAATCTCGGATTGAACTTGAAATTCGACGCGCGAAAGCAAAAGGTGCTTGGCTACTCGCGGAAACCAGCTGCCGGCTGGGAGTTCAGCCCGGTGGCTGTTAAGCTCATTGCTGATTACATGGTTGCGTTCCCCGACTTCTTCGCCGCCATCTCAGCGAATCCCCATGGAAAGGAGCATCACGAGGCAGACCTCTTCCCCAACGCCGCGGAGCCCGGTAAAAGGGTCAAAGACATTGGCGGCTGGCTTAAGTCTGTCGAGACTAGCAAGTTTGAGCGTGTCCCACTTGACGCCGAACAGCTAGACTCGGAAGTTGTGAAGGCAGTTGAACGGGCAGCAGACCAGGTGGTTCAGAACGCACCTACCGCCGTGGCAAAAACCATGCGCGCCGTGCCCCGAAACGCGTTGATGCGACCGCAGGATGCCGAGCAGCGCCTCGGCAACCAGAAATTCAGTCTGGGTGACCGGATTGTATACATTCAGGATTCCGGCAAGGTGCCCATCGCCATGAAGGGTACTGTTGTTGGCATCAGCACCGTCGGTAACAACCACATGCTCGATATTGTCTTCGACAATGCTTTCATGAGCGGCACCACGCTAGGCGAGCGTTGCTCGCCGTTCCGCGGAGGCACAGTCCCAGCCAACTCTGTCCTCAATACGACTAACCGGCAGGTCCGCGCGGTTTCCAAGACGAGCTTAGAGAGACAGCCTCCTCAGACGACGATGCCGCTAACTGGTAGAGGAAGATATGGCGGAGGGGATGGGCAGCAGACCTACCGCGACGCTCCTGCTCTAGGGCCACTGAACGGCACCTGGCGGGGTGCATTGAACGGCCACCGTGGCCGTGGAGGACAGAATACCCCGGGATCCAGTCAGCAAGCTCATGCTGGTCACAATGGGCCTCCAAGCCTGCAGCCAGCAAACCTGGTCTATCGACCCGCTCCTGCCAACAATGGCCGTGGTGGACGCGGTGGTCGCGGTGGCTTCCACAACCATGTCCAGCCGCAACTCCGGTCTGCTTTGAATGGCGTTCATGGCGAAGCGCAAGGCGTTTATAGTGCTGTTCCTCCTCCGACGAATCTGGATGTCACACGCGGTCGAGGTAGAGGTAGAGGTCGGGGGCGAGGTAGAGGTGGCCCACGAGGACGGGGTGGACCGCAGCAAGGCGCGGCTTGAGACGCTCACGCAGTGGTTCTCCCCCTTCTGGGTGAAAGGTGAACGTACTCCCCGGGGCTCCTTCATCCGATTCTGTCGCCCAACTGGATGAATATCTACTGTGGGCGTGCGACCATGGAGCGAACCACACCTTCTCAGCAGCGCCGGAACCTTTTCTCTCTGGCGTCCCTTTGAGGCCGGTGATGAACTTACAACTGTAGAGTACATTATACCTGGAGATGTAGGTGTATTCGACGAATGATGAATGAAACAAAATAGATGTCAACTTGACACATCAATTGCTTTGTGCGGGTGTGATGTAGTGTTCCACGGGTTGAGACCTGGTGGTTTGTGGACTCACCAAATTTGCATGGGCGTAATTCCAAGTCTTTGCTCCTTGACCATGATAAACGTCAATGTTCAAAACTCAAGAGCAGCACTCTCTTATTGTTGATCTGGAGCATATTGTCAGGTTGTTGATACTCTCGGCCGATAGGGAGCATTGGGATGGTGACACCCTGAGAGTGGAATGCTGTCCATGTCCATGACCAGTATGCCCGCTCACGTGGCTTTTGCTGTTATATGTCACGTGTTGGTTACCTGTGCAATGCAGCTTGATGCTGTAGTGGCATTTGGGGTAGAAAGAGGAGGACATTAGAGAGATGGGAAGTGTACAGCCCAATTGCATGGGCAAACATAGGCCTCGATTGAAGTACAGTTAGTTGTATTGACATTGGGAGCCTGGCCATCTCATAGCCCACGCACAGTCCCTCAAGGCTCAATGTCATCTATGGCATTACCATTGTATGTGGACTTTAGGAGTAGCCATTAGTGCAGCCCACCGTCCCTCATAGCCTGGAGTTTCACAATGGCATCTATTTTGGGGGTGATCATTGTGATATGGCCGGTGCACAATCCTTCATAACACAAAGCTGGCCATATCCTCAGTCGTATTTGCTTCTACAGTGTTGCTTGTATTATTGCCGGCGCACGGTCTCTTGTGACTTAAGATGCTTATAATTCCACATTGGTGTTTACTATCAGAGTGCTGATTGGGTTATAGCGAGCTCTAGTCCTTGAGGGACCGTGCACCGACTATACTGAGGCAATATGCAGAAGACTTGAGTCCTAGCAGGTGAGGGAAATGTCAGGGCAACAAATACAACACTTGCGTTTGCATCAGGACTTTCCTAGGAATCTTCTCGTTTGAAGCGAAGTTGTCGGGATTATATGTGCGGTGTACAAGATGGTCTGCATGATAACTCACTCGGTGACGTCTATCGCCGGTTGGGCTGTGCGACCACCATTGCCATGAGGGAGCAAAACAAATAAATTGGACTCCCATTGTTCTAAGTGTGTGACTTGATGTGATGCGGCATGCCAATCAACAGTTTTGCAGGTGAACTGAGCGAGACAATGGGCTGCGGCCCCGACAGGTAAATTTGCGAACAACCCACCGTCCATTTTTGCTTGCCCTATTCTTCACTCAGTTGTCTATGAAATTGTACTCGGCGTCGAAGGCAGAATCTGTTTACGTTATTCCCAGGCTACTGGTTTCTGACGTTTTCCCTCACCCTTCACGACACTGCCCACCTCTACGGCTGGATTGAAAAATCCTAACTTCATTCTCGACCACTATATGTAAGTTGATATTTTCTTGTTCTCTCCCTATCCCCTGATTCAACAACATTGCCCTGGCAGATATCTCACACCATATCTGTGGTTGAAAACGGTTTGTTTGTGCTCTGGCGTCTCCCTCTGACGTCTCCCTCTGATGCCTCTGGTTGCCTTTATTACCCTCCTGTGCCCTGCTTCAGCATGACAACTCTGCAGAATATGCCCCGTGGCGCCACGACGACTATCTGATGGCAATAGTCCATCGTATCTCGCGCGTTACTAACACAGGTGCTGTCTGATCTCGGTAGTGCTGACGTCGAATCTCGCGCCTTCCCCCCTAAGAGTGCCTCTGATCTCAGATTCCCGTCAACTCCTATATATGCCCCATCACGGTACCTTCTGGTATCTTTCGTCGAATCTCACACCTTCCCGACGCAGACACCGGTTGATTTCGATCTTCCTTCGGATCTTGCGCCTGCTTGCCCAGAAATACCCGCTGATATCCACATGTCGTCGAACCTTTCTGGTCCCGCCCTGAAATTTCATAAAGCCTTTCTGCAACTACCGTCTGACCTGAACTGTCCTAACTGCATGTACTAATCCGTATTTTCTACAGATCGCTTGGCAGAACACTTGTGACGAAATCAACAACACAATACCAGCATGGCTCCACCTGCTTCCAACAAAGACTCTGCTTCTGGCTCGTCTGGAGCTGGCCCCAGCCACAACAACCGACCCTCCAAGCAGCAAGTGGTCGAGTTGCTGGCGGACATCTCCAAGCAACACCCGGAGCTAAAATTCACTTCCAAGGACTTTGCGGCTGAGCTGCGCAAGTACGCACATGCCAAGATCTCTAATGCTGCTGCTTGCCTTGACGACGACGGACGAGAGGGTCCTATCAGCGGCAAACGTGCGGTGGCTGATGACATGAAGGATGACTCTGACAATGGAGATGAGAGTGCGGCCAAGAAGCTGTGCTTTTCTGATCCTAGCTTGTGCCAGGAGATTGCCAAGGACAAGGGCAAGGCCGTTGCTAACGCTGAGGTTTCCATGACTGGATCTTCGACTGCTGCTACTCAGGCCGCTGAAGCTGTTGGTTTCGACGAAGCTGGAACTTCAATTGCAGCGGCGGCACCTGCTTCTACTGCTGCTGGGCCCCCGACTGCTGTTGCCACTGAACCTTTCAACAATGGCTCGGGCATGAGAAAGATCAGCAATGCCGCCACCGGTATTCGTAGCTTCAGCTTGTCTGCTGGCACCCGCAAGGGACCTCCCCAGAAGCTGGACCTGTCGCGTCCCGGAGCCACCGCAGCCAAGGTCTCAGACCTCGATCTTCCCGTGCCGACTCACTTCATTGGCGTCCCTTACGGCACAATCCTGACGCCCGAGCAGATCAATGCATGCGAGGATCTCAACAACGCCAAACTCGAGCCACTCAACTCGGGAAACTTCATGCTCCTCAGCACTCCTATCTGCGTCAAGGATGCGAAGGAGGAATTCATACGTACAGCTCATCTCATCGCACCGCTGCCCCGTTCCTACGGCGTCACTTCTGATACCGCCGGAGAGACCTTCTCCTTCTATGCCCCCTTCAACACGCCCGTCACCGTCAAGTTTGCCAATGGTCAAGTCTATGTCAGGTCCATTCCAGAAAACCCCGAGGGCCCTCAAGCTAAAGGCAAAAAGTTCGTTGCTAGCCGAGTTGATCGTGCCAAAGCTGCCTTAACCACTGGCAGTAGCACTGTAAAGGCGCCTACCGAATCCATCCTCGCCAATGTGGCCGGCCATGCCGAGTTTATCCAGCGCATTGGCTCTTACCTCTCGCCCACGGAGCTTCTCAACTTGTACTGCGCCTCGAGACACTTCAACTCCATGATTGAGAACTGCATGCGGTCTTCCTTCTATCGGTGGTCCCTCCTCCACGCCCCTAAGGGCATGTTTGTCTTCGACTGGCGCCACTGGCAATACCGACACCTCATCAAAGAGGACAAGTCGTTCCGCTCCAAAGTGAGCCCGCCTCTGCTAGGCCCCTTGAAGGGCGGGGAACCGAAGATCCACAAGCGCATGATTCCCACCATGAAGTGGTTCCAGATGATTTGCTTCCGCGAGGAAATCGTTTCTGACATCTTGGCCACACTGGCCCGCCAGGGTCTGCGCTACCCCCGGGGCACATCGATCTCAGTCATGAAGCTGTGGCGCCTGCTGGACTTGCGCACCACCAAGGAGCGCAACCTGCTGATCCAGGATAAGAACATCTTCACTGACGTCGACCTGTGGAACATGCAGCACTTCCTGTGCAAGCTAGCGCTCCGCTTCAACGACCCCGTCTACGGCCCCGAGTCGTGCGACGTCGTCACTCTGTTCATGAGCCAGAAGAGCCTTCTTCCCCTTTGGGAGCTGCTCTTTGGGCACAAGTACTACTCCGTCCACTCCTTTCTGCAGCTCAAGATCCGCACCGACCTGGGCCACAAGTGGCACCTCCCAGACGGATCCGACTGGCAGGGCCCCGACAAAAACCTAATCCTGGGGGTGCCCGCCCGGGAAGTGGGCCAGCTATACCTAGGCACCGACGGCAAGAAGCTCGTCAGGCCCGCCTCCCTCATCGCCACCGAGTCGGCCCGCCGCCAGCTCCACCTCGAAGACCACATCCTGAACATGTTCCTCTGGGGCTTTGTCGACCTGCGCACCGGCAACAACCTGGGCCCCACGGAGCAAGAAATTTTCATGAAAGACGAGGACCGCAAAAACCGTAGTATTGACACAACTAATGAGTTCACCAAGTACCACGCTCGCAACGCTCTCTGGCACGCCTTGAGCCGCGACGAGAAGTACTGCGTCTACATGGCTCAGACGGCGCGCGAAGACCGGCTCAACCGCCACGATTTGGGGTTGTACGATGACCCCAACAATAGCGATATCGAACAGGCCTGGGAGAGCCACAACTTCCGCATGGATCTCAGCAATATGGCGGGACGGGATCCGAGAAATTTGGGAGTAAGGGTTGATGGCAGGATGAATCGTATCGATGCTAACACCCACCCTGATGATGCTCCTGGTCCCAAGACGACCGAGTTGATCGCTGTCGTGCATGCCCAGGCGGAAGCCCAGGCGCAAGCCCAGGCGCAAGCTCGGGCTCAGGCGTATGCCCAGATGTATCCTCATTCGTATGATCAGATTATGGGTCGGGCTCGGAGCCAGGGCCATGGTGATGATAACGTGTACCACAGCGACGACGAGCCGATCGACGAGAGCGTTACCACTGCTCTGGTCGAAGATGAGACGAACCTCAACTCGCCCTGGACACCGACCGGCCTGCAGCGTATCTTTAGCCCCCGCGGACTGTCCACGCAACCCATCAGCGGCAACGCGGCGCTGAAGCTCTACATCAACTACTACGAACACAAGTTGCAGAACGAGGGCAACATCTCGCCCGCCTTTCTGGACACGACGTACTCCACCATCACGGACATCCTCCAGATGCCCAATGTCGACGACGAGCTCGTGAACCACCTGCAACACCTGGCTGCGGATGCTGAGCAGAAGCTTATGGAAGAGCATGAGGGTGAGCCTGAGCAGGACAGCGGAACAATGTCTGTTCGGCCTTGTCGTGACTTGTCTGGCCTGTTTGGCGAAGACCGCAATGCTGAGGGTGAAGAGAGTGACGATGTTGTGCTGGCTGGCACTGAGGCTGAGGACGACAACCAGCAGTTGCCCGACCTTGACGTCAATGAAGATGACACTCTGGAGCAGCCCCTGGATTCACCAGGCTACGACAGCGACGAGGATCATCCTGAGTACTGGGTACGTACCCCCCCAAACAGTCTTGACCAAGCAAAAATAAAACAAATTACTGACCTGGTAAATTACAGAATCGCATGCAGAAGAGCGTCTTTGCTAGCATGCGCCGCCCCGACAACACCGAAATCGACTGGCTTCAGAACCCCTAATCAACTTTACTCCGTCGAGTTTCCCTTGCCGGACCGCTTCTGTTTCTCTGTTCTCGTCATCTGCAATAATCACCAGCGTGGAGGCATAGAGAACGGGCTTATAGAAAAAAGAAGTAGACCACCATTGTCCCCTTTGACTCAGGGATGGATGAGCGTGTAAAATAGGTAAATCGGCCTAGTATAGAGATATTGATCTACTCCCCATAAAACCCAAAAGCGTGTTGCTAGATGCAGGGCAGCCCGCGAGTAAAGCCTTTGCCTTCCTGTTTCTGCCCATAGGATCTTCTCTAGTCAAATATACGAGAGAAGGCTTTGCCACACCCAGGACCTTGTACTTTATGAGGTGCCATCAGACATCATCTCCAGCACAGGCTGAAAGCCAAGATGAAACCACTTAATCCGAGCCTAGAGCTCCGTCCCAACTTGAGCCAACTAGGTGGCTGATCAACTCTTATTAGGGACTTTGGTCTGAAGGGTGAGTCGTCCCAAGTGAAGATAAGGTTGGATGGCACTTGCCGACCCAGAGCTGTGAACCTTGCAACGAACTCTGCTTTCCATCTATTGTTCTAAAACGCTACTATGGTCGCATCAAGAATTACTTCACTTGAAGTTAGTTCCCACTTCTCAAACCCAAACCTAATTACACCACCTCTTCCTCCAGGCACCCAAAACATGCAACGATGGGACAACAGACGAAAGAGCGAATCAACCGAACCAGAATATCATCACAAAAGGCCCTTTACCTGCGGCATCTCTCTCCATTTCTCTCAAATCTATGCACTGAGCTGCATTATGTCTCTTTCAAGGGGTGTGTCCACTATTAGTTCTGCATATGACAGTAGGTCATCAGATTGCTTACTCTCTCTTTCCTCCTCATTACACACTTGACACCTTTCCCTTCAACTATCGTAGTTACAACGCGCATATGCACACTCGAATCTACAGAAATGACAGCGACTATCGTTGCCACCATCCATTCACCCCTTACTCACTTACTCTCCTCTGTCCTGTCCAACCCCTCCCTCCATCCCCTCGAGTGCCGCAAAATGAACAATAACAATAAACAAATTGAGAAACGAAAACGAAAATGCAATTGAAGTTCATCGGGAGAGGTTTGTATGACCAGCAACATCAATGGCACAAAAGCAAGACTCGAGATCCCAAGACGAACGTGTGTGACCAAATAGTCCACCTTATGTTCCCTTTGAATTTAATCCAGCCATCCGGCCCACCAAGTATACCAACCACACTCCCCGACTCCACCACTTCACTGCCGCCCTTAAAAGTCGCCTGTCTGCCTGCCGCCATCGCCGCCAAATGCCGGGTCGATATTCCGTTTGAGGATTCCTTTCAAACAAAAGGTAACTTTGGGAAGGATAAAGGGAAATGTGTACGAGTGCTAGGATGGAAGGAGGCCAAAAGGCATCAAAAGGAGAAGACTGATTTGCCCGCCACGGGGAAATGAACACCACACATTTGGGGAAAAATTGAGAAAAGTATTAGACACTCGAAAAGAAAATGACAACTTTAGGCACACGAAAAATAGAGGCCAGGATATACCCTTACACTCCCTGCGCTATGCACCACCCTGCCATTCCTGCCACAAAATCCTTCCATGTACAAGTTTGTCCGTCCGATGAGAAGATCGAGACTGTCGATAATATTCCATCGAAGTGGTCGAGATCCGTGGCAGACATCAGGTCCTGCGAAGAATTCCAACATCTGCCCGTCGAAAACCATTGCCCATTTCTACCGGCGTCCGGTATCACATAATCGCACTTTTATCTTTCCTGCCAGCACTCCTCAACATGTAAAATTTTGGTGACACCCTGCCTGACCCCCTGCCAAAACCTGACTCCCCCACACGGCTCTTCCCAAACTTGCTCTACACCCTCGAAGACGTCGAGTCCAGAGAAGTATTGCCAAGGTCGTCCTGATGGTCCGTCCATCGTTCTCATAAGTCCAAGTATGTGCTCCGAGAATTATCGACATGTGCGTTGTATGTCTCAAAAATGATGAGAAGTTCGCTCTCAGATCCAATACCGATTAGGCTGGCGACTTGCTAGGAGCCCCGGCGCCATTCTGACGGGCATCTCCACCACTAACGGTGAGTCCGCCCATGCCGGACGAGAGAAATGCAAACGGATCGCTATCGGATTGAGACGAGTAGAAGTTGTTGGAGGGACCAGCTGAAGCAGGGCCATTGCCAGCAGACTGGAAAGCAGCCTCGGCAGCGCGGCTATCGAAGGGACCAGCAGAGTGGGAACCAGCGGCAGGACCGAAGTGAGTGTTCAATGAGGGATAAGGAGCAGCACCGCCGCCGATACCCGAAGGCAGGGCATAAGTACTAGGAGGGCCACCGAAGTGTCCGCCGTAGCCACCAGCACCTCCACCGAACGGACCAGCAGCCGAGGCAAAGGGACCAGGTCCAGGAGTGCCGGCCATGGAACCAGCACCCATGTCGTAGTTGGATCCACTGTTCATAGGAGACGGATAGCCCGAGTCAGCGACGACTGCAGCGCCAGCTCGGCTCGCGCCACAGCGCAGACAGCAGACGTTCTTGGCGAAGTTATGGTAGCCGCAAGCCTCATTGCCGCATTTCCAATCACCGGCTCGGAAGGGAACAACACCGCTGCCACCCATGCGACCTCCACCATGTCCTCCCATGTTGCCGTGGTGTCCACCGTGATGAGCAGGAGGCATCATCTGGGGCGGTCCGTAACCGTAGCCATAGCCTGGACCAGCACCACCCATGTCGCCGCCTTGGGGATTCGCACCAACGGCCGGGAAGGAGCAGCGGAAGCAGGCGGTTCGTCGCTGGAAGTTGGAGAAGCCACACGAAGGGCAGGTCCAGTCGCCAGGACGGGGGCGGTTCTTGCTCGGGGGGAACGGTGTCAAGATCTCGGCAGCACGGTCCAGCACACGGCTCGAAGAAGGCGACACCTCAATGGCCTTCTCGTTGAGCGCACGTCCATTCATGCAAAGACTCTCGGCAGCCTGTGGCATTCATTAGCTCGCGTCCAGGTAGCAGAAACCAGAAGAAATTCGAGGGGAAGAGAAAAAACCAGGGGGCAGGGCGGGCAGCAGAGAGGTTCAGGTGGACTCACCTCTTCATGGGATGAAAAGACGGCGAATCCTGTGCCAGTCGGCTTGTGTTGCTCGGGGGTGCGAAGAGTCCAGAAGGCAATAGGGCGGCCGCCAAACTGGGTGAACCAGCTCTCAAGTTCGGACTGAGTTGTGTCGTGAGGGAGGCCAGACATGTGCAAAACCTTGCTTCGCTCCGAGAGGAACGCTCTCACATCGGCTCGGGCATCCATGGGTCGCGTAAGGACGTCGGGATGCTCCTGAGGCGGCTGTGACTTGCGGATGAGACCCCTAAGAACTCGAGCGAGCGTCACAGCTTCTTCCATGGCGCGGCGAGGCGAGGCGGGGGCCAACGCTTGGAGATGGAAAGGCAAGTTATGCTTAATGGGGGCGCTCGACTGCACGGGTTCGACCTCAAGGGCAGCACAGATGTTAGATAGCATGCTCGGGCCAAAGGGCAGCGACTCGGGGTGGTGTTGTTGCCAGCGCTGGTACTCGGTGCGCAGATCGAAAGTGCGCGAGTGCTGAAGGTAGGGCGGCAAAACCACGGCCTTGTCGCGAGCTTCACGCGGCAGCTGGACTCGCAGATCCCAGGCGTCCAGGGTGACAAAGACAAAATCGAGATTTTGCGAAGTCAAGTGTTCGGATGCAAAGGCGTCGAAGCGGTTGATTGCGTCGCGGAAGGTTCCCGCATTTCGCACATGCTCCCATGTCAGGGTCGTGAGACTCGCTGCAAGTACACGGGTCGAATCAGCGTCGTGAGCTCCACATAAACGGCTTGGGCAAACAATTATGGCTGGGAAAGACGCGCAAACAGCAGCAGGCTGCAGAGCTCTGAAAGGAGCGGCCGAAGCTGGCCAAAGAAGAAATCAATTGCAACTTACTGCAGAGAGGAGTAATCGGAGTATTGATCGGCTTGACCAAGACGCTTTCACGGGTAACCTGTTCGGGCGCAAGAGAGCTTCGTCAGCGTCATCGTCGTCTAAACGTAGCAAATTCGACTGTTTCAATCGTGCTGGTCCCTTGGCGAGCTCCGTTCCATACCTCATCTAGTGTCTTCGCATCCAACAGGATCCATCCAAGCTCGATGACCTCGGCAGAGTCTTTTGTCACGTAGACACCGTGCTCGTCGCAGGTCGTGGCAACGTGGATGACCACGTATCGGTCGATATGGGGCGGCGGCGTCTGCTGGTTCGACATTTTCGATACCTGAATATGTATACGGTGTAGTGGTATATGAATATGATACAGAAATCGAGATGGAAGTAGGCTGGATGCTCGAATGCCCAGTTCGAGAGATGTTGATGAAGCTGTCGTGATTGACCGACGCAATGACTTTTTTTTTACTTCCGATGTTTCTCTCCCGTATTGCAGTCAGCTGCCTGAGCTTTGGAGGAGTTCGAGGAATCGAAGGCTGCCCGTTGAGAAAGGTTGGGTTGAGGTGTCAGGGGAGGCGGGTCGGAGGATGGCGAGGGAACTTTCAGAACCGAGCCTCGAGTAGGCACAAAAAAAGCCGACAACACAATGTACTTTCGTGGCCGACACAGCGTTGTTAGCAGCAGCTCCTGCTCTCCTCAGTGCTCGTTATCCTATTCAGGGTGCCCTCACAATCCTATCAGGGTTAGAGTTTGAAGGGACAAACGAGTGAGGAGATGATAAGGCGGAGAGAGATTAAGAAGGCAGTAGGCAAAGACGGCCTGAAGTTGGCAATTGCGTTGGATGGCTCGGGAACTGTACTGTTAGTTTTGGACTGTGCGAGGTTGTCCTTCTTTGTCGAACCGTACCCGTAAGCTTGCCATCGTCTAACTCCTTTAGGAACTAAGCAAGAACACATTGAAGTACCACAAGTAGGACTTTATCTATTACTGCAACAAATTTATAATCATACATTATACCCGAATCCAAGTTAATCACTAAAATTACTTATTTATATATGTCAGGTCTATATTATAATAGTTTCGTTTATATATGCGCATATTATAGTCGAGTATTTACTAAACAATTGTTAATTCTTCGAAATTAGTAAGTTTCTTCTATTTAATTTCGGGGTAGTATTACGTTGAGATACTTAACTGTAAATACAAGTATGTATTATAACGTATAATACTTAATAGATACGCTTAGCCGACCGAATAGATTGTGTCGTATTATTTAAAATAGCTTAGATAGTAAAGAGCAATTCACCTTTTTCGAGAGTTAATTCTATATTTAATACGGAAAAGTTTTCCAATGAAAAATATCCTATTACGTTAGCTGTTTTCTAATCTACTCGCTTATTAATTACGTTGGAAGTGTTATATAGGTATTATCGGTTTCTTAAAAAGACTTAGGAATATATAAGATTCGTATAATTTAGATAAGCTAGTCTTACCTGAGCGACCTTCTATATAAAGGATGTCCATAAAGTATGCCAGAATATAGATCTAATATACAGTAATGAAGACTGTAAGTAGAGTTGATTCTTAAATATATAACACACTTAATCGTTGTAATTAGGAGGCGAATTCTCCTGGGTAACTATACATATCCTCGACGTTATGGGGCTGGACTCCAGTGGGTTTGGTCGACGCACTATGCGAGACTCGTCACAGGAGTCAGGACCTGCTTCTGGGGACAGTCGCAGCACGCTTGTGCGTTCATAGTGCAGGCGGCTGACCTTGACAGGGTGGTCCCCTCGAGATCGAGACGAATGCATGCATCGTACCTTATTTTATCGTTGTACTTGACTTATTCAGATTTCGGGCTGGGGCCATTATGGAGGTGGGCACGCAACACGGTTGCCATGTTCGACGCCTGGTCCTGGTCTATCATGGCGCTCTCTGAGCCTAGCCAACAGACAAGTTGTTGTACTGAACCCTGAATACTAAACAGATTCCATAGGCTGAGAAACGACTGCCTGCGCCCCTTATGACTTCGGGAGGGAATTATCAACGTGCGCAACATAGAAGCTTGGATCAACTTTGGGACACTGAAGCGGAAGTCTGTGCCCCTTTTCACTATCAACACGGAATGACCCGTGATCGGCCACCTCTTGATTGAAACTCAATTGTGTGCCACCTTTTCCGACGGGTGAGCAGCTTGAGGAGAACAAAGCAAAGATATCCAATCGTCAGTCTCAATGAACATGGGTTACACCGCCTTTTTTTTTTACCATTGACGAACACCTACGAGGCCAGTTCATCAATCTAGATTTCAGCCAAATCTTAAGGGGCATCAGTATGGGCCAGCGAAGTGTTGGGGAACAGGGCTGCTGTCACGGTCGGCTTGGCGGCTGTGATGAAGGGGTCTTGTTCCAAAGCGAGAATCCTGAAACATTGAGATGAATCCTCGTCAGCAACGAGAATTGCCCGTGGGGTTCTCCAAACTCCAGCAACTACATTACTTAGTGCCTCTCTTGGCGGCTATGTCACTTAGGGTACAGCGCATATGGCATGTGCATGCGCAAGCCTACACTGAAGATACCTTCCTAGCTGGGAAGGTCGAACCATTTTTAGGCCATCCCGATTTTCGGCAACATTGGGGAAGGGTGTTTACAGCAGTCTCACCACTCCATGTCGTTCGTTTACAGACCTTCTGCAACGTGTCTGATTATTGCGGGAATGGGATAGCATTGTTGAGGTTGTCCACCGCCCACCAAGTCTTGCCGGCTTTATTAGGCGAAGCGTTATTATGGTCCTATTATGAGAGCATAAGAGCATGTGTTAGCGCAAAAGGGTTGCAGGTCTACTAGCTCATTGGTTGGCTACACCGCATTGGATTCTTCGTCGGAACTTGTCAACCAAGCCAACGTCAGTGGATGGTTCGGACACCCGAATCCCCGTCGCATGTCATCTGAGGGCGCTTGCAACTACATAGTTTTATGAAGTCTTGAAGCTTCTCGAACTGCCGATACCGAAGCAACTGAAGTACGGAGCAGCCATCAAAACTTCAGCATTGGGTCTTCACCTCATCACCTCGACTTGTCACTTTCGGTAACTTGAAGTGCGCTCATTATAGATTTCACCAGTCTTGGAAGCGTGCGATCCCCTATGCCGAACGAAATCCCGGGGTGCAGTGCTGTTGCATTTGTTTCCTTATTTCAAAGATCTTGCAAATCCCCGTTTCGACTACCGGTGCTTATACAAGCAGTCATTTAAAGTCTCCAACTGGCGTTAAGTCCGTCACTTCTCGAAGATGAATTTGGCCTGGGTTTGCCTAGAGGCGACCTCTGCCTTTCAACTCTGCCTACAAATTGCCAGCAAATCCCTGGGATGATGATAATTGTGAGAACAAGCCTATTTTAATGTCGCAACCTTGTTAGCCCGAAAGGCCGAAAGACAAGAGCTAGCTCGTTTCAGAAGCATTCTGGAATAAATTTAAACTTCCAACGGTTCCTGCAACGTTGGCTGGGTCAGACAGGTCTTCCATCGACTCTAGTTGCCACGTGGATTTGAGTTGGTATAGTATCGCAAAGACTACACTCTCCAGGAAGTTTGACTACGTGATCTTTCTTGAATTTATAGGAATTGTTCAACCATTTATAGATAGCCTGGGAACAGGTTTGTTGACTTACAAGCAAGGAGGCTTTTAGGTAGGTAGAGCACGCATGGGTGTGTCGATATCAGATGTGCAAGTTGCCCCCACCTTGAGAGAAATTGCTCGCAGTTAGAAGTCATTGAAATGACTATTTCCCGTGGATTAAATCTGGCTAGTATCGTGAGTTGGTGAGCATACACAGGCACTGGCCCACCTCAAAGTTAACCAAGCATTTTTGATGCACTGAGACGCTTCGCAAGCCGAACAACCGATAGTTGCTTGACCTGATTCTAGACGCTTGCGGTGTGGCACGTGCATCGAATTAGTTTGAACATACGTCATGCAGTGAGGCTTCGTCCAACCATCGCCACCATGGTTTAAGCATCACCGAAGTTGGCAACGCGTGAATTTGGAAAATACCACATAAAAAGGCGTTGATATTGATAACCAAATCCTCTACTCTCCCCAGAGTCTCCTCCAGATCCAACGTCCCACATTGCGCGAAATCACACTTAGTGCCGGAACAAACCAACCCCACATCACGCATCACCAGAATCGACGCCTTCGTATCAACCACGACCAAGATGGCCGCTTCCGCCATCCTCATCATTCTCATCACTATCTTCTGTAAGCGTACAGTTGTAATCCGTTTCCAAGTGTGGCACGCTAACTATGTGCAGTCCCTCCCGTTGGGGTTTGGGCAGTTGCAGGATGCGGTGCTGATCTTTTCATCAACATCTGCCTGACTCTGCTAGGGTAAGTGTGCTCTGTTTGACCCTACAACCTCGATGTAGCTGACGTAGTGTATTTAGTTATATCCCCGGTCACATCCATGCCTTCTACCTCGAATACATATACTACGACCGACGGGAGCAAGCAAGGGAAGGCCGCTTTGCTGCACGAAGAGCCCCTGGGGTTTACAGTGACCGGGTACAAAGCGGTGGCCACGGCTACGGTACGATTGTTCAGCCTACCGCATAATCAGCCGGTGGATGGCGCGAGCTGAGATGGCTACAGTATAAGCGTCTTTATCGAGTCGCATGAATCACGAGGGCACGATATATTAAAGGCAGGAGGAACATGAGATGGTTAGGCGTTTGGACCTAGGATTCTTTTTCTCAACTACGTGGTAATCGACTCGACGATCTGCCTCGATGCGTTCATTCGGAACACAGCCCACGTGGTCAGCAAGCAAGAGTTATGGAACGAGACAAGCAATTGTAAACCCTGAAGTAAAACTTATGGAGCTTCATGGTCGAATGTTTTGCTTATAACATGGCCAGACTGCAGTGAAAAGGCAACTTTATTGTTCATCTACTTGTCAACAACGAGTCGGTTTCATCTGGCAAATGTTGCTGCAAAAAACGATCAATAATGATGCGCCGGCGACTCAAAACGTCAAGCATGTCCAACCGAGGAACCATGGTCATCCCTCGAAGCCATATAATACGTGTTTGCTTGCGTTGCTGTCAGTTGAACACGATTAGACTACACGATCGGAGCTGCTTGACGACACGGACGATGAGCTGCATGACTTCGTGGAACAGCAGCTGCATAACATCTCTTCCATGAATTGCGTATTTCAAGACGGCCCTGGCCGCGGGGTGCCAAGCCGAGAGACGGACAAATAAAAGGGATACTTGGTTGCTGCTCATTCGATCAATTCGGACGGCGGCTGATGTGCAGACGGAAGGAAGCATGTGTCGACCACATTTCCGGTCATGTTGAAAATAAGCCGAAATCCACGGCGGGCCCGTATCTGCTACTCCTGCTGCTAGCCTGGGCGGCCTGCCTGCCCGTAGTAGAACATGCACGTACACGTAGCAGAGCGTGGCAGTTCAAGCCATTAGCTCTGTAGCTGTCCACAAAGGCAGAGGACAGCCGGGCGCAGATGATGGGGCGATTAAACGCAGTAGAGACTGTCTGCATATCCATTCGAGCCAAATTTATCCGCAGCAGCCAGTCGGTTCTCCTTGCATCGTCATATTAGAGACAGCGGGGTAGGACTTCGGGAGCTCCAGCCTCCAAGGCTTATTTTGACAAGCGGGCTGTCTGATGAATGAGGACGCTTACGTGGGCTGCCAATGAGGACAATTCCAGCGAATATGCTGATTTAGTCGATCGGATGTCGTCGGAGGTCCTCGGTACGTATCGGGAGATGTAGTTGACTTGGGCATCCCCATCTTGCCCATTTAGCAAATCCAGCCAAGCAAGCGAGCGTCATGTCACCGCTAGGGCCGACCGCCGTTGTCTTTTCTAGACTGCACGACTGGCGTTGCCCTCATGCTAAGAGAATCCTCGATGTTCTTTGGTCGACAAATCCACAATCCCCTCCCAGATCCCTGCCAGTCGCCTTGAAGCCGCCCTTTGAACGGCAGCCACGACTTCGTGCAGCCCGCATTGCTTCTTGCCCTTGCGCACCAAAGAAACTATCATTGACTGCGACCAGTCAACGAGAGGCCAGGAGGCTCGCGAGGCATTGCCGGTCAACAGAGAAAGGCAAAGGGCAAACCAAAATTTTCTCGTCGATAGCCATTGGCGCCCACTTTCTCGCGCACTCCCACAGTTTCGAGCGGTTCAAATCGACAATCATTCCTCCGTTCCCCCTTTTGACGTTGTCACATTTGCATTGCATTGGCGACGCATTTGCCCTGGTTGCTTTGAAAGTGCAACGGCCCTGGTCTCAGATCTTTTTGGAGACGAGCATCACTCTCAAGTCTAGTTCTCTTGCATTGGGTCCGGGGTCTGGAGCTCTGGAAGCTGTCCTGACTTCCCCCACTTCACCACACCAAAACCCACGTTTCCGTGTTGCGTGCGTTGATCCTATATCGATATATTCTCCGTTCCGCGTACTGCTACATTTACCTTCTGTCTGAAAGCAAGTGTGTCTACTCACAACTGGTCCAAAACAATGTGTTGCTGAAATCCCGCGACACCCTACGCGGCTGCAAGATTGTCTGGTCCGGCCCGGGCATTGGTTGCGCAGTGCTTCGCTTCGCTCGTCTATCCACGATTGGAATGTGCAGCATTCAACCTCTACACTAGGGACGCACGGCATACGACATACGGACGGAGACCCACGACCTGTCCGTCTACATACCACTTAGATTACTCCTGCCTACATTATCTGCGACATACTCTGATGAGTCTATACTTGTTTTCACTCTTATACGTTGTCCATGCATATATGAGATGGCATATGTCCACCCTCGGCCCCAGCAGCGACCCGAAGATATGTCGAGTCGGAATTCAGATACACCACGCCCTCAACGTCAACATCCTCCTCCCTCTACCAAAACTCCCCTCTCTCACCCGGCTCATCCTCCTCCGCCCCCTTCCGCGCGGTCCTCCAAATCCCGCCGCTACTCCCTTCCCTTCTTCACCTTTCTTCCTTATACCCAACCGAATGCCTCAAGTACATCCCTGATTCCCTCCACCGCCGAGGGAAAGCCGATTCCCCTGGACGACTCCTCTACTGCGGGCCGGACTACAGCACTGCGCGAACTTAATCGCTCGCAGCCGTCGTCGCGTCACCGTTATACGAAGAGTGCAGGAGCGCCTAGTACAACCACGACGACGACGACGGACACGTACTCACATCCTGTAATAGTACGAACTTACTCGGGCCCACCTCCATCTGCTGCTAGCCGCCCAGCCGGTCGTCGGAAACCCCTGTCCTCTGTCTCAGTCTCGTCCAACGCGTCGAATTGGCGGCCAGGCAGGAATGGCATGGTATTGAGTATGGGTCGCCACAAAGGCAGCAAGAAGTCGGCACTTGGCGACAATGCCAAGCTACCGCCGCTCGAAGCTTTCAACTTCAAGAGCATTATGGCGGATATGCAGCAAGACATTGGCGCAGATCTGGATCGAATAGCTGAAATATGCGCCAGATCAAGATATTCCCTCAGTAATCAGTATGAAGTTCATGTTGCACCTCACGGGTCTGGAGCTGGGTTTCTGGGACAACCATCTGGAACCTCATCCAGGCATCAGGTACCGGGCGGGCCGACGCTCCAAGCCGTGTCAAGTGATGATGAGCATATGAGTGGAAGCAGGCATATAAAGCGCAGAAGTGGTGCTCGCAGGAGAAGCGCCGCCTATGGCACATTGGAGACCATCATGAGCTCGAGCCGGTCATCGGAGGAGGACAAAAGCAAGAAGAAATCAGCAAAAGAAATTTCGAACGAAGTTCGTGGCCGGGCTGCACGGCATCGCAAGAGCGAATGTGGAAGTTCTCCCAGTGGTGAAGAGCAACCGAGTGGGGAGCAAGCAGAGGACCAAAAGCAGGTAGTCAGAGGCAAGTCGACCTCGTTCGTAACGGCCGTGATCGACACTACACGCCATCAGAGCCAAGGTGACAGCAATTCGCCGAGGAATTCGGGAACTGCACTAGTAGGTGAGCCTGCAAAACCTAAGACATCGAGAAGTCATCTCGAGATCAGGACATCGCAAGAAGCCCCGGGTACAGAAGCTTTCACACAGGAGCCTCCAGGGGAGCCATCGCAAGCTGTTATTTTGGAATCTGTGGCTGCAGCGGCGATCGCGAATCCTGAAGAGCCTCGTGAGCAGTCAGGATTGTTATCCGGTTTCAGTCATTGGATACCGTGGCGTGGTACACCTGTAACAGAAGTTGCCTCGTCGGATACAAAGAGAACGAAATCCAAAAGTTATGCAGCAGGCAGTCTCCGAGAGCTGCTCAAATCAACCGAGGGGACTCCAACGGACGTCAAAGGGAAAGGTGTCGATCGAACACCATGAAATTACGGGACCGGCGTTTTACTTATACCTCGCGCGAAAAATGTTTTATCTGGGTGAACATGTATAGTACACTATTTGCAACCAATTGGCCAACCATTTGTTCCTGCAATAGACTACGTCATGACATTGAAGTCAGTATGTGGGACATTGCGTTGAGAGTGATTACGATACACTTATCTTGTGCTAGACTACTATCAACAGTCAACAGTCACTTTGGCAACTCAACTCCTGCCTCTCCTTTAGCAATATCGGCTCTCTTGCAGTTGACTCACTTATAAGCACGAAGACGACATAACATGTACAACTTTCGCATGTGCCTATGGTCTATGTACACGACAACTCAAGAGATATCATTTTGCGGGACCACTACCTAGACATGCTTCTCAAGCCCATGAACGAAGTAGATGAAACACTTCATGACCGCATGCTTCCATATGGTGAACGCGGCGATAATAGTCGTCGGGAATAGAGTGATGTACTCAAATTGTCATCGGCCAGGTCTAGGCAGCAGTCTTCGGCGATGTACTGCAGACATGGCAACGAAGTAGTCGAGGATAAAGGTAAAAACAGGGAACAAAACAAGACGCCAACGTCCTAATACAGACATTGGTTATCCTCCCCTTCAACTCAGTTGCCTCCGCAAATTCCTGACGCGAGTTGCTCTGAGGAAACAGCACATTTGGCACCGGCTTGTCGAAAAACCTACCTGACTCCCACTCATCCCCATGCCGAAAACCAAGCAACCGTCCCGCAAGTACCATCTTACTCACCATCCTATGATGCTCCTCCCACCGCTTCCTGGCAACGGCCGCTCATTTGAGGCACGCCCAGGTCGCTTCGCTGTCTGAGGTGCCGTGGTTCAGATGCATGCAGCCGAGGATTAGGAGGCTTCAGTCATGGCTTTGCTACCGGAGCTGAAGAGGCCCAGAGGGAAAATTGCTCCATTGGAGGCGAGACTGCCTTTTATGAGATTAGTCGGGGGTGACAGGGTGTTAAAGTAAATGTGAAGCTGTTGGCAGGAAGATTTTGCATCCTATCGTTGTGGGCTGGTCACTTGGACAAATGTTGAGGCTTGACTATATCTGTTTTGACGTACTTACAAGCTCGCCTTCGTTGAGGTCAGAGCAATTATGCGATAATTATCAACAAGCCTGGCCTTATTTCGTGATTTTGAGGCGAATGACCGCTAGGGTCTTATATTCAGTTGACTTGTTGCCATTTACCGGTGCAGAAAACCTCTGAACCAGGGCGTAATTTTTATCCACCATATGCGCTCTGGTTTTGTTTATGAAGCACTGTATTTGGTATTGGAAAACCGAATTCCCACTCTGATGAAATAAGACGGACCGTAACCTTATAGTGGCGGATTGACTTTGAAAACGTGATTCGAGTATTCGAATTTCACCCCGTTTGTGAAGGAGCTAGTGTTGACACATTAATCATGTCGTTCAATTATCTAGCAGTCTGACTCCGGACAATGTTGAAGTGTCCGGCCGCTGATACTTCAGGCCCTGGGAACACCTGTTCACATCATTTGACTCCTTCACTTTTCTGCCATCACACCACACAAACAAGAGGAAGATGCATCTACTACAATTGAAGTATATACACAATGCAACGCCCCAGAGTCAGAACCTATGTCGAACTACGAACTACAATGGCCTACGAAGATAGGAGATTCCCATTACCTCATCACCTACCAGATCTCGATTTAACTATTGCTAGGTCATGACTTTCTTTGCAAGTACGGGTTTTGGAAACGGTAGAAATAATGGGAATCCCATTGACGGCCAAAATATTTTCCATTAGTGACGTGTCATCTAGTCAACATGGGACCGTTTGAACACCAATTATCTGCCACAAGATGATACTGTTTATGATTTGTGGATTAGAGACGCCACAAGACAACTTTTTTAGGGACGAGAAGGTGGCAATGAGAGTCAACCCGGATGAATCACATGAATGGATATTCTATTAACACACAGCGTTCTTCAACAATATATTAAGCTGGTATATTTTTAAATAGTCAAGAACAGTATCATTATGGATCAAATGATAGAACAACAGTGTGAAAATAGAGCTGCATAAAGCTATTGGAAATGTAACATAAGAATCGTACATGATGAGTTGTGAGCTAAAATCAGAGTTAGCTGCCCCTATTCCCACTCCGGCCAGCAAATTCGTAGCAATTGTCTCGGGTCCAACCTTTCTCAACTGTTGATACCGAGTTTAAAAGATGGTCATGGTCGGATTGTAAATCATGTCCAAATGAGTACATGCAGATACAAAGCCTTGTTACACCAACTTACGTAGAGCAGCGTGTAGAGCAGGCATGGTAATCAATACGACATCCATCTAGAGTCATTAACAAAGGACTGATTCACTTAATATACTAGATCGCCTGATTCGCAGAATATAAGTAGACCTTCCCCGAGGACTTACTAGTATTGCATTGCTAATACTCCTCCTCTTAGAGCCTCGATGTAAAGAACGTCTGATGGTCTAGCCGCGTAAACGTCCAAGCGTGCTGTAGGGGTTTTGCTAGTAAGTGAATTCCTGCTGACGAGGTGTTGAATAAAATCATAGGGTGTGTATGGAGTAACTGATTAATAATAGGCAAGTAGAACAGAGTTGTTAAGGCGGCAGTATACCTTACTAATAGATTAAATAACACTTAGCAAGCCCGACCACAGCGCTTGTTACCCTTTCATGTTGGACTTCAATTTTTAATCGGACGGTGGCTGAACGACAAAGCAATCTGTCAGGCCTAACCCAGCGATACGTTATATTCGTTACAGAAACAAGTTACATTGGTTACAGCGATAGTCACATTATTGTCACGCATAGGCATATCAGACATGCCTATATTTGCTAACGTTGTCACTGTTCAGGGGATCGACCACTCACCATATAGATAGACGGATACGTGCATACTCATCAATACACCCAACTGACCCCCTACCTATCTGTCACTGCCTAACAAAATCCAAAGCAGGTCGAGTTCCGAGACAGCTAAGAGACAATTTTCAGCGCGAAAGCCCCATCGTATGCCGAATCCTCACTGACAGTAAAATAGATTACAATTTAATACTGCACTGCACCGTGATATGGCTGGGAGGTATAGCCTGCGCCTCGAAGTAGTCGAATTTTCACTAGTCTGAGTTGGGGCCTTTCAGATCATTCCACACTAAGGGCCCAGACATCCGCAGTCTATAAGTTGTGCTAAAAGCCATGGCGCTAGCTGTTAGCCTCGTCGCCTGACCGTTTTTGTACCCGTGGGTATGGGTTCCCGGGTATCGTCTGATTCCTCTGAACCATTCATCCTAAAGAATTTCCTCCACTGTCGGCCTGTCCGGAGGTCTAGTTTCAGGGTTCGCCTTATGAACTTGTCTTCGGCAAGAGGAAGTTATATCGTCGTTCACCGTTGAAGTGGCCTTTGCGGAGGTCCTTGCCGAGTAAGGAAGTGGATGATCTCGAAGGTGTCCGACTCAATGATGTCGGCAATCGATGGTAGGAACGGACCGAAAGAATTCGCTTCACCACTGTGGTTTCATAATCCTGGTCTTCTGGTTTGATTCCTTCCCAGCCAGGATCGAAGTGGTGACGACCCTCTCCATGCATAAGGCTAAGGATCTGGAACAGGTAAGTTGAAGGAAATAAGGGCGAGGCGTATTTTGAGACACGTACCGCATTTTCAAATGACCAGACGTTTGTCGATGTGCGCCAAGAAAGCTGAAACATGGCTTCCGGGATACACGTGAGGGCAGCTCCAATAAGGTGGCCCTCCCTAGCGAATCCTGAGTCTTTAAAGACAACGCCTCCACAGTCACCAAGTTGGATATCTGAGAAGCACTGGTCGCTTTGGCCGTAGTTGGCAAAAACGCTGTCTAATTTCACATCTAAAAAACTCGTGAGAATAGAGGACATAGACAAGATGAGAACGTCATGACATACCCGTGTGAACCATGCCATCCTTGAGGATGCACCTGGCTACGTGCTTAATTTAGGGGCGCGACAGCCACTTCTGCTTCGATTCCGTGAGAATTTCACTGTCTAAAAACCTTGGAATGATGGAAGGGCGGATCGGCTAGCTATTGGACCTTATCGATGATAGGGCGAAGGAACGGAGTCTTGGACTGGTAGCGCCTAAGAATGTTGGCTTCGTTCTGTAGGCGCCAATGGCCGCGGATGCTCTTAACAGTGCACTTCTTTTTGTTTTGATCCCTACAGTCCTCACAGTATCGGGTTAAAGGGGGTTTCGTAGGCATGATGAGAAATCCGGGGGACAATAAGGCCGTAACTGGCTAGATAAACGGCAGCTTCGTTATCTCCTTAGTCAGCCTGCGGATCTCGGCTTCGTTCTCTATGCCTTGCACCTGGTATTAACCACCCTCAACTTCTGGCGTCGTTGCTCTAGCTCTATAATTTCCGGATTGGGTGACAGGTTCTCCTAGAACTCCTTGGGGAATACGTCTCTTGTTGCGCGGGGATCGCGCGTAAGGCTGATATGCGCGAACAATTTGTATATTTAGCCTTTGGCTTCTTCTAGAAATGTGTTCTGGAGGTGGAACTCGACGTTCTCGTTGAGGTACGCGCCGTGAAAAGTAGCAAACTTGGGATCGTGGCGTATCGTCTAACCTAGTTACGGACGGTATCAGGCGTATTCCCTAGCGCAGAAGTTGTTAGTACCGGTAGTCCTCTGTAACCGTTGCTTTGCTTCTACCTACCGTTTGCTGCATTCGACACTCCTCCCCGGACGAACCGTGGTGTCCAAGCCTTCTCGAAACCTGTATTAAGGCTCTGTCGGCGCATATCGCCTCTTAACTTGGTATAGGCTATGGCCTCGTCTACGGCTAACTCAGCGCCGCTGAACTTTCGATAAATTGGAACCTTGCGTCTTAACTGCTTCCACAGTATAGCCGTAGATTGAACCGCACCTCGGACCTTTGTGTTTAGTACCTAGATCGTATCTGTTGCGCTCGCTACGTCGAAAGCCTGGTCATAGAGCGCTAGCGATGATAGGGCTTACGGCACAGAAGATAAGCTTCCTTGCGGGCGTGAAGAAGAAGACAGTCCTGCCTATAGTTAGCATGGAAACCACCGAAAGGGGTCAGAACCGCGGCGCCACGCACACTCACGGACTTATCTTATTGCTAGCTCCCTTGAAGTGGACGAACTTGACGGCTATTGCTAATATACCTCGACCCGTTACAGATAACAAACAATTATTATGAGTATGTCCTTATTGCACAGGGCCTTAGGACGCCCACGCGCCGAGCCGTTTCCCGTAGTAACAATCTGTGAGGAGAAGGGTGTCTTTGTCCTGTGCCTCTTTGTCGCCTTCATCGCTTTCTGTGCCTTTACCATCCTCAGAACTGGTTAACTTAACGCCTTTGATCTCGTCCGTCCTCGGGCTTTTCCCGTTCAGCATATACAATTTCGGTAGGCCGTATACTAGTGTAGTAGAGGAACTGGTAGCAATTAACTAGGTGAACGCGCTACCGCTCCAACAGATGGACACCAGTATTGTACGGGATATTGAACGTCAAGATGGCCAGGAGATTATCAGCTCCAAGGACCGGCTTCCCGTTAATATTAGGTGCCCGGTATCCGAAGCGGGGAAACAGGACCGCGTAGTGAAACTAGCCCGGCCTATGTCAACATCATTATGAAATTATTAACTACCGCGACTAGTAATTAAATTGTAGAGCTCTTGCCGCCAATCTGGATGTGTAATCGTGCATTAGAGCTGAGTTGTGGTTATATTAATGCTTGAGAGCTAATGGGGAGACGCATTGTTTGAGCCACATACAAGTCCACTTACAGTAGTTGCCGGCTACCGGAACTCAGTCACTGTTCAAGAGGCTAAGATGCAAGGTTTAAAATCAAAAAGGAACAAGGCTGCTCTTCAAAAGCCATAACAGTTCTCAAGTTATAGGCATAAGGAAAACTACTAAGCATTTGAGGACTCAAGCGTCAAGGAATGGTTGCGCAAAGGATCCACAGCCTAGACACATTCCATGTGATGGTGCCAAGACCAATCGAGGTTCATAATGGATCGGAGCTCATTGTACGCCGGCAGTCAATTACAGCTTTGGGTTAGTGCCAAAGTGACTTTTTTTCTTGCAGTGAGATCAACCCTGCAAGCCCAAGGTGCCAAAAGGAGGCGTTGCTGTTCCAAGCATTGATGGGATTAGGCCTAAGAGAGCTCGTGTCACGGGTGGCGATCTGCCAGCTTGCAACAACTCTTCAGTTTTCAACACAACGCGAATTGCTACCCGATGACAATGTCGGAGCGCGGCCTGTACTAATCTTGTACCTTTCTGGTTCCTGTATAAGTATGTTATTACTGTCCGGCTTGTGCTTTCACAATTGGATGCACGCCAGCTTTAGCCGGGCGTGTCTGCCGCATTCACTTGGAGCGCGGGCTCGTTCCGTCACGTTGATGATGACACCATTGCCAGTGCCAGCTGCGAATGCTGACGAAAACAAATTTAGTACCATTTCATCGTACGGGATTTCGACTTCGATAAATTCTTTAATTCGCCCTTGCAATGGAGACGGAAACCCCCAGCGCATCATGGCACCCAGCGTTGATGCCGAATTCTATTGTCGAGGCCAGCGCGCTGTCGCGCTCACATGTCGACAAGTCTCCGGGGCCTGAGCCGAGTGTCGAGGCAGATGGGCCGCAGCCCGAAGAATACACAGACTCATCCAACCACGAGATACAGCAGAACGCAACCAACCCCGCCGAGGCCACAAACGTTAGTGGTTTTCAAAACCAATTCAACGATGGTGACGATGATCCGGAAGCAGGGCTCTGGGCTTATGAAGCTGCAAATGACTCAACTGCGCATGGTGACGAAGGCACGATAGAGTCCGAAGCTACCGAACCACAAACCACCGGGACGAGCAAAGCCCCGAAGCATCGTAGCACGATGTCATTCGCGCGCACTGTTTCCCACGAAGTGAATTGGACCGACGACGAAGATGCTGACTGGAATCTGCAACGTACTGAGACCGATCCTTTCCGGTTCATGCCCCCGACCGAGAGGACAAACTCTTTCCCCGTCGTACCGCCCGCCAAACCTGTCGAAGGAGAACTGATAGAACAGCCTCCAGCTCCAACTCAAGCTCAAGAAATTTTGCAGGAATTGGAGCGGGACGAAGAACATGGAGATCTTGTCGCCCATGTATTTGACGACGACGATGCCGTCGAGCGAGGTCAACAAGCTGATTCTGCCGTTCAGCAATACGTAGGCCGCGACATGGTTGGGACCGAGGAGGACGCGTCGGATACTCGTTTTCAGGAAGGTTTACCCCTGATCCCACAGTATGAGTCTGAAGAGCCCGTGGAATTTCCACCAAGCAACGTTTCGGAATCCGCCGATCCATTTGGCAATGAGACAGTGAAAGGAGGTGATGATTTCTTCAGTCAAACCAACGGTGGCTCAAACCACGAAACAGTAGAGTGTGACTTGAGCCATTCGTTACAAAGGAAGAATACCAGCATGTTTGTTGGCACAGACTCAGAACACCCAACAAAACCGACCGCTTTCGAACCGGAGAATGCGGCGATATCCGAGCTCACTGCTGCTGAAGAAGGAGCCCCCGTCACGGATACAGCAAATGAAACCGCCGACGGGAATTCGACAAGCTGGCCTGAATCTGGACTTGATGCTGAGCAAGGTGAGACCATTGATCTCGATGCTCAGTGGGCAGCTGCCCTAGCTGATGTTGAAGACGATGAACTCTTGCTTGAAGACTCGACGCTAGAGCCCAAGGAAATCGATCCTGCCGACTTCTTCGGAAGTGATGATGAGGGCTTTCTGGAAGATACTGCAGGGGATGAGCTGCCACAATCGTCCGCAACACAACAATATGCGGGTAGTGTGGCTCCCGAGATGACTACATCAAGTACTAATAATCGATATACTCCCAACACCACGCAGACTCAGGCGCCGCCAGCGTTCAATACGTACAATTCTCTGCCTTCGATACCACAACTGCAACAAACCCAAGACCTGTTGTACGACCCGTCAGGTACGGTCCCCCCAAACAAGCCTGAGATCCCTAAATTCAAAAGCTTTGCGGACAAGGCCAAGGGCGGATATTCGTCTCCATACGACTTGCCCATGGACGTGGTGAAGCAACCAAAGAAGCGGATCAGTATGCAACAGCTCCCACGGGCAAATTCTATGCCACTTGCACCCCCCATGGCATCCCCACGCAGCACGAGCATGTACAGCCAGCCTGTGGCTCCGCCTGGAGCGTCTACATCGAGGGCATCACTCCCGGCAGCAGTCCATCCGACCCAACAGGCACTTCCAGGGCTGAAAGCTCTGCCTCAATTGAAGGCCAAGTCGAGCAGTTTCTTTGAGGACCTGCCCATACACACGAAGCCACGGCCAGGCTCACGGCAGGGCAGTCTGCCATCTCCTCGACCTTATCCACTTGGTCACCCCCAAGCAACACCCAGCGCATCTCCCCCAATGTCATCGCCAATGGCCTCGCCTGCTCTCCAACTAGGACCCCTTGCAGCTTCTTTACCTGGTGTTTCTCCATTGGTTGCCCCTCAACGGGTGAGCCCATACGCTCAGTTACAACCAGATCCACAACCTAAGACGAGCGCGCCACCAAGCAATCGCTATTCGCCTGCGCCTACACAAGTGCCGACAGCCAATGGAGCACCGCCAACCTCGGGCTTTTCCAGCCGATACTCTCCAGCTCCCGCCAATACCCGGCCAGGTAGTGGAGGATACACATCTGCACCACCGCCCGTTCTTGCGCACCTGCCTCGCACCTCCAGCCCTCTTGCCCACTTCGAAGCCTCCCATGAACGGCCGTTCCATAAGCTTCCTAGTCCGAGTGCTGAAGGATTTCAGCCGTCCCGGAGCGGCTCGTCACAGTACGAGCCTCGCATTAACCGGTTGTCTTCCTTACCCCCTACCCAAGAAGTGGAGGAAGAAGCTGCGCCGCTGCGATCGCCACCAGTTGCAATGCCACCAGTGGATTCGAATTACAGCCCTCGGCAAACTAGGCACACGCCGCCACCAACGGGCCCTCCTATGTCCAGCATGCTCTCCCCGCCAAATCGTCCCACCTCAAGTTATGTCCCTCTTCCCCAATCAACAGCTCCGGCAAGAGAAACCAACTTTGTACCACCACCACGATCACAGACGCAGTCTCCAGGGGCATTATATGGCAACCGATCTATGCCAAAGACGGTGGACCCGGTGCCCAGGCCCTCTTCTGTACATGGCGCGACTTCGCCAAGGTCTGTTTCCCACGGGCCGCTTTCGCCCGCAAAGACGAGGACTCGTGGCATGTCGCAAGCCCTGAATTTAGTTGCTCCCACAGATGGTCGTGAGAAAGATCCCTTGCAAAGATGGAGAGGTGCCCCACTCATAACTTGGGCTGGCAATACCATCGTGACCACTTTTCCCAAGGACGTCCCGCGTTATGGCATGAGCCAAGTCTTACCCATGATTCTTCGCAGTCCTGGCGAGGTAAAGATGAAGCACGTTAAGGACGTACTACCGCTTGAAGAACGGCTGGCAAAGTTCCCGGGGCCATTGAAGGGCAAGTCCAAGAAGAAAGACACCATTGCCTGGTTGACTGCAGGCATAGAGGGTATGGAAAATGCCCTGCCTAACGGGGCTTTCCAGCACTTTTTGTCGCTCGAAAACAAGAGGGCGGTGGAGAGAGTTCTGCTGTGGAAAATTCTCCGGGTCTTCGTTGAGTTTGATGGCATTCTTGAGGGCAATCCCGCGGTTGAGAAAGCTGTTCGACAAGTTTTGTCCCCTGAAATCGTGGACAATGACATGAACCTTGCATCTACTACCGCAACAGGGGTTGGCCTCCCCGGAGCATCATCCACGTTTACCGGGATGCAAGCAGACGCTGTCGACTCTTCCGCCGTTGAACAGATACGGAATCATCTTTTGCTCGGCGACCGCGAGAAAGCCGTCTGGATCGCTGTAGACAAGAGACTATGGGGCCATGCTATGCTCATCTCTAGCACGGTTTCTGGCGATCTTTACAAGCAGGTTGCGCAAGAATTCGTCAAGAAGGAAGTGAACCAGCCTGGTCATGGCAATGAATCTCTTGCCGCCTTATACGGTGTGCTGTCCGGCAACTACGAGGAATCTGTGGATGAGCTTGTGCCCTCTCATGCACGCGCGGGTCTTCAATTGATGTCTACATCTACCGCGGCTGGCCAATCCAAGGATGCGCTGGCAGGTTTGGACAGATGGCAGGAGACTTTGGGTCTTATTCTAAGCAACCGTAGCAATGGTGATGTCAGCGCACTAACCTCGCTCGGTAATCTCCTGTCTGGATACGGCAGAGCCGAAGCTGCCCATACCTGCTTCCTCTTTGCACGACAACACGCTGTCTTCGGTGGGCTGGATGATCCCAATGCCAACTTCGTATTGGTTGGTGCTGATCATCGCCGCCAAGCTGGCCAGTTTGCCAAGGAGACCGAAGCTCTACTGCTCAGCGAAGTGTACGAGTATGGCCTTTCATTGGCTGGTGGATCCACCTTCGCTCAGAGCTGTCCTCATCTTGCTGCATACAAATTACAACATGCCATCACTCTGGCTGAACATGGATTTAGGGACAAGGCGTTGCAGTACTGCGAGGCAATCATTGCAGCGAGCACTTCGCAGACTAAGCGATCCCATTACTACAACGTAGTGCTTGAGTCGTCCGTCGACGATCTCCTGAAGAGGGTGAAGCAAGCGCCCAGAGAGGAGTCGTCCTCATGGATTCCAAAGCCAAGAATGGAGCAGGTTTCTAATACGATGTGGACTCGTTTCAACAAGTTTGTTGCTGGTGACGAGAATGAGGGTTCTGGAGCTGGATCACCAGGAGAACCTGGCACGGAAGCCGGGCCGTTCTCTCGCATTGCTGGTGGCACACCAACCATTAGCCGGTCACCGTCTCTGGCGAACTTTGAGCCGTACGGAAACAACGGCCCCTCACCCGTCATACCCGCTACTAAAGCGGGATCTCGCTATGCCCCTGTGGCAGGTCAGCAACCGGGATCTCCCTATGAACCAAGCTCCGGCTTTGCTCCAAGGTCTTCACTAGATCTTCCCAGATCCTCAATGGAACGTTCTTCTGGCGAGTATCATCGTAGCTCATATGAATCGCAGAGACCTGCCACAGAAACAATGTCCACGTACGGTGGTGGCTCTTATTCACTGGAGAGCAATTCTGTGCCTTCCTACGGCTATCAACCCGCTCCCCCAGCTGCTCCACAAGGAAACCCGCTAGGTTCAGCCCCTATCCCAATCCCGTCGCAATCATTGGGCAATACGCACTCTCCGTACGCTCCTCAAACCTCGTTTCAACCGTTGAACGGCGAGGCTAGTGAATTGAAGTTAGATGCGTTAGCCAACGGCACCACGGCCGATGTAGGGTACCAGCCTGCTTCCAACGGCTATGAACCACCTACGACAAATTCGTTCATGCCACCATCAGAGCAGCCAGCAGAGACTTACCCAGCCGGCGGATATGAAGCACCTTCTTATCAACCCTATGGTTTCGAACCGCCATCCTATCAGCCTGGTCCAGATGACGGTGACTCTGAATCGGACAAACCGAAGCCAAAGAAGAAGAGCTTCATGGATGATGACGACGATATTCCGGCAATGAAGAAGCCCCAAGGTGAAGATAAATCTAAAGCTGAGAAGGATCGTGAGAACGCGGAGTTGTTCCGCAAAGTGGCTGAAGAAGACGGTAAGTTTATTCTAACTTGCCCTTGTTGTCGAGAATCACAATTAACATGAAATCCAGCCAAACGTGCCGAAGCTCAGAAGGCACAGAAGAAAGGCTGGTTTGGTGGCGGGTGGTTCGGCGGTACCGCTAAGAAGGAACCAGCCGAGATCCCCAATAAACCCGTCAAGGCCAACCTGGGTGAAGCAAGTAGTTTTGTCTACGACCCTGAGCTGAAACGATGGGTCAACAAGAAATCCGGCGGTGACAACACACTTACTAAAACGGCCACACCACCCCCGCCACGGGCTGCATCCCGCAACGGTACGCCGCCTCCGCCTGGAACTACGAGCAGTGCGCCGCCTCCATCTGGCGGACTAGGTAAACCCCCACCATCATCTAGTCCCCTGTTGGCCAGGGCCACCAGCAACCTGGTACATGCAACCAGCTCCGAAAGCTTGAGGGTTCCTAGCATTGGCTCGATGACCCCGCCGATGGGCCGTAGTGTCAGTAACATGAGCAACGTGAGCAACATGAGCGGCAGCGGGGGCGATGCCGGGGGGCCGCCTATCGCCCCGCCTAGTCGGCCCGCTACGAGTCTCAGTAACGCAAGTAGCATCGATGACTTGCTTGGGGCATCTGGGCCTAGGAAGGCGGGCGCCAGGAAGGGGAGGAAGGGTGGACGGTATGTGGATGTCATGGCTAAATAGAGGAGTTCTGCTTGAGAGGGAAGACTGCTAGTTGGCGAGTGAGTCGTAGTGATGATGGAGTTGGCAAATGCGAAGACGTTGATGAACATGAAATACATGCGAGACACGAGATGGAGAATGTGCGGAGAAAGAGGGGCGGTGGTGCAGTATTGTTCTTTGCGCCTGTGCCGCATCGATGCGGAATTTGTTTATTGTATCATAGAATAGCAATTTTGTAATACGCGGCGTCTGTTTTCGCTTGAGAAACCGCTTGATGCTGGTTTCAAATTGCACGCCAGACTGGTGCATGTTTTGTCCTGTTATCGAGTGTACGCATGCAATGTTTGCGTCCAGTGAGTTTTGGCCACATTTCATCAGACATTGGACACTCAAACCCCGGTTGACCATTATTGAAGCATCAGATTAAAGCAACGAACAAGGAGTATGTCGTAAAGTCATGTGACTCGCGTCTGTGTTCTATCCTGCTAATATCCAGCCACCAGAGTAATTGACATGAGAGTCAAATATGCTAAGACTTGCCGCGAAGCCTATAGGCTGCGTCCGTTACGCCTTCCAATGTTACATCTCGGCGTCAATCATTAAGTCGTCCTGTCAGAGCCAGTTCATGTATAATCTCACCTCATGCTGCATCCCGCATCCAGGGCACACCTACCAGCCAAAGCGGTATCTTTACAAGCTATATGACGATACGTAATACTGCTCCCAGTCAGCAAAGTCCATTCCCATCCAGGTGGAGCAAAAGCAGGCAAACTTACGGTAACAACACTATCCTCCGCCGAGGCATCGTCGTACTGCGGCACATACACGTACAGAATCAAGGCATGGTCGTCGGCAAAACACGCAATGACCCTTCCCTCCAGCCGTCCCACGCTGAGCACCTTACTCCAGTCCTTGCCATCGACCCTCACACTAGCCCACTTGTCCGGGCCCTCCTCCTTGAACTTTGTCGAAGGATGGTCAGCAAGCAGACAGTTTAATTGCCCCGGATCCAACTCCGGGTTTTCCAGACCATCCCACTGCGACGCGATATCAAGTGTATCCGCAGTCAGCGCCAGCCGCAGACTGCCGTGCATATTGGCGCTCAACTCAAGCTTGGGAGAGAAGTTTGCCGTGACGGCCGCGGTGGTGGAGGACGTGGCACGCGAGGCCAAGGCGAGCTTGGTGTACCGGTCTGAGATGGCCTTGAGCTGCAGGAGGGGAGGCAGCTGGATGTGGACATCTGGCTCGCGCACCTTCGGCTGCATGATGGTCTCGACCGTTTCCGGGTGTAGGACGCGCACGGGGATGTCCTGCGTGATGATCTTTTCGCGCTCGCGGTGCAGGTGCGTCTCGAGGGGCTCGGCGGCGAAAACACCGTCGTCGTCGTCACCATCGCCCCCAGCGTTGAAATGGCTGTCGTTGTTATCGCGCGGGTTGTTGTGGGCGGAGAAGCGCGAGTAAGGGTCGCGGCCCGTGTTGGCGGATGCTGTGGTTGTCGTAATGGTCATGGAGAGGATGGGGATTCCGTCTTTCTTGGTCAGACGCAGTGAAGCGGATGTGCCGTTCAGTGCCGACTTGAGGGCACGCTGGAGGGGGCCTAGAGGGAGCTCGAGGTTGATTGTGTTCTGGGCTTCGGCGGATTGGAGTTGCCACGAATCGAAGATGAAGTCCATTGAGAGGGAGCTGGGCGACGGAGGTGTTAGTTTCGTTCAAGCACATGCGCGTTCTGAGTAAGAATCACTTACGCCCATACTTGCGACCCAGTATCTGGAATGACGGTGAAGCGGACATTTTCATCGTCGAGGCGCATCCACGCAATCTTCTCGAGGGTCGAAAGCGCTGCGACGAGCTCTGTGACTTGTCAGTAACGACCCGCATGATCTGCCAATTGAGATATCTTCTGGTTAGAGCTCACTTGAGAACGTGCGAACGTTCTTCAAATTCGTCTTGAATCGCATCTTGACCCAGTCGGTGACGTTTTGCCGTCACTAGACGCGCTTTCCGAACTGGGTCCTCAATGTAAAGCTATTAAAAAAAACGCGACACGGTGAGACGGGCAGGCAAAACGCTGCGTTGGAAACGCCGGTCAAAGAAAATAGCGTAGTATTGAAGCTCTGTGATCCTTGCCTAGTGCGGGGAATGGTTTGGGGTAGCTCCCTGTAACCATCAAGTCCCCCGCTAGGATGACAGCGTGAAAATACCCCGCCAAAACCATTCAAATACCATTATCCCGTCATCCATGCGTCGAACAGAGATGCAGTTCATGTCTCATTGCCAGTCTTCTGTTAAATAGGCTTCATACATCTCCAGACACCATCCCTGACCCTGACCCTGGTCCTTGCCCCTACATATGAAAGGAAATCAGCCGTAGCTGGGGTATGTGATTGCCCGATATGCTTCCAGTCCAAATACCAACACCGGTAGTGTCATTTCCCATGACGATCCATCCCTGTAACTCCTCCAAACAAAACAAAAAGCTGCGCCTGCGTCTCTCAAACACTCGTTGGTCTCATTGTAGGTGCAGGAGAAGCACTTCGCCGAGGATCCGAGACCGGCATCACTGACTCTCGAAAACAGATTACACTCCGCACTCTCTCTCTGTCCTCTGCGCCAACAGGGCTGGAAGGCTCGCCAGACATGGTCCCCGCTTTACGAATGCGCATTTGGTATGGGATATACGACTTGATGCCACTTCGTCCAGAGCCTTCTCCTGCCGCCGCCGAATGGTGAGCCTGCTGTAAGCGTTCCTCCATCATCTGCTTTATCCGCGCTTCGTATGCTGCATTCTCCTCGCACGTCTTGCAGTGACCGACCGTGTTCGCCTTTCTCTTAGGCGGTGGGGGAGGGCGTAGCGGGTGCCCGTCACGTCGCTGCAGTCGTCTGCGCTGTCGTCTTCCGCCATTGCGTGCCTGACCATGCCACTGTAGGCGCATCTGGTACTGTAGATATTGCGTGTCGAAGTCTTTAGGGCAAACAAGGTGGCCGCAGCCAGGATGTTTCGCGGCGTCGCGGCAGATGGGGCAACTGGGGGTGTTGTTCTCATCACGGTCGAGAGATTCCTGGAGCCAGGTCTGGATGCAGACGTTGCCGAAGCGGTGACTGCAGTGAAGCTGTGTCCACGACTCTATGATGCCCTCAGGGCTGGTAATGCCGACGGGATCGTGACAGATGGGACATTCTTCTAGAGACGTTAGGGTTGAAGTGCTCTTGGTGGGCTTGACATGTTCCGTGTTGGGCGAGGATGGGCCGTCGAGGGCGGCTTTGGGATTCGCATCATTAATTGACGTCGCGATCGGAGGAGTTTCAAGGGTTGGTTGTCTCCTTTTCGGCAGTAGTTTGCGGATGGCTCTTAGAGGAAGGCCGAGAAGCCTTAGTCCCCGCATTTTTGCGGTTGCTTGAGTGGGAAAATGAAGATGTGTGTTGAGCGTTTGGCGGTAACGGAAGGAAGGCTCGATTGAGATGCTCGAGCTGGGACCCACGTGTACGTTGGAACCCGCTTCAAGTGCCTGGGCTAAAGTTCCACTTGTTTATCTCAACTTCTCGCGAAGCTGTTGCTTCAAGGTTTTCAGTGGAATAATACTCCGCTTGTTCCACAGTGGGTTGCAACGGTAATGACTTGTGAGGTATCGGTTTGTAGCTATCGCTGGGTGTTCTGACGTGCTAAGCCAGTGGTTCTGTTGCGGATGCGATCGGGATAAGAAACCCTAGTGCAGTGCAGGGTAACTCTGATTGTAGTGTTGTCGGTTGTTGGCCATGGGGAGCGCGATAGATCTCCGTCTGATGCTATGCGAAGTTGATGCGGGGGCACAAATGTACGGGCGAGCACTTGCAGGTCCAGATGGCAAACCGCGGGGCGATTGAATGAACGAACGCGGACGAGAAACGTCGATTATCTGTCGGCGTCGAGGTCTAGAGATAAAACTCCGCAGGTGGTATTCACCTTGGGCAAAAGTAAAATGATTCAGAGCGTGGCAACTATTGGCTCTTAGGCGGGTTTTTTGACTTGCCCGACGTTTGCAGGCGTATGACGGATTCGCGGTGGTGGGCTCACCAAGGTTAAAGTCCTTCGGCTTGCAGGACGATTAGCTTGGAGCTGAAGCACGCGTTACTTGCCTACCATGATCAAGACGCACGAGTCAAGATTGGCGCAAGATTAGCGGTGCGCACTGGCATGTGGTCGAGTGGAAGACGCTGCTTGCAACCATCCAATAAATAGCAGTAGATGGCTACCTTATAAGTTGGCCTTACTTCAGCCTTACAGATCTGATGTACCTATCGCGATCATCATCATGTGAGTTGAAGGTATGTACCACGAGAACACTTCCTGCATAGCATCCTGGCAAGGCCACAAGACATCTCCTCTGGCAGATAAGCTTTTCTGGACGCGGTTGTGGTTGAAATTGGTGGGATGCCATCTCGTGTTGTCCAAGTGGTCAGTAGATCAAGCCGAAGCCGGACCATTCCGCACGCGGCCAAAGATCTCCAAATTCCAGATTCCCCTACCTCTTTCCTCACTTGCCTATTGACTATTCGCAACACCATATGTGCTATAATTTGCTGTGACTGAATAGTTTTAGATACTCTGTATCAGTTTTCGGGCCCCTTGATGGCTTGCTCTTTAATAAACACAGGCATTAACATCTCACCAGGGGCAAAGTGGGTGAATACACCACAGTGTACTTCCGTACTGATCATGTTTCATACCCAACAAGCGGATGTTCCTGGGATTATCGGAAGCATGGTCTATAAGCCGCCTTTGTCTCTTAAACGATAAGTCCAACAGTATCCGGTTACACTACGCCCGGTGGCTGTGATAGCGTACCCGTTAAAGACCCAGGTTCAACGGCGTTCTGTTATACCGACACCGAGGTAACCCAGTATTAGCAATTCTATAGATGGTCTGCAAGCAAACTCGATGGGCGAAAAGAACGACAAGAAGCCTCATCCGGACCAGCAGAACATTGACCCATGATAGGAGTCGCTGTGTAAGAGATAGAATTATTGGGCATTCCGCTACAGATACGACTCTGTAAGTCGTATCTGTCTTATCGTGTCCGCCCGATTTACACTGTAATCTTGTGTCTCTACAATTGGTATGAAGTTCTCATCAAACAAGATATTCTGGCCAATGTTGGCCTCGGCTGTTCTCTTAGCGACCCCTCTGCCGTGGAGCCGCTTCGTCATCGCTATCGTCCATGAAGCCCTCTTCGAGACTGGAGTGACATATTAGCTGAGTAATTCCTGGAAAGCCGGAAAACATTGCAAACATACTCTCGACTCAACCTCATCATACTGTCCGTTTGTTCGGTCCGTGTATCGAGCGAAAGCGCCCTCCTCCGATCCTCGCCCACCACCACATCAAGCTCTTCACCCTCATCTGAGCTGAAACCCACATCAGAATCGCCGTCGGCGATCACCAGACGTTCGCGCATTCCCATGCGCCACTGCGACGGTACAATCCATCGTGCTATCGCATCTTGTACCCTGCTTCGGAGGGACGACGTGCGGTCTGATATCGTCTCGAGTGGGAGATAATGACTGTAGCGACTTCGGTATTGGCGCCACAGTGGGATCAGGATGTAGGTCGAGACAAGAAAAAGAATTAGCGAGATGAGAGCCGGCACAATCAACGTCTACGGGTTTTGTTAGCATGCACTGAGGGAAGGCGGGGGTTCTTTCTCGAGCAAGATGGAGCGTACCTTCACAACTGATAGTGTGGAGCCCATGGCTTTGGGTAGATGCAAAGTTGCGCGCGACGGCGATCTACTTGTTGCAGTAGTAGGCTATCTGTCTAGAGCATCTGGGCATGATGCAGGGGGTACGAAGTATTCTTTGCGACAAACACTGAACACTAGATGACGAATGATTTCGTGTACCGTCTATCGTCCAGCCGCCAGATAAGCGACTAGTATGTACACACAAGGCTGAGAGGGCCAAGAAAACGTCGCGCAAATCAAGTCGGCAAGATCATGTCAAAGGGCAGGCGAGGCTGCGTCTGCAAGTCATGACTGAATTATCGAGCTCGTGCAACATGACAATTAAGTCGATTTCACGGGACGAAGAACTCTGGGCAAGTGTTGGCCCGTGGCACCGATGGGGGATTCCAGAAGGGCGATTCCCGGGATGCTGGGGTCGAAAGTGCAAAATGACTTCGGGCCACGGCTTCATTGGTCCGTCCGAGTCCATGCTGCTCGCTTGTACCGCAGCCGGACTCCGCGTCTTCTCCTTTTGAGGCTTTCTGCGACCTATTGCGTCCTCTGTCCTCAGCTGATCATCCGTTGAACCCGCAGCCGCATGGACATCTGCACGTAAGGATAAACTGGACCCCTTTTCCACGAACTAGAAGCAGCGCGTCAAGCGTCCAACTTTTTTCAGGCTTGGGCCCAAAGTCTGGCTGACTAGAAATAGGGGTTCCTGATGTCATCCACGGATTTGCAGAGATTGGGCAATGTTGTTGCAGGCGATAGTTGCCCAACTGGAGTTACATCAAATTCGGCGTGCCCTTCGTTTGTCGTACTGTAAGCCGCAAACGGCTGAATAGTCTCTCCCACCTGCCAAAATGACAAACCTGCAATATCCCATGCACTCCTATTCCGGCGCATGGCCCACCCCAGTTAAAAAATACTCTAGAGCCGCCATCCCCGCATGCTTCGTCGCTTTGGACAACTACATTGACTAGGTCGGTTCTTGATGGATCCCGTGCGGTTCAATGTCTTAGTGTGTTGCGCTCTGTTCCCCCAAGGTGTCAAGTCTGTCCCAGGGGTTTCCGCTTGAAGTTTCAAATTAGCCTCCATCTAGTAAGCGGCATGTTTCTTACGGATAGTGTTCGCTTGAAGCAATTGTTTCGACGATGATGAGTAAAGCATCATGCGTTTATCTCAAAGTAAGAGCATTTGCAATTAGAGGTCGCGCAACGAGACGGTCAAACAGGTTGCGTCCAATATTGGCGTTGGTGGTAGCTCGCTTTGGTCTGGCCATTGAGCAGACTCCGAGTCTGGCCGTTTTGAGACAATCCTTGAACCGGTAGCGCTTATCGAATTTCACTGTGAGCGGCACTGTCCAATTGGTTACATTCGAATCGCACATCGACTTCGGACCCTTTGCGAGAAAAAGAGGCAGACTTGTCGCCTTCGACAACAAGCCGGCGAGGAATATTCTCCAAGGTGCGATCTTCGATTTCGGTCCTGGGAGGCTCTACTGCCGCTTTTATTTTTTTAAAAAAAAGTTGCTCACGACCGTGCTTGTGTAGGATGCTTCGACCTTCTAGGTACGTCAAGGGTACCCTTCGATTCCTCTGCTGAACAATGCAAACGTCGCGGTCAATGTTCTCTTTATGTCCCGTCTCCATCCTATGGGCACTGGACTGGAGTCAATGCTGAACGGTCGCCATTCATGCAGGTCTCCCACGCTCGACGACTAATTCCAACGACCAACTCCAGGATCCCCACTCAACATCAGAAGCACCTCTTAACGGCCGGAAAGGCACCATGCGATTCGTCGCGAGTCTGAGACTTGACCCAGCAGACTGAAGGTAGCCACACGCAATACCTAACTCATACCGACGCCCACCTAGCCAACCTTGCCTAGACGACCTACCAGCCCTAGGCTGCATCTAGGGCTTGTCGAAGACGCTCGATCGCTCGACCGAGTCCCAGGTTGCCCCCCCCCCCCGTACCCGTCGGGAAACCCGCACGGAAGACCTACAAGGCTTGGATAAACTACATCAAGCAGCAACTGGAAGGAGCCATTGGAGCATTGGCGATTTATCGCCTCCCAACACCATCACCATGTCGTCTGCCGACAAATTCAGACAGTCGTCTGGCGGCAAAGGAGGCTTTTTCTCCCGAAGCAAGCATAAGAGCGGCGACAAGCGCAATCCTAACGAGGACAACTACGACGCGGCATCCGTTCATTCGCAGTCGCGTCCCTCTCACTCGAGACATACCAGAGACTCGTCGGTAGTGTCGATTGACCGTCCCACTACCCCCGAGATGGGTGTCAACAACACGGCCGGCGTCATCACGGCCATTCCATACGATGCCACCCATGCAGATAGACGAAGTCCGATACCTATTGAATACCTGCCGCGGGCTGAACAGATGCCGGTGAGGCGGGACCCTCTACCGCATCAACTTAATAAGTCTACCAGTGATTATCACCAGTACCCTTCTTTCGACGCTAACGCCCTCGCAAACATGGCGAGTACTCACCTCTCGGGACCACGCCCTCCTCCGCCAGCCACGGCCAATATCACCATGGCGTCGACGGGCCAGAGGAACACTCAGTTCCAGCAATGGGGACCGGGGCAGGCCACGCAGATGCCTCGCGGTAGTTATGCCAGTTCCACGCATTCTCAATACCCCCAGAGATACGACTCGTATGCACCGTCTTTCGGGAGAGCCTCAAGGGAAAGCGACCAGGCCAGCATATTTTCAGGTAATGGAGGACCCCCTGACCTTGCCACCACACCGCGCTCATCGAGACTGTTACCAGCACTGCCCAGTGCCGCTTCGCAGAGCTCCTTTGCCTCCCACCAATCCGATAGATCTTCGCACCGTTTAACCAAGTTTCCAGGCGGCGGATATTCGCCCGCAGCCACGGGTCCCGAAGGCTTCAACCTCACCCGACCGGACGACGACAGGGTCACCGAGCAGATGTTCTACGAGCTGATGCAGAAGCGAGGATGGCACAACCTCCCGGAACAGGCCCGGCGCCAGATGATGGCATACCCCCCTTCCAAGAAATGGACCCTGATTTACCAAGACCGCCTTACCGAATGGCAGGGCGAACAGAAGAGGAGACAAACCGCAAAGATAGGCCAATATTCCAACGTTGACATCACTGTCTTCTCCGACGAAGAGGGATCGCCGGAATGGTATGTGCGCAAGGTCATGGACAACAGCCTGGATGCGAAGGGATTGGGAAGCCTCGAGGTCAACCTAAGAACACAACAAATAGGTTGGGTGAAACGCTTCATCGAATGTCAAGGTCAGGTGGCTCTCACAAACGTGCTTCTTAAGATTAATCGCAAGACTGCCATGGGACCTGCGCAACCAACCGACCCAAAGGGCAGCGAAAAGAATCTCGATAAGGAGTACGACATTGTCAAGTGCTTGAAGGTTTTGCTAAACAACAAATACGGCGCCGACGATGCTTTGGCTCACCAGCAAGTCGTCGTGGCCTTGGTGACGTCCCTCATCTCTCCGAGGTTGACAACAAGAAAGCTCGTCAGCGATGTTTTGACTTTCTTGTGTCACTGGGAGGAGGGGAACGGACACCTCAAGGTCATCCAGGCCATGGATGTGGTCAAGACCCAACAGAACGAGAACGGCCGTTTCGATGCTTGGATGCGCCTTGTCGAGGTCACTGTCGACGGCCGTGGAAAGATGGGCAGTCTCGTCGGAGCCAGTGAGGAAGTCCGGAGCGGCGGCATAGGCATGGAGAACCTCCTCATGGAATACGCCGTTGCCACGCTCATTCTTGTCAACATGATCATCGATGCGCCAGAGAGAGATCTCACACTCCGTATGCATATCCGGGCGCAGTTCGGTGCTTGTGGGATCAAGCGGATCCTCACCAAGATGGATGCGTTCCAGTATGACCTCATAGACAAGCAGGTCGAACGATACCGCACCAACGAAGCCATTGATTATGAGGACATGCTTGAGAAAGAGAACAGCAGTATCAAGGACAGTATCGAGGGCGAGGTCAAGGATTTGAACGACCCAACCCAGATCGTAGATGCGATTCAGCAACGCTTGCAAGGCACAAAGACCCAAGACTACTTCGTCTCTGCGTTGCAGCACCTGCTTCTCATCCGCGACAACGACGGAGAGGAAAGGTTACGCATGTTCCAGCTTGTAGACTCGATGCTCAGTTATGTGGCCATGGATCGGCGGTTGCCGAACATGGACCTCAAGCAGAGTCTCAACTTTACAGTACAAAGCCTGTTAGATAAGCTGCACACCGACTCAGAGGCGCGACAGGCTCAGGATGAGGCCTTAGAGAGCCGCCAGATCGCCGACGCCGCTATGGCCGAGCGTGACGATATGAGGGCACAGCTAGAATTAGGAGCAGACGGCTTAGTATTAAAACTTCAGAAGCAATTGGAGGAACAGTCGAGGTTTATCGAGGCTCAGAAGCGTCAAGCTGACGGCTTGAAAGCTGAGCTCGAAAACATGCAGACGGTGCGGTCCAAGGAGGCTCAGCGCTACGAGCTTGAAACGCGCGAGTTGTACCTAATGTTGAGAGACGCGCAGGATGTGGCAGCTTCGCAGGCTGTTAAGAGCAGCGCCGGCACCAGTGGCAACACCAAGCTTGTTGATGAGGATCCTGCCCGTATGCAGGGCATTCTAGATCGCGAAAGGCTCATGGAAAGGCTGCAAATGCAGATCGAGCGTCAAAAGACGCAATACAAGCTGGAGGGCAGAGTCTGGGGCGACAATGTCGGCCCATCAGATCGGTTACGCGCCCTGCGCGAGGAGATGGATGGGTTCTCGGCGCCGGAAGGTGCTGGGCTTCCGCCTGCCGGTTTCACTAACAGCGGTATGTTTGGTACTGTAAACAGGCAGACCAAGATTGCCAGAAAACCCCTCAATGCCCAAGACGAGGCAGTTGTTGAGGGCGACGAAGGGGACGATGGGGAAGACGGGGGAGATGACATTGTTTATGAGAAGCCAAGAGTGGTGGAGATTAGGAGGCCCGTCATGGATCCAAGACAGGCAAGCAACCTGATGAGTGAGATCCAAGCCAAGGGCAAGAAATACGACGCCAGTGATTCGGAGGATGGTGATGGTGTGACTACGGGTCCTTCACATCCCAGTCTCGAGTCGCAATCGCCCATCACGCCCAGCGAAAATGAGCCGCCGAAAATCGAAATTACGGGTGCTTCCTCCTCGGCGCCCGCTCCTCCTCCACCACCTCCTCCGCCGCCGCCACCCCCGCCGCCAATGCCGGGCCAGATCCCCGGCGCTGCACCCCCACCGCCACCACCTCCCCCGCCACCACCTCCCATGCCTGGAATGCTCACTCCTGGTGGTGGTGGTGCTCCTCCTCCTCCACCGCCTCCTCCGCCACCACCCATGCCAGGAATGGGCGGTCCTCCTCCACCTCCTCCGCCCATGCCTGGCGCTATGTCTGGTCATTTCTTGTCTGTTCAAAGTACTATAGCACCTACGACAATTGGTCTACCTGTTGTCAGACCCAAGAAGAAGCTCAAGGCTCTGCATTGGGACAAGGTTGATGCCCCTGAAACCAGTCATTGGGCTGCCCATGCTCCCACCGCGGAAGAAAGGGAAGAAAAGTACTACGAGCTCAGTAAGAAGGGTATTCTCGACGAAGTCGAGAAGCTGTTCTTGGCCAAGGAGATCAAGCGAATCGGGGCGGGAAGCTCTAAGAAGGATGACAAGAAGCAGATTATCTCCAGCGATCTGCGGAAAGCTTACGGTCAGTTGAAATCTCTTCTTGTAAGACGTGTATAGCCGCTAACAAGATTTCAGAAATTGCTCTTGCCAAGTTCTCCCAACTATCTGTGGAAAAGGTTGTGCAGATGATTATTCATTGCGACAAGGATGTGCTTGACAACCCTGTAGTCATGGATTTCTTGCAGAAGGACGACCTATGCAACATATCGGATAATATTTCGAAAACAATGGCGCCGTATGCCAAGGACTGGACGGGACCCGAGCCCGATGGGGGAACCCGGGAACTCGATCCATCCGAGCTCACACGCCAAGATCAACTCTACTTGCAAACAGCATTCGAGCTACAGCATTACTGGAAGAGCAGAATGCGGGCTCTGGCATTGACGAAAAGCTTCGAAGCTGACTACGACGAAATCAACGAGAAGATTCGACTCGTTGTCACAGTTTCGGAGTCCCTCCGAGACTCGGTGTCACTAATGAACGTGCTTGGTCTCATCTTGGATATCGGTAACTACATGAATGACGCTAACAAACAAGCGCGCGGCTTCAAGCTCAGCTCGCTCGCGCGTCTTGGCATGGTGAAGGACGACAAGAACGAATCTACGCTGGCTGACCTCGTGGAGCGCATCGTGCGCAATCAATACCCAGAATGGGAGAACTTCACGCAGGACATCGGAACCGTGATGTCAGTGCAGAAAATCAACATCGAGCAGCTGCAAACAGACGCCAAAAAGTACATCGACAACATCAAGAATGTGCAGATGTCGCTTGACAATGGCAACCTGTCCGACCCTAAGAAGTTCCACCCGCAGGACCGCGTCTCCCAGATCGTCCAGCGCTGTATGAAGGAGGCGCGTCGCAAGGCTGAGCAGATGAGCTTGTATCTCGAGGAGATGACGCGCACGTACAATGACATCATGGTGTTTTACGGCGAGGACCCGGCCGACGAGAACGCCCGACGTGACTTCTTCGCCAAGCTTGCCTTGTTCTTGAATGAATGGAAGAAGAGTCGCGACAAGAACATTCAACTCGAGGAGACGAGAAAACGCAACGAGGCGAGCATGAAGCGGAAGCATGCCCAGCTCAAGATCAACAATGTCGTCGAGGGCGGTCCAGCCAGTCCGGCCAGTACCGGGGCGATGGACAGCTTACTTGAGAAATTGCGCGCCGCAGCACCTCAAGCAAGGGATCAACGCGATCGCCGACGGAGAGCTCGGCTCAAGGACAGGCATCAAGTGCGCATTGCCTCTGGGCAGAATATTCCCGAGATCAGCGAGGTACCCGAGGCCGAGGCAGGGCTACGCTCTGACGGCACCGTCGCCACAGATCCCAACGGCGATCAACCCATTAGTCCAGGATTGTCGTCCCCTGGGGCTGGGGAGGGCGGAAGTGAAGATGGACTGGCAGCCAGGGCAGAAATGCTTCTGAGGGATATGCGCGGTGGCGGCGACGGGGCAGACGACGATGGAGATAAGCGGGACAGCCTGAGAAGAAGCGCCGCCGAAGAACGGAGGACGAGGCGGAGGAGGTTGAAGGCCGGCAGCGTCGCGAGCAGTACAGGAACCGGTGACGGAGATGCAGAGGTTGCTGTCACTAGTCCCACGAATGACGAAGCGCCGCCAGTACCGCCCATAGTGCTGGAGGAATGATGGAGTGGAAACTGGGAGCGGGATTGATCTATCAATATCAAATACGTCGAAGGCGATACATAATGTCTACAACCACAAAGCAGCGATAAGCAAGCCCATGGCGCTCCAAGACGACGATTCGTGGGTCGGTGTCCTGTCAACCAGGGAATAAGCGAAGGATATTATTGGGGAGCCCACCACAGCCGGCAGTGCACCTCTTGGAGCTCTCGGCACATCCACCCACCGGTTCGATACTACCAACCTTTTTCGCTTAACCGCAACGCCCAACCATTTTGGTCTGGACTGTTGCAATTCTGTTCGGGCGGTGATGGGAGTTCTTGGTTAGGGGCTCGCATTAACGGGGGCTCGGTCAAAGTAGGGACGTGAACATATCTCTATTGTTTGAATGGTCGAAGCCGAGGCAGAGGGATGAGGCTATGCTCGGTGCGGTTATAATATAGCATACTATATATTAAGTTGTACGAATAGAGTACAATTGGCTTCTTCAACTTTCTGCATCTATTAACGGTCTTGACGCAGAAATTAGGAGGTCGTCACCGAGTTGGATGCACCCAGAAGTATTCAAACCTGCGGAAGTAACAACAGCAGTCTCATAGATACACCACAACCCAATCCCGGACTCCGTATATTGGCGGGATGTTTCGTCAGGGTAAAGTTTTTCCTTTCTTCCTCATACAAGACCGGTTTCATCAGGACAGCCCGGCGGTTACACGATTTGAACACTTATTCATCTAAGTTTCGTTTTCAACGTTACTCTACTCTTCATCTCATATCCGACCAGAAATACCAGGCCATCTCGTCACCTACGTTACTCATCTACTCATCAAAGAAGAACGGCGTTCTTACGACGAACGCCGCCGCCGCCGCGTCATCCAAACCCCACAAATCCTTTCCACAGCATCCTCCACCTTCTCCCCTTTCCGAAACTCTCCCTCCACAAGATCATTCAGCTTCTCCCCCGTCATCCTCTCCTCATAAAGGATCAGGAACTCTCTCGCCTTGTCATCCCATACCTCTTCTACAAAGCGAAAAGGCTCCAACTCCCCTCTCACCCTCTCCAGGTCAACCAGCAGACCATGCAAACGCCGGAAGATCTGCATCTTCTGCTCCGCCATGCGAATCTTCTGAAGCCTGCGCTTCTCAGCGTCGCTCAGCCACGCGTTCATGGTTAGGATGGACCGGTGAATGGCGATGCCCTGGGCCCCGCTGGCGAGCACACGGGCGAGGATGGTGGGTGTGGTCAGGCCGCTGGCCACGTAGGTGGTGTGCAGGAGGGCATACTGGCGCTTTAGGGCTTCGTGGCGGGGGAAGGCCCCTTGCATGTGGGGGGCGGCTCCTTGATCGTCGACAGCGGTGGCTGGTGGTGGTAGTTGTGACTGTTGCTCATTTCTCTCTTGCTTCTCGTTGAGCTCGAAAGTGCTTAGGGTTGGGGGCTTGGTGGGGGGAGGGGGCCAGATGTGTCCCCACGTCTCAACATCAACCTGTTGAAAGGGGACATGGCCCCCGTGTGTTTGAGTCCACTGAGTTGAATGGAGATCGGATTTGTGGGGCTCTGGTGTCATTGATTCGGAAGAAGATGATGGAGTTTCCATTTGCCCCTGAATCTCCCGGTTGGCTGCGTTGGGAGGGATTGAGTAGAAGGCGTGCATTATTGTTAGATATCGCCTTCTGGTTTTTCTTATGATTGGACAGGGGGGTTTTCGGATTTAAAACGGCCGTATGAAAGATTTCTGGTCTCCGAGTCAAGACTCAAGGGAGTGGACGTCGTACGACGGACTCTACTGAGACCTCAAAGAGAGGAAACGTTGTTCTTCATGGTGTGGTATTTATACGCTGTATTTGCGACGTGTGGCAGGCTTTGGAGAAAGAATCGACTCAAAGTTATCGAAATCGTCAGGTATCTCCTATACCCAAATCATTTAGTTAGACTGAGACGGTGGCGTGGATCCGGTTGAAGTCGAGAATTTCCGACCAAGTCTTTTGACGTTCAAGTACAACGGTTGCCGCAAACCTTGCAGGTTCCCACGGCGCATACCGTTTGATCGAATGTAATTTGGTTTAACGTGTACTTGCAAGTCTTCTTCGTGAGGGAATTACTCAACAAGAGCCTGTAGGCTGCGGAAAGCCTCTATGTACGAACCAAGTTGCCGCTACCCTGGCCTCTAACATATTCATCAGGTAGACTAACAAGGGGCGAAAACCCACGCCTACCAGGTGATTGACGATTAAATGAGAATGCTCCAATATCTTCTGTGGTTCGTCGATAAAATAATATATGATGTAACACAACGAGTATATGTAGTCCTGGTTACAATCATCGGCTTTGGCCGTTTATTGCTCATATAGTCAACGCAGCGTATCCAACCACCAAATCCCTTATGTGTCGAAGTTATTTTTCGACTTTGGAGTCCAAAAGGTCCCATAGTATGTTCCTATTTACGACTCACGAATATATACATCCATCCGGTCCCGGAACCGCTCTCCGTCTCTCCCACCTGCCAGGCAGTACAGACTGAGTATCAAATTTGGGACCAGAACCATTATTCTGGTGTCGGGGTCATGACCATGCCTGTGCTGGACTAAATTGCAACAAACATTGCACCTGCTGCTTTCTCCATATTCAGTCCGCTGCTGGAGGCTTGAGGTCGCTTAGGTGGAGTGTGTGACTACAGCCCATGATGTAGGCCCAGCACATGTAGATGCTTTGGAGCACACGTATGCTAACGGACTTGTCAAAAATGATGTTTATCGCCTCTACCACTGATCTTGATGTGGCAGATTGACATAAGTCCCGGGCCACAGACAAAACAAAGATATTTTGCCATTGATGGAAATCTGGACGATGTAACATCGAAAGGACTTCTCATCTCGCCGTATTGCATCTTTGTTCGTCATTGCCTCCAACATTACAGCCAGCCCAACGGCAGCGGAGCACAAGCTTGAGCTCTGCTCAACTTTGATGGGAATACTCCGCCGACAACAAGCCGCAACTTTAGTTCAAACCTCCCTGTATGAATGATTTCAAGTCAGCGAACAAAGTAGGATGATGAAGAAAAAGTATACTGGTATTCCGAAAGCATGATCTACACCTTGACTATTTCTCCCCCTGGGTATTCGCAAGGTAAGTGGGTAGGTCAAACCCTGAGTTGCACCCACTCTGCAATCCAGGGCATCTGCGACATTCAAGTCTTAAAGAAAAGAGAGCGCAATAACGACCAAGGAAAAAAAGGAGGCAAAAAAGCCAACCACCCTTCATGCAGAATGCGACATGACTATACTGTGGTTCTCCTCCCGTACCGCATCGCTTTTATTCATTCCGTACTCTCCCTCCTCAGGGTATTGGTCTGCATCGATCTACACGTCTGCGGTAGTACGTTTCGGCCGCTTCTGCGCAAAGAGTGTGGGTGCTAGTCCCTCAAGTGTGCAAATCGGCCGTTACCTGGCTGCTGCCCGAAGAGAGGCCCACCGTGTCCGTCAAATACGCCTGGCGGCGCTGCTGGGCTGGTACCGCGGCTGCTGGGGGCCCCGACCGCAGCACTCGTATTGCGCCCAGCATTTCTGGGACTCAGAACCCCCAAGCCACCCATTCGAGGGCTTTGCGGCACGCTGCTTTGTCTCGTCTCCCTCCGACCATTCTTGGCACTTCGCAACTCGGCCTTGACGCGGTTGAGCTCATTATCTCGATCGCGTACAATAGCTGTTTGTTCGTTCAGCATCCGTGTGAGTTCGCGGGCTTCACTCTGCGCTTGGATCTTATTGACCTTAACGATGTTGTCAGATGCCTTGCGCGATAGCTCTTCTACTTGGCGCTTTAGGTCTGCTTTGGTGTCTATGAGGTCCCTCGTTCCCTGCGATGCCTGCTGGAAACGGTCCCGGAAGAACTCCACCTCGTTCTCTGCCAATGTGACTTTCTTTTCCAGCGCTGTTATCTTCATGCTATTGTTATCGTTGTCTTTTCGGAGACGAGCCATTTTGGCGAGCTCGGGGTTGGCTGACGTCAAAAGAGATTCGTTCGCCTCCCCGAGTTTCCTCTCGAGTGTGGCATTGGTCTTTTTGAGAGCATCAATCTCATCCTGGGCGGATTCCAAGCGAGCAGATGTAACATTAGCTTCTTTGCGGGCGGCATCACGCTCCGCTTGGAAGGTGCCGCGGTCTTTGAGAGCAACCATGTATTTCGGTTGAATTTTCTTGAGGGATGTGACCCAGCTGTCAAGTTCCTGTTTTGTACGGTCGCTGAGTTCGCGGAAACTCTCTCTTTGAGCCCTAGTCTCCTGTAGTTCGGCTTCCAACTTTAAAATCTATTATCTGTTAGTAACCGACCGTACTGGGAATAATCCAGATCAGACTTACCCTTGTTGAAAGTGTTTCAAGCTTCTGAACAGGGACAATAACGGCTGCTTGGTTCGGACCTGCTGGTACCAGAGTGCCACCTATCAAGCTCCTCACAGAGTCTTTGATCCGAGATGTTTGCGAGACAACGGGGGGCTGACACGTTTTGGCACGTTTGGATGACATTACATCCACCTCATCCTGTTCATTTTTGTTAGTGTCAGGTACTGTAATTAGAAGGCCTCTGTGAGAGAGCACGTGAGAGAGGAAACACAACATGGTTGGTTCACTTACATGAGAACGCTTACGGCCAGGTGGTTGTTCCACCACACCGTTACTTGATTGAGTCGGTTCTCCCTGGGAGCTTGCATATATATCAAAAATGCCCTCAGGAAGCTCTTGTGGCTCCCAGTAGAAGTCATCTTCATCAGCCGTTTCCATATAATTTGCGAAAAGCTCCGCAACCGCGTGCGGCTCCTTCATATGAAACTCATGCGGGAACCCATGGTCAGGCTCCTCGATAGCCTCTCGCGCCATCCATAAGGCAGCTAATAGGATATGCTTCCGCTTGAGCGGATCCAGTTCGGCACGGATACGCATGTTGATATGTTGGATACTAGCCGTTGTCACAAGGGTCAAAACCTTCAGAGGCGTGCCATCATCTCTAGCGGGCAGGAGCTCTTGGTCGAATGTGTGGTCGTAACCGATGACGATGTCAAAGTCCTTTGGAGGCAAGGCCATATCATCGGCTGTCGAATAAACCATAACAGTAGGATGTTGGGTTCCTGAAGAGCTAGCGTCATCTTTGCCATTTGACCGTATTTGGCGGTAGCCCCCGGTTCGGACAATATTGTTGATAAGATCAAAAACTTGACCTGGCCTTGTCAAGATGAGAACCTTTTTCTGAGACTCTAAGTGGCGTAGCCTATCGAGAAATTCTCCCACAAATGCCAACTTGCTGTTTGATCCCTTGACGTGCTTTGTGATTGCATCCGGAGACATCGATGGCAGTGTTTCCAAAAATGGTGGCAAATCACACAGGTCGAACAGGCGAATGAACACGTCGTCTATCTTTTCTACCAAACCTACGTCGACCTCTCGATGCGGCACAACAGTGAAGGCAGCGTTGAAAGCCTTGAAGTATTGGCTAGCCTCGTTGATGACTTCAGTGTACTGAGGACGTATGCTGCTGGCTAGAGGTAGAGTGACCAGGTACTCATTCGGCGCGATCGAGATAAGTGGAAGCAGGCTGCTGGGATACTCCTGTGACTCCGTATTTTCGGAAGATTTCGACATGCTCTGAAGAGGCACTTGAGGATAAGGGTAGTCCATCATCATGTCGTCGCTTAGAATTGATGGGCTTGCAGGCGCATTCCCTTCTACCAAGAGGGACAGCGCAGAGGGGTCCAACGTGGTAGGGGGGTCAGCCGGTGCGGCATCATAGGCCGCCGGCGGAACTGCATTGAAATCATGTGCTGAACCTGGGTTAAAATCCCCAGCTGGGGCTGCACTGAAGCCTTCTGCTGGCCCGGCGACCAGGCCCTTTGCTGGAGCTGCAATGTGTTCAGCCTGAAGAGAGGGGCCGTCAAAAACTGGCGCATCCAACTGCAACAGTTCATTGGGGAGCGCCTCGTACGCCCGAGATACAGCCTCATTCTGGTCCGTCTCCACAGAAGGCAACAGTGTGGACGGGGACACCAGAGCCGGGCTGCCTTCAACCGGCTGCTCCAGGTCCAGGGCAGTCTCGAGGTTTAAAGCCTCTTCTGTCGGGGCATCGGCAGTGCCGATGCCAGCATTGAGCCGCGTCGCATCAAAGTTGATCTGGCGGTAACTGGCCTCACGGATGCGGCGAAGTCTCTCACGCGCCGACATTGGCGTGCTTGCGGTTGATGTGTCATCCATGTTAGTCGAGTTTACTTGTCGTACGTCTTGGGCAGGTCGCTGAGACCAGGACGCAGAATGCTTAATCTGGCAGCCCTCGACTTCACTTTCACCAGTGGACTGGTCCGCGATGTGCACAGGTGATGCGATGCCGTTGGAGTCGACTTGTAAGACTGGTACGCGACTCAAAAGGCTAGACGATGAGTTCCTGGTGTTACCATCCAACTCACTAAGCGCCTGGCTAGAGTTTTGCGAATTCTGTACCTCCTCCCCGGGACGGAGCGAAACTGTTCCTGGGATGATGTCGTTGTCGTCGTCGTCGCTATTGCCGTCGTAAACTGAGAATTCTCCGGCCGATTGAGATCGGCTTAACAGAAGATTTTGTACAATCTGAGCTGCCTGCGAGGAGTGCTGCGATGGTGCAGCACCGTTCTCATACACCAAGTCTTTGGGTGCTGCTTCCTGAGACGTGTCGGGACCCTCGAAATCTGGTGATCCAATGGGCGCGTTGTTACCTGCTTGCGAGTGATCCGAGTTCGTTGGTGTGACGTCGTCAAGATCGAAAGGTAATTGTGACTGGAATACGAAATGATCAAAAATAGATGCTGATTTCGTAGATCGTTCCAACAACGGGTCACCAAGCACGTCAGCTTCGGGATGCGGTAGGCTAGTCGATTCGGATTGGGTGGTTGAGCCTAGGCCAGTTGCAAATCCGGAGTTGAGCCGCCCTTGTAAACTTGGACCCTGCACTGGCTGATGCGAAGGAATCTCGGTTGAAGTTGACGCCAATTTACGCGTAGAAGCAGTTGATTGATCCTCAACGCGCAACTCGTCTGGCTCCACTAAGCCTCCGTAGTTTTGACTTCCCGCTTGCAGCGCTGAGTCCACACGAGATCCGCTACTTGTGCTCTCCGTGAGGGAATTCCCAGACAGCTCCTGAGAGTCAGGAATGGTCCTTTGGCTCAGGTTGACAGGACGCCTGGCGGCAACTGAGGACTCGTCGTCTCGGTAACCCCTTTCCGTTCCTGTAGCTTGACTGCTCTGCGACAGAGATACCTTGAGGAACTCGGTTCTATCGATGGAAGCAACTTCCGGCAGCGCAATCACGAAATTGGTCTGCAAATGCTCTGGTGCCTTCTGTGCGGCGACTGAGCCAGCTTGCGATGAATGCACGCCACTTGTTCCTGATCCTCCAATGTCTTGTGATTCAAGCTCGATAAATCGAGACCGTAAGAACCGTCTTCTTTTGCGCGCCCCACCGTCCTCCTGTTCGTGCACGTCCGAGTTCCCCCTCCGCGAGTGTCGCCTGCGATGGTCGCGGGCTGGTTGGGCAGCCTCGTCGTCCTGGAGCTGGGAAGAATCCACTTCGGGCGATGTCTCGTCCAGCACCGCGCGTACTCTCTTCCGCACTCTCTTGATCTGTCTCCAAGCATAAATCGCGTCTTCTGTCACGTTCTTCTCTGATTCCTATGGATGCAGTTAGTCTTGAGAACCTCGAGAGGGTCGAGAAAAGGTACGCACCCAAGTTGCATCGTACGGTCTACCAGTAGCCGGATCGGTACCCTTCCAGTCGACCAGGCACTGGCGCCTTCCCCTGTAATCCCTTTCGTCGATTATGTTGTTGATCTCAAACCAGTCGCTGCGTTGCCCCGAAACCTTCCGTTTCGATTTCCGCTTCTTGGGCTTTGACGTCCTCCGGGTTGTGTTTGGCCGCTTTTGATCATTCGAGGATTTGGGAGTCGGCGTTAAACTTTCCGTGGTCATTGACGCCACCTTTCACTTCAGGACGATCTGCTCTGACGGTAAATAAATCCCATGATTAGCAGCAGCGCACAAGCTAGCAGCAGAAGAAGAGATAGCCAGCGGCGGTTGCTTGAGCTCACCACAGCGGATCGTCCTGCACCTTTCGGGAGATTTCGATGGATGCTCTGATCGCGATACACGCGGACAAGGGTCTGGGCAAGGCGGAGTGGCTGGAGTTGTGCTTATCGGCCTCTCAAAGCTTGGCGGAAACCACTAGCCACAGTTGTCCGCGATCGTCAACGAGGTGAATGAACCACAATCTCTGCGCACCTTTCCTGCGCGCACGAGAAGGCAAGAACGAAGCAGATGACTCCAAAATTCGTCGAATAAGTTATGATCAAGAAATGGGAGTAGAGAGGTTAAGATCGCAGCTGGTGTGAGGTGAAAATGAAGAAGCCTCTAAGTCGCCCGTATCTGTGAGGAAAGTTTGACTGTAGGTTTCCCCAGCAGCGGGTGGTGGGACACTGTCAAGTTTCTCCAAACCTTGTGATGTGTTGGTGAGCTACCCAGTGAAATTGTCCTTGTGGAGTACAATCTCACAGGTAGTTGTAACTCCGGCAGCTGAAGAGTCGGAAAGCAAGCCCGACGCATAAGGCAAGCATGCAATAGATTGTTGCGGCCGGTCACCTGTAGCCCGGTTGCTCTTTCTGGCCAAGTATTATGGTGATGTATAACCTGGACACTCTGCTGCATTGGCCAGTGGGATCTGCTATGTAGATAGGCTTATTTCACTTCGCAGTGTACTGCCAGTAACTATTCTGATAGAACCCGGGAGTGCATCATATTCACGTAGTTGTATACTCACACTGACTTTTCACGAACTGGGCTGACCAGTCCGTGCTTAATCTGTTATAAGATAATGCCAACTTATCGCTACACAGTACACATGATATTCCGGGATATCCCAACTGAGAAATCAAAATATCTGCAGGACTGGCATAATAACCTCATCATAGTCTTTTGCGTCAGCATATATCTTAATTTACTTCGAGATGAGTCCTGCTTATGAAGCTCTCACGCACTACGCATCTAGACAATTTGCCCTTTTTCAACACTAACGCAGACTGCAGCTTATGTTAAATACAAATGGAGCAGTTATGTGCAGTCGAAATAATAAGACATGGGAGGACATCATTTAAAATCCACGGGTATTGGATCTACTCATTTTCTTGAGGTGCCGGGGGGCTAGTTGAAACTGGGGTCGAATACCTGGGGTTTGTTAGTATACAGATGCTTTCAAAGAGGGCTCCCGTTGACTCGAGGACACACGGTATTCATAGAGCATCAAGTTTTGAAGCTCATAGGTCTAATTCATTTACGGATTGATCTGCAATAGAAGCTCAAACTAGGAGGGGATTTTGAAGCCTATTGTCAGACCTTAAAACTACCAAAAATACCTCATTCTACAAGCGAGTGGGTCCCTCGTCTTTTGACGGTCAATTTGGTCCAACACCTATGCATATATCATAGGCTTTCGTCGAGGGCTATCATAGCACTCATTCCTGCGGAACTGTCAAATAGCGAAACTATGGCTAGGTGATAGTACGGTCTGCTCCGAAGCAAAACAAGTGCGTCGCGCTAAGTCTCTTGCAGGTTCAATGATGTTCGGTTTGAAGGCTGTATTAACTAGTATTTTGTCCTGTCCTTCACTTGCACCTCCCATCAAAGACCAAGGTAAAGAAACCGGTTCCCGTATTCAAGGTATTACGTACTCTAATGAAGAATAGACACAGCACAAACACTGGTCACCACAGTGCCAAGACTGTTGTCGACCAACCATCCACGAACCACGATCCATCGCTTTTGATCAACCCCATTCAACATAATCCGAATTCAATCACAACTTATTCAACGGACTGGTTGAAAACAATATATGATAATGTAACGAATATTGTTGGGCGCGCACTTCAAAAATAATGAGCATGGCTCTTTAGACAGATAAATGACATCTCGGGGATTGAAATCGCGGATCCATCCGCTCTTTCTTCTTTTTCTCTATTTACGCTTATTTCTTGAATTTCCTAGTTATCTCGAGTTTCCTCAACCTTTTATGGTATAAATGTCATCTGACTTCCTTTCCCTCTTATATTATACTTTGGGGTCTCTCTTGGCATGCATTCTGTCGAACCAGATCGGTTCCCACACGCGTTGGTTCGGCTACTAGGCCCTTCTTTTCCATCTCGCCATCTGCACCGATCTGGAACTCTGGCGGTGCTCCTCCACGCAAAGCGGCACAAGTCACTCCAATTCAAGCCAGGCGACAAGTGCTCACCACCAACCCCTTCTAGATCAACGGTGGCGTTGAATTCCCTCTTCCATTCCCTGTGCAGTACCTTCCCCGTCTTCTCGCCCAGTCACCCACAGGAACTCTATCAGTGGGTCGTTCAACCCGCAACTCAAGTTCCCTAAACCCGTCGTCCCAATAACGCCTATCCTAAACCTCGAGCTCCCTCGCTCTGGGCAACGGCGGCTCGGGGGTGTCAGGGTACCGCAGCTCCCTACTTTTCAAGTACATCTCCTGCTGGTTCTTGAATTTCTCATCTAGCCCCGACACTCCATCGTCCCTCTCCCCTCCGGCACACCCAGATAATCATCCAGTAACCCCCGAAACCTAGCAGCGATCACCTGTTCCCCGCTACTATCCCCATTCATCAGCATGAAAACCGCCACTTTCGCTTCGGCATGAATGTCATCTACGAGCTGAGCCCCTGAATCCCGGCCGCTTGAAAAACGAGCCACTCGCCGCCGTACAACGACACATGCATCCCATAGCGTACAAAAAGGGGTCCTTATCCTTCCATGGGGAAGAACTTCTCTCCAGCGTCCATGGCGTCGTGAGTTGCTCCGCTACTAAACCAGAGATAAAATACCGCAACCACATCTCTATGTGCCGCACCGACGACATGATGCCCCCTCCGCCTACGAGCGGTGTGTCGAGCCATCCCTGCCTTGCCGTCAGGCTGGTCAGCAGATCGAATGAGTGCCCGTGCGCCAGGACGTGCTTCTCCCTGTCTCTTTTTACAATTTCTAAAGCGTCTGCGATAGGTGGCGCAAAGACCTCGCGGCGTCCGAGACGATAGGGCCTAGACCGAGGCGGTGCGAGAGCGCGTCTTTGATTGTGGCGCGGGAAGTAGCCTAGGGATCCCGGAGGGCGCAATCAACGCCAAGGGGTGGTAGAAAGCTAAGCAGTGCTTGTCAGGGATTCGTCACGGTCCTTGGAAGCTTGGTCTAAAGTGTGAAGGAGGAAGATGGCTGTGAAGGATTTGGTCATTGAGGCGATATAATAAAGCGTGTCTGGGATTGCGGGCACGGGTTTGTCGTTGTTGAGCATGGCATGCCCGAAGGACCGGGGAGGTATTAGTGGGTACAAGTGAGTGTAAGTTTCTGGTTTCTGGGATAAGTTACCTCGAAGACGGTATCGTCACCATCGATGTCGGCGAGGAGAGATTTGGAGCCTGCAAGGAGTTTCTGCGTTCTTTCAGAAACTGCCTCGTAGATTCGTTCAAGATCCTCATTACGGGCAGAACCCTCGTCACTCCCAGTGGCCATGATGGGGATCTGATCCGCTGAGTAGGCGACAGGGATTACACAGCCGAGGAGGCCAGTAAAAGCCGGTATAATTGACTTCAACGCGTGGTCCGTACATGCGAGGGAAAGTAGGGATTATTATCTCGCATTTCAGCCACTACCTTGATCTTTTAGCAGGGAGTGGCAATCCCGGGGGCAGCGTAGCTTGACTTGGCAGACTGTAAGCGGTCGACGCAATCAGGGGTCCTTTTCTGAGCAGTGTTCTCCACCCTCGGCCTAAACTTGGCCTGTGCTAAGCTGTAGTAGTGATAACTATGTCCTGGCTTCCTCAATGGTATTTCTTTACCGTTTGGCTAAGGGAATATTGTTAACAGGGATTCCCCGCACCTAATCCAGCATGTCGTCTTTCCTAAGTGGGAAACACACGGGGTCCGTTATTTATGGACTTTCAGAATCACCCTACTGCATAGTCACTTGCTTTCAGCTTGTTTCAGACTTGCGTTGCGTATCAAGCCTGGCAACAGCCAATGTCGCCTGACTGAAAACAAGACCATACTATGCATATCCTTGGATTTCCGCAACTGTACGCTGGTGACCCGCTGTAGATCCACAGCATAGACGTGGCAATTTTGTAATCAAACGACGTGTTGTAGGCGAGTTCCCATTGGTCAAATCGTTCTGACGGCGTACAAAAAGCGGTCAGGTCATATTACTCATTACCTTCACCAGGCCAAGCACTACAAGCAGAAGTTTCTGTTTGTCTTATTCACCTTGAAATTGCCTTTTAACCAAGGCGATTTCTCGGCTGAACACATTCATTATCCATTAACTTTTCTCAAGCCAGCAGCATACAACCAACCCGCCGGCATCATGTCTTCGAGCGCTAGCGCAGGACGTAGTGACTCGCGGCCTGGTGCGTCCACGGCGGAGCGCGAGGTGCTTGGGATGTTGAAGATCATCAAGAAAGACCGGCAAGACCGGGAGCGGGCCATCATCGCCGTAGTGCGCCCGGAGAGCATCGCCCAGCTCGAGGAACGAACGGGACCGTCCCGGCTGAAGTTTTGGCGCGGTAAGAAAGAGACGCCATCAGCTTCTGCTGAACAAACGTTGCAACAAGGCACGGAAGGCTAACTTATAAATACCGTTAAAGGCAAGACACCAGTTCGAGTGACCAGCTCGGACAACTTGCAAGCAACAATCGACGAGATGATGCATAAAAGAGCACGCCACAGTGCCAGCTCGCACCTCAGCATTCTCGTCAGTAAAAGGATAGACAGCATCCATTTCGACGTCCCTGCGGACGTGCAAACGCTGAGCATCTTGCGTGGCTCGTACGAGACGACTCAGAAAACGAAACAGAAACCTGCGGCACACTCAGTGCTGCTCGTCGAGGGTTCATCCACGTTTGCGTCGGTCCGGCTCGACAGCTGGCAGGGTGAGGAGAACGCAAAGCAGCACTCAAAGCACGAGCTGTACCTTGGCGACGGCATCTGCATCGCCGTCGACATGGCGCCGGGAACGGCGTGGGCCGACTCTGGTCCTCTGGCGCGCATCTCACAGACGGACAAGACCACCATTTACGAGAGCATCAGTCGTATGTACGACATGGATATTGTCGCAGGACCTGGAGTAGGGCCATCAGGGCCAGTCGCAGTAGTAGGGGAAGATATGCCCTGGTGGGTCAAGTGGAAAGAGCCCCTGGCCGCCATCCTGGGCATTGTCAAGGGCGACGGCAAGTCAGCGGCGGGCATCAAGGCCTCGCATAAGGGGCTGTACGTGCAGTTCCAGTTCGGTGAGGAGGCCATGCAAACCGTTGAGAAGGGCATCGCGGTAGCTACCGCCGTCTCGGGTGTCCTTTCTGCCGCGGGCCCCATCGTCGGTGCCATTACCTCGGCCCCGGGCGTGCGACAAGTCGCCATCAATGCGCTCTCGGCTGCGGGGCCAGTCGCCTTGCTGAGCATGGGCGTCGGTGCCGCCATTTACTTTGTGCCCTGGCAGGGTCTCTTCGGCTGGCTGAAGGGCATCTTTGCGCGCCTGTGGGAGAAGATCTGCTCTCTTTGGAAACGACTGATGGATTTCGTACGGCGGAAACTCTTTGGGACCGGCGAGGGAAAGCTCACCGAAGGAGAGTCGGCTGATGCGGTGCCCTTGAAAATGAACAAGCACCGCCCGCCTCCCATCCTATTTTGAGGGATAACATATGCAAGCTAAGTCCGTCTTTACTGCTATCACTTTTGCACGGTGGTCTTTAGTATTTCTTACTTTACAGTCGTTGCTACTCATAGGTTATAGAATGGTATACTCTCTTAGAAGGACTATATAGACACTAAGAAAAGATTGCAGTCTGTCTTCCCATCAAGGATATTTAAATACAAGACGGATTCATCCCACTAGTAGCAGTACCATCAAATACACGAAACACGTTTGTGTATAAAAGTTAAAAAAACACGATATAAATATAAACTCCGTTTAGCCTTATAGATAGAGTATATTAATCCAGCATGAGAAACTCTCCTATAGGAAAAGGATTGCTCCTAGCTGCAACGGACGTTCATTGAGAGGACCGCCTTCTTAACCTGATCCAGATGCATAGCAGTAAAGACCACTTGAAACAACTCACCTTAGAATAGGAGGATACCTTTATCTACGGCAACATCTGATACAGTTTGAAAAATTTCATGGCTTCCGCTTTAGAACCTCCTTTGCCCGCTCTTCCTGCTTTGTCTCATGCCGCCTATCCTCTAACTATTGTTTTTTGTTCAGATGATACATGAAGGCCCCCATTCATAATGTCCAATACTCCTCACCTTGTCTTTTTTTGACGCCATACACCGCAAGGTGCTAACCTAACTGTTCAAATTAGAACCAGTACACCCTAAGAGCAAGGAACTATGCAACGTCCCGACCGTTCGCTAGCCATGTTAGGTAGGTATCCAGTGGCCATGTTATGACCGAAACTTCTGACAAGTTCATCGACAGGCGCCCCTCTGTATTCATCCAGTGGCATCCACTATTCGATTTCTGGATTGACATTATGCCGCACAACTAGTCCCTCTTGGCGATAAAACAGACAGCTGGGAAACGCTTGCCTATCGCTCGTTGGGGTATGCCGAGGTATCTGTTGGTCTATTGGTCTGTTGGGTGTGTTCCAAAGGTAGAAGACTACTTTAGCGCCTGCTACCGTGAGGTGGCTCCGCTATCAGAGAACACGACCTAGGTACCACGTCCACATGTTTTCTCACTCGTCATCTATAAAATACCTGCGCCACAGTGTGGCTTGCAGCGCGGATCCGCCTTGGCTGCGACTTCTTTGATGCATCTGAGTCAACTCGATTCTCATTACATCGCCAAATTTTACGGGAACATGCCACAAACCACATGCCACTTTGCAAAACCGCTGGCGCAGTCCACGCGGTCCGAAGTGCTCGAGTGGAGATTTCCCAAGCCGCACCACCAATACGTCCTTACAGGCAAATCACGGGCGGCCTGGCATACGGCCTTCCTTGTTCCACAGCTTAACCTACTCCTAGACGCCGGGTTATTAGTCAACAACTCACGCCCGAAACAAATATTCCTCACGCATGGCCACAGTGATCACACCTTTTGCGCCCCGGCCTTCTGCAAGCGCGATGGGCCGCCCGACGTCTATTGTCCCCTCGAGATGAAGACCGTTTTCGACCAATTCGTCATGACCAAACGGCTGCTCAACCTGGGTGGCGAGTTCCGCCTGAATGAAGACAAAGACATCGCACAGGACGACGAAAATCTTTCTGTTGGCACGAAATGGCTGCAGTCGCACCAGACCCATGGCCTGCAGGCCGGGGATGTCGTGTCTCTGCCTCTGACCAAGGACATCACCGCCACCGCTTTCGCCTGCGACCACACCGTCCCCTGTCTCGGATACGTCTTCAGCATGAACAGCCACAAACTGAAACCCGAGTACAGGTCGCTCTCGGGACCGGAGCTGAAGGCTCTCCGCACCTCGGGCGTCTCGATCACAGCTCCGCATGCGGCCCCGATATTTGCCTTCCTGGGCGATACGACGGCCGCTACACTTGCTGCAGAGCCGAGTTGGCTCCGGGGTGGGATACCGGTCGTCATTACCGAGTGCAGTTTTCTTCACGAGGAGCACAGGGCTCAGGCTGTCAAGACGAAGCACACGCTTTGGAGTGACCTTGAGAAGATTGTCCGAAAGTGGCCAAGGACTACCTTTGTGCTGACCCATTTCAGCCTGCGCTACAGTGACGAGGAAGTGCGCAGGTTTTTCGCCGACATGGCGGACCCGCCACCAAATATCGTTGTTTGGGCTGATGGCTGGGCTGATGGTATCTAGGAAAACAATTCCAAGTATGCCATCAGTAATTGCATGACGTTTCACACATGAGGTTACATATTGGAGTCTAAAGCAGTCCGGTGAAGATGTTTGACGAACGAAGCCCTACTGGACAAGATCAACTTATGGACAGCCGAGATGTCTCCATTCAGCTTTCCAACAGGGCCTGGCGTAGAATAGCCCACGTGCTCCCGAGAACGGTCTATCGCAGGCTCCCAGTAAGCATCGATTCATTCATGTTCTTCGTAGGATGGCAGACTATGATGTCTTTCTAAGGAGCCTACTCTGACGTGGGGTAATAAGACGAGGAGGCCCGAGTGATGCACTTCAGTTACTATAGATATACAAGAACCTAACTGGCATCCTAGATAGTGATGTGGACTTAGTTTATTTGGGAATAAGAACTGGCATAGGCCTTGTGACCACGGTCAATTGTCTGTTGCGTCATGAGGTTCCCCTGTATGACGCCGAAGAACCGCTGTCCGATGCTTTCCTAGCCTGTATGTACTTGTTACAGATATGCACAGTTCCCCAGAATTTCATATGTACTACTGGGATTCCAGAGATATATCCCGCCTCATTCTTTGCACAAATGTTGACTTCTATGCGTATCTCAGTAGTTCAAATATATCCAAAGTCAGGATGACATGCTTCAATCCAAGCAAGTTCAAGTAAGTTACTTTGTATACTTCCAGTGTCAAGAATGAAACTATTTCCCCCACTTTTCTCGTGTTGTCTCGCGTTCTTGGGGAGTCGGTATCTTTCTACCTTAGCTCGCCATATGCTATAACACCAATGGTCCAACTGACAATAGAGTCTTGGTTGAGCTTCACGAGGATGTTCAATTGAGTCGCTATTGAAATTCCGATTTTCTTCGAAGTGAATCGTGGGAATAGCCTGGAGAAAGACTGAGCCTCGCCGCCAGGGCATCAGCTCCCTTGACTTTTGTCTGGGACTGGCGCTATCCTCTCCCCTCCCGACTCGTTCTCACCAGTATGCTCTATATTTGCTGTTAATTTTTTCACCTCCCAATCGAAGGGTTTCCGCCCATACACAATCCAGAAGGGCACGAAGAACATGTTCCTCACATCCGCCAACTCCCTCTTGGCGTCAGCGATTATTTGATCGACCTGTTGTTCCGGAAGCCCCGAACCAGAAACCAATATTTTCCGTGTCGCCATGAATGGCCAGGTCGTACGGTTGAACCGGCCGACCTCTCTCAGCCTCGGATTGTCGGGCCATGGACTCAAAGGCCACGGAAGCCTCTTCTCTACTACGTCCACGAACCCAGTCTCGATGAGCCAGCCTTCGTACTTGTTCGTCACGAGCATGTCGCGACCCAGCGCGGCGCCGCTCGAGAGGAACAAGTCGGCCCAGCGCTTGAAGGCGGATCCCTCGGCGGTGCCTAGGTAGCGGTAGGGATCGGCGGTGCTGTCTTGGTACTCGATCCATCCTCCGGGGTTGAGGTTATCGAAGGCGTGCTTCATAACAGTTCTGTGGTCGTTAAAGCAGCTGACGCAGAGCCGCAGGTGAACATAGTCGAATTTGTGATCGTAAATCCATTCTTCCTCGGCATCTTCCTTGATGAACTCGCAGTTGGGGACGGAACTGATGAGGTAGGTTAGCATTGTGTGCTTCCGCCAGAGAACTCGAGGTTGTGCGAGATGCGTACGTTTCAAGGTCGGGTTGGATCTTACTAAGATCCGAACCGACGACTTTCGAATGCGGATTTTGTCTCGCAAAATCCAGAGCCCATATACCCGTCCCAGTAGCCACATCCATGATCCATTCGGGGTTGTAAACGGGGGCGCAAGCCAACTTTCCCTCTAGCAACAAGGTCAAATTGGCGTGCTGCATGTCCAGACGGTCCTGTTCTGCGGGATCATTTGGCAAGAAGTACTTGCCCTGCTTGTAGCCATGATACGTCCTGCCATCATGTCCTGTCACTGAGTCGGGTTCAATGATGGACTCCCCTGATGGAACACGCGGTGAGTCGTTGTCACCAGAGAAGAAGTCATCTGGCTGCCAGTTGTTGTCCATATTTGGAAGACCCAAGCCCGGTTGGACGAATGGATAAAAAAGTCGCGAAGTTTTGCTTGGAAACTATAGCTGCCGGGCTTCTCTGTGATTGGATGTAAGATCCGACCGATTTATCGTTTCGTACTATCGTTTCGTACTAGTTGACGTTGCCCATGAGTCGTTGATCGAAGGGTGCGCTGTTTTCAGAGAAAGGTGACTCGTCATATTATTATTCCCTGCCCCCGTTTCACCCGCTTAATAATGCATGTGCGCCACATTCTAGATCGGTTTAGACGGCCTGAATAGTAATCTTGAAACTCGCTGATATTGGTCGATCGCCAGCAGCCCGTGATCTGAATTACTGTGGCGCTCTAGCGTAGTGCCAATTGCGTGAAGCCAAGGCAGTGTGATGCTTGGGTTTCGATGGACTATAGCTGTGTCTGGTTGTGCGTTTACCTGCACCTGCTACTTAGCCCAACGTCACCTCTGCCAGCTTAGCTAACCTTTCCTCCACACCAATACATGCGTCTTGACACTATTATCCCCTGGATTATAGATATCCCCGTCGAAGAAAAGTAATTATTGTGTGCCCCTGGCACAACGGATGTGTACTGGGTGTAGCGCTCGTGCCAATTGTCTGTAGATAGCCCTTCCGTAGCTGCAGACTCCTGGGAGTTAAGTGCCATCATCATCACCACCCCCAATATAGCTCTGTTTCCTGTACTACCCACAGTAAAACATAAATTACAAGTTCAGCGGCATATCCAAGATGCAGAATGCCTGCAGCAGTCCGAAAACTGCAAGAACTACCAAGTTTGGTTACCACTTTCCAATGAAGTCTCCGTCTCTCGTACTAGGTTGCCGGCAATCAAATTTGTCTTGCACTTGCGCAACAGTTCAGCCGAGCTCTAAAACACGACCAAGAGGACCGCTTGCGCCGAATCACTGCAGGTAATCAATGCGGGAAGGACACTGGATATAGCCTCTCCAGTTCATAGCCTCAACGTTGCCGCTCGACATGTTATCTCGGTAGCAATAGGAAATCAGGCGGGTGCCAATCACAAAACGAATCTACTCGTGATCACGGAAGCGAGGAAATACACGAAATCTGACCTGCAGGAGGATCAGAACGGCTATGGCCTATGTCGATGGTATTTGTAGATTGCACCCGCGAGCCTAACACACAAGTGCAAGCGATTGAGCAATACGTAAACTGACTGGTGCTGACCGACGGTCGCTTTTCATTAGATTGTGCTTGCTCGTGTGGTACCGGACTGTAGGGAGAGACCTTTAACTGGCAACACCGATGCTTCTGCTTTGCGAACTAATGGACCCAGAGTCAGGAGGAATGCTTCTAAAATTGGTTCATACGTATGGTTCATTCTCAACTCCTTGGTTATTGGAAATGACTTGAGGTATCTGCTGCTAGCGTCTGCGGAACTTTGCTGTCTATCCTTGGCTTTTGTGACGATTCCCATCCTCATTCCTTTCTCTCTCGAAGTATTCAACGAAACAAACGCTCACGTTTTTCAGTAGGCCAGTATCTTCAGAATATTTTCGACCTCTCCGACATCGATAGTCCCCTTCATCGAGTCCTCCAAGCACGACGAGTGCATCCACACCCGCGAGCCTCCCTTCCGCAGTCTCAGCTTGTCCGACAGTGCTTCTACGTTACTACTCCTCACTCCTCCGCCAACAATAACCTCGATACCATTTGCCGCCAGCTCGACCACCCTCGCAAGCGTGTCCACATTCCCTATCGCATTCCCCGGCCCTGCCGAAGTAAGAACCGCATCAAACCCACACTCACTCAGCGCCCGTAGTGCCTCCTCGACACGCCTGGTTTCCCCAGTCTTCTGGTAATCAATAACCGCATCAAAGGCCCGATGGAAAATTACTTTATACGGGCGCGCAGCTTCCACAAGCCTCCCATTCCTCTCCCCATCGATTACCAACCCCCGACCTGCCGCAAGCCGCAAAATCCCGAACACAAACCCGTCACCTCTGTCGAGGTTCATGAGGCCTGAGGTCTTGAAGTCCTGGATCGACAGCTCCATGCTGTCCACCTCGGCGTCGCTATACACGAAGTCCGGCTGGTCAGAAGGTGGACCACGAGGCCGGATCATGACTCGCACGGGGATTGTGAGAGAGCTGAGCCGGGAGAGGTCATCTAGAGATGGTGTCAGGCCGCCTGCTGGGTAGGAGCCGGCAGCATTGAGCTCGACGCGGGATGCGCCGGCTTGGGCGGCGGTCTGGGCTGAAGCGGGGCCGAATATGGGGATTTCGAGATTGATGGGCATTATGACGAGTTTTCAAAGAGAATATTTGGAATCGAATAAGTCTCGCGCCACAGAGATCAAAAGGCTACTGGCTGGATTGTGTGCCAAGAATCTGTCTCGTAGTTGTCAACAAGATTGAAGCATAGTCCCTGCTTCCGAACTCAATTGAATGGAGGGTTGCAAACTGTTAGCTTAGTCATCAAGCTTATTCCCCAACACGAGCATGCCAATACTCACTAGGTTAGGTGAATGTATAGAAATTTCCGATGTCACTCCAACTGCTTCGGGACTGTTAGAAGTGGCTATTTGGTCTTCGATCCCAACAACAGAATACCGTCAGGGGGCCCCTTTTCACGAAGCCTATGCCTTATCAATCCCGCAAATTGAATCAATCGAAATCATACACAGATTCCACCAGTTTTAACGAACGCAATCAGAGTGGAGTTTGTCGATTACTAGACGAAGAAAAGACATTCTGAAGAACGTAGAAACAACGCAAATCTAAATATCCTCCGCGAATAGAGGCTCATTCTCAGAACGAACGCCAGGTAAAATTCGATGCCCGTGCCACAACGCGATTGATGGGTATCTTCAGCCGAGACAAGCATCCTCTAAACTTAGGTAACGTGACATTCACGCCGTATGCGCCTTCGTAACCCGTATTCCCTTCATTCCGCCATTCCATGGCATACATGCATTTACGTTTATTCATTCGTTTCGTTCTTCCGAGCCCCAGAATTAGAAAAGTCGTTGACGTCGGTAGAGCTTTTTGATGAAATAGAGCTACTCGTTGCACGCGTAAAACTCAACTAGCTTGTCATCTCGACATCGCTCTGGTGTCCACCGCCTTCCTGGATATCTCCATCTTCAAGGAATTCCTCGGTCAGCCCCGTGTTGCTTCTAGGGGCTCGGTTGGAGTACGAAGTGCCTCCAGGGGGCTCAAGAGAAGTCGCAGGACTCGAATCTCGGTTCTGGCGTCTCTCGGGTCTCGCGTACGGCTCTCGTGGAGGAGTGCCTCGAATTGAAGCCGACCTTATATGCGAGGTTCGGCTCAAAGGGGGTCCACAATCCGTTTGTGTGGCATTATAGGATCTTTGAGCAGCACGTCGAGTATAGCCTCTGGAAGGAGGTCGTTTGGTAGAAGGGGTCAGAGGAGGAGATTTTATAGCAGTAGACGAGCCTGCAGGAGCACGTGGGGGTTTGAAAAGTCCGGAAGGAGGGCTGCTGGTTTTTGAGGGTGTTCCAGGTAGGGTTCTGACAATGGCTTCTAGATTAGAATCTTGAAGAGATTTCTGAGCAGCACTTCGGGAACAGCAGATGTCGGAAGCAGGTCTTCTGGCAAAGGGGGGTAATGGTGACAAGGTCCTAATCGATGATGATCCAGCGGACAGAGGGCTGCGCTGAGAAGATGATGTTGGAGGCCGAGCAGCCAATATCGCACTAGATTTGTTTCTGGTGATGTTAAATATTGAAGACAGCGTGGAAAATGCAACGGTTCCACTTGAAGTAGCGGCACTAGGGATCGCTCCTTTCACAGCGTTTTGAGCTGTAGAAGAACTGGCCGGTGAAGTTGCAAGGCCCCATGTTCCATCAGCAGTTGTCTTACATGAGCCAAAAGGTAGAGGGCCGGCAATTAGGTCGAGGAGTCCAGGATTATGGCGACTAAAAGGAACAAGTCGAGCAGGAGTATTGGGAGCAGCCGAGGATCCATCAGATTGAGTCCGAAAGCTCACAGTGCGCTCAGTCGGGGCCATACGGACGTTGTCCTCCTCGAGGTCATTATCACTGCTGCCACTCCGATAGCTCAGCGAGCCTTGGAGAGTTGAAAGTCCAGTACTCGTGACTCCGGAGCCAGAGATCTGCGAGTTGGTATTAGGGTAAAAGAGCCCAGTCTGGGGGCGCTTGGAATTCTCGTCACACTGGGGCTCTTTTCCTATGGACTGGATCAAGGAAGTTCCGGGGCCTGAGGGAACAGAGCCTAAATCATTGGGTTTTGGGGGTCGAAAGGCTGAAGAGCCAAGTGCCGTAGTCGCGGGAGTCAAGATGCGAGCAGCATCGGAACCAGCAACCAATAGACCACCCTTGAAAGGGCGACTCGCCGAAGAAGTAGAAGCGGCATATTTGTGTGGTGTAGATCTCGGCAGCCGAGGAAGACGCCGTCTCGATTTCGCGAATCGGGCCGCAACAGATTGAGCCGCAGACTTCCCGTTGGTCGTCTGATCATCGCTGTGCTCTCTTCGCGCATCATCTTGATCGTCTTGATCCTGATTTGATACAGAGCCAGAAGAACTCGAGTTGTTCGTAGAGCCCAGCAAGTTGGAGCTAGAGCTGGAAGTAGTCCATGTGGCAAAGCCTGAGGGGCTGGATTTAGAGCTTCCAGCGGAAGAGTTGCTTTGAGTGGGAAGAGCACAGCCTCTGTAGCGACCTGTTTTTGCCATGAATATTAGTAAATGGGGCGAGAAGGGGTGACAGGTAGATAGATAGATAGTAAACGTACCGGCTTTAATCTCATATTCGCGAACGTATTGAGCAGCGTTGGGTGAGCGACGGCGAGTTTCAATATTTTGGAAGTAGTGCTCGACTATTATGTAATTAGCGTGCTGATTAGGCTTCGAAGCCAAGTAGAGCTCAACCGATAAAGATGGGACTGCTCAAGTGTCTTGAAGGATAAAATGATATTGGATCGCGTAAGTGACATGTAAGACTCAGCGAGGGGTAGAAGGAAAGTACGTAGGACCGCGAGAAGGGCAGAGGGGAAGTACGCGGGACCGCAAAAGTGGCATACGTAAGTGAAGATACGACTCAAGGAGGATGGAGGGGTCGAAGGGAACAATTTGTGAACGCGTGAGTGGGATGGGCAAGTAAATGTAGGACCTAGGGAGGAGTAGAAGAGAAGTAAGGTACTTCGGACCGCGACAGGGGTAGAAAGCCAATTGACCGCCAACCGCACGACAATCTCCAGGACAGGCAATGCTTGTAAGGGACAGATGATGCAGTGATGGTGACTCCAGGAGGTCTCCAGAGGATTGAGGATATTTGGGAAGGTCCGAAAATGGGGGAGAAGTCAGTTGATGCAGAACCCTTGACTCTGCATAACAGCCAGCAAGTCGCCCCTTGAATGCCAGAAAACCAAAGACAATAGGAAATTTAGTTTACACATCAGAACGCCGCTGTATTCGCGGCGGGAATCCTCCCCCATGGCTCTCTGCATATCAGCAGCCAGGTCATTCCACGATCGCTCAGGCTTCGCACGGTCAACGCCGGCTCGCTTGGGCCCGACCGACATGGCTACGCGCCAGAAGTATCTCTCCTCCTTCTCTGACCAGACTTTGCCACCCATATTGGCTCTTGTGTGTGTACGTGTGCGTGAATCGATTGCTGCAACTGCGTACACGATGTTCTCGGTGGTGATACCAGTGCTGGCAGTGGTGATACAAGTGAAGAAGCAAGATGGACCTGCAGAGGCCGAATGCGTTTTATGTTAGTGATGGCTTGGCCAAAGGAAGAGGTGGATGTTGTAAGATTCAGGGACAGAGAGGCATCGAGGGATCGAGCTGCTTTCGTGCTTCGAACAAAATTCATGTGAATTTGGGTCCTCATTACGAGGGAGGGGGTTACGGAGTTGATGTGGTACAGGCTGAAGGGGGTTGCTGTTAGTGGTGGCTTGACCCGAGGAAGAAGAGAAGTGGAATAATTGAGTACAGAGAGGCACCGAAGGATCTAGTGCTTTTATGCTTGATCAAAACTCACAGGATTTTGGTTGCCGAATACGGAAGAATGGTTGTGTGATCAAACTAGGAGAGACGGAAAGGGTATGCTGCTAATCGTGGCTTGGCGAGAGAAAGAAGTGGAAGTGGAAGATTCAGGGACGAAGAGGAACGAATGATTGAGTTTGTTTTATGCTTCGAACAAAATTCACTCCTTCGATTATGGAAGAGGAGGTATGGGGTGAATTCGGCTTGTGGATTTGCTGAGTTCAAGTATTCACCCCCTTGAGAGTGAATTCGAGTTGTTTAGACACTTCGGACGAAAAGCCTCCTTCCTCTTTGCAACAGGAAATGGGGATCGTGTAATGACTGAGTGTGGCGACAAGGTTAAATGTGAGATCCTTTTTCCCTTGTCAACAGTAACGGAGATCATGTAGTGAATTCGGACTGCAGACCTCCTTCCAGATTCAGTGAATGGAGATTTTGTTGTGAATGTGATGGTGACAAGGTCGAATCTAACAACCCTATCCCCCCTTTCACAGTGCATGGGGTTCTTTTAGTATCTGGGTATGGTGACAAGATCAGACCGTATACCTCCCTCTTCCTCATCGACGGTGAACCGAGGTTTTGTTATAAATTGCGATGCTGACCATTGACCAAGTTGAACTGAAGGCGCTCCTCTCTTCCGACTTCGGTTGTGGATCTTGTGTAGGGTGAAATGGGATGATGACTCGAGTCAGGTGAAACTAACTCTCCTGATGACTTACAACAACTCTGCTGTCAATACAGACATATCTGGACAAAGGGTTCGGTAAGTGCAAGACGCGGCTAACACGCTGGTTTTCCCAGGGGCGATCAATCTCCACGTGTGGATCCTCTGAGGGGGTGGTTAGTGTCGAATATGCTATTGTAAGTCCGTGATGATTCTCTAGAAGCGACAATCTTCCGTGGTGCCATACTGCGAGATCTTCTTTCTGCCTAGCTTGATCAATTATGATTTCGCAACATAGCCTCATGGTCTTTCGGTGGATCAAGCAACTAATAGTTTAGCGTCAGTCCATTGTCTTTCGGACGAAGCGATAATTTTCGAGGCCACGATACTCTGAAAACTCTCTTCATGGTATTGCCAGTCACGACGCTGTGTTGTAGTTTCGTAATCCTTCCGTATAATGAGCAACTATCTTGTAGCCCGTTAGACTATGACAAAGTGATGCTTTTCAGCGTGCGATACGCAAATTTTTGTTTTTCTCTCAGAGATCAGGTAGTATGATGTTGTGGTGCGGATTCGTGACCTTGCGGTAAAATGAACAACTATTTGAGAGTCATTCAAGGATTGCTCAAATGAAGTTATCTTTGCAAAAGTACGAAATTGTTGAGGTTATTGCTTCTCAGCTGCGTTGGACTCTTCGTATCCAGATCCATGGGCTCTTCTCATCCAGAGGTGTTAGTTGCTTCTTATCAAGCTGTGATTAATTGTGTTTGGATGGCTCGCCATCTTTCGGAGTGGTTGGAAATCGTTGTAATAGGGAAGCCGCGGGTTTAGCCCCCTTTCCCGATTCAGCACCTACTGCTGCGCTTAGGGCAAACAAATACAAGCGCTTCGCCTGTACTCAGACCCCATGGGCTTAAAGAGCGCATGACCACGTTCGCGAAGTAAATCGGTGGATAATAGTTGCCAACCACAGATCTAGCAGAGCCCACGAGATTGTTAGTTCTTAAGTCTCTATAATAATACACGTACTCTTTGCCGAAACAATATAATCCTTAGTAGGATGTGTTGCTCATGGACACCGCCATAATGAGTGCTCTGCGAAAGCAAACCATTTGGTCTCATACGGTTCCGTAACCTTTTCGGCCCATCCAGCGCTACGCCATTCATGAGTCTACTCCACCCCGTAAAGTAGCTTACAGTACTCCCAGTATTCTGGATACCATCCAGCTTGCTCCCAGTCCACAATTACCACGATTCTTTGAGAGTTGGCCCCGCCTGAGATGATAATATTCCCGAGTGTAAGGTCTCCATAAGCGAAATAGATATAGCACATGTCCGGCAGCAAGTCTCGATAGGGGCCAGTGATTCCTTCCTGTCCGGGCCTTGAACGAGTATCAGCAGCGAGCAGCCAATCATTAAATGACTTGACAGTAGTGAATAGCCCATCATCTTAATCATTCTGGAAGAACCTATCTTGCACAGTGCCACGACTTATATATCCTATAAACGTGGTTAGTTACTGAGAGAGTAGAAGGGAATTCGAAAGATATGAAATATGTACCGATGAAAGTGTCAGAGCCTTGCGAAACCTGCCTTAGCGCGGTTATAATCTGTGCAAGATCATTACATATCAACTTATTATCCACCTCAGTAAGCGCTGGCTATGCCTCCCGCAGTGTTTTGCCAGGGATGAGACTCATATATTAAAAACATTTGTCCCTATACTTACTCCATCCGAAAACTTCGGGTACTGGAACTTCGTTGTTTGGGAATGCGCGTTTGACTGCTCTCATTGTTTGAGCTTCTTCCAACCTAAGGTAAGAAGGACCCCCGAATTTGATCGCGAGATTCAGCTTCTTATAAATAGCGACGCCCTCCTCGAGGTCTGGGTTCTCTTTGAGGACGTTGGCTGGTGTTGGTAGCTGGGGTGAAGCCAGCGCGTGAGAATGAAAAAAAGATGTCTCAACGAAGTCGACTTCTGCAATTGATGTATCCGGCAGAGAAGATACGTCGAAATACGTCTGCTTTGAGCTTTCTGGCACCATTGCAGGATGGACGTAAATAGGGCAAGTGGATGACAACAAACGATGGGAGAAAATATTGAGACTTGAACTTGATTGCGCAAAGTTGGACAAATGAAAGAGGATTACGGAGTTGCTGTTTGGGGAAACGGCGCGATCAAAATATGCAAGGCAGGTGTGGGTAGATAAAATATCCTGGGGAGAGGTTAAACTTATCGGGTTAGGCGGGGGTAGTTGAAATCTTCGGTGCAGGCGACGCCGTTGAAAGATTCCGAGTGGGTTAGAGCAGTCGGGCGTAGCTAAAGCATCCGGACCGGCGGGGGTTTGGAAATAACCTGTTCAGACCAGACGGACATCATATCTAAAACAAGCGGGCTGGGTGAAATAGCCCGGGCAGTCATGAGAGAGATCTACACAGCCAATTCCCAAGCAGCACAAGTGTACATCTTCCAGCCGAAGTGCTTCGCAAATAATCCTTGAGGTCAGAGTGAAGATAGGTATCCAGGAATTTAGGAAGTCGGACGCAAGAAATTTGGGTAGCAATGCTTGATGAACAACGACGCGGTATTGTTTTGCCCCGGACTAGAGTTGAGGAGCTTGCCTGGAAAAGTTTGCCAGAGACAGATACAGGTATGGTATGTGTTGGATTGTGGGAAAATGGTCTTGCATTGAAAGTGTCATGATCTCTGGAGAGTCCTGGACGAAGTGAACGGCGGCCATGAGGGCCTTATATAGACAGGAATGACTGATGCCTGTCCCACAGACAGGACTTGTGTGGTTCGATGGGTGGTGGTAATATTGGCCCATAACGTACGGTGCGTAGCCATATGTCCTTCCAAGACTGGTAGTCTTGGTGTAGTAGTCTTGACGGTCCAACAGTATGATGTTGATAATCGATCGTTCTGACCTTGTCAGGAGGCGTGGGCTTAGCGCAGTGTCGCCTGAGGTCAAATGCCGACGGGCCTGGAGATCTACCAACAGGTAAGCCAACAGGTAAGCATACAGCGTCAGCCTGATGAGAATCGATGAAGTGGATAGGATGCCACTATTGAGAATCTGTTGCTAACCGGAGCTCCGGCTGGAAAATTGACATTCTCACGCTTCCCGGCTTGACCGGTTTATCTGCAAAGACGGAACTTGACGCCTGACCGGGTTTGTGTACGTCAAGATATCGGGAAAAGTACAATCTTGCCATGAAAGAATAGGAGGGGATGAGCATTTAGAAATGTTGGACTACCCCGAAGGGCATTTATGACATTAAGTTCCTTGAGAGCAAGAATGAATTCATGCAATTAAAATGGCTAATATGATGTTTCCACGGGTTAAAGTAGTGTTGTTGCGCTGTGAAATGATGAAGTCCTGTGCTTATATAACCTGGAACCAACGCTGCTATCTCCTACCTAGTCTCCTGTCAAATTCTCCCTATCTGTTCTAAAACGCCAATGCCTCTTTCAAATTGTCAGTCTCAAATGCTAGCAGAAAACTGAGCTGTGCTAGAAGCACCACCAATGGCACCCTGCCACATTATACCTACAAACTCGCTGGTGAGGGTATCGGGTCCCTGACCATATCACTTAGCATCAGTAATTGTGCAAACTACCATGATACACCTAGTATGCCAATGTGCGAGCTTGCCAGCATGGTAGTACAATGTATTCACCAGTTTGCTGTTTTGACCTGTCTAGAGCAGAGCCTTGTCTTGATCTATGTGTATCTCTTACATGCGCCACCTCAGTGTTGGAAATTCCTTTCCAAGAAAATCCTTTCCAAAGCCATTCATGGGTGAAGTGAACTTGCCATACGGAAGTCGGAGCCGCTAATGTGGATCCAATTTGCGCATCAAACCCCCAGTTGAAGCATATCTATTTGTAGTATAAAAAGTGTGTTCAACCTACATTACTAATAATTGAACCGTTGAAATGTTGTCAAGATCCCATAATTTAATGCTTTACGTTGTTCTTGTGTCCACAACTTCGCGCCCTCCTATGCCCAGTTTAAGTTTAGGCTTGGATCTGTGGTACCGCCTTTAGTTAATCCTATATCCAACTCAAGTTGAACCCATACTTTACTCTTTGATATCACCTTCGTTTACCACAAGCTCAACTCAACTTAAACCCACCCTTGTATATACGCCGTTATCTTCACATACTCCTAATGTCAGCGGAAACCCATACTTCCATGCACGATATCGCCTTCCTTTACCCCCAATTCCAGCTCACTTCAAGCAAACGTGCTGGTATCTGGCAGTACCTCTGTCAACTCCGAAGTTCAGCTCAATTGAAGTCGCCTTGTGATTTTTACTCATTCCGATACCCACCCAGGCAAGTATTAAGAAAACACACTGTTATCATATCTGCTAACTTATCTTGTTAATCACATTAGGCGAAAAGGATGCCAGCCTTCCGTACAACCTTGGAGACTACGCTGTTGCCTCATTTTGTCGTAATATATTTCTTGTGGGTGTCACCCAGATCTTGCAAGCTGTAGATGCAGTAATATAGCCGCGAGCCCGCTGGTCAATCGCGAGAAGAACCCATAGGAGAACGCAGTCGAGGGTGGCTCGATGTTTCCCTGCCACGTAACTCGTCCTAGCCACCAGGACACAATAACAAGGCAAATCACACTCCAAACCAAACCCTGCAATGAGTAGCGAACGATCATGGTCCATTAATACCGAAAACCTGATGGCTGTAGTAATACAATATTGCCCATTTCCAGACAAAGCCAGCACTCTGCCTCACTCGAAAGGGCTCTGAGGGTCGGATGGCTTATAACCACGGGCCAACAAGAAAGAACCAAGACGGAGGTCGAACCTGGCGAACTGAGTTCTATTAGTAGAGTGACGAAGGTGCGAGGAGGATTGACCTACGATACTCTTTTCTTTCAGGGGTGCGACGCCCTGCTTGATCCAAATGCCCCAGCTGCCCATCATATTGGCAAGCATCATGTCCGTCATGAGGCGATCTCCAATAATGGCAATCTGGCTGGGATGCGTCACTTGAGTCTCCGGGTGCTTCTTGAAATGCGCCATGATTTCATCCTTGCAACCTGGCTTCTTCACCTTGTGCAGGAGGACCGAGACATCGGTGGCACCCTCCAGCTCGGCGGCTAGGTTGTGATCCCGGTCATATGATGTGGCACCGGCTGTGTTGGAAACTATCAGAAGTTTGTGCCCAGGGAACTCCTTTTGAAGTTGTCGAAATCGTTCCTGATAATCCGATTAGAATTTGAATTATAAGATCCGGATTCAGAAACTTGGCGATGTGACACCAATTGAGGGCAACTTGCTTACAAGGTAAGGGGGATGAATCTGGTTGGTTTCGGGATACGCAAAACAATCGTCTTTGTCGAGGACTACTGCTTTGATTTCCACCTTCTTCCCCTCAAACGCCGTGTTCAATGGCACTGGCAGGTCATTGAAAGTCGAGGCTGTTGAGTGAGGCAAGCATAACGAGGGTTTCGCCAAGAGTCTGAATACATTGACCAATCCTGAAAGATTGAGGTTCAGCATGGCAGCCCAATTTCGGGGCAATACTCCTGGGACTTGCTTGTTGGCTGTGTTTTTCCACCTGATGCCAAGTGGAAGAGGTCGAAGGCTAGCATGTGAGCTAGCATATGATGGTTGTAAGCCAACTTTTGGCATGGTCTGTGCTTTCAACCCTTGTAACGCGACTCTGGAGTACGCAGTACGCGATTTCCCGTCCTTAGGGCGACCTGTATTGGCCAAGCTTGTCAAATTAGAGGTGGCGATCTTGAACCTGCCTCATTTTGACGACTACGCAATTTCTGGAGCCGCAATTGCGCGGCCAACCTTGTGTCAACAAAGAGGGAATTCTAAAAGCTAAAATCTTCTTATTTGCGCACAATGGCGCGCCCGAAAACCACCAAGCCGAAACCAGCGAGCGCCGGCACCCGCAGTTCAACGAGGAAAAGAGCCCGCGATCATGAGGAACCCGAGGAGACCCCCAAAGACAGCCCACCAAAACGAAGAATTGGAAGGAACAACAACCCTTCTTCCGTGAAGGCTGCTGCGAAGAACACCCGATCAGCCTACGATGTTCCCTCGGATGACGAGGAGCTCAAGGCGGGCTCGGCTGTTCAAGATCATGAGAGCGGCGAGCCGGTCGAAGAGCCAGCGGATGATCCCCCACCAAGAAGAAAGCGCGGCAGGCCAAGTGCCGCATCGCGACTGAATGGTGTCGCTAGCGGCCCGAAACCGACTTATGTTTCTCCTGATGAGGACTCAGTGGCACTGTCAAGGGAAGAAGGGGACGATTCAGCACCAACAGCAACTGGCCGCACGAAGCGAGGATCTCGGACTGCAGCTGTCTCGGCCTCTGACAAGGACACTCGAACCAATGGCGAGGTATGCACACCTCGGGGAAGAAAAACAAGAGGCAAAGACACAGTGACGCCGTCAAAGGTAACTGGGGCAGCCAAAGCGGAGACACCACAATGGCGACGGAATGACCGTTCTGCGCGGAAGAAGAGCGCCAGGGCTCTCATAGAACGTGTCATTACAGGAAACGCTAGTGACGAGGATGACGAGCTTACACGGAAGATCTACGAGTCCAGCGAGGACGAAGATGAGGAAGAGGCAGACCAAGACGAGGCGGTACCCAATGCTGGAGCGCCTGAAAGTGCTGCAGTGACACCATCAAAAAGACCTCGTGGAAGGCCCAGAAAAGACGACACAACACGGGCGCGAAAGAAGTCTCCCACGCCGCCCCGAGATTTGCCTCCACATGAACTCTACTTCTCTCAAAATCGGCCAGGTCCTTCAAAGACTTCAAACAACAACCTTGCCTCACTTCAACTCCTTACACATGAAGACTACTTCTCTATACTCCATGAATACAAGAACCCGCATATTGAGGATGTTGAATTCCTCCAGTTGTTACACGCTGAGTCGTTTCCACAATGGGTGTTTGAACTGTCCCAGGATTTCAGTATCTGTCTCTATGGGTACGGGTCAAAACGGCCCTTGTTGCATAAATTCGCAAGGCACATGTACGACAGAGCATCTGACCACACCACGAACAAGATTGTGATTATCAATGGATATGTACGGAACACTGCGATTCGAGAGATCCTGGGAACTGTAGGAAGTGCAGTAGATCCGTTGTACAAGCCACCCGCTGGGAATCCCTCTGCTATGCTGGAAAGTATCAAAACCTTGCTGTCCTCGCATGATGTGCATATCACCATCATCCTCAACTCTATCGATGCCTCACCACTCCGAAAACCAGGAATGCAAGCCATTCTTGCTCAGCTTGCATCACATCCACGTATCCAACTGATTTGCTCAGCGGACACCCCAGACTTCCCGCTGCTCTGGGACAGTAGCCTCCGATCCGCTTTCAACTTCCTTTTTCACGACTGCACGACATTTGCTCCGCACACTGCAGAGATCGATGTTGTCGATGAGGTCCACGAGCTCCTGGGCCGCAAAGCTAGGCGTGTAGGTGGAAAGGAAGGGGTTACGTACGTTCTGCGCAGTCTGCCGGAAAATGCCAAGAATCTGTTCCGCCTGCTGGTTGGCGAGGTGCTGGCGGCCATCGACGAAGAAGGGTTTTCCGCAGGAGAGAACCCAGGAGTCGAGTATCGTATGTTGTACAACAAGGCGGTGGAGGAGTTTATCTGCAGTTCTGAAATGGCGTTTCGGACATTGTTGAAAGAGTAAGGCGCCTACATATATTCACTTGACGTGCCTAGGCTGACATAACACAGATTCCACGACCACCAAATGATTACGAGTCGTAAAGATGTTCTCGGCACCGAGTTGCTCAGTGTACCATTCCGAAAAGAGGAGCTGGAAGGTATCCTCGAAGATCTTATGTCATGATGAGGACTTTACCCCCGGTCCAAAATTCAACGCATATCCACGTAGACAAAGCATAGCACTGGTATGAACTTATGATACCCTCACCTATCTAATCTTGACCGTAACTCCAAATATTGCTCTAGTCTACGTCCTTGATCAATTCGCTCTGCTTGTCCAGTTCACTCCACTTCGGCTTGCCGTCCTTAATATCGACTACACGTCTCGAGTAGAAGATATGCATTGTCGGGTCGAACGCTTTCTTGGCCTCGGGACTAACGAACTTGATAATGGCCGGGAATATCAACACCATGTTGCGACCCTCGTCCAGAATAGGGGCGTGGCAGTATGAACAGCTGACTTTGCAAGGCAGATCATGGTGCGTGTGGTTCTTCTCTGAAGAATAGAAAGCAAGGCCTTTAGCCCCGTTCTCGAAGTGTAAATCATTCTTCTCGAAGACAGCGGCCCACTGGAACGGTGCGCCTGGTTTTAAGCGTCAGCTGGGGGAGAACCATGTGGATTGGGGGAGGAAAATTCTACCGTGGAGAGACTGGCAATCCTTGCAATGGCAGAACTTGCTAGCCAATGGCTTCTCTCGCGACAGCCAGTACTTGATCCTTCCGCATTTGCACTGCGCAGTGTGTTTCTTCTCACATGTCTCGTTCTCGTCGTGGGTGCGGTACGGCGGGTTGTTTCTCCAAGAGCCTTCCTCGGTGGTCTTCAGTTTCTCCTCTTCCTCGTGGGTCCTGACTGTGTTGTGTGCCTTGTTTGGGTGCGCCAGTCCATCTTTTGACGTGGCGTGGTGCTCCTCGTTATAATGCTCGTCGGCGGGTATCTTGCGCTTCTTAACCGATGTTTCTGATACCATGTTTGAGGCGATACTGGGTTTTCGTGGGGCAGTGGATGCGAATGATGGAATTTGTTAGTTTTCCTTGCCGCACCTTAGGGCAGAGTGTATTGAGTTCTATGCTATTCAAAGTGCAGTCGTGCAAGACGTGGTAGTGACCAGTTGTGATGACGTCGTGGAATGCGCCAAAGGGCTCTGAGCGTGGAGGCGTTTCTAGGCTTCAGCATGGCCAACTGCTTTTCCACAGCCTCTAGTGTATTAGATGGTTCTTACTTTTCAGTCGGTCTTAATGGAAAATTGGTGTTTTTCAGACAAGTGAGGTTCCAATCGTCATCCCGAGGTTGTGCATGTAATCCATTTATACTAATGTTGGCGTGGTCCCTCGGACAATTATTAGTGTCCTAGATTCCCAGACCTCCTGCCCAGAACCCTGGAAAAATCTGTAAGGAAAGAGCCGTTGTGGCGGGCCGGTCTCAGCTGATAAGCTGAGTCGGGAGGGATTCGCCCCCGATCCGGTAGAACCCCGGAACCGCCCAGCTTAAGAGGAGAACTCGAGACGCTCGCACCTAGTTTAGATTCTTCAAGAATCAGTCTTGCAATATACGCACCCATACACTGGCCTACTTCCTTTGCACTACCTGACTATTATATTGTGAGACGTGTGGTATCCTCGTTACAAAATCTCCATCTCTTCCACATGTATCACATCTTCTAACGTCGGGAGAATGCCACAGTTAGATGTAAGGGTAGCACAACCCTCTGAGGTGACACTCTATCAAATTTCACTTCATTCTACGGAGCTTAGGTCCAGGAGTTGTCGTTGATCATAAGGGGGTAATGACCTCCCCACGCTTGCCTTTTAGGGGTATGATACGTTGGCACGCGGCTCTCTGGGCTAGCTCGACAACACGATGCCTGTCCTGTGTTTTGTCTGTACTCTGTGCCAAAATCCAGCCATTTGATCTGGGTTCTAAATTATAGTTCACCAACCATTGAATTGCCATTTGTGTTTATGGGGTCGTTTAGACGGCCAAGTATTGTCGTCTTACATTATTTCTTCAGCATTCTGTCGGAGGTTTTTGGTGGCTTCTGGCAAACACAACGTTGGTCAAGACAAGCAATGTCTTCGTGGAAAGTCCTTCTATTAGACGGTGGCGGAAAAAGAGGTGCAATTCGAGGTGGTCCAAATTTGAAGCTGGAAGAAGCTACCCTGGAGCGGCCTCGTGCTGAAGTCTCAAGCCGTCAGCTGGTATCGGCCGAGCCTAAATCCGGGACATCTGTAGGGTCCAGCCCGATCTTACCCGCCCTTAACCCAGGAGCTTCGAAAAAGCGAACTCATCCCAGGAGCCGGAACGACATGAGAAGGAAATGTGACGACAATGTCATCTCGGCGCGATGACATTCTCCCGAATCTGCCAAACCCCTACATGGGCGTGCTGCCCGTCAATGCCCCAGATGCAACACGAGACAAACAGCAGCCGCGAACAAATGCGGCCACGGCTGCCTCGGCGGCTAGTGTCCGCGCCATAACGTCACAAGCCATCGCCTTCTACTTCCGTGCTCCCGTTAAGGCCTTCTTCCGGACGCGTGTGGACTACCTGGCGTACGCGCGAAGTGTGCATCAAGCGCAGATGGACATTCTGAAGCAGGCTGCATCAAACGACCGCACAGCATCGAGAGTAGGCCTTAGGCTGAGACAGGCATGGCAGCTTCTGCGGGGCACCACGCCTGGTCTCCTCACTAGCGCGATTCGGGAGCATGGATGGGGCGTGATACCGCAACAGATCCTGCCCCCTCTTATCGCCAACGTCACCGTGGGTGCTGTGTTGTACACGAGCTATCTGCAAATCCTGGGTCAGCTTCATGAGGAGAGTGGGAGGGCAACTAAGCGGGTGTACCCACCCCCGGGTCCTGCTCACACCTTCACGGCGGGGTTCTTGGCAGGGAGCATTCAAAGTGTTGTTGCTGCACCCCTAGATGCGATTCAGGCGCGGTATGACCACCGAGACTTGATGCCGGCGAGTGGCAAGGGAAAGCCGAAGAGTATGTGGGCTTTCAGCGCAGACAAGCTGCGGGAGATCGGCCCACGAGGCATCTTCGCCGGCTGGGGCCTCAGCTTCATGAAAGATGGGTTCGGAAGTGCCATATTCTTCAGCATGTTCGAGTTTGTAAAGGCGCAGGGATACTATGGATTCGTGACGTGGTACTACGGCGGGCTCAGTGAGGATATCGTCAACTTGCTCGCGAGAAAAGGGTCTTCGAATCGCCGGACAGCGGTGGATGCAACCGAAAGCAACAATGAAACCGGAAAACCGGCCATCATAAGGCCACACTACACCATCGAACCGATATTTCTCCTCCTTGCGGGAATCAGCGCCTCATTTGCCCAGCAGGTTCTCCTTCACCCACTAACGTACATCCAAGTAAAACACTGGGACCATTTGGAGGAACTCGACGCCAAGGCTGGTCGAATTATGGATTCGGCAGCCGCGGACGCTGAAAAGCCACGGCGGAAATGGAGGATGTTACGAGCGTACTATCGCGCCTACCAAGAAACGTGGTCTCGCCTGTTGGCTCAAGCTGCATCAGAGGGTGTTGGGCTGACACATTGGTTGTATCGAGGATTCTGGTGGAATACAATTAGACAGGTGCCCAGTACGAGCGCTGGATTGATCATATTTGAGCTGGTCAGAAGAAAGTACGGCATGGGAAATGAAGAGGTGAGGATTACCAAAGATGGGTACGACATCCTACTCCGCTAGTCTTTGAGAGGTATAGAAGGCGTCGGGGCGTTAAGAGAGCGTGGCACATATTTACGCTGCTCACTGTACAGATTCTGGAATAGGAAGAGGTGGCATGTTATTCATCATAAAGTGAACCACTCTTCGACCCCCATTAAGAATCGTTTAGATATTGTGTCATGTCCGAGACACGCTGAGACCACCTCACTTACACACCATGGAGCACGGAACAGTTTGAAAACATGAAAAAACCACATAAATTTAGTAGAAACACATGTTCCCGTGATAAGATCCATCCCAAATACCATGAAGCCATATCGAAAGTCTTCCCGGTGCCCAATAACGTTCCGCCCGGCCATTGAGAGCTTCGAGTGCGGAGTTGGCTCAAATGACGCAAATCCCGGGCGGTCCGTATTTAACCACCTCAGATGTCGCCGACCAACCAAACATTTCTAACTAATAGTAACCAGCGTCACTCCATCTTGTCATCCTCTTGCAAAAGATAGCTCTGAGCTGGCTCCGGTGGACAAATTACAATCAGTCAAACGTCCGCTGGGTCGGCTTCTCACCACACCGGCCAAACGAGGCTCACAATCTCATTGGCATCCCTGCCGTAGTCAGAGCCGAACACCGTGAGGCGTCATGAGACCCCACGATGCACTCAACAGCGACGATGCCAAGGAAGCGCAATGGGAAGCTGCGAAGGGAGCCGCGTTCGGCGCCGTGAAATGGGGCGCTATGTCTGCTGTGTTGGGGGGAATAGGCTACGGGTTCTCGCCACTGTACCGGGGGTTGACGATTCAATTCAAAGTGTAAGCTCGACACTGCTTCCACGCCTTCCACCGCACACTTCCTCATTCCTCAGCTGGGTCGTTTGGGCGTCTGCATGTCCGGGCTGTCATTTGAGATTGAGTGGGAATGACTAATGCGGCGTGCAGATACATCCAGATGTCGGGCATGATAGTGGGCAGCATGATTGAGGCCGATGCGAGGATGCGCCAGTACGAGCAGCAGGTGCGAATCCAGAGGCGGGTCGCGAGGGATCGGGCGATGTGGGAGACGTTTGAGCGGGAGTTCGAAGAAGACGGGGGACTACCGCCGCCGCCGAAACCGAAGCATTTGAGGTGATCAGGACTATGGGCAAGGGATTAAAAGCTTGCCAGGAGCTGGATGAAGCTCTTATGTGAGGTAGTAGTAGTTGAACATGTACAGCACTTGTAAATATTCAGGGGCTATCTGAACAGGGGACCTCAGCCAGCCAGCCAGCCATCGAAGCCAGCCACCGTAAACTCGTGAACGCCTTGCAATGCTATCCCATTCATTCGCTTTCCGTATTACCTGCAACGTGACCACTTTAGAGGCACGCAGCCTGTTACTTATTCGGCTTACTTTTGCTGGAAACGCGCCGGGTCCATATTGATCTTGCATAACCGCGCCACACACCCACTCAACTGCAGCAGCGTCTGCACGCCCTCCAGGATCTTCATGTGCGTGAACCCGATCTCCTTGATGAATTCGAGCTTGCTGTGCTCGCTGAGCGTCGGGATCGTCTTGGTGACCTTGAACATGGTACTGATAATATCATGGCTCGAGTAGCCCAGATCCCACAGCTCCCGCAGGGTGTCCAGAGCGGTCTCCACATTGCCCTCATAGCACGCCTTCAGCATGGCCTGCACCTTGATAGGGTGCGGCGAGTCTACCACCTTGAAAACGTTGTCGCCGCTCACGAACCCGAAACCGGCGAATGTGGATTGCAGGTTGTTGATAGCCTGGCGCATGTCGCCCTCGGCGCTGAAGACTAGTGCTGCCAAGCCGTCGTCGCTGTATTGCAATTTCTCGGCTTCAATGATCTGCAGGAGACGCTTGACGACTTGCGCATCGGTCAGGCGGGCATATCGCAAGATGGCGCATCTCGACTGCAGCGGTTCGATGATCTTGTTGGACTGATTGCAGGCGAATGCGAACCGCGTAGTGTTGGAGTAGATCTCCATTGTCCGGCGGAGGGCTTGCTGCGCACCCGATGTCATGCTATCTGCCTCGTCGAGGATCACGAGCTTGTGTCGGCCAGCGGGCAAGGTTACTTTCTTTTGGGCGAAGCCTTTTATTCGGTTGCGGACTACGTCGATACCTGCAAAGTAGCATGGTTAGATGATGTGCTGTATAATGCGACCAGATGAAATACTTGCCTCGCTCATCACTGGCGTTCAGCTCCAAGACTGCTTCCTTATATAAATCTCCAAGCAGCTGTCGCGCCAGACATAGGACGCTGGTTGTCTTTCCGATACCAGGCATACCGGATATGATGACGTGCGGCATGTTGCCATCTTTCGCGATGATCTTCAGGCGCTCGACGGTCTCGGTGTTGCCCACAATGTCGTCGAGGAAAACGGGACGGTACTTCTCTACCCTGCAGTTGCAAGTGTCAGCTGAAGCCAAATACCAACAATGGGTACCGGGTCGCACTTACCAAGGCAGCTCGTAGGTAGCCACGCCATTTGTGGCACCAGTCAGAGCCTTCTTCGCTGCTGAAGTCGACGACTCGCCGACCTCTGGTTTCGCTGCTGAAGGCATGTTGGGTTGTGTAATAGCTGGTCGCGTTGGAAACAGAGAACGAACGTGCCGGACGTCACGAACGACAGTCAATTAACGCGGTTCGGAAGCTGGCGACGCGTCTTTGGGAGAAATACGCTAAGCCCAGTCGGGGCCCACCCTAACAAATCCTAAGCACCCTGAGTCTCTGTCAACCTGCACATCCCTTTCCTTTGACAAGTCATTCTTATTGATGGTATTTTACCGAACTCCTGGCCTTCAATGCGGTCTTGGAACCGCGGGCCAGTGGATAGGGCGGGTATAGCCCATGTCTTCGACTCTTCGCAAAATATGGCCAAACTTGCAGGCGAAACTGATAAGTTTACTCACGCCTTCTGTATGCCATGGTCCCGAGTTTGAGGCTCATTGGCAGGGAAGCAAATGCATTCATGGTTGCCGTATTGTCCACTCAGAAAAAAACAAAAACTTTCAGGGATGAGAGGGATATGCGCAACAAGAGACTGCAAAAGTGATATATTTGCGAAACGTTAACTCATATAGAGTGAGAAAAGGTTAGAGTCATGAGGTATGTTATAGAGACTGTTCTCTAATATACTTGGGGATTTCAGCTTTTAAGCTTAGTTAAGTAATCTAGTCGATTTCACAATTACGCTGGAGATATCCACACCCTGGCTAGTTTTCGAACATATTAACCTATCTGATTTGATGTAGTTGGAACTATAATATAGGTTAAGCGGGTTCTTTGTATGTCGAGATCGAATCTGCTCTAAAATATCAGTACCGAGGTGATTTTACCCTTGATCAGCAATAGCCTCGGTATCAACGACAGGTGATGTTTTGTTATTTTGTTTCAATGTTAAGTGGCTCCTCAGCCATGGGCTTAGAAATGTCACCAAATCTCAAACGCATCAAGCTTCGATTTCCTAGTATTCAACTGCCGTTTTATTTCGCCATTCAAAAGTCCCATGACGAGATTGGTCCCCACCAAGTAGTGATAGGCTTGATCCTCCTCCATCCTCAAGGTGACAGGGACAGGAGGACGTTATAACACACGAATAACGTCACCAGACCTCACAGAGTCGAGAGTGATGCCCGGATACCTGCTCGACCCACTTCTAGTCTCAATGGTGTCTGCAGCAATGCTTTCATGAGCACCTGCCAACGAGCTACCTTCCTCGCACCACTGGGGTATGGGATATGCGGTTTGAACAAGTTAGACCCCGCGTCGTGGATGGGAATGCGTTGCTGAAAGTGGTAGAATGCGAAAACTGCAGTCGCTTTACCACTTGCTAGGACAGGAGGATGGGGAGCCCAAGATGGCATGTCCGTCTCCAATACTAATTATTTGGCCTTTACAGATAGGTGCAGACCTCCACGTTTCGGGAACAATAGCCGGATTTCGTATTGCTCAGGGTAATCCGCCGTAGTCGCGTAGGCAATGTAAGCCCGGATATAATCAGCATAAATGTCGACGACTGAGATATCATACCAAGGCCTGATATCCACTGTCGCCAACCCTAAGAGGGTGAAAATATGGTCCCTGGCGTCCGTTGCAGTGAAGCGATACCCTATTTCCAGAACACTGCAGCTTTCCATAATACACTCCCAACTAGACCATTTCGCTTTCCTTTCTCTTTCCCGTAGCCAGTCCATCTGCCTCAACGCCCAGGCGGTTGTTTTCGCCGAGCTGATTGGGTGCCACGCATGCCATGGTAGCCAGTCCGTTCCATTCAATTTCGTTTCAGCACCTTCTGCGCCTTTGGCAGTGGTTTACTGCTACATCTGATATACCGGCGATATGGTATCTTGGAGGTGTGATCATGATATTGCAGTAGATACGTAACCGAAGAGTAAGTTTCGGGCCAGGACGGTCTCCAGGACAGTCCAGATGCGTCGCCAGTAAAGAGCACGGTAAGGCTGTTCCATCCTTCATTACCGTTCCAGTGACTTGCATCAGCATCAGCTTCCGTCAAGCTTGACTTGTCCCTAATCCAAGTGATGAGGTCAAAGGGGTTCTTAGGGGTGGCCTTGAAGATAGTCTGTACTTTACGATCGGGCCAAGTGGACATCCGCGTTATCTTCCCCTAGCCAATAGATGGCGAGCACAACCCTAGATGAAAACGACCGAACCAACTGAACCTGCCGATGGTGCTTCTCCAAGTCCTCCTGGTTTAACAAAGAGCATCAATCCACACTCCGAATGACTGCGCATTCCACTGTTACTGTACGTTGCGGAAGCGGCCACTTGTTCTGCGTTGACGGTGATGCATAAGACCGCCCAGACGTAGGATAGGGCCGTGAATTGCGGTTCATCATCAAGCGGGACGACTGTCAGGCGCAGTCTCGTTGTGTCACAGTATTCCGTAAAATCAAGCAGTCTGATCTCCGGCCTGACTGCTTCGAGAGGGTGGTAAAGTAACATTGTAAGAAACAGAGATTAAGTTTGTTGAGACTTGGTACGTACAACATAATGCATACTTGTGAGAAACATGCAATTGTAAGTTCCAAGCGAGCTTCTGCAGGTTAATCCGTACTGCTATCCCGTATGCCAGCTCGGCTTCCTGAGGTAGCACTTGGTGTTCGCTTGACAAGTCAAAGAGTAGGGGAGTCTAGAGAGCCACGACGTAGAGTATCTCAATGTACACCAGTACACCAGATGCAGCTACTAAATCTCACAACGCGCCAATGTTCTATTGTTAGCTGGAGAGAGTATCGATGTCCATTTGCATGGCTTCCACTTCCTCCTTTCTAATTAGTTACCCCTTTTTTTTATGTCCGGTAATCCCCATTGATAGTGATGTACTCATGGGAATAATCACAAGTCCAGTATGTTGCCTTCTCCTTTCCAGTTCCAAGGCGCACGAGGATCTCCAGGTCCTCGTGCTCCAGGATCTGGGCTGCTCTTTCTTCGTTAACGGTTTCGGGCTCACCATCAACCAACAGCTTCAGCTCAGCGCTACCGTCAGATGGAATGAAAGAGACGTTAGTCTTCTCGGGAATGATTTCGGTCACTTCGTTCTCAGGGGCGCCTGGCTCGGTGATCATAGAGTAGCCTGTGGCGCAGAGAATGCGGCCCCAGTTGGCATCCTTTCCGTACAAAGCAGTCTTGACTAGCGGTGACTTAGCGATAGTGCTAGCGATCCTTCGCGCCCCTTCCTCGCTCGAGGATTCCTCGACCCTAATGGTGACGAATTTGGTCGCACCCTCGCCGTCTCGAACGACGAGCTTGGCAAGATCCGTAGAGAAATCGGAGAGAACAGCCTGGAATGCTCGGTAGTCTTCAGAGCTCTCTGATGTAATCTCGGCACCTCCGGCAGCACCGTTAGCCAGCAAGGCTACCGTATCGTTGGTGGACGTATCGCCGTCAATGGTGATGGAGTTGAATGATTTGTTGACGGCATTCTTGAGAAGAGATGGCAAAACAGTGGATGAAATGGGTGCATCTGTGGCGATAACTCCCAGCAGCGTTGCCATGTTGGGGTGAATCATGCCGGCGCCCTTGGTCATACCCGCAATGCGGTACTCCGTCGAAGGCGATGAAGGAAGACCAAAGCTCTTAGAGATGAGCTTGGGGAATGTGTCTGTCGTGCAAATGGCTGTAGCACAGGACATCCAGTGATCATGCGAACCCCCCAGTCGCTCGAATGCTGCAGGCACATTATCCAAAATTTTCTTGATCGGTAGCCTGCTGGGTGTTAGCTGTGCGCAGTAGGTACGTTTCTAGCTAAGGTTACGTACCTTTGTCCGATAACACCAGTGCTCATGACTATTGTGGCCTTGTTGGCTCCGAGAGATTTGTCGGCGGCGCCAGCCATGGCCTCGGCATCCTCCAGACCGCCCTTCCCGGTCACCGCATTGGCACATCCTGAGTTGATGAGCACACCCTGGAGACCTGCATTCTTCCTTAGCTGCAGTAGGTTACGACTGAACGTCACCGGAGCGGCCTGAAACTTGTTCTTGGTGAAAACAGCAGCTGCGGCACACGGACGGTCTGAGGTTATGAAGGCGAGATCTGGCTTGGTGGTGTTGCTGGGCTTCACTCCGACAACGGTGCCCGAGACTTTGAAGCCTTGGGGATACGTCCCGCTTGTTGGAACATACTTCTTCTTCGCCGCGGGAATAGCCCCGCTGGCAGGAGCTGAGTACAATCGCCTGCCGAATTGGACCGGAAAACGACTTAAATGCACCATGTTCATCGTTGAGGATGCGATGTCTTTTGGTTGGTCGCATGAGTCAAACGGCTGACTTAAACAACGGGTCAGGAAAAGTGGCGGTGACGAATGGCAGAATTATACTTGAACCATATTGAGACAGGGGTCACAAGCGACGACACCGGTAACGGAGGTAACGGAGCTTCTGGTTATTCAAGACAAAGCATGAAAATTCTTATTGGTGTCAGCGAGACGCGATGAACAGTCAAGAGACAACATTTTTGGCTTTACCTCGAGGGTGATCGCCCCTTCACCATCTGCGCCGGGAGCAGCAGCTGTTTCGTTGAATATTGTCCGGGAAAGTATCTGCACCGATTAGCATCTCCCCCTGAGGACGATGACAAGGCAAAGCAAACTTACTTCTGTATAGTCGATCCCATCGCTCATTCACAACATGGTCAGGAGGCTGTTGTTGGTACGCCGACCACTCCTGAATTCCGCTGTGAAATACCACATCCTCGTGGACTCGGGCGTCGGTCGGTGAGAGACCACACCAGCGCAAATATCCAGGCGCCATTAAAAACATGGAGAGGAAATAGATGAGCACGCTGGCGCCTAAGTTTTCTGGTGAAGCTCTCCTCGATCAACTATTGGGTCTCCAAGCTGTCTTCATCCAGAAGAAGGCCCTGCTGGTGATGCTTTTCCTCCGTGCTATCCATTTTGCAGCAGGTAGAAACTTAATGGAGTATAGCGACCTGAAGAATTATGATCTTGAGCGAGTAAGTTTTTGAAGTTAGTTGGGTGCATGAGACACCTCAAACACACGGTCACAATCAAGTCTATCTAGGACTATTCTAAAGTGACGAAAACATTTTCCGCGTTGGGCTAGGTTCAGGTCGGACTGACATCATAGTTGTCATAAGACCAGTGGGCAAGTATGACGATTTGAAGATTTACTAGTTACCGATCCACTCAGATATCACAGGAGTGGGATTACGAATCAGGAAGGAGAGCCTAAACCGAGTATTGTCGTCAGATGCATGGTCAGCGACACCATCGAACCGGTCAGCCACGGGGACCACATCCTAGCCGAAGGACTGCAAGCCGCAGCCAATACACAAATTCCGGCATATTAAATTCAAGGCCAAAATAAAAACGACGAGATAAAGACTAGTCTAAGTAGTATTCATCAAGTACGTAGATCATGGTGGCGACAACCCCGAAACGCAGGGATGTGGGACAGAGGCGAATTCCCGGAGATGACTAAAATATGCCTCTGAAGACGGTATGACGGCTCTCGGACCTTAGAATTTGAGAATGAGCCAATCTACTTAATAATTCGACGCTGATAAATACTCTACTGATTCACCTTTATCAGGCAGTATAGTCAAATCCTAAGCACACACCAGGCCCTTTTCACTCACATACCCCCAGTTACCACAATGCGTCCATTTCAAGGTCTATCATAGCAACTTCTCAAGTACAACGAACCTAACGAAATGAGGAATGACTTTGAGCAATTGGAATCTTCATATTCGCGCGTTGGAAAACCAAGACGCGCACTGATTTTCATTACTGCCCTCGTTTCTTTCCTGTTAGGATTTTCTGCCCACACTGGATGGAATAACGCCTTTAACAGTGATGTTGGATTCCCACATGGTCTTGTGTGGACACCGAACTTGTCTGCCAGTATAAGCACGAGCTGGGTGAAGTTCCAGGGCAAGCTCATGGCTGGAGCCCTATAGGGGACCGCCAAGCAAGAGCATTGATGACGCATGGGATCGCTTAACAACAAGTCCCGGGTTTGACGGCGGTGCTATTTTGTTAGGTGTAAGCAACGAAGGCATAAAACGGTCGCGTAAAACAGACGATAACAGCTGGTTCAACTCGACGGTGAGGCTGGGGGGAAATAATGGTGGTGGTTACATGGCGACTTTGGAGATTTTCCATCAACTTCACTGTCTGGTAAGCAACCGAACGCCTCTATCGAGGCATAGCATAAATTTTTCCATATTGCATAATACCGCATTTAACGGCTAGAACATAGTGAGAAGATACACCTACCCCGATTATTATCCACCAGAGATCCTTGGTTCACCAAAGTCTCTGCGTGCCCACGTTGGTTGAAGTGCTTCCCATCTTATTACACTGCGCGATTACTCAGTATTTCTAGACCACTGTATAGACATGATCTGTAAAGTCTTGATGTGCTATGCGGATACAAGCCTGGTACGTTTCACTGGGTCGAAGACAAGGAGGCCGCTGTGCCCGATTTCAGCACTTGGCATCAGTGTCGAAACTTAGAGAATGTTTTGGCTTGGGCGAAATAGCATGAGGCTTCTATGAAACAATACTTGATTAAACCTGATGGCGTTTTTGCAATGCAGTCATTGGACTAGAAACTATTGAATATAAATTCTTAAGTCTCATCGAATTGTACTCTTTGGGCTTCTGTCGAGTGCTCGGTAGAGGTTGTTGGGTATAACACTTGTTTATTTGCTGGAGAGATGTGCCACTCGCCTCGCCTCAGCTCTGCCTATGTCATAGAAAAGCTTGCACACTACTTGCATTCAAGGGACTCTTTCTGGCCTAGATTCGCTTGCCTACCAGCTACATAAAGGTCCCAAAGCCGGCTCGTCTACCTCATATGCCATTTTCACCTAGGGTACGACAAATTCCAAATGGGGCAATAACACCTCATAGAAGAGACTTCAGTGGACACACAAGATAGCGGCCAAGTTGGGGTGAGTTCGAATACACCTTCGCTTTCCAGGCAATATAGCGACGATCATGGTTGTCATGTCTTACATCACGCCACATGTCTCTGTGTTCGACAATCCGTTGGTCTTTATATAATTCAGAAATGTGCGTAATTCCATGAATGGGCCATGAGTGACGAGCTTCTGATAGGAGATTCATAAATACCACTGACCCGTTTAGATTAAAGGGAGCTGATTGCAGAGTCTATCGGAGGATCTAAATCGCTGCGGCTTATGTGCACATCCAAGCCAAGCGTAAGCAAATAATTAGAATAGAGCCGAACTTCCAATATTCTACAAGATACATGGCCGCGTGAGCTTTATCTCGCGACCTAGTCGTACATTTGATGATGTGACAGCGTTATTGAGCCTGCTCACGAGGTCCACGGTGGGAGCGACGACGTCTCTTGCTCGCTCAAATGCCTTTTTTTCTTTTTTTCGATTTTATTGTCCTCGCAAGTCTCATCATTACCTTCGTCACCTCCTAAATAGAATTCTTCAAGTGCTATCGCCTCTTGTGCGATTCTGCCTCATTCAGCTGCCTCCTGTTGTATTTCTTCTTGAAGTAGCCACATAATTTTCGAAAATCAAGCTTACGGCGACGCAATCCATAGCGAATTTTGTCGTTGCGCAGCGTGATAGCATCCAGATCCTGGAAATTCCTGAACGCCTCGGTAATTGTGAATAATCGATGTTCGCCAAAGCGCTCAGGGAACGTGGGACCAAAAGATTTTGGCCCGTATATGGAGAGCATACTTTCGTATATAGGCATTCTTGCGCGACCTGGCATGAATGCCCTAAAGCTTCATCAGAATTACGCGCCTTATAGGCGAGCCACTTGTCATAGCCATCCCAGTTTATGTACTCACCCTGGAATGCGGCGCGTCAGGGACCACCATCTTCTCCCTTGGGATCTGGTTGGACCTCGTCTCCTCTAGGGATGGGGATGAGACGGGGGAGTATCTCTTTCTCTTCTTCATCGTCTTCGTCGTACTCGCGGCGGTCTCATATTTGTCATCTCAAACCGCATCTATAGCAAAACTCAGCCTTTCAAAGACATCATGGGTTACATGTCAGCAAATACTGCAATAGCGAAACAAGTAACCAGAGCCGGTAAGTCGTGCTCGGCCTGTGAAGGATGGAAGTACTTACGTCATGTGGTTTCATCCGCCAATGTGTTCCGCCATGTGATGGGACGATCGGCTCACAGCAACAGATGGAAAGGAGGCCTCCGACTCGACCGCGGTGGTGCACAGCTGCTTCGCGCAAGACTCACAATGACCGTGACCACACCCAAAGATGTTCTTGAGATCATGAGCAGCCTTATTAATGCACGAAATACAGTTGATGCTCCTCGGCAGCTTAATCAACGCCTGGTTGCTTGAGGGTTGACTCGGTCTGGGTCTCACAATATTTCTCAGTGTCTCCGCGTGCATTTGTTTTGTACTCATCCTCAAATGACTGGATTACAGCATAATCTGAAGTGCCAGTTTCATTGAGGCGCGGAAGCCGTTATGGTATTTCTAGATCCCGGGCAAACCCATCGGGGATCTGTTATGCTCTGGCTGGCAATTTCAGTAGGTGAATCCGCCAGTGGGACAGTCCAGTGATTGTCTGGTTAATGCTTTCTAGTCAGTTCGTAGTTTTTAGCGAGATGATTGGGGAAAAAACCCGAAAGACTAGGAATCCCTAGTTGGTAGAAGAAAGCACCACAAGCTGTCAGTGACTCCCGATTTGATGGAAGACCGGGTGGCAGAAGGTCGGCGGCGGCCCAAATTGTTGAACTGGACAGAATAAGCCAGCGAGTACATATATGATGGTCAAAGATGTTAAAGAGGCAATAGTTGAGCGGCAACTAGCCGAACGGTAGAGGATTTAGTAACAGGAGACTAGTAATCACTTAGATGCCAGGAGGTAAGGTGATGGATCCCCACGAGATAATTACCAAGGCAGCAGAAAGAGAAGTGATTGGCAGAAATGGAGACGGCCAGTGATCTCGGTTATTGATTGTTATCTGCTAAGAAGAGGTGAAGGCCTCATGTAGGAAAGACCTCGGCAACTGCCCAGACCATGGATGGAGCAGTATTCAATGGGTTGAGCAGTAACAATAACCTGGATTGATCTTGTCAAAGCGCGATGTTCAAAGGAATTAAGAAAGTAATACCGTATTAATAAATTCTGGAAAATCTACCCTAGATTAAGTTGTAATTGTGACGACCAGTAAGAAGGTAGATTCATAGTGAGCAAAGAGTGTGTTGAATTGCTACGATAAGGCAGAAAGGAAGGAACTCTACTAAGGGTACTGTAGGGGTGGTCGCAACTTATAGTTCGGCGCCCACAGTTGAAGCTGCTAGCTTGAACGTAGCCGAAGGGCCGCATGGCCCCACGACAAGAATACCTATTTTATACTAGATTCATTATTCTAGACTGCTATAGCTTGTGCACTTTACTAACGTATCTCTCTAGTTTATATCGTTATAAAGTCACCACTCAATTAAAAACCTAAGATATGTGGATAGATAGATACTTGCTATTTATATATAATGCGTGTGCACATAGGAGATGAAGTGTATATATTAACAAAGCTTAGCTAGCTAGCACCCTTGCAGTCCTATCTTATCGTATCTCATATTATCTCTCTACTAGCGTGACTCCCTTTGGGCTCACGTTTCAACCTTACCATAATCTAAGGCTCCTAAGTCTATAACTTGTAGTTAAATATACTAGCTCTAGTAGTTAGGCGCACTAGCCGTATAGGAGAGCAAAATTATTATAATTAAGCGAGAAGATAGTTATAAAAGAATATGTTTAGCTTAAAACCTCCGATATTCACGATAGAGAGGTGTGTAATATGGCCCACTTAAATAAGGTTACCCAAAGGGTTGTGGGGGATGCAATGCGGCCACTTAGTTACTGTCCTCTAACAACTCAGGGGATCTGGATTCTGTTTCACAGTCTGCCCTCTATGCCAATCATATTGACTTACGCACTGCTCCGTCTACCAAGAAGAATCGGATAGAAACGGTTTCCAGAGACAGCTATACGTTCGTGGAGTGCTGACTGAAGGTGGATGTGTCCGCTGGAACCGCAGATCGTGTCTTTCCACTGGATATACCTCCATCCGATAGAGCGAACGAATTGTTGACCGCCAGAAATAGGCAGGCAAGCAGTACTGGAGTGCCCTACGCAGATGGGCATTGCGTTGTCTTCCAACTCTCAATTTCCTCGCTGCACCCAAGGCTCTGACGTGGGCGGTATACAGCGTCGGAACAACTGAGTTTGGGGAGGTCAACTGGCATACCATGCATATAATTCCGCTCTAGCGATGCACGTGCAATCGAGTAGGCGCCGGGTTTGGGGAACCGAGAACGCTAATGTTACCCTCCTAAGCGTCATGCGACATGACTCGAGGTCGCGCAACACAAGACTTCGAACTTGTCTCGTTTGTATATATGCTTGTGATCATTTTAACTTTTGCAGCTGACCAGTTACGCTATTTTTGGGCTGCATGTTGTGACAGCTTGGTGATGGTGGCCGAGTAGAAAGGCCGAGAAAACCAAACAACGCCGGCAAGCCCGTCACGAATAGTGCATAGTGCGTCGCTGCATATTAACCCAACGACAACAACAACAACAAAACAAGATGGAATCACAACCCTGACGCCCACAAGTAAGGTAGGACACGAGTAAGCCAAGATAAATATTGGATATGCACCCCGTCAAAATTCCACGTCGATGACGGACAGACAAGTTTCCGTGCGGCTCGTTGTCGAAGATGCATCTCCCAGAAGTTTTCCTCCTTCTATTGGCCTGCTCTTCTGCTTTAGCCTCTGAATGCACACCCGAAGTCTTCTCCAATATCCTCGCTCACAATGAAGCGGCTTCGGTCAGCTATGCTGGTACTGTAGCTAAGGGAGGAAGCTTCGGTATACCGTCGCTTGCCTATCCGGCAAATGCGACAAACTTGCCGGCCCTTTGTGCGGTGACCATCTGCGTCAAATCTTCGGCCAACTCATCCTTCAGCTTTGGACTCTTCTTGCCCGACACTACATGGAATGAGAGGTTTTTGGCCACCGGCAATGGCGGTTCTGGCGGTGGAATCAACTGGTATGAACAGCCATATGGGCTCGACTGTGTGTGTAAAGAGAGAGAGGCTAATTACGCGCTACAGGCCCGATATGGGAACATTCTCGCAGTATGGGTTTGCCACGATGTCGACAGACACTGGCCACAACTCAACTGTGATTGATTCATCCTGGGCTCTGAACGCCCCAGACGCGATCATTGACTGGGGCTGGCGAGCAATGCATGGCTCTGTCATGGTGGCCAAGTCAGTCATTGACGCTTATTACGATGACTTCAGTGCCATCAAATACTCCTATTATGCGAGTTGTTCCACGGGTGGCCGGCAGGGCATGAAAGAAATCCAACTATATCCCGACTCATTTGACGGAGTGGTTATTGGAGCTCCCTGTAAGCTTTTCATCATTAAAACACATGTTCCTCCTTCTGATCCCAACTGACATTTGCTTCTAGCCTGGTGGACCACTCATATCAGCCCCATGACATTGAAACAGGGACTGTACAACTACCCGAACTCCAGCTCCAAGTACATTGGTATAGACTTGTTCCCCGCAATCCTGAAAGAGATCACAAAGCAGTGTGATCCACAAGACGGCGTCATCGATGGCATCATCAGCGATCCATCCCGCTGCAACTTCAACTACGAGTCTTTACTATGCACTCCAGCCAGCCGTGCCGCATGCCTCAACCCCGCCCAGCTGACGACCATTAAACAATTCTATAGTGACTACGTCGACGTGAATCAGACTTTCGTCTACCCCGCCATTTCCCTGGGAGGCGATCCGACCCTGCTCCTCGCCGGTTTGGGCAGCGCATTCGGATACCAATACTTCAAGTACCAAATCTACAACGACACGAAGTGGGACTTCACCCAGTTCTCCTACGCTGACGTCCAGAAAGCCGACGAGCTCGACCCGGGCCAGGCTACGGCCGACGACTTCGACTTGTCTCCATTCAAGCAACAAGGCGGCAAGCTTCTGATGTACCACGGCACTGCAGATAACCTCGTTCCAACGGGGGGTAGCATTTACTACTACAACCAAGTCTACCAGGCGCTGGCGCCGAAAGGGGTCAACCTTGACGACTTCTTCCGCTTCTTCCTCATCCCGGGCATGAGCCATTGCCTTGGCTCTGCCGTAGCGCCGTGGTACATCGGTGCGTCCAGCCAGGTGCCGAGCGGGACGACGCACTCCGTACCGGGGTTCATGGATGCGAATCATGACATTATTCTGGCCATGATGCGGTGGGTTGAAGAGGGACGAGCGCCGAACCAGCTCATTGCGACGAAGTATGTGAATGATACCACGACTTGTGGGATTCAGAGCCAGAGGCCTCTCTGTGTATATCCCAAGCAGGCAAAATACATCGGCCGCGGGCGGATCGAGGATGCGGTGAATTGGAAATGCGAAGGCTTGTATTAGTTTCTGGCAATGCCTTCAGAAGATATCTTTGGTCTTTACTCAATGTAACTAAGTCAGTCTGTCTGTCTGTCTGTCTGTAGGCAAAGTTTGAAACTTTGGATGCAGCCCCGAAGACATCCGCAAGTGATATGCCTGTATGAGGCAGGGCCCATACAGGCCACCACAAAGTTAGAAACAGATTGGTTTGATGTCCCGTGGCGCCATGAAGCTGAGAAGAAAACTCGATTTCACCGAGGAAAACCCAAAATCTTCTCTAGAAAAGCTTGAATTTCTTCAACAAGGCGAAGACTCCGTTCTATCAACATAACCAAACCCCGCGCAAAATCAAACAGCATACACTGAGAATACAGCTACTACGGCCATCAACAATGAGTTTCTTACGAGCTCTAGCACACGCAACTCGCGCACGCCCAACGCTGCGACCCTTCACAACCCCATGGCCAACTCTCGTGTTCCACCGCTGTGTAGGAGACCGACGCGTAGGCATACACACAGACGATGTGCCACATCCGCCCGCACCCCTCTACATCCCGTCGCAGTCATCCGCTTCTGACTATACCGCAAGGCCGGCCGTCCAGCCGCCCCGCCATTTTCGCCCAGCTGTGGAAGCTATCATGTCACAGATTGACTAGCGTAAGGTGTCGAAAGACCTGGAGGAGGGCATTTTGAGGGAGGTTGAGAAGAAGTGTTCGAAAAATACTCGAGACCAGAATCCCAGTCCAGGGGCTGCAGACTACTGGAGGCTCTGGGTGTCCTGTGGTATCTCCTTCTTTAGTCTCGGATGTATCGCATGCCTATGGTTAGCCACGTTGCTAGCAGAGAGCATAATTAAAAACCACGACTAACGAGTATTCCAGGTTTAACGAGCGGCCACGAGTGGAAGTAGGAAATCACGAATTGACATGCCTGAGCCAGGAAACTAGCAAGGCGGCACTGCGCTCCTTGAAATCGTTCTTCGAATATGAAATCAGGAAAGAGATGGATAAGCTGAAAAGACCGGCCGAAGAACAAAAGAAGGCCGATCAGTACACGAAGGCGAGACGATTGTTCTGGGCAGCGGCTTGAGGTCACGCAAACGGTATTACGAAGAGAAATGTGGAATTAAGGATTTGAGCATGGGCTTTAGACGGGAATCTCTACTTTCTCTAGCTAACGCTTGCAACCTAAATCTTCGTCTCAAGCAGACTGACTTATATAAGTTACATGGACTTCAGCAATGTCAAGGTTATGTTTATGGGGCCAAACTTCGCAATCGACCTCAGAAGACCTCGGCAAGTTAGGTCTGTTGAATGACCTACTGGACGGCACTTACTTTGGTCCTCAAGGTCACGTTTTCAATATATTTAACCGTAGTTCGTCCTCTTTGTAGATTACAGCAAGCAGTCATATGCATTGACCTTGTCGACCATGTTCTGCAAGTCCTCTTGTTGATAGCAATATCTGGTCAAGTGTAACCCCTCCGAATTGCACCTTATACTGTCTCTGTAACGATGATTTACCTGCCAGCGGACTCACCGAAAAATATAGTGATCCATCTCGTTAGTGGATGATCATCGATCTGGGTTACCCAAGTCCCTAGGTATAATGCCGTTCCCGTTCTGCCAGCCCTCTTCCCAGCCTCAGCTGACTGATTCTTCGAATACGACTGTTACGTTATTTACAGTAAATTATATTTCCGTTGCGGGCAACATAGGCATGATTTTCGAGGGTGTGTAGCATTGTACATGACAAACAACCTGTCAGGAAGTCAAAAGGGAACCAAATTGATAGGTCGGCATTGCCAGCACACTGACTGCCTTCTGTTGTCGGTGTCTGCCAGTCATGGTTGTCCAGCGCCGTAGCGCGGTTTTAAAAGTGATTGCACTTAGAATTAGTACAGCTAACAACATCATCAAGCAATTTTCAGAAGAAATATAGTGGTTCAGGATACGATCATGAGAGTGGCCAATTTGCGTCATGTAACTATTCTTGCTTATATAAGCCCAGTATAGAACGTAGACTATACTCTTGATTTCTTCGGAGTGCCCTAATGCGCATGTGATCGAGGCAGATTTGTGATGGATGTAGGTTTATTTGAGCCGTCTAGAGCGCGGTTTATCCGCTTCCTTTGTTGCGACTGGTTAACTTGCTGGTAGAAAACAAGGGGAGATAATGGCCGAATACGCCGCCAACAATAATGGTTCCCCTTGCTAAATGCCGAACTAACTACTCACTAATGCACCTGAGATAATGCGGGTAAGTATCCGCTCTCAAATATTGACGCGATTGAGCAGGGATGATCAGTGTAGAATAGTTGAAGTTTGAAAACCGGCGAGTGTCTCGCCGGCCGTTAGTCTCGCGAAAAATCACTGCTAACCGCATTGATCCCCAATACAACACTAGATCGGACAACTGACCGAAAGCATTAGCACTATTGCCCGATCAATTGAAGCAGCAAAACTGTAATGATTTCAATTATTTTGGTAGCTTTGCGTTGCTTGATAGTTTTCTTGACTTTAGTATGAGAAGAGTAAAGTTATAGCTGTTTATATATATCTAGAGGCCGTAATCGCTTCTTACGCTTATCCTCTTCGTACTAAATATGGAATAGGTTTACGAAAACCTTATTAAAGTATTTCTTATAAACGCATATCCGGCTTAAATTCATCAATTTTACCTGTAGTCGTAGATTAAACTAACATAGTAAAGCTAGCTTTAACGTTCTAGCGTTAAGGCCTTTTCGGATATTTTATACTAAGCCCTATAAATAATAAAATATCTCTGTAATTACGTCTCGAGAGCGTTAATAGTAAAATACCGTATTTAACGCCGATACCTTAGTACTATAGCTTAGATATCTAATATTTTAAGCGTGGTTAATCCGGCTTTTAAAACCAGCTACTTTAAAATAGTAGGAGACAACTGTATTATTTTGAGAAAAAAGTGTTAAAGGGAAAAGAGAGCATCGCGTTAGAACGCAATATGGGTACATTAGAGTTGCGACCAGGGGTGTCTATCAATGTGGGGTCAATGTAGCATGCAAGATAGTGACGTCTGCGGCCGGCGTAAGTATTCCAAATAGTTTTGAAGTATGATAAAATTGACACGCTCGACAACGAAGCATTGACGTCCGACAGCTAGTATGTCAGGTAGAGTGGAATTGCTATGCGGCGTGTGGCTTGGCTCAAACCCCCTTTTATCACATACTTCCGATATTCTTTCGTTTCGAGCACTGCTACGCGTTTCTTCCATATCTATGGCTCTCACGATTTCTATCCATTGCCTGACACCTATCCCGACGCTAAATCGGACTCGCCAGTCGTGGAGAGATTGTTGCTGAACACATTAGCTACCGGCATCTTCCTTGGTTATCTCAAATTTGGAATCGCATTGTACTTGGTTCTAATGATGATATACCAGAAGTAGACAGTTACTACAGACCAAGCTATATTGGTGGATTCAGACATCAAAACACACAACGCTAACAGAAGTTGACTTCCGTAACTCAGTCGTCCACTGGAACCCCAAGGGTTACATTGAGGGCATCTTCTCCCTGTTGATGACTCTGGGTGCATGTGGTGTTGACCTCTATGCCTGCTCTACGTGTTGTGCTACGTGGGTTGGTGTTGAGAGGCTCTGCAAGGTGTTCTCTTTCCGGAGGGAAGGAAGGACGGAAGGAGGGGTCTGGCCCACTATCTACACAGTAACTATAACGCTTCCGGTCTAGGGCAAAACTGCGGTGCTTAATCCCACGGAATATCTCTTCGAGAACTACGTGAACGTTTACGACGTCTTTTACTTGCTCCTGAAGTCACCCCCGACTTTATCTATTCCAATCGCTTTGTAATGTATCCTGAGGATGTGACTTCTCGTACTTAATGAATCTACCTGGTTGATAATATTCATTATCACAGGGCGGTTAATTTCCTTGTTCGTACTCGAGTGCAGGTAAGCTCTGAGTGCGGCATAACGTATTTCACTCCCATTCCGACACCCCTGTAAACCCCAACAATAACCACACCGCTATTTACATTATCCTTTTATTTCTCAACCACTTTTGCTTCAATTGACTTTATTCCAAGTATTCGATCTGATCTGCTATCAATGCCTTCATATACGGAAGAAGACCTCGCTGCCGCCGTTCTAGACGTCGCAAATGGTAAATCTGTGCGACGCGCTGGCCTGGATTGGGGTATACCAAGGACTACACTTATCGACAGACTTCAAGGCGCTGAGTCAAGTCGCGAGGCCTCTGCTAGCCAGCAGAGGCTATCTCCAGTGCAAGAAAAACACTTAGCAGACTGGGTTTTGGTCCAGGAAGCCCTTGGACTAGCCCCAACGCACACGCAGCGCGTCCTAGCCCTCAAAGGTGACCACCAACCACTCGGCAAGAATTGGCTGGAAGTCTTTCTAAAGCGTCAACCAGCACTAAAGACTAAAAAGCAACGCCGTATCGACTCTCAGCGTATCAATGGCGCGTCTACCGAGGTAATCCAAGCCTGGTTTGCTTCAAAATTACGTATTCCCGCAATTCAAGCGATTAAGCCGCAATGCAGGTATAATATGGATGAGCATGGCCTTATGGAGGGTCAAGGGGGCTCTGGGCTAGTTGTCGGGAGCGCTACCTTACGCGCAATACACCAGAAACAGCCTGGTTCGAGGGCGTGGACGTCAGTTTTGGAATGTGTGGATGCCCTCGGCAATACCTTACCCCCCCTGGTTATTTTCAAGGGCAAGGACGTCCAAGAGCAGTGGTTCCCTGATAAAAATCTTCAGGACTTCAAGGACTGGCGCTTCAAGGCATCCCCCAAGGGCTGGACAGACGATACGATAGCTATCAAATGGCTTGAAGACGTTTTTATACCCCTTACGCTTCCTCAGGACCCTTCAGACACTCGTTTACTTATTTTGGATGGTCACGGTAGTCACACAACTGATACTTTTATGTCTCTTTGCTATCAAAACAACGTATACTTATTATTTTTACCCCCACACTCATCTCATGTCCTTCAGCCCCTCGATGTTGGGGTGTTCTCAGCTATGAAAACGGCATATCACAAGGAGGTCGGGTTTTTAACCCTATTAACTGATTCAGCACCTATTGGCAAGCGAAATTTTATGCGCTGTTATGCCAGAGCATGCCAGAGGGCCCTAACGGCTCAAAATATCAAGTCTGGTTGGCGTACAAGTGGTCTATGGCCCCTAAATGTCGCTAGGCCCCTTACTAGCCCTCTTCTGCTTGAAAATAGCAACCGCACACGTCACCAAGGTCCAGACATTCTTATTACAACCCAGCAAGTCCAGAAAACACTCCAGACGCCTTCAGAGGGCAATGTTGTATGGTCAACGCCAAAGAAGAGCGTAGATATAGAGCGCCAGTTTAGGGAGTTCAATCGACTCCAACAAACTAACCTGACTACACAACGCCAGCTATTTAGAAAGATGAAAAAAGGGTTTGATGAGAAGGATTATCTATTAGTAAGCGCGGAATTACAAATTGAGGGCTTGAAACAGCGATTGGAGCTTATGAAGCCACGGAAAAAAAAGAAGGTGCAAATAAGTCCAAACGCGAAATTCGCAAGGATTGAGGACGTACGGCGGATGAGGGAAGTATCTAATGAATCTCTTGTTGATGATTCGGATTCAGAAATATCTAATGTATCTACTGTCGAAAGTGATTGTATAGTTGCTCAGAATTGAATTTGTGGTGGTTGTTTGAAATTGCAGTGTTATTCGTGGTGTTTTGTTTTATAGGGTGTCGGAATGGGGGTGAAATACGGTACTTGCCTAGCATTCTAGATTGGGAAAGGGGGCGCGAGCAGGATTGGTCATTATGCATCAGGTTCTTCTGCTATGGCTGACACGCATTCCTCCAGAACCCCGTTCCATCCGCAACCCATTTTTGTAAAGTTGAAAAGGAGTGCTCGTGTCCAAGCCTGAAAAACCCGAGGCAAGCACCTAGGAAAACACGATCGTATAACGTCGTTTCCTCTTCTCGTTAATTTACAAGAAACACAGGTCGTCCCTCTCAGACATGGACGAAGAAGCAGCTATGCGGGCATTGGCCATGCCCAAACGACCCATCAATTTTGTCCCAGCAGCGGCGGGAGATATCCTCCACATCGGATCCATCGTCTGTCGCATCATGGAAGACGGATCGAATACAGGTGAAGTTCCCTCAGTCTCTGTTTGCAGGAGGATCTCATGTCTGACTTCCGGGCAAAGACAATCGGATCGGCAGCGCCGAGTTCACCGTCCCACCCAAAACACCAGGACCGCCGCCACATTGGCACGAAATGCACGACGAGACTTTTCTTGTTACGTCCGGTACTATTCGTTTCCATGGGCCTGAGGGCAAGTCAATTGATGCAAAGGCCGGTGACTATGTTGTGGTGCCAACGTGTGCACCGCACACATTTGAGAATGCGGGCGATGAGGAGGCCAAGTTTTTCAATACCTTCACGCCGGCGCATTATGTCAACTATTTCAAGCTCTTGTCTACGATGCTTGAAGCAAAGGGTGGACTGCCCAGGGAAGTGCACTTGGAGGCTATGTCACGATATGCGACTCTACCGGCAAAGGATATGTAGGACAACGGCGGAATAACCTAGGGTATTCATGAAAGATTGGATAGACTGCGAAACGCTCCGATAATGTCACATTGCTTAAGTGGCTTACCTTGTTGAACCTTCTCCGTGCTAGAGTGAAAACGAATCAACACTACCCCCTTTTCGGAATTTACGTCTCTGTGTTGCTATTCCGACCAGCTTGCCTCGTGCTCAGAATAGGCGGCTGTGGACGAAAACTGCGCCGTTCAGCTAGTACAGACCGGATCGGTTGATGTGTTTGGTTCGGCGCCGAGATAAAATAACCGGATACGAGAATAGTGTCGGGCCTCATACTATAATCTGACCACATCATCTTGCTAGTGTAGGTCCACTCACCTTTTAGCGGGGTGGTCCGATAAATAGTTACGCCGTCTCTCTCAACATCTTGATACCGGGGTTCATCCTTCACCACACTGAGTACTTGCTACGATGGTACGGTCATCTCCTGCTAATTCTTGAGCCCTGCAGAATGTCGCTCACTTCGCAATCCTGAATTTACACTTGGGGAAGGAAGAAAAATCCTATCTTGCATTTGCAGACGGCAGACCTGCCCTCAATGGCACAGAAGACTTTTCGGATCACAGGCTGCAGCGAGGGTAGCGCCGGCGCAGCTTTGGCGACAGATTTATATGACCGTGGCCATCGAGTCTTCGCAACAACTCGAAGCGAGATCTCGTTACTGGACTTTGTTGGCAAACCGGGGGTTGCGACGACCAAGCTGGATGTCACGTCACCTTTTTTCCATTGAAGACGCAGATACAGTCGTGGAGAAAGCTACTGGCGGAAGTCTAGACAAACTCATCAACAACGCCGCCATGTTCAGCCTCATGCCGCTCGCAGACGCACAACTAGATGATGCCAGCAAGTCTTCGAGACCAACGTCTTTGGCGTGTTGCCGTGACGCAGTTCATCCTGCCTCTACTCCTGTACGCCGGGTGAGGAAAGGGGCTGCTTCCCAACGCTAGCAGCATTCAGGCGGAGCTGTGCCCGCCTTGGCAGGGAATATATGCAGATAGGGAGGCGACGCGCACGGCGATGAGACATTAGATGAGGCTTGAGGTTGCGCCGTTGGGGGTGCGTGTGGTGACGATCATGTTTGGTGGAATGAAAACCCCACTAAAGAGACAGTTGATAACTGTGCCGGAGGGAGTATGCATCAAATTCTGGCGCAGTCCATCGAGACGAACGACACTTACAAGGGGTATTCGCCGATGAGCCCGGCGGACTATGCGAGGTCAGTCGCTGATGAATTGCTTCGTCCCGGTTCTCGGGCCATTTTGTGGAAAAGGGGCTTTCACTTTTGTGACTTCGATATTAACATGGTTTTGATGGGTGGGCATGATGGACGGAGGACAGATTAAGAGAAGTGGACTGGCCAAGGTTGACCGTCGAGTTAATGATCACTGAAGATGGGTTTCTTAAACCAATATCGATCCATATCCTTTCCCAGGATGCGCGTCCCAACTCATTGGCCATGATCATGTCTCCATTTTTGCGCAGAAGGGCTCTGCATCTTGACGCTTCAAGCCTGCAGCAGTAAATGGACATGCGCATAGCTATCACCAAGCATTACGAGACACTCGACAGAAGTTATCAACTACCAGAAAGACATGCCTGCTGTAAAAGTGATATGAACTTCTATAAGGACAGGTTGAATTTGAAAAGCATAATGTTTATCCCCCGATGTTGTGCGCATCCGATGTGCTGTATGGCATACCCATATTCAGGCCGACAGAGTGCATGTCAGTAGATGCACGGTGGTCCGATCTGCAGACGAACTTCATAGGTGCCCCTCGAAGGACCCAGAAATCGAGAAATACCAATGAGGTCAAGGTTGCAACCTTGACCTCACAAATTCAATGTGCATTATGCAAGGTGATGGGTTTCCCGGGGCATATCCACAGGCTCGCACAAGCGCCCCCTCTGGGCCTATGTGATTGGGGTAACACAGGGCACCCAGCCTGTCCAATATCCGACAGAATGTCATGTCATGCGAATCTTCGCCGACGTCGACATGTGTCGTTGCCATGCAGAAGAATGGTTATCGGATACATGCAGGTCTCAGCCTGACCAGGTGGCCATTTCGAGAATGAGGGGGCGGTGGAATTATTGGTTGAGCCGCGCTTCCTTCAATGTGTGTTTCCGTCTATCGTGCGAATGGACAAATGGGCGGCGCCATCACCACGCAGCTAGTCATGTATGGAGGCCCCGAAACATGGTATGATATTCGATTTGCTCGCCATTAGTAGCCATGAGCCAGGTTCTGCAAAAATAGACAAAAAACTCCCCAAAGAAGTGCCAACAGGAGGATCTAGTCGCGGTGCGCTGAAGTTGAAGTTCAAAGATGGTTCTTCAGCACAATGTCGCACCGCATCCCTTGACAGAGTGTGGCTTGTGAACTCCCACGGCGTGGCGACGGAAGTGTCACCAAGACCTTGGGGGGGAGGAGAATGAGGCGTTTATGGCGTTTCGCCAGCTTCACACGTGGGAAAGAGCCACATGCAACACCACCGTCATCACCATCACCAAGCCCAGATACTCTGGGATATTATAATACCGAGTCGGCTGGTGTAGTTGGTCACTTCGCTGGTAGATAAGTCCCGATTTGAGCCTCGCCCACTTGGGTCGGTGACGAGTCGCGGGTTCGAATCCCGCAGCTGACACACAAGGGGGTTTAGTCAACCCTTACGGCGCGCTGCCCACCTTGTTGACTTCGCCTACCTAGCGATAATAGGGAGATTGGTGCAGTTTAGGATTACGAGCATCCTAGCCAGTCGACCGTCAAGCACTACGTCGGCGGAATATAACTCGACAGCCGGTCCAGAATTCGAATCGTTAATCCGACCCCTTATCGGACCTCGCCTTTCCGATAACGCTCGTCGGCGAACCCGTCCCCTCACGATAGAAGGCGCGCAGCACGCCCTCTCGCCGCGATTCTTGCGAGCGTCTGACCACGTTACGGTCTATCCACTTGAGCGTATGGTTGAGATGTATACGCTCGACGAGAACCCCAATTAGCAGATACTACGACTTGTCGCGACAAAAAAATAGTCGAGCATCTTCTGCACATCAGCAGCATCCCACCCCTGAGGACGAATTTAAGTGCCACATTACCACACTTATCGGTAGTTCAGGCAGGGGTTGTAGCACAGACTTAGGGAGGGACAGGAGGTTTAGTAGTCGTTTGGCTACAAGTTTACCTGTATAACCGCCCGACGCGGCTTAAGGGCCCGCTATATCATCTATAGCCCCTTAAGGGAGTACTTGTAGAGGTACCGAGGGTTAACACCTACGGCGTATTTAATATTATTTTTATAATACCGAGACCACGGGAACGTCAAAGCACATCTGTATGTCGGCTGTCAGGGATAACTGCATCTTGACCTGTTCTGCCGCCCCAAACTGTCAGACCCATGACGTTCGAGAACAGACAATTCTAATGGTAGGGAATTTTAGGACACGGGCAACATGGGCTTATGCGTACTGTGACCTTTTTAAGAGTGCACTTTCCGACGACCGTATGTTATTGTATGCAGGTTCACTAATACTTGTGTAATGTGATCAGTCACCAGTAACCAGATAAACCTCGATGCCACACACCATGAATCTCAGTGCTGAACCAGAGAATTGGGAAACGATCACCAAACATGGACCAATCGCATCTCACTCGAGGTTCCAAATCGACCCATTTTCAAACCAGATCACCCGGACAGCGGCCCGCATCACCAGCGGTATCTGCCACGACTCTCATCCTTCATCTATTCGGCTCCGAGCTGAGCGTCAACTGGCGACAGGATACATCGAATAACAGTTTGCCAAGTAACTGTGGCAGTCGGATCCAGAGACATACCAGGGCTGGGCGTGCTTCCTTTTGATATATTCCAACTTTCTATCAAAGCCGAAGGGTTACACGTCAAACACAAGTGGAAACCATTGTACGACTTTCACATGTTCAAGGGTCAGGGCATGCACTTAAACCCCTGTTATCTTCTCCAGCAAGGCCGGCTTCCCTAAAATGACAACCCACCGGTGTTGAACCAAATCATATTGTTGAAAAAGTCACAGCTGCGCGCAACTTGATCCTGTACAGCTTCGATCTAGGGTCTTTGATCTTGAAAGAGAACTCAAGGTAACCTCGTGTCCTCCGCATTCCAAGCTTTCCAAGAGAAACAGTTGCAGGGCCACACCAGAGTTCGAATCTAAGGTAAACAAAGTCTGGTGACTCTGCATCCGATGATGTAACGGCGTCCGAGACCGTTTTTAATCTACCATGACCAACGACCCGAGACTCTGACCGGAGAATGAGCCCGAAACTGCATCTCTTACAACAAGCTGCAGCTTCACATTGATAAACCAGAACACAACTCTAAACAGAACAGTGGCACCACTTTGATCCATCCGTCGTCCAATCCTTCTTTTTCTCCGTTCCCCACGCGGGAAGCGGGCTCTCAATATTTGGTGGTTCCCGAGGCTCTGGGTCCGACTTCGGTACCATCCGACCCATAATCGACCTCTCTTGTCAAAGGTTTGGTTCCGTCCCAGCAATCCGTGGAGCGTGAACATCTCGCTAACGATCGGCCTAATTCGAACTTTTCGATCACCTCGTCCAGCTAAGCCTCGCACGCATCGAGTATTATGTCCACCAATACGGCAGAAGGCTTGCTGAGTCCGCGCAGGCGTGGGAAAGACAAGAGCCGCAAAACACTTCCAATAACCGTCCTTTTCAGTTTCTCTTCGTGTTCCTTTCTGCTTCTGCTATAGCCCGAATGTGTGACGCATTCCTTTCCTCCCTCTATTCCTTCTCCTTCTCGTCAAGCTTTTCCATATGTCTCATATCCTGTCTTAAGTGGGTGCCCCGGCAGAGTGGCCGCCACCCAATTCCCATGAGGGTAACGGGCGCCACGTGTAGGCCACGCTGAGGGAAGGTTCTGGCCCCATGGCAGGTTTGACCGATGGGTTGGACAAAGAGGCTTTCCAATAATTGCCAGCCCGTCGTCCGTGGGGACGCGTATCATAAACGGTGAGCGGATATTGGGCCATGGCCCAAAAAGGGTTGCTGGGATGCTCATTCAAGGTGAGGAGTGGTCTAAGGAATTTCTGTGTGTTTCCCAGAGAAAGCGGACAAAAAAGGGAAAGGAGATCGTGGATGCTACGCAAAGGGGTATTGAACAGAGATGGGGGAGGGGTCCAGGTTGGAGAGTATCCGGACGCAATGCAACGCAGACTTGCACGAAGGGGGGGGGGGGATGATGGGGATCGTATATATAAAAGGCACGACTCCGGAAGGACTCCATGCAAGGGACTCCCAGACCATTCAAGCAACTCCTTGTCCCTAGTCCCCAAAGCAGAACCAACGTCCAGCAGCAGCAGCATCTCCGTCTACGACACACGAGACTGTCAAGCAAGTATCCGAACAATCCTTTCCCACCTACCCACCCACCCCGAGCCTTGACAGCTGCAGCATCTCGGTCCCACGCAGAATCCAAGACCGTGCAGAACCTGAAGCCCATCATCTTGGATATCCCGCGCCGCAGAAAAGTTCGCGGACGAGCGAACAACAATACAACCTCAGCGGACACCTCCGCCTTCATAGCCCGAAGCCAGCGGCCGCCCGATCACCTTAGCATATAGTTGTCTCGGTGCTTGGCCCTCCGAAACCACGCGATACTCCCCGGCTCAAGTCCCCGATTGCCAACCCCGAGAGGCCCGTCTGCCACGTGGCCATGTGCACCTACTATTACCTCCACTACCATCACCTCCCGCCGTGCGCGCGAGACATTGACTACGCCGTGCATTACTCATACTGTCCCAACTCGACGACGGAGCGTTCCGTCATGAGTCCCCTGAGCCCCATTACGTAAGCATTTATAATCTATGTTAGCCCCTTTCTCGGTTTCACTTGGGCAAACAATGTTCGGACTCTGGATTGGGGGGAGAGGGGGGAGGGGGGGATTTGATTACAAATCACACTCTCTGTTGGTTTCTTCCCTTATTTCAGCATGAGCAACTCGGCTCTTCAGATATGTCTTAAAAATCTCAACCCCCCACCTCCTCAACCTTTGCGATTGAAGTCTTCAGAAGTGGCCGTGTACTTTCAGCTCCCGAAGTACCCTGTCTCTAGTATCAGTAATCACTAACCTTCGCCCACCTCAACCAGATCCAACACCATGGCCTCCCACTCCCAGAACCAGCTAGTGCAACAGCCGTGCGACGATCTCACCTACGCGCCCGAGTTCAACCCCATCGAGGGCATCGACTACAACAACCCGTGCGCGACTGGAGGCTGCCTCGTCTCGCAGCAGTGCAGCTCGGGCGGGTGCCGGCTCGAGGACCTGGGCAACAGGTGGGTCTGCTGCCAATGCAGCCGCGGCGGCAACACCTTCCGCTGGTGTTCGCATCCGATGAAGAAGGTTCCCGACACGCTGTGCTATCACGTCGTGTGCCAGAACTGCTGGGCTGACAGCTAGGCTAGAGCCTAACTGAGAGCTGGACTGATTCGAGCTGTGGATGAAGAAGCGTACGGCTGAAGTGCGATATAGGTAGGGTCTAGACCGATGTGTCGGATGTGGGAGGGCTTTGGAGGGGCTTGAAGATTGACAGGTCCATTGTGCGAGTAGGTGACATCATGTCTTGAAAGGATGATGGCTTGACAGGTCACGAGAGTAAATGGGCTTGAAATTGTCTGCCTGACGAGCGTGGGGGGCGTTTGGGCTTGAAGAATCGATGGTCTGGCAAAGCGGGATTGGTGCAGACAGAAGAAGAAATCTACGGACAAATATACGAAGGTCTCGCAAGTATGGAGGTTACCAGGCGCATGTGAATTCTTCGAGCTATTAGATAGATGAGGCTGAACGAGGCGCAATTTGTACCATGCGAGTGAGACCGGAATATATTTCACCGGAGTTTTTGTTGACGTGCCTTGCCGTGAGCGTCACTGATCTCATGCCTGACTTGCGAGTTCGCCGATCAGAACACGTGAGTAGGGTAGGACGTATGTTGAGGCTATGGCCAGAAGGTTCCAATAGAGTTTGTTATTTTCCCCTGACGTTCGTTACTCGACTTCAGAACAGGAATGGATTCGCCCTTTGATTCAACGATGGTTACTCGGGACGGTGCATTGCGATTGAAACACGCAGCCTTCCAGGGCTGCAGCATGCGCGCAGCTAGATCTACCCCTTTTTCGGTGATCAGGTACGAGTGAGGCCTGTGGGCCTGACTATTGAGCATATGGAAAGACATGTTGCTTGTAGTTTGGTAGCAAGCATGATGAAAACCTCTTCCGACGACAAGAAAAACGTGGCAGCCTCGTCAATAATTCGCAAAGATGGCCCATCAGATCGCCGATGCGAACAGGTTGCCTTCGTATACACGAGGCCGCAGGGGAAGAAAAAAAACAAAAAAAAGGGGGGGGGGTGATAACTGGCCGCAGATGAGGAAGCTTGTTCAATCATGGAAGAGATAAAGGACGCGGATTCTCTCCAGAAGTTGAAATGGATTCTGTGCCATCCGTAGTTCCCGTGAGGAATATCAACGAAACGAAATACTTCAAGTCAAGATTAATCCAACTTGAGAGAAGCCACTTGACTTCAGCATAATCGCTCAAACAAGACGCAAGGACGATACAGACCTTACCATGTGCACCGAAACAACCTACACGCTCCGTTGCGAGCACGTCACCACACGGACGGCATACTGCAACGACGCGCCCAAGCCTTCAAAGTCGTCATCTCGCAAGCAAAGAAAGCCATGCAAGAAACTCACCCGAACTTCGGTCCCCTACCCACCACCGCCGGAGTTCGGTCAGCACGTCAAGTGCCCATTGACACCGTGTCCATTCGAGGAACGCGGCGGCTACGTAAGTATACACCATTCTCCTCCACCCCCTGAATTGGTCTGCTCGAGAGCAAGCAACTCTTGGTCAAGGCTGAACAAGATCCTTTGCCCCAAGTAAGGTGCAGCTTGGGGCCAATCCCCAAGGCATTGACAGGTATTTCAATTGTCATGGTTACTAACTCCTGTCGTTGCAGTGGAACTGTTGCTGGTGTGGCAAGGAGTGGAATGATACAGGACGCTGCAGATGTGTCATGATTATCGACCGGCAGGAGTACCGTTGTGAGCATATTTGCTGCGAGACGTGCGAGCAGGCTGTCGAGTTATGAAACGGAGTAGGCGGGGGTGGAAGTGTGCGTAGCCTGGGCAGGAGCAGAGAGTGGGTGGAGAACGAACCAGATGGGGCTGATAATGGGCGGGATGCGATGTGATGTGATGACAGTCGCATCGAAAGAGTCGCTCGTGTGGCCTATGCTCCTTCTTAGGCGAACAGGTCGGTGGCAATTCCCTTGCTCAAGATTGGGCATTAATTTGGAGGTGGCCGGGAAGTTGCAAGCTCGAGTTGGGCTGGACGAACGAGTGTCAGCTAGAAAATCTGTATCAACGCGGTGAATAGACTTATGTCGCACAAGTAACTATGAGGAGGACTGACTGTGCTCCGTCGGCTCCAAAGTTTGGGTTTCAATGTGCGTGAGATTGAGTCGTCGGGTTTGGTTTACAGTACAGACGAAATGGCGTGCCAGCTGTCGAGTTGAACAAAGAGGCGTCCAATTATTGCCGTCATCATGAGACAGCGTCGTCGACGTATGACTCGAGGCAAGCAGGTGTCGGTGTGCTGGCTTGCCTAGGTCCAGGGCCATACGATGCAGACTTTCCAGGGTGCGGCCCGTCGAACATCCATTGACACGTTGTCGATGGTTGTTTTTGGGCCGTATCTACGAGCTGGCACGCGGAGCTTCCACAGGAAAAAGCAATTCCAGCTCCACGGGCCTCTCTATTTATGGATTACTGATGGGACCTAACCCCGCTTTCAGTAACTCGATCGTTGGTCCTTTCTGCTACATGGTCATTGACCGGGTATCTGGAATCCAGATCGATGCAGGCGACAGAGATCGACCAATGGCGGATGACCGGACACATACCGATCTTGCATCTTGATCAACTTTCGGCCACCTGCAGGTTTGCCGTTGGTGATCCTCCAATCCCATGGTGAACTATAGAAAAGCAATGTCGCATTTTCTAAATCACGCATGGCTGATTCGTGAAGATCGCGCCACTAGATCTATATTTCCCTGTGTTAAGCGCGAGCTTGGGCAGGCTCGAGGTCGTACACCAAATGCACTTGACCGCGACAGTCTTGCCCCAAGTCCCATCGTAACAAGAGGGCGGGAGATGTTACCAATCTGCTGGACCCTCTGGTAAAACCCACCCGCGCCCGAAGGAACAGATACAAAAAGCAATGCAATGCATCCTTGCCGCCTGGGGTGTTGAGACACAGGCAGCACTGTGTGCTCCGCGAGATCCCATTTGGCCATGGTGGTTGAGTCCATCCCCCGGGGGCTGCATCGCTTAGAGGGGAATATGACAGATCAAGGACATGGTGGTCGAGGCCAGAGTGTTGACGTTGCAGGCAAGAGAGTCAGGCTGAACCAAGATGTAATGGGGCTGAACCCTTCTCAAGCCGGCATATAAGCCCATGGATATCCGGCGAAGCATGCAGATTCGGAGGAAGTTCGTCTCAAAAAAAGCACCTGCAACCTGCTCTTTCGTTACCAGCCGGGCCTTATAGCTTCAGTTAAGGCGTCGTTTGGGGAGCCAGCAAAGACACCGCGGACCCCAGTGTTGGCAAGATGTGCCACGGACACCCTCACTACCACACCTGCTCTCACACGTCAGTGAAATGGCTGTATTGCCCAGAAGCCAGCTTCGATCTCGAAACTGGATACGAGACTCCGTGCTCGAATCCGATATACTCGACACCCCAACCCTCCAACGCCGACTGTCCACTTCAGAATTGCCACTTCAAGACACTGAGAGGTTGCTGGACTTGCTGCGTGTGCGGAAACAACGCCAACACTCAAGGCTGGTGTAACGGCGTAAAAGCGGCCGACCCGTCCAAGGGTAGCTGGACTCCAGTGGGAGTGGAACCACGAGCCTGGGATACTTGTGGCCATGGGGCTTGCCACCAATGCATCAGAAATGGTGAGAGGATTGTGTGTAATCCGATGAAGAGCCAGCTGCTAATCAATGCTAGCATCGTCCCGGGGATCGTCGCCAGAGCTGTCATTCGCAGAAATCCGGAAAGGGAAAGGTACCCGCAAGTCTTCTTCTGGGTTTCGGAACGCGCATAAACGTCCTTCTGCGTTCGACCTTCCCAGTCCATTCCCCACTGTGCATGAAGGTGACGAGCACAGTGGCACGCAAACTGCATCGGGAGGCTCGAGAAGGTTGAAGAGCTCAGGGGGTCCGACATTCGACGTGAGCCTGGATTACTCACACTCAAAGAAGGCGAAATCATCCAGCACTAAGAAAAAACAACGTCGCAGCCACCACTAGGTATCTAGGGAGACGCACTGTCTGAATCGGTATATAGGAGTACACGAGGTGCCGGAATGCTCACTCCTTCTGTATAGGAGGAAGTCCGCAATAGTGCGCAAAAGCTAGATGTGTTTTACTGAACGGTGGTTGACCGTACTAGACGCCTATCATTAAGTTCGCCTGTGGCCGCGGACCATCTTCAGAGTTCTGGTAGCTCAACGACAGTCCGAAGCTACGGGTACGCCTCGGCAGCAGCAGCAGCTTTCCTGCGAACTGGCCTATACATTAGCAGATAGACAGTGAATGAAGTCAATACACTGGGTGACACCAACCCGTAAGTCTCGCGATGAAAGGATGCGAATGTGCACCCGTACATCGCAATCGAGTCCGACGGCCGAAAGCTGGAAAGAAGTTATTTTCGGTCGCACAGAAGAGCTGGACCGGTGGGGCTCGTCCAACATGATGATTTCAGCCCCGAGGTTCACCGTGATCCAGGAAATGCAGTGTCGCCTAACACGACGCCGAACACGGCCGCATCGGCAGTCGTGCCTCGGGCAACTTGAGTCAAGTCATATCGGAATGCCGGTATCCAACATATGGAGGTCTCCGAGAAGCAGCTCCAGATTCTTCGAGCTCTACTTCAGGTTGTTCACGAACTGCAATGAGGAGTTTGAAGCTTGGACACTTGGGCAAAGCAGGTCGTCCCTGTAACAACTTTGCAGCACCGTAACCTCGAAGACTTTGCACAACAACGATGCGCTCTGACGGCTGTGCTTCCCACGCCTGCGAGATTGCCACGTGCAGACCCGCAGAGATCATCATCCAGCCGCCCTGTTTCCATTCATGGTAGGGGCAAACGTCACACTGCTAAACCTGGGCTTTGCGCGTCTGAGATAGACATACAGCAGCGATCTCGACGTCAACATGCCTGGAAATGGTGAGGTTACACAAGACTGACTCGCGATCTGCTCGGTTACCCCACCTGATTGTGCTGACATGAACAATGGAGAAGCCGGCCAAGAGGGCTACAGTATTAGGGAGGTAACACTATTGGGCCGCTCCAATTAGCTCACAGCGAAAATCCGCATCAGTCCCTCTGACCCCCAATGGACGTGAGATGAGTGCCGGGATCACCGTGCGGTAGTTTGACTAGAGGGATTTCACCTAAGCAACACGTGGTGGTGATATGATCTACATAATAGAACCCGAAGAACCTTATTCCCAACAATTCGCAAGGTGGCTCGTGGCTCCCGGCTCCCGCAGATAAATGCCTCCGTTTCCCTATCTCGATATCTAGGGAGACCAGAGAAGTGGATATTGCCGGTACTGCCTTCATCTTTTCTCTCTGACGATGTGGTGCGAGATGGACAACGAGGTGCGGATAGTGAAGAGCTTGAGGAGACCAGCGACATTGAAAGGCAAAAATGAGCAGCCTAGTTCGTGCGTCGTCCTCTCGACTTGTTGTCGGAGGCTGGAGAATCCCGTACAATTACTTCATGATCAGCAAAGCAAAACGACGCATGAAGTCGGTTTGGTCGGTTCAGTTCATCACGTTCAATCGGCAGACTGTGGATGTGTCTAGCCCGTCGTTGAGTGGAGTTCTCCGTATTTACGATTCGCCTTCGTACCTGCTTTTACCTGCTTCCACAATCCGGGTTTGGCCATCATCTCCAGGCACATTGGAGGCCTGCCTTAACCGTTAGTGCATATAAGCGCGAAGAACGGGATCATCGTGATCTGTACCTGGTCCGTTTAAGTAAGGAATTTGTGGTCCTCCTCATCAGACATATTGGGAAACTGCGTTAGTTTCCATGTACCGAGGTACCCGGTCCCCACCACTAATGGCCATGCAGCACCACCTTCAATCCATGTGTCCCATGTGGCATAAACACGCTAACCAGATTCGAGATCAAATTAGACGGCATTTTGGCAATAGTCTGTCTCCGCCAGGCACCGCCCAACCGTCGGTCGTGGGCCAACGGCGGAATTCGAACGCCTCCCTTTGCGAGGCGTTTTGGCGTTGTTTCCATGTTTGAACTTACACAAGCTAGATGCAATAGTCGTTGAAACAAGAGGGGTTTTCCGGGTGCGTTTATTCATATCTTCTATCGTATGTATGCGTAAGCAAGGATACGAATCGGAGTAGATACACAGATCAGATTGCATGCGCCGTGAAAGATTACGATTCGATCGCGTGGCAACGGGGTAGATAAGACGCAATGCGACAGCCGCAGACTCCAAGGCTTGTGCGTCCCAAGGTCCATTGGGCAATTCTAATTCAAGCAAGATCCAATGATCATCTATCGCGAAGCTGAGAGAATAAGGAGCCATGTGACGGTGGCGGTGACGGTGACGGTGACGGTGACAGAGAGAGAGAGAAAGATAGAATTGACCGCAGCAAGGCGGAGAGGTTTGACCCTGGTTGCCATTGGAGGATCCGAGCACAACACCATAGTGCAGCAGCTCCGAGGGCAGTTATGTGCGGCTTAAGTATTGTGCCTAAAAATGAACCTTTATTTTTGTGACCCAACACTACTTGACTCAATTTCATCTGACCAGCACAACACGACCTTGGAAGTCCACTTCTCTGGCTCGCCCAATTTGAAATCATCATCGTCCCCCTCTTGTTTCTATTCTCCCGACGTGATTTACCCTTTTTTCCACCAACACGCAATCCATCTCTTTGTGCCCTCGTCCGATCTTCTGCTGCTGACTCCAACTCCGCCAGAAACCTTTGCAGGCTCGAGGGCATTGAGATCCACTGGACCCAACTAAGTCCCCATTCGAATCACGGCTGGGGCACAGCACACCGATCTCTCACTCAATTCAAAGCTTTGCAATTGCGGCTAGACCACTGTAACTGCGACTCTGGTCAACCAGATCTGGAAAGGGGCTATTTTGCTGTTGTCACCGCTGCGCGCTCGTCTATTGTAGTCGAACCGACCTTGTCCGACCCGACGCACTTACGAAGCTTGCCCTCAACACCCCTTTGAAGGTTCTCTCGCACCCCATTGCGTATTGCCTCTCCACCGGATCACTATTCTTAACCAAAATGCCTACCTCATTGGATTCGGCGCGCCCGATCATGGCCCCCTCTGTACGTCACTTCGACCGGGTCCCTCCACCTGATTCAGTTTGCGATGCAACCCTTGGATTGAGGTGTCCGTGTTGGTGTCGGGTTGATCCGTACTCATTCCCCAAGGCAGTGGATAATCTCCCACATCTTTCCTTTGCTCGTGACCAGTAGTCAACGGGATTTGCTTATCTGTCATATTCGTGCTGCATTGCCATTCCTTGAACCTGCCGTTTGCTCTTTGCTCTCTGCCCTACGTACCAAATACCCCTCTACCAAATTCAAACTTTGCCAGCCTACAAGTTGACAGACATTCCTTTCGCTGACACACCGTCTCCCCCGTTCAACAGGTTGCAAGCCCCCGAACCTCGGTCCGCTACAGCACATATAGTATGGCGCCGTCGCTGACGGCAACGGTGCAGACGACGGACTCGGCCCAGGCCGAGATTCGGGACATTGAGAGCGGACTCGCGCGTATGGAGAACAAGGCGCTCTCGGAACAGCGGGTGGAGCTGTCCGAAGAAAAGACGGCCAACATGAGCAAGCTGGCCCTCGGCGCCAAACTCGACCGCGCGCTCGACCGGAGAATGTCGGGCCAGGACGCCGTTATGCGGCCACGGAAGAGGGAAAACTTGGGGCCACAGCAGCCGCCCGCCGCGGTGCTGAGCGAGAAGGTCAAGGCTTAGATTGCTGTTGGCCAGGCTGTGTGGCGCGGTCGAGGGGTGAGATCAAGCCGGGGTTGAGGTAGTATGAGCATCTGGAGAAGAATTGGCAGGGCTTGTTTTGAGATACCACGTCGATACTACCCGTCAAGTTCGGTCAACAAACCTGGCGAAATCTTTGGAGCAGACAGTCCGCTAGCCGCGTCATTGGGGGTTTTGTCTCGTCACTGGAATCAGTGTTTCATCGCACTGGAATAATTGTTTCGTATGTTGGCATAGGCGGCAGAGAGGACTAGGCCCCTCCTTCGGATGTTGAAAGGAAGCTGGATTCTGGACGTGAAACACGTTCTATTAGAGGAGAAACCGCATGCTTGGCGGGAAGTTCCAGGAATGTGCCGTCGAGCGGCTTCTGTACGAAATTACAAAACGCCCGCGAGGAAACAGGGCACATGGGGTTTGGGGCGGCAATCCATATCATATTATTACATTATGGCCTTGCACACTTACTGCGTCACGGGACGTTGACATTTCCCTGACACCATCCTCGGGTCTCTTAGAGATGATGTGAAAGTAGGATGCATTTCTCCGACGCATCCGTCGCCATGAAATCCTGCGGGGACCAACCAGGCAATGCCAGTAAAGACTATATACAACAAGTCTGAGAATCGTGTATCTGTGACGCCGTAGTATCCTTCTGCCAAACACCATAGCCACATTGCAGAACGAACCATCGAGTGTAAGTGCCGCTCTGGGCACTTTCCGAACTAGCACAGCCTCCCGTCGCTCACTTGATAGAGTAGCTTCTCCAGGAAAACCGCGTGCATCCGTTTCAAACTCCCAGAGGCCGTCTTCTAAGCCGTCTCCTTCCCCAGCTTCGCATTGATCTCCTTGAGCAAAGCCGCAAGCTCTGCCTCATCGCCCTCCATCTCCAACCCACGCGAGACCCACTCGCGAGCCTCCTCAAGCCGGCCCATTTCAACAAGGCACTTCCCCCTTCTCCACCAGGCCTTGGCATTGCCCGTCCGCTTGGCCTCGACGCTAGCCTCGGCATCGACGGCGCCCTCGGGCCAGTTCTGCATGCTCATGTGGGCCTGCGCGCGGTTCGCAAATAGTGCCGACACTTCCTCGCGCACCAGCTGCTGCGGCTCCCACAGGGGGCGTGTCAGTGCCATCTGCAGGCCCAGGTTGTAGAACTTGACCGCTTCGCCGTACTTGGATTTGCGATAGGCGTCGTTGCCGCTGTCGCGCAGCTTCGAGATATTGGCTGATCGCTTGGGGTTTACGGGAACCGGCGGCGGTGGAATCTGGAGGGACGTCTCGAGGGAGAGCAGAGATCGGTGCAATGTGTTGAGGGCTGCGAGTTCGGTCTGCAGGTCTTTGGAGGATGAGGTCGAGGTTATGGATTTGGATTGAGGGTCGATTCCCAGAGGGAGCACCTCGAAGACTTCGTCGGCCATTGTGTGTGGTTGTGTCGTATCGAGGGGTGTGAATACGTTTGGTTCGCCGACGGTAATTGCACGTGGCCAGAGAAGGATATCGGTCGCGATCGATGCAAGGGGCCAGCCGTTAGGTTGTGCTGCTTCAGACAAGAGTTGGTGGGTATCGTAGCGACAGTGAGCCGTGGCAAGTATTGCTGGCCAAAATAAATAACTGCTGTTCCTGACGGCAGCCTGAAATGCTGGGAAATGATGAGTTGCAACTTGCAGGTGGCTTGAGCTGGGAGGGTATTGCCGGACGGCATACAAAAGCCCCGCACCTGACCCGATTGAGCTGACAGGATCAAAAGAAAGGCGAAAAGAAAAATGAAAATCGTTAATGCTTGAGCCTCGGAATATGGCGTCGGAGACAGGATCGTCTGGCCTTCTCGGGCATTAATCACCGTCAAACCTCACTTACTTCGTCACTCGTTCATCTACATGACATCAAAATTGTCTTTTGCAGCATTGTTCTACTGCGGAGGGTCGTCACCGTCGGCCTCGGGCACTTCACGCCAGCTAGCAATTCAAGCTAACATGTCGGGCACCTCAACCAGCCGTTATTTAAGACGTCACGTCAGGCCAGTGCCTCAAGTCAAGTACGTCAGCCCTTCCACCTCGCTCAGAACATACCATATTGACAGTCACATTGAAAGAAGCACTTTTTAGACTAGGCGGGGCTCTCGTAGGCTATAGATGGCCTAGGGCCGTGGTATTTGTGAGCCTGGCATCAAGGAGGTGAATTTACCTGCTGTCGATGTTGTGGGTGAATAAATCAGAAGATGAGCTTTTCGGGATGAAATACCTGAAGATAGAAATGTCGGAAGCGTGAAGGTGAGGGTTATCATGAGGATACGTGGTGAGAATGAGGCGGACGGTCACTTTGTATGAGAGGGACTAGCTGGGAAGATACTGCCGAACGGCATACAAAAGCCCTACACTTGACCCGATTGAGCAGACAGGACCAAAATAAGGAAAATAAACTGCAACTTCCTTTTTGCTTGCCTATTAATCTGCTTGATCGAGCATTGGAACTGCCACATTCAAGTTCCAAACCGCATTGACCCCCTATTGTAACGCACCCCTATTTGCAATACTAATTTCCCTAAATTACCCCTCTAACGCGATGCTACCTTCCTCTTCAACCACTTTTTTCTTAATAACAAATGATAAAGTACTATTATATTAGAAGTAATCAAGGCTAATTAAAAGGTTAATTAAATGTGCCTTAAATCTTCGGGCTACAGTACTAGACAGTACCAGAGTATTGTCAGATAGGGCACCTGGTTCCTAGGTTCAGAAATAATATGGCACTAGAGAAGACTAGTGTCACTTGAAGTTCAGACGGCGAAAGGAACCCCTCTTCCCAAAAGTAACACCAAAGTTACTGTCCACTTAGGGGTCAGACACCTGAACAATGTACCGCCGACATGTTCTAAAGAATCTATATAAGGCAGAGCAACGGGAGTTCGCGAGAACAGAACACAGAGAACAATTCTCCTCATTCATATACAATCTTACGCACTTCTGACTACTCGATTGTATATAAATGAGGTGTGTTCTTGTCTGTCTGTCTTCTTGTCAGGGTACGGCCTGGACCGAAGGCGATAGTACAGAGTGAAGGGGAGAAATAGGCGTGTCCCCCTGGTGGTCACCTGGTGTTCACTGGTGGTCACTTGGTGATGGCAGGTAGGGGTATCCACAGTAGTTTATTGATCTCTCCCCTCTCTATCTTCCTCCGTCTCGACTCCTTACTTATAGCCAGCCGAGGTTCTCTGTTGGATTCTGGATGTTTGCTTCCGCATGTCTGTGTTCCTCCGACTTCGGCCAACATCTTGGATAGCGGCTCTTTATCTGCAACCAAGCGATTCCCTATCCGCTGCAAACGGCTTCAACAGCTCTCATTCGCCACAAGCGGCTCTCTAGCCGCCACAAACGGCCTCCCGGCTCCTCATTCGCCACAAACGACTTCCTTCCTGGTGGAAGCCGGCCCGCCTCGGATGACACTTGTGGCTCTGACACTTCTGTTCTCGCGAACTCCCGTTGCTCTGCCTTTTATAGATGCTTTAGAACATGTCGGTAACTTTGGTGTTACTTTTGAGAAGAGGGGTTCCTTTCGCCTTCTGAACTTTAAGTGACAATAGTCTTCTCTAGTGCCATATTATTTCTGAACCTAGGAACCAGGTGCCCTATCTGACAATATTCGACAAGTATTCGTATACAAATATATCGTCTTATCATTAACGCTCTCGAGATGTAATTATAGAGGTATTTAGAAGTTGATACCTAACCTATTAATTAATAATTATTGAGATTAAATAGGTGTTTCTAGTAGTAGATACTATATAAGAAAACGTATAAGCGGGTTTCCTTGAAGTACTTTCTTTATATTAGAAGGAGTGCTAAGCCCCTTCGCTAATAGACTAAAAGGTCTTAAAACTAGTGGATCACTACCATTTAGTCCTACTAACTACTGTATACAGCACTCGGTGGCTATCTTATCGCTAGCACTGTAATACTTTATTACCGATTTCACGTAATAGATACTGTATAAGTCAAGTGTAACGAGGATATCACACGTCTCACTGGAATAGTCAGGTAGTGCAAAGAGCATCTATGATGCGCCAAGGTTATGGGTGCGTATATTGTAAGACTGATTCTTGAGGAATCTAAGCTAAGTGGGAGCGCCTCGAGATGTTCTCTGTGACTAGGTGGTTCCGGGGTTCTACCGGATCGGGGGGCGAAACCCCGCCCGACTCAGCTTGTCAGCTGAGACCGGCCCGCCATGACGGCTCTTTCCTTACATTATCCTTCGGGGCTATTGACGTGGGGTTAGGGTTTTTGGGTGCTCGTTTTCGTTTTTTTTGGACATTCAGATGAATTATGTAAGCGCGTTCTTGAAGGGTATTTAAGACCTTGTGTACATAGTCGCTCTCTTGAGAAAAAGATAGAAATCAAGCGGCCTTTTCCACAGTAATCTGAACCAATTTCTCTTTACTTGGACAGGCATTCAATGTTTGACGTATCTGTTGAGGTACTTTTGTTGCCCCTAAAGATCTGATTGTCTGATTGTGCCTGTTGAGGCCATTGTTCCCATCTTTCGCCTGTTGAGGTGATTGTTCAAGGGCCTGTTGAGGTTCCTTTTCTTCCCCAGCCTGCTGAGGCTACAGTTGTTAGTACCTGTTGAGGTACTTGTCGATCAGGGCAAGGAGCTCTTGATCTTGTTATTTCTTTCCACCTCCCGGATAGTAAGGTCTTGTTGAGGATCTTGTTATTCGTTGCCATCATCTTCACACCTTAAACCTGCGGGTGGTTTCACTGCCCGTCGTCACTATTTCTAGGCCGCGGTAGCCGATTAGTACGGTATTAACAGGACTATATTATCCTACCATATTCATTACGGTAGTTCCTACTGCGATGCAGCCTCTGAGTAATAAAAATTACCTTTGAAGTAAGAGAAAGCTCTCGTAAACTAGATTCTATACGAAGAACTATACGGACTGTCACAAAAGTTATTAGTAGGACGGCCTGGAAGACTAAAATAGGGTCACCCTGGATAGGCGGGCGAAATCATGACGGTCCGAGGGCGTTTCAGGAAAACCTTCTGGGCCTGATGCGTGCACCTAGGGGGGAGGATGCTATAATGCAGCAGTGCGCAACGTTATAGTATCTAATTGAATGGGATTCACCTAACCAGTGGGTCCCCCTACCTTTTCGTATCAGGGCCCTTCAAATAGTGCTCAAGGCACCATGGAAAGTTGGAGGGGCAAGTTCCTTTCTTTGTATCGAATTACTACTGGTGTTAGGAAATGTTGATTGTGCCTGACCTCCCCCAAATCTGTATCTGTTGTTACACGGATGAGTTCCTAGTAAACGTTACATAGCCGACCTTACTCTTAAAATTCTCCTGGTTAGAGCGTCCGATTCAAATGAGAACTAAGACTTGTATACCTTCCTCGAACGCTCACGTAACAATTACTGTGTTCAACCCGATAAAGAATATAAAATAATATTAAATACGCCGTAGGTGTTAACCCTCGGTACCTCTACAAGTACTCCCTTAAGGGGCTATAGATGATATAGCGGGCCCTTAAGCCGCGTCGGGCGGTTATACAGGTAAACTTGTAGCCAAACGACTACTAAACCTCCTGTCCCTCCCTAAGTCTGTGCTACAACCCCTGCCTGAACTACCGATAAGTGTGGTAATGTGGCACTTAAATTCGTCCTCAGGGGTGGGATGCTGCTGATGTGCAGAAGATGCTCGACTATTTTTTTGTCGCGACAAGTCGTAGTATCTGCTAATTGGGGTTCTCGTCGAGCGTATACATCTCAACCATACGCTCAAGTGGATAGACCGTAACGTGGTCAGACGCTCGCAAGAATCGCGGCGAGAGGGCGTGCTGCGCGCCTTCTATCGTGAGGGGACGGGTTCGCCGACGAGCGTTATCGGAAAGGCGAGGTCCGATAAGGGGTCGGATTAACGATTCGAATTCTGGACCGGCTGTCGAGTTATATTCCGCCGACGTAGTGCTTGACGGTCGACTGGCTAGGATGCTCGTAATCCTAAACTGCACCAATCTCCCTATTATCGCTAGGTAGGCGAAGTCAACAAGGTGGGCAGCGCGCCGTAAGGGTTGACTAAACCCCCTTGTGTGTCAGCTGCGGGATTCGAACCCGCGACTCGTCACCGACCCAAGTGGGCGAGGCTCAAATCGGGACTTATCTACCAGCGAAGTGACCAACTACACCAGCCGACTAAAGAATATAATGTAGCCGAGACAGGTATTTAAGAGGGGGAATATAGGTATAGTACGGTTATTATTACGTCTGAGTCACGCCGTGTACTTATATTAAAGTCGACTGCTTCGTCGTAGTGTTTTTAGATAGAGTATATTTCGTATACTTACGCGGTAGACTTATCTACGTGTTTTCCGGTAAGAGGATTCAGGTATAGTCGTTCCTAGGCTAAAATACCCTTAAGTAGGAATATCCTTGTCACAGCGCTGGCGATTACAGAGCCACATAGTGCTGTATATAGCAGTTAGTAGGACCAAATTTTAGTGATCCACTGGCATTCTAGATCTTTTGGTCTATTAGCCTAGGGGCTTGGTCCTCCCTTGTGGCATTCTCTCAGGCAAGCTACTACGTCAGAACCAATATTATTCCCACCTTGCTTACTCTCTCATCGCGATATAGCCGTATTCGTAGAGGTTTTCTCTACAGCTACTTAAGCATATCAAGCTTTCAGCAGAATATTGAGTGAAGTGGTGGTAATTGGTATTTAAATAGCTATGGTCGAAGCATGTGGACATCGAACAGTTGAGATGTCGCATGATATTTATGACCTCTCTGAAGTGACATGGTCTCCTGGTTATGTTTCGTGTACTAGGTTGATTTCAGAATGCTCTATCTGTTGAATTTACCTCTCAGGTCATAACTATGCAATACGTAGATATGGTCCTGGGAATAGTATTATTGTACGACCATAGGTCACGGCTCTCCTAGTACGGATGCAGTAACTACCGTGCGGATAGTGGTCACTCCAGGAGTGCTGGGGGCAGGCAGAAACTCAACCGAGTCCTGATATCGATATCATTTCTAGGGCGTTACCCATTTGAGTGTTTTAAACAACATTGATTGCCACCTAGATTGTACAAATTTTGGGGCTACTTATATTTTCATAAGGCTTGAGTAGAAAACCATGAGGTACGCAACAACTGGCAAGACATTCGAGTTTGGTTTGGCCAGCTTGGATTAGGGTCTTGGTCTCCTACGATATCATGAAACTATAGTGCCACATAGAGGGCCAAAAGCGAATAGAATTCACTTTCCCAGTCTCCCCGACACGCTGCAATGATTATGACATGACAGCGAGCTAATAACTCTCGGTAGAGAAGTATTGTCAGTGAACATCAGGATTGACAAGCATCAACAGCCAAAGCTTGTACTATGGTGGAGCAGGTCTTGACACCCAGCCTCATGCCGATGGTATTAAACATGCTCACTATTATCCTTGAATGAGAGTGTGGTATACCCTACCCAAAAGACCATCAAAAGCACACACTCATATGGCCATACATGCATCAATCATAATCCATATCCCCTCATCCCTACTTGGTATCAATAAACTCATTCTTCGATCCAGGTCCTCTTGGGCGCCCAGTCCGGCTCGAACATCTGCGAGACGAAATGCAAGTCACGTTCATATTCGAGAGGGTACGTTGAAATGGTATAACGCCAGTTCTTCTCGGCTTCAGTCTCCACTGCCATCCATGCATGGGTTAGTGCCAGACACGAAGAGGTGAAGGAAAGGGAAGGGAAGGAAAGGGAAGGGAAGGAACGGGGTAAGGGGGTACACGAGGCAGTGTCAGGAGAGCCACAGAGTATTCTCGTGTATCCTCGTGGTGGAAAGACGCACATGGCTTGAGCCTCGCATCGGACAGTGCCCTCATTAGATGCTCCTGCGCACGGCTAATGTCTCGAAACAGATTCTTTGAGCTTCGATTTCTTCTCTTCGCCTCCCAGTCCGCGGTGAGAGGCTCTAGGCCGCGCTTGTAGTAATGCCAGAACATGAGGATCATCTGCGCTCCCTGATGCAGTTGCTCCACGAAGCGGGGCATATTGTACCTGGCCTGTCAAACATGATCAGTATCCGTCACCCGGTAGTAACAAGATGAGGAGTATACTTTGACGTCGTTGTCTCTTGCATGACGATATCGATCTTTCGACGCGGCCGAGACCTCGTATAGGAGAATGAAGACGGCGACGTAGATGGTAAAGAAGCACTCGGGGCTTTTGCTTTGCATGAGGGTCCACAGATCCTTGAAGACCTTTTCTTTCATCGGTTTCAAGATCCGTTCGATCTTCATGGCGTTGAACTGTTCACTGACCATGCGCGGGACGCTGCATTTATTTTCCAATGGATAGTCTGGATGGTCATCGTCCCTCTGTTTCCCTAATGTCTCTTTGCCCACGAGAAATGCAGAGCCGGTTTGATGCCCTACGAGCCAGTCAGTGGCGAGTTGGCCAGAGGTCTAAAGTGGCATCATACTCATGGCAAACCAAAGTCGAAAGAGGTTATCCATAAATTTGTGAACGTTGACACCACATGATATGTACTAGGGACTAGGTCAGTATCACGTGGGTTATGAGTGGGAGGATGGCAGTCTCACGTCCACATTCTCCATATGCTTCCAGCTGATGTTTTTCGGTCAGTATAGTACTCAACCAATACACTAACAAGTCCCAGGGACGAGACAGTTGACGATCCTGTACAATGATATGAGACAGCCCACGTCAGTAAGAAAACTTACGCGGCAAAGAAGGTGGTCTTGACAAGCTCATGAGCATCGTCATGGCGGCAGAAATGTCCCACTCCCAAATGTGCATTCTCGGCAAGGTATTGACTGAATACCTTGGTTGCTTTGTAGATATCAGTCAAGGCGTAAGGGGGAATATCTGTTATTCGAATCCTTCCTTGCTTGTCCCTCCACTTTCTAACTGTGACGTCATGTGGAAGGGGTTTGAATTTCCGGACCCTGAACCTGATAGGCTTGTCACATAAGCCCAGAGACCACTCAATGTCAATTGACTCTGGACTATCCCAGTCCTCGGGTCCGAGGTCTTTGACGGCGGTGCCTTCCCATCGCCTCGTGAAATTGAACCCTTCAGTTCGGAAAGGTACGTAGGAAGTCAGCTTAACCCGATAGCAAGGGATCCTGTGGATAACCTTCTTGGAATCCTTTGCCATTAAGAGGCACTTCACACAGTCCTCCTTCTCGTCATAAGGATTGGGAACACACTAAATTTGCGTCAGACGTGTCACCTGGGCTGAGACAACCACGACTTACTCGAATACGTTGCATTTGGCACCGCACACAAGCCACCATTTGACGGGTCTTGCCCGTCTCTATGCGCTTTGCGGGCGAAAGTTGGCCCCGTGGTTTAGCTGGCTGCTTAGTCTTGCCAATCGGCAACTTGGATGACGTTGTGTGACACTCCTCATCCTCGGCTTTCTCTACGATTTTGATGTCAGTGCAATCGGGGACGATAGCCCAATTGTTCCTGATTGGAGTAACAGAGCCACTGGCTTCTTCTTGGCTGATTGATCCGAGGTCTTCCTCTGCTTGGACCCAAGTCCAGCACAGGTCCGTGTTAGCCCTGGGTACGTTGGTATCATACGCTTCATCCAAGAACACCAAGGGGTGGTCTTGCGACGAATCGCCTTGTTGGGGTTCGCTATGTGGCCAGGAGGGGGCGCCAGACACAAAAAAGGAGTATTCGACGGGCGACGTCATATTGTTCGGAGGGTAGTAGGCTGAAGAGGCAGAGTATGATAGGTTCGCAGCACATGTATTGTAGGGCTGATTGTAAGTCTGCGGGGAATTATCATGGTCATGAAGGAGAGACGATGGCTCGTGCAACGCTGATGGGTAGCAATACTCGGAAGGTGTCGAGGTCCAGAATGGGAAAACCACGTCGTGGTAGAATGATGGCACACCTGGCACATGAATTGGGGCGAAGGATGTAGAGAAGACGGCGTCGTCGGAACCAAAAGTGGGATTTGGACCGGTGGTAACAGCAACCTGCCCATTAGCTACGTCCGTTGGACCTAGGAGGATGGTTGGCTCCCATCCGCTCTGATGTCCAATGGTGGCCCCGGTCTCATCTGTTTGTTGCGCAGCAGTTGAAGCCGTGGCAGCAGACACGAATCCAGCGACACCAGCCGTTGCAGTAGCAGTAGCAGTCGCAGTCGCAGTCGCAGTCGCAGTCGCAGTGGAAACGTGTTGATCTAAGCTGAAGGAGGCTATGTTGGCCGATGTGGACACTGAACGAAAGCGTGACGACGTCGTTCTCATCCTAGTCCGCACCCCTCGTCCTGTTCGGGCGACAGGAAATGGAGGGTGAACATCAGGGGCCCAGCTTGAGCTCGGGCTCGGATGCGAGGATGCCGACCGAATCCTCTTGCTTGCCTGCCACGAAGGGCAGTTAATTCGCATTGCTCTTACATCAGATACAACAAAAAGGGGGAAAGGTGATAAAAGCTTTACATGATAATGATTTGGCGCGGGAGTAGCGGTCCCCACCGCAATAGGACCAGAACCGGCATCCATATCTGCTGCTCAGCTCGCCAAACGAGCCGTCATACCGTTTCTGGCGTTGGCGGTGCTCAGTAGCCCAAAGCAGACGACCATCGAGTGCCTTGGAGGGCTGGAGGGGACGTTGATGGCTCAACCGGTGAGTCTTGAGTGGTAATATTAAAACCGGTGTGCAAGTGCTCCGTCGTACGACAACGGGATTGCAGCGTGTCGTGGGTCTGGGGTCAGGTCTCGAAGCGAGCCAAAATATCACCTGACCGGCCTCAAGTTGCTGCGATCAGCCTTCCAGCGCAATCGTCACAATTGGTGCAGTTGCGATATCCAGACCACCTCGCTTCGGCCGGCTTCCTGTTCTGAGAGATGCACCCTCCGCTGCAGAGATGATTGTAGTGCGCGCAGCGCATGCAGTTATCTGATGACTGCAGCCTCGTTGAATTGGAGGATGGGCCTGGCTGGAAATGGGCCGTTGATCTTCCGTCGTGGTTGCCCATTAGAAAGGGCTGGGTTGTTACTACCCCAGTTCCAGCCCTGGCTTGTGCTGGGGTCCGAGATTAGTCTGGAAAGCCGACATTAACCTACGAAATTCCCAGCCAACGGATTCTGGGTGAGCTGCTAGTCTAGCTGCGTTAACCAGTCAATTTGATAAAAAGCATCCATCCCTTGCTTCTCGTTATGGTCCCGTCATCCCAGTCAATGGGGCACGTGCTGGTGCTAATCCCCAGCAAGCCCCGCGTTTCTTTTAGGCCACTTAGCACTGGCGCTGGCCCTGGGGTGGGACTGCAGGGCAGCAGGTGGAGTGGGGCAACTGGCAGGCGCTTGTTTCCGCCCACGCGCCTGCAGGCGGCTAGAAGCGAAGCCAACCCAACTTCGTAGTAACGTCGTGATCTACACTAGCAGCCCTGGCGAACACAATGCCTTCCGCTGTTTTAGTCGGTGAAACCCCATCAAGTTGCACGACGACCGCACCTTTCGCGGATCCGGCTTTTCACTGACCGGTTATCCTACTTGAGCGTTAGAGCAATTCCAGGTGACCGGGATGCTGATATGCCTGAAACGCCTTCTTGGGTGCCATCTGCTCGATATGGCTGACATGCTTGGTTATACCTGAAAGTGGCCACCTTTGGTCAGAGCGCAACCCGTAGTAGGTGGCAGCCCCTTGGCCCGGTGGGATGATCAACTTCGTTATCAGGTCATGTTTGCTGGTTCCTCTAGAACTCAACCAACCGCATCCGCATGGGGTGTGTTTGAGCGATGCAAACATGTTCAAACATAGTGTCGGTTGCTCTGCGCAAGTACGCAAACTGGCTTCATCTCATCCTTCGGCCTGCCTTCTCTTTATCCGGCGATCTTGCCAATCGTTCCCGAGGAGCCTTCGGGACGAAAGCGTGACGACGCCACTGCGGGTATCATCATGTAGCAGCATATCAGGAGACAAAGACCTGCCGACTCGTCGTGCCATCATCGTATTTCAGGAGTGCAGCACGTCGGATATTGGAAATAGCCTCGGGTACCCACAAAATAGCAGATCTCCATCCATCTGAGAGCCGCTGCCATGTACCCCCGTTGACCGTATCGTTCGCTGAGCCGCCCTTGGACTGGTCTCCTCGCACACCATCACAACTGTATCGTTCCTTGTTGGTCCGATCCGAGTTCGACCAGCCTGAAGTCGTCATAGCGCGATGTACCGGAATAATCATGTGGAGTGGTCATGGATTGTTGCTGCCACCTCCAAGTTGAACAAGTATGCGAACTTGAGCTGGCATTAACATGAGGTTAAAAGCGGCCCTCGGCGTAGTAATCCAGATAGATCTCGGCATCTCTCATTCCCCTTAATCTCATCTGCTGGACACGATCAGAAATGACAGCTCAAATCCAGCTCCCCTCCCAGCTCTCCGCTGGCACCCACTGGCAGGTCCATGGTGATCATGAGTCCATACGAGCTGGTGTCGAGGCCCAGAGGAGCTGGTCCATCCAATCACCAGCAGGATTTCCCCCCGTCATCAATGGTCCAACTGCTTGCCCTGTGTCTGACAGCGACCTTTGTGGTGTGCACATTCTCAACCTGAACGGCCAAGATGTCGTCGAGATCGAGAACGGCCTACGATCGTTCAAAGGTACGTTTCACTGTGGGGTCACAAGACTATGTGTGACCCATTGAATTCATATCGGACAGGGCTCGGAATGGATGGAGACGACGTGACTCGAGAGCGATTCCCTCTTCCCAATCTCCAGAAGCGCCTTGACGGGTGCGCTGCGGAAATCCACGATGGCACTGGACTGTGTATCATCCGTGGTCTCGACCCTCGGAGGTACTCCGTCGAAGACAACATCATGATCTTCTTGGGTGTTTCCAGCTATATCGGAGGGAAGAGAGGCCTTCAAAACTCCAAAGGGGCGATGCTAAGTATGTATAGCTCCGGTTCCCACGCCACCAACTGATACTGATGCTTTTCAGCTCATGTGACCGAATCCAAACTCTGGTCGGTGCCTCGCGAGAAGCGTCATGGAATTCATACCAATGAGAGCCTTGTGGGTGTTCACCAATCGGATGATGTGGCATACCTGATGAGTGAGTGACGTGCTAACTCTGCTGCAAGCCATTCCATTCTGACATGGGCTGCGACATCCTGTCGCTCCACGTTCGGCAGTGTGCAGAGACAGGCGGTCGGACGTGTGTGGCCTCATCCGCCGACATCTACAACCACCTTGCCCAAACCAATCCATTGGCCGTTCATGCATTGGCCAGACCTGATTGGCCAATCCAAACGTGCGTTTCTCTTCCAATCCTGCCCTCCACATCCGCGACGCACCCGCTAACCAACAATACTGCAGTAGCCCCAAGCACACGGGAGCTTCCTTCGTCCTGTCACCACTTCTCGCCTATCATAAGGACAAGTTGATCCTTTCCGTGGATCCTTGTCGCGTTGGCCCGCCTCCCTCCGCCTGCGCTGGTCCAGTTCCTTCCCTGACGACTGAACAGCACGACGCTCTTGCCGCCTTGCAGATGGCTGCGCATGAAAACCAGGTACCTATCGACAGCCAACCAGGTGACTTTGTCTACATCAACAATTGGAGCATGCTACATGCTCGCGAGCCCTACCAGGATGGTGAGACATCGGCTCGTCATCTCGTGCGCATGTGGCTTCGCAACGAGGCATTGGCGTGGGAAATCCCTACTTCGATGCGGGTGCCTTGGGAGTCGTCCTTCGGAGAGACGGCGAAACGCGTCACCAACCGCGAGTACCCCATTGTCCCCATGCCCGAGTACAAGGAGTCAAAGTACACTGCCGGCACTGCGGCATTCGTGCCAGAGGACGATGATGACTACCATTGGTGTGATCGGAACGTGAGGTGATGTTTCCTTATTCTGGTCTCTTGGCGTCGAGCTTCTTCATCAAACTTTTAACGAACAGGACTTCGAGACTTCGACGGATGTTGGATTACTAGAGGGCATGGTCGGAACATGAGATGATGTTTTCTTGCTCGGATCGGTTGGCCTTCTGCGTCTTCACCACAACTCCACGCGCATATCTTAGTCGAAATTTGCTTCCCCTATACTTTTCATTTACATGCCATCATCATGACCTTCGATTCTCGCCCTGCATGACTGCATCGTCATGGTAGAATCATCAGCTTTGTTTTTTGTTTTGTTTTTTTTGGTAATATGAATCATAGGTTCTTTCACTGGTTTATCCTGGTGGTGTTTCCACACCATGCTCCCCTAGGCATTTCCATGCTGTTGACATGTCTGGCACTGCCTGATTACTGTATAGTTGCTCTTCGTACAGAAGGTCATCGCAGCTACCCAGGTAGCGACCACTATGCATTGCTGCTTTCTCGAAAGAGTGACAAGAATCAAATGCTCAGCACTCAACCCGGGAATCGAGGCTTTTGCGGGTCACTGTCTTCCAGTGAGCGTGTTGCAGCCAGAAATGGTGTGTCCAGTCCTACGCATAGCAGACTTTGTGATTCTCACAGCATGAGGCACTTTCCCGGTGAAGCTGGTGTGGAGCCAGTCACCGATTTCTAGGAGTAGCTCAGCCTAAGCTAGATGATGAGCTATCCTGGGCTCTTGCCTAGACAAATTGAACTTTCGCAGGGTCATCATACCGTTGAATGCATCGAGTGTGTGGCGCCCGACCAAATGCCGTCTCCCCGGCGCGGGAATGGTTCAACGTCCACTGGGGTTGTTCCAAGCAGCCTCCGGATCTATCAAGGAGGATGTAATGATTGGTGGGTTGAAACTCGGTGCAAGTCACTGTGGATCTCCTAATGGCATTTTATGAGCATTTGCAGGAGTTCCGTCTCCGATATGGACAGACGGCATGGCGAACCACGGCGACGGGGAATGGACCAGCAGCACATTTGGATGGGTACAGCTGTGGCAAAGTTGGGCTGGGCCTACCTATTGTATCACCGGCTCGACTTCGAAGAACAAGAAGGGCTTGAATGCTAGATAGACGTCAATACGATGCGCGACTAGACGGATTGTCGCAAAGTGAAGCCACTGCCTCTCCCTTTTGGCCTCTTACCCAGTGCAGCCTACGGGTGAAACGGCAGTGAGGCGATTGCGTAGGACTGAAATACCGCGAAAACGAGGCTGACTTTCCCGGGTGACTTCACGTCATGTAGGATAGTACGGTATTGCTTGTGCCACAGGTAAACGTCCGGGGCTGCAGGTTCCCTACGTACGGGACAACGGTGCCGTGACATCGGAGCGGTTCTGAGAAGTGGCAGTCACGGACATGGGGCGAACGACGAAGTCGATTACACCGATCGTACGAAGAGGCCTCAAATGTTGCTGACATCTTCGATGCCCTCTGTTGTCGGGGAGGCCACAAGGCGATCATGGGTAACGACACACGTAGGGAAGTCCCGGAGCCGTAGCGCAGGTTGGCACATGTGACGTCGAGCACTGGACGGGACAACGCGCGAGGCCTTCTTGTCGCATAATTTAGGTCACTGCAATGATGACACGAAGGTCGTTGTGAGAATATTGTCAATGAATTCCTCTATACCAGTTCCTAGGCATATATCCTACAAATGCATCGCGTTGCCAAGAGCCGAATCACCTTCGCCGAGTGACGAGCGAATACAAACAATGAAATTTAAAAGACTCTTGCTTGCAAACGCAAATATGCCCGTGGTAAATAGAAGCAACCCCGCTGGCATTTTGTATACTATTCCTCCGTTCAGATCGGGGTCAACCATATGAGACCCCTTACAAGAGGACCATGCCGGCACCAACACCCATGGCCACCAGCAGGTAAGCTCCAATGGCAAGATCGCCCAGCGCGAACAGGCGGTTCATTCTGAGGTTGTTGGCCGGGTTGCCGCTCTCGGAGGAAGAAGAACCAGTGCCGGTGCTGTTGCTAGTGCTAGGAGACGTGGCTGTGGCCGCAACCTCGGCGGCAGAGCTGGCGCTGGCGAGCTTGTCGCTGCATGCCGAGTCGGATGCAACGTCGCTGTTGACAACAGCCTGTCCTTCGAAGTCGCAGGCGTCGGAGGCCTGGTCTAGAGACTTGTAGTAGTGGTCAAGGACGTAACCCAACTTCTGGGTGTCATTGCACATGACGTAAGGACCGTAGACACCAGTGGTGGCGTTGCCATTGATTCCGGTGCAACCCTCAGCGTCGTTCTCGCAGATGTACGCGAAGATGTCACCATAGTCGTCGGTGGACAGGTCAGAAGCAGGACCGCAGGAGATCGAGTTGAACATACACTCGCAGAGCTCGCTGTCAGGCGTGGGAGGGAGGTTCTCGGAGGCCTTCCACGTGTCGACAATGGAAGGGCAGGCCTGGGCGCTGTTGGTGGGGCTGTAGGAGTCATACGCGGTCGACGAGGGGCTGACGGATGCCAACTTGGTTTTCAGGGCCTTGTAGTTATCCATGGTAGAGGCCTCGTCGTTGGAGATGGAGACGATACCGTAGTCGTTGTCCTCCTGGAAGTACATGTAGACGATGCCGCCGGAGAAGACATCGGTCATTTCGTCGGAGTAAAGGGCCGTGGTATCGTCCCAGACGCGAGACTCGGCACCGCCAGTGTTGCAACCGTATTCGGCAAAGAAGACGGGGACAGAGTAGTTCTGGAAGAATTCGACCTGCTTGTCGTAACCAGAGATGGACATGCTGCTCTCGGAGCCGCACCAGGAATAGATGTTGTAACCCCAGAAGTCAATGGAGTCGCTCTCCTCGCCACAGTTGAAGTACTGGGCAATGTGGGCACGAATCGCGTCGTCGTCGTTGGCGGCGTATCCAACACCCATCCAACGATTGATGTTGTCGGCAATGTAGGCCTTGGTGTCACGAACAGCTGCCTTGACATAAGCAGATGCCTCGGTGTTGTTCTTGCTGTTGGTGACCTCGTTTCCGGCGAAGAAGCCGATGACGTTGCTGTACTTGCTCATCTCGTCGACGACGCTCTTGTAGCGCGCAAACAGCTCCGTGTCCCACTTGGGATCATCACGATTAATTGAGAGAGCCGGCTCGCTCAGGTCAGAGACGACGTAGATGCCGTTCTCTTGAAGCAAGGCCATGCAGGCTGAGTGGTCGGCGGTAGGGTCGATGGCGTAGGTTCGGATCGTGTTCGTGCCCAGAGCAGCAAGGAGAGGGACATCACGTTCGCAGATGGCCTCGTCACTGAGAGGGTCGATATATTTGTTGGTCGTCGTCTCACCGGCAGCGCCGGTTTCTTGTTGGTAGGCGACGCCCTTCATGAAGAACTGGGTGCCATTCTCGAAGAAGAACTTGCTGCCCTTCATCTTGATGGAGGGCAGGTCGGCTGCGATGGCATGGCCAGCCAGAAGCACCGACGATGTCAGTGCCGTCTTGAGGAAGCCCATTGTGATGATATTGAGAATGATGTCTCGATATGATGGTGTGTTGGTGTAGTGTCGATGTTATGCAGAGGGTGGTTGGCCCAATTGGTCCGGTGGGAAGCACAGCTATCCGAGAGATGCTGGTTTGCGGGCGCGTGAGGAAATCCAGATGCCTTGGATGCTGGAATGACCTCTGGATTAACGATTGATTGCGAGGGGGAGGGAGATGTCCTTCTATGCGTACTTTGGGGGCCAATAAACAAAGAACGAGTAAATTATCTAGATGTAGAGAGTGCGAGAAAGAACAAAGTCAGTCCTGAACGAGAGTGTGAAGTCGAGTAAAAGGCACGTCTCCTTCCTGTAATTGCAAAAGACGAATTACGATGAATAAGGGAGAGAGCAGCTGGAACGTGGAATAATGAGAGATTCTGGGAAGGCGCGAGGGTAGAAAAGAGACAGAGACCAGGACATCCCAAATCACGATAGTCGGCCAGGATCCAGGCAGGAACAGGAATAGGGCGGAGTAAATGCTAAACCCAGAGTCAACATGGTACCGCTGATTGGACTGTCAGGGGGGCCAGGCACCACTATTTAGTAACAGAATCTGCATCCGAAATAGCGCCAAGAAACAAGCTTAAGTGGAGCCGACCGCAGAAGTGGACAAGATCCACGCATCCACCCTCATCTCCTATTAGATGCAATGCTCTCTTTGTGCAGTTTGACTCTCCTGACAAGTGGCCATGTGTTTTGTCGCACTCTGAGCGCAATGCAGTTTGAATTGAATTGAATTAAATCGATCGACTTGGAGATGCCAGTTGATGGGGATCAGATATTGGCATCGCCAGCCCACGCGTCGTGCGGATTGATTGAAAACTCGGCCAGCTGGGAATTCTCTCGGCGACGCAATATGTCTGTGGCAGTGTGGACATCGATAGCGATCATCCAAGATTGGCACTCGTGTTCCGGACTTGGCGTGATCAACAGCCCCTTTTTCTCATGCTTGTTCTTCTCATTCTAGTGCCTCGACACGTGTTGTTGAGTGCATATTCTTTTCATCTCAATTGATGACTGTAGACTGTAGACACCGACTGTATTGAGTTGTGGCATCTGCAGCCTACATTACGAGCAGAGTTGAGTTCAGTTGACAGGTCTCGTCCCATCCCATCCCATCCCATCCGTGCTGGTGAGGCTGTCGCTGCGCTCGGGTAGCCCACAGAGCTGCATTGGAACGAACATGCCCGCAAATGCTCATTCCCCCCGCCAAGACAAGGTTTGCGACGTTGGGGTCGTATCATCCACTTTTCGATGTTTCCTCTTAGAACGACCAGCCGTCAACGCAATGGTTTACGTCGCCATCAGCAGAGTCCAGTGGCGGCGACACGACTATCGTATCGTCGAGGTGGCATCGCCGCCGTAACCCTGAAGTCTCCTGTCCTTCCTAAGCGACGGAACTCCTAGTGTCCTCTCAGTTCGTTTCCGTTGCCAGTCCGCCGTCTCAGGTCTCGGGGACAAGTACGCACAGGCCAACCAAATCATCGTGCCTGTGGCATCCATTCTCCCCTCCGTCTCTGCTGTCCGACCGACACTCACGTCTTGCATCTCGCAGCCGACAACGTCACCATCAGTTGCTTGAACATGCGCCAGCAGTGAGCTTGCTTTCATAACGATCGTTCAAATGGCATTCCTGGACGTCTCGATCATGAAGCTGCTTTTTCTGGGCATTCACTTCCCGCAACACTTGTAGACCAGCGATCCAATCCCAATGAGCAGCGCCTCCCAAAGCTCGAGCAGCTCACGCCAGATCCCTTTGATAACACTACACATTATTCACTCCGCAGCTCGAACGACGAAGGTGGAATTACGTATCGAGTTGATGAAATTGGGGTCGAAACTTGAATCCAATCACCCCTTCTGTGATTGATCTTAAGTCAGGGTTTATATCTCCAATGTCGATGAGCGACGACCCAGCTGGTTGATATAGAGTCACAGCCATCCCGTACCGAACCGTCCATGGCTTCCACATGATTGACAAAGTCGTCATGTTGACACCATGCAGCCTCGTCGAGAGCCCCCCACCAAGCCTGCGTATGACATTTCAGTTGAGCGATGACCGTCATGTGCACTTTCATCATTGGATCGTGCGAGGTGGGGGGTTACATGGCCGTCATTTGCTGCTGATGTGCGAGTAGACTGTGACTCTGCATTGCCCATCCATCCATCGTGTCGTTCCTTCCAAAGTGCACGATTTGCCACTGCTGCTCTTTGGGCAAACTGTAAGGCTGAGTCATGTAGATTGAGTGGCGCAAGGCTACAGTCTGACTAACTACGCCCAAGAACATTGCTTGGCGCATCATATGATCCCGCTTAGCTCCATTCTATTTGATATGTCGCCGGCCTTGTCTCGGGTCGACTGTTGCAATGGAATTTGCTGCGCGTCCGATGTCGTGTTGCACTCAGCCTCACCATCCCTCGGTTTCCAAAAGTTGTTGGCATCCCATCTCGTTCACGGTACCCATCTACTAAGAGTCCTTAATTTGAGTGTATCCTTTGAGGAAGAAAACCAATACCCGCAGAAGTACAGCTATGCTGCCAGCACCTAATGGCAACTGAGGGTAGCAAGTGCTGTTTGGAGGCCGCATGACATCGAATTGGCTGTTTGTCCCATTCCAACGCCCACCCAGCGCATTTTGTAGAAGTCAACAACTTTCGTGCGAGGCTGTCTTAATAGCTGTCCCCCTTTCAAGCACCTGGCGAGCGTTGAAGGTGACCTTGAAGCGCAGAAACAGTTTTGCGAGATGTTACACATCAGCCCACCGCATTCATCTACCTGCTTTGCATATGGCTATACTCCGTATCTCCAACGACCAAATCTTCAATCCAACCTGATGTGATGCAACTGACCAGTAATCACCAATTGTCACCTGGAAAGAACCGGGTTAGGATGCGGAACATGATCTGCTAAACCTGCTACTTAACTTGTCTCAGCTATGCAGTGACTACTCTCAGAGGCTGGGAGAATCCAATGCGGTCGTTATCACGGCGTAGTGAAAATTGAAGTTCACTTGCGTAACGGTCATCAAGTGGAATGATAACAGCGGCTCATAACGACTTATAGCGTGGGATCGTTCACCGATGAGGACGCCATGGCAGGGACTAGTTGAATCCCTATCAGTATAGCATTGCCCCGTATGGCAGGTGGAGGACTTTACTTACGGTTCATCTGTGGACATACTGCCTGCTTGCATTGGTGATGTCGGTGCCCAGGATTAGCCCCTGTCGCGAATCTTCCGATTGGGCCAAGTTAGCGACAACCCCAAATCGATGCCTTGAGTAACTCGCTGATTCCTCGGCACAATATATAAGAGTGTTTGATGATTGTTCTACCCGGAGCTAGTATACTCTTTGTTGTCGATTCCAGCATATATAATTTTTAAAAAGAATTAGGAAGTGTTACAGGGCGAAATACCAACCTTGAATATAGTTAGATTATAATATTGTTAATAACCGGCTAACTTGTCAACTAAATGATATATAGTCTCAGTTGGACTTCGACTTAGTCACCATATGCCTTGTATTCAAGTTATGATCGTGGTTGGAGGCGGCGAGACGTGTTTCGGGATCTCCCATTGCGGCAGCCAACAAGAAGAGCAGAATGGACGAATAAAACTACGTCAACCATCTGAGCGCATCGGGCTTGTTATCCCAGAAACTGGACATTATGTTGACTTATCATGGTTAGCATTGGCTCAGAGTAAACATGCGATATGAGCAAGTGTGAATAAACGCCGTTGTGGTACCTAGCTTAAAGGAACAAGTTCCCAACTTGAGTTGCTTAGGAACAAGCCGAACAGGCCCGCTTTTGAGTGACAAACTCGATTGCATAGGGGTATTGTCCAAGTGAAGCAGAATACGAACCAACGCATTACCTTCATCGTCCGTCCACTTTGCCTGGGCTCCACATGGAATCATCGCCGGCTGCAGCGGAGTGTTGTCTTCTCCTTCATCGGATCTCGTATTGTCACTACGAACCAATCTCATCTTCCGCAGATCCTCATCCAAGTCCCCCCAGTTCCACCAATTGGTGAACACTGCACGGCGATCTTGGGAAAGGGCCAGGTCGTACTTTTCACCCGCTATGGACCGTCTCTGTTCAGCCACCGACGTATTATAGCCGCGAAAGATCCTATTTCAACTGCTAGCGGCCAGATAGGCCAAACCCTCATACCCAGGTGGGATCGTCGCGAATGGGACCTCGGGCTTCTAGTCGTCAGAGTTTGGCCGCTAAGTTCTCGTGCATTGAGTCAGGACGGCGAGGGGGTCTCCAAGGGGGTGTGCAACACGGTCATGACCTTGGGCCTTCACGAGGACATGGTTTGCCGCGTTGCGTTTGGTGATGAGCATTTGTGATGTGCAGAATGTGAGTGGCTCATTCTTGGGAGGCCACGTATGTCTGACGTTCATGGTGAGAGTAGGAGAGGTGGATTTGGGATACGCGGTCTTTGCCTCAGAGAGAGAGAGAGAGAGAATGATCTACTGCGTAATGCCCTTGATGGTCTAGCATAGGATACACTGAAAGTTGGTCCCGACATTGCCATTGTCCTGGTGCGCCAGTTCGGCGTCAATGGAAGTGTTGTTTACCTATTTTCGCAGTCTGCTAACCTACTTGGCGGTTTAATGTCCCTTCTACGGAATCTCATAATGTACGACAAGCTTCGGTAGTTTGCTTAGCCAGCGATTGTCATGTCCGCGGAATAGAAGACAGTTCCGGTCTTTCGAGTCGCGGTGGTCAGGTGATGACCAGTTCTACGAGAACTGAGAACCACAATTAATAGTACAGTATCTAATATTCTATATTCCTGACCGCCGATTTGTTATACACCCTATGTTACAAGTTCCTTTGTTCCTTATTACTCCTTGCCATTGCGGACAATTTCAAAGTCCTGATCCGACTTTCTAGAAAGTTCCTTCTCTACCCAGGAAGAAATACAAGCCGCTGCATCAACAGCACTATCTAGGTGCAATTGGAAGAAACCCTGTAGCTGAGACGGAGTGAAAGTGTCCTCCGGGATCTCCGTTGCGAATTTAGAGGCGAGACTCCGGACTTCATGAATATCAAGCTGCCGCGGGACCTCTTGGCCTGCAAGATCCTTTTTCTTCCTAGGCAACCGGGGTTGGCTGTCCAAGTCGATTGCAAACATGCGGACAAACATCTGCTCAGCTGATTTCTGGCTAATATAGCTGAGGAAAATCTTCATATCGACACGACCAGGGCGGACTAATGCGCTGTCGAGCTGCTCCGGCCTGTTCGTCGTCATTATTACGATGCGGCCCTCTTGCGAGCCAACGCCGTCCAGCACATTGAGAAGACCAGATAGGGTGCAGTTGGACCTCCTATTACCGTTTTGCTCACTTTTCTCTGTTTCGCGCTCTACCCAGACAGCGTCAATGTCCTCGAGAAGGACGATGCATTGTGGGGGCACTTCCAAGAACATTTGCTCCAAATCCGCATCGGACGCGATGCTGGGGATGTTTACCTCGTAGAGGTCCAGTCCGAATTCCCCGGCGAGGGCAGTGGATAAGGAAGACTTGCCCGTACCTGGGGGCCCATAAAACAAGTATCCCCTGCGGTAGGGCATACTGCGAGTCTGGTATCTCCGCTGCGTCTTGGGGTCGAGATAATTCTTGATGTCGGCAAGGAGCTCTTGTTTAACTTGCTCGTCAAAATGGACCGTTTCTAACAGGCGGATGGGCTTGCGCGACTTGGGCTTCCAAGACATGCCATAGCGATCCCGAGAGTATACGATGACGAAGAATTGTGTCTGCCTATCTGCAAACTCGCGGCAAGTGGTCATTAGCCTCCTAATGGGCTCTACTGAGCGGCCGAGACAGCTGATAGTCAGCTCCTCTCCGCCAATGCCGTCGTAAGTTGGATCGCCCATGGAGGCACTGAAGCCATCGAGTATTCGTGTAATCATGAACAAATTCCCCTGGTGCCAGAACCACGTCGTCTTCCAGTGAGGGCAGTACTGGACGGCACGGCGCGTCTTCTTGAGTGCGGCCGCGCGATCCGCACCATTCCGTCCAACTTCGGTACGGGCCGTCAGAAACCTGATATTTTGGGGCTCGATGACGTTGGACAGGACCCAATTGACGACATTCCGGTTCAGAGGGTCACCGCCTGGGATGGTCACGGAGGCGATGAAGAACCGCCTGATCCAGCCATAAGCGTGGCGTCCGATGTGTTGCACGAATCGCCAGGCTGCAGGGGCAGCGCCTGCGATGGTGATAATAGAGCCAAGGTGAGTGATGTCCAGTTCCAACCAGCGGCCGATGACGGCCCTCATCACACCAAGGCCATGAGTCCAGGGGTCGTGAAGGGTGTGGCATGCCGCCCCTGCGGCGTGGAACGGCTGCGACATGGCGGGTTTTGGTTGGCTCCCAGATTAGGGGTTAGCCAACGCCGTGGCTGCGCTTCTCAGGCAGTCGTGCGACCTACTGATGAAACATATTGAAATGAAATGGATGTATCAGAACAGATTGAAGGAATGACAAGAATTGAAATATAGGAAAACTGTTGATTTGACTGCTGAACGTGTCAGCAACAGCTCAGTAACAGCTGAAGTTTAAATTGGGCAAATAGGAGTTTTCTCCTGCCCAGGCCAGACCCACAGGCACAGCCACAGTTTCTCCCTGAGAAGCCTCAACAGCTTGTTTCACAGTCTGACGTCGGCCTGCAGACAATGAGTAGAACAGGATATATCCGAAGTAGCTTCAATAACTGGTGTGGATTCCTAGTTGTAAGCTTTTCCAGTTAGTTATAGAGTGATTTCATGAGCGGCTCGATACAATTGCCGAAGATAGTAATCTGGCCAATCGTGGCTGCTGAAGTCGGATGCTTCAATCAAATTTGGAGGGAATCCTGAATGGTTCTTGAATGCCTATGCCGTGGGAGACCATGTCGTGTCCCATTGCATACATCTTCTGCTGGCTGCTTTTACCTGTGGTGGTAGGGGTGGCTTTCCTCCGCCCACACTGGATCAGGGGAGCTCAGCTGCGAACTTCAGTATATATGCAACGGCATTTCAAACTGAACGCCAAGTGGCATTAAGTGGTTGTCGAAGACTTTAGTTCCTGTCAAATATAGAAGGCTGCAACATCGACGGCTGTGGTGTGATCTAACGATACTAAATTGGCGACGCCTCCGCAGAGCTCCGGCATTTATATTGAGCTGCAGTGCCAGTGCAACCCAAAACCGGGATCCGCGTGCTTTGCATGTCGTCTCAAAGCAAACCATGTACCGACAGATCTGTTTAAGCTTTCGAGGTCTGCAAATCGGATGCTGTGACTATTCAGGCCTATATCATTCTGCCTGTACGTAAATAATGGGTGCTGTATATACCCATGCCATATACCAATGCTGCTGCTACCCAGAGAGGAAAACAGGCCAAAATAAGAATCCTTATATCATTGGGAATACCCGCGTCGCTGTTGATGATTCCAGTTCCTTTCATTTGGTCTTGCTGGTTGTCGATACTGTGGTGTCACCAGCCTTGGTTAAGTAGGTAGGCAATTTGAAGCAACCAAACTTCGATTTCCATCTCTACGTCCTTTTATGACTCCGAAAACATCAACCTAGATATTGAGTAGCTAAAATTCATTCCTTTGGTACACTCGTTCAACACCGGGTATCACCGGTGCTCAAGTGTCGCATCATAACCTTCAGTAAGTCGATGAAGCTCCTGGTCCAGATGCTTCTTGGTACCACAATATTGAAGGATGGTGGTTCAATCCTTCAATCATTTTCTTGCGACAGCGATGCTGCAGCACAATTCGTCAAACAATGAACCTGCTTACGGGGGCTAAACAACCGCGGCCGCGTAATGCCATCAGCTCGTGTCCGGTAATGTTTTGGCCAAGCGGCCTCATGAACAAACTGCCACTACCGGTTCAGCACCCTTTTACATATTCATTTTTAACACTCAAGTCATCATAATTATCAACCCACACTTACTGACACGTAGACTACTCTTGTTTCCAACCACAAACTGATTAAACACCTAGCTGCTCACTTGATTATCGAAAACATGGGGGTCTCTACCTTCGTCGCCATCATGGCGTTTCTTCTCGCTCCGACGCTGGCCATTCCACAACAAAGCAGCGTAGCAACTTCGAGCAAGACGGCCTGTACCACCGGGACTCGTATCGTGACCGCCGGCTACACCATCAACTTCGCTAAAGCGACGCCTACCGTCGACAGTTTTAACGGCAAGGCATACCAGCCCGACCCAACGTGGGCGAGCAAGCACGTCATGGGGACTGATGTAGGTTTCCTGTTCCCCCTTTTCCAATGGGCCGCTGATTCAGACACAACAGACCTACGGAGTCGGACTCCCCGTCGAATCCGGCTTCGCCTATGCCCAGTTCAAGTGCCAGTACAAGTGTAATTCATACCGGGGCTCCAGTTTCTTCGTGAATTACGGTAGGTGATTATTGCACTTGATAGCCATAGTGAGTACCATGAGCTGATTTCGCACTATTTAGAGGGGCCTGCTAGCCGTATCGGATCGCATTGCGCCTGCTACGATGATCTGTAAGTACCCAACGTAAATGAAGGGTTTGTTCTACCGTTGCTGACGAAGCTTATAGTCTGGATCCAGACACGTTCGTTCAGGGGAACCAGACCGTTGTTGGTGCCTGGAATTCGATATGCGATTTCTGCTGGACCTGTCAGGATGAATAAGCGGAGGGGAGTTGCCAGGGGAAGTTGAGGAATGTATGGACGAGACATCGGGTATTGGGTTGAGAAACTGTCAGACAGCCTGTCCTGACGGAAACAATGAGCTTATTTCGTTGTATTATGTGGGTTTATATGTATGAATAATCCACTCTGTAGTCAGATGTGAACAGAGGCAAGGGATGTTTAACATAAACGCTCTTTACCCTTAACACAACTCAATGACTGTAGGTGCTCCGTCAAAGTTCCGCCAGCTGTAAGGAAAGAGCTCAGAGACAAGACCTACAATAAATCAAACATTTACGAACTGATCAAGCTGTAAATTCCGAGGCACTTAGATAACTGCTGGGCTACGCTACACACTCTAAGTTGTAATATGTGCTGCAGGCGATAGATGGTGCGGTCATATTCATATCCTTTTCACTTTGATATAGTAGCTTCTAATATGGTATGTAGGACTATGCTTCAAAGGAAATCACTTGCATTTTTCGCAAAGACCAGGAGTTCATCCATAGCCAAAACTCATTACATTCCCACATAGTCCGAATACACAAGGCATTGACTTCAAAATCACGTCGTGCCATTTTGGAAAGCACATACTTCCATCAGAAATGCACTTTCCTTTTAATCAGGGCCATAGGTTCTTCCCGCAAAGCCTTGATGGCCTCACGCGCAGACATAGGCCAATTTGGCTCTTCTCCTGTCCTCTCAGCTTCCTGCAAGTATGCATTCTCGGCGTCAAGCTTAGACGAACACACCGTGTATACACCGTCTTCAGGCTCTTCATCGCGCTCAGAGATGGGATACCCAAATTCCGTGGAGTTGTACGTAGACCAGAAGGCTGCTTGGTTGAGATGACGCGGAGGTCCTGGAAAAGGTGCCGCAGGGACGGGATCTCCCGGCAGAACTCCTTGATGTTATAATACGAGTGATTCCACCGACCAGTGAAGCCAACCTCTTAAGCGAGGTTAGTTTGCGCATTGTTTTGCATGCGAAACCATCCATGGGAGTTCTCAGACGTCCCGATCGAGATCAGTCAAACGTTTGAGACCAGCAATCTCGTTTTGTGCCCGCAAAGGGGGTATCCAGGTTGAACCGAGGCCAGTTCGGTCCAACAAAAGGGATATATGAAGGTTCAAATCCCATATCTCAAGATTCATAGATAGAGGGAAGGTCGCATAATGTGGATTATTTCACAAACTGTGTCGAAGTAAGAATGAATGCATCCAGTGCGCCTGCGCCAAAAAGTCATGTACACAACTACGTTGTAACAACAGTTTATCCTCGCAGTTGCCTAGTGTAAATAATTTTCAATGGTAGCTTGAATGAAATAAAGAGAACAAATGCAACTAGAGCCAGTAAATACTGAACGGCACTATCTTCGTTGCAAAGATACGATGGATGAGTGTGATAAACCAAACAACTAATTTCATAATATTAGACCAAAAGTGACGGAAAGAAAAACATGTAAAAGTTACAAAACTTACGAAATCCAAAAACTGAACTATTGCATGCAGCATCAAATTAAAATGTTTGCACGTTCTCCGGAGTGGGAGTCGAACCCACGGCCTGCGGATAACTTCGTAACAATTACAGTCCGTCGCTCTTCCAACTGAGCTATCCAGAGATGACTTGTTGAAAATCAGACCCATAATTATATATATATACGTAGATACTAAGTCTTCTGTGGGGCAATTGATAATCTTCGATATCTTTAGTGGGGATTCATTGACACACTGGGCGGATATTACACAGTAATAGTGGGGAACTAATAAAGCAATTTCAGGAACTGGGAGGATCGTTGTACGGTATACGGTATTAAGAGAACCATGGCTGAGGCGAGCGGTGGAAGCGGAGATTTATGGTACACAGAATTAGATGGTTAAAATTGGCTACAACCGATACCTTACGGTGGCTGTCACACAGAATTACGCGAAAGACTCATGGATCTCGGAATTGTCGCATGCCTAGCTAAGTATTCATACAAATGACTGGAGAAACCACGCCTCTATGACCCTAATGACCATGCAAAACCAAGCCTTGTTTTGCACGGCAGCCTTGGGGGGCACTCGTTACAAGTGTGCAACTTCCCTCAATCCTCAGAGCAGTCTAACGCTCTGGCTCGTAACAGCCACCAGCCATTACCAAATTCATTCTTGTAAACTGGACCTTGAGCACCGACGTTCGTTTGGTCGGGAATGCGCTGATTTGGTCGGGTGTGATCATGACCTCCTTTCCCTTCTTCTTGCCGGTGCCACTTCCGGTGGAGCCAGCACCACCAGTGACCCCTTGAGCAACGGTACTTGCAGCCTTTCCGTCCGCTCCTCCAGCTCCCGTAGCAGCCGCAACAATTGTACTATCGCCCCCTTCGACCTGTGCAGCAGCACGGGCTGCACCCTCGGCTGGCATCTCAACATCCCACACGCGGACAGTGTTATCGTGACCGCCGGAGACAAGAACGTTGCTCTCGACGCTGAAGCCAAGTGACCAGATGCCACCGCGGCCATGGCCACGACAGCGCTTGATACGCACAGCCTTGGCAATGTCCCAGAGGAAGATATTGCCGCCTACATCAGCGGACGCCAAGATTTTGCCATTGGGGGCGCACTCAAGTGCGGTGATCGAGTCAACGTGGCCAGTGAAAACACGAACACATTTGCCGCTCGCGACGGACCACATGCGGATTGATTTGTCGGCTTCATCAGAAGCCGAGAAGACATATGTGCCGTTCGAGTGCCAAGTCAGTGCTGAGATAGAGGTATCGTGTCCGACGAGGAGACGCTGCGCTGATGCGTGATCTTGCGACCAGATGCGAACTGTCTTATCCCAACCGCCGCTCGCAAAGTAGTGACCATGGGGGCCCCAGGAAAGGTTGAAGACAGGACCATCGTGGCCCTTATAGATGCAAAGACAGGACCAGACCTCGAGAGACCAGAGCCGGACTTGGCCATCAGCCGAGCAGGATATGAGAAGCTTGGCGTCTGTCTCAGGCTGCGGACCATCTTCGTAGATGTTATGATCCAGATTGGTGATTGAATCCGAGAAGGCGACGCTGTAGACAGGACCAGAGTGGCCGATCAGCTTGCGATTATTGACCTTCAGGTCTTTCTCCGCCGGCAATCGAGATTGAAGTGGCTTGCCATCGAGAGACCAGACGCGGATGTAGGAGTCAGTAGTGCCGACGGCGACAAGTTGGTTATCCTTGGAGAAGTCCATGCAGGAAACACTGCTTATATCAGCAAGATATTCAATTTGACAGTGGTGTGTATGCTCTTGACATATGAACTTGCACGTAGTCTTGATCAAACTTACCTTCCTTGAGCATTGTGGATGGTGAACATGCAAACCGAGACGCTGGGGCCAACACCGCCAGTGCGACCTTCAATTCTGAAGCGGTCGCGATTCTCGCGCACCTTTTGAATCTCCATGACGACATCTCTGGCGCGTGAAGGTGGATAGGGTATATCGGTTCGTTGGGGCGAATCAGCAGATTCCTTCTTAATGGAATGTATATCGTTGAACTCGTCCACAAGAGTACGCGTTCCGTCGCGTGTTGGGTTGATTTTGTCCTCCTCTTCAAGCTCTGCCAAAACATCAGCTCGCAGGTCGGGATCAATTGGCAGTGGCCCAAGTTTTAAGGCTGCAGCGTTGTCGAGTACTTCTCGATTGGAGACACCTGTTCTGGTGACTGTTCCCGGGATGCCTTCTTGGGCATCGATGTCATCTAGCTCGAGGTTTCGAGCTCGTCGATAGATGGCCTCAAAGCTGAATGGTTCAATAGGCCCACGTTCGACTGCATCCACCTGACAACGGTCGTTTAGTATCTGCTGGACAAGATCGCCACCTTGGTCCTTGTCCCTCTCCAGGAAGTTGAATAAGGTCCCAGTCACGAACTGATTCAAGGGGATACGATACTTGTTCTCGAGGTACAAGGTTGCCATATAGTTATCCTTGATGTGGGCGGGAAGCGTGATGAGGGCTAGCTCCTTCAATCCATCGGCATGAAGATTCTCGAAACGGCCTCGAAGATCATCCATGAACTGCTTGCTGTCTCTGAGGTAGCCTTTGAACACGAGTTCGAGGTAAGAGTAAACGAATACAGGCCACAGGACTTTTGCAAGCTCAAACTGATCAAGGCATTAGCTACGCTCATTGTGGCCAAAATGATAACTTACCTTGTAAAGGTCGAGTGAGTTCTCCACCCATTTCTCGAGGTGCAGGAAGGCGCGCTTGTACTTTGTACCATCTAACTTTTCATTCTGAACAGCTCGACTGCCGTTTGTCTCAAGGTTGGCAACCTCTTGGCGGAAGATCTCTTCAGTGCGTTTATAACCTCTCTTTAGGAGGTAATCTGTGACCTGCGGATTCAGGGTTAGCTCATGACGCTTGTGAGCCGAGGGAATTGATGCTCCGATATAATCCAGAACGAGGATTCAGGGAGGGCAGTCAGTGTGACAAGTGGTCAACCGCTGATAGCAGTCTAGGGAGGGCAAGCACTCTAAGAGCAACGGCATCTGCTGTCCATACGGCAGGACATTCCTTTTCGTCTGGAAGGCAACTCTGCAGTTGGCAGACGTGTAGACAACCAGAAGTAAAGTGAAAGCGGCTAGATATTCTGACCATTGTTATTTCGCCAATATACCTACCAGATTACTGTCCACTCGTTCAAACGTATTCATGCACTCGCCGTACACGATGACTGGGGCTGACATCGTGACTCAAGTTGAATAGAAAACAACGGGAACCATGGACATCGTAGTGAATGAATGGTGGGTTGTGCACAAATGCAGCTACCCCCAATTGGAACAAGCGGAGAAGTTGTCGAAGTAGTGAAGGAAGCCCACTGGGATTCGGGATTGAAAGAAACCCTAAGGCAGGACGCGTTTGATTATCAACAAAAGGTACAACGTACTATTTGATTCAGATTTTGGTTGCTGCTGCTTGATGAATTCGCATTCGTTGTGCTCGAGCTTGGTCCTGTCGCCGCAGGGGCAGTTGCATGTTGCGGTTGGGGTGTGAAGGTGCTGGATGGCCCAGCACCAGCACTTGGAGGACCGGCATTTGACATCTTCCTGTCGGAAACTCAGACTGTATGTTATTTGGGGTGATCTGGTGTTCAATATCACCGTACTTCTGCCGTCTTGAAGTGACTCTCACTCGATACCCTCCACCGAGCCAAGCTGCAGCATATCGGCAGCACTCTTTCCAGGGAGGTAAAAAACGCGCCAAATATGTCTGGAGGAGGATGACAATAAAAAGTCCCAAATATAATTCGCTGATAGCAATTCACGGCGTTTATTGAGTAGACGCGATGCTCTCGTGATAAAACTGTTGATGTTGAGGCTGAAGTTGAGTTGAATAAGTTACAAGGTCAAAAATGCGCTAATCTAGCGGCTTGGCCAATCCCCACTGGTGTAGAAGCTGGGGTATCGCACGGGCCAGGGTTGGCTTCCAGCAGAACGGAGCAAACGCAAAACCGGCCTACTCGAACATTTGCCTTGTTCAAGCTCGAATGGCTCAAGGTGGAGGAAGTGATGGTGTGATTTAGGAGCAACTGATGGCGACACTTTATTGTGTTCCACTCCATCTTCGACCTAATCGATAAACTCTCCGACAGGTTCACAAAATGGACACGACCGAAGGCGACGGGAAGCAAGCTCCTTTTGTGCCATTCACCAAAGCTGAGCGCATACAACAACTGGGGCAAATCGACGAGGTTCGTTCGTCCGGGTGCCGTGAATCGTCTCGAGTGATCCACTGATCAAGGAACAGAGCATCGTTAGCCTCCTCCGCATCGTTGGGAAGTCAGCCCAGAGCATCGGCACGAAAGACACTCAAGGCGACACAGCTATGGATGGCTCTAGTACGCAATCTTTGGATGCATGCCAAGAATTGATCAACGAATTCTTTCGAACACTACACTCAGTTGATGTTAGAGTCAAGAGACAGATATGGGGTCTTGAGGAAGCGGGCATCATCAAACTCGGCAAGGGCGACGACGAAGAGGAAACGACCAAGACGAAAAGAAAGCCCCGACTGGAGCCAGACGGCGACGGGAAGATTGGAGGTCTCGATGCTGGCTACTTGAACTCGCGAAGCAACAAGGTTGAGAGGGAGATGGAAGCCGAGTTGTGGAAGCAGGCCGAGGGTTTCTTAAAGAGCACGCTTGAGAAGCATCAGGATAGCTGAGGGACACTTGGATGCTACCCATGTATGCGCAAAATCCTCTTGGTAATGAAGTCGCTGGTTGTTGTGAATCTGGTTCCCGCTCAGAGAGCGTACGGCATAATTCGTTACGTACATCTTCTGATATAGGGTTGCAACTCATGGGAGAGTATGGTTGCGAGGCATCATATGATGGAGTTGAAAAGGCTTGACATGTTTGTGATATGGCATTGTGACTACGGAAGCATTAGGCGGTGCTACTGCGTAAGGATTTGCTAGGAGATTCATTTGAGCCAGAAGTCCTCATATTTGCTTTTCGGACTGTTCTGGTTGACCAACCAGATGGACAACACATATATTGACGAGGGACCAAAAGCGAATTCAGAAATACAGCAGATTCGCAATAAAGAATCTAACGATTTTTGACACAGCTTTGGTATAAAAAACATGTGCTGTGTTGAAGTAAACATTCAGGTGCATGGTGGAGGATCGCTAGGCTACCATCAATACAGTCCCGGCCGCAGTTTTAAAGTCGGCAGTGTCAGCCGCAATCCGCTGACCAGGCCCAAGCTCTCCCACTACAACCATCACATTCGACGACGACAGCTCATGTCACCGTTTGGGGATTGTTTAAAGCCCGCATACCTTTAATATGGACTTGGGAGAAGCAGGCGACTCGCCTTGGGGCGGTGTGTTCCACTTCCTAGACATTATTTTGTCGTCTCGGTCCATCCGTACTGACGAAGCCTATCGCAGATGTCCCTTCGCAATCATCAAAACCTCCCTTTGAGCAAGATGGTACTGCAATCGCGGTCGAACTATAAAGGAAAATGCTAATTACAGACGACGTCCAGATTCGGTACTCAAATTGCAAGATGCGGAGTCCTCCCAGTCATTGCAAACGTCAGTGAAGTCATCAACGACCCGTGGCCCGCGAAAGCCAGTCCGCCGCCTCCAGGCTCAACCAACGACTCTCCAAGCCGACGACCCCTTGGGCCCATTGGGACCCTTGGGGGACAATGCTACACCTGGAGCAATTGCGCAAGCCGACGAGCCGCCTGTCCCACCACAAAAGGAACAGATGGTGATCCGGACGACGATGCCTCAATCTGCGCAACGTCGAGCCGGGCCGCCTGATCCCCATAACGTCGACAACGATGAGTACGATCGACCCACGGGTCCTCGCGCGCCGCCCCCGGTCCAAGCTGCCCAGGCAAGTCCCATTCGAACCAGCAACCAGCCCAGTATCAGTCTTGAGCAGGCTGCTAAGCCGAGCTTCCATATCACGGTGGGAGACCCACACAAGGTCGGGGATCTGACAAGCTCACACATTGTCTACTCTGTCCGCACAAAGACGACGTCGAAGGGATATAGGCAGCCTGAGTTTGAGGTGAAGCGAAGATATAGGGACTTCTTATGGCTGTACACCACGATGCATGGCAATAACCCAGGTGTCGTGGTGCCGCCGCCTCCCGAGAAGCAAGCTCTAAACCGATTCGAGAGCAACTTCGTCGAATCCCGCCGCGCCGCTTTGGAGAAGATGCTCAATAAGATCGCAGCCCACCCCACGTTGCAACATGACCCTGATTTGAAACTCTTCCTCGAGAGCGAGTCTTTCAATATTGACGTCAAGCACAAGGAACGCAGAGAACCAATTCCTGGTGAGAGTAAGGGCATACTCGGTTCGATGGGTATCAGCGTTGGAACCAGTAGCAAGTTTGTTGAACAGGATGATGCGAGTCTATCCTCCCCCACGACATGGACGTACTTCCGGCTGACTGGTATAGTGGTTCCACGATCGCCGTGTCTATCTGGACGCTCTCGAGAACCAACTCAAAGCCTTGCTCAAAGCCATGGACACAATGGTGATCCAGCGCAGGGCCATGGCCGAGTCGGCAGGCGATTTCTCTGCCTCCCTGCATGCTCTATCCACCGTCGAGCTGTCTCCCGCTCTCTCGGGACCCCTGGATGCACTTTCGGAACTTCAACTCACGATTCGTGATGTCTATGATAGACAAGCTCAACAGGACGTGCTTACATTTGGCATCATAATCGATGAGTACATTCGACTGATCGGTAGCGTCAAGCAGGCGTTCCAGCAGCGACAGAAGGCCTTTTATTCTTGGCACAACGCCGAGTCGGAGATGCAGAAGCGCAAGGCCACACAGGACAAGTTACTTCGCCAAGGCAGGTCGCAGCAGGACCGTCTCAACCAAGTTGGCGCAGAGGTTGCAGATGCCGAGCGCAAGGTCCACCAAGCCCGGCTTCTGTTCGAGGATATGGGTCGTTTGATGCGGGCTGAGTTGGACCGATTTGAGAGGGAGAAGGTAGAAGACTTCAAGTCTGCCGTTGAGACATTTCTGGAGAGCGCTGTAGAAGCACAAAAAGAGGTTCGTATCAATTAGAGCTTCCTAGAATCGCAACTGTACGAACTAACACTTTTGAACAGCTCATCGAGAAATGGGAGACGTTTTTGATGCAACTGGATGCTGAAGATGACGAGACGGTATTCTACCGGCCACCAGTTATTCAGACTGATGATAACAAGGGTCGTGGAGACACAGCTGTTGATAGGGCCAGGGCCCGGATCCACGAAGACTCGGATTAAGGCATGATGACTTCACAGAAGCATATGTAGTAAAAATATCCTGTCTCGGTCTCATCTTGAGGCCAAGTATTTCAAGTCGGTTGCCATTGACCGACGTGGGCTTCAAAAAGGAGGAACTGGTCGACGATGGAAACCTTGGACGCACCAGTCATTTCCTTGCGCACCAAGGGAGACCAGCCCCCATTTTAGACATGCTGAATTGGTATGTATACATATTGAGTTGTACATATGATATAACAACGAGGCCCTTCTATTCCACTTCGTAGACCACACCTCACCGTACAGCTGCCATGCATTTGACTACTTCAAATTCGTATCAAGCCACTCTGTGGAGCGACAAGAGCACCGTATGCCACAAATTTGGGCACCCATAGATGCGGAAATTACTCCCGTCCCCGTAATGCATGATGCGCTTGGAGAGCCTACTTCTTGCCCTTTGTCCGTCCCTCGTATTCTGACGCATTCCGGCCATGGTACCCCGATATCAAATCTCCCAGTGCATCCACACTCTTCGGTTGCCTTCCATCCGTATCCCAAGACTCCTCCTCAGGCCCATTCTTCTGTTTCTGTTGCGGCTGCTTCTCTTGCGCGCCGCCCAAAGCCGCATCGCTGTCCTCCTGTTTGGCGTCCCACCCGCGTCCAAAACGTTCTCTGAAGGCAGCCAGCTTACCGGCCTCGTCTACCTCAACGTTCTTGAGGCTCTTCTCGCTCGGGTTCCACAGCATGTGGTTCCGGCTGTCCTTGGACGGCTTGTACATGGCCAGCGGCGAGCTCGTGCGCATCGTGTATGTCGACCCGTCGCTCAGCTGCACTAGTTGTGTGAAGGTGTAGGGGCGCCGTGGGCGGCGAATTAGCGTCGCGTTTCGGGTTTGCGTTTGGATTTGGGGCGTACGGCTCGTAGTTTGAGGTGTGAGGGCTGAGGTGGAGGAGAGGAGGGTGGTTGGGCGGCGCGGGATTCTGGTCGCCATGGTTGCGTTTCTGTTGGGAAAGCTGCTGGATAGGCGGAAGGCCAGATAAAAGACGGTTGGGCGAGCGTGTCTCGATTCTGCGTTGAATGGCAGCGGGTTGTCGTGGGCTTGCCGTAGAAGCAAGCTCTCTACAATGGGTGAAGTATTGAAAAAAGATATGGTTGCGGAGTGGACCTCAAATACAGCTCTAAGTCTTATCGTTATCAGTAATAGCCGATGCCCCGCGCGGGTGCCAAATTTCTGGAGCTTGAATGCCGTCCCTTGCAGCTGCGAGTGACGTCTTGGGACTGAATTGCATTTCAATGTCTTCCAGATAATATTTATGACACTTCTAGCAGACAACGAGAAGTTGGACAATCGGATGTGCTTGCTCAGAAGCCATGAAGAAATTTTGCTCTTTGAAGCAGGCTCTCAAGTCCACTCGGTCTCGCAACAGCAGTCAAGATTTCTGCGCGCGTCGCGGAACTTCTGCGCCCTTCATCACACGATGTTATAGCGATGCGCCATGCAGTAGTATGTATTCTAAGAGCTCCCAATTGCCATGAACCGACCGTCTAATATCCTTTGACTTCCAGATATTGAAACAGAACCTCTTGCAGAAGAGAACCCACGTGTTGCACGACAGTCACCTTCAAGCCAAGCGCGTGAAGAACAGAATCACCGACGGCCGGTTCAGATACGAAAGACACGAGCACCCGACACACCAGAAAAATTAAAATACGCTACTCGAAATGAACTCCTTGCAGTAGACCCCGAAGAGTTCCGTATACTCATGCGCCATGTTCCCCATCCCGTCGTCGTCTTGACCTCTGTCTACTTTCCACCAGTGAGGAAAGCCGCATTGTATCCCCAGGAGACATCTCCAGAACCAGTTGATGAGATACCCGAGGATCCTGGTACGGATGAAGCGCACTCATCTAATCCATGGGTCTCCCAGGGAAAGACTGGGCTGAATGCCGATTCCCTTCTCGGAGCGATCAATAGGACATCAGCCGCCGCGGCCGGAGTTGATCCAGGCGGTATATCGAGAGCATCAAAACCTATTCCTCGGGCCATGACGCTCTCGTCGTTTACATCCTTGTCTCCATATCCTACTCCGAAGATCATCTTCAACATCGGGCTGCCCAGCCGTACATTCGATGCCATCCTTTCCTCTGGCCGCTTCAACATCCACGTGCTTCGCGATTCAGCCATGGGTGCACGTCTAGCACAACACTTCAGCCATGGCAATGCCACTCCCACAGGCCGTGGGAACTCTGGACACGATATGGGTGTTTTTGAGGGACTAGGCCAATATGGCGTCGGGGTTACCGGCTTGAGGTGGGTGAGGCAATGGGACATGTTGAACTCCCTAGACCCAGTATACAGGCCTATTGCCATGCTCAGAACTGCCAGAAGCCAGATGCCGGTGTTAAATGGGCAACCCGTGCTCTACGTGCTCAAATGTGCTATAGCGCGAGGACACCAGGATAAGCCTACCATTTTCAAGGTCGGAGGAGGTGACAATAAACATGCCATTGTCGTCGGCGACGTGGAGGGTTTCGTACCAGGCGAGCCCGACGAGAAGTTTGAACTCAAATCGCACGAGATAAGTCTGGCGTATGCGGATCGAGAATTTCGGACGGCAGCAAATCCCGTCGGCACGTTTGATAAAAACGAGGCAACCCAGCCCAGAAGGATGAAAATGGTGGGTTTTATGGGCAGCAATACAGATGAGGGCGAACCTTCAGCCAAGGCCGCCAAAATCAAGAAGAAGCAAAGGAAGCAAGAGTCGACTGGCACGAAACCCGGGAAGGAGACCAGTATCGACAGCCTGGGCCAGATCGACGAGGTAATGAACGACTCTGACTTCTATAAGCTGCTGGAAAAAATGTTCCAAGACCCTAGGAAATGATAGACTATGGCACAAAACGATAAAGGCGCGGGGCCGCATGTACATGCATATAGACTGTATATGAAGGGGGATCAATGTACAATACTGTACTAAGAATTATGGTGGATAGCAAGAGATCAGGGGAAGCGGCATTTTCGACGATGCCCAAACCAAAACCACGAAGTAACTCGCACACTGACTTTTATAATATTCAAAATCTATGGCAATTCGGGCATTCTCAGGTACAAAGTTCTGACATGTCCAGACCTTGACGTAGGCAATTGCATCGATGTAATGAGACAATTCGCATTGCAGCGCACCATGGCTTATACTCGCTTGCTGGCATGGGCTAGTAGATTATAGGAAGCCTCAATTTAATACCAGCCTCGAGCCGTCATAAATCATTCTGTCAAAACCTATGGCAACTTCGGTGTAGTACCAACATGCATGCGCATGCCTGCATAGCATTTCTGTAAGTCCCGAGACTTTTCCAACTGCCTCTTTATCTAACACATGAATTCTGGCGTACCTTCACCACGAAGCTCAAATTTTACGATCATGAACACCGAGAGCTGAACACCAAGAGTGAAAATTACCTTCTCAGTCGCAGTGGACAATATTTCGCCCGCGGCTAACGGGTGAGCTCCAGGCTATTAATCCTGGCTTCTAACCCTTGCCATGTAGAAGCAATATTTACCCAATGCTGAAGATCACCAAGTCATACTGGTATGGTAATTTCTGGGCATTGAAAGGTCAATCAACACTAACGCGTTTCCCGTAGCGCTTTCGTGAGACGCGGCCCCACTCAACGCCGGTGCGAATTCGAGATTCTGCCCCAGATAGTTGCAGTGTACACAATTTCAATTTTCATACGAGTCACAAGGCTCTCTGTATATCGTAAAAATTCCATGGGTGTACCAGAGCTATTGTAGAGGTACGGGTCCCGCAGGCAGTGGTGGGCAAGTTTGCCCTTTTATTATTGTGGACGAGACGAAGAGTTTGCTACAATTTTCAAGTACATCTGATACAGACATCACATTATATTTCAGCTAGTTTAGCTCCAGATAGTGATATACGAAGGGCTTCGTTTGCACCTACGTACCCTTTGACGAAGCAAGCCCATGATCATTTGAGTAAGCCCTGTACAGAGTACCTACGTCACCGCGGGAACGGAACACAGAACGACTTCGAAGTTCGAGCCCGAGCAGACATAGTGCCATAAACAGGTCCCATAATCAACCAAAAGGGATTGCATAGGCAACCATTCCACGATGTTCCACAGCTGGGTGTTCTTGTTGTAGGAGAATGATCTAGAAGACACTGACAAGGTATGTGCTCCCTCGAGGCGTTATGCTACCAATGTCTTTCACATGTGCCTCCCCACAAATGTCAAGAGGGGGCGGGGAGGGGACCCACATGCTCTCTAGCTGGAGGGGCAGCCGCAGTCGCATTTGGGAAGTTCGATGCAAGCGGCCTCAAACGACCTTTCAAACCGCGAGGCATTCTGTTTGACGTGCCTTTTACCGAGTGGTGTGCGGTTCGGCTTCAAAATCGAATTAGATTCACAGGACATAGTCACGGCTGGGAGCCTGTTCGACAAGGCGGAATGCTTAAGCTAAATGCTACCCGGACATTAGTAGCCAATCAGATCCTTTCAGCATGGTCTGTGCTCTTTCCCGTGGAGGTTTCCCTGGAAAGAGCGATGGAAGCTGATAGAAGATGCTAACTGCGTGGAAGGCACCTCAGGTTTTCTTAAATTATTGTTTGCGGGCAGACAATCCTCATTTTTTCATCTTCCACAACATCTTCAACTTCTCTTCTTGTAATCCTCCTACAGAGAACCTTCAGTCTAGCGTCTTCATTTCCACACACTACTGGTAAGTCTACAGTTCCCCTTGTAATCCATCAATCTCTCTGGTCCTGGTTGTAGAGCTCTTCGCTCCATAGCCTTGCGAGGCAGGCACCCTTTGGATCCCCCATAAGCGGTGCCTTGAGCTCAACACACCAGTCAGCAGAACTTCTCTGTTGTGCTCCTGCCATTGAAACTTTTATACCCTCCTACCTTGCATTTTCCGTCTTCGATCCCAAAAATCCTCGACAAGCACCCCGCCATCCCAACCAAGCGCCCAGCTAACAACCTGCCTTTTAGAAGCCGATTCCCTCCATACCATTCCCAAGATGTCTGAGACTTTCGAGTTCCAGGCTGAGATTTCTCAGCTCCTCGGTCTTATCATCAACACCGTCTACTCCAACAAGGAGATTTTCCTGCGAGAATTGGTGTCCAACGCCTCTGACGCCCTTGACAAGATTCGCTATGAGGCCCTCTCCGACCCCAGCAAGCTTGACTCGGGTAAGGACCTGCGCATCGACATTATTCCTGACAAGGTGGCCAAGACCCTTACCATCCGTGATACCGGTATTGGTATGACCAAGGCTGTAAGTTTCACACTTTTCATCCCCCACCCACATCATGGTCACATCATGCTAATTGCGACATGATAGGACCTCGTAAACAACCTCGGTACGATTGCCCGGTCTGGCACCAAGCAGTTCATGGAGGCCCTAACCGCTGGCGCTGATATTTCCATGATTGGTCAATTCGGTGTTGGTTTCTACTCTGCCTACCTTGTTGCCGACCAGGTGCAAGTCATCTCCAAGCACAACGATGACGAACAATATATTTGGGAGTCGTCTGCTGGCGGCACTTTCAGTATTAAGGCCGACACCGAGGGCGAGCAACTTGGCCGTGGTTCCAAGATGATTCTGCACCTCAAGGATGAGCAAATGGAGTACCTGAACGAGAGCAAGATCAAGGAGGTCATCAAGAAGCATTCCGAGTTCATCTCGTACCCTATTTACCTCCACGTCCAGAAGGAGACAGAGAAGGAGGTGCCCGATGAGGATGCTGAAGAGGTCGAGGAGACCGAAGGTGACGACAAGAAGCCCAAGATCGAGGAGGTTGACGACGACGAAGAGGAGAAGGAGAAGAAGAAGAAGACAAAGAAGATCAAGGAGACCTCCATTGAGGAGGAGGAGCTCAACAAACAGAAGCCTATCTGGACTCGCAATCCTCAAGACATTTCCCAAGAGGAGTACGCTGCCTTCTACAAGTCGCTGTCCAACGACTGGGAGGACCACCTCGGCGTCAAGCACTTCTCTGTCGAGGGTCAACTTGAGTTCCGCGCTATCCTATTCGTCCCCAAGCGAGCTCCCTTCGACCTGTTCGAGACCAAGAAGACGAAGAACAACATCAAGCTCTATGTCCGCCGTGTCTTCATTACCGATGATGCTACCGATCTCATTCCTGAGTGGCTCAGCTTCGTCAAGGGTGTTGTCGATTCTGAGGATCTTCCTTTGAACTTGTCCCGTGAGACTCTACAGCAAAACAAGATCATGAAGGTCATCAAGAAGAACATCGTCAAGAAGGCCCTCGAGTTGTTCAACGAGATCGCCGAGGATAAGGAGCAGTTCGACAAGTTCTACAGTGCTTTCTCCAAGAACCTGAAGCTCGGTATCCACGAGGACTCCCAGAACCGCGCGACGCTCGCCAAGCTGCTGCGCTTCAGTTCCACCAAGTCTGGTGACGAGCAGACCTCGCTCACCGATTACGTGACCCGTATGGCCGAGCACCAGAAGAACATTTACTACATCACTGGCGAGTCCCTCAAAGCCGTTCAGAAGTCACCATTCCTAGACGCCCTCAAGGAAAAGAACTTTGAGGTTCTTTTCCTTGTCGACCCGATTGACGAGTACGCCATGACTCAGCTCAAGGAGTTCGAGGGCAAGAAGCTCGTTGATATTACCAAGGACTTCGAGCTCGAGGAGACTGAAGAGGAGAAGAAGTTGCGTGAGGCCGAGGAGAAGGAGTTTGAGGACCTTGCTAAGGCCCTGAAGAACGTCCTCGGCGAGAAGGTCGAGAAGGTTGTCGTCAGCCACAAGCTTGTTGGATCACCTTGCGCTATCCGAACTGGCCAATTCGGCTGGTCTGCCAACATGGAACGTATCATGAAGGCCCAGGCTCTGCGTGACACCTCGATGAGTTCGTATATGAGCTCAAAGAAGACATTCGAGATCTCGCCCAAGTCAGCCATCATTAAGGAGCTGAAGAAGAAGGTCGAGACGGACGGTGAGAACGACCGCACCGTCAAGTCTATCGTCCAACTTCTTTTCGAGACGTCGCTGCTAGTTTCTGGATTCACGATTGACGAGCCGGCCGGCTTTGCTGAGCGCATTCACAAGCTCGTCTCCCTGGGCCTGAACCTGGATGAAGAGCCCGAGGGAGAGGTTGAGGAGGTGCCGGCGACTGCCGAGACTGCAGCCGCCGAGGCCGGTGACAGTGCTATGGAGGAGGTCGACTAAATGCTCGGAAGCATGGCACGGGAATTGAAAAGTTCTTTGGAGTTCAGGCTTGCGGGGGTTTCACCATGATTTTCGGCCGACTTGTTTCTGGCATCTCTTAATACCTCATACCCTCTCATGTACTGTAGCTGATGCCGTTCATGACAATACAGGACGGACGATGATTCCGTAGACGAATTAAATGTTCTAGACACAACCGTTCCTATTGCAATGTGACATATTGGATGTGATATGACATAAGGGCTGGTGGGGTGATTTGCCCGCGACCACGTTTTCTTACTGTTCACGCTTGCGCTCGGCAATGCGCGGTTTGAGGTTATTCATGACCATGGTATCGTCTCCAATAGTCTTGATATCTACCTAAAGTCATCAATACCTAGGGTACGAAGAATTACCTACCCGTGGCACTTGGATATTTCCACTGATACTCATCCCAAACGCCCGCAAAGGCGACAGGCATATAAGGGGAAAACAGATCAGCCAACCCCTTCTTCCTCCACCTATTCACCCCGATATCATTATACACCATATCAAGCCACGGCAAAGTCTCAAAGATCCAATCGGGGAAACGCGCGCCATACCCGGCCGGATTCCGCCACTGCGCGTACCGAGCGTGCAACACGGTCTCGTCCATGGCTTCTTCCTCCGTCTCCGGAACCTCGACCTTCCCGTCGAAGTAAGCGCTGATCCAGAGCGCCTCAGCTGGCGCCATCTGTCCCTGATTGAAACTCAGCGGCACCCCCGCGAACGCGATAGAGCGCTCATGCAGGTACGCGGGCGGGACCATGAACCGGTATAGCAGGTAGGGCATATTGCAACGCGTAGGGTCGAAGGGCTCGTCCTGCGCGGTGGGAAGTTTGGCCATGTTCCGATTTATAACGGGTTGATCGCGCAGCAGTGGGACTCTAGCGAAGATCTCCTCGTCGGCGCGCGCGAATCGGCCGCCGAAGCCCGGGTCACCGGAATAGTGCGGTAGGCCTAGTTTGGCGTCCGAGCCGGAGGGGAGGAAGTTTAGCGTCGGGCGGTCTTTCCAGCTTGTGGCGCAGACGATGGCGTCGGTGCGGAGGGTTTCGCCGGTGGAGAGCACAACGGCGTCGCCGTTGGCTAGTTGCTTGACGTCGGCGATGTGTACCTCGACCGTGCCGTCTCGCACGAAGCAGTAGAAGTCCTTGTCGTGGTTCAGGATGCTGCAGCTTGTTCCGCTCCAGAAAAAGGGGCTCCATGGCATTAACTTCTCGGACCCTGGGTGGCCGAGGATTCCGCTCGTTTGCAGTGTGTCGTTCTCGACGAGTTTCCAGAACGCGCGGGTGAGCTGCTGTCCGAGCCAGGTTTGGTGCAGGAAGCGGCGGATGAGACCGTAGGGGCTGTAATCGGCAAAGATACACGGGCTGAAGAGCCCCACGATGCGCCGCGTCGGCAAGCTCTCCAGGTCGAGATTTAGGGGGGTTGCTTTGTTGGTCGACATCCAGGCTGGGCCGTGGCCGGAGGCACGCATGATCATATGGACTTTAATGCCAGCATCGGCGCACATGTACGCTGCATCATAGGCGGATTTGCCGCCGCCTAAGATTACGGCCTCGTTAGCAGTCTTTAAGAGATCCTGGTGTTGCGCCCAGTCCTTAGTATGGAAGAAAGGTTTTTGGAATGTCTCCTGGCCTTGGAATCGCGGGAGGAGGGCTTCGTTGGTGTGGCCTGTTGCGAGGACCAGCTTGGATGTGTGGATTGTGCCATTTTCGCTTATGGACTCGCTGCTTCCTTCCCGTTTGGTCCAGTTAATAAACCACCCTTCCTTTTCGGCGTGCTCGATGCTATTAACTTTGGTGCGAAGCCGGATGCGTTCAAATACGTGGAAACGCTTTGCATAGGCCTCAAGGTACTGGTTGACAACCTTGCTTTTGATGTGTTGGCCGGGTTGCACGTCAAACTCTCCCGGAAGGATGGGCATATCTGGGAACTCGAACCATCCCAGGACGTTGTTAGTTTTGAGGCCGGAGTAGACGCGCTCTTTGGACCATGTTCCGCCTAGAGAATCCCCCGCGTCGAGGAGGACGACGTGCTGGCTTGGATGCAGCTGGATATACGTCCTAGCTATCTGAATGCCGTATAATCCTGGGGGGATGTTAGCTTTGTCGATGTGTATGACCTGGTAGTAAGGGCAGGCTGCGTACCAGCACCGATAATCACCAGATCAGCCTTTTCTATTGCCATTGTGAAGAGCGGTACATAAGGGAAGATCTCATCAGCGACAAGAACCGATGGGATATTTCAGTGAGCAATTCAACGTTCCACAGATCTTGTTCTCCTGAAACCCCTCAATGACACTCCGATACTGCTGATACCGCGGCCCCTCCAAGCTGTGCCGCAGTGTAACCAGAACGGTCCGAGGTCCATTGACAGACAGGAGACCAATCCATTTTCAGTTAGCAATCCGATTCCAAATATTTCATGCAGAGTACGAATCTTTGAGCACGACTAGTGTGAAAGCTACGATGCGATGCTGCACCGAGAGAACCAACCTATATCATCTGGCCAGCTCTGTCTGCCTCAAGCCATAATAACTCTGCCATTTTCGGGGTTGACGCCCCAATCGTTAAATGTTGTTGTCAATGCACCAATCATTGGAGCTAACAATATCTCTGCACGGGCTGACGTGAGATGGATGTCCCAAGCGATGTTACTAGTGCCTCAGACGATACTATCAGGCGTGCATGCTAGTATTTACGGAATTTAGAGACTTGGTGAAAAGATGTAGTCTTTCTGCCGCCTGGTGAAACTACTACAGGTTTGATATTAGAGAACCTCGCGCAACCAATTAATGCATTTGAGTCTCCCCAGAAATAATGCAGGAACTGGCTGGTTCCAGTGCAATTCTGAGCAGACCATTCCTAGAGTAAAAACCACTCCAGTAGATCTTTGAGTATATTGCTTTTTCATATCGCTGCTAATCTGTCCTCACCAACCTTGTGGCCAATACCTTTGTGGCCAACATGAAGGCCACGAATGCGCCCAGAAGGCTTATCAGAGACAATCCTGGGGACGAACAAGCTTGTCAGCAACTTATAATCATCCGAATCTAGGCATTATTGAACTTACTAATAATCGAAGGCAAACCCCTGCAATCAACTGTTTTGAAGCTGGAAAATAGCCGTTATAGTGATCGCGCTAAGGAGCCTTTATCATTGCGCGGGCCGAAGTGCTTGACGAAGTCTTGGAAGTAGCCTCAGCCATGTTATTGTTGAAAAGAATCGCTTGACACGTTCATTATAATCCTTCTTTTTCGGGCACCCATCGTAGGTTCTAACCTCCTGTTCTGGCGATGCTCGGTGGGATGTGATATGATTGCATTGCATGCTCGGGCAGTTGTCTTCATCCAGGCAAGTTTCGTTTAGTGCTCAGGGAACCAACCATCTTCAAGCACACGCCGGACGCAAGACCATCCTGCCTCGCACCTGGATTTGTGTTTTTCGAGCAAGCAGCAAGAAATGGAGTCAATCCCTGTTCCGTCCAGAGTAGGGAGACCTTCGCCCGTCCCATGCCCACTGATGTTCCTTCCAGATATGTTCCAGCGCTGGAACTTGACTCTTGCTGGAGCACCACTGCTCATCCATCATCGTTTTCCCAGTAATCTCAAACGAGAAACGCGTTTTCAGGATTGATTGGTTCTTCGGGTCCCAAGAATGCTCATATCCATCTCATTCTGACATAGACAGAAGTACTTATCGGTCCTTCGGGAAAGTGAAAAGATAACGTCTTCTTCGAATGCAAAGGGGCAAAGAGATTAGTAAGCATTTGGCCATCCTGGAACATATTATTACTACTTGACATCTGTATAGAGCATCCATGGCATCGTTGTAAGAACCTCGGAATGGCTTATATGAAACTGGCTTACTTTTTGCTACGTATATAGGCTCACGAACCCCGATACGTAACGACGGACGAATTTGATGACTTTGAGAAGCCAGAACTGGGCCCCAAAATGGTGAGATGCCTCCATTACGTCTATTACCATTGCAAAGGCAGACAAAGTCAAAAAACCAGCGGCTTACGCGCTAGGTTTCGCAGTCGCTCCATCAACGAGTATACCGCAGACGACGTTTCAAGCGGCTGCGGAAATTTTTTCACATCAACTTATTATTTCAGACTCATCTATCGCCTTGTGGTTCTGGTGTATCCTTGTATCTTTCTCTGGCCGTCTTATAAGTTTTAAAAATCTATCTAAGTGAACATTGGCCCACGCTTTCATCTCCACCTGACACTTCCGTACCAATGATAACGTGTAGGATCAAGCTATAGCACGCCCGGTAATTGCTGTGGACCTCTTCTGGCGATCAATGCGGAGTACAAGCTTCGCAAACTATACCTATTTGGAACCCGCATACGACCCACCTGCCCTGCCGATGAGGAACGAGCACGTAGCTAGGCAGTCTCTCAGTATGTTCGTTGTACTGTGCTAAGCATCAGAAGGTAGAAGAGCGGCTCATCTGGCTAGGAACTACCGGTAAGTACGAATTCACAACATAGTCTTTCAAGTGAGTATTTGAGGGTCGGAGAATGCATCGTGCTGGGGAAAAACCGTGTGTAATTGTTGTAAACGGCTCATTATACTCACCTAATTTGTGTCAAGTCCCAGCTCTTAAATAGGAAGTAGCACGTGCCATTAGTTTAGTGCTAGGGCGCAGTTATAATCCGCACTTGCGGCCCTTCAACCGGGCGGTTGCGCAGTTGCTGCGCAGGTACGAATATCCCTTGCTTATACGAAGCCGACGATAACGTATGCGACTACCATGCCATGATATTTCTCTAGGACCTGTAAATGACCGGGCATAGACACTAGCTCACCATGACCGTGGTCTCTCGGCAGTGACTGCTAGTAATGAATGAAGTATAAAGCATGTCAGGATCTCGACAAGCAGCATTGCCATGTTAACCACCACTGCACATCCGCCACTATCACGTTGCCGGACAAGCCTAAAGTTCCCACCCACCTGGATTTCTCACCATGTGGACATCCCTTCTTCTACTACCAGGTCTTCTGTGTCTGACTACAGCTGTAGAGGTGCAAATAGTTCAGACGTTGAACGGGACAATCCAAGGCGGCAAGTGTATCACGACAGACGCCAACTACTTCTTCTCTATCCCGTATGCTACACCACCGGTTCGAAAATTACGCTATGCAGCACCGCGATCTTATACTGTCTCGTTCAACAGGACACTCAACGCAACGACGGCAGCACGATCTTGCATCCAGTTCGGTACCTCATTCATCGAGTCGAATGTGCAGAGTGAAGACTGGTGAGACCTAATGAAATCCCTCCCAAACCATGGCGTACTCCTCTCTACCGTACTGGCTAATTTCTTGATAGCCTGTACCTGAACATTTGGACCCCAACCTCAGCAACCCCCGACTCGAATCTCCCAGTGAGGGCATGGTTGTATGGCGGCAGCAAAGAAGCAGGCGGTATCTCCAACCAGACTTACACGGGCTGCTTCTCAGTTGCAGATGCAGTAGTGGTGTCCATTAACTACCGCATGGGTCCTTGGGGTTTCTTGCCCTACAGAGTTTGGGACTAAGCGGGAATGTCGGTATTATGGATCAGATGCTGGGTCTTCAATGGATACAGGAAAATATTGCCGCGTTTGGTGGTGATCCGGTATTAGCGATGTTGTGATTTAGGCTTGTTGGAAATAGGGGCTGACATCTATCTATAATACGCAGGCTAAAGTCCTCCTTTATGGCGAATCAGCTGGAGCAACCGACACCTTCGTACTAGCGAGTCTGCCATCGGCTCCACGGCTTATGAGGGCAGCGGCGCTGGAATTTGGTGCGGGGCGAAATCTTTCGACTGTGGGAGAAGCCCAGGCCTGGCAGGAGACATTTCTGGGCGCCCTGAATTGCACTCCTGTTCATGTGAGTCCCGAGTTTCTTTTGCAATATTGTTTCTAAGAGGTGCAAACTAACGGCTCATGAGACTGAATGTGTCCGCGCTGCCTCTCCTTCCGACCTCCAAGCCGCCGTAAATTCCATGCCTGAAGCCGGAGTCCCAGGCACTTCATCCCTCCTGACCTTCCAAGGGTCCCGTGATGCCTGGGGCCCACTAGTTGACGGCTCGCTCATCCCTATCTCGCCCTCAGCAGCAGGAGTCCAAGTCCCCTCCATTATTGGCTCCAACAGCGACGAAGGCACCCTCTTCATCCTCAACTACTACGGCGCCTCCGACTTCCTCAATGAATCCGCCTACGATACCTTCCTATCTCACGACTACGGTCCCCTAACCTTCAAGGTCAACGAGTCATACCCGACCGCCAAATTCTCGGGTCAGTGTACACCGCCATGAAGACCGTCCTTATGGAGTCGAGAATCAAATGTCCGACGCATCGGGCTTTGAAAAAAGCTGTTGAGAACAAGGTACCGGTTTGGAGCTACGAGTTCAAGCACGTCCCGAGCTGCGCGTGGTTTGAGGCTGTTCCTCAGACTGTCATGCCGCTTCTCGGGGCTACGCATACAGCTGAGATACCGTTCGTGTCTAACATGACGGATCATCTGCCGTCGCCTGAGGGGAACTGCAGGTTTAGGACAGAGGAGAAGGCGCTTGTGGGGGCCATGAATCAGGCGTGGACGGTCATGGCGAAGTATGGCAGGCCAGACGATGAGACTGTGGCCTGCGTGGACCGTGGAGAAAGGGATGAGTGTCAACATTCATGAGACGATGGGTGTGGGCGTTGTCCGCGTGTGCATTTTGGGACGAGATAGAGGAGGAATTGGTACAGATTGCCGAGAGGTTAAAGGCTCTGCGCCATTGTTAGGCAAGAACCATTTCTAAATCTTGTGCCATAGCGCAGCTAAATACAGATTGGCATTGGGATCGATCTTTCCTTTTCCAAATAGAGATTCATTAAAGATAGCGGGATTTCGCAATGAGAACCTTCTTTTCGACAGTGACCTCTCCACCTCTTCCACTTCTTCCACGTGATCTTTTGCAGTTCATTCCAGGTGCCTGACGAGGACCTTTCATGTTGTGCCATCCCAGTCGGTGTTTACAGTAAATTTGAGTGTGCATTTGTCGTTGACTGCCTATAAGGACAGGATCAGTCTGGGGCGGGTATGTGCGCTTGTTGAGCCCTGTAGGTAGCTCGCCTCGACCTATTCTCTGTAGAAGACCGTGATAACTTTATCGCGTATTCATTCCTCGCTTCGTTCTACTCGAGATCTTTATAATCCGCCAAGTAGCCCTGCAGCTTCCACAGCCTGATCTGTAGATCTGTCGTCCGCCGTCCGGCCGCCATGAATATCGCCCCATCCTTGAACACAATTGCCTTATTCTTGACGCGATTGGCATTTTCATTGCCCAGAAGCATGGTCATATTGTGAACCGCAACGCTCGTCTTTACTCCGTTGGCCTTAAAATCGAACGTAGCAAACGGACCTGGCTGGTTCTTTACCTCAATCATACCCTGAGACGGCTCGTCAAACCACAGCAGGGCACCTTTGTGCTTGTACTGCACATCGTCCCATCCATAACACTTGACGATGTAATACCGTCCCTGCTCGGCGCAGAGCTTGGAGAGATAAAGCAAGTCGTCGACGATCTGCTGACGCATCAAGTCTAAAACATAGGCGCCCATGTCCTCGCGCCATACAGCTTTTCCGCTCAGGGGTCTGTACGCCGAGGTCGTTGCTGCCATCAGGCGGCGGTACGCCTGGGTGTAGCCTGAACCCGGGACCGCGAAAGAATCCAAGAGATCTTTCCTCGCTGGCACATAGGCTGATGGTCCAAACGCCACTTCCTTCTTCGGGTTATCGACGCGCTCGTGGTCCGGCTGGTTAGATTTGGCGTCTGTCTCGGAACCCTCGTCTTCAGCAAGTATTTTGGCCTCCGTCTCCGCAATCTCATCGCCTCCCAGTATTTTGTCCTCATCCGCCGTATTTGGCTCAGCTTCTTTAGATACAGGCGGCGTCCTCGACGTCAGACTTCGCGGAACCCACCACGGGTTGCCCGTATCGGGGTGTGCGACCAGGTCGAAGTCCTGTAGGAAGAATCGCGGAAGCCGATGTCGAGTCAACGGATCGTTGCGCAGCGGTGTCGCAAGCGCCTGAGCTATGCATTTGTAAATAACTACTACATCGTCACAGAGACTGGGAGTTCTGGTCCCATACCAAAGGGATTGGCATGGAATTGTCTCTCGACCGAGTTCTGGGGTTTCCCCGGCTTCGGCTTCTTCGTCTTGTGTTGCTCCTTCGCCTCCCAGTACGACGGGTCCATGATAGGCGACAGTGGGAGATTACCGACGGCGGTCTCTAACGTCTTTGCTTCCGAGTCGATTTTGAACCATTCGACGTCATCTGGCTGATGCGCCGCCGCTTTCGCCGAGGGCGTCGAGGCGTCACGCCTGTCTTTGGGGCCATCTGATGTGTAGGGCCGCCATTGCGCCCGAGAATGGCGTAGCTGGCTGATGATAGCAGTGCTATCCCACAGTGCTGTGCATCGTCTCATAACCGCATCTGAGCCGGTTCTGGGCGACTTTGGTCCGTCTTCATAAAGCTATATAAAAAAAAGTCAATCCCTAAATGGCATGATGACGCTGCTTGCCTCGGCGCGAAATTTAGCGAGAGTTGCGCTGCGCTAACGGACCGGAGACAAATGCGCGACCGACGTCAGAGCTCTCACCTGGGAAGATTGGAGAGATTACCCCGACGACAGTTACTTGGCCATTTGCGACAGTTGCCGTCGAGATGAACTTCCAACGGCCGGTATGGCGTTCATTAAGATGTGTTGCCAGTCAGCGATGTCGGAGTTTCTCCCAGATGCCTGGCTTCCCTGGTCAAGATAGTCAGGCCCAAACTCCTCGTGGATCAATACCGATGCCATACATCACAGAAGTCACAGTAAGCTGGAGACCCATAGGAGCCAATTGCACCTTTCTGCATATGCTAACAGGATAGTCTGGCGGCTGGAGGACATGTACGTAGATCGTTCGCCTCGGTGGCGTTGAATTGAGTAGCTGACATTTAACAAGACGACATTTTCTCCAAGCTACTCCAGGTGCGTTAATCTTGCGCCATCTGACTTCAAGATCCCAACTAATACCCCCCACCCCAGGAACGGATAGTATGCCTCAACGGCCCCGTCGACGACACCGTCTCGGCCTCTATCGTAGCCCAGCTCCTCTGGCTCGAGTCCGACAACCCCGATAAGCCCATCACCATGTACATCAACTCGCCCGGCGGCTCCGTCACGGCGGGGCTCTCCATCTACGACACCATGAGCTACATCAACTCCCCCGTATCTACTGTGTGTCTTGGTCTAGCGGCATCCATGGGCTCGCTGCTGCTCGCCGGCGGCGAGAAGGGGAAGCGCTACGCCCTGCCCCACAGCAGCATCATGGTCCACCAGCCCTTGGGCGGTATGCAAGGGCCCGCGGCCGACATTGTCATTTACGCCAACCAGATCCAGCGTACGAGGGAACAGCTGAATGAGATCTATCGGAAACATTTGAATACGGCGCATGGTACGGAGAGGTATGGACTAAAGGAGATTGAGGATATGATGGACAGGGATAAGTACTTGACGGCGGAGGAGGCCAAGGAAATTGGCATTGTGGATGAGATTCTGACAAAGAGGGTGAAGGGGAAGAAGGATGGCGAAAAGCCGTCAGGAGATGGCGAGAAGTCCTGAAAATATTGAGATAAAGATGAAATCATGACATCAAATATCAACAGTAGGTTTATCACTGCATAGTGCTGCTGCTATGTTTGATCAAGGCTATTGGGTGTCAACCTGGCCACATCTGATAGCTTGTAATATCTTGGGCCACGGTATTGCTAGGAATGGAATATGTGCCAATCATGGCATATCTACTTCAGGACTGTTCAAGTACTGGTTCCGAGGTCTTGTTCCGAAGTGCGCGCACATACATTTTGAACAGGTTTCAGAATGGATCTTGTGAGAACACTGCTGCGCCATGTGCAAAATAGAAGGCGTTGGTATCGTGGTCAGATAGTATCGTAGGCCTACTCTGGCTGAATTGCTTGCGGAAGGGGGTCATGTTGATGATGCCTTCCCGCAAGAATATAGCCGTGCAAACCTGGCCCTGGCATAATAGTGTCACACTGCTGACATCTCTAGGGGCCTGGTGAGTGCTCATATCACAGTGGGTAGTATCGCACTTTTCTCGAGTATTTACATTCAGCCCAAATTACATAAGTCACCATTGAATACTTAACACGACCAACTATATTCACAAAGACAGAGTACAGGCAAGAAACTCGCAAAACCTACTGAGCTCACAATATTTTCAACTTCACCGCTGTATCCCATAAAGACCTTCAGCGACTCCTGAACTACAGGAAACACCGAGATGCCAAAAAGTTCTCCGCCGATCCTCTTTCCCACACGTTTCCTTGTACCGTCCAGGCGTGTAACGCCGCAGGTGGGGTGTTCACTCGGCAGCCTATTTTAATGCGCCATATGCAGAAAAATGGGAATGAGACGAAGAAACAGAAGCGTGGTAGGAGGAAATTGAGGTCGTTTTCGGATGCAGATTGGATTAGGGTATCGACTCGGTTAAGCTACAATCTTCTGTGTTGGGAGACAATGGGAGGACTTCATGATACCTTGACTAAGAACAGGAGGGATCGGCCCTGCTCTTTTTCATGTTCCCAATTATTACCGGTACTGATGATTGTGTCTAGCGCCTATATACTTCTTACTTCTCAAGTATTACAGGGTTGCATACGGCAGCACACGTGTTCTTCTGACCTTTGGGTTGCCTTCACTTGTTGGATGGATGGAGACTAACGATACCCCATCTGTCCCAGACATTAGTATCAGCAGTATTGTTGAAGCTAAGGAACTAACATCATATTATCTTTCTGGTATGCTGGAGATATAGCTATTCATATAAGCGTTTCGGTGATCCACCCAATGGTTATTGAACAATCGCGGAAAGGTTTAAGGGAAAACAAAGAGACAGGCAATTATCCTGTACAATAGTTTTGTTCGTATGTACAGAGGGATGAATGGATTATTAAGTAATCACTCTTGATCTTATGTTATAAAGCCTGCTGCAAGCACTCTAGAGACAGACTAGACTGGCTCAAACACCTAAATCTTACAAGAACAATACCTACCTACGCAACCATGGCAGAACAAGCCTATTTTATTTCTCTGAACAGAATCTCCCAGCAAGTCTGAGTCTCACGTGTTGCAGATACCATTGAATCAATCTAGCCTCCAGATATACTTCAGGTTTTAGAGAAGCAGGAGCAACCAGGTGAGTCTATTCTGACCGCCGAATGCATGGTTTGCTTGACAAAGCTCTACATCTCGTTCCCCACTAAAGAGGCAATAGAGAAGGAGTGCGCATCCAGAAGTTCGGCATCAAGGAAAGAAGATTTTTACGAGAAACAAAATCTCACGGAGAGGCAATTCTCTTTCGATGTAGAGACACTTTAAAGGCCTGAAGTATTACAACACTGTCTTTGAGATGCGGGATCAGTTGATCGGGGGACCCGTGTGCCCGTTATTCGCGGAGAGATGATATGTGAGAGTTGCAAGTACATATATTTTAGACCACTTCCCATCTCGCCCGTCGAATGGTCTCTAAGCGTGGCCTCGTTGTATCTGCTTCTGGCAATGCGGAAGAATTTCCCACATACAACGGCCGGCCCTGGTATGCGATCCAAGCTTAACTGCAATACGTGTATCGAGAGGGTACAGTATAGGCAAGTGTCAGATGCCGCAAATCTGGTTCACAAGGCCCCCGCCAACCTAGTGGATTCTCAATGGCGTTCGCAATAGGAACGACTCGTCGAGTCTCTCATCCCTGGTTACCACGATCACCGGGATCCTGCACTCCAAGTGGAAGTAGAAGTCAACCAAGAGATGCGAGGTGAGAAAGGCACTGTTGCGCCACATTGAGAACTGCTCCTTTATAGAGACTTTGAAATATTTATGATTGGAAACATTCAGATGGCGTACCGATAGAGGTCTGTGGGACGAGGAGGAGCTTAAGCCTGGTTCCTGATAATAATTAGAAAAGGGATATCTTGGAGTATACTATCTCCATATTTAGAAGAACCCTCTAAAATAGGACCGAGTTGGTAGATTACTATAGATGGAATATATGTGGACAAGCCTATTCATAGTTTGAAAGGCTACCAACTATAGCTACTGATGTTTTAATAGATAGCGGGTTACGTAGTAATACGAATACTAATCCCTAGTTATAAATCGCGCTTAAATATAAAATATTAATGATGATATTAATTACATTATAGAATTAGAAGAGTTTATTCGAGTATTAATTTAGAGAACGTATAATAGATCAACATCGGCCGATAAAAGATAGAATAAACACGTCTATAATTATTCTACGAACTGTGGGATCGCACTGGTACTAGCATTCCGGCTAAATACGAAGGGAAGACGCGACGTACAGGTGGGCCGTGGTCCCAAGCCGCACAAGGGCACTAAAGTATCTCATGTGTACCTCACCATGGCCCCAGGCTACCAATTTCACATGAACCACAATACAGCGTTAAAGATGGCTTTACTATCACGGTTCAAGACCGTCCCGCTTACCTAACATATAAGGGGTAGACCAATCTAATAGTACGTGTCTACCAAAAACTATCCGGGGGCACTGGTTTAACAATTTCATTTTTATTTATTTATTGGTTCATCGTCAAGTGCTTGTTTTGCCCTATGGAGTGTTGATCTCCCAGGCGGTTTACCTACCGCGTGAAACCAACTGAGTTTCAGAGACCATAAGTCTCGCCGGGAATCTTGACCTTGGGATAGACTATCAACAAATACTACTCTTCATTAACACTGGGTTTTTACACAGTATGATAACATAGTCAACCCTTATTCCTAACGTGGTAGTTTACTAACTCCCAGATGATCCTCAACACACCAACACACCTCATAACTCCCCTCGCGAATCATCGACCCCGTCCTTGACTCCCAACTCCAGCCCTAGTATCCCACTCAGCTCCCTCAAGTCCACCAAGAGTGCTTTCGTTGTCGTCGAAGGCATGATCTTGACATAAGCCCACTCCAAGCGGCTCCATCCACCTGTGGCAAATACCTGCGACCTTGCCACGATAGCTGCCGTGCCAACCCCGAAAGGTGAACAAGACAGAATCTCGGTTCCAGGGGCAACTTCTGGGTCTATGGTGCGGGCGAAAAGGGCGCAGAGGGTGTTGATGATGATTCCCCCGGTCAGGCCGTATACAGTCATATCGAGTACGTGCGTCTCCGCGGGGTGAAGTTCTGGACGTTTGCTGTAGTCGGCCAGCCAAACGGTATACCCCATGAACGCAAGGAGAATTAGGATGGAGATGATGCGCATGTTGAAAGCTTGGGGGTAGATATGCTCGTTGTTGAACAAGTGGCGGACAGGTGGGAGCGAGGGTCAGGGGAGAGACTAAATTGTCCCACAGATTTGAGGGGATAAGGGGGCGGGGCTAAAAGTAGCCTTTGAGTGTCCCAGATGAGATTATTGAGACTTTGCGCTGAAATAACACGTTTTGGATAGAACGAGGCTGTAATTATGAGATGAAGATTTCATCGTGAAGATGACAACCAACAACAATTTGTTAGTTTCAGGGTTCAGGGGTTGATGTACAGGGGCTGTTCCGGGTGTTTCAGGCGCAATGCCGGCTTAAGCGCCGCACCGGAGCGCTGGGTCGGCACAAGCACCGCATCACGACCGGCTTGCAGACGAATGGGGAGGGAAGCACTCTAAATTTTTTGAGCTGAGCTTGTCTGACCGACATTAAACGTTGCTGCCTAACAGGAAGCGGCGTGGATGCTTACACCGCTGTGTTCTGTGCCGCTGGTGCAACTCTGCTGTAACCTTACTTACCAAGGCCAGATAGATAATGGTGCGACTATCTTCATGGTCATGGGAAAACCCTATAGGGCGCGAAATCAATCGATATCTGCGAGTCAGAATAACTCATCATCGCCCAGGAGCAACAGATACATTGTTCAAGATGCTTGCAGCAAAGAATCGCGTGGTACTAGCCTTTCTTTTAGAGAAGCCAACTTGGAGGTCAGCGGGATGACAGGAGACATCTGCGAGTCAAGGCAAGGCGAATTACTGTGGTCTTCCCTTGCTCAAGGAGACGCCGTGAGTACGACGTACGGTTGTAGCACAAGAATCCGCGGAACGGAACCATCTCTGCTCTCACAAGAACGTAACACCAAAACACGACGAATCCGAGGCTCCAATCTTCTCTGGGCCATTGGGCCATGCATGCCACCCCCACCAGATGCAGTGCTGACATTAGCAGCCGACAGGCAAACGAATTGGATAGACATGTCGCGCCGGCAGGCTGTCAGCGATCCCTGAGCATCACGTGCAGATGACGTCAGCCTGCAATTAGACGGCGCCTCTGTCCTCTCTGCGACCGCAGCTCTGAAGAGGCTACCCCTGTTGCCCAGTACATCCTTGCGGGCCGAGGGTCTGAATGGCCTCTTACGGCGACAAACGTAATTGATAAGGAGGCAATGAAGACCCGTAGCTTCGAAACATCGTCTTTCTCTTAGTCAAATCAACGTCGTCCTTCGGATCAGGGTGTTTACTTTTTTAATTCATGTGTACGGAGATTGCTTGGGTATTATCCTCGCAGAATACACCTATCTCCACGACGTCAACAGCCTTTGTCGTCATATCCTTGAACTTCCATAATATAGCTCCCGCCGTTTCCCGTGTCGCCCATCCACAAACCCGCCCCAAAGTCTGTATCTCCCGCAACTCTAGATGGGAAGATGGCTTCAACGAGCGCCGCGACGTCCGCTATGGACGGCAACGGGTCCGACATCCACGATCACATCCTGCGACCGCGACCGCGAAAACCACAGCACGCCCAGGTGATGCAGCTTACGAGAGAACATAGTAACACCTCGTCCAACGGCAGCGCTTCTGCTCTGCTTGAGACGCCCGCGGAAGGTCTTGGGTCGGGTCTTACGAGTGGCCGCTCAACCCCCGTTCCTGAAGACGCCCCTCAGTCGACCAAGGCGCTGTCGAGCGCACGAAAACAAGTACGCGCCGAGCAGCGACGTCGCCTCTTCCCAACCATCGACTACACATCGCGAGTGTCGCATTTTGACCCCGAGTCCGACTACCGCGACTTCCATGGCTTCTTCAACCTGTTTTGGATTGGTCTGGCCATCATGGCCATCACCTCGATGTTGCGGAACATTAAAGACACGGGGTATCCGTTAAGGGTGCAGATCTGGACCTTATTCACCGTCAAGCTGTGGCATTTGGGTATTGCCGACTTCCTCATGGTGGCAAGCACCGCCTTCAGCTTGCCTCTCCACATGCTAACACGCAAGAGCGACGGTGGCATGTCGTGGAAGACGGGCGGAATGGCCATTCAGAGCACATACCAGGTCCTGTGGATGTCCTTATGGATTGCCGTGCCTTTCGCGCTTAACTGGACGTGGACGGCGCAGGTTTTCTTCCTGCTGCATACTATGGTTGGGCTCATGAAGATGCACTCGTACGCATTCTACAATGGCCACCTGTCGGAGACTGAAAAGCGGCTACGAGCGCTCGACAACCCTTCCACCGCCAACAAGGACCCCGTCTACCAATACCCTAGCGTGGAGAACCCGATGGGTACTATTGCCAACGGCGGCTTGGAGGTGGACGGCGATTCGGACGATGAAGGACTGAAACAATTGCGGGAAGACCTGGCCCGCGAGCTCACCAGTCCTATCGGCAATATCACCTACCCGAACAACCTCACCTGGTCTAACTACGTGGATTATTTCTTCTGCCCAACCCTATGCTACGAAATGGAGTATCCCCGCACCAAGGCCATCAACTGGACGTCCCTGATCGCCAAGATCGTTGCCACCTTCGGCTGCATCTTCCTCCTGACCATTATCTCCGAGGAGTTCATCCTACCCGTCCTCCAAGACTCCCACACTCGCCTCGAGGCCACTTCGTCCGCTTTCGACACCCTCCTCATTCTCTTTGAGTCCATCTCGTGGCTCCTCTTCCCTTTCATGCTGACCTTCCTCCTGGTATTCCTCGTCATCTTCGAATACGTGCTCGGCGCATTCGCCGAGATCACGCACTTCGCCGACCGCCACTTCTACGCCGACTGGTGGAACAGCACCGACTGGATGGAGTTCTCGCGCGAGTGGAACGTGCCCGTCTACAGCTTCCTGCGCCGGCACGTCTACGCTACGAGCAAGCCACGCATCGGCAAGAACATGGCCACCATCATCACCTTCCTCATCAGCGCCATGGGCCACGAGATCGTCATGGCGTGCATTACCAAGAAGCTCAGGGGCTACGGGTTTATCTGTCAGATGTCCCAGTTGCCCATCGTTATGCTGCAGAGGACAAGGCTGGTCAGGGGCAAGGAGACCTTGAATAACGTCTGCTTTTGGTGTAGTATGATTCTTGGGCTTAGCTTGGTAAGTCTCAGACAAACAGTCCTGTATTTAGTCCCGACGAGTGAAGCTAATTGTGACCTAGATATGTTCACTCTATGTCCTAGTTTAAGGCATCACCCTAAGAGTGACTCTAGTTCGTTTCACGGGCTGCTTTATCGCCACTGATCAAGTCCTAGCGGATTTTGACAGACAGGGCTCGTCCGCTCGCGTCACCTCATCTCACATCCATTGCTAGAAGAGCAATCACAACGCATCTATTTGAGAATTTTGAGGGGCATTTCTTTATGAATCAGAAGATGGGGTACCATTCTGCTACTAATCATGGCAATCGCCGCTGGTGTCTCTTTGTAGATACCAGCGACGGCCATGGTTACTGTTATCGAAGCTACTTGCGATGTCGAGGTAGTTCCAGAGAACGATTCAACTAGACTGCACCATAGAATTCGGAGTAAGGGGATTGACTCAACATTCATTGCAAGGCGTTGGAATACTTTAGACATTATATATACCCCATAAGCTTCGGAGGTGGCCAACTTAGCGTTGACCTTGCCAGTCACTAGAATCATCACATCAATTTGCTTTTGCGGTTACTGCTTTTGATGGGGTTTCAGCTCCTATCGTGATGACCTACTCGGTTGCCTCTCTGGTTTACTTGCGCATAGCATCTTCTGCGGGCTGATTCTGCGCATCACTTTGCCCGTTATTTGTTCCGCTAACATACCTCAAAAAATTAGAGTTGGATGGCCGTAGGATTTCAACAGTCCCGAGTCTGGCTTGCTTCGTACACAATTATCACGAGTCGCAACGACATAACACACGTGCATGGCCTATGACCGTAGCGCACCGACCTGGCATCCCTTGGGTTCGACAACTTGCCCCATGCGGGTGGGACCGATCTCAAGGGAAGATTCCTCGGAACCACATATACATCGCAACAATATTTCTGACATGTGGCATGGGGCGAGAAGAGAGCATTCTGGCCAAGAGACAAAGGTGCGGCTCTATTAACGGGCGCCTTACCACGAAACGAACAATGTTAATGGGGCTTACATATAAATATGAGAGGTCTAGCAACGAAGCAACGGGAGAGACTTGTAAGTGATAGCACTCATATAAATGTTACCAGGCTGAAACCACTTACTTTACATAGTACCAATTGCAAGCCCCTTCCTACTGGGTTTATTTGGCATTGTGCCATGGCTTAGCAATAACACTGTAGGTTCCAGGTTGAGCAGCAGATTGATGCCTGAGATGTTACCATTACCGATGGCTGTGTCGTGTCTAGATCAACATATCCGATGTTTAGTACAAGATCAGGCCATCCCTTCAAGTACACTTGACACTAAACCAAGGTAGGCTCACAACGGCTCATTGGTTTCAAACACGAGACACGCATTCATTCCTAGGTGAGCATGCTGCTTATTTCACTCAACCATACGGCGTCACTGCTGCTGAGACGTAGAAGGAGCGCGTAATCTTTCATCTATAGCACGCCTTACTCCCTGGTCCACTGTCACTACTTTTCTCAGTTCTTATTCCACGTCGTTCCTAATTCTGTCTCCCTCCAAAATCCAACTCACCCAGAGCCTCCCATCATCATGGACAGGGGAGCCGCTAAAGTTTCTTCTCGGACAAGGCGAAAAAGAGCGTGCCCATACCCATCTCTTGTCTTGTCATTCCTCTTCAACGTATACCCACATATTCGTCCCCGAAACAAATGCCACGTAAGTGAACGACGTGCTGTGTATCAGAACTACATTTCCACACAAAAAAATAAAGATAAAAAAAGACTAGCAGACCTCCCATACCAGCATGCAAGCGTTCCGCTCCGTTTACAGTCCATATATTCCCAAAACAACCTATGCAATGTTTATGTATATGTATAGGTGCGAGCATCGATTCGAAATTGCGGAAAGGGGGAATAGGGAAAATAAACAGGAAAAAGCAGAAGAAATACAAGGGAATCGCCTGTAATGAACTGAACTTCTGTTGGCCAACTGGAGGGTAGCCGAGTTGGTATCCGGATCCCCTGGCGGCGCTCTGCTCTCAGAAAGGTCTCAAGCTCACGCGGGTCGTGATATCACCCACGGCGTGACGCGCGGGCTTTACCATGCACGATTTGCTAACTTGGAACCGACACAATCGCCCATCTGAGACACGAGTCGCCCATCGACAACTACCTAGCTTGCCCGCCCAGTTCCCATCGACATGCCAAATCATTACTGTGTTCCGAGAACGTCATCATCGTTGTAATGATATCATAAAAGGACTCGCAGGAAAATCGGGAGATGGAAAAAGTTGTAGAAGAGCACGCTGGTTAACACCCAAATGAACGCCGATTATAACAAATGTTGACTTTATGATTTGAGGTTTGACGTTCCAGATTCAAGTGTAACAGATTGTCCAGTCTTGCCCGAATATCTCTGACAGGGCGCGTGCGGAGAATGTGCCTAGTATCCGGAGATTTACTCAGTACGAGTACACGCCATCCCCCCTACCATAATGCTTATCATAGGGGGCATGTGGCACGTCCCCATAAGTGACATCACCATACTTCGAAGTCTTCACCTTTCCAAAGATTTGGCTCCCTTGGCTGGTGTAACTATCCTGCGAATGCATCGCGGGCCGTCGTTCCAGAGGACGCCCAGTATTCGCTTCAGATGCGTAATAATTTTTGTGGCTCACCGGGATGGTTTTGTTGTCGCTGACGGCGTAGCGGAAGGTTTTTAACACAGGGTCAACTTCGGGCGAGTGAGTTCTCCGCATATGGCCTCGATAATGAAGGTCATCTTCAGATTCGTCGTCTGTGTAGTGATAAGCACGCCTCGACCGGCTGCGCTCATAGGCATCTTCGGAATACGAAGTATGGGAGCGCATCATACCCGGCATGTGCTGAGTAGGACGTGCGTAATGCTGATCTGTTTTGGTCCGACTGATCCTAGGCGGGGAGCCAGAGACAGGTGCACCATACTGAGTTGGCATGGTGGATGACTTCTTCAATTTGGGTGGCGAAAAATATTCGTCGGTCGGTAGCCTGGATGAGCTCGACTTCTTGTGCGATGAGACCTTTTCCCTGGTTCGAGGATCAATGGACCCACGTCGGCTCGACATCTTTGCTGACGGTCTCCTTGGGTCTTCCTCCCCGTAATTATCTCTCCGGTCTCTACCGACTGGCGGTGGGGGGGGAGGCATGGCGCCAGTCACTGGAGGTGGCGTGGGCGCAGCAGCCGGAGGCGTGACGGTATGGACAAAGGGCGTGGGTTGGGAGGCATATGTCTTGTTGAGCATGGGTGCTTTGCTTCTCGCCAGATAATTAGCTGCGAACTCGAGGTTGTCGGCGGTCTTGCGGTCGGCCGTCATTTTTTCACGTTCTGTGGCTTCCGCAGCCGAGACGGGTGGCTCAGCCTCATTCTCATGTTTTGGACGGCTGCTCTTGGGTTTCTTGTCCGACCTGGGCGGCTCAACGTCAATTACGTGTGGTTGTGGGTGCTCGTGAACGTCCTCCATGTACGGCTTCTGACGTGCGCGTTTGTCCTCAGTATCCCGTCTGCGCTCCCTGTCGCGATCCTTTTCGGTTCTCTTTTTATCTTCCTTTCGATGCTCCTTGTCCTTTCGCAGTCGTTCTTCCTCTGCTTTTCTTGACCGGTCTTGATCGCGGTCCCAGTCGGCCTGTGCTTTCTTCTGCTCGGCCTCTGCTCTCTTCTGCCGCTCCTTCTCTTCTCGTCTCGATGATCGATGGTCCCGCTCTCTGTCAGAATCCTTCTTCTTCGAACTACGGTGGTCCCGAGCGGAGTCGCTGGAATGGTTTTCGGTTGAGGAGGGCGGGGTGTTATAAGTGTAAGGACTGGATGCTGGGAATGAGGAGGATCTCGTGAACTCGGGCGGGTTTGCAGTCCTGATCTTGTAATCGCGATAGCCATCCTCACGGCGCGGTGGTGTGCGGCTAGCGTAGGAGTAGTCGGCGCGCTTGCGCGCGTTTTCTCTCTCCATGTTGTTCGCCATGACCATGTCATCGTACTTCTGCCGCTCGTTCTCGTCTGAGAGCATCTCGTATGCCTTTTGGACCTTCTGAAACTCATCCTGCTTGACGGCTTTCAATCCTGGGTCTGCGACTTTGTCCGGGTGGCATTTCAACACGAGTTTCCGGTACGCCGACCGGATCTCTGGGAGTAGTGCATTCTTGGACACGCCGAGGATCTTGTAAGGATCTTCCGGCAACGTGAACATGTTGGCAGACGTGAATGACGAGCACTAGAGACTGCCGCCAAGTGTCCTTGTGTAAACAAACTCTGGTTGCGTCCTATGAATCGAGGTCGCCTTAACAACCAGCAATGGCAACAAGAAATCGCATGAGTGACGTGGTGGTGGCGATCAGAAGTCCAGCGTTGAAACCCGAGACGAGGTCAAGTATCGAAGCCGAGGAATGATGCAGGCGTAGTTGACTGCACACGCGAAAAGGAGCAAGCCAGATTCAGTTAAGAAGTGACTTTTGACGAGGCAGGACCGGCGGGAAGGGACCGTCCCAGGAGCTTAGTGGAAGCTAAAACCGGGGTAGGATGTCCTGCTGGTCGATGACGGCACAAGACTTATCCACTGCAAGTGCTAGCGTCCAAAACAGTTGCAGCACAGCCGTTAGAGTTGATTTGAGTTAGTTTGTGTGGTGAGGATGAACACGTTGGTGAAGCAATGAGGTCACGAAAGGGGTCGGGCAGCCGAGAGGACCGTCCCAAGAAGAGTGGGAGAGAAGGGCCTTTGAGGCTTGCAGGCTTGACAGTCCAAAGCCAAGTGTGCTTAATGGGCTGGGAGCGAAAGTCGCAAGCCAGGAAAAGATGGGGCCACACTTGACCACCTCAAAGCTGGGTCGGCGAATGGCCGGTGCGCTGAGAAATCGGGGAGGGATCGTCTTTCTGACACCAAGCGTACCTGTAGCGCTACGTTGCCAGTGAGCGATTCCGCTGTGTGGTCGGCAGCGCTGACTTTAGCGGAACAGGGATCGAATTGGACGACTTTCTTCAGCGTAGTGCGCCAAAAAGAAGGGTCAAACGATTCGAGTGTACCAAGTACTTCGATACGTACTCAATCAAGTAAGTACCTGCCGCTTCGACTTGGCGGGGAACTCCTGGACAGTGGAGGGTTTCTGCCAATTGCGAATGCGCAAGTGGGAGAAAGCGTTGTAAAAGCGCCGGTTGACTTGCGACAAGGCGCTCTAGGTAGGTGACTTGGGTTGAGCGAGAAGTCCCAGTTGTCGCTGAATTGTCGTTTTCGCCGAGAGGGGTGTCTGCGATTCCACCAGGGTCTCGAGGTCCTCGATTGCACGGCGTCGGAGATGTCCAGAAACCTGGGGTGATATGTGTTATGCACCTGGGCAGAGGTGAGAAAAATAAGTCTTATGTGATACGTATGATCAAGTCGGTGAGTGCGGGATGGCCTGCCAATGCACTGATAAAGCGGGTGAGAGAATACAAGAGGCGCGAAGGTAAGGATAGGAAAGGGTCCGAGGATAATCGTCGGCAAGTTGCAAATTCGCAGAAGCCAGCAAGAGAAGTTGATAGAATACCACTTTCGCAACTTCTCTGCGATTGTCGATCTTGTTGCCGCCCGTGGATCCAATTGTGGAAAATGAATAGAGGCGAAAGAAGACTGACGTCGTCCTTGGGAGTTAAAGAGCTTCCAGGGTCAAAAGTTGGCCAAGGGCGAATTGTACGTGAGTTGTTGCACGCCCGTTTAGCTTTCCCGACGTGGTGGCGGGCGAAGTGGTGGTAATTGCTGCGCCAGTGGCTGTCCAAGGAGACGAATTATAGGACTGCCTAGACCTTGGTGTATCCAAATGCCCAATGAGTGAGGAATGAATGCTGGAGTGTTGTTTTGGCGATGATCGAGGGTAATGATAAGAAACGATCAGGAATGAGACTGAAGATGGAAGTCCTCTTGTGGAGTAATGTCTAAGGGCACACAGTTCCGAGTTCGAGGTTCAATACTGGCGGTGAGGTCGTTTTGATATAAGAATTCTCCTTGCAATGCCTCGTGTTCAGCCCGTGCAATGAAGCAAAGTTCGAACTGTGGGACAAACAAAGAATCCTAGAGTTGTAACTGATTTCTCGAGTCCGAGGGGCCGGTAACGTGATCTCTACTATGAAGGAATTCCAATCATAACAGTAGTCATTTCTTTGAAAACAAATATCATCTGGCCGAGGATGCGATAGATGGCCGTCAACGACCAACAACGTAGCCTACCGGGACACAAAGACCGAGCTCCATGTATCTAGTTGCATGACCTGCGTTCGGCGATACCGACTTCTACTGGCTACCCCATCTGCCATCTCTAGCTGCTTGGGCGACAAAGCTCCGCTGGTAGCAGCAACTACAACATCCGCTGGTTCAAATTACCTGAAATGCAAGGCCTTCTGAGGAGATTTTTTTTAGTCTTCATTAGGGAATGCTTCGCCCTACCCCTTCACCAATACTGCCGACGGGGCGTCCAATGTCCAGCTTTGTCTTAGTCCGGTCGTTACCCCGTCTGACAGCCAAAAATCAAAAAGATCACTGGCGATTATTTCACATGTTGGGGCGCACCTTACCTGCTCTTTCCTATGGATTTGGCCGATCGAAGATGCGATCCGTCAATCATATCATTGTATATGAGTCGTGGCAGCCGGGTCACCTCAGACCAGTTCTGACCAGTTCAGACGACCCGGGTCGATTGGTGCAACTTGGCCTCGACCCTATGGATGGGATGCTATCCCCTTTTGGCAATTTGCAGCAGGTGATGCTCAAAGCAGTATGAAATGTGAGGACTTGCATCCTCGTCTCCGGCTACCTTTGAACGGCATCCACAGACACCATCGCAAGTGTTGATTTCAGATGCTGCTGATAGGCACAGCAGACCTGACCTTTCAATGCTCCCAGCGTCCAGTCAGTCAGGGTCCTCAAGTCAGCCCGCACCGGTGCTCTGGCTGCACGCTCCCCGTGGACTGAGACCCCCGTCACACTCATACACACTCATACATGAGATCATTTATACAGCCATATCAGTCCAATGAGAAGTCATCGATGACGGGCTCGAAGCAGGTACGTACGTTGAGAGTCTGTGTAGGGCATAGGGAGGGTGGGATGGTGTGCTACACAAAATTTTTAGTCACAATTTTGGAGGCCGCTTTACACCTTGAAGAGCATCTCTGCAGGCCGCACGAGGTCTCACCCTCTGGCCCGCGAAACGGAACTGGTGTGGTGGAATGATTGATGAGAATCACCCGTTGTCGAATGGAACGGCTGTGGGAGGGGAAGCCAAGTGATCTGCCTCTTACTGCAGGCCAATCAAAATAGGCCAGTGGGTGTTATAAACCACGCTTGGCTGGCTTCGAGGAGATTTCACCGATGCACGGCTAGCACGCACACTGATAGAGTTGACTTGACTTCTAACAGACTCGTGGTCTTCCTTGCTACGGCGTGCTTTGTGCATTTCCTGGGGTCTTGACGAGACAAATGAAATATTGGCATAAGCTATCTGACTGGCCATCGGCATTCCACTCTACCGTACTCTGGAAGCTCTGTGAGCGAATCCAAAATCGGCGATCACTCCTCGTTCTTGACGGCACCACTTCTCACGTTTCGAGAAATATTTTCGCAATATGCTTGTTGGAGCTCTTGGGAGTAGACCGAGAATGTCACATCGGCAAGACAAGATGATGCTCCTTTCGTTCGAGTTACTTACCGTAGTACCTTACTCGAGGTGGGGGTGGGGCACATTCATCAAACTCACAACGGGTTTCAACAACGGGCAGAAAGAAATAGAGACTCAGGGCTGACTCGTTCGGATAAGCCACCTGCATGGTCAAGGGGATGCCTTCTTGTCAGGTACGCCAGTGTCGACTTTGGACGAGGGTCAACCGAGTCAGATCCTCCGCCCGCCCATTCACGATTATTACCCCTCTTCAACATGAGATGGGATTCATCAGACCATGGGTACTTCTATCGATGCAAGCAAGGAATCTATGGCTTCCAGAAGCTGAAGAAGCTCTGATGGGAGGAGTCTTTTTCTACTAGGAAGCTACTCTGCCCAGAGCTCCATGTGTGCATCTGGATATTCCGGCAACTAGCGCCATCCACAATGGCCGCATTATTCCGAGATCGACTGCGACGGCATGGCGGTGAGCATGTGGTCTACAGATTCCGACTTACACAGGTGCTTTTTGTAAACCATCGTAGTCACATCTCACGAGATGGTTGCACTACCGGGGCCTTCTTCCGGTTCTAGCTTCCCCTATCTGCCTTTCGCCTAGCCTAGCACCGTAACCAAGCAACCGTCTCTTCACTTCTCGGACTCGCTGCCTGGCCTGCTGGCCTGGCCTGCTGCAGACTGGATGCCATCCACTAGGAGGCTTTGAATTCTGCAAAAGCCCGCACAATCACTGACAGTAAAACGTCCTTCTAGTCCCACGAAGGTACCCCCGCCTTTTCACTCTAGACGAGGGCAGAGTCTCTATTGGCTAGATTGCTGGCCTCGAAGCGCCGTATCCTACCAGCACCGACTCGTCACAGTCATCTTCTTGACATCTGAGAATCGGCACAATATGGGCTGTGTGTTTCACTTGTGCAGATGTGAGTTTGTGAGGCTATTAGCAGCTCTCGAAACGCGAGAAATATCGCGACCCGAAGTCGCTATGTTGTCTCTTGACCACGTCTTCCCCGCATCACAAAACGCACCTTCTGCAGGTCAAGTGGAGGGTAGCAGACGTTGGGCCAATCACCTGCGGTAGAAGTTGATGGAAGACCAATTCTCCTACCGCCCTACCGCTGGTGCTACACAAGTGAGCATTGTTAAGCCAGCATATGAACGATTGAGAGCTGCAGGCCAGACGTAAGTTCACTAGCTACGAGCTTCACTTGGGACGATCTGGGGAATCTCCAGCTGGCCTTTGGAGCCTGACGTTCGAGGCATTGAGATGAGAACGTGGTGGAAAACTGGCGTGATGAAGACAATGTCTTGTGCTTGCATATGAGATGTCTCAGGCGGAAAGGATCATGCGCGTGTCGACTCACCAAAGACCTCGGCTTGCGCCTTATTGCCTACATACAAGTTGGCACGCGGGTCAGCGCATGGCATTAGCTATCGAGCCGTTGGAAAAATCACGTTGAGCACTAATTCTTAGTCTAGCATCGTTGGCTCGCGAAGCGCGAAGGTGACGACAAAATAGTGGCGTGTAAATTTTCGAATGCTCCCAACCCAGAATGACTCGAACTAAGCAAACGGGACTATATAGGCGTGCAGGTACTTCATAGAAATTTCCATAGAAAACGGATCAGGCCTCGGAGCAGACACTGCTTTGGTGTACAGCTTAGTCCTCATGAGCTTGCAGTACACAGCCGCAGTACGCGCAAGCTCAGAATCCGGAAGACTCGGGACGGCGATGTGTTTGAGTAGAACGGCGCTCCCGACTCAGGTTATAGATCGAGCTCAGGCGCAATGTCCACGCGAAGTAGTTGCTCTTCGCTGACCCAAATCTCACTTAGAGGAGGAAACCGAGGTTAGAAGCGAAAGTCCCTAGAGTTTCCATACTGATCATCAATGGCTTCCAATTGCGGGGTTGGCCGCTATTAAGGCGTTGCCAGCAAAGCTTTCTGTCGAAAGGCTTAGGAGGGACAAAAGTTAAACATGGCACATCATTGAAGACTTGTCTGAGATCTTCCTAGGATATATTCGGGTCATCATTTTACATGTATCAGAAATGCTTCAATAATAGATGCTAGAGGATATTTCCGCATGGTATCGTCTGGGAAGGGATGGAAGGAGCATTCGCAACTCCGTAGCAAAGGCCTAGCCTCTGAACCTGTATTGCCCAGATGCGCTGTAATTCGCGCCATTCCGAAAATTGCATTGCTGCTGTTATTTAGCCGTACAGCTGCAGTTCTGTTAATCCATAACCCGAGATCTAGAAATCCATTGGGTTTGAAATGACGAAACGCACTCAAAAGTTGAACTGCGGGGTTGTTTGTTCAGGTCGGGGCTTGAAAGCACTCGAGCTCATTACGCCCCTGAGCTCAATAACTTGAAGACGTACTTTACAAACCAGCATCTTTATCCTGAAAGCTTTATCTAACAAAGAGGCCTGTCCTATGTGAGCACATGAATAGGCAGCAGTAAGGCTCGCAATAATGCTGGATACACAGCTTCAACCACCTCCTTGAACATTGACTCGTCAGCCCCAAAACTCCTACGTGTAAGCCATGCCCATATTGAAGAAGGAAGAGTTGCACCAGCATAGGCCAAAGAACACATATTCATCACTACAATGGCGCAAATGACCTCGTCATCCGCGATGTTGAAGCAGACGCGCAGGACCCGTTTCGTCTGCATCTCAGATACGCACAACGCCACGATCAAGGAAGATGAGATGCCAGATGGCGACGTCCTCATCCATTGTGGAGATCTCACGGACAGTGGCAAAGCGAAAGAGCTCGAAACGACCATTGGATGGCTCGACAAACTCACCAAGTACGAAGTCAAGATCATAGTCGCGGGCAACCACGACCTGACGATCGACTCGGCTTTCTACAACCAATATGGGATGTACCACCACGGCCAGAACGCCCAAAAGTCCCAGGAATGCCGAAACATCATCTTGAACGCCACTTCCTTAATGTATCTCGAGCACGAGTCTCGCACTATACACCTCTCCTCCCCCAATGGACCGCGGACCAAGTTCTCAATATTCGGTTCGCCGCACACACCCAACTTCCCTGCGCCAAACGAATGGGCTTTCATGTACACCCGACCCACAGAGGACGACGGCGTAGCTGCCTCGAAGATCTGGAGCCAAGTCCCTCTGGACACGGATATTCTGGTCACTCATGGCCCAGCACACAAGCACCGCGACGAGACGATGAGTCGAGATGCAGCAGGCTGCGAGCTCCTCCAGCAAGCCATGTGGAGAGTACGACCCCGCCTCGCACTATGCGGACACATCCATGAAGCCCGCGGCGTGGAGCGAGTGCGCTGGAATCTCGACAGCAAAGCTCCGTACGCAGAAACCAGCACTCGACAGTGGGAAAACCCCGACCCGGAGGGCGAGATGGACTTGGTGGACTTGACAGCCGCAGGACCGGACCCCCTTCTCAACGACGGGTCCAGCGCCGGGGTCGAGGACAAGCAGCCAGGAGCGTCGAGGACGTGGTGGTCGGAGGAAGGCTCGGGAGTGAATCCGGGCCTAGGCACGAGGGGCCTTAGCGGGAATCCGGAGTCGGCTCGGAGTGATCAGGCGGCGCTCAAGAGAAGATTGGGACGCAAGGAGACTTGTATTGCGAACTGTTCGATCATGGCGAAGCCGTGGGTTTCGCAACAGCGCAACAAGTCGATTGTGGTGGATTTGGACTTGCCTATCTGAGATGAGGCTTTGAGGATAACAGAGGGATGGTTGTCGAGGGACGAGATGGAATGTTATCTGGAAGAATGAAATTACCGCCCCAAGCTGGCTTCCCACGAGAACGCTGCAGCCGTATGATAGGACAAGATGAGATAGATAAATGAGTAGAAACCTAAGATCCTACACTTCTTCACATCACTTAGTGATGTTGACCGCATGTGCCCTGATATATTCATGGCCTTACAATTGGGGTCTGATGGTATACGTCATAATTTATGGCGAGTTTTACTTAAATTCACGTGCGTCTACTGTCTGAAAAGTGCAGTTGTTTCCTCACATGCCGGTTGTAAGCTGCCTGTATTGCTACCCAAGCTCCGTCTGTTCGTTATTTCGCGTCACTGTGTTTTCCGGTCACCATATAGCACGCTAGTCAAGCCACCAAAATAGTAAGGGAAGAAAACGTGGATTCAACTTCGTTTCACGCAAGTATTTCGCATATTCTATCAATGTACCTGTATCTGATGAAAAAGGGGTTGTCCAATTGAACGTTCGAGGATAACAATAGCGTGATATAGTCGGCATCGCGCCTCTATTTAGGGTTGAGGAGGATGTCTCCGCTAAATTGTAGGCTCTGATACTAGTATCTTACAATGAGAACACCGACAAGTCGAAGGCGCTGTCGTCTGCCATGAGGAAGTGAAATGCTAGGAGGATATGTGCCAGAGTCCAATAAGCCCTGCTGCAGTTCCAATGCCCAGTACATTGTAATCCAAACGACAGATTACCCGTTAGACCACAGTGTGGTGAAAGGAGTAGTAAGGCTGAAGCATGGAGCATGTAGTACAATCAGAGTTATGAAAGGGGATGTCACACATTATGTTTTCGGGTCTGATATGGCAAGAAGAGAACGGATCTAGTCAGTTATATTACTATCTGATCCAATGCAATCTTAGATAGCAGGAACTTGACGAGTGAAGTCATGGCTGGCGATCCACAGTCGTACCCTCTAGATGGACCCTGCCAATAACAACTGAGCCCTCATTCATAAGACTTGTCAAGACATAGGCTGTCAAAAATACAGCGGACGTGCGGCGGTATTGCAGCATAATATAGTTTGCGTAGGGCTGAGCGGATCATACCAGTAACACCAGATATCTTGTTTCATTCCATCTGCGAGACTCTGTTCGCAGTGGCTGAGATCTAGATTTAGTGGCTATCGGAGCTGCTAGTTTCTCAGACAAATACATTTGTGTTTTCCGCCGACCTTCATAATCAGTCAGAAGGCATGGTCCATAGGCTGTTGATGGGCACGCCTGACAAGGCTTACTAGAATCTGCACCTGCCACCAGGGACGCAGCATGTCATGGACGTGAACATTGCAAAGTACACCCAAAAGGTAATAACAGACCAAGCCGAGCCTCTGGTCATCTTTGCAGTATGATAGATCGACAACCGTTTGAATCAGCGAGTGGCATCAGGAGGTTGACACCCAGCTGGAGCCCAGAGACAGCGAGAATACTAGCGAGACTACGAAGTAGCTGTCAAAGAGAAGGAAAACATGCAACCCAGATAGCCCATATGTATAGAAATACATTTTTCAATGTTCAATGTTGAAAAGGCGACATGGAGGTAGTAATATTCAACATCTTGGCATCTAGGGACTACTTCGTTCCATGCAAAGTCCATCTACGGTTTCGAATGTCGTTGAGGACACGGTCTCGGCATCGCCGAAGATCATTGAAAGGGTCGTTGTCGATTGCCGAGTGCCCACAGACGCGACGCTGTCCGGGTTCCGTTGGGTCATCGTGGGAAATTCGACGGAAGTACAGTGCCTATTGTTGATTTGACACTGTGGGGCTGGCGTTGATCAAGCAGCCGAAACACAGTGAATTTTCATCTCCGAGCCCCACTGAGAAGGTTGGGTCCCCCCCTTTTCTTGAGGCTGGCCCGGTATGAAGTTGAGTCCGGGCTTCATTTGGCAGCTGATCCGGCCAGTCACAGAAGTAACAGATCCTTCGAATGATTCAGGAACGGTCTGAGCGTGCTTCTCTTTAAATACTTTGTATCGAGGGCTGTTGATTGGATGTCGGAGCTACAAATCTTTGTGCTTGCTTAGAGTCTTTGTTCTCAGACTTAGATTGGAAGGCGGCGCAGGAGAGTTGGAGTTGCAAATGGCATTTCACAATTCGATCTCAATGAGCCTGGGCCTGCCCTCTCAAGTAAAAGTATCGTAAGAGGCCGTCTCTTGTTTGCGCTGCCACTTGCCATTATCCGCAACTGCTACTATGAGCAGTGACAACTGCCATGCCAAACGCCATACCAACGAAGAGGTTTCCACGATGCCGGTATAGAAGGGGAAATATGGGTCTCAGACTCCCTTAGAGCTTCACTAGAGGTCAATTAAAATGAGATCTGATTGACGGTTGGTGTGCATGGAGGCACTAAAATTGAGGAGGGAAACCTTGGAACTCTAGAAGCCGGGAAAGGTTGAACCAACCCGAGCGAACCAGGCCAAACCCACCCACACGGACCAAGCTTTTGCTGAATGCAGCACTCTAGGCGGACTTTTCTGCCCCAATTAGCTCCTCGAAACTGCCACCGTTCTGCACCGTCCGGACAAATTAGCACGACACGGACTCTCTCTCTTGGTGCGAACATGGTAATGGGCCACTACCTGCCCATCGTTCATCGCTCACGGCGGCTTGCGTTTGCTTCTTCTAACCTTTAGCAAGCTTGTGGTCTGTGGTCCTGGTCTGTGGTCTTTGATACTCCCGATCCGATGACCGTTCTATTCGTGCTATTCTAGTCGTTGGCTCCGCCTGCCTCTTCCCTTTGTCTTTCTTGTCTCTCTCTGAAGCCGCGCCTCCCCTTGGACCTCCATCGAAGTGACGATAAGCACCCGCACCAGAAAAGGCACCGCTTTCTGCAGCGTGCTTCCCACAACGACGACGGTCCTCTGCCGTGGGCCGCTTGCACCAATACTTATAATTAGACACGATTGATTCTCCAGATAAACGGCCTAAATCGTCGCCCACACGCCCCAGTCCGAGGCATCTTCATAATTAGCAGCCACTGAGCTACTGGCCGTACCGCTTTACCCCGGAAAGTCGCCTTTTTCTCCGCCTTCATCACCGACAACGCATCTTTCTCCTCCCTCATCCGACCAACGCCTAACGCCCCCGTCGAACCCCAACTACGCCATCCTCACCGTGGATTCACTCCGGGAGCCGCATCCACCTCCCAAGGCACACAGCGGTTGGATTCTTGCTGCCGGTGTGATAGATTGGCGGCATTGCCCCCGGTGGTCGGTATGGCAACCATGTCAGCCGCGCCGGGTATGACCGCCATTACTCCCCCCAGCAGTTCACACGGAAATCAGTCTGGGTGGAAATCATACACGTTGGAGGGCCATCAGGAGGTGAGCACGTCCTCCAGGCTCCATGCATTCTTCACGGGCACCTCGCTCAATTCCTCCCTCCAACCCCTCTTCAAATAAATCTAACCCCCATTAAACTCGCGGTCCCGCCTGTGCTAACGCGGGTTGTTTGCTCTCCCTGCAGGATTCTATGCAAGACCGAAACCACGCAGACAAGGAGACCAATGGCTTCGCAAGGGATCTGACCACTCAAGATGGAAACTCGTTCCGCGACCCCTTTGCAAAACATGACGCGACGGAACCGTTCCCCGCAACCAAAGGTGCGATATCTCTCCCTGAACGTCAAACTGATCATGTTGCGATTCGGTCATAAAGCATCCTTGATACCTTCGAGCATGGAAATGGAGAATCATCTCGCTGACAGTCCCTCAGAGCAGCACCATGTGCGCAAAACATCCCACCCGGAAAACAAGCGGCCGAACACCGACACTGTTCCCCTTGATCCAACTGACGAGAACAGCAAATGGATTCACCGAGATAAGCTGGCCAGGATAGAGAGTGAAGAGCTGCAAGCCGCGGGTATCATCCTGCCCAAGCCTAGAGCCCAGAGCCGGCCGCGTAGGGAACGCAGCACGGAGAAAATGAACGGCCACAGACGAACAACAGATGCCTCGGATGGGCAGCCCCTACCGAGATCTCGCAAGAACTCAACACTTGCGCCGGTAGAAAGTACGCCTGAGATGGAGACAAACGGCTGGGATTTCCGGCTCCCTGATGAGATTGCGGAGGACCCTGGTGATTACTGGGTAAAGCCGGAGCCTACTGGAACCAAAGTCTCACGCATACCGATCCCCAAGGCCAGTCCCGTGCCGATCCCGGTCGACCATCTCGAGCGAGATACCCCACTGCCACGGAAGCAGGGTGGCTTGGTCCCAGACGAAGGGTTCTCGCTTACAATGCCCAAAGCTCGTTCCCGTAGCAGCAGCATACCTGCCCTGGAAGAAGCAACGAAAGTCCAACCTGCGAAGCGTGCCGTTACTGAGGGATCGCCAAAGAAGAAGGCGACGACGAATGGGCCACGCAAGCCATCTGCTGCTGCAAAGCAGGGTTCAACGAGGACCCGAACCGGACCCAGCAGGGACTCCGGCTGCAGCACCAACGGTGCACGCCCGAATACGAGGTCTGGCGATTTATCTCCCATATCAAAGTCGGCACCTGAGGGAGAGCCCCCCTGGATGATCTCTGCATACAAACCCGATCCACGCCTGCCTCCTGACCAACAATTACTCCCCACTGTTGCAAGGCGATTACAACAGGAGCAATGGGAGAAGGAGGGCAAATTCGGCAACATATACGACAGGGAATTCAGACCACTAAACGACGAGGGCTATCTGAGGCCGCCCGAGTTGCAGAAGCCTGCCCCTACCTCTGAAGACGACAAGGAGAAGCACGATGAATGGCCGCTTCGACCTGAGGCTAAGAGTCCCACTTCAAGTCGGCCCGGCACAAGCTCGTACTCGACGATGCCTAGGATCCAGGACAAGCCGGTTGCAAGTCCGCTCGCTAGTCCAAGATCACCACATGTACCAACAATGCCAAGCCAGATCACCAGGATACCTGACCCACCGCAAGAGTCCCGGGAAAAGGAATCTAAGAGAGGTGGTTGCGGTTGCTGCCTCGTCATGTGATCGCAACTTACTGCCGGAGCAAGCACCGCGGTTCCTGTAGGGTGATCACCGGTTCCGATTCAACAATTGTCGCAATCCCATAGTTTGCAGCGGATCAACCAGTACGTGCCAGATTGTAACGACATTACGACTCTCCTAGCTTTACTGAGCGTTTGTATTCATCCACATACCAAACACCACGATCCGTATCCCACGGGTTCCTTTTGTATGTTGTTCATATCGTGACAACAATATCTACGATCGGGCCTCGACGACTCGACCCCTTCGTCCACTCGACATACGTCGTCTTACATGTCACAGCGACTGCAGGCCCCATTCGAAGCGGCTAGACTGTTAACTCTCTTTTCGTTCAAATTGTTTATTATTCACTCATTCCATCGGGCTTCCGAAAAAGGATTATCGGCGTTCACAGGATTGGACAGATTAGGCCCCGGCGTAGCAGGGCGTACTTATCAACCCCCTATCATTTGTAAGGGGAAAGGGCGGGCACACGATCGGCGAACCGAAGTGTGGCTTGTGTATCATCTATCGTCATTGACTTCTTTCTCGTTTCGGCCACTGATTTCTAATGTTGCTGGCTTCTAGGCAGCGCAGGGAGGGTCTTGGACTTCTTGATTTTGAGTTAACAAGGGGAGGGAAAGATGTTGCGTGAACTATGATCGTGGACACGAGGTTGAGTTTCTAGACGAGACAAAAGTGCAAGCAAGTTGAGACGAAGATATTAATCAGCGTCTGGATGGTGAGACAGGTGGAGACGAGTCAGTTGCCCGTCAGCTAGGTGACTACAGATGTCCCTCCGAAGGTGCGAGACAACTTGAGAATAGAGCAAGGGAAAATATATATGATTAACACCACTTTGAACTTGATCTCCTGCTACCGTGATCAACTTGACAAGTTGTTGAGTATTCAATATGCGGAGTCGGTCACCACAAGGCCCCTGAGCAACCGGTGAAGATCAACAGAAGTACCCACAGTTCGGTCTATATCCAAATCGAGCAACGAGCAGCGTGCTCAGGGCACGGAAACCATGGCCATGCTTAATAAGAACTGTCTGGTTCGGTTAATTACGCAAGACTTACTTATTTCAGTTGAGCCAACTAGTGTACGTCTGCAAACATTGAGACCGCGAGCTTGGAGTTGCCGCAGATTGGGTTATTTATTCCTTGACATTGAGCTGCGATATCCTGTTGGTACTTTGCAATAAAGAAAGAAAACGAGAAACGCATAGCTCTCTTGTTAAGTCAAGAATGGGGCATAAAAATTAAAGGGCAAAATGTACAACCCCAGGTTACTAATCTGGCGGTTTACAATCTTACATTTGGGAATACCCGTACTAGAAAAGGAGATATTTAGCATCAGAAATGGTAGTGTGTATGCATGAGGCAACACCCCTATCAGATGCTTAAAATGGATAATCATCCGCGAGCACCGTATCAGTCCTCCTATATTCAAGAGATACTTTAAGTACCTCATCTACATCACGGTAGCGTTAGCATAATTAATGTAGAGAACCACATCCGCTTAGTTTTCGTACATGTAAGGTAGGAGTTGTGCACGTATATTTATATAGCTGCACTCACAGCATAGAAGATAAAACTACTAAGTGTACCTCCAGTGGCGACCGGCAAAGTTTTGTAGGTGATTCGAAAACGCATGCACGATGCTTGAGATGTACTTTTCTGCGTTTTCGTGCCCCTGGCTCGAATCCCTGATGTCCAGATCCATACACACTTGAACCCACATATATACAGCTTGTGACTGGATACAGCCCATAGGGCCTGTGGGGTGGGGGTTGTTCCAGGCCCGACAGAGTCGACAAACCAAATGGGATCTTCTTGACACCCACTTCTGGCGTACATGTACGTATATCCGTCTAGAATCACGTTGCCGCGCGATATAACAAGCGCTGAGACTCTAGCTGATAATGGTGAAGAGCTTGTGCCTAGTATTACCGGTGAGCGTGGGACTATGCGAAGTACATATTGTAAAATACTTGACTATTTGCACAACCCAGCTCGTGGTCCAGATGAGGCCTGCCCCGAACCTGAGACGGCCCATATACCTCTCCAGGTATGCAGATTCTTAGCGTCTTATAACCCCCACAATACTTGGTCTCTTATTTGATTTTCATGACTCTGGAGGTAACTATCCCTTGGTTTAAAAATAAGTTACGTAAAGTCTCATACAATTTGTATATGTTGATCTGTTTATGTTGATCAGTCTCTGAACATGGGGCATCTGACACGCTAACAATCATGGCTCTGGAGGTGTACCGAGTCAAAACAGTTCGATGTAAGGCCAGATCCTCTCCACACATGGATAGTTAGCCCTGGCTAGTATTCTCTTGTAGTAGGCTCGATCTGGTAATGCACATCTAGCCCATAGAGAAACTGTTGGATACGCCCTGACGCATCCAGCCGGCAGATCAGCCAGATCCCGGTCTCCACACTTCTTGATAGCTTAATCTTATACACCTTTTCCGCCGTCTCCAATGTTAGCCTGTGAAATGCCCCACCTCGAGGAACAATCGATATAGGCAAGCTTACATAATAAATCATGTAACTAAATATACTGAATTTCTGTGTGCAAGGGTTTTGGTACGTTGAAAACAGTAGAATTTGGGAGAAGAGGCTTAGTGTCATGGGACAGTGCAGACGCTAACGTGTGAGATACCGGAGGAGGTGTACATATGCTCATGTCGAGTTCACGATATTTCTACATTACCTGGCTTCACTTAAAGGGGATGATCAACAATTCACTTTTTGCCATGACCCCCTTAATCACAACATTGCCCCTGCCAGCCCCAGAGAAGAATACCGAAGCTGATTCTGAAACCCCTCAATGAATGCTTCATCGCCAAGCAGCTCATAATGACACGCTGGGGAAACCAAGCTCGATCGGACAACCTGGGGCGTGGGACCCATTGGGCATGTCGCACAGGGAACAAAACGAGATAACCTGCATTACCGAGTCGGTATGATGTATTTCAAGCTTGTTTATATGCACTCTACTCACATTATAGTCGGTTGGGTTCTCAACCTTTGGAGTAATTTGGTCGACTGCGCGAGTTGAAGGATTACTTCGATCAGTCGACGAATACGACACGGTATTACCGTCAGCCATGGTTTGGTTCCGCCAAAAGTACAAAGTAGTGTATTTGGTATGTGAAGATTGTGTTCGTGTGTTGTGTTGTCGAGAAAGGCCTGTAGAAAGGCTATTCACATCAAGAAACATTCTTTTAAATACCTGTTGCGGCATTGGCTTTTCCGTGTGAAAGTTTCTCATGTGTCTCATACATCACTTTTCTCATTTTCTCATCTTGACGATATAACCTCTTGAAGAGATTGTCTCAGTGTTTTCCCATCCCCAACACCGTCCCGAATCCAGAAAGTTCCCGTAGATTTGTCCTGGTCAAGCAGTCAAGTTATCCCAATAGATTTGCCACATTAAATTGATACCGTCAAGCGTAAATGGTCCATGAGTGAGCGCCATGAACGCGATCATCCAAATCCTTGTTATAATGCATTGTGCATCACCAGCCGTCGTGATTTGCCGGCTGAACTTGAGTGCTTGACTTTGGCCCCCTTTTTGGTGCTTGGATGAGCTTCCGAGCTTCTTTTGCCTGTCCGGAGTGAAGGTAACGGTGTCAGGCATCAGGGGCTGCTTTGAGGCTTGTCTGGGACGATAATTTGGGATACTTAGGAAATTTTTCGTCGAGAATGATACGTCTTTGATAGAGTGTTGTTTTATTGAGTGTATCATTATGGCAGGTGATATTCAAATCGTTAATGATGAGACAGGTAAGCAAGTAGACTGTGATGTGGCGGTTTTACGAACCAGCAGTTGTCAGTGATGAAGCGACTCAATCTCAAAGTTTCGGCGTGAATAATGTATGGTATAATAAGACAATACTACCTTTTCTTATATCTGACCTGTTGCCATGGGAAGGCATTCGCAGCTCACCTTGAGCAACTTTCAGATATGAGACGAAATGTGCAAGCTACTGTTCGGCACTTTTGAGAAATGCTCATACAAGCTCACCGTGGCAGATATGCTTATGGACTCTCACATCTTGGAACTTTTGACATGATCAATGCCCATACGTGACTCTAGGAACCCATTACGAACTCATTACGAACTTGTGTGATCGAGGCTGATCAGGATCTATGTTCATCTGGAAATCCCGAGCTGTTCCTCTATTGGAAGGGAACTTTTGGGTGTGTAGCGCTGCAGGGAGCTATAAGCCAAGATGAGATTGCGTGGTGCAACCTCATCGGACGTATTGCAAGCTATGACAAAGTATAGAATTGAGATGCGTCGCTGATCTCCCCAAGTCCAAAGGAGTGAGTGAAGGTGGCCAAAAGGGCCTAAGTACGAAGTGAGCCTTTTGGCTGCACACTCGAGTCAGTTGCTAGTACACCAGAGGTTTCGCCGCTGAAGTTCTATCAGTTAGCTGTTGCCAAGGGCTTGGTGCGCAAGGGTCTATCCATCATCGGTCGATTGGCTGTAGTAAAGTAAAACGGAAAACCCCGTCGTTGGAATTCGAAGTCTGGTACGGTCCGATAAATCTGCTCGCGGCCACAGCAACATGCGCACATGATTTTTAAGTATCGTTTCCCACCGCAAGACTTCGATCAGGGTCGAAGAAAGCAACGTGATCTTGAGCGTATGACCGCTCATCAACGCTCAATGCGCAAAATGTCGCGACAAAGTACTCTGACCCCGGTAAAAGTGGGGTGGCAAGTACTTCGTGATGCATGGAAATTTTGTAGCGAATAGGAGAATCTGCAACGAGACGCCAAGAGCGTTATTCCCTGTAATACAGCTGGCGACCCAGACGGCTGGGAATCTCTAGCCCTTGGACGAGAGATAGTTTGATTTTCATGCGAGAAACTTTTGTGTAGACGTCGTTTCCGCTTGAACACCGCTTGAACGGCTGCAGCTTTGTGTATACCGGCAAATCCGTCCACACACATGGCTGATCTGCCCGGAAGACTTGGGAAGTTGCCCTCGCCGTTTGCTCTGCACTCGGCACATGCGTCTCATTGGGATAATCTTGAGCGAGCACCCGTCGTACAGCCTCATGCCGAACCTGTAAGGCATACACGACAGCATAGCGCCGAGGAGTGGGAGGCTATGTACCCGCTCATCAAGCGGCTGTACGTCACGGAGCATCGCAGGCTCTGCGAGGTCATGGATATCATGGAGCAGAAGCATGGTTTCATAGCCACGTGAGTGAAGCGGTTTCTGGCAGCGTAATGGCGTGGCACCAGATCAAGCCGGTGTACGGCTAACAGTTGTGCAGGAAACAAATGTACAAGAAGCGGTTCACAGCCTGGAGCTTGTACAAAAACTACCGGCAGTTCTCAGAAACGAAATCAGATAAACAGCGCGTGGGACGTGGCAGCAGAAGCTCGGTGTCTTCTGCGAAGGATAGGAGGTCCCGAGGATCCAATGCGCACCCGATCCACATCCCAGCCAAACCTTTCGGGGACGGCCCGGCAGAAGGCATAATCACCAGCTTGGTCGAATGGACGAGTGCACAGCTGGCCGGAACGCAGTGGCACAATGGGGTGGTGGACGTCAAACCACCACAGATATATCCCAGCAGTCGATGTTATCGAGATTTTTCGCTTGCCTCCGCGCTCTGGAAACGCGGCAATGGCCACTTGGCAGGCATGGCAGTGCGCAAGGCGTTCCGGCGAGTAGAGGACATTCGAGACTTCGACCCAGGTATTATACGAAACATCGTTGATATCATTCTCGACATGCTCCAATCCAAGCAAACACTTCTGATCAGGATGCTTCTGGTACACTATGCCAAGTTATCTTCGAGGATGCTCCCACGTGGACACCCGCTGGCTCGGTTTTTCCAGTATCTGGCACTGTCCGAAGGCAATCTCATCAACACACTGAAGCATACGACATTCTGCTTTGGACATATCGCGAATAGGAGGACGCGCCTTGAGCAAAAATGGCTGTACGAGCAATGGGCCTGGGACACTAGCATTCTGGATATGGATACCGAGTTAGGAACCGACCACTTCCGGCTAAAAGAAGTGTTGCGACTCCTGATGTACAAGGTACGGCCCAAAGAGGTGGAGGGAAAGTTCCCACGCACCCATCTCAATATGTGCAAAGACACGAGTTTGATGTGGGATTTTAGTGTTGGGCAGAACTGGCCGGGAGAACTCCTGAGCACGATTGCAGGCCAGACTTGTGCTCCGACTGAAGGGAGCACCGCGACGACATATACACAGTCAACAATGGACGAGATGTCAGAGGCATATGTACAGATATACGCCAGGAAAGCAAAGGCGCAACAAGCATTTGATGAAGGTGACTGGGCATCAGCCGAAGCTAGTATGACCTCGGCGATTCGAATTTTGGAGACGGTACATGGAGACATGAGCCCGCGCGTCATCAGGGAGCTCTGGTCATTGGAGAAGGTGCTGCGCAAAGCTGGTCAAGCCAGAAAGGCTGAGACGGTGGGACGAGTCGCTATTAGCCGTGTTGAGGAGTACCTGTCAGATATCGAACAGGTTGAAGTTCCTACCGCAGTTCGACCGGCAGCGGTGGCCAAGGCTCAGCCAATTCCGGTTGAGAATGAGTGCGAGTACGAAGTGCGCACAAATTGTTCTGCCCGTTAACAATATAGGGTGTGATGAAGTAATTATATTGAGACCTGCCAATTAAGTAATGATTGCTGGGCGACATAATGAGCGCAGCAAAATCTGCCCAAGCAAAGGGAAAATAGCAGCCATGATTGAGACCATCGAGGTTCGTCCGAATCTAGTTTAGCGCACTCGCTGGTCAAACACGCGTGGCTAAAGCTCAAGCCACAAATTCATGTAGACGTGGAAGCCTGCTCAATTCATGCGCAGCGCGTCATTGTAGGAAGGCGCGAGCTGAAGCTAATAAGCACCGATGTCCAGATGCACAAGGTCCAAGCAGTTTCAGTGTCGCACATACCTATGTCTTCAATAAGTATGCGTCAGCCGCCGCGTCTGAAGTTTAAGAACGCATTCCAATTGTAAAGTCATCTCGCGGTTTCATCCTAGGAAGTCTGATAGCTATAAGTCTACCCTGGAACGACGACCGATAGCAACCATAATGGGCGTCAACACCAACAGCATGTCAAAACCCGAGTCCCAAGCCAAGGGCGTCATTGCTTTCGGGCAGCAGCAAATAGATCGCGTCATTGCCCCCTCTACGCGCCAGAAGGCGTACAGTGCTACCGCTGATTTTGCGACTGAGAAGCCCGTGGTATTCGTACGTTTGCCCCCTTTCCCAAAGGCACGGGGTTCAATAGCGCATGTCTTTGCTAACATATAGCCTTCAAGGCCTTTCTCGCATCGCAGGTCCTCTTCTCCTTCGTTCCTCTTCTCCTCTTCACCTGCTTCGCCCTCTCCACCGTTGTTTTCGCCCTCGTGTCCGCCGTCATCTTCTCGCTCTTCTGGATCGGCGTCGCTATGCTCGTCTTAGTTCCGACCCTCTTCGTGACCTTCAGTGTCGGTGTACTCGTGTGGTTATGGGTCGTTGCCACGCTCCTGGTCGGACGCTGGGTCTATAACATGATACCGGTTAACGCGCGCGGGGACGACATGGCGGTTCAGTTGCCGAACGGCAAGCAAACCATCTACCAGGATGAGGACCAGGTCAATGGCCACGGCCATGAGTCCGATCACGGCGATGTCAAGTCCGAGACCACCGAGATCAAAGAGTAGGTCGCCGACAAGGTCATACTGCTGATCGTAAGACTTGGTTGGTGCCACGGGCTAGGAGGGGGCCAAGAGATTGTTCGCTTACTGGCGCAGGTGGTGGTAATAGGTTGCTTGATTGGCTTATGGGATGGGTACTCGGCGTTAAAAGAAACATATATACCCGTGTTGAACTTCTTGGGGTACTTCGACGGTTGCTGGAAAGGACTATTTGCAGGAATACTTGACCACAAGTCGTCCCTGCTCTCTCAATGCCCTCTGCTGACCAGTGCACCCAAAACGGAAACAGTCACATGCGCGTCAACCAGACTGCTTCAGTCGACATGGAAGCAGCCTGGTTACTACTAGCGTCTACCACATGGACATGCGACCGTCTCAGACATTGGACGGTGTAGCATCACTCGAGGTCTGCATTGGAAAAGATCCATGTTTATACTGCCCAGAACCGTCGACGTAAAGACCAGTGTTCCATGTGGCGATATTCAGCTACTGCTGATGCATTCGACAGTGACGGGCCCGTTTATTACTGATCAACAGCCATCCGCGGGGGGAAAACTTGTTTGCAGCATACAGGGACTTGAGCATTCAATCCGAGGTGTATTATCAACGCTAATGCCAGAACCCTCTTCGTACTTGCCGGGGATCTATGCGGGTACTCACCAGCGGCTATGAAGTATACCCGTGCACCATTAGAAATCCCGGGAAGGTGGCACGGATGCCGCAAGCATATTCTTAGATACTTACGAGCTCGGGGCTTAACCGGATGACCATATTATGTGTTTCCGGGTAATTGAAAATTTTGGTGGAAGTGGTTGCAGTCCACATACATCATATCGACGCTCGAGATGTTGAAGGAGCTGCAGGAACACAGAGTTCTCCAAGCTTTGACGAACAATCGCATGAGTGTATAATAGTTGAGCAAGAAGACAGACGAGCTGCTCATAGGTTAGTTATAGCATGGCTCTCTTAGAACCCCCTGCTGATTCATACAGTTCCGATCATCAGAATAGTCACCATGTTGGGCTTGCCGACGAGACTGAATCAAGCCAGTACGTAGCGAACGAGACGACACATTTCTGCGTCAAGTAGGGAATCGTCGGCGACGTCAAGTATTAGCAAGTCGAAAAAATGGCTGCCACGAGTTTCATTGATGCTGAGCACCCCAGCACCGACATTGTCATGCGAATTTGCGGTGACATGGGCCCTTTGACCCGAGAGAGTGTCTTGGCTGACACCAAACCCCATACGCACATCTTCGGGAAGCCAATGTTCCCTTACATGATGGAGCACCGGGAATATGGCTAAGCATTTGAGGACGTCATGACCACCCGTCGAGCTGCCACGTGGGATATTTGCGTCGAAAACTCGCCAAAGAGAAGACCAACGGCCTCTGAAGTGAAGGACGTGTAGGACCAACCTCATATTATTCAAAAACTTGAGCTTCGAGAAAATGGCTTACGACTCCTTTACACCGCAGCCCATCAGGGGAGCGAGACTACTACTTCAAGCAGATTTTGCAGAACTGGGGAGACGAGGAGGGGGTGCAGATCTTGAAGAAGACATATTCGACATTGCTGATCTATGATTATGTGCAGCCAGGAAAGAGTGGGCCTTCACGATGTTGGTCCTTCTCGGGGGATACGAACGAACAGAGGCGCGATGGAGCCCGTTGATCAAGGCCTCCGGGCTTAAGATAATCAAGATTCGGCATGCTGATGAAACGAACGAAGGCTGCGAGGCCGTCATAAAGTGTGAGAAGCTGTAGTTACGTTGCCTCGATCTTGTCCACTTTTGCTCCGCGGCGATCGAACGTGTCTTCAATCGTAAAGGAAGCAGATATGGGTAGGCAACGAATAATGAACTACATTGTACCAGCACATGGACATGTGGAACAAGGAAGTTCCGCGAAAAGGAGGTGAACTTACCAACAGTTGTGTCTGCCTAAAACAAGATTCAAATGCACCGCGAGGAACAAACACGAGCTCGATCACATCTCACGAATCAATTGTCCTCTCCGAGAACCTAACCCAGTAGCACTGCCAGCAAGGCTAGACTAGCCTCCCGCTGTACCGGCTCTAGCAGGTCGCGGAGAGAACACAGAATGGAGACGGCCTGGATGGGCTGCTTCGATCGTGCCGCCGTTCCTGGGTGGAGTGGAAAGATGCCTAGAAGTTAGGCAACCACCCAGTCACTTTCAATCACGTAAATAACTTACCGTGTTCCGGACCCTTGTTTTCCAGAAAATCACGCCCCAATCTCGAACTTGCTGTGAGTATTTGGTTGCTTAACTTATTATCCCATCACTATCTCCATCTTACCTGTGTGCAGCAGAGGCATAGGACCATTGAATACGATGCTGCATCAACTAATGAAATCGGTGCGACGCCGTGGTGCACTATACATTTACTGAGCAAACTGCAGGGATCCGGTCCGATAGGCAAGATGTCGTCGCAGGAGCCGCGGTGACTGCCGGAGGGGGGGATTGTTGTGGTTTTGCTGTCTCCGTCCTAAGGTAAACTGTTGCTAAGCATATGCCCCATCAATTTCCTGCCAGGGGCGTCAAGCATCACCTTCCATTGGCCGACGTGCAACACGACCGGCCACACCAAACGTACTTGTTCAATGGCAGGCGTGAATGCCGCGTTTGCTATCGAGGATAGCAAGGACCTCCAACGGTCAGGGCCCAGGAGGCGCTCCAGTTTAAACCTGCGAAGCTCACCCTTGTCATAATGTGGGCTCTATCTATTGATCTAGCCATCTTCACGTGTGGGTACTACTTTCCGACCAACAGTTCAAGATATAAAAAGACTATCTTCATGTACAACTAGAGATCTAGCCGGATACATATTGCTACGATAATGCCACGGGTCAGTTTACAGCAGCAGTATCTCGTTGCGGTTATCGCTGCAACTCTGTCTTGGTGAGTGGTTTATGTAATGTTACTCAGAATTTAGACTTCTAAGTCAGGCTTGACTATCTTGAATATCAAAATCCACAGATCGAATAATTCTTACATAGTATTGATCAAGTCGCTTGGTTACTTGTGCACCCCGAGAACTCGCACAAGGAAGAGGCGACAAACCGCAGCTCAGCTGTCGAATGCCGAGTATGAGGGGCTGCATTTGCCCTACGAAGGGGCTTGGGGAAAGCCTGCTGGTTTGGTTAGAGTGATCCTCGCAAATAACCAGATTTTGCGAGATAATAAAAGCAACCAACTAATGTGGTGACGATGGAAACAGTGCATTACGCAGACGGTGCCTTTTTTATGCGGGCGCTCATGTCTCACAACAAGGATGGGATAAGGATTTAGTGACCAGGCAGCTGCATGCGACAATGCGTCGGTAGCTTGGCGTATTAACACTGTCGACCGTCGATTATAGTCTTGCTCGTTTAAAACAGTTATGCATGCTACCAAAGATTAGTGCCATGCAGTCACATGCAAAAGTGCGCAGTGTTGCTTCTGTTGCCTCTGTTGCCTCGTTAGGGTGAAGTCTTTCACCTTTCTTTGTGAGCCCGCACCTCTTAATTGCAACCCCCCAATGCACTCGAAATGGCAGCGCAAAACTCCACCACGTACTATCAGTCGCTCCTAGCGCCGTCCTCGCTCCTCATTCTCGCAACATTACTTGCTTTTCTCTACGTGGCATACCTGCGTGCCCTACCAAAGCCCCTCGCTGGGATCCCTTACAATGAGGATTCAGCGAAGCGAATCTGGGGCGATATGCCCATCTTCAGAGAGATGGAAAAGGCGGGAATACGCCCGAGGTTATTTTGGTCGCAGCTGGCCCAAAGGCTCCAGTCGCCGGTGACGCAATTCTTCATGGGACCTTTTTACAAGCCCATGGTAGTGCTGGCAGATTGGCGCGAAGCGCAGGATTTGCTGCTTCGACGTTCCAAGAACCTCGAACGCGGCACCATCAACAACTCCATCTGGAGTCCGGTCGCCCCCGAGCACTTTATCTCCATGAATAGTTCCGACCCGCGCTACAAGTCGGCGAGAGATCTCGGCAGAGACTTGATGACACCGACCTTTTTGAACACTGTCAGTCTGCCGATGATGAGTCAAGACGCCGGGGTTTTAACGCTTACATTCGTAGGTCTCTGCCCCTGAGATATACGACAAAACGTCTAAATTCATCGAATTATGGGATTTCAAAGCCCGCGTTGCCGAAGGCAGACCCTTCGAGGCGGCTGAAGACCTCAACTTTCTCACTAATGATATCATCCTGGCTGCCGCTCTGGGCCTCGATGACAGTCTTAGCGATACGACACAACAGCTCGCAGGCTTACGTGCAAAGGCCATGCCCAAACCCCCTTGTTCATCGGATGCCTGCTTTCCGTTTCCGGTCATGCAGGGATCCGAGGCATTGTGGACGAGCAAAACGCTTACAGAGGGAGTCGGCCGTTCCGCCACGCAGCCATCTCCCCGGCTCTATCATTTTTTCAACAACCTCACGCCCCAAGTCCGCAAGGCATATAAGGCAAAGGACAAGATACTACGAACAGCGATCAATGGCGCGGCTCAACGCGTGGAGAAAGGAGAGATAAACGTCAGGAATGCCGTGGATCTGATGGTTTCCCGTGAGATCACCGCGGCTAGAAAAGCGGGCCAAAGCCCTGAGCTCAACTCATTGCGCATGCACGACCAACTCTTCGGGTATATCCTTGGAGGCCAAGACACAAGCCACAGCGTCCTCACATTCCTGGTAAAGTGGCTCGGTGCTAGACAGAATGAACAGAAGGCCCTTCGAGACAACCTGAGATCGATGCATTCCACAGCTTGCAATGCTGGTGAGTAACTCTCAGAGTCCTCATTTCACTTCTTTGTCATGTCTCAGAGGTAATAGACCCTGTAAACAGCCGTCTTAACCCCAAATACACAACTTCACCCTTCTGAGATAAGATACTAGTGGCAATCACTAATGCTTGGAGTTGGTAGGTCGACCGCCTACGACGGAGGAGATTATCAAAACGCAAGTCCCCTACCTAGACGCGTTCATTGAAGAAGTCATCAGGATGAGTGCCCCTATCATCGTTGTAACAACCGTTGCGACCGCAGATATGATATTATTGGGCCACTTCATTCCCAAGGACACGGTGATCTGGAGCCTCATATCCGGGCCAACAACCACCGAGCCAGGGTTCAAGATTCCCGAGGCCGAGCGCAGTGAGAGCTCGCAGAAGCACAACGAAGGGATTGCAGATTGGGCCGATAGTGCCTACGCGCCTGACGAGTTCCATCCGGAGCGCTGGCTGAAGAAACGTGACGAGACGGGCGAGATGTCGTTTGACTCCAAGGCTGGTCCGTTCCTGGGCTTCAGTAGTGGCCCAAGGGCTTGTTGGGGTAAACGGCTTGCTTATCTGGAGTTGAGGATTGTGATCACGCTGCTGACGTGGAACTTTGAATTCCTCCCCTTGCCGGACGAGATGAATGGGTTTGAGGCATACGATTTGCTGTTAGCGAAGCCTAAGTCGTGTTTTGTGCGGCTGAAGAGTAATCTCAAGGATTAAGGAATCCGTGTCCGATATATGAGCACTTTGGTATTTTGGACTAGGGTAAGCCAGAACATGAGTGTGCCTTTATGCGACTTTTTCTTTTACTAGCTCCATGTCGAGATAGCTTCTTTATTAGACCGGAGTTGTGGTACAAGAAAGCGTGTTCTAAGGCTAGCAAAACTGGCTCCTTGAGTAGGTTGGAGTGGGTAATAGTTGCAACTTGTTAATTCCAAGCTTCACCAGCGGGATTGGTGGTGTGTGATATTTTAATCCATTATATGAAACCAAGACCATAGACTGAGTCTCGATATGCTGGCTAAGAAACAACAGAAGAGCTGAACAAACACCTTTATTTTCTTCGAAGTTCAATGGTAAAATCGCCGACTAAGAATAGTGAGATCGAAATTTTGGAAGTTACTGTAGGTTCTTTCCACATATATGGATATAAAGATAATAGCGTTCTTGCTGGAAATATAAGAGGCTATTACCCGTAACATTGAAAATACGATCTACTATCTAACTCTGTTGATACGAAAAGGTAGGGGGACCCACTGGTTAGGTGAATCCCATTCAATTAGAGACTATAACGTTGCGCACTGCTGCATTATAGCATCCTCCCCTCTAGATGCACGCATCATCTGTATTTCAGAGTACGGGCCCCTAGAAAGCATTATAAGAGTTCTAGCGAGGCAGCATACTAGTATAAGGGGTTTATTGTAATATGATGTTAAAAGGACAGCTTTAACGCTTCTTTATATTAAGATTAATCGATACGGGGTACTCTAGCACCTGAAACCCTGTAGAATATTGCATCCTTCCTCTATTCTCCCTTAACTGACTCGCTGAACTCATCTTTCGAAATGACATGATATCCAGGTATTAAAGTAGGCGAGGAAGAAAACGTCAAGTTTATGTGTCTATTCTTTGGCTCTAATTTAATCCGCCTCCGTAGCTGCGTGTTAATCCTTCTAAGTTAAAGGTCGAAGCCGACTTATAACTCGTAGATGCCTGAATGGCTCTAAATGAGGCAGAGAGCGCTATTTTGATTAGCATTGTGCCGATCCCTGAATATTAACTGAAATATGGTTATTTAACTGAATAAAGGTCTGTTTTGGTCGAGGATCTGTTGCCTTACTACAAATTTTGTCGTTCCTTTGGCGTAAACTCTTGTCAGCCTGAGCCCCGTCGAAAGAATCCTCTGAAGCTTACTTGAATTGAACGCCGGTGATATTCGATTTACACACTCGGTATATCCGTTCGTACTTAGGGCACCACCTTAAGTCGCAGTACTGGAAGTGACCGTAAGAATATTCGACCTCTAGGGTTTGTCTCGTAAGTAGAGGGGCAGTGTCTATATCATATATAAGTGTAATTACATTTTATTATAGCCGTACAAAGTGCAGGCTCTAGTCAGGCGAGGGACTAAAATAAAGCAAAAAATAACGATATCGTATCGATTTTATCTGCAATATTAGCAAAGTGGTTGAGGGGATACCAATCTGTTTTGTTGTTAATGATGGTATTATTGAGTATCTGAACGCTATGAACATATCTAGGTACTATAAAGCCGTCCCGTTTTAGTCTATTAAGAGAAGATCGAGGCCTGCAAGTTGGTTGATGCGATGTGGTCCTTCTAATGTTAACCTGCAGGCTAAGATATAATTAGGACTGATTTCTCTGACCTCTTCAGGGATAGACCATGATGAGATAGCTATTGAACGTAACATTCTGCTAGAATAAAAGAACGAATAGCGGCGCAGATGATAATTTTAGGGGGGAATTCCATTTTCTGTCTTTAGTGGTCGAGGTTTAGTTTAACCCTAAATACTTTCTCGTGAAATATATTAAGTATTGTCTTCGTCATGGCTGCTCTTAGTATTCCTCTAGTTATGTTCGTAGCTACTACTAGACTTAGGTCGACCCTGAAACTTATCATAGGCAGCACGCTGTTCCCTATAGTTATGATAACATAGGTTCTGAGTACTTGGTACTTCTACCGGATTATAAACTAAGGAGCATGGTTTTCGACCAGGGTATTAACTTCGGGTTCCTAATAACAATAGTGAACCAAATGGCTACCCTGTCCCTGGGTATATCACAGCACGTACCAACAGTCCATGGGACTAAGCCCCCAAGGCACGCGAGGCACACGCAGGCTCAGCCTCTTTTCATACTGCGTTGTAGAAAGCCTAGCCACTGACGCGTGACAGTAACAACAGCCAGCCTATTAGTACCCTGATGATGACATACAATCGTGTCTAAACAAGGCAAGTGGACGTTATCAAAACCCGCGGCCTTAAGCTATTATAGTGTGACGGGCTCACTGCGAAACTATACAGCTCAACATGGCCAAATACTGTTAATTATCTAACTGAGGAGGAAAGTAAAATAAGTGAGTTTTCCGAGAACACAAACCATGTTTTTATATGCCCTCGATGGTTCCTTTGGTGGATCCGGACGCAAGGTTCTTGCAGTTCCGGATCCCATTTCAGGCACAGCCTGTCACATATTGCTATTATTAGTAGTAGGCAGCACGATTATGTGACGTGTAATAGGAAGCCGAGCCTGCATATCACTTCTGCATGCCTTTCGAGGGTCGATTAGGGCATATAGGTATGATATACGATCTACGGCGTAGCAGTATATACGGTTTCTCGGTCTTAGTCTTCCATTACCCTCCCAAGTCCTACTATATACAAGCCCCCGTGGTATTAACCTCACCTTTTTTCACCTTACTGCAAGGCTGAAAGGTATAGGCTGGAGTAAGTTACGGCGAGAAGGGGAGCTACCTAGTGAACCAATACCGAATAGCCATAGTTATAGCAGACCTGTATGCACGTTCTCGGCGAAGGGGAATCAGTAATTCGGCTCAAGTTTTCTCCCCTTTTAGATACCTCGCGCAATACACGATCCCTTACGCATGTCGAAGTGATATACTAGGCTTTGCTTCTATTTTTCCTTCTCTTTTTGTTCTTTTGTTGTAGACACTTATTATTATTCAAACAAGACGTCAATATGCTCAATATCGCGAAGCATGTCACCTCTTGGTTCCCATCATCAGAGACCGCTAAGGGATACTGAGAATTGACCGAAACGAAAAGCCCCGTGATGAGCAGTATACCATATACAGAAGGCAGCAAATTCCATTACGTGCAAATAAAGTCGATGGGTTACCAGGGGCTAGACCTTGCAGGAAATCATTGCCTCGGAAGACATCATGACCTAGAAGGTACCAAATCAATAGTATGATACTAGCCTACTAAGATCGTCGAATCGTCCCCTGTAGTAAACTAACATAATGTATTTATCTGACTTGAGTATTGCGTTTATTCTATTATATTTTGGTATGTACTACAATCTTGGGCCTAGTACAGTTATCTCTAATGTTGTTCTTGAATTTCATCATGATATTCAGGTCAACCTTCTTGTGAAAAGACAATGAAGATGATATAATTCATGCCTATGTTATTTTTCCAGCTCTGCAACCAGGTCATGGATGTCGGAGAGAGCATCTGGGGGTGTATTCTGAACTGGATCATTTTCTATCGAGATGATGGACAAGGATGGGGCTGCGGTGTAGCCGTTGCAGACGGGGATGGATGGGTTGAGAGGTTATTAGTGAGGTTTTGTGTAGGCACAAAGGGGTGATGAGGAAGATAACAGGTCATACGAAACGAGAAACTGGTGTAAGCGTAGCTTTATGAGATATAAGGATCTAGGTAACTCTGAAGAAATACATATAATAAGAGTATTAAAGATCTATGAGACCCGGGGTTTTGCCCGCGTAGCCCCATCGGCGACTATATATACATATATATATATATGATTCGCACCATTCGCTTACATCAGCGTGGGTATCTCGATGCGTAGGGAAATGTTAGTGATTTAGTCAATTAAGAGCTTGTTTACCAAGTCGGGTAGAACAAGTTGTATTGAGTTATGGGGGGACTGTTAGAGGGGCCTCCTTGTTGTAGTGTTTTGGACACTGCGAATGAGAACGATGCGCAACAAGGTTTTGTGTCGATTCTAAACGGTAAGTATTGTTCCATTATCCATTCAGATCTACCTTCTCCAGCCTTCACCGCACTTACCTATGAAGAAATTCCTCGCCTGCTCGATCTGATCGGCCGGGAGGTCATTCCTATAGCGGTGCTTCCAGTGACAGAAGAACCACATGGCCGTTTGTGGGCATTGATTACAATAGTTTTGCCTGGGGCTCTCTCGCCCACCTTGTTCACCTTGATTCGCGGCGATCTAGACATATTTATGAGATCTTGGGTGAGTTCCAAATGATCTCCGTAGTACTTATCAAGGCCGTCAACGAAGAAGCAGAATGCAACAGGTAGACCCCGTTAGTCTGCTATCTGCTGTATAAGTTTACTGAGTCTCGGTAAGGTCCAGTCTATATCTGTCTCTCCCACGTCAGAACCGATGGACTCATTTGTATTACAAACGCGGTCTATGAGAACCGGAAGTTGGCAGAAGACATCGAAGATCAGGCTTTGAAATAGACAGTAGACCTTTTCGTGATTTCTGTAGGTCTGTACCAGATATCCAGAAGTAATGGCTAGAAACGACGAGTTTCCTTGGCTTTGCCCACTCGCGTAAGATTGCATGTGTCTTTGGTGCGTCCGCGATGTACTTCATGAGCGTTGATTTTCCTGAGCCTGGCTTCCCAGAAATCCAAAAAGTCTGTGAATCGTCATGCAACCAGGCGCTCAGCCGACCTTCGGCAGTGTGCCGGTCTTCGTTGTGCATACAAGTGTAGGTTAGTATAGTTAGCATGGAAATATATCAAATTAAAGTTTACAACAGCCAGCAAGGGAAAACTTTATCAAGACTGAATAAGAATCTCCTACGAAATGTACGAGGGACTTGACCAATTCATACGTCACCGCTGCCCATAGTCTCCGGGTATTCTTCGTGGTTCAATGTTTTCCATTTCCAAGAGTTGTTCAGCCGTTTCATGACTACTTCTGGACATCTCAATTCGAATCTGACTTCAAATACACACATGCTGCATAGGTGTAGCTACGCCAACTGCAACTCATCGGACCCGGGGACATCCTCAGGAGAAGTTGCAGTAATGAAACTGCAGTAATGTGCCCTAAATAGATCCGGATCCGATGAAAACTAGTCCACTTCAAATAGCGAGGCTATCATCTGACTGTGTATTTGGGTGCCAACCGCGCTTAAGCGGGGGGACCCCGCGTATCACGAGGCGCTACAGCATCTGACTGACTCGAGGGATTCAACAGTAATGAATCTCAAAAGGACTTGTTGAATAGATCCTTTTCTTCCACTCCTTATGGAGAGCAGTGATCAGGTATTCATCATCCGTAAGCCGACAATTTCATTTCTTCGAACTCGCCAGTTTTTCCAAGGCCATGGACATGAAGCTGGAGCCATACGCCATTTTCAACGACGCCTTCGGCACACAGCCAACAGCAGGCCACTATACCACCTTCTGGCCGTTTCCTCGTCTGCCTGCCGAGCTGAGGACGCAAATCTGGACCGAATGCATACCTGCGCGCCGTTTCATACGCGTTCTTCTGGATAATGACAGAGTCGAGGTGTTCCCAGAGCTGTATACTACCAAAAATGAGCTCGGCAATGTTATCAGCGGCTGGCCTTATCGTGTACGAGCAGCCGGATCGAAAGAGTGGTCGCCTGATACCTTGGCCAGGGTCAATCGGGAGGCCAGCAATGTATTTCGCCGTATTTGCCGGGTAAGAATCCCTCTCCCGGTCAAAGGAGGCGATGGGAGCATTAAATCACTTTATATCAATCCGGAGAGTGATATCGTATGGGCTGTCTGCGATTCAAGTAGTCGCGGCGATATCCTACTCGTCTCTTTTCTCCACGATTTAGTAGCCTGTGATCCCAAAGGCATCGGCGTCACTCACCTAGCCATCGGGGGTACAACCTTAAACGACCAGTCCAGATTGGCAGAACTTGATCCGAGTTGTCTTCCGCTACCGGCTCGACAGTCTATCTCGAAAATCCTTTCATCGAGCCTGCAGACGTTTTCCCCAGTCATTTCGCCGAACATGGAGGCTCGTTCTATGATGGGCTACATGAGCTGACCCCGCGCCCAGTTTCATCACAATAGATCTGTGCCAACCCCTACCCCGTACACAGTCCTACCTATTTAGACCGCAACCCTCGACCCATCAAGGCCGATTTGACACAAGTCGCTGTCAGTACGGATCCGCGTCGGAACGTTTTCTTATGGAACCGCTTCAAGGCCAACTTCGGGGTAGGACGACAGATAGATGTGCGTTATATCCTTACTGCTATGCCTTCCACCCAGTCCGCAATACTCGGCCATGCAGGTTTTGTCGAAGTACTGCAGAGGGACGACGAGATCTGGGCCGACTGGACGGCCAAACTGGGCCAACAGGTGTGGGGAGAACGGATGGACCAGGAGGAATACGAGGCACAGCGCATTTCTCTTCCGCAAGCAGCTAGGTTTTGGAGCTTTCCCCAAGAGGCGTTCGGAGACGTGCCTGATATCGACGAGATAGACTTCATGGGCACGGCCGCATGGGAGCCAAAGATGGTGAAGGATCTCTCTGGGTTTCATCCTGGAATCGGGGTCTTCAACCTGCCTTGAATGATGCACAGAACAAACCAGCAAGATGAGGCCCCAGACTGTCTGGAAGAATGTCGCAATCGTGACGCCATGGAGCTGGCAGAAAGACGGGATCACTGCGACGAGGGTGGGGTCAAGGTTGATGTTGAGAAACTTCTGTTCTCGACCCTGGGAACGACGCCGGAGGGTTCGATCATCCTCAGGTGAAGCGGCGAATGAGTGAGAAGAGGAGGCGATGAGCTTGCGCCAATACTTAACAGAGCCCCAGGTATTCTGCCTTGTGAGCCAAGCAACATAGTCGCCGAAGTACGGTCTCGAATCTTGCTTGGTAGTGAGTCGCCCGCGATACGCGCTAGCCAGGTCTCGAAACAGGACCGATACGGACATGTCGTCCACGAGCGCGTGGCTAATCTAAAGCTTTCAGGCGGTATTCTGGCCATTGAGCGTGGTAAAAAGGGTGAAGCGATGATGGGGTCGGTTGTCCAAAGTGCTGTGGACATAATAGTCCAGCGATTTCTGACTCTGGATGTGGCAACAAGGTCGTTCTCATCGGTACAGACGACGATGGGAACGTCGGCAGAATACGACTGGAGGACTACTTTTTCATGTCGACCAGCCCTCAAGGAGCTGGGAACAAAGACTGTGCGTAAGAAGGCATGATGGTCGACCACTTTCTTCCACGCTTCTTGCAGTAGCCCCAGATGAACAGTGCCGTTGAATGGCGCTGCCCGTCCGGCTAGAATCTGATGGCAGACGTTGACTTCGCAGAGACCACATCCTTGATTCTCTTGGGCGAGAATCATGTGTTATTGAAGAGGCACACAGGGGAAAATATCTTCCACATTGTCCATGGAGATGCCCCCAGCTGCGAGACTCTGTTCAAGACTGACAAGCTTTCCTTCATCCAAATTGGGAAGCAAAGGGAAGTCGCTCACCATGTGCTGCTGGTTCATAGACTCTAGAGCTTCGGTGGCACGGGTAATGGTGTTCTCGAAAACAGACGGCCACTGTTTTAACTTGTCCTGATGGCGCATTTATCGATTTTAGGTAAAGCTGATACGAGCTTGACCATCATTGACAACGACACTTACGCCAATAAGTGTTACCTTGCTTCATACCTAGGGATTCATACTAGCTGTAAATACCGTTACAGAAAATAAAGAGGATAGAGATTAATAAACTACTTTAGACCCCCCTACCTGTATTCCTAGTAATGGCCAAAAATATACCTAAGACTTCTTTTTAAAGCTTAGAGCTAATAAAGATTTCCTAAAACTTTAGAATATTAATAAGAAAATACTAACGTGAATGTACACCGAGCTGGCCACTTTCATGCGCCAACGCGACCGGCCAACTTAATGTTTGATTTTCTCAACAACCAATTATGGCAAAGTCATACAACGAAGCAGACTTAATGCTAGCCCTTCAAGCTCTCAAAAATGACCAAAAACTTAGTCTCCGACAAGCGGCAAAAACGTACCAAGTCCCCCGAAGCACCCTCCAAACGCGTAAAAACGCGCCCGAGGCGCTGTGGTATTTGCAACGGGACTGGGCATAATGCGCGAACTTGTAACATCGCATTGCCATCTTCTGGAGAGGAAGATTCAGAGTAGTTTCAATTGATTTACCGCGTTGTGGTTTTACTATCGTAAAATTTCTATGCGAGGTTATGTAAGGGTGGCCAGCTCGGTGTACATTCACGTTACTGAAAGACGTAAGCCTTATTTACGCCAAGGCTTAGAGTAGAGGCCCCTTTAGCAAGTATCCAACCCTTATAGTGTCTCTATTAAGTTAAATAGACGGTAGTACTTTCTACTTACTCCTATTTGTGTACTTAATATGTTGAGGGACACACAATAGAAGTGATGTATTGTGGTGAGGAAAGAAAGCTAGGCTAGTGTTGTTGGTCTGGAAATAAGTAGTGGTCGCTGCGCAGGTACCACTTCTGACACACCCCCCCCAGGCCAATAGAGCTAGTCATCTAAAAAGAGCTACGTACACGTACAGAATAATCCGTTTTTCATCAACTTGACTTCCAATTTTATATGCGTTTCTGCCACCTGACACCGCCTCAATCAGAATCACCAAGGACACGGCGTCAGACGGAGTTGACGGACGAATTTCAGATGATTCTCTTTCGTTAACGGCTTCGTGAGACCGTCTGCAATCATCTCTCCTGTTCTGGCGTATTGAATATCGAAATCTCCTCGTTGGACGCGATCTATGATCCACTTGTACCTTGTGTCAATATGTCTGGTTCTGGCTGCATTGTTTGGGTCAAGTACGATTGACTTGGCATTGAGACTGTCAGTCATGAGAAGAGTTGGAGTGTCTTGGGGAAACCCAAGTTGTTGTAGTAAGCGTAAGATCCAAACAGCGGATAAACCAGCTGGTGTGAGATTGATGAATTCAGCTTCGGTGCTTGAAATGACCACGAGGGTCTGCTTCTTGGACTTCCAATATATCGGACCACCGCAGAGGAATACAACATGAGCTCCTGTTGACGCTCGAGTAGCCAGGTCATCAGCGTGTGCCGCATCAGCCCAGACATTGAGTTTCAGATCATGAATGGGATACTTTCCGCCGAGAACAATACCGAGATTAGGCTGTCCTTTGAGATATCTCCAGAGATGTTGAAGCAAGTCCATATGAACCTTGGTTGGCTTGCTTTGCGCCTCAGAGAGTGCCTTGTTGGTGTTGGTCATATCTGGTCTGCTGCCAATACTGAGATAGTTGAGCGAGGCCGTCTGTTTGAGGTAGTTTGATTGGTCATCCAGCTGAATCTTAGGCCATACAGCTGGTATTTTGATATCTGATGGCCAGGGCACAGCAGAAGGTTTGAGGTCTAATTTGCCGAATTTGGTGAGAATCTTCATCGCATACTTCTCTTGTGAGATAAAAACCTTGTTTTCATCTTGATTTCTTGAAATCTGCATGCCGAGAAACTCTCGCACATCTCCCAGCTCCTTGAGGCGGAAATAAGCAGCGAGTTTCTGCTTAGCGATCGTAATGTCTGACTTGTGATGACCCGCAAGCAGAAGATCATCTACATAGACAAGTACCATAACTCCAGTCTTATCATTCTTGAAAAGACAGAGGTCGGCTTCGACAGGTTCATATCCAATCTCCTTCATTGCGGTAACAAGGGTATTGAACCACCAGATTGGTGCTCGCTTGAGACCGTAGAGAGCGGCTTTCAGGCGCCAAACGCGTCCACTGCCGTCATCATATCCTTCTGGTTGGCGAACATAGATGTCTGGAGTGTCCTGAGGCTTCTTAGCATTTAAGAAGGCTGTTACTACATCACAGTGCTCGGCGTGTAGACCTAGAGTGGCCATAAGAGCGAGAAACACTTTGAGAGATGTAAGGCTAGCGACTGCAGCATACATTTCTTCGACCGAAAAGCTGCTTGAGTCTTCGAAGTTCCCCATAGCTACAAGCATCGCTCTGTTTCTCAAATGTTGATTGGTAACTGGATGGAACTTCTGGTCCGTTACCCACTTCGTCGGCAAGGCCTTCGCTCCAGGAGGGAGATCTGAAAGCTCAAAGACTTTACGAGATACCAGTTCGTTTATCTGATCGTCGAAAGCTGACTTCCAAGTCGGCCATTTCTCTTGCTTTCGAGCATCCTTGTATGACTTGGCTGAAGGGAAGTCTGATGCGGTTTTGGATTGATTCAAGAGTTTTTCAACCTTGATTGCAGACAGACATAGATGTGTGGAATCACTAATCTTGGCGTCGAGCTCAAGATAGCGAGTTTTGTTGATAGATTTGGAGAAATTGACCGAAGATAATGACAACTGGTCTGCCTTTCTCTTGTTGTATGTGCGTATGCCAGCGAGATGTCGATAATCTGCAACTGATCTGGCCGCAGCACGACGAGGGCGTGAATTTGAGGTTGTCGATGATTTAGGATTCGGTTCGGGATTCGGCTCAGGATTCGGCTCAGGACTCTGGGGACCTAAGGGATGTTCGGCATCGATGTCATCTAAATCAGTATCATCGGAATCGAAGCTTAATTCTTCGCGTGTTCGAGTCAATGGCGCTGGACTGGCCATCTGCTCAGGCCCAGGTGTGGGATAGAGTGGATCATTTTCAACTTCGCGCTGCATATTTCCTTTTGTCTCTTGATTTTCCCTATCATCGGCCGGTTGAGAGGATGGAAAAGTAGATGGTTGGGTTATTGTGTGCGTGACGACTCCGTAGTCAACGGGGTTAGCTATCAGATCAGAAAATTCAACGTCAGCATTCTCATCTTCGAATTCAACGATGAAGTCAGCGTCAGCGTCGTGATCTTGTTGCGTATCATCCAAAGTCTCCGCAAAACGAACGTCACGCACTCGCATCATGCGGTGCTTCTCGGGAACCCAGATCTTGTAGAGTTTGGTACGAAGGTCAGCATAGCCGACGAGCTTGCCCTTCCATGCCCTGTGCTCCACCTTGTCAGCTTTGGCAAGATCAGCTGGTGTTTTCTTGTGGACATAAGCTATAGCTCCGTATTTGATGAGATTGGAAATATTGCCATTAATGACCTGTGCTGTCATGTTGAGATAGAATCCAAGACGCTGGCGAGGTGACAGGCTGTCTTTTCCATTTGGTAGGAGATTATGTATCGTATCCGCTGTCTCTTCAGCCCACGGCCAGAGAAACTTGGGCAAGTTACCGCCGATGATGCCGCTACGAGCTGGTGTGATGAGAGTCTGGACTGAGCGCTCTGCTCTTCCATTTGGTTCGTGAGTGTTAGCAGGAGATCGATGCCATTGAATGCCCTTCTTGGTGACGAATGTGTCCATTTGCTTTGCATCGCCAAGAAATTCCTTGCCATTATCCGAGTGGAATATTTGGACTTTCAGACCAGTTTGAAGCTCGACCTGAGTAACGAAGGCAATGATCTCCGCATGTATATCACCCAATTTGCGAGTGAAGCGAGTCCACTGCATGTCAGTAAACCCATCTGTAAAGTGAACACTGTAACGCCAGCCAGTAAGGCCTAGCGGTTGATGATGAATAGTGTCGAAATAGATGATCTCAAGTGGTCTACTCGGTTGAATAGCCGGATCTCTGTGGATGATTTGTTTTGCTTTCGAGAGCATACAAGTCTCGCAGGGTTTGATTGGTTTTGTGACTTTTAGACCAGCGGCTTCGCAGGCCTTTTTGACTGTCTTGTAGTTCGCATGCATAAGTCGCTCGTGCATCAATTGTATGTCAATTGTTGCTGAGAAGAGTGGAAGGTGCTCTGCGGGAGCTGTTGGCTTGCAGACGAGAGGAATAACCTTCACGTTTTTGAGCCAGTTGATCTTACCAAGTTCAACATTCGATACCCGAATGCGAAGAGTTGATGTATGTCCATCTTCAATGATGCCATCTTCCCTCAGTAAGCCAGGGCTGATGATGTTAACTGGGGAAGATTCGTTATAGAGAACACTACCGATAGTCCAATTAACCTGTTTACTATCAGTTCTTTGAGGATGAATCTTAATGGTGCCAACAGCTGTGGCAGCAGCAACGCCACCATTAGCTGTGTCCATGTAGATTGGTTCAGGAAGTTGACGTAGTGAGGTAAACCACTTCAAATCATTGACTACGTGTCCTCCAGCACCAGAGTCATTGATGAAGCTGTCACGAGTCAGGTAATCTGTTCCATCACCATCAGTTGAGATTGTGTTGGCTGGCAAACACATTAGATTGCCGAAGAGACCCAGATTGGTTGGACGCTTCGCTACTGAATCTGGTTGAAGACAAAGTTGGCCAAGATTCGTATTGACATCAAGTGCGTCTTTTGAGGCATTTTCATTCGATGAAGGCTTCCAGTCTGGCATATTACGTTTGCGCCATTGTTCAGATGCCTTTTCTGGGAATTGTCGAAAACAGTCGCCGGTGTGGTGCAACTTGCAATAGTTACAGAGAGGCCAAGTGGTTGGATGTTTGCGTTTGCAAGTATTGCAGTGTTCCGTCTTGCATTTCTTGTCTTGGTTGTCGTTTGTGTTTTCCTTCTCTTTATTTGCCTGTGAGCCTAGAGTTGAATTACCTTGGTTATTTTTGATCTGTAACATGATCTCGGGGTTGTGTGCTTCTTCATTTGCCTTGCGAGTGATCTCTTCTTGCATTTTCTTCCACGTCAAATTACCCTCTTGGAAAGATCTGGTAAGAAAACCATGGACCAAGGGATAACGTTGTTGAAATGCTTTGAGCGCGATCAGTGTCAGAGCTTTGTCGGACATGCCACATTGTAGGGCAGTGAGACGATTGATAAGATAGTTGAGTCGAGATGACCATTTCTCGAGCTTCTGGCCTTCAGGAATTTTCATAAGGCCGACGAGCTCATAGAACATTGCTGGTACATTGTTCTCGGACTCTTTGGGAATGGTTCTGAGAATCAAACTGTAGAGAACAGAGGGATCTTTTTCAGTAAGCATGTCCCATCCTGCTGATTCCAGCTTTTCATGAACCTTGACGATGCTTGAAGTAAGCAATGACATAGTGTGGATCTGCTTTTGCTTGTATCTGAGTTTCTCTTCAGAAGGCGCGCTTTCATGTGGTGCTGTTGATGTGCCATCGAGGAAGGCTTCGAGGCCAAAGTATTCGGCATGTTGAGTTACTTGCACTTGCCAGAGTTTGAGGTTCTTCTCGCCTTCCAGCTGAAGAATTGGCGCCAGCCGTACAGATGCTTCGGTCGCCATGATGCGATCGTGAAGTCACTGCGTTATCAGATGGACGCAATTTTGTGTGATGTTAAGTAGTGTTGAAGCTTGAGGCAGGCACGAAGTTTTTTTCGTGACCCACTTCAAGGTAATGACGTCGGATACGCGTTCCTTCCAACAAAGTGGAAAAACTGCAGAAATCAACGAATCCGAGGAAAGTGTGTAGTGATGAGCTGCAAGGCCAGAATCAATGATTTAGGCTCGTGCAGTCACTATTCTCAATGCTGTTGTTGTGATCAAGCCGTGAAGTTGGAGAGTGACCACGCTGCTGCAGGTTGCAGCAGATTCGTGCACCTACCGTAGCGGACCTTCGAAGGCCAACTTCGCGAAATAAAGGTCGAATCAGATGCCGAAAATTGTGCAAATGATCGAAATGATGATGATGACGAATAATGCTTCAGAAATGCAATTATTCGTGATGCGCGTGAGCGTGAGGGCTCATAACCTGTTGAGGGACACACAATAGAAGTGATGTATTGTGGTGAGGAAAGAAAGCTAGGCTAGTGTTGTTGGTCTGGAAATAAGTAGTGGTCGCTGCGCAGGTACCACTTCTGACATAATAACTTAGCCACACCAAGTCCAGATGTCAAGTCTAAGAATACAAGAACGTAACTTTATCAATCGTCCCCTAGTGTCTCGTCCTGCAGGCTATCTACCTCGCGTCTAATGGCGCTTAGCTGGGCATGGAGGAAAGTATCCCTTCTCATGTTCACGCCATGTAGCATCGGACAGCCGCCGTTCTTGTCCTTCCGGGCCATTTCTCTGGCCAGACCTTCCAGCTCCTGCAACCTGCTGGAGATCACCTGGCCAATCAGCATCTTCTCCAAGTGGCCCTCCAAATAGTGGTCGCCGATGAAGAAGGGTCGTCTCAGGAGCGGGGCTTCTGCCTGTGTGGAAGCCTCGCCTCTGGTACCGCGCTCCATTCTCGTGCCGGGGTGATGGCGGCTGCTGTTGTACGTGCTGATGATGCGCCAGTACCAGGCTATCGTCTCGTTGCAGATGACGGTGACTAGGAGCTGCAGCTGAGGGCTGGAGTAGCAGGGGCACCTGAGGAGGCCGCGCATGACTCGCAGACTTCTCTGACAGGTGGACAGGGTCGCATCGACCGGGCACTGCTGCTGATCCTGCTTACTCATGCTGCATCCCCCCAAGAGGCAGGATGGGGAACTGATGTGCATGGACTTGAGGAGGCCTGTTGCCAAGCTGAGACAAGGACCTTGAGGATTGTGACATGTTCGTTCTGCTGGAAGTTCCACGGGTGTGCCCATGTTCTCCTGTCCTCTCAAGTGATCATAGCCATGGTCTGCCGGCCATTTGTCTGTGATAGGAAAGATGTCGTCTAGCCACTCAGGGGGTATGTCTTTTCCTTCGAAACTGAATGGTCCCAAATCAGGGACTGAGTTTTCGACATCCATCAATGCATCCTGCGGTGTTTTCATGAGCTGCAGAGACACTCTGCGCTCAAATTCGCCCGTGGCATCCATAGCCAACGCAGCGATCCATGATACACGAAGTATTTAAACGAGCGCGCTCGGTCTTGGAGATGTCTTATACTATCCCAACCCGCAACCGACTTGCAAAAGCCTGCATTAAAAAGTGTTCTCTTATCAGGCCGGTGCTACGGAATCCAGCCTCGAATATCCCCTAGCGTGGAAACAATCTCACTGCAGTAGCATCTCACTGCACTAAAATCTCACTGCAGCAACTGCTCAATCATCAAGGTTATTAGACCACAAGTAGCGTGTTTGTTGATTAAGTTTTTGATAGTGAATCAAATTAGATGCACTGCCAACTTTGGGTTGCAATAAGGCACTGTGCAGAGATTTTCAGTCAGATTGCTTGATTTGGCCAGGATGGCTTGCGTTGTCCTAGACGGATTGGGGCGTAAGCACGGATTGGGGGCGTAAGCGCGGATACTACTCTATATCCGTAGGACCCACCCATCCTGCCCCAAAACGGGCATCCAGTCTGACTGCATCTATAATCATACCTTGTGTTACTATCGGCATTCCGCGCGTTGCAAATAAACAGAACTGCCCACGCTTAAGCATTTTGGCGCGACCCACAACGCTCGCCTCAAAGCTTGTCACCCTTATATTAACGAGCATTTTTGCCACGTATGACACTTTTGGGTACCATTGGACCAGGATGCGACATTCCTGTGCGTCGCGAGGCTTATATATTCAAACTCGGCTGCGTTATATTGGAGAGAATTGTGACCCTGCAGGAAACCGAGAAATCACGGACTGCTACCTAGGAGGGCGCCAGAGGCAGTCATAAAAATGGGTTAGGAGAGGAGAGTGGGAAGTGGGCGAATTTGTGGAGGAAAGCGAATCTCTACCGGAAAACCTTTCCGTAAAAGACTCAGAGGACTTACCCGTCAGGGTGGCAAAATAAGGCTGTGACGCTGCAGCACCACAAAAACGTACTGGTACGTGAGCGGCTGGAAGGATGTCTCAAATAGGACCCTCCATATCTCTCTGATAGAGTAGTTCTAGGAGGCGTTCTTTGCTCTGCACGGGCGGCGAATTCTCAGCTGCGCACTCGAGGCTGTTGCCTTGGGTTGTATTGCATGTATACCATAGTAGATCTGAGATCTGTGTAAGGTGGGCAAGTGACGAGGGATGGAGGGGTATGTTTATTAAAAAGAAGCTCAATGAGCGCTAGTACTGAGTTTTTATGAGCTCCAGCACGACGTGACTTAACTAGTCCCTCCCAACATAAGTAGCGGCCCACTACTAGAACAGAGCAACCGCAGGCTCGTCCGCCCTACGCTTCCTAGAAAACCAACTTGTCTACTATAGGCCAATGTTTTTCACCCCTGTTAAGTACCTCCGTGTGAGATCAATACGCACGCTATACTAAATTGAGCTTAGCTTACATTGGAGCACTTCCAGACCTAACTAACGATTGTTTCCCTCATTAATCTATCTTCAGCATTATTAACGTAACTATAGAGCGCCGACCACGAGATATTTATACGAAGCACTTGACAGAGGCTGACCGCCTACGAGTCCGGACGCTCTATTTCGATGACTGCCTCGGCCCGACTGCTATTGCGAGGCAAACGGGCTTCTCTATTGGCCAGGTTAAGCATGATATTCGGGCTGAATCCGCTGCCGTTAAGCCTCGTACAGGCCGCCCACGAGAGCTTAGTACACAGCAGGAAGCTCAGCTTGTTGAGTACGTCAACTCTAAAAGAGTTCGAAGAGAGCGGTGTGAAAGTGATCTCGTGGCCGCCTTACTCGCCAGATCTAAATTTTTTAATGCCTTTAATGGTGGGAGGGCCTGATATGGCATTCCCTAGATTAAATAATATAAGTTACTGATTATTAGTACCTAGTTTATTATTAGTGTTTTCTGCTAACCCAATTGAGTTATGCTGGAACTGGATGAAAGATTATGTTGAGGATAAGTACGGCCTTATTGAGAAGCCTTCTTATAACGTCCCACATCCACATCCGGGACACCCCCACATGTGGGACACCCAAAAATGCCTCATCAACACCGCTAGCCTCTAACTTCAACCTCTTTTTTCTTTACTAATATCGATTCAATCGTTACGAAATTTTATGTACGTCTTCTTTACACTAATATGAGTCAATATACCGAAGATGATATTTATCGAGCTCTTCAAGCAATAGCTACCGGTCTGTCAGAGAACAGAATGCCATAGGCACCAGTGGGTGTCAGGACACTGAACGCAAGACACCGGTGGGGCGCCGGAGGGGTGTTTCGGACAAAAGACTCCCGAGTCATGATTACAATCTATGTGAAGCTTTGGGATGACGAGAGTCAAGATCCTTGGCATCGCCGACCCTGCTGTTATGCCGGGTCCAAGCGGCGGCCTAGCTATCTATATAAGGACCATCTTGAAGTAGGATAGGGAAGGAGCAGAGATCAATGCATCACCGTGGGCACCCCTACCTGAGACCGCCAGTGACCACCCGGTGCTACGTAGGAGGGACGCCCGTTACTCCCCATCACTCTGTACTATTGCCTTCGGCCTAGCCGTACCCTGACACGTTGATCTCTCCACCCGTCTCCGGGCGTACGGACCGTTGGGGAGAAAATGGCGATGCGAAGAGCCCTGATGCGAAGCCAGACCACAGCCGCAGCCACGCTGGGTGACACCGGAGGAGCTACATCGAGTAGTGCAACGACGACGACAGCGACGCAGACGAACAATGTGTATATATTGGCTCAGTCACTGCCTTACGCGCGAATTTCTGGGCAGCAAAGCGGCGTAAAGTAAATATTCCAAAAGGCATTATAGCTGAATGTGGTAACGCTATATTACGTCTCAAAAATTGTCCTGCCTAAATATATACTTAAACAGCTTCCTTAGATTATCACAGAGGACTAGTGGTAAACTATTCTACTGGTAGAGCCTAGTTTCTCCGGTGCGACTTGAAGCTAGCATTCCGTCGCTAGTCTGACGTAGCTTCTCTAGTTCAGCATATATCATTTCCTAACATCCTCTATGAGATTACTGGGGACTTTAACGGCGGGCATCAAATAAAATAAATACAAGCTAGCTATAATGTTCGCAAGTAGTTGAGGATCTATGGCGTCGGTCCACTGTCTTGGAGCAGCGCAAACACCAGCTCAAGGCAAGCAATACGTACGTACTTTAGTACTTAAGCACACGGCTTCTCTGGTCGTGCTGAAATCCCCGGAGCTCAGGAGAAACGCCTCCCTGACGCTCTGGGGAAAAACAACCGACTCTCTCAGATGCTGTTGAGCAGGTTATTTACGCATGCAAAGTCACGCAACGAGTATCCCAGAATGCTCAAGTCAAAAAGACGATGATGGCTTCTGCATGTTGGCTGGCACAATATTTTTCCGGTCTGTCTTTTTTCTCGTAATTAGTAATATGTGAAAGTATGTCCTTGTGTTATCCTAGATAAAGACAAGCCACATACACGAACAATTCTCCCCGCTGGCAACACAGACGTTCACAAATGCATAACACAATACAGCGACGTTGTGATATTGCAATTTCCTAATTCATTACATCGCAAAGTAGTCCTACGCTACAGACAGAGTCATTTTGGTGCAGCAAAGATAACAGAACTCCCCATGACAGGAGCATATTTCTTGACCGACACGGGCTGCAGACCTGCTCGCTGGAGTAGGGCATCCCACTGCTTTGCCGTCCGCTCCGACGCGCCAAACAGCGTGTACATCTGGAGGTCCAGCCCCGCGGGCCAGACGTGCGCGCCCATGTCCGGCATGATGACCTCGTCGATCAGCACCAGCGAGTCGGCCGACATGGCGGGGACAATATTGGCCAGGATCTGCGCCGCCTTGTCGTCGTCCCAATTGTGCAGGACGGCGCGCAGGTAGTAGTACTTGGCTCCTGTTTGTTTCAGTCAGTCAAAAAGTTCGATGTTGCCTGGAGTGGTGCTAACGACGAGTCGACTTACCCTTCACCGGCTGCGGGCTGAAGAAATCATGCGCCATAAACTGAACCCCCTTGACGCCCGTGGCGCTGTTGACCGTCTCCTGGCGGTCCTGGACCACCACGCGGCCGGCGAGCGCGGGGTATTTGGCCACCAGGCCGCCTGCCTGCTGGCCCGTGTTGCCGCCAATGTCCACGAACACGGGACCCTTGTGCCCGCTGCAGACCGAGTCGTCGAGCGGAATCACGTCGAGGCAGTTGCCCTCCTTGGGCACGCCCATGAGGCTCTGGAAGTCCCTCAGCAGGTCTGGGCGCTGCTTCAGCCAGGGGAAGAGGCCCAGCTCAGTGCCGAGCCCCTTCTGGAGGGCCTGGCGTTGTGTTTGGTTCTGGTACCCCGTCTCCCGGAGGAAGTCGGGCAGGGCCTGGAAGGCTGGGTTGCTGACGGCGTGAAAGAAGCGCATGGGGCTCTCGATGCGCGGGTCCGCCAGGGCGTGTGTGGTCTTGCGGGCGACGTAGTGGTCCGGCGATACCTCGGCCACGAGACGGTTGGCGACCAGGTAGCGCATGATGCGACTGAAGAGTGTCGGATCGGCCCCGGTCCCCTCTGCCAACTGCGTCGAACACAACGGCGTCTTGCTGTCAGCGAGGGACTTGAAGATTCCAAGGTCGCCGCCGATCTTGATCAGCGCTACTTGTCGGCCCTGTACAGCATGATGAGCATTGTCGAGGAGTTAATTCATGGCTTCGATTACTTACAGCATTGACAAAGCGCAGCATGGTGTCGTATGGCGTCTCAAGTTCCTCGGCCGACTCGTGCAAAGACGACATCAACCGGTGTCTGCTAGACTCGTCAAGGGATGCCGACGGGAGCCTCTCCTCGGACATTACGAGGTCTACTAGTGACTTCTCGACCCCGTGAATATCTGAGTGGCCGTTTGCGTGACCATTTGCGTGATCACTTGCATGACCGTTCGCATGATCGTTCGCATGACCGGTTCCATTAGCGGCCGCATGGCCATTTTGCAGCTTGTTCGCCGCTCTAGCCTCGCCGTTCAGGAACGACAGCGAATCGTGTGCGGTGAACTTGACCTGGGCTTTCTTGGCCCCCTGCAAGCCCAGCCGGCCGCGCTCCAGACGCGGGGCGAGGCCGTCGATGGAGTCAAGCGTGAAGTTGTCGATGTTGAGCGAGTCCTCGGGGCGCACCATGCGGCGGCCCTTGAGTGTCTTGAGGATGGACTGCTCCTCGGCCGTCAGCTTCTTCTCGATGGCGTCGAGCGCGGCTCTGTTGGACTCGTCGTAGGCGTCGCCGTCGAGGCCCAGCTGCTTCAGCTTGGCGATGAGCGCTTCCTTCTCCTCGAACGAGACGTGCGCGAACGCCTTGAAGCAGAACTCGACCGTCTTGGAGATCTCGGCCTGGCTCAGCTTGCCCCGCGCGTCGGCGTCGACCTGGCCCTGGATGATGGGCCGGAACAGGTCGAACGCCCGCTCGAAGCTCTGCTCGTCAAAGTCGTTGATGATGGGCTGGTCCTGAGACCGGATCTGCTTCAAAGCGCTGGACACGACGACGAGAAAGCGCGTGTAGCTCTCGGCTGTCTTCTTATCGTGCCACGACGCCGCCTTTTCCTCGTTGCAGTCGCCGCGAATGGCGGCTGCGATGGTGGTTGCCGAGGACAGGCCGCCGGAGAGGGCTAAGTGGACGCCCGAGGAGAAAAAGGGATCGATAAAAGAGCCAGCGTCGCCAGCAATACGCACACCGGGGAAGGCGTAGCTCGAGGCGCTGTAGGACCAATCAGATGCCGACTTGATGTCCGACACGAGCTCGGCGTTCGCGAGGAGTTCCTTGATACCGGGCACGAGCTCAAGAGACTGCTTGTAGAAGCCCGCGGACGAGGGCTCGGCCATCTCTCGCTTCTTCTTGGTGGCCATCTCTTGGTTCTGCACGATGCCGACCGAATGTTTGCCGTTGTGGAGTGGGATGAACCACACCCATCCGCTCCCGTCCTTGAGCGCTTCGAAATAGGGGGCGCCCTCCTTGAATGTTCCGACTCCGTGGACGCCGCCGCCCTTCCAGTAGCCCCAGCTGGCAATGTTCTTCGACCCCTGGTTGTAGGATCGATTCTTAAGATACTTGGTGCTGATGAGACCGGCCCGGCCCGATGCGTCGACGACATAGTCAAGCGAGATGGTGCCAGTGGTCCCATCTTTGCGGGTCCATGTCGCAGATACGGGACGGCCAAAGTTCTGAGAGTCGGAAGAGGCAGGCTCGGCAAACTCAATCGAGGCCACCTTGGTCTCGTCAAAGGTCTTGACGCCGCATTCTGCTGCGTGCTTGAACAACAGCTCGTCTGCTTCAGATCGAACCACATTCCAGGCGTAGCCCCCAGGGCCACCAGCTGCGACGAAGTCGGTATCTACAGATCGAGTGTTAGTTACTGACCCCCACTCCAAACAGCATTTTCTATTGAGGGCTTGTCGCAGAAGATGAGAGAAAAGGGGAAAAAGGGGGAGAAAAGAAGATAAAGCGCGTGGGGCGGGGGGGAAGGTTTGAATTGAAGTCGGAGATCTGGGCTACCAGCACTACGAGATTGAGCCACTCAAGAGCCCAAATGGGTTCTCAAGACCTCAACACTTCGTAGATTCGGGAGAAATGCCATTCGATTCTCTGATCAGAATGTGAGGAAGGGACTGGATATGTGTTAAAGGGTGTAAGTGGGCATGATGACCAAGATGCACAAATTGTCTGCGCGAAACAAGATGACTGTCCCTCACTCCTCCTGTTCGGCACGTCATGAAGCTGTGATGGCGATTTGAGGTGGTTGTCGAAGGCATCAACCTGACCGGATGACAATGAGGGAAAAGAAATTAAAACCACGTATAACCCTTGTGCAATCTTTGGGTCTCAATCCACCAACACCACCACAGTAACTCACATGTTTCAGGCCGCGACCAATTCAGGCGAAAGGCGCCTCCTTTCTGTTAATGTATCGAGCGTCAGCTCTCAAGGAATTCAATAGGGGCATCCATCAAGCGTGTTCTAGGTACCTTTATGTTAAACCCATAAGCATCCCACTTCTCGTAGGCGTCGATGAACTTGAGAAAGTGTCGCATGGAGGGCAGCATGCTTTCGCCAATGTGGTATCTGGTGCGCGTGTAAGACAAAACTTGCGTCAAATGCCATTGAGGTCATGAACGCACCTCGGGAACTTGTCTGCCTCGAGGAGGACAACATCGATGCCCTCGCGCGCCAGAGCTGAGGCAGCGTAGGACCCTGCCGGCCCGCCGCCCACCACCAACACGGTGCACTTTTCCGGAATGGTGGCTATCATGATGGTTTTTTCAAAAGCGATGGTTCTCAGGATGGTGTTCTGTTTGTGGATGCATCTTGAAGGACAAGTCGTTAGACAAATCTACCACTCATATATGCGCCTCTGGCTACAGTTTCAACTCACGGCTGATGCCTCTGCAGTCCGCGGATTCAATTTTCGGGGCGTGGCTTGGCCCTGTTTCCGGGCTGGAATCCTGCCGGAAGGTTTTCGGGGTGCTGACGGCATGCATACTCCAAGTGCAATGCTTACCCTCGGGATCCGATTTTCCAATGTCAGATGCAACGCAGCATTGACAATAGATGAATAGTGTTGATTCCGGGGGATTTTACGCGTATGGAAGCAGGATTGACCTATATGGCCTCAAAATGATTGTCACTTGCAGATGCGCAGTTGTGGGGGGCAAGAATGTGAATTCCTCAACGCCACGGCTAAGGCCTTCCTTCGCATTCAGAAACGATTCACGAGCGGAAACACACACCTGCGCGCATCATGAAACATCGGTGCGTGCACCATTTCTCGCAAATTAGTTGCTCGTTGTGAACAAGTTGTAGTTGCAATGGCCTCTCCAACCGCCAAGCCTCAGGGCTTTTACTCGTCCGGCTTCTGGGTCGACTACCTCTCAACGCAGCGCAGCAAACTCCCTGCTCTGCCCGACGTCGACGAAGACATCTCTGGCTGCGTCGTGCGGTTCCTCGGCGGAAACCCGGGAAACATGCAGCTCCAGGGGACCAACACGTACCTCGTCGGCACCGGCAGCACCAGGATACTCATCGACACGGGCGAGGCAAGTCTGGCTCTTCCAAACCCTGTGTTTAATTCTAACCGATGCCTCCCGCAAACAGGGCTTCCCTCAATGGGCCAAGAGGGTGACCCGATACCTCGAAGACCACGACCTGTCAATCTCGCATGTGCTTCTCACACACTGGCACGGTGATCACACGGGCGGCGTGGCCGACCTCGTCGCCTATGACGCCCGCACAACGGTTCACAAACACACGCCCGACCCGTTTCAGCACGCCATCGCTGACGGGCAGGTCTTCCGGACGGAGGGCGCGACGCTGCGGGCGGTATTGACGCCGGGGCACACGACGGACCATGCATGCTTCGTGCTGGAAGAGGAGAGCGCGCTCTTCACCGGTGACAATGTGCTGGGTCATGGATATAGTGTGGCCGAGGATCTGGGCGCCTACACGGCGAGCTTGCGGCTCATGGCGCGTCTGGAGTGCCGAGTCGGCTACCCCGGCCACGGCGTCGTGATCCGCGACCTTCCGCGGAAGCTGGCCATGTACATTGCCCAGCGGGAAGCGCGGGAGCGCCAGATCTATGCTGCCGTGTTGCAGAATAGTAGTAGTAGCAGCAGCAGCAGAAGTAACAGTAGTGGCGAGGGCGAGGGTCTGTCCACCACCGACATCAGCCGTGTTCTCTACGGGGCTGTCTCCGAGGACAACGCAGCCTTTGAATCGGCTTTAAAACCGCTGCTGAATCAGGTCTTATTCATGCTGGCCGAGCACGGCAAGGTAGGCTCCAAGCTGGTCGGACTGGACAAAACGAGGCATTGGTTTGCGAGAGCCCAATCTATGTAGTGTATTTAAATTGCGCATTTCAAAAAGTGTTGATTTACGGTGCAGTTGGATTGTCTATTGTAGACAAAATTGCGATGTTAATTGCAGCCGACAGGCACCTGGGAAAAAACATGCGTATATGTTCGCAAGTGATGAGATAGGTACTTGTTCTTGGCGGGCTTGCGGCCGACTTGATGCGGCGCAAATAGGGTGGAATTAATTTGGGTCTCAGATCACACCCGAGTAATGGTTGATGCAGAAAATTCTCGGGAGCCGTCTCGAGCTAGCAATCTCGGTGCGCAGCAGTATAATCCACCGGGTCGAATTCCGAGTCTATGGGTACTATATGCAGTCAGCGATGCGTTCCTCCGCTGCTTACGCCTATATTCCTTCACGACGCTCGGCCTGGCGACTGGTCCGCTCTTCTATGTACCTAAGTACTTGGGTACCTGTGCATAGTTGTTCTCATACATGTAAACAATCAAATATATCTTGAGCACGGTCAGTCTTCCATTATGGCTCCAGCCCGTCCGCGTCGTGCAGCTTACTTGAACTTGGCCGATAGTACAATCGGAATTTCTCTCCATGAAGACAACTGCCAACAAAATATGGCAATGAACAACGCCAACGTTATCACTGGTTCTGAGCCCACCTCGCCAGGAGACGTAGAAGTCACCAACGGTGCCGATCGACTTACCCGATTTATCCTGTTCAGTCATGAGTTCCCAAGCGGCGATGTTCAGGACCTGTTCCGCCGTCTTCATAGATTTTCCAAGCTACCTCGACATCCCCTGCTTGCCCATTTCTTGCACGAGTGCACTTCGGTTCTGAGACAAGAGGTCCAGAAGCTTCCACGTCCGCTGCGTGATTCCGTCCCGCCGTTCCACCATGTCATCACGCTGGCTTCGCACTGGAAGGAGCTGAAGGACGGTCCCTTAGGTGGCACTTGGGAGGGTGCCTTCGTCTGCATCTACGAGATGGCCATGCTGATAGGGTCAGTTTTTCCCCAACGAGCTCTTCTCGTCTTCGTCTTGTGCTAAGTACATCAGTCACCACGAAGCACACAATATTCCATACTTCCACGAGGCGGGAAGGAATTCGGGAGTAACGTGCCTGGCAGGCATAAGCATAGGCCTCTTCTCAGCTGCAGCAGTGGCCGTCTCAACTTCTCTCGCAGACCTCATTCATTACGGTGCTGAAAGCGTGCGGATGGCTTTTGCCTTTTGTCTTCATGTGAACCGGATCTCCCAGCTCCTCGAGAACACTGTTCGTGCAGAGGCAGCGTCGTCGTCCGTTAGTTGGGCTTCAGTGATAGTTGGCATGCCAGCAGAGGCTGTACAGGCCGAGCTGGACCACTTCAACGGTCGAGACGAGTCGTTGATGAGTGGTCAGAAGACGACACCACTGACTCAGGTCAGCATAAGCCACATCGACCATGCTTCGGTAGGCGTCACCGGTCCCCCGGCTCGTCTCGCGGAGCTCTTCCGCCAGTCGCAGTTATTGGGATCATCACGACACTCCCCGCTGCCTATCTCAGGAGGTGTCTGCCATGTCCCTAATCTGTATGACCCCGATGACGTACGTGCCATCCTCGAGACAGCTGGAGCCCGGGAGAGATGGGGTTCCCGTCCCGTCCAGTTGCCGCTGCTATCGCCATACACGGGGGGGCCTTTTCTGGCTACAGATGCGTACCACTTAATAGAGGCCATCTGCACCGAAGCCCTAACTAAGCCGCTGTATTTTGACAAGCTCGCCGATGGTGTGGTGATGCAAATTTCGGAACCGGGACTGTCCATGGTGTCATCATGCAATATAATCCATTACCGAACCTCACTTATCTCGGACACCATCATTTCCGCCGTCACGGATAAGCTTTCATTTACCAGTGTGAGGCGCCAAGATCTCGTTGACTGGGCTATGAGAGACGAATCAACGTTTTCTCCAGTCCAAGACAAGCCAAGTTTACCGCAAAACTCAAAGCTGGCTATTGTCGGCATGGCATGTCGCCTGCCGGGGGGCGCTGATACTCCTGAGCGATTCTGGGAATTATTAGTGGACGGCCATGATACTCACACTGTCATCCCCTCGGACAGATTCGATCTCGATGCGCATTTCGACCCCAATGGCGAAAGAGAGAACACTGTCGGGACAAAATTCGGTAATTTCATAGCACACCCCGGGCACTTCGATGCCGGCTTCTTCAATATGTCACCACGCGAGGTAAGATAATGAAGCCCCAACGTTTGATCTAAAATGCTTGGCCATCTAACAATGGGACTGTGACAGGCTGAACAGACAGACCCTATGCAGCGTCTAGCACTCGTCACTGCCTATGAGGCGCTCGAGATGGCCGGCTTCGTGCCCAATCGGACGCCTTCCTCTCACATCTCGCGGGTTGGGACCTACTACGGCCAGGCCAGCGACGACTACCGCGAGGTAAACGCAAGCCAGAAGGTTGGCACCTACGGAATTCCTGGTACTGAGCGGGCCTTCGGCAACGGTCGCATTAATTACTTTTTCAATTTTCAGGGGCCCAGCTTTAACATCGACACGGCGTGCTCAAGCGGCCTGGCCGCAGTTCATGCTGCCTGTTCGGCGCTGTGGGCTGGTGAGGCTGACACTGTAGTGGCCGGGGGTCTTAACGTCATTGTAAGTTGCATCATTAGACTAAGCGAGGATTGGTGCTGACATGAGAACTTCCAAAGACGAATCCAGATATCTACTGCATGCTAAGCAAAGGGCACTTCTTGTCCAAAACCGGCCAGTGTAAGGTGTGGGACGCTGGAGCCGATGGCTACTGCCGGGGAGACGGCGTTGGTTCTGTAGTAATAAAACGACTCGAAGACGCCTTAACGGACAACGACACAGTCTTGGCGGTTATCGCATCTGGTGCTACGAATCACTCGGCAGAGAGCGTTTCGATTACTCAACCACATGCCGGTGTGCAGAAAGAAAACTACCGCCAAGTACTCGACCGGGCAGGGGTAAGCCCTCTGGACGTCAATTTTGTCGAACTGCACGGCACAGGAACCCAGGTCGGCTCATCCTCATTTTCTGGGCTTTTTTCTTGAATCTTCATGCTGACTTCTTGACTTCAGGTTGGGGACGCGGTCGAGTCAGAGTCAGTGCTCAACTTCTTCGCGCCATTAGGCCGACGACAGCGTTCCAAACAGCGCCTGCACTTGGGTGCCGTCAAGTCTAATATTGGACATGGAGAAGCTGCTGCAGGGATCGCATCCTTGATCAAGGTGCTGTTAATGTACCGCCACGGCACGATTCCGCGTCACGTCGGCATAAAGACGACCATGAATCCTGTCGTGGCCCAGCATCTGGCCAATCGTAATGCTGGTGTCCTCTCCGAAAACAGCCCTTGGCTTCCAATGTCTAATGGCTTGAAGCGCTACTCCATTGTAAACAGCTTTGGTGCTCACGGCGGCAACACGACGCTACTGCTCGAAGATGCGCCATTGCCACGCATCAAAGAAGACGATGATACCTCGCGTCCGAGGACGGCAACCTGTCAAGTGGTATGCATCTCAGCCAAAAGCAAAGCCTCGCTCCGGGGCAATGTCGGTGCTTTGCTCCGCTATCTGGATTCCCACCAAGCGACGGAACTCAGCGACGTCGCTTACACGACGTGTGCTCGTCGAATACACCATCACATCCGCATTGCTGCTTCTGTTTCCAGCACTGAGCAGCTTCGGCACTTCCTGCAGGCTGCTGTTGACGATGTCGATGTCCATGCGAGACATGTTTCCACAGCTACGCAGAGGGCTGTCGTGTTTGCTTTCTCAGGCCAAGGCTGTTTTTACCAAGGTGCCGCAGCGCAGTTGTTCGAACAAGCACCTTTCTTCCGCAACCGGGTCCTCGAGCTCGATCGCGTCGTTCGCCAACTGGGGCTCCCCTCAGTGCTTGCTGCTATAGTTGGCGATGCAGCAAATGTTGATGTTGTAAGCCCTTCGCCCAAGGGCTCGAGCACTGACGGCGACACAAGCTTTGAGGCTGTAGTCTCAATAGATAGCGCCAGCTCAGACTCTTCTGACGCCCCAGGCAAGAGCCCGATCGTCACTCAACTCGCCCTGGTTGCCCTTCAAATCGCTTTGACACAGTATTGGAGACTGCTTGGCATTACACCCAGCGTCGTTATCGGACATAGCCTAGGAGAATATGCCGCATTGGTTGCAGCTGACGTCTTGTCCGTGGCAGATGCCTTATTCCTGGTAGGCGAGCGAGCCAAACTCATGATGGCCACCTGCGAGCCTGGGAGTCATGTCATGATGTCTGTTCGTGGTGCCTCGGACGAGGCTATCGCCGAATTGTGCCGAACGGCTGGAGAGGAGTACAATTATGAGGTCTCGTGTCTCAACGGGCGTGCCGATACCGTCGTCAGCGGCCTTCGAGCAGATATAGTCTCTCTACGTGACATGCTGCAGGGTGCTGGACTCAAGTGCATCCTACTCGAGGTGCCCTTCGCTTTCCACTCTGCACAATTGGAGCCTATCCTCGGGGACTTTGAAAATGTTGCTCGGCGTGTCATATTCAAGGCCCCCGCGATCCCAGTCGTCTCCCCGCTCCTCGGGAAGTGCGTTTCCAAGAATCAGATCATCAACGAGACGTATCTGCAGCGCGCCACGCGCGAGCCTGTAGATTTTGTCACCGCGCTAGACAGCGCCGTGGCAGAAGGCGTAGTAGATGAAAAGGCTGCTTGGATCGACATAGGTCCCCATCCCGTTTGCACTTCTTTCGCGCGTAATCACTTTGAAAGAGGAGCGACGCAGACTTTTGCGTCAATGCGGAAAGATGACGATCACTTGTCTACCTTGACCACAAGTCTAGCGGCATTGCACTGTCTGGGCCTGCCTGTTCAGTGGAATGAATACTTCTCTCCGCAGGAGAAATCTCATCGCCTGCTTCACCTCGACCCATACCATTGGAACCAGAAGAACTACTGGATTCCGTACGAGGGAACGTGGACGCTGGACAAGGCCCATCCTGGACGCAAGACCAACGACAGCAGTACAGCAACTCCGCCTTTCTTCACCTCGTCTGTCCAACAAATCATTTTTGAGGAATTCGGCGAGTCTGTGGGACGGATGACAGCCATCTCCAACTTGGCCCACCCCGATCTGCTTGGAGCAGCGGACGGACATAGAATTAATGGGAGGAGTGTAGTGACTGGAGTACGTCAAACTTTGTCCTCTCCCCCTAACCAAAGTTGTGGTCGATGCCATTACTAATCACAGATTATGCAGAGTGTCTGGGCAGATATCACCCTCACTGTTGGTGAGTACTTGTATAAACGCATGGTACCCAACGCTGGCAGGTTGTACATGGACGTCAGGAACATGGAGGTGGTCGAGGCACAGGTGGTGCACGATGAGGAATCCCGCGCATCATTGCCGGCGCAATTCATCCAAGTCGAAGGAGCCTTGGACATGTCATACAGGAAAGCTCGAGTAAGCATATACGCAGCAAACGCAGATGGGACTCGCAAGGCCGAAAGAGCATTTGCCACAGCCGTGGTTTGCTACGAGGACGCGCAGATGTGGCAAGCTGAGTGGCAGATTGCTTCACATCTTGTCTCTGCGCGTGCCGATTTGCTGTGGAAAGCGGCAGCGGGAGGGCATGGTGGCAGCATCGACAACAGCAGGGTGAGCATCCTTTCGCAAAGTGCCGTGTACCAGCTCTTCGCAAACGTGGTGGAATACGGAGCCCGGTACCGCGGGATGCAGCGCTTAGCACTGGATGAAGACGCGCAGGAAGCAACCGCTGACATATTGCTGAACGCCGATCGTCACGGCACTTGGCATACGCCTCCTCACTGGATCGACAGCGCCTTCCAGCTGGCCGGTATCGTCATGAATGCCTTCGGAGTGCAAGGCGACAAGGAAACAACAGGGTCGTCTCGCGACTTCTTCTATATCACGCCCGGGTGGCGTCACTTACGGCTGGCGGGGCCGCTTGAGCCGGACATCAGCTACCGTAACTACGTCCGCATGTTTCCTGTCGAAGGGGAACCTGGCGCGTTCGCAGGCGACATATATGTGCTCCACGGCGAAAAGGTTGTGGGCGTGTGTGCGGGTATCAAGTTCAAGCGGGTTCCGCGCGCCTTGATGCCCGTCATGTTTCCTCGCCGTCAGGCACACGGCACGAACCGCAACGTCAGCAAGTCTGACAACTCCAAGCCGCCTAACTATGCCACAGTCCCGTCGCGACGCCAAGATGAGATTACTGTAGTGCAATCGGTAGAGCCCGCTGCATCGCCGCCAGCAGTCGCCCAGAAAGAGCACACAGAGGGTGCAAATAAACAAAATCAAAATCCTCGCGTGGCCGCCTGCCTCCAGCTCATTGCAGATGAAACAGGGCTGGATTTGGAAGACGTGTCCAGAGGTGAGGCTGCCTTTGCCGAAATGGGCGTGGATTCATTGATGTCGCTCGTGCTGTCTGAGAAGATCCATTCAGAGCTGGGTATTGATGTCAAGGCGTCCATTTTCATTGAATGTGCAACTATCCAGGAGTTGATCGATTGGTTGAGCAACTAAAGTCGTTGGGCGCACGGGAGTTGGATCCTATGCCCCTTCTTGGTATATGATCTTCAATGACGTGACTGGGGTGAGTTCGTTGTCGGTTTGCCACTCTTTTGTGGATATTAGGATCGCTCTGGTTACACCAACTACTGATTCACTCTTTTCTTCTTTTCTTCTTTAGAGTTAGCTACAATATAACGTGAATGTACACCGAGCTGGCCACCCTTACATAACCTCGCATAGAAATTTTACGATAGTAAAACCACAACGCGGTAAATCAATTGAAACTACTCTGAATCTTCCTCTCCAGAAGATGGCAATGCGATGTTACAAGTTCGCGCATTATGCCCAGTCCCGTTGCAAATACCACAGCGCCTCGGGCGCGTTTCAACACGCTTTGCGCGACCACCATTTCGGCGCTCTTCTTGCTGTATCTGCGTCGCCAACTCTCTAGAGTCCCGTAGGTCCTGTACTTCTTGGAAAATAAGTGATTCTCCTTCCCGTAATTGCATTTTTTTAGTCCCCCGGCGCCGGCTTAGCATCTTATTTGCCTCTCGAAGCTCAGCGCACTCGGCCCGTACGAGGGCGAGCTCGTGCATTATCATTTTTGCTCCCTTCGCAAACTGGTCGACAGCTGAGAAAATATTCGTCTGAGAGCTATTCTGATGCTCGGAGATGCGTTTTTTCAAAAAAGTAGACTGTGCATGAGCCGCTATCGGGTTCTGTGGCGTCTTTGATACCCACGGTCGGGTTGCGATTTCTGGGGACGCCTGCATGGCAAAGGCTCAGTGTCATTTCCCATTTGACTTCATTTTGCATAGTAATGTAGCCCCCAGATCTGTATTTCTGAAGCCGCTATCTTGTTGAGTGACATGAAGAAGGAATGGTGAAATTTTGTCGATCACTATCATATCTGTGGAATAAAACCCAGGTGGTCTCCTTCTTACACGGCTGGCTTTACCACACTGATCCAAAAAAACACATCGATCATCAGATTATAAACAAAGATTCTCATTGCTACTCACCTGTATCTCTTCCTACTCTCTGGAAGTTTCAATCTAACAAGATGATTATGAACTTGAAAAGCGTACTCCTCTTCAGCCTGGTGGCTTTGTCCCTGGCCGAACCCATCCCCCGATCCGAAAGAGACGCACTCGAGACCCGGGCAAAAAAGAAGGGCGTCACTGACGTTATCTGCCCCGATGGCAAACGCTTGGCACAGTCGGATGTTGGGTCGGCACTTTGCGCAGCCAGGGCAGCTGCCGACGAGAGCGTTGGTTATCCTGGTCTTACTTGGTGGTACCCCCACTATTTCGGCAACCAGCCGCCCATCTTTGGTGCATCAGTCGAGCTGAGAAGCTTCCCCATCGTCAAAGGAACAACTTTCACCGGTAAGGACTGTGATTTGGGGTCACCTGCGGATAGAAGTACAACTGATGACCCGTAACTCGTAATAGGTGCCACTGGTACCCCTCGCGCCGGTGTCTACCGCGTTGTATATAAAGCCGGAGGCTCGATAGACTTCGTGGCGTGATGAAGGAGATCACCGGTGCCAGTTTAAACTTACATAAGGTGCATAATCGGCATGGACTCCAATGCCACGGTCGACTGCGCGTAGCACCCCCGCGAAATACTCATCGTCTCCTCGTGCCACTTCCACTTTCATGTTGGTGGTTTGCCGCAACTTTTCGGCAATGTGTTGGATAATATCAACACCGGCTTCATTCTTCCAGCGACGCTGCAGTAAACGAGCCTCCTCCACACTCTTGACGTAAAGATTTTTATCTAGGACGAGCAAGTCAACAGGCGACCTAGGCGACTTGAAGACGATATTATATGCCTTTGATGTGATCGTATTGTGTAATGCCTGCCACTCTAACGCGTGGCCACGTATTCTCGGTATCGTATTCCCCTACAAAACTCAATCAGCATACGATTGCTTAGACACTAACATGGTATGAGTAACAAACTGTGCGTTCTGACCACTTCGAGCATCTTCCTACGTTCTTCCGGAGTAAGAAATCCTGGTTCACGCACAACTGGTACCCTGTTCATAAAAACATCGATAAAGGATGCCAAGGATAGGGGTCGATCTTCGAAAGTATACCAATTTGTCTGGACTGTGTGTTGTTCCGTAATGCCGAAAACCCCCTTTTCCTTGTCCGATGTTGCCAGCTGGGCAGGTTGAAAAACACTTTCGTTGCCATTCTGGATATGAACACCTCGTCTCGTCCATGTGTGGGGCCTTGAGGCAGATACCATCCGATAGCATGTGACGATGCTTTTATATTATCCACATGGGCTATAGGATTAGCATATTTCATTATGTCCGTATTTTGCTACCAAACGCAAGGTATAAGCAGAAAAGTGCACCAAAAGAAAAACGTAAAAAGGCGAGGCGCAGGCTGAAATTGGCTTGATGGAACCGTTTAACGTGATCCACAGGTCATTTTCGCACACAAGTCACTTTCGCACTTTTTCAAATATTTCAACCTTTTAACTTAGCTTGTACTTTCTTCCTCGTAAATCTAAAGAAGCCGATCTTCAGCTAGCTATTCAAGCTAAAAAGCGCAACCCTGAAATTTCATGGCGTAAGCTTGGCCGTATCTACAACGTTTGCGACCGTACACTAAAGAATCGATTCGACGGCGACCAAACGCGACACGAAGCTAATATGTTAAAACGAAATCTAACTCAAACCGAAGAGGATACGATTGCCCGACGTATAATTGAGCTAGATGCGCGAGCATTTCCTCCTCGGCTTCGATACGTTGAAGAAATGGCGAATATCCTACGACGCGTACGCGACGCGCCCCCCGTCGGCAATAACTGGACCACGAACTTCGTTAACCGCCGACAAGACCTCCGAACGCGTTTAAACCGTCGAATTGATTACCAGAGGGTATTTAGCGAAGATCCTATCGCATATTACGCCTGGTTTGAGCTTGTTAGGGACACAATCGCTAAATACGGTATCCTACCAGAGGATATCTACAACTTTGACGAGACGGGCTTCCTAATGGGCATAATCACAACCGGTATGGTTGTAACGAGTGCAGAAAGACACGGACGGCCTAGAAAGGCTACACAAGGAGGTTGGGAATGGGTTACGGTGATCCAGGCTATTAATTCGCAAGGTTGGGCGGTACCGCCGTACATCATCTTCGCGGGCAAGGTTCATCTTGCTTCGTGGTATCGCGGTAACGACCTACCGGCCAACTGGAAGGTCGACCTTTCCCATAACGGTTGGACTACTAATAATATTGGTGTGGAATGGGCAAAACACTTTGTTCAACATATTATTAGCCGTCGTAAGGGTGCGAAAAGTCTCTTAATATTGGATGGTCACGAGAGCCACCACTCGATGGATTTTGAGACTTACCTCGCGGCGCACGGCGTAATTACATTGTGTATGCCTTCCCATTCATCCCACAAGCTCCAGCCTTTGTATTTGGTACCTTTTAGTGTGTTGAAACGGCTGTACGGTGCGTTCGTGGAGGGTTTAATGCGAAGGCATCAAACCCATATTGAGAAGCAGGATTTCTTAGCTGGATTTTTAGAAGCTTTCATTGGTGCTTTTCACGAAAAAAACATCAGATCAGGATTCGAAGCAGCTGGAATTGTTCCTTTTAACCCGGATAGGGTCATATCTACGTTGGATATCGCAAAAGTAGTACGAACACCGACACTCGACCCCCAATTGCCTCCCTCCGTCTGGGTTTCTAAGACGCCTACCAACACCCTCGAAGCCGAATCGCAGTCAACTTTGATTAAAAGTAGCGTCCAGAGGCATCAAGACAGCTCGCCGACGCATATTTTGAACTCAATTAACTCGACTACGAAGGCTACGCATGCAATGATGCATGAGAATGCATTATTACGTCGGGAGAACGAAGAGCTTCGTGAGACGAACCATATACTAAGTAAGCGTCGTACGACGAAAAATAAGCAAATCCAATATGGAGGAGCACTTAGTATAGGTGATGCACAAGTTTTACGGGCCTTGAGGGGTGATATCAAGGTTATGGAGGAGGAAGAAGGGGAAAGCAGTCGTCCTGTAAAGCGCCGGCAGACCGGTATAAGGCGCTGTGGTATTTGCGGAGGGACTGGACATAATGCAAGGACTTGTTCAATAGAAGTAGAAACTGATAATGAAGAAGATTTTGAGTAATTTAAAGGATAAACTGCGGGTTATGCATAGGATATTACTGAATTACTTGAAGGTGCCAAGAAAAGTGCGAAAGTGACTTGTGTGCGAAAATGACTTGTGGATCACGTACCTCGAAGACAATCCCTTCAACCGCTAGAGTAGTAGTTAGGTGGGTGGCCACCAGCGAATCCCAGGTGTAGTATATTTTTGCCATTTTGTGGACTTTAACAACCCTACCATATATGAAACATATCGTGGAAGATAGCATCTAGGCTAGAGCCGCACCCGGGAGCTAGTCAGTCATATGCAAGGACTATGTGTTGATTTGAAGGACTGCGTGAACCTGAGGGACACCCGCCTCGCTCACAAGGAGGGTTGCCCTGTAGCTATAGATAAGATAGGCAGCCTAAGAGGGCCGTCGGCTCGTCAGATTCATAGCCTACCAAGCTTTTCCCCATACTCACACTTTACCCCCCATATGCACTCACATCTAGGAGACATATGACAAACCCGCTCAACCTGCTTTTGATGTCATCTCAATTCACCTCTCAACCCCTATTTCTTTCAACAAAGACCCACCATCAATAACCCTGCCAGTAATCCTGTTTGAACATCACCTTTGGGGTCAGGATATAGACTATAAACAAGGCACTCCTGGACAGAACTGGAGTTGAAACGGGCGCCAAAAGCTCGGCGAAGCATGCGAATCCGGTACGGAACGTCAATTGGGCTGCACCGATGTCGGGCCAAGGTTCCGAGAACAGCAGGTGAATAGGTGATTGGCCATCTCCACATAACAAGCGTGCCCGCACTAATCGAACGCTCAGGGGTTGACCACCACTAGAATCGGCCACGGGGGATCTAAACAAGGTCGGACGAGGTTTCCACTTGGCGCTCCGTTGCTATTAAAACCGACATGATGGCCACCTCTTTTCTCGAGTTGTGGTGCAACAGCATCCAGCTTCGACTTGTTCTACCTTGCAATTTTGCTTGACGATGCGTCTCCGCAACGTTCTCGTGAGCTTAGCGGCTGTTGGTGCTCAGGGGATCCGCATCTTGCAGTCCAACGACGATGGATGGGCCGAGCTGTACATTCGTTCTTTCAACGATGCCCTGAATGCGGCGGGGCACGATGTCGTCCTTTCCGGGCCAGCCGAGAATAAATCAGGTTCAAGTAAGTTTCTGGTTCTCATATAGTGTCGAAATCCAAAGCACTCATTACTCCTAGGCTCGCTGGATCTCGAACCCTCGCCGCGCTCCTCGGCATGCCAGTACAATAGCTGTGCAGCCAATAGCGGCCCCGTCGGCAGTAACACCACCAATCCCCGTCTCAACTGGGTCAACTCCTTCCCCGTGACTTCCGCCCGTTACGGACTCACGCAGTTCGGTCCCGTTATCTGGAACGGTCAACAGGCGCAGCTTGTCGTCGCCGGCCCCAACGTCGGCAGCAACGTCTACCTGTCCGTCCCATTTTCCGGCACCGTAGGCATCGCCGTCTACGCAGCCCACGAGAAGGGCCTCCCCTCCATCGCCTTCTCGGGTGCTTCGGACGGCACGCTGGCTTGGAACACGAGGCCTGAGCCTACGCGCAGTCTTGTGTACGCCCAGCTGGCCACGCAGTTCACCAACGCTCTCGTCAAGGGGGGTGCGCCTTACTTACCGGCGGATGTGTGGCTGAATGTAAATTTCCCTAAGGCAGAGGGGGCTTGTGCTAATGCGCAAAACTACAAGTGGGTGCTTAGCCGTATCAATCAGGGGTTCTTGTCTGCTCCAGATGTGACTACGTGTGGAACTGATCGGCTACCGAATGAGTCGGATGTTATTGGCACGGCTGGCTGTTATGCTTCAGTGAGCGTTGGGGATGCATCGGACAAGACCACGGCGTCTGCGGACAAGCAGGCGGTTGTGCTGGCTCGATTGGGAAGCATGTTCACATGTTTGCCATAGGTTGCATCCAGCTCCTCCTACATCAGGCCCCGCATCATCTTCTTCTGTCTTACCCACACGATGCGGCGGAGGCCTCAAGACTATTGGCTTGCCTAGAACCTAGCTCTAGTTTCTTCAGCACGGCCACAGCGGGTCTCAAGCAAATATCCTACATCTTATCTGGGTGAACAAGTCCCACCACGCCTGTGCAGTTCGCAATTCGGGAGCGCGTCTCAACTTCTGGCTTCAACCCAACAGCTATCATCTCAATTTCATCTTCAGTCCACATGCAGGCGTAAAACTTGAAGCACGGCCACGATCTATATAACCATGCCAGGCGCTCAACAAAACGGCAGTGACGGCAATGACGACATCGTATGAGTCGTTTTCGACTTTCTGGAAAGACCTTCCTGGGTGGCAAGCCAATCCCTACAAGTACTCTGTCGCTGACCTGTCACAAGAGCATCTTGGAATTGGTGGAAGAAAACGGGTGCTTTCCGTTGTCGGTGTCTACAAACCTCGTTATACTTCCCCATTGTTAAGCCCGGTTCTAGAAACCGCCGAAAAGTACATGGAAAACTATAAATTAACCGCGCAGAATTGACTCGTATGGGTCTTTCGATATCTGAAAATGATTGTAGTTTTGAGCCATTCCTACCCACTTCGGCCTGAAAAAGAAGCGAGACAACGACAAGCACATCGGTTGTATCGATAATTGGATAACTTTGGACACAGGTAGTAGGAACTTACTGCTGATTTTTAGGACATTGGAAGTTATTCTGGACTACGCTAGAAAGATTACCGAGTTCGACTTCGTTTCAAAGCAGAAACAAGAACCGTCTTTATCAAACGTGTGTATCTATCTGTACACTTGACGGAGGAATATTCGATGGTCGGGCTCTGACAAGGCCACTAATATGTTACATCTGCGTTTGCGTCCAGAGTAAGGCCAGTCCTCGGAAGTAGTCTTCTTAAGAACGATCGGTGTCCATCGTTTCAGTGATATACAAATCTTAAAAATGTCCACCTGAAATATGAAGACGTCATGTTCAAATTGATCTCAATGAAATTCACGCCAGAGTTTCCAATCTGCCCCCTTTGCCCCCCAAACAGCTACTTCTGCACTCATCGATCCACCGCGGCATAACCTTAGGATCCAATCACTTCGTATAATCTGGGTCCGGTCATACCTCCTCGTCTGTCAGAACGTGAAATGCGAGCTCGTTCTTTTCAGTGAGTGTCAAGCTGTGGTCGGGCAGTTCGGGCGATGTGGCAATTGTTGTCGCGCCCCAGGATGGGAAGTCGGCAAGGTGACGCCGTAGGAATTTCACGGTGATGTTGCGGAAGGGATACCAGGAGCTGAGGTAGAATGTGAGGACCAGGGGACCGCCTGTGGAGAGCAGGGAGGAGAGGGGACTTGCTTGCCTGTCGCATCGGACATGGTGAAGGAGGTAGCTGGTCACCTGGTCGGATGGTGGACTTGAAGGTCTTTTGGCATTGAAAGAAGGCGGCTCCTGCACTTTCAAGCTCGCCTTTTGAGGCGATGGTCACGGCGCGCTTGCTGGTGGCAACGATGTGTTCGTGCTGGTTCACCTTAGGCAATGCGACAGCGATATTATTTCAAAGTTGCGAACTGATACCCCTAATTGTTGTCTCCCATATGGTACAACTTGACCCGTTATCTGAAAATCAGAGATTCTTATACGTTTCATCAACGGCTTTCTTCTCCCTCTTCAAGTAGTTCTCAAATGTGCCCATAGGAATCCCCAAGGACTTGACCTCGTCAATATCCACATTCCAAGACATGTCGCGCATCAACACGTGACTGATAATAAATGGATTCTCCCCAAGCATGCGCAGCATCTCCTCATCGGACAAGAACTTGGCCTTGACCTTCTTGCCCGAAGCCGCAGTAACCAGGGCCATGAGCTCATTCGGGGTGCGCACCTCGCTCGCCAGCGGGATCTGTTTGCCACTGAACTTCTCCGGATTCTGAAAAGCGGCAATGGCAAACCTGGCAATGTCTTCCGTGTCGATCAGCGGCAGCTGCGTCGACGGAAGCAAACCCTGCGCCCAGACGCCCGTCTCGTTAAAATCACCATACATGCGGACATTGGGCAACAGCAAGTTAGCCATGAAGAAGCCGGGGCGGAGGATGGTCCATTTATCGAACCCCGCTTTCTTGGTGTCGTCCTCGATGGCTTTCTTCGAGGCGAGCGTCTCCAGCACTAGGCTGTCCTCAAGCTGTTCCCTGAGCCGAGCCGGCAGGTCCGGCTGATATCGAGTCCGGAAGCCGCTCGAGTAGAGAATGTGTTCAACGCCTGATTCCTTGGCGATGCGAATGATACCCTGGGCTTGTCTGCGCTCGTGCAGTAGGTCGAAGAAGTCGGGGAACAGGTTGAGAAACAGGAAGTCACAACCGGCGATGCTTTTCTTGAGGGCGGCTTCGTCGTCCCAGTCACCGCGGGTGAGCTCGACGCCAAGTAAGGCAAGGGATTTGGCAGAGGGGGAATCTAGATCCCGAACGGTGGCGTGGACGGTCCAATTGAGTTTAGAGGCGAGCCGGGCTACGGCGCCGCCTTGAGCGCCCGTGGCACCGGTGACGAAGATGGTTGGGGTGGACATGCTGGTTTCTGAGTTCGGTGCAAAATGATTTCTGAATGTGTCTGGACTCAGGTGTTGAGTTACTTTGCTGCTTGGACCTAGGTTGGGGTGCAATCGTATTTCTATGTGTGTCTTTTTTTGACCAACTCAGAGCCGAGATAGTTGTTTGTGATGGCTTTGTGTGAGATAGATATTTCTGAAATGGTAAATAGAGCATTCATATACTCTCTTCAATGTGGTGGTGTCTGGTCCACTTCGTCCGGCGGAGTCGAGACAGTGATTGTCGCCCTGCGGATTTCCACATGATTCGGTGTACAAGTATCTAGAGGGGTTCCGCCATTGTGCACGATCTGGAAGCCTTGTCACATAGCGACTTATATTTTTCATTATTTCGTAGATAGGGAGACACATGGTTCTAAGCTGAGCTCCTGGTAGACCATTGCTGGTGGTGACTGAGAAGGATGCGGACGGGAATTGTGGGCCTGGCGCAATTCCGTCAATACACTTCGCCTCCTCACAAATACACCTGACATTCTGGGTACAGTCAGGTTCTAGAGCAGCAGGTAAATGAATGTCACCATGTGGGGCTGCTGAATACCAAATGCTGACAGTTCGTGAATGACTTCAATTCTGTCATTGCAAATACCATTCGAGGAGTCCCAATCCTTTGCATATCTGCTTCTGACGTCATTCATACGCATCTGAGCCTTAGAATCCTGAGCCTTAGAATCCTGATTCTTACTCTCGTGGAAGAGAATACATCGAGCTGCTCAGCGCCGGGATACCGTATAGGGCAGACTCGGGGCTGGTAGCTTTCCATTTCAATATGCCTCAGTCACTCTCCTCCCTTGAACGTGGAAACCCGCCACCAAGGCGGAAGGCATGTTCGGCATGCATCAAAGCCAAGCGGAGATGCGACCTAGGACAGCCCGGGTGTACCCGATGCTCGTTACGGAAGATACCATGTCGATATTCACGACCAGAACGATCTGATGACAGCAGAACGGGGCCCATAGACAACATGTCCGACATCCTCAAAACAACTGATATTCTGGAAGTATCTCCACAGCCGGAAGTTCCATCCACGATCGACGCTATCCCAACGATCACCGATACATCGACATCTGGTGCGTTTGCGCTAACCCTCACTGACTTCTCCAACGACGATGTCTTCAACCTCGGCTTCATGTCACCTGAGCCTCCAAACTCCCTAGATACCATACCCCCTCTTAAAACCCCCTCTGCCAGTGATCCCTCGAATGATACTGTCGCCACTGGCATTACCCTTCCACTTGTCCCACCTCGCACTAGGGACTTGGAAGCCCGGTCGATAGCTGTGCAGACCCGCCTCCGATATGCTATCGACCAATTAAACGCTGCTCCTCGTCGTATGGCACTTGAGAATGGCACACCATGGTCTCATCCCCTACTGTACCGCCACTCCATGCCACGCAGCTTGGAAGATGCCCAGGCCTGCTGCGCACTTTACATGGCGAAGAATGAGATAAACGCCACTGTGATCCTACGATCTATTCTCTCTCGAGCCACTGAACTGGCATCTCAGCCCATGCCTTCCGGCCCGCCCGAGCTTCTTGCTCGTACCAATGCCCTCCTGCTCTACAGCATTATGATGCTTTTCGACGGAGACATCTACGCACGTACATTGGCAGAGCATAATCTACTGGCACTAAGGGATTCAGCTGTGGAAATCCTCAAGCATATCAACTTCCCCAATCCAGACACGCCGCCGCAGGTGCTGAGTCTGTATCCTCTGAGCATGGCGCGTGAGTTTTGGGCCGAGTGGATATTTCAGGAGTCCGCACGGCGGACATCCCTCATGACGTTCTTCTTTCTGCAAACATACCGACTGCTTCAGGGCGAAGTTGCAGGGCAGTGTGGTGGGAATTTGTACTTGTGCCACTCGTTGACAATCTCGGCTCATTTGTGGGAGGCAAAAGACGCGGTTGACTTCGCTGAAGCGTGGCAGGGGAGGAAGTACATTTTAGCCACACCTTCGAATCTGTGGAGTGTGGTGGATGATGCGATGGCGGAGGATGTCGATGCGCTCGGCAAAATTCTGCTGACGGCCATGATGGGCATTGATGAGTTTAAGGGGTGGATGATTAGTCGGGACGGCAGATTATGAGGCAAAGCGCAATTCCTTCCCAACGCTCACACAGCCGTTCGTGGCTGTTTTGACAGATGTCCGCCCTCGGGGCTGCTTTCCAAATTCGATGGATGTGCAAGGCCAGAAGCTAATACCAGGACTCATTGAACCTCGTGATGACCGAGCCCATCTTCTTGGGGCGGACGTGTGCCCACACTTAGCCAGTCATATGTATCATTCCCAATAACCTCGGTAAGCTCCGGCAAGATGTGCACAATGATTATAGAGGGTTCAATGTGGCCGAGGAAGAGATCCTTGGCTTCGAAGACCCAGAATACAGTCGCAGCAAGGACAAACTGGCCTGTGCCGATCATTTCTGGATGTTCGGTCCTGGAGTCATGCTTCCCCCCCCTCCAAGGTACAATTCCAAGGAGCTGGCAACAGGAAAAGCATCGGTCGAGGAGTTCTGCAGCATGTCCACTGGGAATGCAGAAGATTCACCGTCGTCGAGATCAAGAGTCTTTTCACCCTCATGTAGTTGATCGAAGAGCCTATGATTAAACTCTACGCCAAACACCGGTCATCCAACACCATGGGGAAGTACATATATCTCCTTTATGGGGATATATTCCCACGCTCTAGCGTCTCAGGTATGCTCAGAAAAGACAAAACACCGAGCTCGAGACGCTGATCAGTACGCTTCGCGAGGATTGTATCCACGAAGAAGATATGAACAAGTATTTCCCAGAAATATTGTGGAGTGGTCACCTGAAGAAACACATCAGCTATATCTGGTCTGTTAGGCACATGGGACACACAATCGAACTGTCGGCCGTCAAAGGCTCCAAAGGGCCTAGACTGTAGTCGATCCGCGATTGGCCTCCAGGAGTATCTCACTATTACCCAAAGTCTGCACACCTCAAATTGTGGAAGAGCCAGCTGAACACCGTTGGTTCCGCCACATTCAAAGCTCTCTGGAACATTTGCTCACCTTGTAGTAGCGTACTTCCATGTGTGTGAAGCACAACATCGCTTTTGTGCCCAGAGGGCTGTCTGAAGTTGCTTATCAAGACTATCGGTTGATAGTGTGATGGAGGGGCTCATTCTTCTGGCAATTTTATCTTGAGACAAACCTGAATAGGCCCTTCGCCTTTTGTGCCATGGCAGAGCATTTAATCTCCTTTCTTCGTTGATAACCAACTTTCCGCTCTGTCCCATGCCAGAATCTGCGAATAGAAGCCACGTTTTTTAGGATCACTTGCCCCCTTTGTTAACTTATTTTGTCCTTCTTTTCTTCTCATGACTATCGGAAGTCATTACTCAGCCATTTTATATCCAACTTGAGTACATTCTACACTGGCCATCATCCTGAGTTCGGGCTTGCGACAGCCCACGTGGGTTGTTCCACGAGCCAAGTGGCTTCGGCAATGCAAACTCCTGCTCGACTGCTTGGCCAGTTGGTTCACGAGAACTAGAACCTCGAATGTCGCTCCATAGCCGTGGTTAAAATGAAAGGACGGTTTGTTGATAAAGTGTATGATGACTGTAAACTCATCTACAATGTATAGCACGAGCCATCGACCTCACATCATAGGAGCCCTGCTTCCTTCCAGGACCAAAACGACATGCCCAACTGAGCCAAACAACCATGCATATGCCTATTGAACTCCAAGACCCCCTTTGCCCTCATACCCGTACCTACTATTCCTGCGGAACCAACAGGACAAATTTCCAGTGGCATATTTCTGACGGCACACCCCTTTTTGTCCCAACCATTATCGAGTATGCGCGCCCACGACCACGGACTACACAGTTCCGCTGATGCTCAGTTCCCTTATCTCCTGCAGCACCTGCTCAACCCGCGAGTCAAGGTGGCCCTGTGCGTACTGTTCTCGCGTATCCGCATCGAGGTATTGTTGCACCTGCGCCATGCGGCTGTAGGCTTCGGCGCAGAAACGCAATTGGATTTTGACGAGGGCCTCGAAACTGGGGTCCAGGTACGGGACTCTGAGGTCGATGAGCTGGGGTAGCTCGGACGAGAGCTGCTCGTTGAGCTGTTCATATGCAGCTCTCGCGATTTCCATTTCCTTCTCGGCGCGGGGCAGCTTGGTCACGTCCTTGTCGGGCTTCTCAACCAGCTTTTTCACTTTAGCTCGCATGGCGTCATAGTCTAGCAGCTTGTGCCCGCGCTTCTTGATGCCTAACCGTGTTAGTATTGCAAGTGCTGAGGGCCGGAGACGAAGGTATGCTCACATTCGTTTACGTCGGGGAAGTAATTGCAGAATCTGGATATCGGCTCCAGCACTGTCGTTCTGTGGACAACATTAGCATCCGTCTCGGTCGGGTCGAGCCTACAACCCCGCCAAAGCCAGGCCCATGCCTACCTGTATGGTCCATCCAGCGCTTTGATGGTCTCCGCATCGAGATCTTCCACGGCCTGCTTGTAACTCCTGCTCACGCCATCTTTCGCACCGGCGTCTCCATAAAACGCATCGATGGTCTCGGCTATGCGCATCTGGCTGGCCGTCATGGCCCGCAGCGAATCGAGATACCCCTTGGCCTCCTTCTGCAGACGCAGAGACGCGGCCTCCATGGTACGAAAGCGACGCTCTTCTACTTCATAGTCGCGGTCGTTGGTCTTCTCCACATGCCCCGTCTTCATCATCACCTGCGTCGTCGCGCGGTTGACATTCTTCTTGAAGCCGGCCCACGACATGTTGACGGCGGGGTATCTGTGTGTCGCCTCGAGTTGGGGTTTCGCAATCTGTGGATCGGGTATCGCGGGGGGTTACGAAAGCAGTCGCCGAGCGATGGACCAGGGCGACGAAGAGTTTTAATTACTGCTGAGGACGCGGAAGTGAGGGATCGTTCAGTTTCTTGTTTGCTGTCGTGGTGCGATTGGGCCGGTTGGCGGCAGTGACGAAGGTATTGTGGCTGTGCCTTGGTCTTGGCAGGCATCAGAAAATCAACGTCAATTGCGACGCTGCGCCTCCAGTCCGGCTCTGACGGCATTCTCGCTATTAAAGTTATTGTTGGCAAGGATTGGCAAGGAACCAAGCACTACGAATCGGATTTGGGCAAGAAGGACGGGGGCCCAAAAAACGAGCCACAATTGTGGCTTAGCAGGCTTGAGCACCAACAAGCGTCAACACAGTTCAATTGTGTCTTGGTCTGAAGTTGCAATTTGGAGAAGTCCCTTGCACGGAATTTGCGTGGAAACGGGTTTTATGCTTTCACTCCCAAATTACTCGATGTTCCGTCCCCGTTTCCTCCTCCTCAGCCTGGGCAACCCGGCGCCCTACTACGAAACCCTCCACTCAGCTGGCCATTTTGCCCTCAACTCGGCCCAGAAAGCCCTCCGCGGATCCCAACTGCCCTTCACTTATACAGATCTGGGCGGTAAAAAGTGCTTGGCCTCCCTCACTGCTTCCTCCTCCAGTCCCTCATACATAATGATTCAGTCCCCGACCTTAATGAATGTTTGTGGGCCGTGGGTAGCGAAGGCGTATCGGGAGCAGCTGCAAATGCACAATCTCAAGCCATCAGAGTTGAGTCTCGTCCTCGTGCATGACGACCTGGAGGAAGACTTTGGATCCGTCAAGTTGCGCAAGTGGAAAGCGAGCCATAGGGGTCACAACGGAGTTAAAAGCGTCAATGCCAGCCTGAAGCCCGCCGAATTTCCCGGCGCAAGGTGGTCACGCATTTCCATTGGCATCGACAGACCGGAGGCACGGGATCAACAATCCGTGGCAAATTATGTCCTGAGGAGGATGACCCGATACCAGAAGGATGTCATTGATGCTAAAATAGGACCTCGGGTCATTGGCTGCCTCCGGAGCCTGCAGGACGACTGGGAGGAGGATTTCGACAAGGCGTCTTCAGACCCCTGAAGAGCCCGCGAACAGTGCTAGGACAAGACGACCGACATGCGAATGGCTGCCAAATCGCTTTAGGAGCCAAAAATAACCAGCAACTCCCAGTTATCTCACAACTCGGACTGCACTATGCGCTGCATCGAGCAAAGTCGAGCTAGCGCCATGGCTGCATTGCCGAAAAGAATGCCAACAAGAGGCTTCGCTTTTCTCCATTCAGCCAAATTCTATGCTTGAACCGTACGCGAGTACTTGCAGAGCCATGCCTTCCAATAAATCTTCACCCGTAGTATCGGGCTCAGACGCCTACTTCACCTCGACTGTCCCATTAGCAGGGCCTTCGGCCCACTCCTCGTACCTTTAAAAGCTCCCGTCTGAGTCATGGATCTCCTGATTCTTTATTTAGTGCATGAGGCATGTTCGACTGCCAACCTAGATACGACTAGCTGGCCTCAACCTGCCTCGGTGCAGGTCTCTCGACGCGGCGGAACCCTTCCAGTTGAAGAGTCTAATCACGAGGTAGAGAGGACGATTAGGACTGACGATTAGGGCTTGGAATTATTCTGCAGTATTTCAGCTTGTATCGTCCTGTTTGGTTTGATGAAGTGCATGTGTCGAGGCATTGCTGGGTGCAAAGAAACACTCGTTGATGACGATATTCCGGTTTTTGATCAGGTGCGGCGTCCTCGGCTAAATTCTAGTCAGGGAACTAAAGGTTTGGGCTGGTGAATTAACAACGGCGAGGGAATCATCTGTCATAGTATAACGTAGTCCACGGTCCAATTGCACACTTCGGCAGACCTTATACGACAATGTATAAGTTAATTCAACCACAACGCCTATCATTAATTGAAACTACTCAGAATCGTTGTCTTCAGACGTCTCTACATCATTTCCACAAGTGCGCGCATTATGTCCGGGCTCGCCGCAGATTCTACAGCGCTGTACACGCGCAATTCGCCGCCTCGTACGACCGCCAATTTGACGAAATTCGTCATGTAACTGCCCATCAACCTCTCGTTGAGACTGTAGGTGCTGTCCAGCTTGTATACGAAGTGACCCTCCACTCTGTAGCTGTTTTTTCTTCGCACGGCAACGTCGACTTAAGGTCTCATTTGCCTTTCGAAGTGATTCGACCACGCCTTCTAAAAGGGCAAGCCGACGCATAACCTTCGTTGTACCTCGCGCAATCTGATCTATTCCAGCAAAAATTGACGTTGGTGAGCTATTTTGATGTCGTACAATCCTATTTTTCACATAATCGGTTTGTGATTGGGCTTTGGTTGGGTTGTTCGGAGTCTTTGATTCCCAAGGGACGGGGAGACCAGCCGAGCTACCCGGAGGTGTTGGCGTATGTAATTTCACATCGAGCTGTGATATGACATAATCTGCATCGTACGGAACTATTCCTACCCCTCGGAAACCTCCTTGGATATTTGAAACCGTGAAAGTTGCGTTGTACGCGTTTAAAAACGCCGGTAAAAAGTCTTCTTTCGAGATATGACTTATATGTGCTCGCATGAGATCTTCGATTTCTTTTCCGTACGCTCTTTTTAACCCGCGAAAACAACCAATATCAAGAGGCTGGAGCTTATGCGACGAATGAGGAGGCATACAAAGCGTGACGATATTGTTAGCTTTGCAATATACCTCGAAATCGGTCGAGTGATGGCTTTCGTGACCGTCGAGGATCAATAGGCGATGAGTACCTTTCGTACGAGACTTGGTGTGATGATCGAAGTGTTTTATCCAATCTTCGCCTCTCTCGTTCGTAGTCCAGCCATTTTTAGTAACTGCGATAACCCAATCAGGCGGTAATGGGCTGTTTTCGTACCATGACGAGAGGTGGGTTTTGCCGGCGAAAATGATGTACGGAGGGAGGGCATAACCGGACGACCCAACGCCTTGAACAACTGTAACCCATTCCCGGTTTCCTTTCTGGGCTGCTCTAGGCCTTCCGCGCCGGTCAGAAGTCGTCACGACCATTTCGGACGAGATTTGGCCCATCACAAAACCGGTCTCGTCGAAGTTGTAGATATCCTCCTCCTGAATCGCGTATTTCGCAATTGTATTCCGTACCAGGTCAAACCACGCGCGACACGCGTCGGGGTCTTCGCAGAGAACTCTCTGATAGTTGATCCTTCGATTTAAACGGGTCCGGAGGTCTGGTTGTCGTCTTACGAAGCTCGAGGCCCAGTTGACGCCGACGCGTCCCGCGTCGCGACTTCGAAGTAATCGGTTGGCCATATCTTCAACACCACTCAATCGGGGAGGAAATGCTCGCGAATCTAGGTCGGTTATATGTCGTACGATTGTCTCTTCTTCGGAAGGAGTCAACTTTTTCGTTGGCGATCGCGTAATCGCTCGAGCGGTTTTACCGTCGCGTCGATACGCAAGGGTTCTAAAAGGTACGTTATAGATCTGACCAGCGCGACGTACACTTAATTTTGGATTAACCCGATCTACTTAAGGAACAAATTCCTGTGACGCGTATGTTATTGTCACAGCCTGTGAAATCAAAAATCAAAGGCTAACATACGTTTCTTAGAGTGGTTAGCGTGCCAGTCTTATACTCTTTGGTCCTATGTGATTAAATTGTATGCAGAGGCATCTGGAAGTCGCGGGTTCAAGTCCCGCCAGAAATAGATCAATATTCATTTCTGCTAGGGACGGGTCGGACAGCTTCAAGGCCCAGATAGCATCGATTTTCTCAGGGGGGACTTTGTTGGTAGGTTGAGAACCAACATAGTATGGTAGTGAACGCAACGCAGTCGCCAATAGGGCGAACCGACGACGCAGCGTATGTATTTAGTCCAGCCATTAGGGCACGGTTTGACATACGGGAGTACTGGTAGAGGTACCGGGGGCTTCGAGCCTACGGCGTATTTAATAATAATAATAATAATTTTGGATCAGATTGAAGCGCATGTAATGCTAGAATCATATCACTTTCATTCCAAGAACCAACCATAGTTATGTGGTGAAAAACCGCAGGTCAAAGTGGTAGCGTACGAAAATCTGCCGAAGTGTGCAATTGGACCGTGGACTACGTTATAACTTCCAGATAAATATGAATCCCCTTTAGTCAAGCCCCATTGGCCAGTGTTTCAACGACACCCATGGTGACTACGAAGAACAAAGCTAATATATTTTTTGACAGCCAATGACGGATATGACGGTGTGTGGCATGTATAGAACAGCCATCAATTTGAGGTGTGTGGAAATGTGCCAGGAAAGGTGTACTCACTTCCTTGCTTCAGAGCTATAGCTGGCAAGCCTCGACCTAACTCAATATGAACCACCATGACCGCTTTTTGGGTTGATGGTCAAATTAGTAAGCAAAATGGCCAGTGGATTGGTGGAAGTGGTATCAACGGAGCATGCTCGTTAGGTTGGGGGTATTTTGTCGACATTATTAGTACATAATAAGGCTATCATCCACCTCGACGTTACTCCCGTTGTTATCGCCGGCGCCGTCACCATCATCTCCACTAGGGTCCCTTAAAACCATGTCTTTGCCAGCCTCACGTAAAGGATCGGATTACCCAAAATGCAACTTTCAGCTTTAATGCAGCCTGACTACTGGACAAGACTATTGGTTAAAGATTCCGACTTCTGCATGGGCCTTGGTAAGTACGTTCTTTTGTTCCGAAGAGTGGCTGGTTTAACTGCAACCTTTGTATAGCCTGACGTAAAGGATCAGATCACCCTACCTACAGTTTTCAGCTCTAATCCAGCCTGTCTATATTAAAAGACTTCCGGGAGCAATAACTCTTTTTCGCGATGAGTGGCTGACGTACCGTGGGGGTTAAATGCAGGTAAGCAGACAGGTTTCTCCACCTCCCAAAAGCTGCCAGCCTCACCGCCGTCAGAGGTCATGGAGCAGTAACCAAGGAGTAGTAACCAAACTTTTTTTCGTGAACACAAGCCGCCAAGCAGTCATCCACAGTGTGTTATCATCTCGAATCGCGCTTCACAATGAGGAACGGAATTCAACATGAGTGTCTATATGGGGTACCAATGACGTTGTGGAACATGTTGCGTACGGTTGTGGCCTGTCTTCTTAGTCAATCTATCGAAGATACCTCAGGAATAAAACAACATAAGACCACAGAACCCTCGAGAGATGATTATCGATGGTCGAGCTACATAAAAGTTCGACTGGAACATCTAAATTTTCGATACAAACCGATATGAGAATCAACAAAAGCATATGAAGGAACTAATGGGTTAGGTCCTTCACGTGGTCTCTCAGCCCATCCTCCCCTCATTTCTATGGACTATAGAGAGCCTACAGCAGTGGTACAAGACTTTATCCGACTCTAGGAAGGCCTGTAAGGATCGCTTTATGCTAGACATCTAGCAAGGATATCGGAAGCACCTTCAGACAGCAAATAAGTTGGTTAAGAGGTTCGATATATAGATCCAGGAGTAGCAGGAAGTGATAACGGAGGGCAAATAACTGAAGATCTTTGAGACCGAGCTAGCAAAGTCGTGTATCAATGATCTCTTGACAGCAGTCAAGCCAGTTATAGTGGCATAGTTAGTCCAGTTTCGCATAACCAAGCGAGCACTTGTGATAGACGGGGTTATTACGTACCAGAAAGTTACCGCCAACATTTTCGAGGAATGGACAGCAAGCCACCCGATTCCACTTACGACCAAAGTAAAAATTGGATTTGCCGTGATGCACGGGTAAGACGTGGAGCCTCTCGAGGACGATACACTAGCAGAAGATGCTCCCCTACGAGGAAGAAACATTAATAAGGGACACTGAAGAGGTGGAGCAAGAGTAAGGGATAACAGTCAAACGAAACGAGCTGACACTAGTCCCGAATGAGGCCCAAACCAGCGCTGTAACGACAATATCAGATCAAGCCTAAGATCCTAGAATGCGATAATTAAATCAGGGATAGTCACGATACACTAAATGTGCACGATAACACTTTATAGACTTAGGTCAAGCCTTCAGCTCCTAATAATTAAGCACGGAATGAAGGAGGAAAACGCTCAGGGGGTGTGATTAAGGAGAAGGTTCACGTAATGAGAGTAAGAGCTGAGTTACTAGTATTACTCTAGCGTTATATCTTCGGCGCTTCCAGTTACCTATACAATTGCACACCGCGAGACCAGTTATTCTAGCAACTCTATACGAGAGCCTCTACACTTACGTTGCTCTTAGGGACGGTATTGTCGCAGTGTCAGGTGAAAGTTTCTGTGCCATTGTTCCGCTCTGCGTATTTCAGTGGGTGGTGCAATTCGTACAAGACAGTCTTGGAGAACGACATTATTTCGTTTAGTGCGGTGGTACCCATAGGTCATCTGAGACATCGAGAAGCCGCTGCAGTGACTATCACAAAGCCAAGCTCAGTGCGAACATCAAATTATTCAAGTAATTCAGCTTAAGGTCGATATGACTATGTACCATCACTAGAGCATCTTCCTGTAAGGTGTATGATACGACATATTACTGCAAATATTCTCCCTTCTCAAACCGCGAGGTTTGGGCGGTTCGAAGTGAGCTGAGAATTCGAAAACGAACTAAACAGTTCTTATCTGGATGATGCAGAGACGCATGCAACGGGAATGGCATCAGCCACCATTCCGAGACATGCATAATCGGGGTCACTGGCCCGTGATTATTAGTGGCATTTAGAGTTTCTCAATACTTCGTGGAGAAATCCCGTCGATCTACTGCGCCATGTCTCTAGCTTGATTCAACTAACTCCCGGCAGTCGGGTTTCAACATATTCGCGGATCTTCCAGACTGATTTATATACACTTCGTCTTGCAACTCCGCACGTTGAACTCGAAAGAATCACTCGAAGAACACATTGGAATCCTTATTCCCAATTTTAGCCATGGACGATATCGAATCCCGACCATGCGATGTAAATAATATATCTGCGTCGGCAGTCACAGCAAAGCCCGAACTTGGCGCCCCTCTCGACGCAGCACCGGCGACCTGGACCCCGGCGGAGGAGACTGCGGTTAGAAGAAAGTATGCCATTCATCATCAAAAACTCGGTTGACAAATTCCATGCTTAAGTAGTCCAGGGTCGACGTGACGGTCATTCCCATGCTCATGGCAACCTTCTTCGCCTTCCAACTCGACCGTGCCAACATGTGAGCAATCAACGCCAGCTTCACTTGCAAATCTGATCAAAGCAGCGGAAATGCTCTAACAGATAATTTCCTCCATGATGTGGGCATCACGCAAGACTGGCTGAATGTTGGGCAGCAGCTCTTAGCCGCTGGTTTGATACTGCTAGAGGTACGTCCCTCGAGGTCTTTGTCCTCGGCAAACGTGACGTTGCTTATGAACGACAGATACCAAGCAATATGGTCCTGTACAGCATAGGACCACGTATTTGGATCACATGCCAAATTATAATTTGGTCAGCCAAATTTCCATCAATGAGGAATTCCTTGACATTGCTGATTACTGGCCAGAAGGACTGGCAGCATTTCTTGCGACGAGACTGTTGCTAGGGTATGATGTACTACTCTATTTGTTAAGCTGACTTCTGATATCATCACTAGTATTCTGGAGGCTGGGTTCATACCAGCAGGACTGTACATGCTCTCGCAATGGTACACGGAATCCGAACTGAGCAAGCGTTTCGCGACATTTTATGCTGGCCTTATTTTAGGACAAGCTGTCAGTGGCTTGCTTGCCTATGCTATGTGAGTATACTTTCTGATATCTGCGAAAACCGATGTGTTAACTGTCTCAGACTTCATTTGCGTGGCATTGGAGGTTTGGCCGGGTGGCAGTGGCTGTTCCTAGTGAGTAAACTGACTCCCTCGTGACTATGAGGGATTAATTAATGAGGCAGCTTGAGGGAATCTTCACGGTTCTCGTGGGCGTTTTATTCGGCTGTTTCTTTCCAGGAACGCCATCCCATCCGACCACGTTGACTGGGTTGCGATATTTCTCGGAACGCGAAATATTTGTCTTGTTGCAGAGGAAACACCTTGACGGTAGCTGCAAGGACCAACATAACAAGAGGATAAAGTTTCGCATAGTCATGAAATCGGTATGAATCACTCTCGTCACTGTACTATAGGCGCAAACTTGATATTAAAATAACCCACGTAGCTTGCAAACGGGAAAGCCTGGCTCCATATTCTTGCGAGCTTGTGCAATGCAATCCCAACTTCAGCTTTGGCAGCGTACGGACCTACCATCATTGGTTCTTTTGGATTCGATGCACTGGGTGCGAACGCCATGGCCTCGGTTGCCCAATGGATATCTTTGGTCTTGACTCTCACTGCTGGATACATCGCGTACGTATGCAGTGTAGCCACCTTCCGTATCACACCCTAACGCAAGCAGAGACCGCACAGGAAAACGGGGCCTCCTGGTTCTGGTCGGTGCGATGATGCAGATGGTATTTGCAGTGAGTCAACATTCATATCGTATAATTTAGATCGAATACTGATGATGCCAAAGATTACCTTCAGATGTTTACCTGATAGATCCAATGCGGCTACTAAATTTGGCATAATGACCATGGTTTTGGCTAATTGTCACTGGTGGAGTGAGTCCTCTCATTTAATGGCTATGTACCCGCGCTCAACAGTCCTAGCCTCGGTGAATGCGTCGTGGTTGTCAATACATACACCATCAGCCCAGGAGAGATCAATCACACTAGTATAGTTATCTATTCCGTTAACTATCACTCGTCCGTCTACTGATCATTGGAGTAGGCTCTGTTGACGATGGCGATCAACGGCTCCCTCCTTGTTGGGGCTCAGCTATTTCGATCAGACGATTTGCCACATTATCATCGAGGATGGTCAATTATTTCGGGAGTTTTGGCGTTTGGGTTTGTCTGCGTCACTTGCTTATTAGTCGCTTACGCGGTGGGAGATCGCAGGAAACGCAACAATGCTGGATTGTCACATGTGGATGAAGCAAATCGAGAGTCTAAGAAATCGAATGGTCAATCCTCGCAACCTAGGAACGGGTCAAGGAGACGGCTTTATAACGTCTAACCAATATCATCACTACCCCGTACACCACACACAAGCCTAAGATGAGAAGTGCCTACATAAGACGGTACACAAAATGGAAAACAGTTAATAGAGTGATTGGATTAACGTACCCCACAAGCAAGTTGGCCACTTTTTCTTGGCACCGTACGAACAACCTTTTAATTAACATCTTTACACATACCAAGATGGGATCGAATTGGAAAGAAAGCAACATGATTCTAGCGTGTCAGGCGCTTCAATCGAAACCCGAATTAAGCATCCGACGCGCTGCCCAACTCTACAATGTCCCTCGTACAACTCTAGCTAACCGAAAACGCGGACTACTATCTCGACGCGATACTCGACAATCTAGTCATAAGCTTACGGAATCAGGAGAGTTAGCGGTCGTACAATATATACTTGACCTAGATTCGCGATCATTTCCTCCCCGGCTCCATGGTGTTGAAGCTATGGCTAACCGACTGCTCCGTGACCGTGGCGCTGGACGCGTCGGCGTCAACTGGGCCTCGAACTTCGTACGACGACAACCAGACCTTCGGACGCGTTTTAATCGAAGAATCGACCACCAACGAGCCTATTGCGAAGATCCTGACGCGTATCGCGCGTGGTTTACGCTCGTACGAAATACAATTGCGAAATATGGTATCCAAGAGGCGGATATCTATAACTTTGACGAGACAGGGTTCGCGATGGGCTTAATCATCCGAGATGGTAGTTACAAGTGCCGAACGACGTGGAAGGCCTCGTACAGTCCAACAAGGCAATCGAGAATGGGCTACAGTAATCCAGGGTATTAATTCGTCCGGCTGGGCTATCCCGCCGTATATTATTGTCGCGGGTCAAAACCACCTCTTATCCTGGTACGAGAATAGCCCATTCCCGTCCGATTAGGTAATCGCTGTAACCAAAAACGGTTGGACAACAAATGAGCGAGGCGTAGACTGGATTCAGCACTTTGATCGCTATACGAAGGATCGTACGAAGGGTGTTTATCGTCTTCTTATCCTCGACGGACATGAGAGCCACCACTCGACTGACTTCGAGCTATATTGCAAAGAGCATACTATTATTACACTTAGTATGCCTGCTCATTCGTCACATAAGCTCCAGCCTCTCGATGTAGGCTGTTTTAGGGCTTTGAAAAGGTCTTACGGCAAAGAAATTGAAGACCTAATACGGGCGTATATAACCCATATCTCGAAGGAGGATTTCTTTTTGGCATTCTATAGGGCGTATCGTACGACTATAACTAAGTCGAATATCCAGGCAGGTTTCAGGGGGACAGGACTTATTCCGTACGACCCGGAATATGTGATTTCACAGCTGGATATTAAGCTACATACGCCTACACCTCCTGGGAGCTCGTCTGGCGCCCCCTTAATCTGGGAATCAAAGACTCCAAATAACACAACCGAGGCGCAATCCCAGTCTGAATACGTTAAAAACAGAGTCGTACAGCATCGGAATAGCTCCCCGACGACAATACTTGCGGCTATTGACCAATTTTCACGTGGTGCGACGGCTGTTATACATCGGTTACTTTTCCTTGAGGATGAGGTTACTACACTTCGGAAGGTCAATCAAGAGCTAAGCCGTCGTCGAAGGACTAAAAATCGACAGCTACAAGATAGAGGATCTCTTAGTTTACGAGACGCTCAGGACTTACAGTCTCAACGGGATATTGAACAGCAGCTACAGGATGATATACGTGTAAGTCGTCGTCGTACGAGACCGGCCGAACCACGCCGATGGCGCTGTAGGATCTGCGGAGAGCCCGGACATAATGCTCGTACTTGTGAGAATGATAAAGATACGTACGAGGAAGAGGATTCCGGTTAGTTTGAATTATTATTTTTTAGTTTAGTTAAGTTATTGAAGTTATTCATACGGTGCCAAGAAAAAGTGGCCAACTTGCTTGTGGGGTACGTTAGATAACTTCCTCATGTTCTTATCAAAGTAATACTCTCCTAATAATACAACGCTAGCGTAAGAAGACTATAATCGCCTAGATTGCCTCCCTATTACTGTCAGGGTACGGCTAGGCCGAAGGCAATAGTACAGAGTGATGGGGAGTAACAGGCGTCCCTCCTACGTAATACCGGGTGGTCACTGGCGGTCTCAGGTAGGGGTGCCCACGGTGATGCATTGATCTCTGCCCTCTCTATCTTCCTCCGTCTCGACTCCTTACTTATAGCCAGCCGAGGTTCTCTCTTGGATTCTGGATGTTTGCTTCCGTATGTCTGTGTTCCCCCGACTTCGGCCAATATCTTGGACAGCGGCTCCTTATCTGCAACCAAGCGATTCCCTATCCGCTGCAAACGGCTTCAACGGCTCTCATTCGCTGCAAACGGCTTCAACGGCTCTCATTCGCCACAAGCGGCTCTCTAGCCGCCACAAACGGCTTCCCGGTTCCTCATTCGCCACAAACGACTTCCTACCTGGTGGAAGCCGGCCCGCCTCGGATGACACTTGTGGCTCTGACAACTCCTTCCCTATCCTACTTCGAGATGGTCCTTATATAGATAGCTAGGCCGCCGCTTGGACCCGGCATAACAGCAGGGTCGGCGATGCCAAGGATCTTGACTCTCATCATCCCAAAGCTTCACATAGATTGTAATCATGATTCGGGAGTCTTTTGTCCGAAACACCCCTCCGGCGGCCCGCCGGTGTCCTGCGTTCAGTGTCCTGACACCCACGGGTGTCTATGGCATTCTGTTCTCTGACAATTACCAAAAATCCTATATCAGACTAATTAACAAGCTAAATAGACCTGAAAGCTAAGACACTAAAAGAATAACTACGCTTAGGTAAGCTCATTATTAGTTAATACGCTACTTAGTGATTTTTCTGTTTCCGGCTAACTTGTCCTTCGTACGATAACTCTGTCACCTACTAGCTCTAAACTTCCTCTTAATGGTAGACTATCGCATATTATCGGCTATAAGACTTACCGTTGACGTGGGGTTAGGGGTTTTTTGGGCGTTATTTTTTTCGTTTTTCTTTTTCGATATTCAGACGAATTATGTAAGCGTGTTCTTAACGGTATTTAAGACCTTATGTACATAGTCACTCTCTTGAGAAAAAGATAGAAAATCAAGCGGCCTTTTCCACAGTAATCTGAACCAATTTCTCTTTACTTGGACAGGCATTCAATGTCTGACGTACCTGTTGAGGTACTTTATTGTAAGGTGACAGCAAGCCTAGACTATCACGTCACATAGACCAAAAGATCTAGCAATTCTGTCACTTAGTGACAGAATTGGAGCTTAACCCTGCTTATAGCTCTGTATTCCCTTACATTTCTGTTCCCCTATAGATCTGATTGTGCCTGTTGAGGCCATTGTTCCCATCTTTCACCTGTTGAGGTGACTGTTCAAGGGCCTGTTGAGGTTCCTTTTCCCCAGCCTGCTGAGGCTACAGTTATTAGTACCTGTTGAGGTACTTGTCGTTCCGATCAGGGCAAGGAGCTCTTGATCTTGTTATTTCTTTCCACCTCCCGGATAGTAAGGTCTTGTTTGCCACGTCGTGCTAGGGGTTGCAATCCTTGCCACTACGCCACCGTACCAGATGTCTTCACCAAAAGAGACCAATACCAAAGTCAGGGACTTTGGTATCTGCAACCACTTATTAATCTGTTCAGACCAGTGTGGGTCAATCACGTGACAACTGTCACATTGTTGAGGATCTTGTTATTCGTTGCCATCATCTTCACACCTTAAACCAACATCCAACAAAAGAAAAACGTACTGCATGGAAGGAATCATAAACTTCAACCTCAATAACAATGAGCTCGAGGACTCAGTGGCCTCGCGGCTATCGAGGCGACCCCGGAGACTCACCGCTAAAGCTCGCGAAAATTTGGAAGACGTGGCTCGAGATATCGCAAAGGACGTGATCCACGAAGCCACCAAAAAGTTCGCTAGACTTGCAAAAGAGCTACAACAGAAGGACGCCGACAGACAAAAGACTCTCGAGGCATACAAGGCCAAAATAGAATCCCTCGAACAGGAGCTGAAAAGGATGCGCGAGGACCGTGGGCAACCAGACTGCCGCACCTCACAACTCGCACAATCTCGAGATGCCATTCGAACAACCCAAGACACAACTGCTAGAAAGCCTCTCGGAACCCCAATAGAGGTCGACACGACAGTACAATCAACACCAGCCCGCACATACGCAGCGGTTGCAAGGCAACTGAATAGCACGCCGGCCCACAGCCTAAATGTCACCGCGACGCCACCAAAGAAACTGCCCACGAAAGACCTACGGATTTTCGCCCGGATGCATGAAGATAATCATTTCCGCAGGGAGAGAGCCTACGATATATGCGCTTTTCTCCGTGAAAAGCTGCCAGGAAATGCCCGCACTGCACTAAAGGGAGTCGACCACGTCCGAACAGGACTAGCCCTCTGCCCATCCTCAGTAGAAGGCGCTAAGATCCTGCTAAATAACAGAGAACAGATAGCCACCCTACTGCAAGCCCATAGCGTCGAGCAGAGAGATACCTGGGTTCGAGCATATATCCCCAATGTCCCGTACACTCGTCACTGCCTGATTACCGACGCGGAATTGGAAATCACAAACGGGGAGCTAGAGGAGGAAATCCGACTTGCCACGAAACGGCGCCCGGAAAAGGCCTACTTTTCCAAAAAGGACGAGATAGAAAGACTAGGCACGGTAACGGCCTGGTTCAAGGTAGACGCGGCAAAGCAGATACCGCTCCGCACTAGGCTTCTAGGAGCCAACGTATATATCAATCTACGTCTCCCCAAGGAGAAGAAATCAATTGAATGCCACCGCTGCGGTGGCTTCCACAATGCACGCACATGCACCCGGAAGAGAAGGTGCATGAAGTGCAGCTCCGCAACTCACACAACCGACGAGCACCGGGCCCCTTGCGGAGGCACGGAAGGCCTCAACGGATGTGACTGCCCCCTCAAATGCCCAACTTGCAACGGCCCGCACGCGGCTCACGACCCTGCCTGCCCCGCCAGACCCAA